GGTGAGAACGGCGATGTCACTGTCTTCTTCGGTCTGTCCGGTACCGGCAAGACCACCCTGTCTGCCGACCCCAAGCGTAAGCTGATTGGTGACGACGAGCACTGCTGGACCGACCGCGGTGTCTTCAACATTGAGGGTGGCTGCTACGCCAAGTGCATTGGTCTCTCCGCCGAGAAGGAGCCCGATATTTTCAACGCCATCCGCTTCGGCTCTGTCCTCGAGAACGTCGTCTTCGACCCCATCACCCGTGTTGTCGACTACGATGACTCCTCCCTCACCGAGAACACCCGCTGCGCCTACCCCATTGAGTACATCGAGAACGCCAAGATCCCCTGCAAGAGCGACAACCACCCCACCAACATCATCCTGCTCACTTGCGACGCCCGCGGTGTCCTGCCCCCCATCTCCAAGCTCACCCCCGAGCAGACCATGTTCCACTTCATCTCCGGTTACACCTCCAAGATGGCCGGTACCGAGGATGGTGTCACCGAGCCCCAGGCCACTTTCTCCTCTTGCTTCGCCCAGCCCTTCCTTGCCCTACACCCCATGCGCTATGCCTCCATGCTCGCCGAGAAGATCAAGGAGCACAAGGCCAACGCCTGGCTGCTCAACACCGGTTGGGTCGGTGCCGGTGCCACCACTGGCGGCAAGCGTTGCCCTCTCAAGTACACCCGTGCCATCCTGGACGCCATCCACTCCGGCGAGCTCGCCAAGGCCGAGTACGAGACCTACGATGTCTTCAACCTGCCCGTCCCCAAGTCCTGCCCCGGCGTCCCCGACGAGCTCCTCAACCCCAAGAACAGCTGGACTGCCACCACCTCCTTCTCCGAAGAGGTCAACAAGCTCGGCAAGCTCTTCAACGAGAACTTCAAGAAGTACTCCGACGAGGCTACCTCCGAGGTCCTGGCTGCTGCTCCTCAGACTCAGTAAATGTTCGAGTTCCGGGTTTGCGTTCGGGTTGTTTACACAAAATTGATGGGCATATTTTCTTTTGTTTCAGACTTTTCAAGTCATTTGCATGGCGTGCTGCGTTTGCTTTGGTCGTGATGATGTGGTTTCCATCATGGATCTCCGCCCTCGCGCTTGGGTCGGGACGAGCGTGAGGATTTATTCCCCCACTTGTTTCTCCCGATATTGTTTTTCGCTGTTATGATTTCCTTTTTCTTATCTCTTTTCCTTATGTATTTTGATGAAAGTGTTTTTGATGACTGGCTCCACTGGAGTTGTTCGATGGAGTATCCTAAGAATTGTCAATGAAATCAGATATCTCATATAATATTGTGATTGTGCTTTGTAGATGCAGATTGTCTTTTCTACACCTTGATTTGCTCCATCACTGTCCATACCTACTATTTACACTGTGCCTTGACTGATTGGGACCTGCCTCATAATTGGTCCAACGTTGATCTCATGCTCATCCCCAATCTGTCTATTTATATGACTCTCACTCTGGACAACTTTCTCCAATATTTCTGTCAACACATTCACCCTCTCCCTCTCGCCTTAGTTTCAGTAATATTCTTTACTGCTAATGCGGTCAAAGGTCCAATAAATAACCACACATGTAGTAGCCCCTGTCAATGATTCCTATTCTACAACTGCAGACCGAGAGCATCAGATGAAACACTGAACCAAACAATTTTCCGATTTCACTCATTCACTGGTTCTCATTCGCATCTCCCCTACATGAAAATTCATGATAATCTAGTCTCGGCCAAGTGTGCATCCAAAATGAGCGATTGAGTGGATGTAACAGGGTAACAGGGTTCCTGTGCATTCGCGGTCCAGGACTGGCTTCAAAGATGATCCCCCCTCCATGTCAAGATATGTAGGGGTTATCCACACATGGAGGACGTAATAGATTACCCAGTCTCGAAGCGTTCAGTACGAAAGCCGAACAATTCGTTTACTCTAACCTACACTGCTCCTCCGTCATCGAATCGCATCTTTGGGAACTTGATGGTATTGGCAAATGTCACTGTTTGTTCCGTCAATTTATTTTTCTTCCAAGTCCATACTGTGAATTTGAGCTATTTCGATGGTTTCGGGAAAGATTGCCTAAACGGCTGGAATCAATATTTGGTTGAGGAGATGAGAAAATGAAATTTGAGACATGATTGTCCTGATACTTTAACCATGTAAGTTTTCTGCTTGACTTGGTTTAGATTTTTGGCCTTGTTTCAATGTCCCTAGAAAATGAGTTGAAACTGTGGATTTAACTATGCGATAATACTTATGATGCTTCTATCGTTCCTTTCTCATCGAAAACCATTGTTCTTAGCGGGTTGTATCTTAGAGTCTGACATCGGACAGGATATGAACGTGTTTCCAGAATTCTTCGATTCACGTGCCGAGGATATTATCCCCAGAGCTCCTATCTCAAGTTCCTTCATGTATGACAGTCATCACTATGACAAGGATACAGAAAGAATCTAGACTACTAGTATTCCCGTAGCAGCCATCTCAACCCTTTACGTTCGGCGATGCGGATGGGACATGTAGTTTTCCCACTGCGAAGTCTTGGTCCCCTGTGAAAGACCTATTCTTCGACGGTTACATTTCTATTCTCCCGGGTTATTGGCAACATGAGCAGTACCCGAATTCAGCATACCCTCTAGTATGAAAGTCTATAGATAAGCGACGGGTTGTATAAATCGAGCTTAACCCCATCGCTTAGGACACATAAATGTCAGACACATAAGCTAGTGCATGATCAGTTCTCAGTTAAATTCAGCATCTCAAATGTATAAGCAATACTGAAACCCATTCTTGTCTGAAGCTTTTTATCAAGTCTCGCCTGTCACCAAATGTGGTAGCGCGACTCTTTTCTATACATCCCATACGCCAATCAACTTGTCAACTGCTCCAAAGCGCCAATGAATCGTCATGATCCGCAGGTTATCACTTCGACTCGAATGTCTAGCTTGACAATAGAAATATTCGCAAGCGCATCAAAAAGATTACAAGATCGAATTCCTATCGCGCGGAACGATATCTGGGATACGCTAGCCTGGTTGGCTGGTAATGCGTCCTCGCTGGACGCGGATTTAACGAGTGGGTTTGTGATTGGGGGTGGTTCGGCGTGGGCAATCTTGGTATTGTCACTGCGCATCGCGCATTAAGAGAACTACTTGCGTCGTCGGTGACGGGTGTTTTGGCTGATATACCTGGTTATGTGAATGGGGAGACTGTGCCGGGGAAGTACAGGATCTCTAGCTTTCGCGGGAACAGAATTCCGAGGCACTGATTTTAGATTCTAAGCTTTTGTATCTTACCGAGGGGGGATATGGGATTGATGTTTACTCGCTGGATTGCTCGCCTATTATTTTGAGAGTGTTGTTTATGGGTTCACTGGGGACGTATGTCTAGGTCTGTGGGGATGGATATGCTGAGGGTGGTGGGATTCTTTATGGAAGATGTTGAGGAATTGGGGGGCTGAGGGGCGATTGGATGGTTATTCGGGCATAATGTGTGGGTGTTTTAATGTTTGGCCTGGGTTGGGGCTTGCTGATGAAGTCGTAGGTTGATACTATTTGGAATGATGGGTGGTTGTTTGATAGGAAGTTGAAAAGGGAGGTGGTGGAGGAGTCGTGAAGTGAGAGGTTGAAGGGAATTGTGTAGTTGAGGAGAGGGCCTTGAGGTTGTTGTTAGTAGTAGTTTGTTCTTCTTGCGGCGTCTCATAGTTTATCATTTAGAAGTTCAAATTGACAAAATTGACCATACTGTAGTCGACTAAAGCAGGCCTCAGACGTCTCTAGATTCGAGTTGGAGAAATACTATTTGAATCTCTTGATGGCGATAATCGCATTCTTAGTTTCTTCAGCTGATGCAGTGGTCCTGCTAATCAAGGTCATGTATCTAGAAAGAAACACTTTTCTATGCTGTGCCCATGCCCAGTCCTTCCAGAAACAACCTTACCTGAACCTAAGGTCCATCTGCATAGCCTATCCTACAACCCCAAGATCCTCCCCACGCCCCCATCACAAAATCAAAACTTCCAAACAATGTCCTCTACATAGTAAATATCTACAGTACACTTACCACACCCATTGCCGAACCATCCCCCACCCTCCCGCCAACGACACCCGCTCCCCGCCCGCCGACTCATCTCGGGCCCACTTTGCCCGCCGGAATCCCTTCCGCTCCCGAGTCTGCATGCCGGGGCGTTGAACTCGGGTTTACCAGGCAGGCTCCGAAAGTGCCGAGGGGTCTTTCCGTGGATGGGGTGAGGCTGAGACTGGAGGTCAATAGTACAGTCAGATTGTAATTAAGTACGTAAGGGGAGGGGATATAGAGGGATATAGAGGAAGTGGGGGTTTTAAATGGGGATTGTTGGGGGGAGTGGATTCTGTTTGAGATAGGGTTGTTTTGGATGGATGTTATTGTTGACAGGTCTGTATGTTGAAATTTTGGTTGAAGGAAGTGCGGAACTGCGGGTTTTGCTTGGGCGGATTCTGTCAGTTGTGTTGGGCTTGGTCGTGAGTGGGTGGCAGGGATTATAGTTGAATCCTGTATGCCTCAATAGCTTTCCGGACTTTGCTACTCCGTCGAGAATGCATTGCCCGTTGGGATCTGATCAACAGGTTGGTGGTCAGTGTATGGACATCGGCGATGACCGTCCACAAAGACCTAACAGTAGTTGAAGTTTGTCACCAACGGATATCGTCGGCCAGAGTATCTGATCTACTCTGCACATCAGGGTCCAGGCTGATGTATACCCTGGTCGACCGCAGAGAGTCCAAGTAAGCGGTCACCGGAAAATTCTCAGCTGGTGCAAAATAAGCCCATGAATAATAATGGAGATGCATCTCTCACGTCCTCGCCAGACACAGTGGATCATCTCGCATACACGGAGAAATCAACTCCTTTGCTCCGGACATTGCGATCACCGTTGAAAGGCATCCCGCGTGTGGCTTGGACACAATAGGACAGCTATGATCCATCCCAGGACATATTCCGTGCTGCTGGACTGATCAACCGGAAACACCCAGTTCTGAGCAATGATTACACGCTTCAAAGCCCATGTCCCCGGACTGCTCTCCTCCGCTGGCACCGGCAAACAGCAACATCACGAAATTTACGAACAAGAAGACATGCTCCACGGGGGAGGGGAACAAGCATCCTCAGCCCGGACCTTCCGGACCAGCGTCGAGTCCTCTCGACCAATCCGCGCTCATGAAATCTACACACGACGTCCCTCTCCGATGACATCCACCAGCGCAAGTGCCGGTCATCGGCGAAAAGACGGCGATGTGAGTGAAGAGGGCGATCGGAGGATTCCAGCGGGACTCCCGGGGAAAGCAACTGGGTCGGGAACCAAGCGCTGGGGCCCGATTAGGCCGTAATAGGGAATCGGCCGTCCCCAACGCGGTTGTGTAGTTGGCATTCCCGGGGGCACGATTGGCTAGTGGGGTTGGGATGGGACTTGGGGGGCCGTCCACCCGTGCCCACTGCGCAGTGCCTGGGCTTAGTGGGCTTAGTGGGCAATCTGGGATTGTCGAGGTTCTCGGATCTGGGTCCGGCGAGCAGGAGCGGCAGAATATTATGGAGGGGAGAGGTGGAATAGCCGATGTAGCTTATCCGGTTTCTCGATGCCGCCAAACCGAGATCCCCCTTATAGGCGAGAATGGAAGTACAGTATCGTGATGGTGTGATTCATGTCTTGGATGATTGTATGGTCGCAATTGGGGGTTGTTGAGATGGTCGGAAACCCTGCTCGTTCATTAGTTCATGACTTTCAGCTCTTCAGGCGTCTTCCAGGTTGACTGGTGTTTTCCTCGGACAGGCATCGAATGCCGTGAGAAGCGGGTTCCCGAGCAGTTCTCGTGGGGCGGCCGAAAGGGGATTAGCGGGGGCAGTGGGGTTCCGAGTTTAGCTCGTGGCACTAATCGAGCGTTAGGGGCGGCGGGCTCCATGACGTGGAGGATGTGGGAAATTGGTCTTTGGATGGGTTGATATCGGGGGAAGTAAGGGATGAAAAGAGATGACAAGAAGAGAAAAAAAAGAGGAGAAGATACTGAGAGTGTTCCTCGCGAGTGAGGGGTTTTTCTTGTTCCCCCTCGAGGGGAGCGTCACTTGAGGAGCGAACTCGTGACATCAAGCTTCCCCCGCATTTTGCAGACGTTCGCGTCCAGTCAGTCCAGCGTAGTGACTGTATGGCCAGTTAGGTTCCCACTAGGTAGATGGTCCATGCAAAGACCTTTATGATCGGCCGCCATTGGCCCACTCGCCAGACATGGAGGAGTGGGGATGTGCTGCGATTCTCGCAGTCCCAGCTATCGTCATGAATATTATTCCCCACTGCGTTGAACCGGGACCTGGACAGTCTCATCCAGGATCCCGCGGCTAACAGTCGGTCCAAAGGGCCCAGATCCGGCTACAATTCGGAAGTCGCCTTCGGTTGTTCGCGGTCTTCTCTCATGCCCTCGGGCACCAGAGGGCTGTTGGGTCGGTAGCTGACCAGGTACTTGGTCCAAAGGGTCCAAGCTGTAGGAGATCAAGGACCGAGCTAGGACGGAGTAGTAGTACCGGTACTTCATAAGAAGACTCGGTACGACTCGTAACTACGACTACGACTGGGATGGCCCGAGTTATATAGAACAAGCTCAGGCCCCCGCGTTGGCAGGCCTGGTACCACGAGCGACTTCTCCTTGGGCGCCTGCTTCTCCTCCATCCCGTGTACTGATACTTCCCGTTCCATACTTCCCTGTCGAGAGCAGCTGGAACTGGTGACTTCCCCCGCATCCTCCATTTTCGTCGCCTCCCCTCATCTTCCCGGTCTCCTTCTCCTTCTCCTCTCCGACTATTTCATCTTTCTCCCCTCTCGTGGTGCCTCGAGAAACATCCTCAGACGCTTCGCTCTACGTCATCAGTAAGTATTCCACGGTCCCAACGAGCTGCCCGCTGCGACTTCCGAAATCCCCCCCCAACTCACAATCACCAGGAAACTTTGAAACTTGGCATTCTGCGGTTCAGTGCCTGACGGTGCCGTGAACTCTTTTCTCCGGTCAGTAGATGATTCATCCGATCTCTGTGCCATTTTGAATCGTTCGTTCTTTCAACGTCGACATCTACTCCTTCTACTTAATAACTGCCACCACCACTACACCACCGACAAGTTAACTAATCCCCCCTTCAGATCACAATCCTAAACTGCCCTCACGACCATGGCATCCAATTCAATCAAGGAGTCCGCCCATAATGCGGCCGTCTCCGCCCAAAAATCCACCAAAGCCGCCATCGAGAATCCGGCGCAAACCACCTCCACCATCCTGCACCACCCCTACATGCGCGCTGCCCTGCCCTTCATCAACGGCGGCCTCGCTGGCATGTCCGCCACCATCGTAATCCAACCCGTCGACATGGTCAAAGTGCGCCTGCAACTCGCCGGCGAAGGAGCCCGCACGGGTCCCAGACCCTCCGCCCTGGGCATCACCAAGGAAATCATCGCCTCCGGCAAAGTCCTCGACCTCTACACCGGTCTCTCAGCAGGCCTCCTCCGCCAAGCAGTCTACACCACCGCCCGTCTCGGCTTCTTCGACACCTTCATCAAGACGCTGAACGCGCGCGCCGACGAGCAGAAGCGCAAAGTCACCTTTGCCGAGCGCGCCGCCGCCGGCCTCTCCGCCGGCGGTGTCGCTGCGATGATCGGTAACCCGGCCGACCTCGCCCTCGTGCGCATGCAATCCGATGGTCTGAAACCACCCGAGGCGCGCGCCAACTACCGCTCCGTCTTCGACGCGCTGGTCCGCATCCCCAAGCAAGAAGGTCTGGCGGCGCTGTGGGCCGGTGCCTTGCCGACTGTTATCCGGGCGATGGCGCTGAATATGGGTCAATTGACATTCTTTGCGGAGAGCAAGGCCCAGCTGAAGCAGCACACGAGCTTGTCGCCGCAGAACACGACGTTCGCGGCGTCGGCGATTGCGGGTTTCTTTGCTAGTTTCCTCTCGTTGCCGTTTGACTTTGTCAAGACTCGGTTGCAGAAGCAGCAGAAGGATCCCGCTACGGGGAAGCTTCCGTACAAGGGGGTTTTGGATTGCGCGCGTAAGGTTGTGCAGGAGGAAGGGTGGTTGCGATTCTATCGGGGCTTTGGAACGTACTATGTGCGGATCGCTCCTCATGCGTTAGTTTGCCCCCACTTTTGTTGCTTTTTTGATGCGCACTGGACCCACTTTGGATAACTGACTGATCTGATCGATAGGATGGTGACGCTCATCGTGGCCGATTATCTCAACCTCATCACTCTTAAATAGACGCTGCACGAGAGAGAAAAATGGAGATGGCGAGCGAAGATTGCGCTATCACCCAATTTTTCGACCTTCTGTTCTCGATCTTTGTTTGAATGGACTCTCTTGCATGTCGGTGACTCGTCTTTCGATTTCGCGCTACTCGCAAAAAGGGAAAACCATGGATCCCCATGAACTGTTTACTTCTATTGCCAACGTCCTTCCCATCCTTCAGATCAAACTCAATACCTTACGGGACTATCATTTTCGGAGTGAAGAACTTGCGGTATCTACGCTCTCGACAAACAGAAATGACCTGATTCTGCATTCCTAAGGATTCGATGTGCCAGACCCGCACTAACGCACGATCCCTGACATCTTTTTCTGAATTCTTTTTTTCCCGGTCGTGAATTCCATTTCGGCAACTTTCAGGTTTTCTTTTTCCTCATTCATATTTCCTTCGGAGAGTACACCTTTTCCCCGGTGGTTTTTGTTGGGGAGATGATGCTGCGGTTTGCGTCGGACGGCGCGGTGCAGCTAGGCTCTGGCCTGGTCTTCCGGCGATCTCCGTCTCCGCGGGAAGGATAGGGAAGATGGAGGACGGCGATTGAGACGAGATTCTGTTCTGGTCTGGGAAGATCCTGCGATACAGTCGTGTTTATTGCTTTTGGTTTTTCTTTTCTTTTTTTCTTGATGTTCGTTCTTCTTTTCGTTTTTCTTTTCTCGACAAGCGAATACCCCGCTACACTTGTCCTGCCCTGCCCTATCATCATGTCGTCTCGTCTCGTCTTGACTTGTCTTCCCTTTGCAATGCTGTGTTACCAGACAAAAGGCTGTATCAGTTTTACTGTTATGGATTTCACGTTCGTAATGGGGACATTATTCATACAATATCCAATCCAATGAATTAAATCATGACTTTCTTTTCCTGTCTGTTACCTTTACTAGCTTAGCCTAATCTCTCCGTCTTCCTCTTCTCTTCCTTTTTTCCCATTCATGATACCTACTCGACACTTTTGTACTCCTTCTGTTACACAAGCACGAGGACCAGGTATGTCCTGTTCTGTTCCACTTACTGCACACTTTATATCCCTTGGGTTTACTTACGGCCGCGTATACTTCGGGGTTGAAGCCTGCTTATTCTCTGATCTAATCTGTGGTACCGTTGCGCTGCAGAGTTCCACTTGCACGAGCACGGGCACGGGTATGGGCATGGGCACGGTAGATGGATGGAGGAGGGAGGAGGGGGAGGAGGAAAGAAGTAAAAATGAACCACGTTGTGTTTACACATATCCACATGCACATCCACATGCCATATCTAGCTGAGCTACCTAGCCAGAAATAATACCTCGATCAGAGCTAAAGGCACAATGTATACCATACCATACCATACCAACCCTCCTTACCATGCCGTCCTCGACGGGTACTATCAGAGAGCGGCTAGCACTAGCAAATTCCTAGCATCTACAACTACATTACCATCACCAACCTTACTACGTAGAAACACCGAGATACGATACGGCACATATTCATGAGTGCTTCTTTTCCATTCAAGCGAAAACGGGGGTATGTAGAACATGAACAAGAGGAGCGAAACGCGAAACCATGCATTTCACACAACATTAAGAAAACCTAGCGGGGAAAAGGGGAACAGGAAAAGCCATCATCCGTAAACGCTCGTATCGAGATTTTTTTTCATCGTATTAGGACACCCCAAACCGACACCGACGCTGGCGCTGATGGAGGGGAAGGGGGTTTGTTGATGGATCTCGTAAACACAGAAAAAAAGACGTCGAAGCCGAAGCGAGGCCAGGCTAGGCGAGGCTAGCCAGGTCGAGATTCAGGTTGAGGCTCGTTGATTCAGAGAGATTTCCACATAAGATCTGTTATGAGCGTATCTCCCTGCGTTCACAAGCTTCTTTGGTAAAAGGGTATTACCAGATTAGATCTCGCCAGTGACGCGCTTCTCGGCAATCGCACCTGGGGGAAGGACGTCCTCGATGGTCTCGTCGGTGCCCTTGAGATCGTCCTCGAGGGGGACGGTATCCCGGATACGCATGAAGACGACGGGGAGGGCGACGATGAGGGAGCCAGAGAGGATACCCCAGTTGGAGGCGAGTAAGTTCATGAAGGGGGTTTCCTTGCTGTCGAGGGACCACATCACAGCGGAACCGGCGGACTGGAGACCCTTGTAGAAACCGGCCAAGTTGGCTAGACGACGGCCAGAGTTGCCGAGGGCACCCATGAACCTGGAAGGAAATGTTAGTATTGAGAGTTTAGAAGGGGGGATTGCATTGGGAGGGCGGGATCAGAACATACCAGTAGACAGTACCCTGCCAGACAGCGTCGTACATGCCGTAGAAGAAGTACAGGAACATGGGGCCAACGTAACCCTTGGTGGTCCAGTCCCAAGGGGTGAAGGTGCCAGCGGCAATAGCATCCGCGCCAACACTCTCACGGGTGTAGTGCTTCTGCCAGGCATAGCCACCACCCCAGATAACCATGGTCAGGGTGAACAGAACACCAAAGGCAATCTTGGCACGGAGACTGCGGCGGACACCATCAACATCCAGAAGAGGACCGATGATGACGGCAGCCACAATCTGGGCAAACCAGTACAGGAAACCGTTCAGGGACTTGGTGCGGGTATCGAAGTAGGCACCGTTGATGCCGTTCTGCTGGTAGGTGTAGAACCAGTTGGAGGACCAGAACATGGGGAAGAGCAGGATGATGTAGGGCTCAGCCTTGATAGTCTCCCACAGACCGTAGATCTCAGTCCACCAGCTGGGGCTCTTCATCAGAATGACGCGGGAACCATCCTCACGGACGATCTTGTCGGCATCGCAAATGAACAGGGCCAGGCAGGCACCGATGAACATGAGCACAATGAAGGCAATGTAGGTGCTATCACTGACGGTGGCGTTGGTCTTGACATTGATGTTCTGTCCGAGAGGGATCTATAGTGAAGAGAGACAAAGAAATTAGTCTCCGGTGCATAACAATGCAATGTAGGAACTGCGCAGCACCCGCATGGTAACACGAAACAAAAATACAGCAACACTTACCAAACTACCAAGACAGGCGCCAACGTTGAAAATACCCCAGAACCAGGCAAAGTAGCGACCCTTGGACTGCTCCAGAGGGTAGGACATCATAATAGTGCCCTGGGCAGTCCACAGCAGACCAGCGCAAACACCGAGGAATGCGCCAGCGAAAATGTTGAAACCGGGGACATACTTGTGCACTGAGACGAGGAGGGAAATTGAGTAGATGCAGTAACCAATACCACCAAAGGACAGAGCAGCGCGAACACCCAGACGGTTGACAATAGTACCCGCGAAGAAACCCACCACCGCGAAGGTACTGTAGAGTGCAGTGTTCTGTAGGAAAAAAAGTGGTCAATCAAAGTCACGAGCTTTAGATTTGGGCGCGACTGCCACTCGGGGCAGCGCCGAGTGGGAATCGGTGCAATCGGTACAATCACAATCGGCGGAACTTACCATGTTGTCGGCCAACTTGGCATCTGCCTTACCACCACCACCAAGACCACTCAGGGCATTGAACATGCCAGGGCACAGGAAGCAGACAAAGGCGACCATGCCCAGCTGGAACTTGGGCGAGGCATACCAGCCAAGGTTGAACTTGTCAGAGCCGAGGCGCTTGTACATCCAGCCACGGGGGCGGAGGACCTCATCGGTGAAGGTCGATTCGGGGGCGACCTCAGTGGTCGGAGCCTTGGGTTCGGTCTCTGCCATGGCGAAACGATGCGCAGGAGGAAACCCTAGAAGGGGGAGGGTGTTGGGGGAGGTGTTGGTTGCAGCGCGATCGCACGCAGAGAATGGGTGGAGATGGAGAGGTGGGTGTTGTTGTTGGAGAAGGAGAAAAGAGGATCGGTGGGTGTGGGGAAGAAAGAAAAAAAAAGGGAAGGGAGGAGGTGGTTAAGAGGAGAGGAAGGGAATTAAAAAGATCGTGAGACGCGACGAAAAGGCAAATCAGAGGAGGGAAAAAAAAAGGGCAGGGTAGCTTGACGGGATGAAACTACGACTGATTGGGAGCTGTCAAGCATGAGCCGATGATTGCCCTCATGCTGGAGACGAGACTAGAGACGAGACTACTCGAGACTATGGGGACGATGGAGAGGTCAATACTACCACGCGGCAAGGTAACATCAGCCCGAATGCACCTCCCCAGACCTGAACCGAACCTCTCCAGCCAGCACTGCGGAGGTCACACTCGCCAGAAAGAGCCGAGTTTTTTTCTTTTTGCGGGGAGCGTAGGAATTGAAGATGGAGTCTTGAGTGGACTCGGCAATACCATACAGTAGTTATCACTTATAGTTAGTTCCATAGTCGGAGGAATACACATGGTTGTCGAAAGACCAATGATAGTATACGGGAGTAGGGGATTGGCAGTCGAAGCAGTGAACTCCAGTATGGTCAAGGTAAAGCGGGCAGGGCCGCTTTGATAGCAGAGTTACACCTGCTGGGATGGAACATGACCCTTGGAGAAGGACTCGGTAGGTTGGAGGAGATTAGAGATTAGAGTGTGAGAGATTGTCAGGGACTCCCACGAGACGTCCACGGTCCAACTAAGCGATAAGCACAGAGACAGTCGGGTCCCCCCAAATCGCGTGACGGGCTCTAAACGACGTGGTATTCTTGTTCTTATCCACCTCCACATCCGCGACTTCCAAAAGTTTGGTCTCTGGAGTCTGGCGTCTGGAGTCTGGAGTATACCAAAAAAAAAGCCTGGAGCTGGAGGAAACGAGATTATGTGACCCTGCCGTATTGCGGTTGCATGGAAGCCCTTCTGTGGCTTGAATGGCTGGGAACTTTTGGAGCCCAAGAGGCCCTTCAGGGGGGGTCCAAGGCGTAGAGGGACCCGTGACCACTGACCAATAGTCGTATCGCTGCAACTTGGAACCCGCTGGCTTACTCAGGGCCCAATTACAGCCCGAGTAACAAGGTTCTTAACTAGTTAAGGTTAGATAACTACTACGGAATACGGAGTAGTGGGGTTCCATAAGTGGCCGTCCACCTAGTGATGACATAATATTATGCCTGTTAACTATTAACTAAGAGCATCTTACTATTTCCTGCCTTACTTACGCAAATTTCATGATTTCAAGAAGACAGATAGAGACCATATTAAAATTTAAATGAATTTCGTCATAAAAAATACTCAAGTTACTTTTACGATAAGTTATAGACTAGTCAAGTTTGCATTGAAAGCGGAAGGGTAGGCGGTAGGGCAAGGGTGGACGAGGACTTTTGGAACTCCACGTGAGGGGTCTGGGACAACACGTGTCCCTTTCACGTGACCTTCCCTCTTTGAACCATTGAGGAATAGCGTTACTTTAGGAGAATCTCAAGAGCTTAATGATCCCATCACCACTGTACTCCGTACTATCAATTTATATACCTCAAAAAAATGGCATCAACAACCGATTTCTCAATCCGGCTCAGCAAAGCGCCTTACACCATACCTATGGTAGTCCCACTCTCCGATGCCTCGAATTCGCCCAGGTTTAATTAACGGCGAAACTACGCCGCTGAAGGAAACTATTAAACAGGTTCGAAGCTATCTGAGAATCTGCTAAGAAAACAAAGAAGAAGAGAAAGAAACCGGCCTAAATAGGCCTCGAGAAAGGGCAAACACACACACCAGGCGCTGCCTTAGAAATCTCCATCATTAATGGAACCCCCTACCTACTATCCCAGCACTGGCCGCTGGATGACCCCTTCGATCAAGCTAAATCGCATATTAACTCCTAGCGAACTGCCTCAGCAATCGAGTACACCCCGTTTTTATCCGGACTCAGAAACTAATAAGCTTCGCTGCGCTCCGCAATTAGTACAGTGTGGCTCAACCGCGAGAGAAGTTTATAACCTTACTTTTAAATTCCACCTAAGCGGTGATATCGCAAGGCAACGAGCCATAGCAGTAACCGTGGTGAGCATCCAAAGCGCCCAGAAAGTCAATGTTATGGCATCCATCGCTAGTTCGCCATAACATTGCTGGGAAGTTATAGCCTCCATCGTCGGGGTCCTCAAAGAAACTAGATCATCTTAGATTCAGTGTTAATTCACAACACCAGGTATAAGAGCTAAACTTACCCGACCTCGCATTCGGTTGTCGTACAAGCATCCCAGCCACCAGTGAGGGGGGCATAGTACAAAGCACCGGACTTGTAATCGGTGACATAGACGGTTTGGAGAAGATTGCCGTGCCCGTCAATGATTGGGGTATTAGCGTTTAACTGGCCGGAGAAGGCACTGGCATGACCGAAAAGGGCGACGACGCTGAGGAGAGCAGGAATCTTCATCCTGTGGATTGTGGATTGTGTGTGTGTGTGCATATGTGCGGCAAAGGGTGTACTAGTCTGGATGGAATTGAAAATTGATTGTTGATGGCGAGTACATATACAAACTAAATTCATCGAGGGATCCCACGGCCTACTTATAGGTAGAATTCTAAGACTTAGATATACTCGGATAAATGGCTAAACCTTATATTATTCGCAGAAGTCGACCTATCCGTGTCCTCCATGATACTACTTCGTCGCACCCATACCGCTTCACGCCAAGGGTGAGCCCTAAATCCCAGTCATTCCGCAATTGGAAGGACTTGTGCCTGAGCCAACTAACCGAACACGCCAAAAGATCAAATATGTCAGAACGCCATGTCAGAACGCTATATTCTGACAGGACCGGGATCGATATACTGTTAGTAGCGCACATGTTACGGCCTCCCTACTGGCTACCAGTGGCCACGGGAAACCGGCACATGTGGTCTAGATATATCTCACTAAGCGCGCGCCAAGGATTTTCACACACACTGCGCATGAGATGAGAACCTTGGCGATTAGTCTACTCCGTACTTCAATTGCAAGGGCTCTCTTTGGAACCTTCACTCTAGTTCAAATCCCGCATCTCAGGACCTGCCCATAGCTAGTCCTAATAGCACATAACGTTAGGGTCGTGAGTTTTTAACAGCAATCCCCGTCACTTTTGACTCTTTTAGCTATTTTATCTACGTAACATATCTAAATCCTAATATTTTAATAACTAGTATATAATTAAGGCACGGATAGTTTGGATCGGTTATAGTCATGTTTGCGGATGGTAGTAATGGTTCTACTGTCTACATGCCTTCCTTATACAGCAGTTGCATCGACCGGCTCGAGGAAACGACGAAAGTACTTCTCCATATATACTGTTAGATCCGGGAGAAAGGTTGAGAATTCGTCCTATATAGCCCTGATCTGATTAGTGCTGGTATTATAGTCCGAGCTTTGGAGGGGACGAGCTGGACACAGGCAGCCACTCAGCATCGGGATGTCATACGATATGACTCGGCCCCACAAGGGTCTCTTGGAGGGAGTTACTAGGGGAAAAGGAGAATTCGCTGAAGACCAGCCAGAACTTCGAAGCCAAAGGAAAGGGAGCGAGTTCGGAAGCATCGAGTCCAGACACTACTACAACTGTGGGGGGATGGGGGTTTGAGTATCGTGACTAAGCCGAAAGGGGTTGGTGCCTGTAGTTTCTTCTTCGCTTTTAGGGATCGGTTCCCACGTTAATCCTGTCTGGGGTTAGTGGGGGTGGGGCCTCGGGTGAAAATTTAGTAATTTGCTTGTGAGCATTTGCAGTTCGCACGGAGATTGATCCAAGAGAGCATACCCGGGAGTCATAGACATGACTAGAATTGCAGCCCTGTACTACGGGAGAGTCAAGAATTCACCTATACATAGCTATATAGCAGCGGCAACAGTTAAAAATTCGGATCATCTCGCCTGCAAGGTCCCTCTTTATTTAGGATTTTATTAATTGCACGACATTCAAATTTATTGCACGACAAACTAAGCCTAATTAGGAACATCCTGCCCCACCCAGCAAAAGTAACATTCGACGCCAGGATAAACACTGCCAAGTCCTTATGTATGCATATTCCTATACATAAGCTCTTCTTGCTGTTGCGCTCAGTGTCAGCCGCGACTTAATCACGTGACCTACGTATGCCATTTTCATAGTCTTTGTTTTCAAAACAAACTACATACCAAACCCCCTTCGCATACCAAACCCCTACCACTATGGCTCTCTCATCACTACCTACACCTATCCGAATCGCTCAAATCTGTAGAGATTTCAAAACACCTACGTTTTCTATTCAAGATGGCCCTTCTACCCCCTCCGAACAACTGGCTAATTCAGGTCGATTCTAGCCAGGAAGCCAGGGCTATCCTCAACGAATTCGCCGCCCAGCAGGGCTACGCTATTACCGTCAAAAATTCAAATGCTTACTCCGCCTACCTGAAGTGCGATCGTAGCGGCCAGCCGCGGAGATCTATCAACCCTACTACTACTACCAATCGGGCCTCTCGCCGCTGTGGCTGCCAATTCTCTGCCTATCTCTCGAAGGTCACAGGGGGGTGGCTCTTTACCGTAAGGGAGGGCTCCCATACTGGCCATGTAGGGTCAGAACCAGCTACACACCCTATCCACCGCCGCCGCCAGTTAGCTGATCTCAAAGAGCGTGTGCTCCAGCTATATATGTTACGTCATTCGAATCTCGAGGTCATGAATATCCTACGCGCTGAAGGAGCTTATGGGGAGCATCAACCTGACGAAGAAGACCCATACAAAGCCCGAATTCGCCTCGATGCAAGAGACCTCGCGAACCTCCGTTACCGCGCCCGCAAGCGATTTCTTATGGGCCGCTTTCCTATCTAGCCTTATCGCGTATCCTTCCTATTGGCAGACCCTCACCATTGTCGGATTTCACAAAACCTGAACAAAGCGAACTTAGTCATCTATTGTTCATCTCTATGCCTTAGTGGCCTTGAGTACCTCGAAGGGCAGACGCATGCTGAAAGTGATCCTGGAATCAACTGTAACATTCCAGATAATGCCAGACCAGTCCTGATCGATCTTCTTGGAATGGGTCATTGCTTCAATCTTACCGGAGCTGCGAGTATCAAGCACATCTGATCAGCGTAAGCTGCAATGTAGTAGGATAAAACCAGCCAATTAAGCACTGAGCTGATAACTCTACATCAACCATCAATCGTTAATCTATACATTAACCACTCATAGATCTTGATACCCGGGTTATGCTTAAGCAATAGCCTATGAAGGGCGAGCATGATGACTCTTGAAGGAATATAGGTCCAACCGCCTAGAACAGCCAAGCCTTATCCCTGTGTATTCAAGTTACTCTCGGTTTCCCGAAAGTGCATCAGGCAAGATGATTGACCGAATTATCAAACCTTATCAGATATCTGCAGGAATGATCCTGACGGTGTTCTTCAACAGTGAAACCTCGCGATATAGTTCCAGCTATACGGATTGACAGGTTCTCGTTCCCCAACAATCTCTGGAGGGGAAATCTCCAGTCCTGGAGGTCCACAATATGAAGTTAAAATAGGGTTGATGTATTTGCACGTTATATAACAGGCGGGCATCCTCCTTGGCTGTGCCGATTCTTACCATCGATTGTCAACCCCCATGCCTTGACTTTATGATATTCAAGGTTATGCCATTGAACCCACCCTTAATCTACAGGGTACCCATAGGATATCATGCAGATCCGGCTATTGATGGTGCATCATGACAGTTATGTGAATGTCCCTGGTTTCGCTAGTACCCATTCTTGCCAAGCACACTGGACTCGTATTCATGTAGCCAAGACCACGATAGCAGATTCGAGAAAACTTCTCCAAAGCGTGGGGAATTTGTAATGTCCGAATACGAGAGGTAACTATAGAATTTGTCATCTCTCCAAGTCGTAGTCGTAGTCGTGGTTGTTTACTATTTATTCCAAGCAGTGCTGACGCATGAGAAGACTACAATTTTCTCACTGACTATACATTGACTTGTAAACTTGTATTGAACAAACGACATTCTTGAATATTAATTCTCCCAATGACGACACTCCGGTATTACATCGTCGATGTCTTCTCTTCCACAGCCTACAAAGGCAACCCCCTCGCCGTGGTAGACAACACCAGCGACACCCTCACCAAGACCCAAATGCAACTAATAGCCCGTCAATTCAACCTATCCGAGACAACATTCATCTGTCCCCCCACAAACTCCGACGCCAATCTACGTCTACGCTCATTCCTCCCCAATGGAGAAGAAGTCTTCGGAGCCGGCCACAACTCCCTCGGCGCGTGGTGGTGGGCTGTCCATTCAGGGACATGCAACGCACCATCTAACCACGATGCACGTATCTACCAGCAACAACTCGGCGAAGCTATACTACGCGTGGAAGTTTCCAAATCCCCCACCGGGGAAATCAGAATCTCCATGCGTCACGGCGAACCTCAGTTCCTGAACAAACACGCCAATAAAGCATCACTAGCCGATGCTCTCGGCATCCACGCAGATGATATCGGACTCCAAGATCCCTCGGGAACTACACTCCTCGACGAAGCACAAGTAGTGACAACCTCACCGGCTCGACACCTGCTCATCCCACTTATCAACAAAGAAGCCCTGGACCGAGTCTCGTTCGCCAATCAAGAGCGCATTGCGGAGGAACTCGCTAGCACGGAAAGTCACAACAGCGGCGTTTATGTTTTCACTTCTGTTGAAAGCGCAAATGGCGATCCGAGATTTGAGGCGAGATTTTTCAGTCCCGGGATGGGCATGGAAGATCCGGCCACTGGGTCTGCGGCGGGGCCGTTGGCGGCGTTTGTATGGGAAAATGGCAAGAGTTTGCTTTCTGATCGAGTTGATGGGTCGGGGGCTGTTGGTGTTGAGGTTGTGCAGGGGTTGAGGACTGGGAGGGAGTGTTTGATGAAAGTCAGTGTGGGTCGGTATTGGCCGGGGAATATCGAGTTATCAGGGACCGGGGTGCTGGTGGCTGATGGTAATATTGCTATTCCTTCGTCGGATGTTGTTTTCTAGGGGACTTGCAGGTCAATTTGAGGCGAGCTCGCTGGTCAAGGGAATCTCTATAGAGAAAGTTGATGGATGGTACCCCAACTTGCTCGAGCATTCACGCAACGCATATATCGTATTTCATACATGTTTTCAACTCGGTCATCTATTCATCGCTCTCTACCTCCCCATCTCCACTACTCTGGGTTTCCTCTTCTTCCTCTTCCTCATCTTCATCAGCCATATCCGACTCCCTCGTCTGGCTCCGCTCCCCCATAACCTGCACAGGCTCAGATTTAATCTGCGTCCTCGCAGGCGCATCCACGTCCATCGCGTCATCATCAGGATCCACGGCATCACTTGCCAGCGTCACCCGGTTTCGCTTGCGCCGCTCATCATCCTCGTCCGAGTCACTTTCCTCCGCCCGCCGCGCCTCCTGTTCCTCCGCGCGACGAACCCGACGTTGCAAGGCTGTATCACGGACCAGGTCTCTAGCAGTAAGGAAGATTGAGCATACAGGACACTTGACGGCCTTGACCCGGGCGGGACCACCAGGCATAGGTCGTGAGCGCGCGATCATATCCATGATAGCATCGTGCTCGAAGCTGTGCGGGCATTTGGTACTAGTAACCGGGTCTCGGAAGCGGACCAGAGTGATGGGGCAATCCAGCGAGATGCGCTCACGCTCGATGGCAATGTCGTCTGAATCGGCAGGTGACGGCTGGCGCTGGTTGCGCGTTCGGCGAGTTGATGGACTGCCACTCGAAGCGCCAGCACCAGAGGCGGTATCATGGTCTTCCATGTGTGAGAACCATGTTGAGGAGTTTGGCATGGGCGGGGCTTCATTGTCGGGGTACTTGGAGTCATGCACGACGCGGTAGAACCCAGTATAAGCATTGTTGCTGGCGTATCTGTATCATCCGAGCGGTTAGACAAACTCATAGTGAGAACAGATTGAGAACATACCTTTGAGTCAACGACAGCTCTTCCCACTTCTTTTGACCCTCGACCAGCGAGGTATTTAGCCTTTGAGTCGGCGGATTTTCTGTGTTATGCTCGCGAAGTTCTCGCACTGGCGTTGACTCGCGCTCCTCTTCATCTTCTTGCTCCTCTTCTTCCTCTTCATTACCCGTCCGCCGCGTCGCTCGCCGATGACTCCGGAGTTGTCGCTCACCCAGCAAAACAGTCTGCGCCCGAGCTTCCTCCTTGTCGAGGGTATCCAAAGCATCCTTCAACCCAATATATTTGGCATCACTATCAACAACAGAGCGCATTTTCTCTTCCAATCGGCCCATAATAGAGTTTACTTGTCGTTCCTGCTCCGCAAGCCGCTGATACTCTTCATCCTCACTCTCAGCATCTTGGTCCTGACCCTCTTGCTCGGCTCGCCGTTTTTCTTTCGCTTTCTCGTATCGGGTTTGCGCATCGCGGAGACGATCGCTAACTTCGCCGGCTGAGTATGTAATTTGCACGCCCGCATCGTGGATGTGTTTCTGCATGGTCTCGAAGTATTGTTTCTCGGAGAGTTGGTGAAGCTGGCGGTGGGCTTCTGCGGATAGAGGTGCCTCGGGAGGTTGGTATTCTGGTAGTTCCGGTTCTTCTGTGTCCTCGGGAGCTTCTGCGGCTCTTCTGTTGGATCTTGGGGTGGCTCGTGAGCGTACACTTGGTGGGGGACGAGAACGGGACATGGAGTTGCGCTGTCGCGCTGGGGTTGCGGAGAGCATCCCGGCGGTAAAGTGGTCAAGCCAAAGCGTGTGATCTTCTTGAAAATTGGGGAAGCTTTTAGGAGGTTGAAGTTGCCAAGGGTCGTGAATTGATATATCTTTGAGATGGTTCTGCGTGGATTGAGTAGACAAAGCAATCGAAATCCGAACGCGACGCGACCGCACTAGTCCTGATTGGGTTACATTGCACAGATAAGCTTATCGCCTGGAACTGCAGAACTATGCATGTTCATCGGACGACACTATTATGACTGGAGATACCATGAACGATTGTACTTGGAGGCTGAAGTTTTAAAATGTGGAGTTACAGACGAGATCTCTTTCATGTCGGAGCATTATCTCCATCTATTTTTCTTTGAATAAGTAGCCTCGCCAAGCATGCGAGGCCATTGAAATAAATACAGTTTTAGACCTTGTAGAAACAAAATGCATGATAAAAGCCTGCTTGGGGTTAGTACCAAGAAACGCTTGGCATGTGTCGTATAGAAGCACTTACTGACGGCATCCTTCTCCTCCTCGGTCATCAGCAATTCTCCAGTATTGCGATCCCGCACTCCCATCCGCTCACTCAGCGGCCCCAATTCACGATCATTCTTCTCATCTTCCCAAATCTCCAGGAACGGCTTGCGGTACTGCAGCTCCAGGTTGTAATCCTCGGTCAAGCTAGGATACAATTAGCAATTTGGACCAAACGGGGATATATCAATATAAGACTCACGCTCGGAACGCTTCCCAAGGAACAACGTATTCAGGAACACCCTCGACTGCCTCTGACATATAGTACGTGTACTTCCACCCGAATGGCGGGCGGAAGACACCATCCTCGGGGGTATCTCCAGGGAAGCGAACACTATAGATATCATTACCCCATCCACACCGCTCCTCCTCTTCAACCTCGCCATCCTCGGGGCCTTCGGTCTCGGCAGGCTTGGCGGCCTCCTGCTCCTTGCGCTTCTTATGGAAAGTACTGACTTTGCTGGTGATCACGTCCGAGTTCGGGCACACGCCGATGAAGCGGCCACCCTTCTTCAGACAACCAGCGACGTTGCTGAGCATCTGGCGTGTTTTCTCCTCGCTTTCGAAAGCGTAATGGATAGCAAACATCGAAGTCACCACGTCAAAGCCACCGCCGCCGCTCCATCGAGATGCCATCAGAGAGCCACCGGGTCCAGCATTGGGGTCAATGCCGACGCGCTGGACAATGTTGACATCAGCCAGTGACTCGCCGAAGCAGTCCTTGGTCGCAAACTCCGCGTGGAAGAGCTGAGGCGGCGGTCGACGGCCACGGCCACCTCCGCCACGAGACCGCATCTGACCATATCGATCCCGCGCCTGCTCAATGGAGATATTGGCCGGGTCGAGTCCAACGTAAAGTTCCACCCTTTGTGGCGCAAGCTGCCACTTGCCCAAGTCACCGCCCTTGCCGCAGCCCAAGTCCAACACAAGCAGCTGCTTGTCCTCGGCCGGATTCGGGCGCATGCTATCATCAGCCCAATCCTTGGTGTCATTGAAGCGTGCGGCGAACTCTTCATCGGGCGAGAACTTCTGAATAAGCGTGCTCTTCACCCAGTTGTTGAAGCTGCGAAGACCTTTGATCGTGCTTTCAGTCTTGCGCCACTCACGGCCCCGCTGGGGAACAGCATTATAGTGCTGCCGGACAACATCCGACACGCCGCGGTCTCGCGATGTCCGCAGTGCATCCTCCTCCATGGCGCGATCGCGCTCCTCCTGTCGCCGCCGCAATTGCTCCGAGTTCATCAGGCCCGCCCGTGCGCCACCGCCAGGCCGCTTGCGCTGTTTCGGTTGTTCCTCGGGTTCTGGTGACCGAGGCGGTAGGGGGGATCGAGAACGTCTCGAGTAGTCGTCGCGCGGTGTGGCATTGCTGGGGCTGCGGGATCGGTTTCGTCGAGAGAAGACTGAGGGGGGGAGGTGTGCGGCCGCGTCTACGAGCCTGGTGTCGCTCCTGCATGCGCTTACGCTTGTTCAGCGGGCCAGACTGATTTTGTTGATCAGCCTCTGGGGTGCCGTTCTCGCCGGGCTTTCGCTTCCTGTCGTCTTGTGATCCATTGTGCTCTGCCGTGGGACCGGACGAAGGAGCGGTACCGTTCCTGTCTACTTCGGCTGGATTTGGCGTGCGGGGCTTGGGAGCTGCCGAGCTTGGTGAGGAATCCATTTTAACTCGAAAGCTGTATGTAGGAGGTGAATCGAGGCGAAAATGCGGATTCCCTCGGGGAATCGGATTTGCGGTGGGTACGAAGTCAGTGATCAAAGGACTCGAATGTAAGAAGTGAGTAAATGGAAATGTAGCAGGTATAGGTGATGATTGACAATAGACAAGAGCTCAGCCGTTCACCTGAGACTCGCTAGGGTTGCATAGTGAGGAGGTTCCTTCGAAAATGACTTTGGTGGAAGAAGGGACCTCCGCTGCCAGTGGGTCTTGGCCGCAGCTGCCGTAATCACAACTCCACGCCTTTACATTCACATGATACGACCAGACGATGACGAGCCTTGCTTCTTAACCCTGATAATCGAGCCATATCTAGTCATCGGTAGATCTCATTCTCATCGTCGAGTCATTACAAGTTCGTTGGCGTTGAGCTTCTCAATTGTCCTCGGAAAATAGTGCTACAGGCTGCATGACTATATATTTCTAGGCGTTGCTCAAACAACAAATCACAATCCAATTTTGTAAACTATCGACGCATCCAAATGGACGTACCTATGTAGCCTAATGCAACTTTTTTTTCTCGGTTTGGATTTTCTTGCTAAGCAAAACTCCCAAAAATGCACAAGAGTAGCAATGACGAAAACCAGATTTGCGTGGAAACGAATCAACTCATAACTTGCCCATCCCGTCTCGATCTTTCGAGACCATGTGACTTCTCTGTTCAATCTCCATGTCCACGCACAAGTTGCGCAAATTTACCAGAGCATCCCATAGAGCACGCAAGCGTTGAATGCGGCCTTGGTCGCGTGAAGTATGTGCAGTGCCCAGGATAGCAAAGTCCATCTGCTGGATTTCACTGGTGAGGTGCTGAGCCAGAATTGCCAGATGGACTGGATCCAGTGGCTGAGAACCGCCAACATTGATAATGTGGCCAGATGAACCGGGTTGATTGCCCATGAGAGCCTTGCGGATCTCCATGTTCGGGACATCGGGTGGGTTGTTGTGTTGAATATCCGAAGAATCGTTTTGAACCGTCTGGTTCTGACCAAGAGCTGCAGCAGCAAGGCCTTTCACTGGGTCTCGAGGAAGAGCTTCGGATGAACCTGCATCAAGGACCGCTGAATGCTGAGAAGTATGAGCACCGACTGGGAGCCCCGTAGCAAGCGCCGTACGACGACTTATCATGGGCCGAAGACGAAGAGGTGGAATAATAGGGAGCAGTGAAGGACTAGGCTCAGTGATTAGCGTATCGACGGGAGACTCCTCGCTCCTCGACGCACTTGACTTCTTGGTTCTCTTGTGAGAATCGACATCCTCGTCGGCACCACGTTTTGCAGCTGTTGCTGTCCCCTTTCGCTTGCGACCCTGGCCAGTGCCCGCGTGGCTGGACGACTCTCCAGGTTCAACTGCCTCCAGATGCTCTTTCCATCTTGGCAAGCAGGATCTAAGAACGTCTTCGGAGAATCGCAATCCGCCGCCAGGAAGCCGCTCAAACAAGATTTTAGAGTATGCGGCGCGGATGGCCCCATGTTTTGCGAAGTATTGGGGATAAAGCTGACGGACTCTTGGAGGCTGGGAACAGAGACTTGCAATCTGAGCCTCGGTTAAATCATCTGCTGGGTCCGGTAAGCCCTCGAGATCAACAGGTCCTCGGACTCGTTTTCTGGACTGCTTTGCCTTGACGGAAGTGCTGACAGGCTCGGTTTCTGGAGACGCACAACGGCCAGAGTCCGAAGCGGGCGCCGCAGCTTGGAGCCCGGGGAAATGAGGTTCCAACAGGTCGTCGTCGCGGAGGTTCTCATGTTTGGTTATATCTTCTGGGGCTGAAGACTCACGGGTGAGCTCAACCTTCTCTTTGAGATCCTCAACGACGGGTGGATCATCCTGAGTAGGCAGAGCTTGACAAGCGTCATCCGAGACGCCAGCCACTCCAACCACATCAGTATCCCCGGCGACGGATTGCAGAGAGATACCACAGCCAAGAGCGATGAAATTGGAGGCCACATCGTCCTGGATGTTGAGTTGAGACACGGGATCGTGAATGACATTTGTAGCCATGATTTGCGGAGTAGTCAGAGGGGAAACTGTAGGATTTTGTTGAATATCGGTCGACATCTTGGTTTCAGGGTTGACTAAGGCAGGGCTTTCCGGGACTGCGGACTGCTCCTCAATCATCATCTTGATGAGGGATTGACTGGTCCGTCGGTGCGGAATGGGTATAGAGTGTAGACAGTTCCAGTGTTGGGAATGATGAGAAGGGTAGTGAATGGCGAAAACAAAGAGGGCGACGGGCTTATGCGAAGACGAAGAAGCGGTGATATGTATGGGGGTAGTCTGACGAAAGCAAATGCGTGGAAATAGATCCTTGGCTGCTTTCGATCAGAACTCGAGATATTGAGGAAGGATGTGAGATTGAGGAGATTGAATGAGTCGCGGTGAAGGTTGTGACGAGAGATCCTGAGGAGGGTTGTTGAATAGATAGTGGTTAAGGAGATAGTTTCCAAGAAGATCTTTCTCGGAAGAGTGTAGAGTAGATGAAAAGGGAGTAGTCGTCAAGAGAGCATGTAGGATTTCACAGGGCGCTACAGGTGTTAGAGGATGATTTGATATGCGGCGAAAGGCGCCGAGAAGGCGGGATCAAGCGTGAAAAGACGAATAAGTGACGATTTGTAGATCGATCGGATTTCTGATGGATGAATGACGATGATGGTGATGTTATAGTCGGATTGGAAGACGTGGAAGGAAACTAGCTCGGAAGGATGACGGAACTATGCAGGCAGTGGAGATGAGACGGGTATAGGCCAGCGGCCTAGCTCGTGAGTTCCTTAACCGTGACGATGTAGACCTGCAGGACAGTCGGTCTATGAACTTACCGCTGAGACATAAGTAACGATTTTTACAGCGGAAAGTGACGATTACCACGATGAATATGGCGATTTGAGATGAAGTGAGGAATTTTTGGGGTGTAAGTGACGAATTCTTGGGATGAAAGTGACAATTGTTAGACTTAAGAGGGTTTGTGCCAGCAGCTCCATAGCAAACAGTGCAGCCGAGCAGCCGTAGAGGGATGTATAGGTCGTGTAGACACTGTATAGATGAAGCAGGACGCTGTTCAGGCCATGACGCCTCAGAAGGCAGGGGACTGCAGGAGGAATGAAGGATGGAAATGGTATTGCTGTGTAGAAATCATGAACCTCAATCACCAGGATCACCTTAATTGAATTTGAGAACCCCGAGATACTGACAACATGATAAGAATATGACCCCACAATGTATCCCCACAATGCCCGCAACGCCTTGCACATGATTGAAATGATATGAAATATGAATATGATGAATGTAGACGCTCAAAAGCAACTCACTGGGGAGGCGCAGGTTTGCGCCGTGGCGACTTATGCGTCAAGACATGCCTCATGCGTCGAATCTTAGCCCACCACTCACGGTCAGCGGCCTTCTTCGTTTCTTCATTCTCTGCGCCTTCATCACTGAATGTCTCTGCAGAGGGAGTGCTTGGTTCGGTGCGAAGGGTATCGACCGAAGCGACAGAGCGTATTCGTCTGCGGTGCTTGACCTTGACAGCCTCGGTGACAATTTCCCATCCACTTCGTAGACTCGCGGCCTTCTCGTTGGCCTTGCCGGTTCCACTCTGGGCGACACGGTCGACCCATGGGCAGTAGTCCATATGCTCTGCAGCTGCATCTAGGGATGTGTAGACAGAGACATCCCCGTTCTCCTTTGGTTTGTACATCCAGAGGCCGAGGCGGCGGAAACAGGCTCGGCATGCAGCCAGGTCCATGGACCCATCAATGGTGGAATCCCAGCCGAAGAAAGCCATAGTGATCGCTGCTTGGTTAATGGTTTGCAGCGACTCAGCCGCTGGCCGTTGAGCGGTTCCATTGTTGTCTCCGTTCACCTCGGCGGGTGGGTTGGTAGACTCAGGGACTCCATTGGACTCTTTGAACCAGTCTTCTGGCAGTGATTTTATCAGGCTTTCAATATCGAAGCCGTCTGGCGTCTGGATGCTATCATGAGCTGGTAGCTTGTCGCCAAGCCGACAGAGATGGAGATAACGACTTCGAAGACCAGATATGGCTGCATCCGTATTTGCTAAAGGCAGATGCTGTATAGTAGCTGCAAAATAGTCAGATAAGGAGTATAAGAGCCTTTTACGAGACCGTAGGGCATACCATCACACCCTCTGTTCCTCCACGGGCAATTGTCGCCATGTCCTTCTGTGATTTGCTTCTGATATTCCTCGACGAGTTTTGTGCCTATAAGTCATCTCCATTAGCATATACTTGACCTAAATCCAGGACAATTGCTTTTTGTTGACGTACGGACTTCCTTTCGTTCTTGAACTTTCTCCATATCATATCCATCAAGCTCATCAATCTCATCCGGAAGCTTGACAACTACCGAGCCGCCACACCCACTGATGCAGCTGACTCGCATCACATCCGTACATATCCATCCTCGCTTTGCCCACTGGACTTCATTGATCGGAGCAGGTTTCGAGGTCCATCGGTCAACGCGACGAAAGGTCTCTAGGCGTTCGAGGAATCGTGCGCGATCCCACGGGACGAAATTCGGGCGCGTGGTTAAGGAAGAGGATGCGGTTCGATGGGCGGGTCGAGAGATTTTAAGGACAGAGTTGCGCACAGATGTAAGGTCGGATGTATCGTTGTCGCTCAGCCGGACCTTCTTGATCGAGAGATTGGTTGGAATGCGGTCTTGGGTCGCAGTGGCGGGCCCTTTGGTGGTCGGTTTGGAGGTGGTATCGGTCGCGAGGGGCTTGGAGATGGACTCCAGCACACGGTGGAACTTGCGCTTCTTTGACTCGACGGCGTACGACATGTCCGCTTTGTATTGTGAAGCAATGGGACAAACAGCAAAACACAGATGCGCGACGGAGCAGATGCGCCGGGAAGCTCCCCAGACAATGATTGTGCTGCCTCAGGCATGAACATGAGTACGTCTCGCCACCAATCAACGGCTACCCTGGTTTCAAAGAGAAGATGATTGGCCTCCGGGAGTACAATGTTAACTCTCATGATCCAAGGATATAGTATACCTCTTTCAGTTTATCTCTTCAATTCAATTGACTGTTGTACGGTTGTTGTACTGCTCTTAGTGAAGTCGAGCAAATCCCCGGCCGCTGATTGGCGCTCGGCATTCCGCGCAACATCTTACGATTTACGGACCATTTCCTTTTTCTTTCCTCAAGGGCATCTGCTGCCACCAGTCACCATGGCTTCATTAAGCTCAGCTCTGCCGGCATGGCGGAGCATCGCACCCCGTCTATCGAAAGACCTCTTCACCTGCAGACAATGCCTGCGAAACCAAGGCTTTGCCGTCAAATCCGTGCGCCGGTTCGCCGCGGTGCCGTCTCCCAAGCCTAGCATGACCCGGTCGTCCCTATTCACCGATAAGAACCGCCAGTTCTTCACCTCGAGCCTGCGACGGTCTGTGGCTGCACCAACCGTGGGTGCTGTGGCCGAGGAGGCCGCTGCCAAAGCCAAGTCGAGCTTCCCCAAGATTAGCGACAAGGCTGTTGCATACTGGCTTCTAGGTAGCGCAGCGAGTGTGTTTGGTATCGTGGTCTTTGGAGGTCTGACTCGTTTGACTGAATCTGGGTTCGTGTATCTTGTCAATTTTTCATATTCAAGATTTGCTGACAGATGCTTTATCTGGACAGATTGAGTATCACCGAATGGCGCCCTGTCACCGGCTCCCTGCCGCCCATGAATGCCGAAGACTGGGAGTCCGAGTTCGCCAAGTATCGCGCGTCGCCCGAGTTCCAGCTGTTAAACCCCAACATGAATCTGTCCGAGTTCAAGTCGATCTACTACATGGAATGGATCCACCGCCTCTGGGGCCGATTCGTCGGTCTCTCGTTCGTTATTCCGGCCGTTTACTTCGTCGCCCGCAAGAAGGTCTCCACGCCCATGGCATGGCGCCTGGCTGGTATTGCCGGCCTGATTGGTTTCCAAGGTTTCCTGGGCTGGTGGATGGTCAAGTCTGGCCTGAAGGATGATCTGTTCGCCCCTGGTAGCCACCCTCGTGTGAGCCAGTACCGTCTTACTGCCCACCTCGGTGCTGCCTTTACTTGCTACGTCGCTATGCTCTGGAACGGTCTTGCTATCCTGCGATCTCACCGTCTGATGAAGGATGCTACCGAGGGTCTGAAGCAGCTTGAGGCCCTCCGTGATCCCCGTCTGGCCTTCTTCCGCCGCTCCGTTGCTGGTCTTGCTATTCTGGTCTTCACTACTGTCATGTCTGGCGGCCTTGTTGCCGGTCTCGATGCTGGTCTTATCTACAACGAGTTCCCCTATATGGGCAAGGGTCTTGCCCCTCCTAGCTCCGAGTTGTGGGATGCCCACTACTCTCGCCGTGAGGACCGGTCCGACTTGTGGTGGCGCAACATGCTGGAGAACCCCTCCCTCGTCCAGCTTGACCATCGCATCCTCGCCATGACTACCTTCACTTCCATCATGGCTCTCTTCGTTTACTCCCGCCGCTCGCCCACTGTGAAGCGTCTCCTGCCCCCTGCAGCTCGCAAGGGTATGCACGGTGTTGTCGGTTTCGCCTGCATGCAAGTTGCCCTCGGTATCTCTACTCTTCTCTACCTTGTCCCCACCCCGCTTGCCTCTGCCCACCAGGCTGGTAGCTTGTTCCTCCTCACTTGGGTCATGGTGCTGGGTAGCCGTGTCTGGCACCCCTCGCGCACGGCCAAGCTTCTGCAGATGGCTGCCAAGGCCCGTAGCCAGCAGCTATCGAGCTCCACTGCCTCGGCCATGAAGCGACTGTAAAGCACAACATCCCAGTTGATTGTATGAATATGTTGACCAAGGCGGATTTTTGCGATCTACAGCCTTGTTCTGATACCATCTCCATTCCTTTCCAGACTCGTTGATCACTTCAAGGGTCTCTTGTATATGTATCTTATCTACGAATTGTAAAGACTAAAAAAAATAAAATGAACAGTCTATGCAAATGACAAAGTCAAAGAGCCATCATTTCCTAAGCTACCACATATGAACTAGGATCCCCGTCTCTCCATGCTACACTGCACTTGATCCACGCAGTATCTTTCTGGCCTTCACTCCTTCATGTCAGCCGGTCTCGCCCTGCGGGATGGATTGCGACGCACATTGACGAGTTTTTCAGGCAAATTGTCATCTTCATCTGTCTCGTCATCAGTGTTGATGTCTGGCAGTATCTCAGTCTCATCGCTGTCAAATTCAAGACCGTCATCTACGGTTCGGCCGGGCGTTTGAGAAGAAGGACCAGCGATTTGTCCACTGCCACGTGTGAGTCCACCCGTATTCTTATTTCCATTCTTGAGATTGAGAAGAATCATAGCTGCTTCCTCCTCGGGAGTAGCATACGACATAGCCACACGCTCAGACGCAATGGGACGTTGTCTGTTCGATGAAGGTGTAACCGGATTCCTGGTTGTATGTCTCTGTGCATGGGCCACATCATCTGGGACATGTAAATTGCCAGCCTTGGGATGCGTACGATCTCCACTTCTTTCGGCGAGACAGCGACGACAGCATTGCCATCCGCATGGCTTGCAGCGCACCATGCCGTCTGTGTTTCGTTTGTCGCAGACGTCGCATTTCGCTGTGTGGGCTGCTAGTTCTTCGAACTCGACTAGCTGGACTGCTAGCTCTTTCTGGGGGATTTTGAATTGGCGAGGTCGGAATGGCAGTTTAGTTTGAGGAGGTTTTGGGGGATCACTTCGGGGAGGTGTAGCCTGTTGAGGTTCCGCGCTTTGCGGGAATGCCCTCGGGAGTACAGACAGAGGGGTCTGTAGAGGATCAGTTTGAGGAGGTGTAGGGTGTTGATACCACCCGTATGGATGAGGCCGAAATGGTAATGCAGTTTGGGGAGTTCTGAAAGCGTCACTATTGGGAGATGTCGGCTGTTGTCCATGATTGAAGCACCGTTTTATGATGGGGGACGGTGTGGGCGTTTCTGTTGGGGTGGTTTAGCATTATTGTGATCGAGTTTGGGGATAGATTAACATGCCTCTCTGCTGAACAGGCTCTCTGATTCCATCGCGTCCTTCATCATGTCTCCAGATTGATTGATGTGAGAGGAGTGGATTGGCAGGCTGGGCAGGCCACTGCATCTATCGGAATTACCGTGTTAGTAGACTGAAAAACGTGATTTTTGAGTAAGAGCATACATGACCCGTCGGATGAGGAGTGCATCCAAGAAGCTTATTGGCCTTATGAGTCTAAGTTAGTTGAATTGCAACGTGAGGTTATGAGCACAACATGGTTCACAGTACATCTTGATCCGGCCCACTTGGCTGATAGGCCAGGTCTATTGCCGGGAGTGGTAGATGCCTCCCCAGAGATACCCCCGGACTGCCATGAAATCTGTTGAAAACAGGTTCTCTTGGATTCATCAACACATCGCTGGCACTGGAAGGACGCATAGGCGAGTTTGACATTCGACGTCGCTTGTTGTCGGTGGAAGAGTCAAGAAAGGGACTTTTCCTACTACCCGGCTTCGACGGCCCTGGGAGAGGAAGCATGGTTTCGGTTGCAAGTGTGCCAAGATGAAACAGTGATTGAGAATAGAAAGAATTTACGAAGGGAAGGAGGTTGAATAATATTCTGCCTCCTTTTTATGACGGACTAGTCGCGAGCAAAAGGAGACAAACGAGAGCATGGAAATTGCCATTCTCTGCCTCGAAGAGTAAGTACATAATCGAAGTCATTGAAACGGGTCTTACTCTAAGATAAAGTTGACCAGGCGTTGTTACAACGTTATCTAGTCACCACGGCCCCTACTCGGGCATTGCTTTTTGTCGACAGAAATCCATGAATATGAACGGTATATTTTGCTTTGCAATATCTATGCTATCTTAAACGATACCTCTTTTCTTTGAAAATCATGACGAGTTTCATGCAATCATCCACACAATAACCATCACGTGATATTCTTGTGATATCAATTCACATAAGATATTGCAGACCCATCTATCTTTGCCCAATCCTGTTCATTTATTAGTTGGCTGCAGGTTCATCGTTAGTGAGATCGGCTCGTGAAAATTGCAAGAAACTAATAACATACGGTTGCCCTCCTCAGGCTGGGGCGCACTAGCTGCAGCATCCAGGACAGACTTTCCGTGCTCCGCAGTCTTGTCCTCCTTCATCATGGGGAATGCAAGCACCTCCTTGATGCTGTAATTGTTGGTGAGGAACATCACCAGGCGGTCAATTCCCATACCCCAGCCACCAGTCGGGGGCAACCCGTACTCGAGAGATGTGCAGAAGTTCTCATCGACGAGCTGGGCCTCATCATCACCCTGCTCCTTTTGACGAGCCTGTTCTTCAAAGCGCTCACGCTGCGAAAATGGATCGTTGAGCTCGGTATACGCATTGCCTGGGTATGGATGTCAGCATAGAGAAGCTGGAAGGAGAGCGAATAGGGGTACAAGGTCATGTTAAACACCAAAAACATGATGTGGACTCGACATGGATAGGACAGAATGGGGCACTTACAAATTTCCTTTGTGGCAACGAAAGCTTCAAAGCGTTCACAGAGACCAGGCTTGCTGCGGTGATATTTGGCCAAGGGGGACATCATTTCGGGGTGGCCCATGATGAAAGTCGGGTTGATGCAAGTGCTCTCAAGGAACTCACCAACCAACTTGTCCAACATGCGGGCGTTGGTCAAGGGTGGCGAGCACTCCACATTCATCTTCTTCAGGACCTTCTTGAGGAACTCGCCAGTCTTGGCAGTGTGGAGCTGGTCGGAAGGAGGGAAAGTCTCGCCGGTAGCCTCTTCCAGGCCAGGGATCATTTCAATCCGACGCCAGGGGGCCTTCCAGTTGATGTTGTACTCTTCACCAGTCTGAGTGTGGAACTTGGTCTCATAGCCACCTGTAATGTTCTTGACCAGGCCTGAGACAAGCTCCTCAGTCATATCCATCACATCCTTGTAATCGGCATAAGCCCAGTAGAACTCGCAGGTGGTGAATTCCGGGTTGTGGGTAAGGTCAATGCCCTCATTACGGAACTGACGGCCCATTTCATAGACACGCTCGAGGCCGCCCACAATAAGCATCTTCAGGTACAGCTCAGGAGCAATACGCATGTACCTAATATCCAGGTTAGCAGGCATTGGGCAATCTGACAGATATCACGAACATCTAGATTCAAAGTTAGCATCTATTAATGAATTGGGTTGAGAAAGGAACAACCTTTTCACGGAGATCATTGTGGTATGTCTCAAAGGGCCTCGCGGTGGCTCCGCCAGCAATTTGGTTCATCATGGGAGTCTCGACTTCGGTGAAGTCACGGGTGTCCAAGAAGTTACGGACGTAGCTGACAATCTTGGCGCGGGTGCGGAAGATCTCGCGGCTGCGGTCGTTCATGATAAGATCCAAATAGCGCTGACGGAAGCGCAGCTCCTTGTCCTGGAACCCGTAATGCTCGGAGGGGATGGCGTGTAGACAAGGGGCCAAGAGGACGACCTCGGTGGCGAAGATGGACAGCTCACCATCATCACGGTTCTTGGGAGAAGTGCGACCTGGGAAACCAACAATTCCGACGATGTCTCCTCGGCGGAGATGTTCGTGCTGCTCCTCAAATGGTACATCGCCACTGGCGTTTTGAGCCTGGCACATTACCTGAACTTTCTTGCCCTCGGCACGAATGTCGTAGAAGATCAGCTTAGGACCGGAGGCTCGCTTGGTGTAGACACGACCAGCAATGCGGACAGGAATATCGGGCTTCTGCTCGCCTTTCTTGAGGCCCTCGTATTCCTTGAGGAACTCGCGCAGATCGTTGGTGACCTGGAACTTGTGGGGATAAGGGTTGGGGTTCATGGTTTGCTTCCACTTTGCCACCTTCTTGCTTCGAATCTCAAAGTATTGCTAATCGTGATGGATGGATTTTGTTAGCCTGGGTATTGCAAGGATGTTGCGCGTGATGGGACGACGGATAATACAGTCGCTGAATTGGAAGAAACGAATGCTGCTGGATTCGGTCACTCACGTTAGGACTCAGGTTGGCCTCCTCCTCTTCAGCAGAAACCTTCTTCTGGGCCTTGGGGGGAGCGGCAGCTTCCTTCTCCTTCTTCTTGGCCTCCCTCTCGCGCAGCTTCAGACGCTTCTTCAGCTCCGACTTGGAGACCATCTCGCCGGTAACCGAATCGAGTTGGAGGTTGGCCATGGAGACCTCGGCCTCCTTGACAGTGTTCTGATCCGCCATGTTGTCTGCGTTGCAGGGAAGGAACTCGGAGTGGATGGTGGAATGAAGAACGGAGGGGCGCGCGAAATTTTGGGCGGGAGTCATGGCGGGGTTTGTCCGATTGGGCCGATTCTACAGAGAGCGCCGCCCAGGCTTTGTGAGTCATTTACAATAATCATTGCTATATTTTGAATTACTTTACTCCCAGCTTATTGTCATGAAATAGTCGCCCAGGGAAGTTCTGCCATTTCTACCTATTGATTCTCTTTTGCAAGACCATTTGACTATCATCTTCACCCCGCCATAGACAGTCCCAATCCGGATATAGGGCTTAGGGCAGTGTTGTGGGGCTTTCACGCTATACCGCTTCGGGAATATAGAACTACATCCATTTGGCATGGAATTCCATCCTGTTTGTACATACACGAAATAAAGCATGACAAGCCAAATGAACTCCTGGTTACACCTACATGATGTATTTTGGCCATAGTCTCAAAAAGAACTTTCTGGATTGCAAGTCTGCCAGGACCCGACTGTGTACCAAACAACGGACAGCTGTGTAGGCATCGCCTGGGCCCGTCGAACGAGGCTAGGCCAATATCTCCGTGGGTCAGACTAGAATGGCCTTCTATTTTTCTACCTGTACATGTCGGTGTGATCCCAGGTAAGATGCAGAAAATGTGCGCCTGACGGACGGGGTTTTCTACTGCATCTACTCTATTGCTCCGTAACAGCAAGGCACCCGCTTCTAAGCCGATTTCGACCAGCATATGGATAACCGATTCTTGCGAATGCCCAAGGCAAATAAAACGTAATTCTCCACTCGGTGTTATACAACCTATCTAAAACCCAACTCGAGCCTACATGCTACTAGAACATTGTAGAACAGGTGTGTCTAGAGAGGTATATTATAGGTGATAGATGAGCTTATAGAGAGTTCTTGCTCTTGGATTCCAGCTGATCTGATACAATGCTCACCAATAACAAGAGAGTATACACCATACACCCCTCAAAAGGCACTTGGCTGGGCTGGTAAGACAAGGGATTGATAAAACCGCTAGGCGTCCTAGCATATAACAGAATGTACGATGTTACTTATAGGAAAAGGAGGTAAGAAAATACGTTAGGCCATAGTATTCTAAGCCTATGAACATGTTGTATTCCTATCAACCGCATCCTCAAGGCTATCAAAAGCTTTCGAGTGTACTTTACCCAAAAGATGATAGATAAAATCTTTTAAAGTGAGATATCTCTTAGATATCTCTTAGAACATCAATGAGAACTGAGAGAACTTTGAAGAGATCTTGAAGGAGAGCTGAATAGATATTAAGAAATATCGATACTAAACGATGGACTTTAGAGCTTAGTTCATCTCTAATCGGCGGATAATATCCAAGGGTACTTTATAAAGAGAGAATCGCAACTAGCCTTATAGTCAAACTTTGGTTAGGTCGCCATCATGAGCCACTCTAAGGACGAGTCCCCTTCCGCCGGACAGGAAGAGCCCCTTGACCAACCTCAGCTAAACTAGAGCGAAAAAGTCAAATGGGAGACACAGCGTAATGAGCTGAGCGGAGAAGACATACGCTCGGACCGTCAGCAAACGTTTCCGCTTAGCATCTCTCTATCCTACGTGGAAGATTGGGACGCAGCGGCTGCATTCACAGAGCTGTATCAGTTCTGCTTTCACTCAATTTTCTGAATCTGTGGGGGGACGAAACATCTCAAACGCCATTGTTGCCTGAGTTAACCAGGGAATAAGAATGGATGGATATATGACTCGTGCACATAAATAGCCCCTAGTTAGCAATATACGAGTCGGTGCTGTGTAGGATAGTTCTTCCAGACAACATCAGAATGCATTGATTTACACCTTCGATAACCTATTACCTTGGATACATACAGCAACCAGTTAGCAACGCGTAACCTCTTCCAACGCTTGATTCGGACAAACGAGCTCGCTACCACGTAGTTATAATCAGATATCCAGCGTATATGCAACATCAAAATACCCGAAATGCTAGAAGAACCCGCCCAAGAATACCTGCATCAGGTCTTCTCTCTATTCGTCACAGTGTGGATATGTACAGCGTCAAGGTGATCAGAAACCCACCGTAGGTTTACGAGAGGGGTAGAAGAAAACGATCAACCGGAGATTCCAGAAAGGAAAGATGAACCAGGTATTCAGCATATACTGTAGCAAGGTTCGACAAAGAAGAGAGACTTGATGATATTTAATACGGTAGGCGCGTGTGGTAGGTGGCGGAAGGTGGAAGAAGAGGAAAAATATCGTAAGAATGCTAAGCACTTAACATCGACCGAATGGTGGCGTGGGGGCGTGGGGCGATTGCAATTTCACGGATATTGAAGTTCGGACAGAGTGCCGTGGGGCATTTCGATTATTCAACAATCCGACACGTCGGGGTGATTAAACTATTGCCACGATGTCTGCTAGCTATCCTGCGGTTTTCTCCAGTACGTTGCTAATAGTCTGCAAAACACGAAAATCAATTAAGTTCGAATACTTGAATACCAACGAACAATGGCTGAAGCCAACACTGCTGTGGCCGGAGCCCGAAAAAAGGGGGCGCCGACGCACCATGACGGACGATCAGCAGGACGCGGAGGTAGGTAAACTGATAAGAACATAGCAAGTCTGCATCGGCTCATTCTATACAGCGACGTCGCAAGCAGATTCGCGTGGCCCAGCAGACGTATCGCCGGCGCAAGGAGATCATGATCACTAGTTTACAAACCCGGGTGCAAGAGCTGGAATCGGGCATCGAAGAGCTTAGCGAGTCCTTCCTGTCATTCAGTAGTCTTCTCCTTGATGCTGATATACTCGAGAAACACCCACGGGTTACCTCCGCTCTCCAGAAAATTGCGCAGCAGTACGTGTCGCTCGCCAAAAGCGGATGCAATGACCATGATCAGGCGGGTGCTGCGAACAACGCCGCAGATACGCCGCAGCCGAGAAAGCTTAGCGTTGCGCGAAATATCAAGATAGATTACAATCCAGACATCGCACAACACGGTACCTTACCGATCATTGAAAGCATCACTCAGTCCTCACCCGCCACGAGAGCTCAGTCACAGTTACAACTAACGCCGCCCTATCAAGAACAACCCATCCCCCCATTCGAGATCTATCTATCATCACCTACTGTTCCAATCTCAACTCCAAGTCCACCTCTACACAGTGCACTGACTATCGTATCTCTCGGAAATCTCACGAAGCAAGGGTGGACGTTCTCACATTGTCTTGTCCGAGAATGCTACGAAAATGGATATCGGTTGCTAGTGGATTCACCTGATAATTACACAAAGATTCAGGACATCTTTGGCCGACAACTGACCATCCTTGAGCGCAACGGCATGATTTCCGCGTTTTATGCTGCCATGCACGACGAGGTTGGGGACATGATTAAGCTCGATGCTAAATTCCTCAGTTCTCTCCGCTCGAATAATAACGCCTACTGTCTAGAACAGCCTGTGATTTCATCCAGAACATGGCAAAATGGAATCAAGTCTGTTTCAGATGAATGGCTCGACGCAAGTGGGGTGCAGAGGTTTTTGCACAAGAAAGGCATCATCGTTCAGGTCACTGGCTCTGAGCATTCTAGTCCGCCATTCGATTTCCACGCGAAGTTCGATGTGCTAGCATTCATCAGGCGTGAGTCTTTCAGATTAATATTCACAGCTCAGTGATTGACACATGGCAGTCCTCTCTCTCGATCCCATATGCGTTGGCCGTGGGCCAGCATTCCGAATGCGCGATGTTGAAAATGCGCTACACCTCGCTACTTCAGAAAATCCCTGGCCTTTCGACGTTGCATGTCATTTTACATGAATTCATCAACGCTATAAAATTCTTTGTTAAAATATAAATCTCTTTTTGGAAGGATGGTTGACTGCCTTTTGTACCAGATCCCATCACAGTAGCGTTCTAACACGGAAGGAGCCACGAAAGGGTACCAGTACCAGTTCCCTTATCATCATGTGACAATCAAATGAACTTGGCCTCGTCATCCCTCTCTCTTCTCTCCTTCACCCCCTAGACTCTAACAGGTTGTATGATTGAAGGCTCATGCCAAGCTTACCATCCCCCCCATCCAGTGACAGCTCATCATTCTGAGTCTCCCGAGCGTCCTCCCGGTGATTCACATCATCCGAATGCGCCTGTTCGGGTGAGCACGTGCATAGATCCGGAGCGTTAGGAAATTAACGACTACCTCTATCCTCGCCCACGCTACTGACTTCTTCCACAGAATCGTACACAAAGTCACGATGCTCGGTCATTTCATTATGTGGAGAAAACAAGGCTGACGATTAGCTATCTGTATACTGTATGACTCTAATTAACCCCGTCTCAAAACCATGTAAACGCTGCCAAACGGTCATCAACAATTCGACCATTCGGGCTCTGTCAGAAAAGACAAACCAAAGAAGTGCAATTTGGCCCAGCCCAAGAGATAGTGAGGTCTGTATCCCCCGATTGAATTCTGCTATCCCCTCAATCCTCGGCCTTCTTGGTGGCCTTGGTCCGGAGCTTCATCATGAGGAACACGAGCCCGTAGATACCGACCACAAAAACAACGACAATGCCCGCATTCCTCCATCCGTAGTGTTCTTCTCTCAAGTTCAGCGTGCGGAGGTAATCTCCACCGGTGGTGTACTGGCAAACGCGGCAGTGGAGAGTATCATCTGGGTTCAGAAGATTCGTGCCCCACCCCATGCCATGCTGGTAGACGTTGAGATATTCACCACAGGTCTGGTTGGGAGCCGGGTCAAAAACAGCCAGCTCCTCTGGCTTGCAATGCACGGATCTGTCCCAAGTGGTGAATACCAGCAGAGAGCTCATAAGGTAATTGAAGGGGTCCAGATAGTACATCCTAAAGTAAAACGGGTGTTGGCATCTGCTCAAATGAATCATCGAGGAACATGCATGATTGGCTTACCAGTACCGCCAGAAGGCGACGATTTGGCTATAGGGAACCATCACGCCGCAGAAAGAAACGAGAGTGGTGATCACCAGAGGGTTGACTAGAGACGCAAATACGGCGTTCGGGGTGTAGGCGGCAATCATCTGTCCAATGCCTGTGTAGAGACACTCGTACATGACCTAGGAAGATGTTAGCTGTCACACGCGGAAGGCAACGAAATGAGAGGTCAAGTGGGCGGGCTTACTGCAACGAAAAAGACGCTTCCAGCATGCTCGCCGGAGGTAGGAAGGCCACTGGTAAAGTACCAGCAAACGTAATACAGTAGCGCACAGATAAGCAGGTAAGGGAACTCTGAGACAATAAGACCCGTCACGAAGGGAGCCCAGTGGTACATTTTGCTCTTTTTCTCTCGTGCCTCATAAATGTCTCGGCGGTCAATAAAGAGCGGCTGCAGTTGAGAGATCACACCGGGTGCGACAAAGATGAAGTTGAACACTGTGAAAAGGTTTTGCTGTAGATCGGCAAGCGAGTCTCCAATCTTCCAGAAAGTAAAACCGTTCAGCAGCGCTAGACTGATGTGCATAGCGAACTTGTTATTGAGGTACTCAGTGTTCCGGAAGAGAGAGATATTCATGCGATGCGTCACGAGTTTGGTTTGCGTCCAGTGCGAAGTAGCGAATTCATGCGGATCATCGTTTGCCGCGGTAGGTTGAACTGCCGCTTCGGCGACTATGCTATCCAGTTCCTTGGAGAGGCTGTCATGTTCCGGGGATTTCAACCAGACCTGGTTCCAATCGAGGCGGCCCTTTGCCGACACGACATCAATGATGTACTCAGCAGGATTAACTTCAGGTGGGCAAGGTGCGCCGTGACGACCAAAATATTCCTTGACTGTGTTCGCGTTCTGGCCAATATCACCAAAGTACACCGTTTTGCCACCGGCGGCCAGCAAGAGTAGTTTATCGAATTGCGCAAACAACTGTGCGGACGGTTGATGGATAGTGACGAGAATAGCTTGGCCCGCTTCGGCAAGCTTGCGAAGGAAGCGAACAGTATTATACGCAGCTTGACCATCCAGTCCTGACGTGGGCTCGTCGAGGAAGATCAAGATGCTCGGCTTTGCCACGAGCTCAACACCGATGGTGAGACGCTTACGTTGCTCCACCGAGAGACCAGCGCCGGGTCGACCAATGAGGGTATGTTCCAAGTCGTTCAGTTCAAGAAGATCAACGATGGTGTCCACGTATCGCAACTTTTCTTCGGTGGGCGTGTCGCGAGGTTGACGTAACAGTGCCGAAAATTCGAGAGCCTCGCGGACAGTCGCATAGGGCTCGTGAATATCCAGCTGTTCGACATAACCAGCCGAGCGTTGGAAGGAAATGGGAAGAGGACGCCCGTCCACTAAGACAGATCCGTGAATCGTGCCTGCGGTCTTGCGTTGTGCGAGAACATCTAGCAGGGTCGTCTTTCCAGCACCAGAAGATCCCATCAAAGCCCCGAGCATACCCGGTTTGACATAGCCTTGGACGTTGTTCAGGAGGATACGGTCACCCTCAGGCGTTTTGACGGTATAGGTCAGGTTTTTCCAGGTGAATATGCTCTTGTTGCGGAGCAGATCATTTCCGAGGCTGCTTCCTGATGTATCGGATCCGGTACTGACAGACTTCTCTGTAGGTTGCGCTTCCTCATCCTTGGTTTGGAAGAGATGTTTCGATTTGTGCTGTAACTCTCGCGGTATCAGGAGGTTGCGGCCTCCTTCTCCCAGTAGCTTCCACCTAGAGGTGAAAAATATGGTGAAAGCCACAAAGAGCACCCACCAGGCACAGATGATTCCAAAGTTACGCCAGATGTGGCTGTGACTGAACGACAAGGCTGCGAGATATTGATCGCCGGTAAGGCTTGTCGCACCAGGTATCGCACCGATAACACCTGCACATGATTGACCCCCTTCACCCATGTAGCCAGGGCCGCTGGGAATCAAGTTAGGGCCGTAACATGGAATAACCTGGTCATGGAATTCGTTTCCAAGAAGAGCTTCGAATCCGTAGGCCATGGGATTGATCCAAAAGATCCACACGAACCACGGATGCATCACCGGCTTGATAATCATATATCCCATATAGACAAACAACGCTACAATTGAAAGGCCTGAGACCTTGGTTGCAGCGTCGAACGTAGGGAATGCGGCACCAACGAGTCGGAAGAAAGCTGTCATGGACATAGCAGTCATGAAGTTGGTGACTAAATAAGTGAAAAATGCTGCGGCCGTGGTCTTGAGGCCAACCATGAAATACAGGATAAGGCCAAAATGCGTCACCTGGAACAAGAGAATGGGGAAATCGGCAGCAATCTGGGCGATGCAGATGGCCGCTGGGTGGTACAGTGCGAAGGCGCGGTGCTTGGCGAGAATCGGTCGGCCCGTGAACGAGTCAGTCACCTCCGATAGGGCGATGAGAGCATTGTAAAGGATGGAGAAGAACAGAGCACCACCCTTGAGGAAAAGGCCGACGGAATTATTAGGCGCTGAGTAGAACAGAGATCCACCGAGGAGTGCCTGGACTACTGTGGCACCTTGCTTCATAAGGAGAGTGGCCTTGTCACCCCACATTAGCTGGTATTGCCTAATGACGGCAGCCATGACTTGAGTGATGAAGCCAGTAGTGACGGGAGACTTTTCAGAGACGCCCCGGTGCTTTTCACGGGTAACCATTTCCTTGAAGACGGTTGTGTTCTCGGCCGGTTCACTGCTTACCGGGTAATCCTGAGCCTCTTCCAGCATCCTGGTCTTAATTGGGGAACGCTCGTATGCGTCGCGGATCTCCTCGGCCGTGCGTGGGAAAATGTCTTTGTACCCAGGGGCAATGACGCGCTCGGTCGGGACCATCACGCCTGTCAAGAAATCCCCTCGGTTGGAACTTGGATCCAGCATAAAGCCCAGACCCTCCATGAAGGGGACGGCCTCTTTTTGAGGTCCGTAGAAGATTTGCTTGCCCTCATCGAGCAGCAGAACCTTGTCGAAATGGTCGTAGATGCCGTTGCCTGCCTGGTAAAGGGTGACGATTGTGCTGAGCCCGAGGATATCGGTCATCACTCGGATGGCCTTGATCCACTCCAAAGCGGTGCTGGCGTCGAGGCCTCTGGTCGAGTTGTCCCAACAAAAGACGCTGGCACGAGTCGTGAGGCACTCCAGAATGGAGACACGTTTCCTCTCTCCGCCGGAAACACCGCGAATGAAGGCATCGCCGACCTTCGTCCGTGCGGTGTGCGAGATGCCGACCGAGCGCAGGAGAAAGTCTTTATAGGACTGGACATATTCTTCATGGGTTGTGATGCCCGGCGGCAGATGGTAGGGGACCTTCATGCGAGCGGCAAAGTCGATCGTGTCTTCAACGGTCAGGGTGGGAAAAAGATTTCCTCCTCCGTGTTCATGACAATCTGGCCACGGTACTGCTTCGCTTCCTTAGCAGACATGTTGCCAAAGCTGACGTCTCCGGTGACTTCTTTGTAGCCGAGGCGGTTGTTAGAGAGCACGTTCAGCAGCGACGTGCAACCCGCGCCGGGCCGTCCAAGAACGAGCAACATCTCCCCAGGCTTGACGCATCCGAATGAATTGTCAATGATGGTCTTAGTCTTGCTGCCTTTGTTACTGCGATGGAAAGGAAAAAGCTGGGAGACGACGTTCTCATTGAATGTGGCATCGCCACCAAGGCCCCTGACGGTGAGGTTTTGCCAGGCCACGCCGAGCATTTTCGGCTTCTCGCCCCCGGCTTCATCTCGTTCCTGGATCTGGCGCAATTCGGGGGCCATGTGCCATGTCGCTCCGGCACGATAGATCGGGACATCTTCCGTTTCTTCCTTGACATCCGGGGTTTGAAGATTGTCGTCGGCAATTGTGGACTCTGCGTCCATACTTGATGCCGCAGAGGCCATGGTGGAGGGCAGGGCGGACATGGTAAAGGTGTGAGGGTAGTGGAACCGTTCAACAAGGCATCCAGTGGCGGTGTATAAGTCAAAGTCCTTATATTATGTGTCCAAACAACAATCACGCAAAGGGTGCATTCAATCGGTGGCATCACACCTATTCTAGTGCTTTATGACCGAGAGCGTTCAGACCTCAATTCCACACCGTCCCATGGCTTCGGTGCAATACAGCAAGAGAATCCTTCGCCGGTCGCATAATCAGAAAGTTTAGTCCATTACTCAACATTAGAAAACTTCCTTACGGCGTGATGAGTGAGTTCAACCGTCTTTGCTGAATCACCAGGCATGTCCGCTCGGAGTGATTACTATATATTCCCAGCTCTAACTCATTAGTTAACTTAGTTAACTAACTAACTACGGAGTATGCGATGACTAACGGGGCTTGATTACTGGAGCCTCCGTCCCAGTCTAACCTTATAAGCTCTAGTTCCCTGGATCGACAGTTGGACAACTAACCAATCACATTCATTGTGGCTACGGTGATCGAACGACTCATCTCACATGTCGTAACGAACGCCTTCAATCGTCGGGAGGTCCAGATCGAGGAGCATTCCCTAGCAGAGCATGCAAACCTGAATGAAGAAGATCGTGATGGATAACCGAGCCTTACGGACCCCTACTAATAACCCCTTGGAAATGACCAGTCCTCCCTCCCTGTCGGAGCAGCAGGATTGGTGGATACCCGGAGATACTATAGATCCGCTAAGATTAGTCATGTTTATGCCCATCCAAATTGCTAGCTAGGGGCTTCATAGTAATTCAGACTCATTGTAATTTCTATTAGTGCACCTATATAGATTACTCATCCTGTTTCTAACACTCCCCACTAGGCCTGATCCGTTAGGCATGTGGCTTTATGTCGGAACACAGCAGGATGGGCGGAGACTGGAAGAAGGAAATACTAGTTAGTTAGTTAACGTATAGTTAGATAGATCCGCCAGTATTAGTCATTATTATTCCCACATAAATTGCCAGCTAGGGGCTTTATAGCAATTCAAACCTTGTTCTCCTATTGGTGCACCCCATGATCCACTAGGCAGTGTTTCCGACTCTTTATTTCTAATCTCTCTGCTGCAGAATGATGACAATCTTCCACCGCTCGATCAAGTCCTAAACTACCTTTGTGAACATCAGATCCCATCCCGCGAATATTATTTACAGTAGTACCTATCATCCGGTCCTCGCGGTTCTCCGGGCCGAGAGACACGCAGGAGATAAGTCACGTGAGACTACGTGATTGCCAACCAGAAGGCTTCGAGTCATCTTATGTATTAGGGCGTCAAACTCGAAGTCTACTAGACGTCTGATTAGCCTGATGGTGTTTCTTTCCGAGTAGCAGATAACAGGCTTGAGGGGTGTGAGTCACAGTGTTGGCCTCCAGAGGTCGAGGATGCAGATTGATAGCAGTATTCGTGCAAGTGATGGCAGAATGATCGGGCGGAACTAATATGTAGATGCACGATAAATGAGACCGGATATGTATGGAATGGTCCCATTCAAGAGGTTGATGATTCACTCAATCTCCTAGAGAATATGAATTCTGCCCTGTCAGTTTCGTGCAGGGCTTACTCTAGGATATGCTCTTGACGAAGTACCTCGGCTCCCAATGCGCATATACTTTGAGAAAACAGTAAAATACTACATAATTGCACCTCGGAAGGACCGTTGTGATTGAATCCCCTCGACTCCGTGTGATGCGGGGAATTGACTTCACAAAAGAAGCTTCCCATTTATCCGCAGGGAGAGTCGACCTTGACGATATGTCACAGTACAGACCCCCTCTACATTAGATCACAGCACTAACATTACAGAATTAACAAATCCGTGTAAAGAAGTAGATGAATGTCACGCAGCTTCTATGTTCATAGGACTATCAGGTCAGTGACCACTGCCAGTAGCCAGAGTGAGGATGCAAATATTTTGGGGCTACCAACCTACCATTCCCCTGGTAAGTAAGCGCTACTGATTGCCGGGGACCGAAGACCTTTATTCAAATACATGCAGTCAAATTTGCCCTTCATACCATATGGTTAAGCATGATTTTGCAATGGTTATCTAACGAAGACTAGGTACAGGACGACAAGACCCTCCGTTCCTACTCATCGATTTTGTTACTCTACCCTGCCTGATACGCGTCCGGCGATAGTACGGTGACTTGAATCTCTCATTGTTGTATTTTAATGATGCAATGCTTGTATTTACCTTGTGCTACATAAGCAGTTTGCATGTCGGAAGTCAGACGGGGATGACTCAAGCGGTTAGCAATCCTGCCGCTATAGTTTTCGATGAGCAGAAGTTTTATTATCCTCTTGTGAATGACATGGTCGCTGGACCCCGCTCATGTGTCGAACGGCTTGAACAGGACGCGTAGAGGCACTGGTAAGGAGCCATTGATGTACATTAGAGGTGCTACTACTTATGCAGTAACGTCGTCGAAGCGCCGTACTATCTTGGATTTAAGAGTTCCACGCAACTCTACATTTTCCGTCTCGGTCCCTTGAGCGGGGTTCCGGAGTTTGGAATCAAGCAATTATAGGTGCATCAACAGTGTCGTTGCGTCTGTTATTAACCATCGTTATATAAAGTCATTCCCGCTATAAAGGATAACAGAGGCAAACACGCATATTCAAATTTATCAGGTCGTGAATTATTATGCGCTACCTGTTTCGCGGGAGTAAGAGCCTTACTCAGACCCACGAGCATTTTGTAGGAAAATTGCGAGGCAACGTGCGGTTGTGGCCATGAACAGTATCCTAGCAACGTGTGAATCAGCAGCTGTGACGTTGATTTCGCTGCTAGCGTACAGATAGGTGTCCTCGCCATCGTCAGCGTAGCATACCATTCAATTGCCCCGAAAAGTGTGGTCACTCGAGAGGCAACGCAACAGTGTAAGTCGCAGTGTAGGGGATATGATACTTTAACTAGCGTAGTGAAGCAGACAAACCACAGTACCATTGTAGTCCCTTCCACAACCAGTATGACAATGCGGTATGCAGCCCGATTGGGTGATTCCAGTAGCAGTGCAAGGATTGGTGTTGCCAGGAAAGCGCTCCATATTCCACTGGAAAATACGAGAATGATAACGTAGTCGAAACGCAAAGTGAGCATAACTGTCAAAGCCTCCATAGTCAGAATATTCTTTCTGTTACACGTGTAATGGTGAATGTAGAAGCGGCAGACCATATGCACTTAGACCAACCATGACAAGCGCCAGGATAATTTGAACTATCCGTACAGGATATATCCAGATATTGGTCGCGGCCAGTCTTGAAAAGCTGTAATTTGAATCGTCGTGATGTTTCACCGAGATCATAGCGCTCCGCATACTTGATCTTGTTTGGTATTGATCGTAGGAACCGTCGACTTATGTTTTCACAGTAGGAATCACTAGGAGAAATGGCCTCTACAGAAGTCGGATTGGAACATCTCAATAGGATAACGAAATACTAGATATAGGCCTTCATCCGACTAGCACATAATAATGATTACTGATCTAGTTTGCCGATGACTTGTCACTGCCTTTCAGTTCGAAGATCAAAGTGCTTGTGAACACCTATGGAGCGCCAATTGCTGTTTCCTGCGGGGTCCGAGTGTTCGAGACCAAGAGGGCCCAGGTCACCAGCACTGTTGTTGTGGCGTAACCTTAGTTCAAGTGTGATCCAAAATCTGAGGCTCCTTTGAAGTCGGACCCGAATTGTAATCAAATCCGAGCAGCAGCAGATCACGTTAATGCCAAGGGTTGTGTGTGCCCCTTGCCTTGTGCGCCGGTCCATAGCTCACTAAAACTCTAAAATACCTTGGCATAAGTTTCTACGGGACTCGCCAGTGCAGGACCGCCGGCGACTAAACTGTGATACATTAAGTCTTTTCAAACAATCCTGAGAGAAAATTTAGGGCCGCATCAGATCAGTGCAACGAACGATCGCATTGTTTCCTCTCACGGCGCTATTTCCATCACCATGCCTAGCGATACGCCGAAGCGTACTAGACACTTAAGAGAGAATATTGTCGATCCTTTGGCAATAACTTTGACTGAGAGGCGTGCTCTTTCCAGGGTGCGACTGCTTCATGACTATAGATTAGCAAGAGAAAGAGAAAGGGCCAACACATTCAACTTCATATCCCGGCTCAGGAGACATCTAAATCGAGTGACTCTTCTGTCAACGGGAATTATATTGAGCGCAGGAAAACGGGTCGCCCAAGGATTCAGGGCACGCAAGATATGTCCCTAAATGTAGGTTTCTGTCAGCTTGAGAAAATCCACAGAAACGGTAATCAGGAAACACAGAGGCGGACGACGTAGGTCAGGTTGGCACAGCGCGCATATCGCTTTCGAAAAGAGACCGAGTTAAAAGCACTGAGGACACTCGTCCATGAATTTGGGATGCTTGTGGAGCGAATGGACAAAACATTTCTTTCCTTCACCGATGATCTGATGAAATCAAATATCTTGTCAACGTACCCAGATGTTGCGCGGAAACTTCATCAAACCATAGCGCAGTCTGTAGAAGCTCACCATCAGCTCAACTAACTCAAATTTGAAATGATTAGCGAACTGCCCCCCTTTATTGAAGTCATCGTGAAAAGTAGATTTGGACTAGACTAATGGGTCTTCCCCCCAGAGCTTGGCCATTGCGGGGATAAGGCTTGCATCCACGAAAATTGGCTTCCTGGAGTGCTTCGAAACAAAGGATGTTGTCAGGAAAATGGACACTGGCACTGTATTGACTTGTCAGGTACCTATACGGTAACTTGAGGACTACCTTCTTACAATCCCCCCACTCTTTGATTTACACGTACCTTCCCGGTATGGCGTCACCTCGGATTTGTAACCACCGAGTTGCCGGTGTTCTCATGAGTATTTCAACCCCCATGAAGTTCGATAGTTTAGTTCATCAGAATCAACACTCTTTTCATCTCCGCATTACTCTTTTTGATTCGTTGGTATCATTGGCTGGTAAATCCTTGGTAATTCATAGCTAGTACAGGCCATCCCTGTTAGCATAATCCTATCACCCTCCTATAAGCTTCAGTATGTTACTGGGCCTACGTGGGAGGATCCAGATACCGATTAGCGTGAGAAATACTTCACCCGCGCGGAGGCTGGCGTGGTCGAGGGTGACGGTCAACATTTTTGGATCCCGCGCGAGGGGAATTCCGAGATCTGCCAGTGTCTTTATTGAATCTAGTTTCGGTTCTAAAGAGGCGTACGGTATTATCACAAGTTTCCCCGAGCAGGCAACAACCCTCAGAAACTTGTAACCCTATATCACAATAAAAGTAGCACTAATTGGGTTACCTTAATATCGCTGGGGCAGAGCAGACATTATTATTATCATTATATCCTTGACCCCGCTAATATACATCTTTACTTTGCCAGTGACTGCCCCTTGTCAGAAATGGACTTCCAGACTTCCGCTTTATCCAGCCCGACCATCTTTTTCACAGTAGGGTCAAAGATCTTTCTCCATCCCACCGCATTCAAAAACCAAACCAACCAAGCATTAGTGCCTTTCCAAATGTACTCACCCTGCGCACAGCCAGGGGTTTTCACCAGGATTTGTTGCACGACTTGTCTGGCAAAATCCTCTGCCTTCATACTGGCTTTGACATGGTTTCGGCTTCGCTCCTTGGTCCCCTCTAAAGCACCGATATAGAGGCTTCCAGAGCGGAAAGCGATATTGTCAGGAGACATGAGGTTTGTTGCGACTTCACCCATAAAAATTGTAACAACTTTGATGCCAAGAGGGCTCAGTTCGATCCGTAGAGTATCGCTGTAAGAGGCCACGGCTGCTTTGGAGGCATTATATGCGGCAGAAAACACGAAAGGTAGACGTGCAAGTACTGATGAAGTGTTAATAATGAGCGGTGGGTTGGGGGTACTGTTCGTGGTAGAGGCTAAAAGAAGAGGAGTAAAGGCCGAAACCATATCAAAGAGGCCGAAGACGTTGGCGTCGAACATGCTCCGTACGCGAGCGGGATCGGCTTCGATTGCGGGAGCTTCGTACACTATTCAAAAGGAATTTGGTTAGTCATCGAGCAATGTAGTTCAAGGTCACCAAAAGTGCGATGCAGAGGGTATATTGAGGACGAAAAGGGGATATACTTGTGCCAGCATTGTTGAATAGTATATCTAATTTTCCGCCAGTCCGCTTCGCAATCTCGTCCTTCAGTGCTGTGATGCTCTCCAAATTGGTGACGTCGAGCGCAAACGTCTCAATACCTTTCTCTTCTAGGCTCGAGAGGGATTTAGTGGATCGAGCGGTGGCGAAAACGCGGAGATTGTGGGAGGCAAACTCAAGGGCGAGAGCATGGCCGACACCACCTGGTGAGCATCTAGGTCGGGAGCCATCATTAGCACATTAATTCACGAGAAAGTGAGACGCAAAATTAAGTTATTTTGGGTGAGTGACGAACCCCGTAACGAGAATTGACCGTTCTGATGACGAGGGCATACTGGATGACGATTGAAGGGCACAATAGGTCCAACCTCAATTGCTTGGGGAGACTTGTTTATGATAAAGTTGATATCTTATTGTCTGCCGGGATATATTGGTTTAGAGACGAGGATTTGAAGATCGATATATGTAACCTTCCCCTGCTGTTTAATAATCATGGTTTCGGGCAGGGGATATTGTTAAGCAAGGTCGGTGTGTATATACTAATCATTCTTTTTACCATATTATGTCTCGCCTGAAGACTTTTACGTTTGGGTCGGCCAGGATTAATCATCATCCACAGCAGGATCGCTCTGGCCGGGGGGAACGTCCGTGGCGCGCTGTGACTGTGTACAACCTTGATGCGACCAGATGTCATGGCTCCCATAATCAGCTACGGTAATTTTAGGCTGGACGCTTAATCATGTAAAGAGGCCGAGTTTCATACAACCAAAACACTGTAAAGGGGAAATTATACTCGCAGGGTAGAGGGCTTGTCAATCAGGTAGGAAGATAAAAACCAAGTGTATTCGAGACAAGACTGATTCTTAGGGGATCGTCAAAAGACCACTTCCTAGAAGCTTTTAATGTACGCGGATTGCTGGGATCAGGATAGTTAAATAAGCAAACATACCTGCTGGTGTAACCAGGGGTGTGATGCAGATCACCTCTCAGCTGAGCCGCCTAATCGGGTCGGTAGAAAGCTCCTCCAGACCGTTCCGAGGACATAGGAATAACTTCATATTAGAAATCCCTGTGGCAAACACCTGGTCTATAGAGCTTTTACCCTTAGTAGGCAAAGCTTACATGTGTTTAGCTCAGAGAAAGTTAATTGATTGTTCATTCTGAAGAAATACCAGAGGCTATATATACAGCGTGAATCCTTAATATCCAAATTGATTGGAAATCAATCAGGTTCTTTATATAGACAATGCAGGAATTATTTCCGATGTTGCAACTCTCCCGATGTGTACTTGTCTTATATCACAACAACTTGCACTGAGCGACAGCCAAACAAAGTATGAACATAGATGAAGCCTGTTATGTATAGTTATCGTTGAGGTATGACGGCTCCACACCAAGTCGGGAACGCACACATGCCAAAGCCTGGCTACGCAGCGCTGGTGGGATGCTGGCAAAGACTCGCGGGAGGCTGGCGGTAAATATTACGGTAACTATAATTAAGATTTTACACATCATGGCGTTCTGTCTGCTACTTATAATTATTCTAATGATGATTGTCAACCCCATAACTCATGAGTATGATTTATCATCCGATATTGATTTCATCCGCGTGAATTCAACTTCTTTCAATTCATCTGTTAATTCATTCGAGCGGTCAAGTCCACATGAACGAAAACGTAAAGATCATGGCCCCCGCCACCTCTAACTTCTCATTCACAGACCGTCTGGCAGTACGTCTTCCGTCGAGTGAACTTACTGTGCTAAGAACATGGACTTCACATACTTACTTCGAACATGTTCCCACCCAGGATTTCTCCCTCAGACATTTGTTTAGAAATAACCTGCATCGCCCCAGGTCTATGCGTGCAATGCGAGAATGCGAATTGAAATAGACCCGACGGAGTACACAGTAGATCAGCAAGGAGGCAAGATGTGATATGTCAAGAAGGTATACAGGGCAAGGTTCCCCACCGGAAGAATTGCAGTGTTACAGGAAAAAGGAAACTCCTAGGCAAGATGCAGTCGAATTCAATGAACGTGTGGCTATATACAGGTGGTGAGTCAAGGACATGGGGATTGATCATTAAGCCCCGGCTTTTTGGTGGAAGATCGTGGAAAGAGATCTGGGCTGAGCCTATGCTATCGCATACTCTTTCCGATGTCGAAATCTTCGGAGGGCATGTTTGACAAATCAGCCTCAGCCGAAACGTGGTTTAAAGATTGACTTGTGGTTCTCATCGGCCAGCTGAGCTTTGGGTTTGAGATTGGGTTGGTAAGCTTGTTGAGGTCGTGAGCCGCCTTCGGGTTCAACCGAGTCCTGCCTCAGAGTTGACGGGGGACGACGATATCGCGGCTATTCTCGTCTGTACCGGTGAACATGCCGTACCGGACGGCTGAGGCGATTGCTTCCCCGGGGGGGGGTGTCCATCGGCTCGGTCCATGAATGTGGCCCCAGTTGAATCGGAGCGCTTCGACAAGTTTCCGAAAGAATTTCCTGCATGAGCTGGTGCCGTGGTGTTGGGAGAAACGAGTGTTTTGCCGCTAGGTGCGGAGACAGGGTCGTAGCTAAAGTTCTACGACCAACCCTCCCAGCAAGCAACCCAGATCCCGGTTATGAGGATCAACGTACGTAGCCCGTCATCGAGCGTAACAACGTTCTTGTTATCTACCAGTGCTTCATTATCGGACAGGTCGCTGGCCACGGACATACCCAAGCTCTGGGATATTTGGCTGGTGCTGGGGGGCACCACAACGGAATATTCATTATACACCTCTAGCAGGTTCTTATTCATAGAGGCGATCACCGGGTGCCGACGAGCGTTGAGATCGATGATGCTGAAAGTGAACCGTTTGGTGTCATTGCGCGGTTGAGTGCCCGGGGTTGCAGAGGCGCGTCGATTCCTGCCTCCGCGCAGAGCCCATCGCACTACCCGCACACCATTTTCGGTGCGAGCCACAAACTCATATGAGCCGCTAGGCAGAGGAGTCACTTCCCACACCGGCCCAAAATTCAAGCAGATCTCTGCCTTTCCTTTTAGATCGCCATCTTCTTGGGGCACGCGGACAATCGTGGCCACGACTTGGCGTTGGTCCGCATTGTCTTCTCTTTCGCAACTTATATTTTTCTCGGTGATGCTGGCCACCGTGCGCGTGTATAGTTCACTCCTCACGACACTTAGGTCATTCGGGCCCTGTCCATTCTTCGGGCAAAACATGGTCGGGAACTTTCGAGTAAACCGTGGTAAATACAATGTCGATTGTTGAACTTCTAAGATGGGCAAGGGCCGGGCCATATGCGACACCTGCTGCACTTGCAGTAGAAGCTTCGGCCGAAGCCTAAGTCGTTTATGCCAGGTATGAACAACGGGGTAGGCGAACTGGTACGAGATTTTGGGCCGGGAAGTTTTGTAAGTATAGGAATGAAAGACCAGAGGCCGGGCAATCGCTAGTGATGCGGCCTGGGAAGACTCAAGCTCGCTCGGTGTTGAAGTAACGGGGATTTGAGCCGCGGCGGATACAGTTTGTGCAGGCGGAACAGGACTATCGGACTGCTTGTTTCGGTTATAGAGAGTGCCCAGACATGGTAACGTGGGTAGCGAGAAAGCGGACGAGGAAGGAGAGTTAGACGCTAGCAGGGATTCTGGCTGGGTGCCAGGCTCGTTTGTATGAGCAACTGCGTCAACCCCTTCAAGGCCAAAACTCAGCAGCATTCTTGGGTTCTAGCGGATATGCATGGAAGGGACGAGCAAGAGGGTCACTCCGTAGTCTGATTCAGTCCAACTCCCCAAAGAACAAAGGGGCGGTCAGCCTTATCCATGCTGTACCTAAAGAATGATTTAATCCAATGCTAAACCAATAGGTTATTTAAATCGATTCCTTGAGTCGTTTCAAGATCCGCGTAAACCCTTCTGTCCTGGATAATGTAAGCACTCAGCTTTCCATGGAAATTTGTTCCCTGACTTTGTTGTCGGCTTGATTACTATGTGAGTTCACCCACCGACTAGAATCAATTCAGTGCGTCATTGAAGACCGACTGAACCCACTTGTCCTCAATGGTCATACTCATCTTTCTTCCATGGGAATTTCTTTGTCTGATCCCAAGTTAAGTTAGTTAACTAGTTAATCTGTCGGCTTGATTATTAATTTGGCACCGCCACTACTACTCCCGTTGGATCAGATATTGGACCTTTGCCTCGGGATGTTTATTCACATATTAAAGTTCATGTCATCAGTTAAAACCTTATCTTCTAACGGTACCTATTGGGTCACTATCCTGCGCCATACATCAGTGGAGATCGAAGCAAAGGGTAAAGAAAATCCGTGCGGTGGCTTGAAATGAGGGACATGGCTGCGATTTGTACTTTAGGACTTGAGGATAGATCTTAGTTGTCTACTAAGAGCGGAACACTTTTTTTCTGCGCCGGTGCATGACAGATGGCCTAAGCCCTCAATTTTTGGGTCATCGTGCCCTAGTCCGTTATTTTTTGAGAGGGGAAAGAGATTGGAGGATCGAGTACCTCAAAAAACAGGGGCACGGTGAAAAATAAGGTCCATCAAAAACTAGATCGGAAGATAAACAGAACTGTGGGGCAAAGCGCTCCTTTGGGTATAGGCTGAGCGTCGACTGGGTGCTCAATAGACGCCTTTGATGAATATCTGAGTAATCAGTGATGGCTCAGTGAGCAGCCAATCAGACTCACTGAGCACTCACTGGACTTCACTGATAATCACGTGATGACACTGAGCAGCACAAGAGAGTCTGATCCCCGGACTGAAATTTACTCGGTGAGTCTGACTCTGAGCACCCTCATAAAAGCGGCCGCAGCTAAGATAGGAAAGCCCCACCTAGCATAGGAAAAATGGTACGTATAGTCCCAGAGGTATTGGTGCGAAATAATTGACCAATGGATTTGCAAGGCCTGCATGATCTGCTTTGAGAAAGACAACTGCATGCGCATGACAAACCTTCATCTGGGAGAGATTGACATCAGATGCGAGCTATGCGAGACACTTTACTGCCCAAGATGGGCAATGCTCTACCTGAACAATGATGACCCGGCCGAAAGAGTCTTCATTGTCTGTGCGAATTGTCGCACCCACCAGAACAGAACGAAGTCACTGTACCGACTCTGCGAGAGCAGACGTGGTTACGAGAGGGGACCGAAGGACACAACATTTCAGGAATGGCGCGCTTCCAAGGAAAGTTGGCGTAATAGCCTGGTGATTGTTCGATACCTTCGCAGGCTACATTCCATCGACTACACGGCCGATGGGGTTCAAGAAAATATCCGGAAATTTGAAGATAAAGTGTCCGGCGGAGTTGACTTCATAAATAACTGGGACTTACTCGAGGTGATGGATGAAGTGGCAGTTTTCGAAAACGATGAGGTTTCGCTCACTACCGCGGCTGACAATAACTGAAGATGGCAAAAATGGTTTGTTCAAGAGGTCACGAAATGACAGGGCCATGAGATGACGGTTGCATAGTGCCAGGCATGGGCATCCACGAGGGAAAGATATTTGGAAATGAGGAGAAGTAGCTCCAGCGGGAGGCGCTCCAGCTTGGTTGGCGGCATATTTAAACATTTCTAACATGCCGTGCCACCAGATACGCTTGGGAGGTGAAAATAGATTGTCTTCAGGTGGAATTGAATTTATGGTCGTGGAGATGCCGTGACTTCGGATGCTCCCGCCAATACATAGTTGCGGTGCCGTCGTGATTCGTCAATGACTTCAGGGAATACGTCAGCGTGTGTAGAAAGGGCTTTTGCTTATGAATCAGCCTAGTTTAATTTAACCTCATGGTGCCAGAAACCAGGGATATTTTTATCATATACAAGGCCTACATATGATATCCATTCTTGAGATCAGCCAATAGAGCTTCTACGCAAGAATTGTCACCCACATCAATGATCATTCGAATATTGCTGTCCATTCTTTGATAATGCCGTCGAGGCTATTCCAGGACATCGCAATTACACTCGTCAAACCTAGCGCATACCTCAGGGAGCTTGCAAAGCGATCACAGGGATCACAGGGAGGAAGATCGAGATGGGGAACCCGCAGACTCCTCGATCGACTGGGGCTGCTTCGTGTAGTCTGTTACCTCCGGAACGGATGGTCCCAACCGCAGACGCTCATCGGCAAGCTTGACTGCTTCATCAATAAACTCCCGAATGCTGAATTTCTCCGCAAGGAGAACAGTATGCTGCAGCTTATGTATAGCGAGCACAATCCATCTGACCCCAGTCTGCTTGTGGTGGGTATCGTTCTGTTCGATCGGGATCGACTCTAAGCACGACTGGATAAGGGAGTATGTGATGTCGTTGGGTATCTTGCCTATCATAATCTTCTTGACCATCGTTGAGCAATTGGCTGGGTCGACGTGTGGTTTTTGTCGATAGCGCCACTCGCGGTCAGGGTTGGACTCGAACTTGGGAAAGGAATCGGGCTCGGGGACGTTCGTGACATCGTATGCGAAGCTGTCGCCGCCCATCGAGACCTTGGGAGAGATCACAATTGCCCAGTTATAGGCACCGTATCCCATTTTCTTCCGGTTGTGGGGGAGGGATAGGTCATCACGATGGTGCAGGGTGATATACACTCGGCGTTTGTTGCGGTTCTTGATTGTTTTATCAAACAGCATGGGGATCGTGAAGAAACGCTATGCGAGAAGTGTGACCCTATCTGCATGTCAGCCAGTTGACGCAAGTAAAGAGGCATCATCAGACCGACTTGACTCGACAGAAGGGTTAGGGACCCTGATGGCGGAAAAATTGAGACTTAGAGTCGTCTTTCGGTTTGGTTTGAGCAGAGGAGAGTGTAGCAAACAAGAGGAAGAAAGAAGAGCTGAAGGAAGTCTCGGGGTAGAAAAGGAGGATTCCTTTCTGTCCAGAAAATCGAGCCAGCCGGCTGAGTAGCCCTTAAATACCTTCTTCCTGGCCAGCTTCTCTTTCTCTCCTTCTCTTCCTCTTCTTCACCCTCCCCAACTCAACCATCTCATATCTTCCCTCATCAACCACTTCACATCTCTCCAACATTCCATCAACCATTCATAAACATACCCTTTCCCCATCACTGAGCGTTGCTCCGTCATTCAAGACCGCAACTGGAGCCAACCCTGCGTGTGGAATCTTTTCAAAATCTGACCTCTTATTTGAACCATCTTTCCCCCTCACCCTGCACCTTGTCACCCTTTCGACGAACATCCTCTCACATACTCTATCATACGCTCCCCAGACTATCCCACGTCCTCTACATCCACTTCGGATCTCCGTGAGAAACCCCCTGCTCAAACATACAAGTGTCAGGGCCAACACATGCCTCGAAGGATGATGTCTCGTCCTTCCCCACTAACCAAGCCCAAGGAAGAGAGTCAGGCCTCTTCTCCTGCAGGCATGGAATATGACAATCATTTGCCGGAGAGTATTCTATTCGTGGGGGGGCCGTCAGTCACGGCCGGTCCGCCACAAGTACCCAGCGGTTTTGACGTGATGACCCTCGATATGAGCGATCTTGTCAAGAAGATCCAAGAACTGAGTCACCTTGGTATCGAGGACAACAAGATCGCTCTTCCAAAGATCTGTGTTGTCGGTGATCAGAGTACTGGCAAGAGCTCTCTGATCGAGGGCATCTCTGAAATCCAAGTTCCTCGCAGTGCAGGCACCTGCACCCGCTGCCCCATGGAGATTAATCTCTCGGAAAGTAAGCCCGGTGAAGGTTGGAAGTGTGTGATTTACTTGTCCCGCCGGTATTGGTATGATCCCTCAAAGCAGGTGCGAGCCGTTCCAAGAAGGGCTCAGACCCTAGGGCCCTGGGTGCCCATCGGAGGTCGAGACGAGGAGGTCTTTGTCACTCTGACCGACAAGTCGCAAGTTCAGAACGCAATCAAGTGGGCTCAGATTGCCATTTTGAACCCCAAGACCGACTCCCAACTCTACGTGCCCGGCAAGAATCGCGAGACCGAGGAGTCCACAGCCGTCAAGTTCTCGCCGAACGTCGTTCGGTTGGACATTTCCGCTCCTGGGTTCCCCGCCCTGTCATTTTATGACCTGCCTGGTGTAATCAGCCAGCCGGAACATGATGATGAAAAGTACCTGGTTGGTCTCGTGGAGAACTTGGTCAAGCACTATGTCTCGCAAGAGAATTGTATTGTGCTCTTGACTCTGACCATGACCGACGACGCCACAAACTCGAGTGCCGCAAGGATCGTTCGCGATATCAAGTCGGCCAAGGAGCGTACTCTGGGCGTTCTTACGAAGCCTGATCGAATTTCACAGATGGAGTCCTTCGATCAGTGGAAGGAGATACTGGCCGGTCACAAGTTCAAACTGGGTCATGGTTACTTCGTCGTTCGGAACAACCAAGATCCTACCATCGATCACGCCAGGGCCAGGATGGAGGAAGAGGCGTTCTTCTCAGACCCGTTTTGGGTAGGACTCAATTCCCAGTACAAGGACCGCTTCGGTGTTCGACGACTCCAGGCGGCCTTGTCGACTATTCTGATGGATCAAATCCAGAAGTGCCTGCCATCTATTATCGCCCAAATCAATGAAAAGGCAGCTCGCATCGATGCTGAGCTGGAGACATTGCCCGACCCACCTACCGAGAACTACCAACGTATTCTCACTGAGAAGGTGACAACGCTTGGTTTAAAGTTCCGTGGAGTTTTTGATGGCGGTTCTGGATATGGAGAATCCATCAATATGCTTCAAAAGTGCTGGAACCGACTGGTCATGGACTTCCAGAGGGCTTTGGCGATCACAAAACCCACACTCATCACAGCCACTGCCTCGGATGTCGAAATCAAGCCTGAGCGCATAGACTCTGACTGCGAGATGCTCGCCGGCCCATCGCCGCCACGTTTCAAGCGGAAGGCGCCGGGCTCAGATGCCAAGTCGCCAGAGTCTCAACCCTCTGCGAATGTGATCACTATCAATGACCAAGGCTACTCGACCAAAGACGTCTTTGACAAGTGGAATGGCCCGAGCCGGAAGTTCGCCCTCCTTGAGATTCGAGAAATCAAGGAAGAGTCTCACCAAGCTGGTATCCCCAATCAGATTAACCCCAGTGCCATCGAAACTCTGAATCGCGCAAGCGTCAAGCACTGGGATGATCTGACCAAGGCTTTCGTGATTGCCACCTGCAATCTTGTGATGAGGGTACTGGGTATGAATCTAGACAAGGTAATTGCCCAGTACCAACAAACAGGGCTTTACCGGGAACTTCGTCGGGTCATTAACGAGTTCCTCACCCACCTCCGCGCCGAATTCCTGGATGATGCCATGGCCCATTACCAGATAGAGTACGAGAAGCCGTTCACAATGGCCCAGTCGCTTCACAGCGAAGCCCAAAAGAATGCCCTTCGCGGATTGATACTGGGCCGAAACCGATCTCGTGCCAGGGCTTATCTCCGCGGCGCCGGATACAACGCGGAAGATGAATCAAACATCGCGAAGGTCATCAAAGACCTTGCACCAGATAGCTACACTCAGGAGATTGAGATGATGGCGGTAAGTCAGCGAGTGTCAAACTTGACATTGAGTGTTTGTCCGCTAATTATTATACTTTGTAGAGCTCGCGCGGCTACTATGAACTTGCGAGCTCTCGTTTCTTGGATGTCATCTGCCAGTCCGCTTATGCGAAGATATTCTACAAGTGTCGCGATGATTTGATCCATGTGATCAATCTCCAGCTGAACGCAAATTGTGAGTTTGACATATTCACCATGAGAGAGTTGACTCTAGCTGACAGTCTACTTAGCCGTGGAACGGTGCATGGAGTTGATGGCTGAAGACCCGGAGCGTCAGCGGCGCCGAAGTAATTTGACCAGGGAGCGTGCCAAACTCAGCCAAGCACAGGAATGGATCAACTCCATTCACCAAAAAGATGATGACGAAGACATGGCCCTCTCTGAGGATACAGTTGGTGATGGTTTCTCACCAATGGAGGACTGGACCGATGAATGTATTTGAACGGTCCTTCGGTGAACATGTGATGATGTGTAGTGGAGTTGTAAGAGTGTGGAACGGTTCTGATGAATATGTTTGTCTTCAAAATCCTTGACTGACAAATTATGACCAGAGTACTGTCAATTTCAGATGTCTTGTTAGAATCTAATGCTGTCAGGAATGGATGTGCAATGAAACAAAAACCTCGGGCCCTTGCAGGCCACAAAAATCGTATTTCTGGTATCTGTAAAGGTCCACTCAGTAACTTTAACTGGACTATCTTCTATGCAACTTGGCAGATGGTGATGAGTTCCATGGCCAATGCTTGATATCGCAAAAAGTGTGAACGCTAGTCACGAAAAGCTGAACGTGTCGGGGACGCCGTATGCCTCAATATTCTGGAGGCTGTGTTTCGCAAACGACGGTACTCCGCCGACTCGGTGTTTACACTACAGTCATACAACGAATGCCTCTAAAAATCGAGATTATACGAGAGACCTATGCTAGGAAAGGCTAGAAAGCGGCCATGTCCGACATCTCGCCAGGCTTCGTAACAGCGATAGGGCATCAGCCAGCCCTTACCACACCAGCCAAGCCTAGCATGAATTCTAAAACAGGTCAATGAGACCTGATATCAACTAGTTCGCCATCAAAGGAGTGAACAAGCCGAGTGTTCTCGCTGATTGATGTCTAGGAGTACGAGTTCAAAATGCCGACCAGAACACGGTGTTCCACGATAGTTCGTGCCACGCGTGCCAAGGCATCGCTGAAGATCACCCAATTTATTTCCTGGTCGCTTGTGGATACCTGCGGCTCGACGATGTCTTTATGTTGTCCAGGACAAGCTCGTTGATTCGTTTGGGGGCTCGAGGCCTCGCCTGCGGAGCCCGGATTTGACACGCCACTCGCCTTGTGGCAGCCAATGCCGACGCTAAAGGCACTAGTTCGGTCAGCCATCAACCCCGCAATTATCATGTTGTTTAAGATGGTAGTTTTGAGCGAGAGTAAGTGTACGAACGCAAACTCGTCAAGTATGTTACCTGAAAAATGCCAAGCGTTTATGGCAACTACAGCTGAAAGTGGACCCGGATTGAGTATGCAGTGTGTAGAAGAACCATGGAACTCACAATCACAAACCTGCAGATATCAACATCAACACGGCCAGGAATACTGTCACAAATTTGCTAGGCTTCGTTCTGACCATAGCTATCATGGAAGGCTTCCTCTATCCCTCTTTGCCCCGTGATTATTCGAGACCGAGTCGTTCTCCTATTTTGTCTCGGGTAGCTAGTACTAGGGAACATCCCGTCAATGGAGGCAGCCAAACTCTCCATATCGCTTTGTATTTCCTCGAATATCTTTCATTCTGCAAGGCTAGGCGAATGGCCAATAGCACATTGTGGACTGAATGAGCGTCTCGGGCCGAGTCGCCTTGCCGGCGCCAACGCGACGAGATGTGGGGGGGCGCTTGGACTAAGGAGTTCGGCCTCGCCGATACCTGGAATCGATAACCTAGAGCCTAGAAATCTATAGTAGCTCTGAAAACATTCAAATGTATAAAAACAGGCAGATTGACTCGGAGTTTTGATCATCAGCGCTTCAAGCGAATCCTCAAAATCTTCTTCTATCACTTCACGTATTCTGAGAATCCATTTCATTCTTCAACATGGCTCCTATGATTGACCCCAACGGAACCCACGCTGCGTCAGTCGATTTCCGCGGTCCATTTGTTGAATTCATCGCTAATAGCCTTGATAGTGTTGCGGAGTCGGAGATTTTGGACGTTAAGTCTGCCTCCAACGGGTCAGATGATTCTACGCGAGGGATCAAGAGACCCGCGGAATTGAACGGCAATGCGCCTCAGCAGACAGAGGAACTTGTTGGTATTGCCAAGTTTGATGGTCCTCGGGAGACTCGATCCTTCCCTTGTGTGGTGCACACGCGATCATCAGCATTCCCCCATGTGAAAGGCGCTTTGCCATTCCCGAATGAGATGACCCAATTGATTGCGTGGACGGATGCCTTTGTCGAACGCCTGGGATGGCAGGCCCTTCAACAGCATGAGGTTGGTTCAGACTCCACATTGCCATGAGTCTAAAGACCGGTTCTAATCCCCCATAGAAAGCTGCCGAGCATGATATTGAGAAGGGTCGTCTGGAGAAAGAGGCGGCCGCTCAAGCTGAGAGAGCTCGTGAAGCTGAGAAGAAGCTGGGTCCTTTGAGTGACGAGAATGCCGACCTTCGACGGAAGATTGCTGAGCTAATGGCCGCAAATCATTCTCTTGAGATGCAGCTCGATATCTCCAGGGGAGAAATCCACAGTCTCGAAGTGACCATTGCTGAGAAGGAAGCCATCAACATGCAACTCAAACGTGATCTTGATGGCAGTGAGCATCGCTACATCCAGTTGGATGACAAGTACAAGAAGCTCTTGGCCCAGCTCGAGCAAGACATGACAAAGGAGGAGTTCAAGAAGTACAAGGCGGAGATGGAGCGCTGGATGAAGGAAGATGCCGAAAATGACCGCAAGCGCGAAGCTCTCATTAAGACGCTCGAGAAGGAACTGGCCGTGACCAAGGAGCAAGTCGTCACCAAGGAGACCGAAGTCAAGAAGATGACCCAAGAACTCGCCAAGGCCCAGGCTGAAATTGCAGGGCTCGGTGTCACGAACAAGGATCTCAACAAGAGGCTTTCGGACGCGTTGTGCAAATTGCACAAGGCCACCGAAGATTTGGACAATGCGCGTAGCCAGCTTGCTGCGCAGCAGGGTCTTGTCTGCAGTCTCCAGCGTACCAAGGAGGGTCTGGAGGATCGGATTCGTGCCCAGATCAAGCAACTGCACGATGCTCAACTTCGTGAGGATGAGGCACGCCTGGCTGTCAAGGCTGCGCAGGAGCACTCCAAGGCCCACTGGAAGATTTTGCAGAAGATTCGGGCTGATGGTGGCTGGCTGCGTACCAAGGCTTCGGATGTCTGCGACCGAGTGGCTTAAGGTGGAGTGAGTGGCCTGTCAAACCTATGTGTGGATGGTTTGAGGACTCTAGTGCTGTTTGTCTCCAGTGTATGCAATAGTGATGGTTAACTCATAGGACATTGTTTAAGTAGTTCTTTGGCTAAGTACAATTGGATAACGTTCTCGCCCAAAATAGTAGTTTCTCTCCCCTCTATCGTTCGTAAATGACTCCATGGTCATTTCCAAGGTTACAAACAGTATTCAGATAATAGATTGGAGAGTACGAACAGGCTTTATACACGGGCACTCAACTAAGACCGACAATTGTACACACTTAGGTCCAAGGCGGCAGGATGGATATACAGTTAGAAGATAGGGGTTCCCTTTTTCCATTCTCGTGAACTACCTTGGGCATTCCAGGTCTGGTCTTACTAAATTGAGTACCTCTTTACGAGATAGGCTAGGTTTATACAGTTGGCGGTTGATTCAATTCCAACTGGAGTGCTTCCTTTGTAAAATGCTGTTCCTAGCTCGGTATATTCACGCCCCGTGGCCAGCCGCCCAGTTCCTGTACAGACTCCATCTTTTTGTTCAAAAAATACACAAGACTGTCGGGTCATGGTCGTACTCTACCTAAAGGGGAACTATAGGTCAGTGTAGGTTTTATTTGGAGGTTTATTGAGGACCTTCAATGCTGTGAGGTAGAACCACTAGAGTACAGCTTTGTCTTGATCGACAACCCCCATGCGGGCCATATCGAAGATTCTTATGTCAGAGCCTTCAAATTAACTGATTCTGCGATAGGAAAGAACAATTCCAGCGGATCAGAGAAGAACTGTGACCTGCTTGGCAAACCCGAGTGTACAGTAGCTGATTTCCCCTAAAAGCGGATCTTCTCCAGTTCCAAATTCCCACGTTCCCACGTTCTCGATTCCACGTCAGGTGAGCCTCCCCCCCCCCCCCCCCCGCCCCACCGCAAGCGTCGTCTTGGCGCTCGGAGCTCTCAAACATTGACTTCGGCCACCTTGTTACCATCTCGAGTTTATTCCTTTTCGCAACCCCCTATTCCTCTCTCTAACAATTCATCATGCTTCAAGTGCCTGTACGGGGAGATCCCAACCAGTCCTCCACCAAGGCTGTGATCTTGGTACGTAACGCAATGATCGTCCAGCATGGGTGGTACACAAACTGACCAGCTCAACAGGTCGGAGGCCCTTCTAGAGGTACTCGGTTCCGCCCATTGTCGCTCGATGTGCCCAAGGTACGTGTATTCCTTTGATCCAATTCCTCGTGCAATGAATGGCCGGGAGAAAAGTCGGTCTAACCGTTGCACCCCGCATTCAGCCCCTGTTCGAAGTCGCCGGCCACCCCATCATCAACCACTGCCTGAAGGCGATCGCTAAAGTCGAAGATGTGCGCGAGGTTATTCTGATTGGATACTACGATGAGACTGTCTTCCGGGACTTTATCAAGGATGCTTCGACGGAGTTCCCCCAGTTCCGCATCCAGTACCTGCGGGAGTACACAGCGTTGGGCACCGCCGGTGGATTGTACCACTTCCGTGATGCGATCCTGAAGGGCAAGCCCGAGCGCCTGCTGGTGCTGAACGCCGATGTCTGCTGCTCGTTCCCGCTGGGTGAGATGCTGCGCTTGTTTGAGGAGAAGGATGCGGAGGCTGTTATTCTGGGTACACGGGTGACGAACGAGGCTGCGTCCAACTTTGGTTGCCTTGTCTCCGACTCCCACACCAAGCGAGTCCTGCACTACGTCGAGAAGCCCGAGTCGCACATCTCCAACCTCATCAACTGCGGTGTCTACCTCTTCGCCACCGAGTGCATTTTCCCCGCCATTCGCAGCGCCATCAAGCGCCGCACTACCCGTCCCCGCCTCCTCTCATACCCCTCCTCCGATAACCTCGAGTCCTCCTTTGTCGCTGGGGATGACGAGGACGGCGAGAAGAACGAGGTCCTCCGCCTCGAGCAGGACATCCTCTCCGATCTGGCCGACAGCAATCGCTTCTTTGTCCACGAGACTAAGGATTTCTGGCGACAGATCAAGACTGCTGGTTCTGCCGTGCCTGCCAACGCTCTTTACCTCCAGAAGGCGTTCCAGGCTCAGTCCGAGGAGCTCACCCCCTCCCTCCGCTACCATCGTGCCCCCGGTCTACATTCACCCCTCCGCTACCGTCGACCCCACTGCCAAGCTTGGCCCGAACGTCTCAATTGGTGCCCGCGTGGTGGTCGGTGCTGGTGCCCGTATCAAGGACTCTATTGTCTTGGAGGACTCTGAGATCCGCCACGATGCCTGTGTGATGCACTCCATTATTGGCTGGAGCAGCCGCGTCGGTGCCTGGGCTCGTGTTGAGGGTACTCCCATCCCCATCGGCACCCACTCCACCAGCATCATCAAGCAGGGCGTCAAGGTGCAGAGCATTACCATTCTCGGCAAGGAGTGCGGCGTTGGTGATGAGGTCCGCGTGCAGAACTGTGTCTGCTTGCCGTACAAGGAGCTCAAGCGGGTAAGTCATACGGTCATCCCTGCTGTCATTCCGACCTTATACTAATATATTCTTTTTCTCTTTAGGACGTCGCTAACGAGGTCATCATGTAAACGCCCCACACATTGAAATCTCTGACTTATTTGCTTCCAAAATACCACATCTTGTCAATATCGAGCGTCATAATGTTGTCTTTGCCATTGGATGGTAATCAGGTTGTTGTTCTACTTTCTATTCCCGTCTTGCCCGTTGCTAGAATGCTGCCCTGCGCATTGCAGAGTCATTAGAGAAAGGAATCTAGATCATCTACCGACTATCTCAAACACTTTTCATATTCATGACATCCAAGAAAAAATGTCCCCAAGTCACACCGCCATGCCCAGGCAGTCAATGACAATATCAATTCGAACCATCATAAGGACCACCAGCTGAACAGGAACAGGATCGTGCGAGACACCAGCATCATAGAAAGTGAAAAGCGCAATGCCATCACCCTCCCTCAACGATACGCAGCAGGATCATACCCCGTCTGCTCAGCGGGATGCCGATAATCCTCCCCAACCTGTCCCCTAGCAACCCGAGTCCCCCTCCTCTGCTCCGACACACCTTCACCACTCGAACCCCGTCTATCAGCCAACTTAACATCCCACGGATCCTCGCCAAGCGCCGCCGAACTCCCCATAGGCCCATAAGCACCCAGCCTGGTCTGCCGATGCCTCACGATAACATCCAGCCAAACCGCAGCGATGTACCCCGCGGTTCCGACGGCTGTGAACGTGAAAAGCGCCTTGTAGGTGCGGCAGACGGACAGCGCGGCGGATGTCACCCAGTATTGCGTTGTGCATTTTGTCAGGATTGTGCCGGACATGCTGTAGGAGAGGAGGGCGAGGGAGAGGATCCAGAGGAGGAGGAGGGGGATTTGCAGGAGGAGGGAGAATTTTGGGGAGAGGCCCCAGGCCCAGTTTATTATTGTTGTGAGGAGGGTTGTTACGAGGGAGAGGAAGGCGGAGATGAGGAGCTGTGTTTATAGATGGATAGGTTAGTTTTTGGGGAATGTCTTTGGTGGGTTGTGATTGATGCTTGACGTACGATCAGGAAGGCAAAGGGTAGTTTGTAGCCATCGGCGTGGAGGTGGAAGATGAATACGGCGAGGATGATGGAGACCACGATGGCGGAGAGAAAGATTAGGCCGCGGATGCCGTGGAAGGGGAGGGTTGGATAGTCGGATGGTTTGACGGAGGCTCGCGACCGCATATTGTCTGTATAATTAGATTGGATTGGAGAGGTGTTGACGGTCACAGGGAGGAGTTGGAAGAAGAGAAGAATGGGAATTTTGGTGAAAGGGGCACGGTCAAGTCAGTCATCATTCTTGCTCTGAGTGAGTCGAAGGAGGCCGTCGGGTGTAAACAGAGCGCTACATTCGATCGGCGGTCCACTTGACACGTTGGGCGGTGCGTGAAACCCGCTATTTTTATCGAAGCTGACAGTTGTTTTGCGTGGCTCGTTGCGCGGCACCGAATAAGATTAGTAGAAGGGTGGGAGTAGCAGTGTTTCGTATGTGTAGATTTCTTACTATTACTTATTATGTCGTAGTGTACAGTACGATCTTAGCGCTTGATCTGTCCGGCCTCGACCATGCTGGGTGGACTTGGTTCTTTGAAAGTCTCCAGTATTATATATGTCCATGCTAAGGTTCTGGCAATCGGTTTACAATATTCCAGCCGTTTTATCGAAAACAAATACAATTGCAATTCATTATAGTCCTTCAATACAGCATTTAATAACCTTAAACTATGCTACAACAAGGTTCGATCGCCGCCGGCAAACTAACTGCCGAAGCTAGACTTTCGGCTTGCCGCTACGATCGTCCCGTCGCGGTTAGTTGATCCTCGGGGCTCAATTAAATCGTAGTAGTAAATTTGAAAATCATGGGTTATACCCCCAGTATTGGTATTCCAGTCACTCTCCCCCCTCATATGGCCTAGTGGTCTATTGACCTTTGGGTGTGCCCTGAAAAGGGCAAACATGTGATGGGAATAGGTACAGGCCGCCAGTGTCGAGATATAACCTCCACGGATGGTCGGGCACATCCCTCGGCGGGGAGAGTGGGCAGGTGGGCATGCGAGGTGGTGGCAGCACCTCCTCGCGGATAAAGATCTTTTTTATATTTTTTGTATACTTGTAATATTACTCTTATATATTAATACTCTAATTAATTTTAATTATAAAAGAGTCTTTTTGAAGGTATTAGGAGGGTATAGAGTAGTGATGTTCGTTAGTGTGGGCTGACTCTAGATGATGTACTTCGGCATCGTGGGACAGCGATCGAGCATCGCCATGAAGTATATAGGGAATCAGAAGGTCGGGGATTCGATTCATGGGAGAGGAGGTTTCCGATTTTTTTTTTTCCCTTTCGGATTATGTTACATTTAGCTCATGGTCAGTCGTAACTGTCTCGATCATCCACAGAGGCTATCCCAATGATGGTACCGATGCTGATCAGTCCTCCATTGAGTTTTTAGTGAGTCGCTCTATGTTCCCAGAATAGGGAGTCCTTCTCTTGTCTGGTCATGGGTTGCTTAACGCCTAGTAAAGGTTTCCCAAGTCTATTCTCAAGCTAGGCCGGGATATCATGTTGAGGCAGCAAACTAAATATGGCCTAGAGTGATACCGGGAATATCGAATGATCGGGGCTAGCCTGGTTGTTTGCCATGGCCCTCTGAATATTGAGTTATCATCTAGCATGAAACACGGCTATAGTAGTGAAAGACTTGGGGTTTGAAACGAGAAGAACACTGTGTGTAAACATCATGGATGGAGTATACGTAGTTGCAGTCCAAAGGTCTTGACAGAGACCGTAGAAACAATCCAACCCTCCTTTCTTTTAAAAAGATTTTTGAAGCTATCTCTAAATCTATTCCAGATTGCTTTCTGTAACAACTTGTATACTACCCCAATTACTGCTCAATTAGTGACTGGTTCAGTCTAGTTTTGAAGGTTTATGGAACCCCACTGTGTAGACACGGGTATCACTATAGACGGGACTTCCCGCACCCCCAAAAACGGCAATATCAAAATATCCCGACAAGGTTACCAGTATCAGGAAGCTATTCCACATTTTTAGAAGCAAGAGGAATGCGAAACTGTGCTTGAGTCAGAAAACAAAAAGATGATGCTTGCACGATCGAACCCATGTTTACAAAATCCCACACTATAAATCCCTCCATTGAGTTCGAGCCCTATGTACCTCCCCAAAATGCTCGCGAGCATCAACCCGCCTCGGATCTCGACAACCGCCAAGTACCACCCCAACATCAACCTCGAATAATCCCAACTAAGAATAAAAAAAATAATATAAAAAAGATGCTTGTACTAAGGAGCCATGCTTAGTGGGGTATGTTCCAAAGATTTGACCTTAAAGATTGCTGGCTAGGCAATGCCGAAGATCGGCCACTGGTACCTGTACGCGACTGGGGAGCCATTCCCAGTTTCGACTATGGTAGAGTCATATACGCGCAGGTTCTTCGTACTCGCCATGTATGCCCAGGGGCGCCCCCAGGCAGCACTTTGAAATGTACACGAGTCGGGGGAGAGGGTCGTGCCTCTCAGCGGGATTGGCCATCCCACCACTCGACCACCGGTGCTAAGGTTGAGATTTTGGAACTGGAAGTTGGCCTTGACCCGTTCTTGGATAATTAACGTGGTGAATGTTTGATTCCTCCTTCGTCCCTAGGCTCCTTCGAGTTTTCCAGGTCCATTCGACTCGCCCTCCCCTGTCCACCCTGACCTTTTGTCATACATGGCCTCGTTCGAGGCTGGCTGGATGGGGTTGATATTGATATCGCCTGTTGGCAGGGCGCACCACATATATTGGCATATTTTTGAATTGCTGACTGCATCTTCCATCTACGCAGACTCCGCCCCGGTTGCGAGCTCGACATCCCGCATCGGCCGACATTACCTTTTGCCCAGCCATGTCACACCCACTCGAGTGCTGGACAGCACACTCACAGACATAACCTGGCACATGAATACGCTCATACAAAACCTTCTGCATAAACGGGGCACATGGACTCCGTTATCCTTGGACAACAGTCATGCAGTTCTTCCAGTTCAAAAGAGGCGGTTGGGGAGTGATCCCGCATTGGTTCCAAATTATTCCTGGATGCATGCTATTGGGCATTGTTTGCCAGTATTCGCTAATTCCAGCTTGAAAAAGTACCCAAGTCTGATCGGATATGGCTGACACGATCTTATTCGCTGTCCTCGATGTCGATTACCACGCATCCTTTCTCTTCTTGCATTGCCAGTTCTGGCAAAAGAGTCATCTAACGCCAGAATCTCCAATTGCGGGAGAAGTCGAATCGAAAAATTGGGCAGGTCATACTCTCCAGGTTCTGCCTGGCGGTAGCAAATAGACGAACAACAACGAAGTGATCGATCCATATACCGAATGCGGCACAATGTTGTGGCAAGTCTAACTGGGGTCGAGATACGAAACATCAGCGAAGATGTCTTCATACTGGCCAGGAATTACGTGGCAGAAAATCCTCGGCAACGAAGAGATGCAAATTAAGTCTAAAGAAGTTGCTTCCTATATTGTCCGTAGCATCGAATAGACTCACTGAACTCGCTAAAAGTCATATTGTTCCTATGTGCTTCGCTCCCAATCCACCATCCATGGTCTTGTTTCCTCCCGTTCTCCCCACCGATCTCATCGATAGAGCTTGATTATATGTCTGAAATGAATTCATGCTAGCGTCCTGCGGCCCCAGCAGCTAACGATGCATGGTGCAAATTCTGTTTCAAAGCTCGAAGTCTTGTCTCAAACTCGTGTGCTAGTTCTGGCGCTCTTTCTACCTCGGAAACCTCGCCAGCAGGGACTACCACAGCGCGCAGATCTCGTGCGATCATTTCAATTTGTTCATGTAACTTTGCGCCGAGGGTGGCAAACGGTTCGTTCAAGGCCGCAAGGTACGAGGACTGAATCGATTCTGCGTACTTCATGTAAAATTGCATGTTCGATAAATGGTTATGCATGATATCCTTTCTTCTGCGATCACTTCCGGGTCCTAATTGGAATTTGAGATAGATCTGATTAGATTTTGGCTTCGCAACGATTGGATTATTTCCACGGCGCTCAGTAAGTACCTTCTTCTCGGTTGCAGCTATTGTATGCCTCTCGCATTAAATCGGAAATCAAGGAACTGCTGTTGTAGCCATTGAGGGTGTAGTCTCTTATAGATCTAACATGGTGTTAATGGCCATTTGCAAAGTAAAATCTCGGTACCGTGCATACTCTGTGCTTTGAATTATAGACGTGATAGCAAGAGTGAAAATATGCTGGATACACCTTTCTCTATAGTCCATAACAGAGAGAAGATTCCCAATTGCTTGAGGGGCAAACGGAATATGAGCTAATGGTCGTATGTTAGTGGCATATAAGGATATCTAGATAAGCACACGTCAAGATGGACTTGGTCGGAATAAATCTTGCCTTTAAGTGTATCCGAGACGACTGTAAAAGACGTCGAAATGTCCTGATGTAGCGTGGTTCTTTGTGCCATCGTCCGACTTTGTATTGTGTCCCATTTCAAACCCAAGACCGGCCGCACTTGCTCTATCAGCTCGTCATTCCAGCAATGAGATCCCATGGTCTTAGTTGTATGTGTGCCATTCTTGCGGCAGAACGCGGCATAACTGGAGGTGTGCCACTAGAAGAGAATGTTATAGGTTAGTGTGGAAATAATGTACCAGTATTTGCTTAAACATACGGTTCTCCAATCTTGGCTTACTACGACAAACTTTCCTTTCAGTTCTCTCTGGAAATAAGGGTCCCCTTCCATCATTAGGTCAATTTGATAAATCCTCGTGGGGGTTTGAATTGAGCTCACGAAGCTGTAGCATCACCTGGGTATCGAATGTAGATAATATTTCATTCTGGGCGCGGGCAAAACACCCCCGGCCTGGAGTAAAGTCCTATTTCCTCATTAGATCATTCGATCATGAATACGATTTAAGAAAAGCTTCACACATGCTTGACGGAGATTTTGTTCCAACTGCTCCAACACCATTCGGAGCTCGCGGGCTCTTTCAGCAGTCACATGGTCACGGCCTGTCAGATTCCATTGCTGAATAGAACGCAGAAGAGAGGGCACTTGATTCTCAATGAAGAACAAAGCCGAGGCAAGTCTAGCTTCGGCAGGGACTGATCGGCAGTATGAACGAAGCTCCCGAACTCCACTGATGTTTCTATACTCGTCCGCAAGCTTGTGTGGAGGGTTTCCATATAGTTCATTACCGATGCAAAATATTTTAACGTCCTTGCCTCTGTGCTCTTGGTTGTTGCGAATCGCCCCGGTAAGTTCCTTTTCGACCGAGTCGTTTTGTTTATTCATAATAAACGCCTGTCGCCTGGTTTTGAATATTAGTATTCTCGATGTTGTCAATCTGATCAATGATGAACACGTACTCGCAGCGAAGCTTTTGTATTTCGTCCCTGAGAAATGATCAGCCGGCTGTTGAGTATTTTGTAAATTGGCTGCCTTACTCCATCGTAGACTCGGTAACAGCAAGCTCTGCTTTCTTGTGGCCCTTTGCGGTTTTCCTTTGGCGGCCGATACGATTTGCTTGGTCCTCGAGCTTTTTAATCTCTGCGTTCATCTTCTTCACGTGGCTAGCATGGCGATCCTTGTTGCGAGCAAACTCTTCCGGTGAAATGTCCTGTCAATCCAAGTCAGAATAACTCCAGTTTCAGTTAGGTAGAAAATTATTACATCTGCTCTTGTGCAAACAATTCGGACGCGTTTCGTCGCTCCACACTTCTTGATGGTCTCGTAGATTGATTGATTCGCGACACATCGAGCAATTCCGGCCACAATAAACACTTCATCGCAGGTGCTGGCAAGATATCTTTCTGTAGCCCGTACTCTCGCATGATTCATATCTCGCAATCCTACTGTGTGTAAGCTGTATCACTTTTACCACTTGGGTATAGAAAGAGCATTACCTGGTAAGTCGGCAAGCACCAAACCAGTCTTCAATACGGACAAGTCCAAGAATACCCTGCGGGCATATTAGAACCGTACTTATCCTCGGAAAAGGGTCATCAAACCGTATCAACTTAATAAAAGGCCATAATGCAGGCCCATTGTCATGCTCTGCGTTACTTGTCAAATTGTCCAGTTCATCTTTACATCTTTCCAAATCACCCGCGATGACGCAGTATTGCAGTGAGCTCGATCCTCCAGGTCGAAATGTCAATCGATCCATAGCTAGCTGTTTCAGCTCTTGAAGAATCTCAACGTCTGCTCCAGGACGCGAGAGATACTCAACAGTCAAATCCGACCGATCGGTGAAGATTGCCTCTAGAGTTTGGTGCGACCTTTTGCCTATCGCTTCATACTGTTCCCAATTTTCATCCCCGATGAGGCTCCGGTCTGTCTGGATGGTAGCTCGTCGGATACTTTGCAAAAGCTCCTCCAGAAGATCATTGACCTCGTCTTCGCTCATGAAATCGGCTTCTATGGTGTAAGGACGGGGGTGCTTTTCATCCACATATCGATACTCCATGGGCACAAAGGTACATGCGGCTCCTGCGCCACTCTGAGACGAACTTGTTAGAAATTCGTCCTCTTCTACATGCAAAAGTTTGAATGCATACCGAGCGTGCAAGACCTCTTTGGTCCAGGATTGAGTTGATAACAGAGCTCTTGCCTGCTTGACGATTAGACTCGTCCATATCAAGGTAAAAAGAAGAAATCACTCACCAGCTCCGGTTTCACCAATGAATCCGACAATGCGCGGTTCTTGATCCTTGAATTCACTGAGCTTTTTCGTTTCCTGTTGAATCTGATGCAGCCTGGTTGTTGGGTCTCGAGAAAGTGGTGAATCGTGGATGGTGCGGGCCAGCTCTTGAAGCTGGACTTTGATTGCATTTAGATCATTTTGAAGATTTGGGTCATCGATAGGATCCGGGGAAAAGAGATCATCGCCAACCCTATCTACTTCTTCATCCTCCTCATCATCATCCTCGGCTTCATCTTCATCTTCATCTTCATTTTCGAGATTATTCACAGGTGATGCGCTCAAGCCGGGCGTTCCCTCATTTTCAAGATTATCTATTCCCCGTGTCGTTGGAAATACTCTTACGCTCCCGGTTTCCGTATGGGATGAGAGTGACCCAGTCTCTCTGACCCTGTTGCCAAACATACTTGTATGACTGGCAGTAGGAATAGGCAACGCTCCAGGCTCTCGTATTCTGTTGCTCTCTAAACTGTGATCTGGCACAATCTTTGGCCGGGAACTCAGAACCCTGGGTGCCAAATTCGAGTCCGTGGAGGGGCCTGCAACTGGGGCAAAATCCGAACCTGAGAAAAGCCTCGTGCCGCTGATAATTTGTCCACCAAATATGAGACCCTGTGGATTTTCTCTGATATGGCCAGGAGTAACTGGTGACGCGGATCTAGAGGAGGCAGAGGGGAGCGCTCCCGAGCCAAGGCGAGATCCAGCAGGGCTGCTGCTCTGGGAATGAGAAGGGGTGAAGATGACCCCCTCAAATGAGGGACCTGTGGAAAAGGTGAAGTTAAATTCAGAAGATGGGAATCGCATCTTGCATAGTCGTCGGTCTGCTTTAACTTTGATTATTGATAGTTCATGAGTGAAACGAACAACAGATGGGCCGGCCCGGCTTATAAGAAAGCAGAAAACCTAGCGCTACCGGGGGGGGATGCCTGGGCACATCGCTTGTTGTGGAGGGGTTGACGGGATTGAAAATGCATACTACTGTCTGGAAGGGAAATGCTAGTATGCCTTGTCGTGCTAACTTGTTACCTCTGTAGCTTAGTAGGCGCCGATGTTCGCGGCGCTTACCCATTGGTTCTCCCGTCTTAAAAAAACGACTGCAACCCACAACAGCCAACTCAAAGATTACCTCTGCTTAGTTCTGTTACATATTTCCCATTTTGTTTGTCTTTTTCGTAGACTTCTCTGGGCAGAAGGGGTTCTTGATCCCCATCATGGCCCCCACGGAGGCAAGCTTGGTGGTGTGCTGGCGTGCATCCTGATCCCCGCCCGAGTGTCCTGCGATAGACGGGTGTTGTTTAGTGCCCAATCAAGTATATCACTAGAGCTGCAAGGTATTTTGTTTTTGGATGAACCCTTGAAACGATTAATGCTAAGCCCTCCATGGTTAATGTTAGGATTAGGGGCCCCTGACATTATGTGTACTATTTATAACTGTTTGAGACACAATTGAACTTGACGTTGAATTGCAGTTGCCATTACAGGCTGTTCGAGTAACGCAACCGGATGTGTATTTTATTTTGGCTTGAGTGTGGAAAGACATCAGCAAAAAGTGCCATCTACTTTCTGCATCCGAATTCGTCGTGTCAAGCACTTTAAAATGGTACTTCCTCAGGAAAGATTCTGGTCAGAACCTTATACCTCATCTAGTCATCTTTGAAGAGACTTCTAGGCTTGAACAGCGATCAACCATGGGATCTGACTAGAGCTAATAACCGTGCATATTGGAAGTTAAAGAGTTGGTGGGATTCTCATGCGTATGTATTGGTTCGCAGAGTTCTTGGAGTGATATTGAGTTGAGATATTATCCTTATACACAGAGACACCTTAAAGGTGCACGAAAGCGCTCTGCCTCTAGTCAGATAGCTATTTTAGTCCTTATTATCAATTTTCCCCAATCCAGGAAGCTTCTCTAGGGCGGCACATGCTACAGACCAAGCGAGGTCATCAGGATATAACGCGCTGCGCAAATAAGCCCAAGTCATACGCTGAACCATAGCCAGTCGTTCCGGGCTCTCATCATCAGTGGCCTCAGCAGTATCGTAACCCGAAACTCCACCCAATCCATGTTTTCCGTCTTTCACCGTAAGAAGCGACTTCGGGCCTTTGCTGAAATAATATCCATCGGCATGATACTCCGCACCCCGGGTAGTCAAAAACGGGAATCCGTCACTGTCACCAATGACTACGAGCGTGGGCGTCTTCATCTCCGCGTGACTGTGATACTTGAGGTCGGTGTTCGCGGCAGCTGGACCTAGTCCGTCTCCACCTCTGCCGTCTCCGGGACTTGCGAGGAGGATACCTGCTTTGATGCGTGGTTCGGACATGTCCTCGGATGATGGATGTGTGGGGTCGTTTCCTCGAGCACCCAGCAGACAGCTTGCGGTATGGCCACCTCCAGAATGACCAACGACTGCGATACGAGTATGATCAAGGCGTCCTTGAATTTGTGGGAAAAGTGCCTCTATATCATCAAGCTTGTCGAGAATGAGTTTGAAGTCTGTCACCCGGGACCGTAGGAACCAGGGAGCTTCTGGGTATTCATCAGGGTTAAGGCTGAGCGCGCGCGAGCTGAGATGAGTGGGTTGGATGACAGCGAAGCCATGAGCAGCCCAGAAGTTGGCTACTGGACTGTAGCCATTAAGAGACGAGAGATTGTTTGAGGGTCCCTGGCCGTGGGATAGTAGAATTATTGGGAGATTGGTTCCAGTTGCTGGAGCAGAGACACGAATGTGCAAGTCCATGATGCGTTCTGGAGCTGGAAGTACCACGGGGCTCAAAGAGATGACGGAGGTCGCATCGTTAATTGGGATCTTTGCAGATTCTCCAATCAATGCGTGATCCTTGAAACTGGGAATGCGCTGCTGGGTCTTCTGAGCAGTAGACATGGTGGTGAGTTTTGTGTCGAATTCAACGGCTTTTTGTTGAGTATTGATGGACGTTATGTTTGAAGGTGTAGAGGTAGAATTACAGGAAAGAGATATTAGAATACTTATAGATGCTGAATTGGAAATATGTTCATGCTCTATGTCCCATATTCATATCCTTAAACCCGCAGCTGGTCAAGAACATACCAGGCTGTCAATGAGCGGGTGTAGTAGGTGTTGCAAAAGCCGACGGGTTGGGGGCGAAACGGGAATTTAGTGTTGGCTCTGACAGATGTGGAGAATCAACTACTGTTCATAATAATTGGCTTGCAGAATGTAGAGAAGAATGACCTCGAATTGAGACTATTCGGCGTTTACAAATCACCCACGGCGTTAGGGTTTTGGCACGGAACCCAGTCATGACGCTAGTGCTGTCACGATATTCTGCAAGGCATGTTAAGTAAGATGTGTACAAATAGCGAATTGCACGTTTAATTTCATATAGTTACTATCATTTCGCTCTGTATTCACTGATGACCCTCTTATTGGAATTTTGGAGCTTCAAAGTACGCTCAATGTGTCCGCAGTATGAGCTACATGGAGAGAGCTATATTCCTTGGCGACACGAGGCTGCACCGCGAGTCCCACAGCTGACTGACCTCTTGAGTCACTAACTTCCTTCGGGCTCTAACTGGCGTCCTCTGTAAGCTTATGCTCGAATCTTCATACCGCTTGGCAAGTAAGTATCGTAGTTTCCTCAATCCACAAAGTGTGGGTAAATGTATGAAGACTCGTCCAAAGATGGTCGTCGTCCACACTTATAACAAATTCTAAAAGAGCCTCTGCGGAGTTGCATTTCACTAGATTGCTAATAGCCTTCATGCTTGAAAATTAAAGCTCGAGAGCAAGCAACGCCGGCAGATTAACTGGTTAAGCTCCATTATTGGCCATCGGGGTTTAGCTGTTCGCGGGTCATATACTGCATTACACTATTGTATGTAGAGAAAAATATAACCATGCGAGTCTTATTCTGCAAGAGATGGTATTTGCGTAGTTCTGATCTTCGAAATAATTCAAGCATAACTTACTAGAGTACAGACAAGAAGCTCAACTTTAAAGCCAGCAGAAGCTTCGTGGGATGCCGCCACACGGCCCAATCAATCCCCGCGCCGCGTTATCGCTCTGCTGCCTCCGATACAGCTATTTCAACTCTCTCAACCCACATCATCTCCGACTTCACTTCCTCCTCAATTGCCCACCGCATTGCGCAACTCCCTTCTAACCAGTCCATCATCAATCACCCAGTGTGCGACCAAACAAACATCCGCGTGTCACCAGCAAAAGGGGATCTCCCCTCACACCATCTCTCCTCGTCCTTCCCTTCACCTCCTCACCCCCCATCGCACCTCGGCCGAACGCACGAGGACTCCGCCATAATGTCGACTTACGAGAGTGAGTACCTGCCACATCTCAAGACTATGCAGCAATGCATCAGCTAACTCTGGCATTTACTAGGTGAGCACAACACCACCGACCCGGCTATCGACAACAACCCGCGTCGCCGTCGCCCGGACATGTCCACATTCTTCGCGACACTCTCCGAGATCACCCCCGCCCCGGATCACCGTCCCCATGCCGTGCCGGTCCCTAGTGATGTGAGCGCTGCATTCTACTCACTTGCAGAAGCCTTCGAGGTTATGCGCCAGCAGGCCTCTGCAGCGGCAGACCAGGCTGGGGACGGTACCAATGGCGAGGAGCTTCTAAGTCAGATGATCGAGTCACTCCTGAGCCAGGCCGACACTCCTCCTCGGGAGGTTGAAGGCGTTAGCGAGGAGTTTTGCGACAGTAAGCAAGCACTACTAATAATGTTTAACGTCATAGACGCTGTGCTGGACATGGACTGACCTATTCCGTGATATGAACAGTGCTTGAACGTGTCCCCAAGGCGTCCCTCAATGCGTCGCAAATCTGCCCTATCTGCAACAACCCGTTCCTGGAGGATGAGTACCCGCTTGTCGTCCAGCTGCCCTGCCACCCAACACACCTCTTCGATCTTGAATGCGTACGCCCATGGCTCAGACTGCGGGGCACTTGCCCTCTGGATCGTACCGACTTCGCCAAACAACTGCGGGACAAGGCTGAAGAGCGCAAGAAGCTTACTGAGCAGGATGACGAGGAGGAGTGGGATAGCATGTACGGTTAGACTGCCTCTGATGTAGAGGCCCTGGTCTGGCGTTAACGCATGAATGATGGCGCATTTCACGGTGGCGGATGAGCGAGTTCAATAACGCCTATGAAGACTACATACTCGAAATGAATGCATGATGATACCCACCTTAGTACGGCTGTCCTTGATTTAGTTCTGGGGATATATCTACTTGACTGCCTTGTGAAGAATTCAGAATCAAGATTTTGATCTGTAGATTATTTTGAACAAAACCCATGCTAGATGTTACGCACAATGCGCTCATATCACATTAGATGGCGTGGCACCTTGAAGAAGAAGCCCCATGAGAAGCCACCTTATGCCGAAGCATCTTTAGGCCGAATAGCAAGCTTGCCTGCCTGGTCAATCATAGCCTCATAACCGCTTCGCTCCAGCACGCCGCCGTCATCCTTGACCACCTCACGGGCCTCGAGCTCCTCGACCAGACGCTGGTTCTCCCGGTTACCCTCCAGAAGGAACTTGAGACACATGACAGCATGTTCCTTGATGTAGGGGTTGTTGGAGTCGAACGAGGTGCACATCAAGATAGCCTCCACGCCGCCATAGCGACGAATCTGTTCTTGAACCTCGGGGCATTTCCACACCAGGGAGGAGAGTACCAAAACGACGAGCTTCTTGAGGTTGCGCCACTCGAACTCGGACGGATCTTCAGTGATGGGAGGAGACTCGGGGCGGGAGTCGACGCTGCCGGCATGGCTGTCAAGTGGGTCTGCTGGGTCGCTGGGGTCATACGGACGCTCGACGGCCACCGGGGTAGGCGATGCAGGCTTGGAATAGTCATTAGGAGAAGTACTGCGGGGTGGAGGGGGTGGGGGAGGCACCGAGCCAAAGGAGAGGGAGCTCAACTGGCCCTTGGGGATGCTGGCTTCCAGCTCCTTGATGAGGGTGACCAGATCATAGACAATCTCCCACTTCACCAGCAAGTTTTTCCAATCGTTGTTCTCTGTAAGAACGGCGAAGAACTCAAGGAATTGATACACGCCCTCGTAGACGCGCTCCATGTCCCAAAGGTTGAGCGGGAAGTCCTCCGGCAAGGCACGCTCGGCGCGGATTTGACCCTGGAGGTAGATCAGAGCACAGGTCTCTGGGATGATGTTGCCTCGGAAGATGGTGAAAATGTATCGCACTGTGAGGATGTCCACGCGGCTAAGGGGTGAGGGGGTCCGCGGGACACTGCCTTGCATAGAGCCCGACACCGAAGCGGGAGAGTACTTCGCACGGAAGATGTGCGTGAGGATCTTGATCACCACAGCCTGGGCTGGAGAGATGATGTCTTTGGGCTGGCCGAAATCAGAGTATGCATGGGACATGAGCCCATTACGAAGAACCGCCTCCATGATCTGGACCATCATCTTAAAGTAAAGCTCATCATCCGGAAGGTCCCAAGCAGCGATAAAGATCAGAAGCTCGCGCAGTAGGTTCCGGCCAGTTTCCTGGGTGAGAAGGATATGGCATCGGAGGGCTTGCATGTTACGTGAGCCATTTCGCTCACCACCCTTGAGTCCGAAACTGTCGACGATACCCGCCTGTATGATCATTGGTAGGGCTTCAATTTCGGCAGGTCCCAGCACAAGGGGAATATCAGTCAGGAGGCCGCGCTGTTGATCGCCAGGGCGACCACGATAGTCATCATCATCTTCGTCATCGTCTAAATCTTCACCATCATCACCTCGGTCAATATCATCACCGTCCTCTTCATCATCCTCATCGACACTCCCGTCCGCGTGGCCCTCCAGGCTGTGAGCATCATCTTCACCTACGGTTCCTGCGTCGCCGTGATCGTAATCTGCGCCATCGTCGCCAATCTGGGAAGCTTCTTGCAGCCGGGCCATCAATTCGTCCTTGGCCTCCTGTAGTGTCTCAGCTGCAGACTGAGACGATCGAGGCATGCTAGTATCATCCTCCGTCACGGGCGCATCTACCGAGTAGTCGTTTACTTCGGGTAGATCCGCCCAGCACAGTCGCGGGAAGCCAGCCGTCATACTGCGATCAATCGTAAGAATCGTCTTCTTCTTGGTAGCCTCGTGCTCTTCCTCTTCTGGGAGAGCAGGAGGTAATTCACGAGCTCTCTCCTGTAGATCTGACCACCCATCAACCTTGGCTCCCAGGATGGAAGTCAAAGCAGCCCGGATGTACTTGACTTGCTCAGGGTCTCGGCCCATCTCTTGGATATCGGTCAAGTCTCGTCCCAGGATCTTTTCCATGTGATCCTTGATGTTCGCAAGAAGCAGCATGGCAGCTTCTTCCTTGATGGTAGATGGCTCGCGCGGGAACTTTGCAATAGTCTCTAGAAGCAGATCTTCGGCGGTCTGATCATAGAGTGCTCGAATTGGAGGGTTGATGACCCGTTCTCCGATCTTGACAATCGGCGCAACTCCTTCAATCCGAGCCGTAGAGTCCAAAGCTTCTTTGGGTTGGATGATGTTTGTGTCGGCAGTTGAGTGATAGCCGAAGAGATCCAACCACAGCACCATCTTTCGGTGTTCATTGTGCATGATGAAGTTGTGGAGGTATTGGAGACAGGTGATAAGAAGCCGCTTGTACAGGTTCACCACTTTTTGCCATCGCTCCTCGTTTCGTGGATTTGTTTCGCCATCGAATCCCCTTGCTGTAACCCGCACACACGTATCAATCAGCGCGAGAATTCGCTGGTCGAAGCCCTTCTCAGCGGCCAGGTTCTGCGCTTTTTTGGTTGTCGCAAGCAGGTTCCGCGCGATGGTGCACAGGTCGTTGAGACGCTCGATATCCTTGACTAACGAAAAATAGTTGTATGCAATGAGGTTTGAGGAAGAATGTTCCAGTGCTGCCCTTGGACTCTTCCATGCGAATGACTGAGATTCAAGGACCGGGATGGCCTTGGTGAGAACATCTGTGAGTCCCGTCCAGATGTCCGGAGACATGCCGAGATTGTGTCTTTTGGCGTAGAAGATCAGCACATGAGCTTTCAGAAGATACAGCCAGATATTTCTCTTACCGAACTTCGCTTTCCTGGTGCGTCTTGTACAGGATCTGCTTTCCAGCAGCGAGCATGTGCTCCAGGCGTTTGTCATCGATCATACCGCGTGTCTCATAGTGGCTCAAGGTTCCTGCCAGGATCACCTTCAGCATGAGCTCCGCTGGAGTACATAATGGCTTTTTCTCCGCCATTTTCCGCAGCAGAAAAGCCTCGACTGGACTGAAATGTCAACAGAACTTGCGGACTCTCACGGTGGGATGAATTAGAAATCGCGGCGGACAAAATGAGGTTTTACGGACATTTCGTTCACCGCCTGGCACTTACCGCCTACCATACATGGACTATTAGTCCCATGAGGACAACGGTCTCGACTAAACTGGTGGGCTAAATGTAGCATCCATACCGCTATTCTCATCTAAAAATAAGATTTGTACTTTAATCCTAAAGTGAAGATTTTAATGACCTCCCAATTTCGCCATCTGTGAGCAGTTGTGCACCGGGTGTCGGACCTAACTATGTCTTGAATTCTCGAAGTTTGTCGACTAATATGCATTGATATTGTCTGATAACTGATGACAAGCTATGTAGAGGGTCTCTGTCGGACATTTAGCCCCAGAGCATCTTTTAGGTTTCTTCGAAACCCCATGTCATAGAGGTTGTCTAGGTCTCTTATGCTATGTAGTTCAACCCACTGCGGGTCGATCGGCCTGGACTGATTGGGATCACCACGGTATGAGACTCGATTAGAGGTATCCTCCAGAATATAGCCTGCCAATGGTGGCTGGCCACCTGTGACCAGGATCTGGTCGCTTTGCACTGGCCACGGGTGGTCACTGAGATCCACATGTGAAGGTGCACCCTGAATCTGACTCCGCTTGGCCTTGAAAACGAATCCATCTGCCACATCTTCCTTCCAGTCGGCCCATTTAGCACTCTCGTTGGTCGTCATACCAGCCCAGATAAGGTACGTATGATAAGCCAAGAAGGCAACGGCCAACGGGGCCGTCATGAGCATCAGTAGTGTGACCGTTCCAATTTTGGGGTCTCTGGTGATCACGATTGACCAGACGTGGAGGTACATTGACCAACTCTTCATAGCTGCCTGTACATCCAGCGGAACGATTTCTCGCAAGGTTTGCCACAGAAGGGAGTAGCCGAGCAAGGTACCATAGATCAGCAGTATCGACACGGCGAGAAGAAGCGATAAGAAGTACTTGTAATTGTTGGCTCCAACGCAATTCATCAGCCACACACAATGATGATCATGTCGAGAAACACAAGCCTGGCATAAACTGCAGTGCTTACTGCGTGCAGGCTTGAGAAACTCGCAGGTTGAACATAGATGTCCAGGGTGGAAGAGAACACGGTCATAGGGGTAGCGTTTCATCTCTTCTGCGTGGTTTTCTGAAGTCACGAATGGTTTGGTGACCACGGACTTGTACAGAAGTACATATGGTAAGATAACGACGCCAGGGACCCAGAAATGATGAGTACTGGACATCCGAGGCCATGCCACCGGTAAGAAGAAGCCCTCGCCTATCATAAGCAAGCCGATGAAAAACATCTGGCGTTTGTTAGACGGGGGAAACTGACGGTTTACATAGCAGATAGCACTTACAAGTACCAAAGGATGGTTCTCGTGCAAGATATAGCTACCAGAGCGGCTCCATGCTCGGACTAGCCATCCACCAAGTAGACGGGAGTCGATCCAGGCGATTCCATTGGGAAGGTAGACCCATAACAGTCGATAGAGGAAGGCAATCGGAGTTTTTCTTGTTGGTGTCAATTATACTGCCATAATATTCAAAAGAAATCTTACCTAAAAACTGGTAAACGGCCGAAAAGTGCCACGAAAACGAAGGCCGAGATGCTCAAGATGACAAGAGCAACCGTTCGGAGGGCCCCCATGGTGGCATGTAGGAAATGAGCCCGTTGCCTTCTTTGATCTCTTGAATAGTGACCACAACGAATGTGAAACAGTCTCTCACGCCGGATAAGTTATTTTCATTTTCCGCTGCTTTTGGTGCTGCCTCGAATTGTTGTTGACTGGTCAGGATTCAAGGCGGGCTTGTCATCAACACGGTCACGTGCCTTCCACCTGGGAGACGGTCGCGCGACGTTACCCTTCACTTGTGCTTCGATTGGGCTCAACGCCTCAGTTCCTCGTGGGATTTTAATCCATTGTACAGATTTTTGGAAACATTCATCTAGGATACTTTCAATCAAAGTTTTCTCTAATCTGAGGTCTTCCCCAGAACGGCCAGGGAAACATGCGGACACGTGATAACGCGTCAAACCGTGATACCACTGAGCACATCGCAACCTGTCCAAAGACGGCTGTTTTTGTCTCGACAATTCTCGCGTCGTGACAATACTACCAGCTCCAGGAACGGCGGGAGACATGTCGAACATCTTCGGAGGGGGGAGATTCTTCTTGTCCCACGCCATCCCTCAGCGCACACAGTTGAAAGAAAAGATCGAGGTTCGCCCCACTATATAAAGACGCCGAGGCTCAAGTGTTGATATCTATCTAGAAGCACGGCGGGAGCGTTGTTTTACTGGAGAAGGATGCTGATATCATTCTTGTGGATCATTTGAGGAAGACACAAACCCACCCTCCCAATGCGTATATTCACCCCATTCCACAAAGCACTCTGACGAGAGCCTTACTCACGTCTTCTGCAGGCTATCATACCAATATGTCGAACAATCCATTTATCGTGGGAAGTTGGAAGACCCTGCAACCCATCGGGTCGGTCCTGCCGCGCCCCGTCCGATGGGCGCATCCAACATTCCTACGAAGAGCACCAGGAGAAGCTACACCTTAGAGGACGATCGGATTGTTTTCGACTGGCTGTACCCTTACGAGAAGTCCAAAGGTGCGCCAACGCACGGCAATACCATTTACAAGAATCTAGCTGAGCGAGTACGTTTTGCTCCTGTAACTCTTTGAACGAAGGCAGTCGGTTCTAGGACGTACTAATACTGAATCACAGTTCCCACATCATACATGGCAATCCTGGCGAAGTCGATATTTGAAAACTTTGCGCGGAAAGCCACGCCCAGGAGGAGGGATCCCCAGACCTGACCTTGTGTATGGGGGTCCTGAAGCAGTACCCCGGTTTGGACCACTATCACAGGGCCCCCAAACGCCCGTGCAATCTCCAACGCCTACTGAACCTCCTACACAACCAGCTTCAGCCCCCAGCAAGCAGCCAAGTCCTCCAGCAGAGTCTAGTACGAAACGAAGACTGCCCCCCGACTCGTCGCCCCATCAACCCGAAGAAGCCAGTCCAGCAAAGAGAAGGCGGATAGACGTGCCAGAACAACCTCTTTCTACCACCCGAACCTCTCTGAATCAACCTTCCCAAATCATAACACGGCCACTCAGAACGCCGCCTCGAGGACCCCTCGGGAAACATACAGACACGTCCGGCCCCGAGCCAGACCCCGCCCACCATCAAATCTCGACAATACCAGCACAAAGAACTATCATAACCGAGACCAGTGAGGTCACTAAACAAACGGTGGATCCGCTATTTCAGCATCTACCATTCTTCCCGTCGAGCTCAGAAGCTGAAAGTGAAGACGACGAGGAGGAGACAGAAGACGATGACGGGGAAGATAGCGACCCAGAAGACTATCCGGACATAAGCAGCTGGGTTCAAGCCCAAGTGGCGAGAGGCGCTGATGTGTCCATCGTACTTGACGCTCTACGTTATACCAGCATGGAACCAGCGTTGGCCAGAAAACTGCTGAAAATCCTAATGGCTGGCAATCCAGTTCCTGAGAATATGCGTGGAGTATGGACGGAGGAGGACGATCAATGCTTGGAAAGTCCAAATGCCCGCGACGTCGAGCGGGTGACCAAGAAGCATGGTGACAGACTTTTCCAAGCTCGGTGGGAGTATCTCGAGATGGCTCGAGAAAGGGGATTAGTTCAATGAGAGTCTCAAATATCACATGAAGTTCACTATCCTGCAGACGAAGTAACGGTTCAAAGGAAACCTAAGATTCAGACCCAAAAAATCAAGACCGTAGAAGTCAGTAGACCACAGCCCACTGGTACCAAGAGACACCTTATCGCACGCATTATGGATCCCCTATCCTGGAGAACAAGAAAAATCATTGGCATTCGTCGCCTATCCTACATTGGAAACCCCGGCTCTGAGATATGAAAAGAAAAGACCCAAACTCCGACGAGCTCCGCTAGAAAGAAAATATTCACTTGATTCTTCTTTGAAAGAACCTGTCCATAAACCCATTCGGGCTTTGCTCGCTCTACACGAGCTATGGAATATGCTGGCCCGGTCAGGTCTCCTTGAAGACTCTGTAGAAAAGTTAGCGTCAATAACTTATTGTAGAGAGGGCTGGAATGAGCTTACAAATGATTCTCGTAGAATTGAAGCATCTAGAACCCATCGGACCCATCATTAGTGTTCTACCCCTGGGTATGTGTCGTTTGATTAAACTTACCTGGCGTGGGCATCTGTCATAGCACATTTCAAGTGCAACACGAGAGCGCTTTCCATTCTTCCACAGCAGGAATGCAAACAGCATCTTGCTATCCTGGTCCCTTATGATGGTGTCAACTTTCTCCAGTTGACTACCCCAGTCTTTGCCCTTTGGCGTCCAGCTGAGGTCATCTTCCTCACTGTCCGCGGCCGTTTCTGTGGGCGTCTCCTCTGTTGCAGGCGCTGAGGATTTCCGGTGTCGCTTGTGCTCGGTGGGTTCGGCGAATGCCGAAGTCTCCTTGGTCTTGCCCATCGACTTGCGTTTGCGACCCGGTCCAGCCTTGGCGGTAGGTTTTGGAGCGTTCCTCCTGGGGCGTCCACCGATCTTCTTGTAGTACGCGTCCAAGATTGCCTTGGCGCCCGATCTGTAAACAAGCGTAAGTAGAAGCACCGTATCATATGTTGAAAGATCCACTTATACGCACTTCAGGGATGACTCAGGTTCCCAAGTAAGGTCTTCTGGCTCATCCCAGCCTTTCCACTTCACGAGGAGCTTGAATGAACCCTACGTAATTGGTTAGAGCAAGTAAGCAAAACAAAGAATTGAGAAGCCAAGGCGACTCACATCGTCCATCCAATCATGGCGCTCAATCCTCTCAACGACATACCTAGATTATGTTAGATTTTCAAGCCCCAAAAAGAGCTCTTCGGCGTGCGCGACTGACACGTCCTCTGCCTCCTCCTCGTCGTCATCATCCTCTTCGTCTTCGGCATCAACCTCATCAGCATTGTTCGCATCATCGGCGGTGCCGTTCTTGTCATCGAATGGGATGTCGCCGGACTCCTCGTCGGAGATGTCCTCGATGGGAGCTGTATATCGACAGGTCAGCTTGTGCGCACGCGCGAAACAAGATCAACACGGCGCATTCACTCACGCGGCATGTTCGATCGAAAGGGCGAGGCGAGGTGAAGAAGTTTAGAAAACAGCTTGTCGGTAGGAGGATTCTACCTCGGGCAATTGCGATTGAAGAGCCAAAAGCCAAGGAGCGACACCAGAGCTCGAGAGATCGCAAGCTTATCGGGGTTAAGAGTTGAGGGCGCGTGAGAGAAGCTGGAAAGGCGGAAGGGTAGCGCTATACCGCTTTGGGGAACCAGAATTTAATTTGCTGTGAGCCCCGGAGCTTCACCCCTCTACATCGCTGCTGTGGGAACAAGGACCTGGTCGACTTTGTTCACTATTTGTTCTCTTTCTTTTCTCTCATTTCTTACTTGGCATTCTGACCTTCTGCCAGGTGGCACTCCACCGTCAAGATGGCGATGCGTACGTACTCCCTGATCTCTTTCCGGATGCCCCTCAATGAACCCCCGTATCGGTGACTGACCGTGACTTGGGATCCCAACAGAACTTGATCTTTCTCAAGGTAATTAGCGACGAGTATTCTCAAAATTACCTTACACGGCCGTTAACATCCTGGGATAGCCTCGGTGTTGAAGGATGAGCAGGGCCGTCCGTTTATCGTTGTTCGCGAGTACGTTCACCGACACCCCATCTCTATCCGCCTCCTCGTTAGCAAATTGGGCTATCTCGAAGGCGTCAAAGCATAATTCTGACTGGTGGACTCTCTTAATTTACAGTCAAGGAAGGAAGAAGAGACAACATGGCACGGAGGCTGTGAAGGCACACATTGTTGCTGCCAAGACGGTGGCCAACATTGTGAAGACTTCTCTGGTATGTCCTTTGAAGTTATGTGGAGTGAATGGTATCTGACCGGATTCAATAGGGCCCCCGTGGCTTGGACAAAATTCTCATTTCCCCCGACGGCGATATCACGGTCACCAACGATGGCGCAACTATCCTCGGCCAGGTTCGAGACCCCCTTTTACATCAATCCCGAGCCGGCAAACCGCTAAATCATGGACCAATAGATGGAAATTACCAATAACGTCGCTAAACTGCTCGTCGAGCTCTCCAAGTCACAGGATGAGGAAATCGGTGATGGAACAACAGGTGTTGTGGTTTTGGCTGCTGCCATGTTGGAGCAAGCTGCGGATTTGATTGACAAGGGCATCCACCCTATCCGGATAGCCGACGGCTACGACCAAGCTTGCGAGATCGCCCTCGCAGAGCTTGACAAGATTAGTGATGAGATCCCCTTCTCACGCGAAGATACCAGCAACCTGCTCAAGGTTGCCAAGACCAGTCTGGGCAGCAAGATGTAGGATGATGGCCCAGGTTTCCCCTGCCCTGAATTGATTTATCTAACCTCGTAATGCAGTGTTTCCAAATCTCACGACCAGTTCGCCAAGATCGCTGTTGATGCTGTGCTGTCCGTGGCCGATCTGGACCGCAAGGATGTTGACTTCGAATTGATCAAGGTGGATGGCAAGGTTGGCGGTGCTCTTGAGGACTCCCTTCTTGTCAAGGGTGTTATCGTCGACAAGGACTTCTCTCACCCCCAGATGCCCGACGAGGTTCTGGATGCCAAGCTCGCTATCCTGACCTGCCCCTTCGAGCCCCCAAAGCCCAAGACCAAGCACAAGCTGGATATCACCTCCGTTGAAGAGTTCAAGAAGCTTCAGGATTACGAGCAGGAGAAGTTTGCCGAGATGATTCAGAAGCTTAAGGACTCAGGTGCCAACCTGGTCATTTGCCAATGGGGTTTCGATGATGAGGCCAACCACTTGCTCCTTCAGAACAAGCTGCCTGCTGTCCGGTGGGTTGGTGGTCCCGAAATTGAGCTGATTGCCATTGCCACAAACGGCCGCATTGTGCCCCGCTTCGAGGATTTGTCCGCCGACAAGCTGGGTACTGCTGGCCGTGTCCGTGAGATGACTTTCGGTACCACGAGGGAGAAGATGCTGGTCATTGAGGAGTGCGCTAACAGCCGGGCTGTCACTGTCTTCATCCGTGGTAGCAACAAGATGGTACGCAAGCAATTGCTTGAATAAGCCGCGATATTGGTGACTTGTGACTAACCAAGCTCGCAGATTATCGACGAGGCCAAGCGGTCACTACACGATGCCCTCTGTGTGGTCCGCAACTTGGTCCGCGACAACCGCGTTGTTTACGGCGGTGGTGCTGCCGAGATTGCCTGCTCCATCGCCGTGGAGGATGCCGCTGTCAAGGTTCGTACATTGTCGCTACTTGACCATATGGTAACTGGACTAATCAAATTTACTCTATGCAGAGCCCTGGTATTGAGCAGTACGCTATGCGCGCCTTCGCTGATGCGTTGGACGCGGTTCCTTTGGCCCTTTCCGAGAACTCTGGTCTGAGCCCCATCGAGACGCTGGCTTCCATCAAGTCGCGCCAGGTCAAGGAGAAGAACTCCCGCCTTGGTGTTGACTGCATGCTGACTGGCAGCAACGGTAAGCAACTCCTGGTTCGTGATTTGGTGTATGTCAACTAATGCAGTCATTGTGTAGATATGCGTGCGCACTTTGCTATCGACCCTCTTATTGGCAAGCGCCAGCAGCTCCTGCTCGCTACCCAGCTTTGCCGCATGGTTCTCAAGGTACGGTCATCTATGTGTCTTCCTTGACACAAGCATAGGCTAACATATGTCTAGATCAACAACGTCATTATCTCTGGCGATGACGACGCCGAGTTTTAGGTTACCCGCACATATTTCTAATGCCCTCTAGACGGCACTGGAGTATCTGGTCCGGTGCGTCGGCTAAAAAAATCTGATGATCCTGGTTGGACTCCTATGTAAAACATAGTCCCTTACATAGAATTTTCCGAGTTGCAATGAGAAAAGGGTTTACGATCTCTAATCCTCCTTTTTTCTTGGTTTGTGTCTGATCGTAGATATCCATGACCCCGGCCTAGCTTGATCACGTCCCGGTGGCGATCTGAAAAGACAAAGTGAAACATATGCTTCACCGGTATGAATGCGTACGCAGAGATCTATTTTTTGGCATCTGAGCAACACCCGATGATCGCCCGACTACTTTACGCAATCCAGCCCTAGCACGTTCACTCCTCTGATCGGCACATGAAATAACTGACATGGTGCCACTCACAAGAAAATCGAAAAAGAAAGAATCCTTTGAAGCAGACTCTCGATCTCGCACTTCCCTACGCTGCATCCATTCCACTTGACTAAGCCTCGGCGATTTCAATTTTGATGAGAACTTGTGCTGTCCAGCTAGAACATTCGCTCACGAGGGTCACCTAACATGCCGAGGAACAGAGGACAGGACATACCAACATCCCCTTTCGATCATCCATTTCTACTCTACCTACCTCGGTCAGTTATCTGAACAGGTTGCAGTCTTTGTTTTTGGACTATAGGTTCCCATGGTCCAAGACTACGTAACTTCACAGTCTCGTGAGAGTTTCCTTCGCTGTTGTACTACTTTGATGCCAAAATGCAGATCCCTCGGGACTTGCATTATCTCACCACCGTCCAAAAACGTACCGTCCAGGATCTTGAATTCTCCCTACACGGCTTCTTGCGAACTTCACATGTCACAGTTGTAAATCTGTCATCCTTGTCCGTCGTAGAACCTCGTGGGGATCACCTGCGAAAATGACGTCGCTGGAAAGGGGTACCTGCTTCTTGCCGATAGAAGATAGCATGCTCTTCCTGTCTATGGAGAACTAATATGAGGTAATATGTACTACACATGCCGGATTGGGATCGTGGTCAGTGATGCGGTTAACGGATTAAAATGGCTCGGTTGATACGGCTTCTAGGTGTGTATGTATGCTCAACGAGATTCTCGTGCTGAGTTTTGATATACTGGCTGTCCCGCGTAAATTATTGGATGACTAGCGAATGTAGTATACTCTTTGAGCCTATGGGAGTTTGTGGAATACGAGGGGATGGTATAACCATAAAATTATGTCTGTTGACCAGGAGGCCCAAATTGCAATATCACGAGAAATACAATCAAAGTAGTTCAACCATACACTCTGATCAAATGACCGTCCAAGTCGTCACATCTTGAGCATCTCCATCTAATCCAGGTCAAAGATGTTTGACAGTCCTCCTCTTTTCAATCGATACCGTCAAGTCAACTGGATACAGAGACATGGCTCAATCGGCCCGGGCAGGTTTCACAACGCGTGGAAATGCGACCCCAGTTCCCCGCGACTCGTGGTCCGCAGAGTTCTAAACTCTGCGATCCACTGCGGCTCGACAGTGGTCAAGACAGGATTGGGTTGTTTGGAGTTCCCGTTTCTGTAACCTCTATCACGGCATGTGAGGAATGATATTGATCTTTTTGCCTTCGTGGAACGGATGGGTTCATCAGTGAGATTGGTTCGATATTCGCTGGACATGGTTGTTCCCTATAGGTCTTTCAATGGTATATTCCCTTGTGCTAGTTTAAAATACACTCATCCAAGAATGTGTGGTTAAATCATAGATTGTTCTAGATTCATTTGGAGTGATCGGATGATCCTCGGCTGTCTGGCCCCCAAGTCTGAGAAATATCGGCGATCTCAACTCAGCTCGTATCTTAAAACACATGGCTGAGTTGGGTAGTATCTGAGACGCAAACCTTGCAGAAGTATCACGAGATGGGTAAATAAAGAAAGCTGAAATCTGAAGTAGATGCCTTATTTTGTTCCCGAACTTCTGCATCATTGCAATCTATATTTAGTCTGCAGAAATAAGAGGATCGGCAACCGCGGATGAATCTACATTTACTGTCTGCCCTGTGGGTGGCCCAGTTGAAATGTAGGCATAAATGCAACCGGTAAGCGTTACCACGGGGAGAGACGGTCATCTCCAAGACTTGCATGAAGAAATAGTTTGGGTTGAAGCGCCGGCATCTGGTCAAGATGCAAACTCATCACTGCGGTGTGACAACACTGACAGGTACCGGGCAAATCTGATCAAGGGAGCTTTTTCGTTGACGGGATCAGGATTGAAATTTGTAAGACCTGGCTTCCTAGAAATTCTTGCAGCTGGTTTGATGTCGATAACTGTATGACCCTTGGTGGTTCTAGACCGATGCAGCCAGGCAATATGGCTGTCTGTAGTTTGTGTTTCAAAGGAGACTACCGAACCGGTGGTGGAAGAATGATTTACTTCTTTCCTCTGCCTTTTGCTATACTCATGGTCAGCCACTTCGGATCATCGACGTTTAGGCGCGCAGAGCTAAGAGGCCAATATTATTCCTTTTGCAGGGCGCACTGCGCGGTTCAGATGACCTGATGTCGTGTAAATGCCCCGGACCAGGTGAGACAGGGAGAAGAGGAAAAAGGAATGATAGAGTCGAATACAGCAAGAATACAATAAGGAAGTAAATCAAATCCTTGAATGGATTTCTCATAGTCGTATTCAAAATCTAGCTCTATTGCTTAGTGTGCTCCGTGAGGCATCTTCGGTCATCAGCCTCATTGCTGCCACAGCCATCCGACCCGCCTCTGCTCACATGGACAGGGCCGATTGACGTGGTCGCCATCTGTTCGTCGCAGCGACATCGCAAGATATTTCGGGGAGATTTGCGTCTTACTCGTGACGGTCAATCTTTGCAGAAGGATAATATCATCGACGTTTGCTGGTTTCTCCATAAGCGCCTTCTAGTAAGTGCTGAGGTCTCGAGGGTCACCAGCACTTTCTCTTTACCGCCGCTTCGGGATATCGCTTGGGCTCGTCACACGACGACGAACCTGTCAACCGTGAACACATCACCGCCCTAGTGGTCGATCGCTATGAGGACTGTTTACCGTCACATTCTGGGTGTCGATTCTCGTTGTCACGTCAATAGGGCACAGTCACCCTGGCATACTGCTATGCCTCTTTTCGATGGCTTGGGCGAGTGGTTCGTATGTAATCGTATTCTCGAGATGACAATACATCCATCTCCTGTTTCGATCTATTCCGATCGAAGGGATGGGATTACGAGGTTAGGTTTCATTACTCTTTGTGTCAGGAGGGTATGACAGATATGTATTTGTTGAGGACTAAAAGGACTAAAAGGGTTGGATCAACAAATTCGTTTATTGGACGCAGCCTGATCCTCCCATGCTTTTCTTCCCCGGACTGTTGCCCCCACTCTTGACAAATCTCTCCATGGATCCAGTATGAACATCCAATATATATTGTGTTAAGCGATATGGACTATATTTGGCCACTAGGATAATACATACGGAGTATACCATTCAAGTCAAATTTCCACATATCATTTAAAGTGGCCTAGTATCGGAGGCCGGGGCTATCATTCCAAATTCATAGCAACGCCCGTCGAAGAACGAATCCATATCTGGCAAGGTATTCTTTTATCCAGTGATTTAGTATCACCTATCGTCCAGTCCCCCCAGCAGATGCACGAAATAATATATTGAGGCAGGAACGCCATAAGCCGTTCATGGCGCAAGACCGACCCCCTGACGCATTTCGCGCCCAGTGGTTGGCGGATAAATGGGAGAAAGAACGAAATGCTCAAACAGATAATTGTTCCGACACACGCAATCCATCACAAGCTCCGGACACCGACGAAGACTCCGTCAAGCGTTCCAAGTCCTTTCATATCCAATATCGCGTGTATGCTTTACCCCGTACCCCATGCTTACCCCAGCATCAAAGAAATCCACCCAAGGCAACCGCAGATCCCAGCGCCGCGAAGTCGCTACAAGCGAACATACCCAACCACAAGCCCAAAAAGCGGCACCCAGAGCCACCATGCAAGCAGCTCAACTCGGACGACGACACAAACGGCACCTAGCACTGTGGTGGCGCCGGTAATTCACCTTCATTCAACCTTCTCCTCCTAGAATTTGAGTCTCTGCCCGAGATCGGCCGCCTTCCAGGGGCGACCGGTCTAGATCGCTGACCCTGGGAAAGCCTCATGACCTGGGGGCCATGCCGCGATCAGCAAACAAAAGACAGCTTCCTTGCATCCCCCCTCCATCGGACCATCACACAGGCAGCGCCAGTTCAGCCACGATCACACCAAGATAGGTCGGATCGCGTAGGATTCGAAATGTCTTTGATCGCGAGCCGCTGCAGCCGTCCAATGCGAAAAGGGGAAAAAAAGCAACGCGACCTGTCAGAAGATGCTGTAGCCGCCCCAAACAAGGCCGACCGCTGCATATGGTTTGACACCGCCCATGTTCTTGGGGCTTGTGGTTCTATTCGCTGGCCTTGCATTGATGTATCAGCCTACAGCTTATCACTAATTATTAGGTGCTCGAGGCTTGAATCGGGGGATCAGAAGGCGCGAAGGGTGATCTTCGGCTGGGGCCGTTCCCCTGGTCATTAGGTCAGACTCTTAATTTGTAGGGTCCATGACCACGCTTTTCGTATGGATTTTATCATGCTGTAAACCTCGGGGATGTGTGGGGAATGTGTGGGGAATGTGTATTGAATATTTTGTTTGTGACCGATGCAACGATACATGTTGGCAGGCTGTTGTAGATACTTCTAATGTCAAGTCGAGTCCATACCAGTTGGAAGTTGTGTGTCAAAACTCCAAGATATATATTGATAGGTCCAACGGCATACATACCTCGCCATCACTAACCGAACTTGCTACTCATCTGTTGGATATTTTTACAATTATCAGACATGAGCTCTATAGAGTATTTCGTTTTCATAATTGTTCAAAATATCTCAAACTTTCATAGTACAAATCCCTAGTATCAATAAGAAATCATTGACAATGATGAGGTGGCTGAAGAACACAAAGAAAGCACAGCAACGAACTCACTAAACAAACAGACCTTGCACAAAGTACAGTGCTTCCAGCACGACTTTGGTCGAGCCTGGCATTATGGACCCACAGGATCGGAGAATGCGAGGAAGGCATGCCCAGCACTCCCAAGTGTCTGGATACTTTGATCGACAGGAGGAAAGGGGAAGCACAGATTAACTCGCATAGCGTTACCCGCATCCGAAACAAGGGAGGGAGTAATCCAAATTTCCAATGTCCAAGGCCAGATGGGACCTTTGACTGGTATGTACAAAGTCTGAAGACAGGATTGAGCCTTTCCAGATGACTTTGGTTCAATTATGAACAGAATTGGTAGTCCTCGTACCAGATGGGCCTATAGCTCTACGGGGTAGGCGCGCTTGAAGCGGAAGAGGTTAGGAATACTGACATGCAGGACGACCCATGTTCATAATCACCCAGGTATATCGCCGTAGAGCTTGGTAGGTGTTGTGTTACACTGGGTTCAAAGTTGTTACTAGACAGCGCTAGAGGACTACCATCAATATATGGACCTGATAGATTGTAATACATGCGGATCACATTAATATGCGACAGTATCTGCAAGCTTTATAGCATTGACAGCATGAAGTCTTAAAAAACTTCTTCACAGAGCCATGGACTTGGTTCGTAGGTGCGATGGAAAGAATTGATCGTCCCGGATATGCAAGTCCTGCTTCCGGCTGGACTGCAGGGCTCGGGGAACCCCATCTCCGTTTCGACCAGTCCCACTCCCCCAAAATACACTGCAGCCAGACCGTCTCCATTCGAGGCGATGGGCGTTCTGGTATCTCGCCCTGTGGGAAAAAGAAATAACACCAGAGGTCACAAGGACAGTCATGGAAGCAGATACATCAATTTCATCATTTTTCACGGACAATATCCCCGTAGCCAAATCCTTGTTTACAGGTTCAATTTACACTTTCGAGGCCACGAAATGATAGCCCGGCCATGGACACAAATCTTTAAAGAGAGAGAATGACGAAGGTGGCCCCTGGATCGACTATCTCCCCAGAGCTCATTGGCAATGGCTCGACGGATGATTGACTTCTCGAGATCAACGGCTCACCTGACCCGTGGGTCGAAAAAAGTATGTAAAACAATGCACGGCTTCACTCCCGTCTTCCCCGGACAAACATCCCTTGCCTTGCCGAATCAGCGGGCTCGGGGCGTTCATACTTGGGACTTTCTTTTCCTGGTCCGCTATGTCTGCCAGATGGACTTGAGTTACAGAGGGTGTTATTCTGTAACTTCATTAAGATTTTCCAAGAGGCTCTCGAATGCCAGCTTTTCTGTTCTCTGGTCCCTTGTTTGCATTCGTAATCGCCAGATCCCTGCCTTGCCCTTCTTTGTTGCCTCTGGCGCACATGGTCGCTCCAAGGGCTGCCCAGGGAAACGGGATGACACTAGGGCCGCTTCGCTTGGAAATGTAATTTGCCGTTCAGGTCTGACGAGATACAAAGAGAGAAGCTTTCCAGGGCGTTTGCTAAGTGTATACAAAGCCCAATTTAAGACTCGTTTTTGCGTTTCATAGAATCTCTAGTCAGCTATAACGTAAACAAAGAGAGGCGGCAGTGAGAGTATGCACTGTACTACCCAGTCGCTCTTTGCTTTTTAGCCCCTTCTCTCCTTCCTCTTTCACACTTGAGCCTTGCCTTGCATTTTCATCGCGTCGACAACGGGCATATCTTTGGTTGGTGAAACTCAAGGCGTATTGACTTTATCGGCGTTGCGCCGGGCACGGTTAAATCTTGACCGCGAGCCTGCAACAGCCGTCAAGACTTGCCGTCGATGTTAGTTTACGGGCGTGAAGCGCCAGGTATCTCAGACTGAACGTCTTGGCGGAATGCCTTATCCTGCGACAGTTGAGTGACCTCGCTAGCGCCCTATCAAAATCCATACCACGCATAGAGGTTAATTATATCATTTGGCTAACGCCAGCCACATACTCCGACGATCCATACATATCAGGCAGAGTATGGTGATCGACGATGGTCCAGCTCTACAGCCGCGTGCTGAGAGGATGCTGTCGCGGCCAGTAGCTGAACGGGACTCGTACAAGAGTGCTTTGAAGGATGATCTCACGCCAAACATATTGTATGACGGGGTCGCCCGGTGCGCTGGAATTGTGAATCGTGGGGGATATCAAATTAGTCGAGGCCAGCTGACATGGACCGGCCCACTTCACCCGCTTTATTGGAGCCGACCGGTACCTGCCATCACAACCAAGCATATTGACTATCAGCCAATAGATATGCTGTACTCCATAAAATACGCAGGGCCAAGGCCGTCATCCTGTGGCTGTCAGAAGGCAAGGCGGATTAGCCATGTATAGAGAATATGGTCGTCTCGGCAGGTCAGCTCGGAGCCAGAAGTGGACTCCGGTATAGAAAGACAGCAAGTCGGGACGTCACAAATGGCCAAGGGGGGCTTATCATGTGACGCGTGCTCGTGATCTTGCCACAGTTCGGAGTCTTCTCCACTCGCCCACTTCCCTTTGCCTGCTTCGCCCACTAAGCATCTTGTCCCACTCGGAATACACGAGATTATTGTACTGGACTGTTGTATACAGACAGCAGCCGTACGCTGTACTGTACAGAACACTGCTTTCCGCGGGGGGCCACATCGTCCCCGCAGGCATGATCGACGAACCGAAGCGCGCTCCTCGGCGACTTCCTTCAGAAAGTCAGCTGTCCACCTGTACCCGATCTACTGTATCTTCTGATCCACGCCTCGGGCCTCACTGGCAGCTTGCGGCATTGGTGGCAGCTCTCTCGACATGGGGTCCTCCATTACTGTTACGTATGACTCCTGCCACCCTTCCACCTCGGGAAGCAATCTTCCGGACTAGTTTCTTGAACCTCGGCTCGAAATATTGCTAGTGCGAGCGAGCGTACGAGAAAGAGCCATGGATATTCGAATCCGAGATTGAGAGCGTGACTTTCGTTGATTGCATCCGACAGTCCAGGGTAGCTACTCCTTAGTTAGAACGTGTGTCAGAGAAGCGTCGAGAAGACGAACCCTGTTACGCTACTAGGGATAGTTAATATTGGCAGCCTTCCTGGACAGTTCCTAATTGTTTAGTGGGAGGTGGATCCCCGTTCAGCCAGCGTTGATCGGCCGGCCCCTTCTGCAGTACATACTGCAGCATCAAATTGCCACCGTCTGGTACCACCCGAATTATAGACATGGTGAGATCGAGAGACCTCTGGCTGAGTCGATGGGCTTCTCTGCCGGCTTGTTTCTGAGGTCATCACGACGAAGCAGGGCGGCGATCTGAAGGGAATCAGGGCAAGGGAGCTGTCTTTTGGCCAGGAAGAGATGGTAGAACCGTCATGATGGTCAACCACCATGGTCAGCCGCTTGACAGCCATGCTGCTGCACGGTGAAATGCTTTGCAGGCTGTGGGTGCTATCGAGAATCGTGTCATACAGTAGTACATCCAGAGAAAAAGATTTGATGACTAGAGGGCTGTTTGGACGAATCAGAAGACTGGCTCGGGTAGATGGGCAGTAGAAAGTGTACTATGTGAATAAACTCCGCACTCCATATGAACCATGATTGATTAACTCGATTCTTGCCATATTCCGGCGGTTCGCTAGTCTTTGCCCCGGTTCACCGGACATCTTGAAGGGTCGCCAATATCAAACGGCGAGCCGAGTCCGCAACTCCGCGGGGGTGATGTGGAGCCGGTGAAGGTTTCCTGGGGTGGACCAACTATCAGGACTTCTGTGAAAGTCACCGGTACAGTGACATGTTGAAACTATGCATGATATTAGTAAAGAGTAGTACTACACAGATTCAATACATAAATAGTGGGAGTATATTGACAAAAGGCATATACAACCAGCCTGTGTACTCTTAGATCGTAGATGCTCGAATTATACCAAGCAGTGCATTTCTCCCCCGCAAAAGCTTCCTTGTCCTCCGCCCCACCAGGATCCCCAGATGACCCAGAACCACAAAAATCACACTCCGAAGAAGAGGCAACGCAGATGAGACTCCACATTCCCAAAGACCTCTCGTTTGACGTGGAATATCACCTGATGGATGAAACGTGCATCCTGTGCGACTCCACGCCCGCCACTCGATCGCCAGTAGCGTCGTCCAATCCCCCGGGTTAGGGGCGAAGCTAAGGGAAGGGGGGATCAGGGTGAGGCATCTCTAATCCTTTTTTCGGGCAGGGGGAAAGCAACGGCTGAAGTAATCTTCCTAGCCTAGAATCGTGAATTTATCTCCAGAATATTGTACAGACCCCGTGAACAATAATAGCCGGCTAACAAGGATGAGTCTCCAGGTTTAGTCCTTTGGTAGTGGCCTTCCTGATCTTGACCGTCGCATGCTGATCCCTCCGTCATGACAAAGAAGAAAGACAATGCCAGCTGGCAGACTCGTGACTACGAGGCTGTGACACTTGGGGACTACCGTGTACATGGAGTGTCCAGCAGGGTGACCAGGATGTGGCATCTCGGGACATTCAAGATGCGAACGAAGGAGACCATCATCTAATAGCCGATTTACCGCGTTGAAGTCCCGTAGTTTGTCTTGAGTTTTTTGATTTGGATTTAGATTTGGCTTTGACATTTTGGCTTTTTTTTGTTCTTGCTGACACGTTAGTTCTCATCCCAGGCTCCCAGGTGATGCCTGGCTCGGATCAGAGCCTAAAAAATGGGCTCGGGCCTTGACTGATCGTGGCATGGAAGCATTACCTTGCACAATGGAATGTTGCAGAAGAGATCACGCAGAGAAATTACGGGGTTAGGCGAATATACACAATACGAAAGACCTCATGGTGAGGGTGATCTTCGGAAATATTGTACAAGTTCCCCGGGAGGTACAGTATGTATGCGGTTTGCCTAGAAAGCAGAAGAATATTCGAACTCGATCGACTATCCCTTCCTGCCGGGTAATAATCGCTGGGTGCGGCTAGTACTTTGAATACTTCCACTACCGCATTTCAGCCGGCATTTTCCACAGGGCACTAGTGGGAAAAAAGGAGCAGAGAAAGGACTACTGTACCTATGGAATTAGCCTAGCAGATCATAACAGGCAGATGTCACGATTAAAGTCATCCACTTTTGACACTAGGCTCCGGAATATATGGAGAAAAAACCTGGGGGTTGACGGGTTGGCTCGCCATATGGAATTACCCTGAACAGTCTATTATTATTCGGCTGTTGAGGCATCGGTTGTTGAACCAGCGGCTTAGGGTTGCGCACATCCCACAAGCAGCTAATCAGCTAATCCCAAAGCGAGCAGGGGAGGCCGTCCTCCGAGAATTTGTGACCATCCCAACGTGGCTTGGGGGAAGATCTCGAGGAACGGGACAAGGCGATCTCTCCTTGCGGACGGCGGTGTTGTCCTTCCACATACTTCGGTCCCCAACCCTCCCCCAGAAACAGCCCAGTCCGTGACGAAAATAGCTAAACCACGAGATAGACAGTCTTACAGATTACAAAAGTCCTTATTCCCCATTTAGATATTTGGTATGTACTTACTCCTCCTTAACCTAGGTCGGGCATGAGTTGTACATAGAAATTTTCACAATGTCGAGGAGGATTCTTTCTTTCCACAGTGGGCGAGTCAGCCGGACCGAGGGTTGCTAGGCGGCCAATACCAGGCGGTGGGACAATTCATCGGTCAGTCGGCATGGTGGTTCTGTCTAGGATCATTATGGGGATTGATCAACGCCATTCAAATTGTACGCGTTAGCTATGGTGGCGAGGGATGATTGTTCAAACGACCTGGCGGTGGCGTGGAGGATTGGACAGGGAGGCCTAGAACAGAAAAGGACCTCCTTTGTTATTGAGGGACTCCTTTCCTAGTAGAGGTCATTACCGAAGGTGCATCTACTATTCTCATACCATCCTTGTAAATATGATTTGATTTGATTTGATTTCGATGGGATTCCTTTGCTGATGTATTGGTTTGCCCTAGCTGGTCACAAGTTCCGATCAAATTTTGCAAAATCATTGTTCAACGTCAATACTAGGTTTTGAATACGGATCCGACGATGGAGGAGACCTCCATATAACCTCGACCATAGCACTCTATACTCTGTACTCTGCGAGCGGTCTCCGCTGTCCTCGTACCAGGTCCGGAAACAGACGAGTAATGTATCTTCGTCACGGGCGCAATACCCGCCCTTTCACCCTTTTTATTACCGTTCGGAGCAACTTCGGAAGAAGATGGGCCCTGGAAAATACACAGCGATGGGTTGTTGTGAACAATTACGCAGAGATACCGGGGGACGACCGATGACCCTCGCTGGTTGGTGTGTACGAAGCGTCAGACCAGAGTACCGTGGATGTACTCCGTCCTCCGTAAAGAATCGGGCCCCGTGATGCGACTGAATTTTCTTCACCGCCCTCGGCCTGTTGGGAGAGGGAGGCCTTTTGGCCAACTGGGATTTTTTCGGGATTTTTGACTTTGGGTTTATTTTCTGGTACGGAGGCCCGGCTTCTCTCCTTGTATTGTGGTTTTGTCACTCCGTTACACATTAAATCGATTTTCTTTTCTGTAAAACTTCCTCTTTGGGCCTTATTCACGCATTTTCCGATTTTCTTTTTTTTTTTTTTTTTTTTTCTGTCCCAATTCCCCCTCTCTGCGCTTTCCACATCCACTCCACCCACTGCCGCCCCCGTCATTCTTATTATCGTTCCGACTGCCTCTCCCCATCTCCTTCTCTCTCCTTCCCTCCACTCTTTCCTCACAACCTCAACTCCTCACCTCCCCCCGACATCCATCTCCTCAGCGCCGGGAACGCGTCAATCCCTCTTTCAAAGCGCGTTTCGCAACCCCGGATACTCTTCGCCTTCCCGACACTGACGATCTCCGCATCTCACCTCGGTGGCGCCCTGACACAATCTTGACGAATTCTCGGCCTCGCCTGGAAATCTCGATCCGACCACCCCCAACTCACCCATCCTTTGCCTCCACGCGTGATCCGCTGCATTCGCTGCCCAAGCATTCGATTGCAGCCTCTGGTGCCCAGAAACTTCGATTGATCCATCTCTCTGCAGCATTGTGCAGCGTCCAGACTCGAATTTCCAAGGCCCGTCTTCGTGACCGCAGATCCTTCGTGAACCCTCAACTCCAGTTTCTACGCGCCGTACGACCACTCTCGGGGAAGACGGCGACCCCGGAAACACCACTTTCACGATATCTCTCTCACTTGCAGCCATCCGAAATTTTGCTGTGGCGCCGTCACCATGCCTCTAACAACACCGGTCTTGACGGTGGACGCGGATAATATTCACAAGGTGGATACCGCAAATGCGCAGTCGCTTCATGGAATGTGGATGGGTAAGTTGAAATGCACCCGAATGTGTCTGCTGAACCGGGCAGATTGCGTTGAGAGTGACAGACTGACTCAAATTGACTGTTACAGTATTCTCAAAATGTGCCGACTACATGGACCAAGGGCGACGCCTGGAGAACTTGAGCTGGCGCCTTTGGACTCGCGAAACCTTTTGTGTCGAACACGAAAAATCAAAGTCAAAGAACACTACCATCCTGCCGAAACTGCGCTCCGAGGCGGCTGATCTTCCGGAGCTCTCCGCAAGTATAGAGTCGGCCGCGTCCGACCAAGCCGAACGCATCGAAGCACACATCAAGCGACCTCAATTCTCAGACTACCGACCTGCCGTCGTCCGTGAAGATTCCCTGGCCAGCCTGGGTCGTGGCAAGGAGAAGCACATCACCTCGCTGGACCTGGAGCGCATGGTCCTGAACATCAAAGAGCGGAAACAGTTGCAGCCACTGACCCCCGTGGTCCAGCCTGCTGCCCCCGTTGTCGACATCACCCCCCGACCCTCCACTCCCACTCCCACTCCTCCCTCCGTCTCTACTGCTCGACAAGTCCCAACCTTCCCTCGCCCTACCCCGCAACCCTTTCAGTCGACCGAGTCTTGCTCCACCACTGCCCCCGAAGGCAACGATAGTGACTCGACCAATGCCACTGCATCTGATACCAGCGTCTCTTCCTCGGGGGTTCTCCCCAGTCGAGCTGAGATGATCAAGTCCCCCAGCATTGTCCGCGGTTTCTCACCCTCGCACATCTCGTCCTCGTTCCGATCGCACACCAACCTGGCGGCCAACTCGAGTCCCTCCGGTGCCACTGTTCAGCAGCTCAAGCCTTCCCCTTTTAAGAAGAAGGGTGGCATGTTTACTCTGGGCGGATCTTCTGGTGACGATGATGAAAGCTCGTTTGAAGACCGCATGGGCCCCAAGGCTCCGCAGAATAACCCGACCGTTGGTGGACTGAAGCCGGCAACCAGCAACCCCAGCCCATCCAAGAAGGTGGCCTCCTTTAGCGATCACGTCGATACGATCCGACCGTCGAAAAGCCCCCTTCCCTCCGATGAGGACGCCATCGAAACGGACGACGAGGTCTCCGAGAGTGCCATTGAAGATGACGAGGATTCGGACTGGGAGGACTCAGTTACGGAAAGCGGCAAATCGAGCGTGGACGAGCGACCGGAGCTATTCCAGCGAGTGGATTCGCGCCCTAACCTTGTCTCTCGCCGGTCGCTCTTGACCATGATGATGCATCAGCCAGGGCGGATGCAAGGGAACGCGTTCCGGTCCAGTCCTGCTCTTCAGCGGTCCCGTTTGACATCGCCCCATGGTCCCTCCATCCCTGCCTCGCCTCCAGAGAACGACGAGGAGAATCTGACCATGCGCGGTCCCGACGTTCCTCGCTCAAAGCCCATCGTTATGAAGCCACCCAATCCACAATCCGTTGCTCATTCGCCTCGCACAACCCGCCGCAACATGCTTGCGACCGAGTTGACCGAGTCCCTTCGCCGACACTTGCTCTGGGAGCGCCAACAGAAGAGCGCGACCGCCAATGCCTTCCTCAAGCGCCGTCACACTGCGCACGATGTAAAAAATCTACAGGAGTACCCCGGACCGAGGGGACCACATCGGCCTACGGGCGCGGCAGGCCCATCTGCTTCCGGTGACAACCAGGCTCGCGATAAGGACCTTTCAAAGAACGGTTCTTGGACCAACTACACGACGGACTATGGCCCATGGGAATACCACGTCAAGGGCTGGTAATCCAAACATATGCCCAGGGTCTCGCTCGGACTTGCGGACTCGTCCGCCACACATTTCTCACACTTGATGTCTCGTCTCCCGACAATAGCGACTCTTCTTTTCGACACGATTATGATCATGCATTGCATCTAGGCGCATATTATGGATTTACTCTTTTCTACTTTTCACATGTCAACTGCTATGGGGCGAGGGGGGGTTCGGGTTCCAATCGGTTCTTGGGGGTTCGGTGTTGCAGCATTCAACTGGGCGTTGTCCCTCCCTGGATTCTTCTTTCTGGAGACCACCTTTTTCATTCTACTCTTACCATTCCACCCTGTCCGATCAGGGAGGAAGGTTATTGTGTGTCCCTTACGAATTTAACTCATGTACAGCTCAATATCCCATGTCCCATTATTACATTACCTTGATTCCCATTCCTCCCTTCCCACGATTCACTTTCGGGCGCTTGAAACGGTTGATGAAAACATTGGATTCTCTTGTCCTACATTCTTCCCCAAGACAGTGTTTCCCTTGAGCGTCACAATAAGCAGTCTCTACGCCTGCTTTTTATGGCTAGAAAGCTTTCGCACCAAAAAATGTTTCTACTCAAAAAGACATGTTCTCTCTCCATCAACGCAAGTTCGTATTTCCATCTGTAACCTCCCCAGTAGAGGGCTTGCATGAAAGGTTTAATCTCCCTCATGGCTACGACCAGGATTGAAGTTCATTTTGTTTTCTCTCCATTTCCTTTCTCACAGTTTTTTTTTTTTTGGCTTTCCCCGTGATACCAGATACCACGCGCTTGTCTTCCAGCTTTCCCCCCAAACTCGATGCTCCCTGCACAACTGCCAGGTAATCTTCGAGACCCATCCCGTGTACGCTACATACCCCATGAATACATCTTCCAAGCGCAAGACAAGAGACAAAAAAAAAAACCTCGCAATGGAACGCGAATTCATACCAACCTTGCTTTCCTCATGCATTGCCCTCGTATCGAACTCCCGCATGCTATTAGAGCCGTAGAGCTGTAGAGCACAAACCGCGCATACCCTTCATACCTCCCAGCTTACGTGAAGCCACTACCTGCAGACTCTCAGATCATGGCTGGCGCCATGCATTGGTGGTGAATTGGCGGTCTGGGCCTGGTGGAGGGGCAGTGTTGAAGGGGGGATGGCCTGGAGGCGTGGGCGCGGGCGCTGGAGCGCTCTGGAGTGCTGCAGAGCATTGAGCGTTGCGTTGTGGCTGGAGGTCTGGGGGCTACGGTACATAATACATATCTGGAGGACGTTTTTTTTTTCACGGAGGGATATCCCTGTTTCTAGCGTTCTTGCATCTTGCGGCGTAGGGGTAGGTGTATCATGTGGGATTTTTGGTTGTTGGGGTTTTTTGGCTTGGTGGCGCTGACACGTAGGAAGGGCTGGACCTTTGGATGGTTTTCTTTTTTGGTCTGGTCTGGTCTAGGCTTGTTTATTGTGGTGATGGGTGGTTATGATGCATGGGAGCTTGGGCTTGGTAGCTAGAGTAGTGTGTTTAGGGGGCTTAGATTGGATGTACGGTAGAGTAGAGAGGGGGTGGCGGCTTTGAGGTGTGGGTATGTAGTATGTACATACGACATACTACGTACGGAGTAGAAGATATCATATATAGGGGTGGATGGATGGATGGATGGATGGATGGATGGAGGAGGAGGGTATGGTACTGTAGTAGAGGTTGTGGGGATAGCATGTTGATAGCGAGATAGCTGGGTATGATTGTGCGATTTAGTTGGATGGTTTCTATTGTTACCTGCCTAGGTAGGCATGGGCCGTTTCATAGGACACCGAGGCATTGGCACTGGATATCTTACGTAGATCTGCTAGTGTGACTAGCTCGTCCTTGCGTTATCCAGTGTGAACTTGTTTAAATTAAGCTGGGGCTACTCCGTAGAGAGATAAGTTTTAATTAAGGCTAGGCACCAAGGGGGCAAAGGGAAGGGGTCAGGTGGGAGGTAGAAAGGCGAAGGAAGAGGACAAAAGTACCAATAGCTAACGGGAGAAGGATATTCTCCCGGAGGACCGAAGGATTCCAGGTTGCTGGAAGATCATCGTCAATACACTTCGTTATAGGAAACTGCTTACAATAATTGTTATTGAAAAGACCGTGCGATCAACTACAAAGGTCCCGTTGGATAGTAATACAGAATCTAGAATCAAGAATCCAGTTCATAACCTGTTCCCAGATGAGCACTGTTCGCTTCACATGCGGATCCATGACATCTACTTTACATTAGCTTCTGCACCACAGCAAGCCTATGGACAAAGCGGTGGTGGTGGTGGTGGCTCTAACACGACTCGACAAGATAAGCGCTCAGATCCTGCGCAGTGCATGACATGGAGGAGACAGCTCGATAGCTCGACAGCTCTGCAGCCTGTGTCTATGATGCTCTGGTCACCGCATTGGCGATCGGAGATGCCGATCGATTGACAAGGGAGGTCTAGACTCGGGGTGACTGGAGGTAGAAGGAGGGTAGAGAAGGTGTGCGAAGTTACCAAGTTGGGTAGGTTTAATAGCTAGCTATGGACGAGATTATGCCTGTACCAGGGTCAGGGGGATTGGAAGTGTGATTCCGGGTAGCCTCATCATGATCAGGATGATGCAGGAGCTTCATCATGTTATGGTGTCATGGCGATCCTTTTCGGGTTCTCTTCTGGAAAGCGACTGTCAGGTACGGTCTTCGTGACGTGTTCAACAAAGCTTGAGTCAAGTTGATCTGGGTTCATGGAAGTATTTTTTGCCTCGCTGCTATTCTTTTTCTGTTGTAAACGAGTGTCACGACTGTTACTTTCCTTGTTCGTTGCTTGGATGTCATCCACGGTTGTTTACAGATGGACCTCGGTCAGGTGGATCAACACATGACCGAACATATGACACCCGAATCTCTCGGTTCCTTCAGTCCGCAAAACTATCATTTCGCCGTATCCTATCGCATTGCACTGTCATCTTTCTCCGGAAACACGACCGTTTTCGTGCAAGTTCCTCAATAGCTAACTTCGTCTATTGCACGGTTATACCCCGAATCTCCAAGATCCTCCCTGGCGCCAAACTCTTCCAAATGACGTAGCCATAGCCTCTGGAGCTTACCTTTTCGGGAACCGTAGACGAGTCCTGAAGATATTTTCTCTGTTCTTCACATTGACGGAGTACAGTCACTAGCGTATGTACATACATGTGTATTAACTAATGAAAGTGCCTCAAACGCACAAGAACAGTCCAGTCCCAAAAAGTGGACTCCGAGCCTCCAACCCAAGAGAAATAGGTCCCATTCACAGATTTTCAATGCTTCATTCCCCACATTTCCATTCCTAAAACGCCCGAGGCTACGCTTCGCTTCAGCTCCGCCTTCGAGCCTCCGGTTCTCCAGTCTATGGACTTCATGCGACCTGACTGGATGAGAATTGTGTAGCCTCCGACTGCCTCCGAATTTTCATGGGGCGTGACTTAGCAAAAAACCCCGTCGTGGACGAAGAGGGGTACAGTGGGTGTGCAAAAGTTTGAAACTATTTCCCACTCACCGCCTATCGCTCACTGCCTATTACCTACCCCCCAATACACCCTACTTCCAACGTGCGACCCGTTATATTTTAGGTAATTATCGGTACGACGCCTCACAGGGTATAGGTAATCTTGAGGCAGAAGGCGTAGTATACAAAATATCAGGCTGCTGTGGTTGAAATTTGGCTGCATTGTGAGTTTTTATCTGGCAGAAAAGTCTTGGCAGTAAGAGAAATAGTTTCAAACTTTTGCACTGCCACTGTATATGCATGGTACCAGGGCTCTGTTCTTGTGGAGGATGGCGCATGGTTTGGTACCTGCGCCGCAAACTTCGATAGATCCTCTAACGATATAAAGTAATTATCCGGTGGTATGGTCCGTAGTGCAGGGGTGTCTATGAGCTTATACTCTGCGTATAAAAGCTGACAATAGATGAGTAGTGGCTTTGCCAGTACCTCAACTGCGCCGCCTGATTCTAGTATACATTGCTTCATGTCAAAACCAAGATCAATGTCCAGCCACCTCTAGACTTCTCAAGCACTCCATCTAACCAATTTCAGTCACGTTACCCAAAGAGGACCCGCAGGCCATGTAATGCCCGCATGACAGATTGTTACAAGCTGCGATCTCAGGTCTGCTGGTCTCCCACCAAGTGGATATCCAGTGGAGCCAACCGCACACCTGAAGCCTATGATGATTCGGTCAGCGTCCCAGGCTCGTCTCACCGGTACAGAAGTGTTTTTCAATAACCCGTTTTTCACAGCTTTTGGGGGCACACTTTCCCGTTGTACGCCGGATGCCCGCCGTAGTTACCCCTTCTGGTGGCTTGGGAGTCTGTCAAGAATGGATTAAGTGGGTTCCGAAGCCCACTGTTCTGGGTGCTGGTAACAGTGGGAAGCTTGCCAACCCCCACGAATGGGAGGATTCAAACGGCGAGGCGTTTAGGACAAATCACAGTGCATCGGAAAGTGGACATGCGCATTTTGTGCGTTGACGCTCTGACGCTGGTCTTTTCTTGGTGATTGATGCAGGTGAGGTTGGATATCTTGCAGGGATTTCTTTCGGCAAGCCGATTTTGATTCTGACTGATATTGAGTCTCGGACTGAAGATTTGGAAAGTTGGAGCGAGGGACTATTGTGACGAACATGTGTGCTGGATGCGCCACGCTTGTTTAATTGTCCGATGCAGCTGTTCTCCGTAGTTACAGGAGTGTCTGATATGGGAATGCCATGAGACTTCTGGTCAGTCAAGCTCTGTAATCTGGATCATCCCTCCATCGGTGAACTGATCGACCGAGCAGCGATCAGTGCGGGTTTCTTGCCTCAGTCGATTGAGCTCTAGAACTGATGAGAGCTTAAACCGAATTGTGCTGGCCTATCGTCACCCTTGAAATATTCTCCTCCTTGGAGACCTTGAAAAGTCTAAATGTACTATTTCCAGGCACAGTCGCTTTCTATTTCAGTCAGACTCGGTCATAGGCTGGAATTGGCTTCCTATGTAAAGTACATGCTGTCACCAGCATCCCACCGGCACACTATCATTACTAAACTGTATAGTAGGCATAGGAAGGACAGACGATTATATCCAGTCAAGCCCGTCCCGATCCCGAGAATACCGGCTCGGTGGGATGCCGAGAACTTGGGCATCAGGATTGGCTGCCCAAGGCTAATGGAATTCCCAGAAGAGCCGTGGGGGTGAACCAGAGTGGACACTGGACAGAGCGCGGCGTATGAGCAACAGTGTGTTTCCCCCAAATCCCCAATCCACGCGATGCCCGTGACTCCGCGACTCGATTTACACGGTTCCTGATTGGCCCAGTTGAATTCTCCTCATGGGCCCTCACGTGCATCCGCATCGGGGAGCGCTGTCCTCCGGCGAATCACCGCCACTTGAACCCACCACACGCCGTGCGGGGGAACAGAGATTCCGACATGGGACGACGCCACGAGCTCTGTTGAGGGGAAACAGAGGTCATTCGGAGTGCATTCCAGTAGGCAAAACAATATGCCGGAAACAAGTGGCGACTGCTCACACTGAGTTTTGCCCTGCGTGGTGCTCTCCATGGTCGGCGGACTGACAATCCCATGGTCTTTGCGGCGGCCTTCTGGAAGGAGTGGAAGGGTTCTGGAAGGACGATCCGGTTGGATGGGTTGGGACTGCACATGCGCGCTAACCATGATTTGGATTAGCGTGGAACTACTTACCTAACCATCCCAATTGGGCTGCGTAACATACCGCTAATGGGACTTCTTGTATTACGCAGTGGAGTATTAATACACGCGTACCACTGGCACTCTCGCTTCCACCGACTGTCCATTCCGATTTCAATAATACGGACTATGATTACTCCGTATCGGTGAGCTATTGCGAATAACAAAAGAAGCAAAACGAGTATGTGCAACAATATCAATATCAATTTGACGCACTATCCGCCTGATAAATACGTAAAAGACATATAGGACGGGTTTGTCCAGTATTGACTATGCAGTGAAAAGGATCGCATTCCCCTCCCTCCGTTTCCCCCTCCCTTGCAACCGTTTCCGACATGGGCGCGAGCAGGGCCAAGCTTCCCCCAGGCCTGGGATTCCCGACCACTGCAGCTAGTAGAGTCTATCAAAGCCACCGACAGGGTATCGACCGGGACCGGAGAGGCTGCGTGACCGATTCGATTTGCTCTGATTGCATCGCCCGAATACCCGCTCCCTTTCATCTATGCTAGCCTGGCTCTTGTCGGGGATGATAAACTTTAAGCGCGATGTTTGTTCCTTTCGGAGGGATATCGGCGACAAAGGGAGCATGGACGTTTGCATCCGATTACCAAGCAACGATGAATTTCCGCTCTTTACGACTACTTCCATGAATCGCTTTCCTGGTGGCGGTCGTCGCGAGTACACACAGTAGAGACATAGACTATCGGTTTTCCTTTGTTGATCAACGTAGTCTAGAATAATGCCGTACTTTTGACTCGAATGATGTGCTTGCCCCTCGGAGTTCCTTGAGCAGTATGTCAGGTACTTGGCAACGCTGCCCCTGCATGAACATCATATACTTGCGCACATTATCACTATCTTCATTATTAGTCCCTATTATGTGGCGACGGTTGCCTCCGTGTGTATCATTTTTATGAAGTAAAAATCGCCACCCTATGCGGGCGTCGCATGGCGGGGTTGATTGTAAATCGCCTTCTTACTACAGGATCATACAGTCGTAAGACGGGGTGGAAGTTGGATCCCCCCTCACTTATCTCCGCGAATCCTTCGAATTTGCCAACAGAGGGGGAGGAAGTAATACCTAATGGCGCTTAATGACGGGTGTGTTATTTCGAAGATGTTTGGGTGATCAAGCTTATATCAGAAAGTGTCAGTTTGTATGTGGCTGACGACCAGTGTCGCGCTTGAATGGAAGGTACTGAATAACGGAGATATGATTTTGCTATAGATCGCGTAACAACAAGCTTAGATAGAAGAATAAAGCTTCTGATGCTTATGTTTCTTTCTCCAGGTAAAGAGGAGGTAGTAGTATCTCTCGGCAGAGCATAACTGATTCATAGATCCACAGTAATGTACATGTACTTCGGATATCAAGCATGATTTTCTTAATATGGATTCGTAACTATGTCCTATTCGATTTGATTCGATCTGGTTCACTGTGAGTCACTGACTACTACCATCAACGACTCATTCTGAGTCCCCGTTTGATGTGGACTATGGTTGAAGATCGAGAGGAACACGATGAAAAGCGGGTGAGTCAGATTGAATCATGGCCCACTTTCGACCCCGCGGTGAGATCACCGCACAACTCTCGTGGGAAAGGCTTGGCGCCCGGTCATCAACCTCGATTTTTATTTGCTACTGACGAACTATAACTAGAACGACACCACTGCAGTCAGCAAGCTATACAGCAGGTTTATACTTGGTCTCAATTCAGGCTTTTGACCGTCTCCCATACTCACCTTCCCTCCTACTCGGTACTTCTTCACCCCTCCATCATCTGCTTGTGCATCGCGGCTTACCCAGAAGTGCGCACCGCAGATCTGGTCCTGTCGATCCCCGGGCAGGTCACCCGATCTCTGCGCTGGCAACTCAAACGTCACTTTGACAAGTCGCCCGTCCAGCCACTCTGATTAAGTCAACTCCCGCAACCAGTCCCGATCCGCTCGACCTCTACGCTATGGAGAACGGGTCAACTGACAGCCCAGCGGGTCCAGAGCCCCAAGTCCACCGTAAGTGACAGCCCTATCTCCATTCGCCCCGGCCACACATGGCGCAGGTCATGGCAGCGCCCCTAGTTTCAACGCGGGTCTCACCCTGCCCGAATCGTGACTGGAGAGTGCCGGCCGAGTCGAGTCCAGTCGCAAATGGGCAAGAGCATGTAGACCGCATATACATCCCCTTAGGCAGGACATCAACCCTGCAGGTGGCTGAGTCCTCACGCCCTCATGCCCACTCGGGCCTCTCATCACCCCCATCCTGCCCTGTTCCCATCATCCTTTGCCTCGGGGCGGACCCATCGGCCCGCAACCTTTTTGATCACACGCTCACTATGAGAACCTGGCACAGGCACAGAAATCCAGCCGTCTACCGCTGGTGATGAGTTGGCAGGGCCGGCGCGAGCGCGTGGCGCTGTATCCTCGCAGGAGGCGAGTGCGCCGCGCCAATCAGCCCCGAAGAAACGGGCTAAATGTCGTTATTTCTCGACCAAGAAGGGTACGTATCCGGCGAGAGTTTATGCTGTTTCATCTTGAACCAATGTCTGTCGTTTTCTTGCACTGCTAGATTGATATGTGAGGTACATTCGTACGCGTCTTTCGGGAAAGGTTCCTCTAGCTATGCATGTGCTTTTGAGGATGGGCTATCGCGTGCTAAGATAGCTGGATGGGGATTGATAGCCTCTGCCTAGGGAGGACGAGTCTGTTACTGCAGTGCTTGTGCATTTGTTTTTTGACTTCCGACCTCGGCTTTTTCACTATACCATATGGCATGATCATGCAAGCGATACTAACGAGTTGCTCTAGGCTGCCGCGCCGGCGCGGGATGTCCATTCATTCACGACGTCGCTGCTATTGAGCAGAAGAAAGCTACACCGAGCCAGTCATCTGCACAGCAATCATCGACTGCTGATACCCAGAGCCCAGATACCGGTATAGCTAGTGCAGTCCAGGGCTTGAAGATCAGTGAAAGCGAGTCCAAGCAGTCTGTGACAACGCCCCAGCTGGCGCAGACTCCGAGACCAGTTTCGAAAGTAGAGAAGAATGATCCAAGGGAATTCCAGCTCAATCAGCTGAGGCGACGTTTCCATCCACAAGAGCAGAGTGATGAGAATGGATCCACTCTGACATTTGGGCTGGCTCCCTCGGATCCAGATTTTCCTTTTGAATTGGACGCATTGCAATGTATTCTTCATGTGCCAAGTACATACCCTGTCAAGGGCCGGCCGAAACTTACAGTGACAAATCCTGAAATGGAGGCTGCTTTCCAGGCCAATGTCTCCAGGGGGTTTGATGATATTGTTGACTATGCAATTCGGACTAATGCCCGAGGAACATTGCTCAATTGGATGAATACTCTAGATAGGCAGCTTGAACGGCTTCTGACTACTTTGGAAAGGGGACCAAAGCTTACCTTCGTTGCCAATGTCGGGAGCGGTGTTGCCAATCCAGCACTGACACAACAGCAGAAGAAAACCCAGGTACCCCCTGCGCGGTCTCTCCCGACTACCACGAAGCCAGCCTCTGCCACATCTTTGCCGATAAGTAAAGCGCCTGTCATTGCTCCAAGTTACACCTATGACCAAAAGGCCTCGGCCGAGAAACGAAGGTCAATGGAGACGAAACAACTTGAAGCTCGACTTGGAAGGCTCCCGTTATTCCAGAAACGGTCAGAGACTTCCTTCAATATACCAATCCAGCCCGCCAAGCAGGGCCGTCTGCCGAGGTCACTTCAAGCAGTGAAAACAGTGAAACTCACTGTCCCCTTGCTCTATCCTCTGGAGCACAGCTTCATCGAGATGCAGGGTGTGGACAGTCCTGAAGCCAGATCTGTAGAAGCTGGATTCGCCCAATGGTTCGATAAAAACTCAGAGATGAATCTGGTATCACAAATCAACTACCTAGCGAGCAATATGCACAATTTTGCCAAGACTCCTCTGCCCGAGGTCGCAGAGCAAGCTCAGCATGAACTCATCCAAGAGGAGGAAGACACTTCTGCGCAGCAGTCTGAAGATGGTGTTCCCCTCGAATCTGCTGGGGATAAACCTCATTTGCATGTTATTCCTCGTCCGCCCGAGTGGTCCGTCCCCGAACAACCGAGTGGTAGTGACATTACAGACGAATCGAGCTACGAGGAAGACTCTATGGAGGATGAGGAGGTCGAAGATTCTGAAGAAGGTGGTGCTCCCGTTCCAGCAGTTCTAGATACTCCAGGCCGAGGCGTTGCCCTCTCCTTCCCATTCCTGGAGCTCTATGGCATCGAATTACTGGAGGTATCGCACCTTGCTATCACCATCAAGTGTGAACGCTGCAAGGAATCGATGGATATCAAGAATGTACCCCAACTTGCAGATCCAAAGGACATTCCTAAAGTCGAATCGTGCAAAAAATGCGCCAACTCGATGAGCATCGGGTTCCGGAAACAGCTGATGCATTCGCACGCAAATCGAGCCGGGTACCTTGACCTGGATGGTTGTACAGTCCTGGATCTTCTCCCGAGGTACGTGCTACGTTTATTCAGAACATACAATTCTTGACTCCATGACTAACTCGTGTCTAGTAATTTCATCCCCACCTGCTCAGAGTGCTCAACCGCCTACCATGCCCCTGGCGTATCAGCCGTCCGTGGCGAAAGTGCCATGGCAATCTGCCGACACTGTCATCGCAAGATGGTTTTCAAGATGCCTGAGGTTAAGTTCTTGGTTGTCGGTAGTGCGGCGATGTCCTCTCGCGCCGCGCTCCCGTTGAAGAAGAGGCCAAAGGAGGTTCTCGGTATTGTTGCTGGGCAGGAACTTCCCCGGCGCGGTCGGTGCCAGCACTATGGAAAGAGTTATCGGTGGTTTAGGTTTAGTTGTTGTGCGAAGGTGTTTCCCTGTGATAAGTACGGCATTCATGACTTCCCTTTGTGATGGTATTACTGACGTTTGGATTTTTAGATGCCACGATGCGGAAACGGATCATCCTAATGAACACGCTAACCGTATGATCTGGTAAGCCATGCCAGAATGAAATACTTTCTGAAAAATCAGTGTACTAATGTATACAGTGGCTTCTGCTCCCGAGAACAAATCTATAGACCCGAGAACTGCGGAATCTGTAAAGCCGTACTCATCGGCAAGGCGGGTAGTGGATTCTGGGAAGGAGGCAAGGGAACGAGGAACCGGGCTCTCATGAGCCGTAAGGGTATGGAATAATTTGCCGTCTACATGCTGTGCTTTTTCTTGTGCTAACGGATACCAGATCCTCGAAAGTATAAACGGCGCGGCGGAACTGTGCCTGGTGGATCTAGCTCGAAGAAGAAGTAAGGAGTCTGTATGGTGGTTAGGGTGGAGATGGTTGCATATTGCATTATTGTCGAGCGTCGAAGCAGGCATTATTTTGAGCATGAGCATGAGCACATGAAAAAAGCAATAATATCAGCAAGTTGGAAGACCCATCGCAGCAATGACGTAACGAGCAGAAGTATGGAACGTTGAGCTTGTGGAGACGGCCTTACAGCTAGGGCTTTTCTAGTAGATTCAAGATCACGATCGTTTGCACGCCCTCACTGCTGCAGCGCTGCTACCACTTGAAAGTGCGATTCCGACTTCTGTAAGATTCGAGAAGCTGACTGGTTCCTCGAGCATTCAGTACAGTCATCATTAATAACGGGGCATTTACGTAGCTTTGCGGAGTCTAATCAGTGGTAGCTTTGTCTAATTCATAAAGTGGAAGCACATCACTTTCAAGTTGGATGATACTTTCACACTTGGACACACTGTAGGAATGATTGTTATTGTTCTGCGGGTATCTTGCTATTTCTATGTACACCAGCCGTATCTACGACGGAAGATTCCAAATAAAATCTAACCCACCACCCTCATACATCGGAAACTGACCATTATTACTTATTCCAAAAGGCGCCATGGAAGGGTCAAATGGTAATGAGAGCCAATCGTCCGCCATATCATTCAAAGAATGGATATAGCCCAGATCAGACGTCAAATCCTGAGACACAGGAGTCTGAATAGTACTGGAGCGGTCCGCATTTTCTGGCCAGGGCGGGGGACCCATCGAGGATCGGCTGGTAGCGGCGCGACTGTTGGTAGTATTATTATTGTTGTTGTTGTTTTTCATGGCCTTGGAGGATGCGAGGAGATTTCGACGTAAGCGCGAGACGTGCATGTCTAAGAGTGTGGCGTAGCGGGTGCTCAGATGGACATCGTCGAGTGCATTGGACTTGAGAGCACTGATGCTTCTCTCGAGTACTTCTAGTGACTCTCGGAGAGTAGCTTGTCGGGTGCCCAGACTGAGCGCTTTCATTAGGAAGATCGAGGCACTGGTAATCCGGAGCACGATGCGGACGGGTGAAAATCGTAGTGCACCTACCTCGGCGAGGTTTGTCACTTTTTGGAGGATCTGACAACAGCCGTCGATCACTTCTTGGATGTATTCGTAGTCGGTTGGGTCGATGGTCATCGGCCGGACGTCCTCAAGATTATTCAGATCCGCGTCTGCGACTGCGCGCTCAACGACGGCTTGCATTCCGACTGAGTGGGTGTAGACGCGAACGAAATGGTACTCGATGAATAGGTCATTATAGAACGCCGTGTCGAGGTTATGAGGTTGAAGATACTTGTCCTTCCACTGATTGAGCAGAGGCCGGAAATGCTCAAGGAGCCCGACGTAGCGACCACTATGGAGTTGCTGACGGGCAAACTTGGCTGATGGGAAAAACATGTCTGTGACAGATTGCGCTAGCTTGGTGAGCTCAATCCAAGAATCCATGAATATCAACCAGGTACTTCCAGGCTGACTCAATCCGCGAGGCTTGCGTCCGCCGAGGACCGCATGGTTAAGTGATTGTGGAATGGGGGACATGCAACCGATCCGCCAGGCAAGTTGGTTGATATAGACGTAGAGAAGTCGTTGGACTCGCTGTCTTCGGAGTTTGATTTGCTCTCTCCATTGTTGGTCATCGCCAGGGGCATCGATTTCCTCCGTCTCAAAGATACCCAATTCGTGGGCTAGAGACAGGGCGCACCCCAGCAGCATCCAGGACATTTGGTCTGACCTTCTTGATGGCTCAATCATGTCCTCAACCCATCGGTTTGCCGATGTATCTTTAGACTCGGATTGCTGAGATGGTTTAGGATCTATAGAGATCAGATCATCATCCCAGCCATCCGTTTCGGGGGGAAAGTGTAGAGAGCGAGGATGCCATTCCGCCATCAGCAAAAGGGCTTCGACCGTTCCAAGACTCCTGATCTTAGACTTGGTTGACTTTTCTTGTCCGAAAATGAGCCGCATTGTCAGTTGTTGGCAGTGTTGCCAGAGTCGATGATGAATGAAGAAGTTCCTCGACTCTCCACCTGCGCCAGGAAGAACATGATAGCGAGAAGATATCATAAGGATTGTAGAACATAATACAGGTTCTCGGGCAATCAACGTAAGGTGATTTTGGTGGTTGGCGTAAAAGTCCGTCAAGATTGGTGATAGACAGGACATGTTTTTGTAGAACCTGTTCCCTGCTTAGCGAGGCTATGCAAAATGCTCAGTGGCCATCACTTACAGATCAATAAAGGTAACCGCTTCCCTCGCAGTGAACCAGCCCATCTTGACAAAACGGCATGCCTCCCATACCTGGAGCGTTTCGGACGTCACTTCTGACAACTCAAATGGATGTTTTACCCGTGAAGCGTTCTCAAAGGCGGCCGGGCTCTCAAAGTTCTTTGGAGTCGCTCGCTGATGACCGTTGGAGCCACCTGATCTTGATCCAGCCCCTCGAGGGGGACTCTCGTCGCTTGGTACATTGTCCTCCTGGCCGGCAGTGGCCGCTTCAAACAGAATATTCAATGCATCATTACCACTGGCGACGACGGTTCGCATCATCGAGCTCGCCAAAGTAGAGCTAGACCGATGCCGATTTTCTTGATATGCATGGGCTGGGGAAGTCTGTGCACGCAAACTGCCATCTGCAATCGGTTGGGGACTAATGCCGATCTGAGAGCTATGATCATTGTGTGGGGATGGATGGGGACGCGCAAAGGCCCATCCCTGTTGAAATGGACTCGTCGAGTCCTGGGGGTATTGAACAGGCTGATGGCCTTGCGTGAATTGTCTCTTCGCATCATCTGGAGAGACCACAGCACCTTGAAACTGATCCTCGCCTGGCGATACGTCGGTCTCATTGTCCTCGAGGGATCGTCCTAGACCCAGGCCGATTAGCAATCAGAGGAAGCGGATTCGATGCAAGGATCGACCTACCGCGCTTGCGGGACCTCTCCCAGGCCCGTTTCTCGGGGAAGACACACTCTCTCATCTCCCTGCGACATCGCGCGCATGGTGGGCCGATCGGTAAGCCGTCCGGATCCGTTCCTAGATCGCACTTTGCCTTGCGTTGCCGACAAGGGATGCATGCCTTGTAAGTGCGCTGATACGGCCGGTCGGGACGGGATGGCCTGGCCCCGTCCATCGTCAACGACTTGCCTGAAGCGCGACAATCAGTCTAGCCCGGATGTATCAGGCGATTGCGACTAGCAATGGCTATTCTCCGGTGGGTATTTGTTTGAGGGAGTGGATGTTTGGAGGAGTATTTTGGGGGGAAGCGGGCGAAGAGTGAATTGCCGCTGCTAACCGGGCCAGAGGCGGACACGACGGGCCGAGGACAGCAATCCGAAGTACTCCGCATGAGACGCATGTATACGGCAGTCATATTAGTGAGACTGATAGCAGAAATTTGTCATACTATTCATTAGAACCCGATAATTTTTTATCAAATGGTAGCAGTTTTTGGAGCAACGTTTGGTCGAGTGAGACTCATGTAGCTTCAATCTTCACTATGCAGCCCCACTGTAGAAGTACCTATATCGAGCCCTCATTAAAAGATAATCTCGGAGGTGTGCCTTCCAAGTGAGCAGAATACCGTAACAATAGAACTTCATTACTCTAAACATTTGACAATAAGCTAGCAAGATACTCCTAAAACGAGCTGAGGGTAAGATTCTCGAGAGCCAGCGATTCCCAGGTGCTAGCTCTTTGCTACACTTCAACATATCAAAGACTATTTGCATATATAGGTGGCATACAGATAATTTATGATTCTCTCCACAGACAGACGTGTACCTATTGTCTTGTTTCGGCGTCTACCAAGTTAGGACAAGGTGTGAAACCGCACATATATTGTAGGCGTGATGTTTCCGTTCGATGACCCAGGTGATTCCAAATCGACAGGTTTATTGCATATTCCTAAAGAGGCATCTAAGTCTTAGATTATCATTGTAAACAGTTTACTCTGTGGCATTCGCAGAAGCTCTAATCAACTAGTTGTTTCAAGGGCAGCAGACCACGGGAGACGGAGATGGGCGTATGATTATGTGCATTTCTGGATACTCTTCAAGGAACTTTATAGTAAGCCTATCAGCATCCTGTTCATTAAAGTAGAGAAGAACCCTGGCTGGTCGCTAGAAGAGTAGGGATTGTCGATGGCTCGAGGCAGACTGACGGAGCCAAGACCACGGAATGACTATACTAATCTTGCTTTTTGAACTTGAGAAAGATCTTTGAGGTCAACCTTAATCTCTGCATGCTAGTGAGGGGTTGATTGGCGATTGAAGCGTCTAGACGATTTAAGATTTTACTTATACTTAAGCACTACTTGTCCTGCTGCATAATAAAAGCTAAAAATCGACCGGGTAGACGGAAATTTCCTAATTACTCTGGTATAATGGGCATTCAAATTGCTCTATGGGGTGCTGAGATATACTATGACACTGAACGTGCTCTGCATCTAGGGATGTCATCTACTCTATGGCGCAGTAGATTGTTCGCACTTCTTGGCTCAATTGCATTTCGTTGCACTGGGTAGTAGTATTTGTCATTTTGTACATGTGTTTTGATCTGATCATCATATCTGATGCGACTTTTAGATATGCAGATCATAAGCTTATGCCCCACAACTTGCCCAGCGGAAAGCGACGGCCGGGGAAAGCGGAATTTCCGCGCCTCCCCCAGCGGATTGTCGCTCGAATGAACCGGAAGAGGGTCCGTGGCATCACAACGTATGTACTTAATAGTACAAGCTCTGAACATACGAAGTATACCTGAACTCCTACCTTCTACTTACACAATCTCATGTTGACATTCCCCTACAATCCACCTTCTATCAAAATGTCCGACACAGTAACCCTCTACACATACTTCCGCTCTTCCTGCTCCGCACGCCTCCGCATCGCCCTCCACCTCAAAAACATCCCCTTCACCCCAATCTTCATCAACCTCCTCCACGACGAACAATCCACCCCAGCCCACCTCACCATCAACCCCTCCGCCACCGTCCCAACCCTAATAATAACCCACACCTCCTCCCCATCCATCCCCAAAACAGTGACAATCACTCAATCCCTCGCCGCACTCGAATACCTCGACGAAGCATTCCCCAACACGGGACCAGCCCTGCTCCCGTCGGACCCGGAGACTCGCGCGCTCGTCCGTACCCTGTCCCAAATCATCGCCTGCGATGTCCAGCCCGTGACGAACCTGCGTATCTTGAAGCGGGTTGCGCCGCTGGGTGCGGATCGGGCGGTTTGGTCGAGGGGGTTGATTGAGGATGGACTGCGGGCGTATGAGGCTGTTGTGCAGGGGTCGGCGGGGAGGTTTAGTGTTGGTGATGAGATTACAATGGCGGATGTTTGTCTTGTGCCGGCTGCTTGGGGCGCGGAGAGGGTCGGGGTGGATTTGAGTGCGTTTCCGACTGTGAAGAGGATTGTGAGCAATTTGGAGACGGAGGAGGCTGTTAAGAAGGGGCATTGGCAGACGCAGCCGGATACGCCGGAGGATTTGAGGGCCAAGTAGGTGTTTGGCTAGTGGAGAGGTAGGATTTGACCGGGGAAGATTGTGATGGTGCAGGATATACTAGTTTATATTTTCTTGCCGGTAGATTGATGCCCGGATTATTCATGCATGTTTATTGCGAGTTCTAGTTCATATTTACCCTCCCAAAATGGCAATTTCATCAAAACATCAAAGTGGAATATCATCAAGGTCCTCCTCATTCTTTTTCATAGTTGATCCTCCCTTCAGAATGAGACGGCGGGAAGAATGGTACCAACGCAGTCGCCGAAGCCGACGTAATTACCCTCGGTACCTGCCGTACCACGCAGGATGATGGTGTCACCGTCCTCAAGGAACAGACGCTCCGAGCCATCAGCCAGCTTGATAGGGTTCTTGCCGTTAGTCTGCTCGAGCAGACTGCCCTGGGTCTTGGCCTCCTTGCCAGAGATAGTACCAGAGCCCAGCAAATCACCAGTCCTCAAATTGCAGCCGGTGATAGTGTGGTGAGCAACCATCTGGGGGAAAGAGTAGAGCAGGTTGCGGGCATTGCTGTTGGAGACCAGAGTAGGCTGGCCGCCCTTGTTGGTGATCTCAACCTCGAGGGGAATCTCGTAGGCGTTCTCGGCACGCTTCTCGCGCAGGTATGGCAGAAGCGAGTCGCGGTTTCCAGGCTCCAGCCCAGCGGCGCGGAAGGGCTCCAGGGCATCGATCAGGACAACCCAGGGAGTGATGGTCGTGCCGAAGTTCTTGGCATTAAAGGGACCCAGGGGAACATACTCCCAAGCCTGGATATCACGGGCGGACCAGTCGTTCATCAGTACCAGACCGAAAATGTGGTCCTCGGCTTCCTCGATAGAGACGGGCTTGCCGAGGTCGTTGGGCTTGCTAATTAAGCATGCCAGCTCCAGCTCGATATCCAGCTTCTTGCAGGGGGAGAAAGTAGGGACCTTGGGATCGGCAGCGGGGTTGGCCAGGATCTGACCGCTGGGACGGTGCAGAGGAGTGCCCGAGGGAACGACCGACGAGGCACGGCCGTGGTAGGCCACTGGCAGATGCTTATAGTTGGGCTGCAGAGCGTTATCCGGCCCGCGGAAAAGCACTCCAACGTTATAGGCGTGGTTCAGACCGGCGTAGAAATCAGTGTAATCACCAATCTGCATGGGAAGGTGGTTGGTGACTTGGGAAAGCGGCACGAGCGCCGACTTTTGCAGATCGGCATTATCCTTGAGCACCTGGGGGAATTGGGTGTCGGCACGGAAGACGTTTTGCAAGTACTCGCGCACCTGGCGATGCACGGGGCGACCCAGCGCAGCGAATGCATTGAGAGTGGGCTGGTCAAAGACACTCAGGTGCTGGTGAATCGCGGGCAATTGAGAGAAACCCCCGAGGAGGCGAACGCGTTCAGGTTCAATGCATGCTCGCCAATGGCAATGGCAGGCACTCGCGAGGCGGACTGGACGGAGATGATGCCGAAGGGGATGTTGGCCAACGAGAACGGAGAGTTCTTGGGGATCTGGAACCAGGAAGCCATGATGAAGCAGGTGACACGGGACAATGATGAAGAGAGAGAGAGAGAGAGAGGAATAAAAATTGCACAGCTTGCTGGGGTCAACTTAACTGTTGAGCGTTCACGTCTCCGGACGCGGGCTCCGAGCAGTGCGGAATTGGGCCGTCCTAGGGATACCCCGCCTCCAACCGCGAAAGGAGAAAGCGGAAAGAAGAGCGGGGATAATCGCGGATGTGCTGCTGCCAAGTACCGCGGGTGACGTGGGACCAGCTTAAGGGTAGCGGCATCGTTTGCAGCGAGGCAGCTGGTCCATTGGGCTGCAGACTGAGGTCAATTCTTCCCTCGGCGGCGAAGAATCATACAAAGAGAGGCTGAACATTCCCTCGTCGCTTTGCTCTTTTTCTCCTCCCAAATCATCCGCCCATCATGCCCGTCACCAAGTTCTCCCACCCGGATCCGTATACCTACCAGACCGGTTTCGACTCCTACCACGAGTACGCCCCTCACGTAGCACCCCGTAATTTTGGTAATATCTTCCTAACTGCGGGATAGGTCCGAAGCCATCGAGGGGGCTCTCCCTGTCGGCCACAACTCGCCGCAAAAGGCTCCGCATGGTCTGTACGCTGAGAAGCTGTCCGGTACGGCCTTTACTGCACCTCGCCATGAGAACAAGCAGACATGGGTGTACCGCATACTCCCCGCTGCCGCCCATGCGAACTTTGTCGCTGAAGATGCCGATTCCTATCACACGCGCATGACCACCGAGACACACAAACTCCACCATATCCCCAATCAGCTGCGGTGGAACCCCTTCGACTTGGATGAGAAAGTGGACTGGGTTCACGGTCTGCACCTGGTTGCGGGCTCGGGAGACCCAACATTGAAGCAGGGGTTGGGTATCTTGCTCTACGCAGCTGGAAAGGATATGGGCAAGGAAGCTTTTTACTCTGCAGATGGCGATTTCCTGATCGTGCCTCAGCATGGTGTTTTGGATATCCAGACGGAGCTGGGTCGTATTATTCTGCGTCCCAATGAGATTGCAGTTATTCCCCGTGGTGTCCGGTAAGCTTACTATTAACCTGCCTTTATGTATCGCTGCTTACTGACACTTCTAGATACCGCGTGACTCTCCCCGCCGGTCCTGTGCGAGGCTACATTTGCGAGCTGTACCAGGGTCATTATCAGCTGCCCGAGCTAGGCCCCATTGGATCCAATGGTTTGGCTAATGCTCGCGACTTCCAGGCCCCCGTCGCAGCCTTTGATGACGAGGAGGAACCCGCCGAGTATAAGTTGTACAGCAAGTTTAACAACACCCTATTCTCCGCCCGCCAGAACCACACTCCCTTCGACGTGGTCGCCTGGCACGGTAACTACTACCCCTACAAGTATGATCTGGGCCGATTCAACACCATCGGCTCAGTTTCATTCGACCATCCTGATCCATCCATCTACACCGTCCTGACCGGTCCCTCCGATCATGTCGGTACTGCCATTGCCGACTTTGTCATTTTCCCTCCTCGCTGGCTCGTGGCAGAAAACACCTTCCGACCTCCATGGTATCACCGCAACACCATGTCCGAGTTCATGGGTCTGATCTATGGTGGCTACGACGCGAAGACCGGAGGTGGCTTCCAGCCTGCTGGTGCTAGTTTGCATAACGTGATGAGTGCTCACGGCCCGGACTCGGATGCGTTCGAGGGTGCTAGCACTGCTGAGCTGAAACCGAATAAGGTCGGTGACGGCAGCATGGCGTTTATGTTTGAGAGGTACGTACAGACAGGAAGATGTCCCTTTTTCTCCTTTCCATTGCTAACAGCGTGGCTCTTCTAGCTCGCTCATGGTCGGTGTCTCCGAATGGGGCCTGAAGACCTGCGAGAAGGTGCAGGACGAATACAACCAGCACAGTTGGGAGCCTTTGAAGCGCCACTTCAAGAACCCTAACAAGGCTTAAATGGGGAAAATGCATGGTCTGGTGGAAAATAGCAATGTATCTGTGTAAATAGCAGCTTAGTTTGGCATGGAATGATTTGATGATACCTCAATTGATGGAGAAATGGAATTATTTAGATCTTAAGAAAGGACCATTGAAGATCTTGTAGACTTACCGCTCATTTCAACTCTATTCAAGACTATACATCATAACGTGACATCAAAATTGACCAATATTATGCACGTAAAGTAGTCAAATATACCCAATTCAGCCCTCCATCTCCTTCCTCATCGCCTCCTTCACAATCGCCCCACACATCTTCGCATAAGGATTCGTCTGCACCGCAAGCTGCTGCGCAACTTTATTCCCATACCGACCCCCAAAGAAGAAATCCCGACTCGCCATCTCCTCCAACTGATCCGCACTATGCCCACGCAGCCGCTCAGGTCCCACCGCTTCCCCCTCCAACCCCGAGAGACTCTTCTTCACCCGTGCAGCCTTCAACAATAAATACCCACGATGCGTATGCGCATCAGCCAAAAGCCTAGCCTGCGCCGATGAAATCGGATCCGCGGGCGAGACCGGCGTAGCGAGTGTAATCGCTTGCCCTAGGTCCGCGAAGATCCGTGATGATAGCTCCGCGGCTTCGGGGGTGAAGAGAGATTCGTCGGTGCTAGATTCGGCGGTTTGTGGTCCAGGCTGGTGCTGGTTGTATTCGAGGTCTGCGAGGAGACGGAGTGTCTGGGCGCGGTTTGTGTAGGCGGGTGGGTAGGTTGGGTATTGTTCCAGGAGGGAGTTTAGCTCTTCCAGTGCTGTGCGCACTGTCTCTTGGCTGGGTGTTTCGCCGGCTTGGAGTTTGAGGATTATTTGTGTTTCCCGGGCCTTTAGGGTGGCGAGGTCTGTTTGGGAGATGTTCACTGTTGCTGGCCAGGATGGGAGGGATGAGTCGATTGTGATGCCGGATGAGGGTGAGGATTCGGCGTCGAAGAGGGCTTGGAGGACTGCGGCATCGTTGTTCGTCAACGATGGACGGGCTTGTGTGATGCTCGTCATGATGATGGTTCCCGTGGGGTTTATTGGATAGAGTATAAGTCGGGATGGGTGTTGGGACACGCCGTAGAATCAATAGTCAACCAGTACGAATGATTCTGACTTGCAGGTAAGAGCGACCAGAGAAAACAAGTCTTTCTGATTATTTCTGGAAGAAGAAAAGTCATAGCAATCACGTCAAGGCCACCGAGTCTCCAAGCGGCGATGTCCTGACCGTTGCAACTTGGCCCGGCTGATGACGGATATTTCCGGCTGGCGCAGGAAGTAAGCCGAAACCCGCGCATTATCCATAAGCCTACCAGCAAAAAAACGTGCCGATGAATGATGAATGAATTTTGAGATATCCGATGCGGTTAATAGAGGGAAACTGGATAATGTGAGATTAGTTTAAGACTTGATAAGTGGCGTCCTTCCAACGTAACTCTTTCCCATCAACTATCAAAATACCTACTTCCCCGTCTATCTTCTTCAACCATTACTTACATCTGACTGAACCGTCAACCGCTCAGAGAAGAAGAAAAAACCAGCAAGTTCAATAGAGAAAACAAACACTCAAAATGGCTCCTTCAGCTATTTCTACCAGCCCGCCTCCGTCCGCTAACGACGAGGCCTCCATCGCCAGCTACCGCGGCTACGACCATGTCCACTGGTATGTCGGCAACGCCAAGCAAGCAGCCAGCTACTACATCACCCGTATGGGCTTCAAGCGTATCGCCTACCGCGGTCTTGAAACCGGCAGCCGTGGCATCTGCTCCCACGTCATCGGCAACGGCGACATCACCTTCATTCTGACCTCGCCCCTCCGTTCTCTGGATCAACTCGACCGCTTCAGCGCCGAGGAGCAGACTCAGTTGCGCGAGATCCACTACCACCTTGAGCAGCACGGCGATGCCGTGAAGGATGTCGCCTTTGAGGTTGACGATGTTGATGCTGTGTATTATGCTGCCGTCAAGAATGGCGCCAAGTCTGTCTCCAAGCCTCGTGTCCTTGAGGACGAGGGTGGGAAGGTCAAGGTTGCTACTATTCAGACTTATGGTCAGACGACGCATACGCTTATCGAGCGTGGCCAGTATCATGGTGCTTTCTTGCCTGGGTATCGTCTTGAGAGCGGGGCTGAGGATCCTGTGGCCAAGTTCTTGCCTGGTGTTCATCTTAAGCGGATTGATCACTGCGTTGGTAACCAGGATTGGAACGAGATGGATAAGATTTGTGAATAGTAAGTTCCTTTGTGATTCGTATGGAAGGACAGATTGCTAACGAACCTTCAGTTATGAGAAAGCTCTTGGATTCCACCGTTTCTGGTCCGTTGACGACAGTCAAATCTGCACGTAAGTTGACCAGTGGCGAAAGTCCTGACCTCTTTAGAAAAGATAAGAAACTGACTTTAACCAGTGAATTCTCCGCTTTGAAGAGTATCGTCATGGCCTCTCCCAACGAGATCGTCAAGATGCCCATCAACGAGCCCGCCAAGGGCAAGAAGCAGTCCCAGATCGAGGAATATGTAGACTTCTACAACGGCGCCGGTGTGCAGCACATCGCCCTGCTGACCGACGATATTATCCGCGATATTACCAACTTGAAGGAACGTGGCGTTGAGTTTATCAAGGTCCCCGACACGTATTACACCGACATGCAGGCTCGTTTGAAGGAGTCTGGTCTGGTTCTCAAGGAAGACTTTGAGACTATTCGCAGCTTGGATATTTTGATTGATTTTGATGAGGGTGGTTACCTCTTGCAATTGTTCACCAAGGTACGTGGAGTCCCTAGACAATAAAGGAAGAGATTCGTTCATACAGTAGTACTGACTTGTGGCGATAGCACATGATGGATCGCCCGACCGTTTTTATTGAGATCATTCAGCGACACAACTTCTCTGGCTTTGGAGCTGGAAATTTCAAGTCACTGTTCGAGGCGATCGAGCGTGAGCAGGAGCTGCGTGGAAATCTGATCTGATTGGGGCGAGTTTTGATGGCATGAAAATTGAGCAGACGAGAGTTTGGGTCTTCTTGCATATATTTTGATACCTTTTAGCCATTGTCACATCGTGATTTCATCGTTAATACATAGTGATTTCATCGTTAATACATCTCTTGGCAGTGTGTTTTCATTTCAAATGTTTGTTGTCAATATTGACTTGTATTGCATCATAAGTAAAGTATCCGTACAAATGTTTGTTTAAGGGTAAAGGATCCCCTGAAAGGCTGGTATGATCAGGTTGTAGAAGGGATGTGCGGCACTTGAAAAAGCCTGTACTTGGATGAAGAGACAGAATTCGGTCGGAATGCCGAGCGATCGCCGTATACTCTCCGATAAAATTTGCAGTCTGCTTATGGCCAAAGTATACGACTTAAAAATTTTTTCATCACAGCCCCGAGCGTTAAGACGTAATGATGGCTGGCCCGGATTATTCTCTTGCCTCCCCCGGATGTGGCAGCCCAATCCTACAGGCTCGACTCCTGAAGCTCCCGATTGCCCGGTGGCGACCGGGTTTATCATCACGTGAGGTCACGTTCCCCCGGACAAGCAAAGACGAAGAAAAAGTCCTCCACCCGCACCCCCGACATCATCACTTCATCGCTGGTTTGCCTCTCGCCCTGGGCTATTGCCTTTTCGTTCTCCCTGTCCATCGCGACACTTTTCCTATCTATCCTCGACATTAGCAGTCATCTGATTTGATTGTTCTTACTGTCGATCGCGACTCTTGCGTCCTCTTTTTTCCGACCTCGAAAAACCCCTACTCACCCGACCTTCCTCCTCTTCCTTCAACTTCACACATAATGGATCACTCCAGAGATCCCTGTCCCTGGGTCGCCCTGAGCGACTTCGGTGGTGCTTTCTGCATGGGTGCTATTGGTGGTGCTGTCTGGCACGGTGTCAAGGGCTTCCGTAATAGCCCCTACGGTGAGCGCCGGATAGGCGCTCTGACTGCCATCAAGGCTCGCGCTCCTGTGCTCGGTGGAAACTTTGGTGTTTGGGGTGGCCTGGTTAGTTTGACTTGGTTATGATGCATTGTTGTGGAATTGTATTCTGACACATGTCCAGTTCTCTACATTCGACTGCGCTATTAAGGGTATTCGCAAGACTGAGGATCCTTGGAACAGCAGTACGTTATTGTCACTCTTGAATACTTGCAGAACCGTATTCTAACCGATTTCTAGTTATCGCTGGTTTCTTCACTGGTGGTTCTCTGGCTGTTCGTGGTGGTGTCAAGGCCGCCCGTAACTCCGCCATTATGTGTGCCGTCTTCCTGGGTGTCATTGAGGGTGTTGGTATCGGTTTCCAGCGCATGATGGCCGATAACACCAAGCTCGAGGTACGCTTGTTCCGGGTTTGCCGCAATATCTCGTTATGATCATTCGCTGACTTTTGTCCTGATTTAGCTCCCTCCTCCCCCTCCCTCTGAGCAGAAGGCTCTCGCTTAAATCCTCCATACCCTCATTCTCGCGATCGACTCACTCATCCGGTGGCCGACAAACCCACCTTCGATCTCTGTCTTCATACACATCCCCACGTTGAATCTCCCTTCTCAGGTGTTCGGTTTGGGTTTTTATTCTTAAACGACATGGCATAGAGGTTTCTGCTTTGTTTCCTTGTTTTTTTTCCATTGTTTACGCTTTTTATACCGCCTTTCCTCGGCCCTTGTTTTCGGAGCATTGTATTTTGTGGACGGCATCCTCTGGCTGGTTCCCAGGATCGGGACCGGCGTGTGGTTTCTTTATCTCGTGGCTAATTGGTCACACAAAAGAATATCTCTGCTCATTGCTGCAACAAAAAGAGAGCGTTAGGATCGGGACGTGGTGGAGTCTTGTACATTAACGCATTGGTAACAGGCATAATACGCATTCTTATTGCATATACTAGGGCTTCGGTCGCACTTTTCCAACTCGGCTCTTTTGTTCATTTTAGCATCGACCTCAGCGGGGACTACTTCTTGATATTGACAATATTGGCAGATCGGCTTCCTTCGACGGTGTGAAATGATCCGATAGTGATGCACACATAACCGGGTTCGCAGGCCGAATATTGTCGACGTCTCCGCCTTATCTTTCCCCGCATCTCTCGAGACCTCTCCTCTTCCACACCCTCCCATTCATCAACAAGCGAAATGTCCGAAATCACACCGACTTTCAAGCCCGCCCTAATACTCCATGGAGGTGCAGGCAATATTCGGCGCGATAAGCTACCACCAGATCTCTACGACAAACACCATACCTCCCTTCAATCCTACCTCCGGTCAACCCATGCACTCCTTAAAGACGGTGCCTCCGCCCTCGATGCCGCTGTTCACGCTGTATCGTTGATGGAAGATGACGAACTATTCAATTGTGGCCGTGCGAGCGTCTTCACTACAGCGGGCACGATCGAAATGGAAGCTTCCATCATGGTCACCACAGTTCAAGATCCCAACCAGAATCGACCAGGGGAAATGAAAAAGGCCGCAGCTGTCATGAATGTAAGGAATGTGCGGCATCCCATCCAACTCGCGCGCGAATCGCTCTTGCGAACCGGCCAGACTCCCCATGGTAAACCTACGCACGACGGTGGTAGCATGCACCCCCAGCTCGCAGGGCCTCATGTGGAGACTCTTGCTCGGGAGTGGGGTCTTGAATTCAAGCCCGATGAATGGTTCTGGACACAGCGTCGCTGGGACGAGCATCAACGGGGGCTGGAGGGCAAAGACGAACCTATATCTTTGAGTCAGGGCACGGTTGGTTGTGTCTGTCTGGACCAGTGGGGCAATCTGGCCGTTGCTACCAGTACGGGTGGTAAGACGAATAAGCTTCCCGGTCGCATTGGAGATACTCCGACTCTGGGCGCTGGGTTCTGGGCCGAGGCGTGGGATCTGATGTTCCCGGGACATACAATCGCTCTCGCTCTCGAGGCCGCGTCTCCTGTAGCCTCGCACGGAAATACCGACGTACCCGCCCCGGCGCCAAGATTCATGGGCAAAGTCGTCACTGGCACCATGGCTGGTGTGCATGAGTTCTGTGGGAACTTGAAAGATAGCTTGCGGAGCTGCCTGGGTTCACGTCCTAGGGGTCAAAATCTTGATCCTCCAGCCTATTCATCTTGTCCACCTAGCGTACATGGATACGCAAGAAAAGCCATGGCAATCTCAGGGACCGGGGACGGCGACTCGTTCCTTCGACTAGCTGCAGCACATTCAGTCGCCTCGCTATCTCGGCTGCAAAATTTCTCCGTTGGCCAGGCTGTCAAGTCTGTAGCTGGCCCGGGTGGTGCGCTGCAGCGCTCTGCTGGGCCCCGGTGGGGAATCACTGGCGAAGGCGAGGGTGGATTTATTGGAATTGAGGTTGATACGGAGTGCACTGGTGATTCTGCTGAAGAGTTGAGAAAGCTACGGCGTGGAAATGTGGTCTTTGACTTTAATTGTGGTGGGTTGTGGCGTGCCTGGATTGAGCATGATGGGAATGGAAAGGATGTCGAGAGGATCATGGTGTTCCGAGATGAGTATGAGTAAAGTTATTAGACAATGAACAATGCCATCCCAGAACGAGTGCAGCAGATGAATCTTGGCGGCTGGAATACTCGAAATTGGATCGTGGCAGCAGAAATTGCCATAGAACATGCTTTGTCGTCTACATGGTCCTTCTCCTCCCACATAATCGACTCAATTGCCGAGCTGTGCCGCTTTCTACGAGGTACAATTACCGACAAGCTTTACCTAGATATGGAAAAGGAAAACCAAGTTCTACGACTACTCTCAGGTAGCAGTCTGGAACTGGGCGGGCCTGTTAGCTGTTGTCATATGACAGGAGATGGCAGATGGAGAGGCCTCGAGCCGAAGTCAAAACTGACGTATTTCCAGGCAACTTGGCATATCATGGAACCCACCTGGCCCTTTCATAGGCAGCTTTAAATAACAGAATTCTAACCCAACGGCTATATGTATGTACCTGCCGCATTGATCGCCATAACCTTGGAAAATACCTGCTGTACCTGGATCCACAGTCCACAGCTGAATTACAAGGAACAGAACAAGGAAACAGACCCACTTTTAGAAATCATAACGGTGAAGATAAGGGAGCTCGTAGGCATTGAATTCTTTGTTCAGCTTTCCCATTGAAGACATGCTATCTATATAGAGAGTGGGATTTTTTATTTTTCCCGTGTCTATCCGCCTATGTCACTCATGTCACTCTCTCAAGATGTATATAGTCGTGAACAAGCATGGGACTGTAATCGCAAAGACCTACAGTAGACTCTGCAGTAGAAGAATACCACCAGCCACTCGAGAGGTCAAAACAAAGCAATGGCTGCAGCGTATCTTGTTATTTTACTTTATAGGGCGCAAGAGGTCCAGTCAAAGCCACGCGTCTTGACAGCCATAGCGTCACCCCACCCCACGCTGTCATTGAAATACCCTGTTTAACCGGTCTTTAGAGGACGAGTGGCGTATTAAGCGTTCCTATCCAGCCAATTACCAGCTCCGAAAGAGTAGGTCGAGCTTGGCGCATGATGCACAAAGGCAAAGTTCCTACGCACGACTGTTTACGTCCTGGTGGCTGGGCTAGGTTGTTTGCCCTGTCACAATCATGCCGCGAGACTGGTATAAGTATCTATCCGCTCTTTTCTTGGCCCTGGAATGACTCCTTGGTCTTGAAACCGTCTCTGGCTCAATTGAATTTTGGCCACTCTCTTGTTCCTCTTCTAGACCTTTTTCTCCCCGTTTAACCGCTCGTTGCACTCCCTTGCTACAATGAAGAGCTTCATTGCCATTGCGTCTCTGGCTGTCGGTGCCAACGCCCTCGTTGGCCGCAGTGACAGCTGCTGCTTCCACCTCACCGCATCAGGTGATGAGTCCGGCTCTCTGGGACAACTGAGCGATGGACAGGTCCGTGTTGGCGACAACAGCCTCTTGGCCGCCAAGTTCTGCCTGTATGGAGGTGTTATCACTGATAGTGAGGGCCGTGGCTGCGTGGTTACTTGTAAGAAGTCCCCTCCATTCCATGGTTGACCACCGTAAATTCTAACTGTATATCTCTATCAGCTGAGACTACCCAATTCCAGTGTGATGCTGGTAGCGCTGGTACTTCTGGCTTCTCTTTGAGCTCCTCGGGGGGCTGGAGTTCAATGGGAGTCCTAGCTTCGTTGCCTGCGCTACCGGTCAGAACAACGGTGACAACATCTACACCACCGAAAGCGACTCTGTCAGCCAGTGTGTGAGCGTCAAGCTTACCGCTGACTCGACCTGCGCTGCTGCCTCGTCATCCTCTGTGGCCTCTGTTGCTCCTGTATCTACCCCAGTCCCTGCCAGCACCCCAGCACCTTCGGGCTCCTCGCCTGTTGGCACTTCCTCCTCCATCTCTGCCCCAGCGAGCTCGGTCCCAGTCAGCACGCCGCTCGCTGGATCTTCAAGCATGCTGACCGTGACTTCCTCGACACCCTTGGCTTCTACTAGCACTGCTGCTGCCAGCACCGCCGCTTCGTCGGCTTCTTCTGCTTCGTCGACCGTTGCCCCCGCATCTAGCTCGACTGCTGCTAGTGCTGCTACTAAGTTTGAGTTGGGTAACTTGGCCACTGTAATGGTGGTTCTCTCCATGGCGTCTCTCTACCTTGTCTAGAGTGATGGTTTTGGATATGGTTTCATGATGTCTCGGGCCATGATTAATGCTGGGGTAATTGATGTTTGATGGTCTGACTAGTTTACTCGTGCCGATATCAGGGCGCTCAATCTACGATCACAAGATAGTGACGTAGTGTTACTGCGAAGAAATTTTGATTCAATGTGACTGTTCCCATTAAAATAACAACCTCCTCTGAGTGGGGATCCACAATTCGAAACATTATCTTAGATTGGACATTGCTTTCAATGGATTCGCGTGTGGCTGATAGTAGTCGTTCTTCTGTTGGTATTTAATTTGTTAGGTACCTATCGTGGGGTGTTCAGCAAAGTACCGTACCGGCGTGCTGGATAGAGGATAGGTGCAACAAAAGACTATTTCATTTAACCTTGCATATTACGGGCCCAGCACTACCTTATGCTCCTGCTATTCTCCGCTGGCAGTTCCGTAATCTTGTGATAAAATATGCTGGTACATCAGCTAGTATTAGTTGAGGTTGGCTTACTAGTGGGTAAGTCGAAATTATTCAGATTATCCTTATAATATTAGGACCTGTGAATTACTAGATCCAGTTAGGTTTGCAGTATTTGTGCTGTGGTACTTCCGTCTGCTCTCTAAGCCCTACCTCACATACGCACGACACGAAGCGGCGCGCTGCGATGTTAGTACCTGTCGGACGTTACCATATGGGAAATAGCAGAATACGATTGTGCGTATATGCGGATATACCACAATGATGATAATGATTCTCCTGGAACGGAAATGAATTCAATCTTTTTCATTTTAACTAGTAAAATATAAGGGTTTTATAACATGATCGGTAACTTCAATTGATAAGAAGGAAAATAGGAATGTTGGGTTTCCTCGTACGAAATAGGATCTACAATACGATCGTTGGGCATCAATATAAAAAAGCAGAAGATCTTGGCATGCTTTGTTGTGTAGATCAGATTGCGGCCTTGTGGCTAATGCGTATTAGTGGACCCACGCCGTACATATATATACTGACAGTACTCCGTACCTATGACATGTTATTCCTCGTTTCATTGCACGAAGGAACGAGATATTTCTGAGTTCTACTGGCAAAAAAATAGTGGGTCTCTTAGCATGCCAAGCACTACAGTACAAAATACTTATGAAACATGACTGTTTTTCTCTAACTATTCAAACTTTCAAAGATATATCTTGTTGACCCCGTTTCTGATGCTACCCTTGCTCTTCTAGCATCTATCGGATCTTTTAAATGCAATAGTCGCGCAACATATCACAAACAGAGTGTCTTCGGCATCGTGAAGTCCTTAGCAGTCAGGAAGTCAAACAGCTCTCCGATCTAGGAGTGTTACGTGATGCTAAATGGGTATACTGTATGTGAGTGAGTGCGGAGCAGGGGGACTAGTACATTGTTGTGGTAGGGGGAAAATTCAAATTTCACCATGTGGTTTTGTGCTCATACTTGCTATTTTTGGGGAGGAGTTAACTCTTCGCCCGTTTTGACCACTCACCCGTGAACTACGTCATATTATTGGGGGATAGAGTAAGCAGCGAGAAAAAGCAAGAGGGAGAAAACGATAGATAGATTGTCTGTTCGAGTTGAAAACGCAGCCGCCGACAGCTCTGCCCCGCCACACCATATACGGTCTCGACATTCGACATTTGAAATTGCCAAAACCCCCAGTCCGGTCATCAGACCACCTGAAAGAGAACTCGGCTTTCAAGTCTTCTGACTACAAAGCCCCTTATCTCTTAAGAAGAGATCGTGACACTGGCGCTGCCCGCACCACTCCATGCCTCCACCGCCAGGACTTGATAATTGAAGTTGCTGTTGCCGAACCCATGCTGCGCCCAGAAGTTGAAATGGTTGGCAACAGTCACCGTTCCAGATGTGCGTGTGCTCTGTCGAACGGAGAAGTACTGAGTGAACGTGCTCGTTCCCGTGATCGATGGCTGGTTGGTCCGAGTGTCGGTGCAGACTTGGTAGGTGGCTCCATCAGAGGACAGGGTACCAAGGTTTGTGGCTGAGCTACAAGGGTTGTAATCGCCGTAGTCTTCGACGATGTAGTATTCAGCCTGAGGAGAGTTGACCCAGCCGTACACAGCGAGGTAGGAGCCAGATCCAGAGGCGCTGTAGGAGGCAGAGTAGGTGATAGAGCTAATAAACGTTAGACCCTAGACTTGTATTAAAGGATATTGTCACCTACTTAGAGGAACCAGTGCTCCAGCCCAAACCAACGACAAAATCAGAGCTTACACCATCCTCCCAGTACATAGAATATGTTCCGGCACCCTCGTTGTAGGTAAAGTCACCAAGGTTGCCGTTGTAGTTCTGGACGTAGTTAATTCCAGCACTTCGCGACACCAGAGCAGGTCCGGTGGCAGGGGCGGCGAGTGCCGTGGCCAAGAGACCTGCGAAAGCTGCAGTGACCTTCATGACGATTGAAGAGAATTGAATGCTGGTGAATGGATGTGTGTAGCTGAAAGAGAAGCCTGCGATGGTCAATGTTGCTCTAATATTCTACCTCTATTTATATTCTGCGGAAATGACTATTTATCCTTTTTCCCCGCAAGACGAAGCGGTTCGGATATATGGATTTTGGCGCGTGAACTTTGGCGGCTGAATGAGTGGAGCTTGTTTTGAGCCTGTTTCCAGGGACGGGACGGCTCTATAGTTCTGGGTTTCCGGTGCAGGTGCCGGCTTCGGTACTGTAGTTAGCTAAAAAGACTGCAATCGGCTAAAAGGACCGCAGTTGGGTAAAAGAAGTGCGGTTGGGTAAAAGAAGTGCAGTTGGGTAAAATAAGTGCAGTTCGGTAAAATAAGTGCAGTTGGGTAAAATAAGTGGGTAACACCTTGCGTAAAAAGTGTGGAGGCGGGGAAGTGGGGATTCTTCACACATTCCGATTCTTCACACCTTCCCCGCAGAAATTCTACTGGCTCAGAAGTCATGCTCGCTGGCTAGTGGCTAGATAAATCCCTGTGCACTGTAGCCGATTGTGACTTTCTTGTCTCCGTAAATTAAGGCTATTCCACTCGAGATTTTAACCTAAGTTTTGAGTTTACTAAAAAGGGAAAGGCCAGTCACCTTAGGCCTGCGTCAGTATTCATGGATATCTATGGATAATAAACTGTATCGAGGTCGATAGATTCAGCAGAGTTAGGATAAGAAGGGGAGAGGGCGGACAAAGCATCTTATAGCCGCTTAGGTAAAAAGTATGGGACCCTAGATTTAGATACAGAGGGGAGCCATTTACGGCGTTGGTTTAAGTCGCCAGTAGAAAGGGGGGAATAATCGTTGAAATAGCGTCAATAGTTAGTCAATGACAACTAACTAAGTTAACTAACTAGTTAACATAACTAACTTAGTTAGGATGAGAGGTAGATGACTAACAGTCCTGGTTAGGTGCAGAATAACGTAATTCCCGCTTGACCGGGACACCCGGTTGAGCGGGACACCCTATCCAAAATCGCGTCTTCCTACTTACATACCAACTTCAACCATCTACAATGCCACTAATTCGCACTGAATCCTCGTAGAAACTAGTCAATCAAGAGGGCAAGATTCTATTAGCCCTTAATGATCTTAAAAATGGCCGTATTATATCTATTCGCGCAGTAGCTAGCCTTGATGCAATACCGAAGTCAACACTGTATACGCGCGCTGAGGGCCGAATTGTACGCGTCGATAAGCGCCTAAGTTGCTATAAATTAACTTAATTAGAAGAGGATACGCTTACTGAATAGATTCTCTCTATGGATTCGCGTAGAGCAGCGCCTAGGCCCGCTACTATTAGAGAGATAGCGAATATCCTACTAGCTGCACGCGGTAGTTAACCTCCGCTTACTGTTGGTAAGAACTAGCTAACAAAATTTGTTAAACGTCGCGATGAGCTTCGAACACGCTACTTAGTGCGATACGATTACTAGCGCGTATTAAACGAAGACCTAAAAGCCCTACGAGCCTAGTTTGCGACTGTATAAAGCGTGATTAACGAGAACGGGATATAACTAGAGGATATCTATAACTTTGATAAGACAGGCTTTGTAATAGGCCTTATATCCTCGTAGAAGGTAGTTACGCGAGCTGAATTCTACAGTCGGAGACGTCTTTTATAGCTAGGAAATCGCGAATAGGTTACTACGATCGAAGTAATTTACGCAGACGGCTATTCGCTACTGCTATATATGATTTTTAAAGGTAAAGTTGCTATTGCTAGTTAGTTCGATAACCTACCGAAAGACTAGCGATTTAAAGTCTTAGCTAATAGCTAGACTACTAATGAGATTAGCCTACGCTAGTTATAAAAGCTCTTTATCCCGTTAACGAATTCGCGCGTACGTGGCCGGTTTTGCTTATTGATCCTCGACGGTTATAGTAGCTATCTTACGCCTTAATTCGACCGAATCTACGTAGAGAACAACATAATACCTCTTTATATACCTATATATTCTTTATATCTACTATAACTACTAGATATTAGCTACTTTGTAGTAATCAAGAGAGCGTATAGCTGTTTCGTGAGCGATCTTACGCGCACAGGATATAACTATATCGATAAGTACGATTTCTTAGAGAATTATCAACACGCGCGGCTAGAAGCCTTCTAAAAGCTATCTATTATTTAGAATAGCTTCGTAGCTAGTAGTCTAGTACTAGTCGATATAGAAAGAGTGCTTTCAAAGCTTAATATCTCTATCCGAACGCCTTTACCACCGTTAAGCCGGCTAAGTAGCAGATCTAGCTAATTTATACCAAAAACGCCTAGAACAGTGATTCAGCTATAGAAGCAAGCTTCATTGCTAAAGGATCTACTACACCGGCAGTCAAATACCCCTCCGAGCCCAGTCAACACTACGGTGAATCAGATAATTAAGGGCGCCTATCTATCCTTACATACCACTGCATTACTTACGAAGGATAATACGAATCTACGCGCAGCCAATAAGAAGGTAGTCAATAAGCGCAATCGGTCGCATAAGCAGATACCCTGCGAAGAGGGTTTAACCGTCGAAGAGGGCCTACAGCTAGCTCAGCAGCTAATTCAGCCAGTAGAAGCTGATGAGGTAGTATCGCATGAACAGCTCGATCTGCCTAATCAGCCGATTCAACCGGTCAGGAGGGCTCCGCCTACCTGCAGTGGATGTGGACAAATTGGGCACAGGATTACTTCATGTAAAAATCGTGTTATCTAGTTAAATTAATAGGTGTTGGTTGGGATAATCGATTTTGAAATTTTCTAATGGGGGTAGGTGTCCCGCTCAACCGGGTGTCCCGGTCAAGCGGGAATTACGTTAACTAGGGGATGCCGAGCAGCGGGCGGTCAAGCGGTGGCTCCCTGTCCAAGTTATGTGTGGAATCGTGGCCGTTTCTGGCGTCACAGGCTGTCAGTTTCGGCGCTGTTTTCACAGGCCCATACATTCTAGTTGTAAAAGGCGACCTCATGAGCCACTCAGCGAGACAGCGGCTTATTGATACAGGAACGAGTCTTATTAATAGAATAGAAAGCCAGGGTAAGTGTCAGATAACTCTCCTCCTTCTCCCGAGAACCGATGACTCAAAACGCAGTGTTCAACAGCACAACTAGATTACGTGCTCAATAACCAGGGAAATTTTTCTCAAGGACTAGTTGTCCTTTGGGCTGAGAAATGCAGTCGCCCATTGACATGACTTCATCCCGCATCTCATGATTCAAAACATCCATCCGAATATCATACTGCTTAATTCTTCTCTCCATCGGTTCCGCAATAGTCAAATATTGTCGTCGAAGTGTTTCTGTCGGTACATTCCAGGTCGACTCCCGCAGACCTCGCTGGTTTCTCCGCAAAATAGCATAGAGCCGTTCCAAATTGTCAATCTCGCTCTCATAAGCCCTTAAGATCTCCAAAACAGATTGGAGTGTTGTTATAGATAGCCCGTCGAAAATCTTGAGAGATGCAATGCCGTTGTTCACACCGACATAGTCCGGATTTTTCAAGACTCTAAGTCTGCCCATATATCCTGTCATCCCGGTACCAAGGTAGAGCGCTTCAAGTCGACTGGCGTGAAGGCGGTGCTCATTAACGTCAATCTCATACAGGCCTAGCCATACTTTCTTCCAGAGTCCAATGATTTTGGCTTCTAGATTGTTACGTAGTGCTTCAGAACTTCCTGTACTGACGACAAGGCTGTATTGAGGTGGAGTATCGACACTGTCACTGCTTTGCGTGTAGTTGTCAATGGTGCTCTTTTTGTCGATATCGCATGGGGAGCTCGGCGTCCTGTGACGAGGGATAAGCCGTCGAACTACACGTGTATGATAGTATACTTACTTGGGGAAGTAGATTATCTTCATTTTCTTCCTTTTCGAAGTGACTGGATTGAAGATCTCCAAAATCCTTTGCAACAAGCGACGGTGTCGCCGAGATTTGGGCTGCATTGAGTGGTAAATAGGTCGACACTAATACGATACTTCGGCATCCAAAGAAGAGTCATACATGCTAGACCGGGTTAGAACTGTATAAGTAGCAATATGGTCTCTGTGCCGTAATAGTTGCGTGCTTGAATGATGAACTAAAGACATCACTATGAATTCTGGCGCGGTCTCTGCCGCTATGCTTGCTATTGTGAATAAGCTCGTTACTTCGGATTCAAATTCAGCGTAGGAGACTACGGGAGTTTACAAATATACCAATACTTACATAGCCATTTGGATCACCAAGTTCGAGTCATAAGATGTAGATCTGGGCGATTCATAATCTATAGCATATCTGCTATCCTTGCCAGTTGTGATGATGCCAGGGTGACGGCGAGCGGATCACCGGCTAGCGATACGTGGTACTTCTTCTGGCGCGATATCTTATTGAATATTCGATTCATCCTTTAATGGTTCTTCAAAATTGATGACGGTCGAGCACCATTTCTGTGTTTACCTGTCTTATGCGAGACTCTTCCTCCAATATTCCTAGTTATGGAAAGATGTAGCCCTGTAAGTGCGCGAACATTACGTTCAGAAAAAGGCTACATGCCCCTGAGCATGGTCGGGAAATTCCAGCGAGCTGAGAAAATAAGCACAAAGTCTCTGTAGAAGCTAAGATAGTTTGATTGAGGCAGCTCTCGAGAAAGTTTGTCATGGTACAACATCGGAAGGTAACTGTAATCATCCCTGGATCACGAGTCAATGGAATTGACTCATTGTTACTCCGTAAGTAGGCACTATATAGCCCCTCTTCTGGAGAAATATTTCGTGCAGGAGAAATCATAACACAGAGAATTGTTAACAATATTTGATGCCTTCTCCCCGGCTGAGTTCGACCCAGAAGTCAGTGAGATCAATGACCTCATGATTGACCGGATGAGAGCTATCCGGAAACCTTGCATCTGCAGGGCAACTTGTATGGTCGCACTGCTCAGATCGGGATATGCAGCTCACATAATCATAAATCCCTGCAGTAGCCGTCATCTTGCCAGTCGGTATTTGAGTTCGTTTTCGGATTTAAGCTCGGTGTCGGGAAGTTGGTCTTCCGAGACCGACTACTCCGTATAGTGCTGGTTTTTGGATGCTGTGATACTTGACGTAATGACTACGAATCCTAGTCAGCAATCTTTTGAGTTTCAATATCTATCAAACATTGACCCGTAGACCCGACGGTATTTAGTGTTCTTCAGGTGACACCTCTGTGACACGCGGCTACATACTACGCTGCTGCCCTGCAATCACCGAGCATCTCCATAATATGGGCGCTAAGATGGACCAACATCAGTCCATCGATAGCGAAATGACACCAGAGACTCATAAAAATAATGCCGGAATCGCATCAGAATACACAACTGGAAATGATGGTCGGTCATCGCGATCGGACTCGTCAGATAGTGCTGGCTCTCTTCGAAGCGCAGCTTCACAAAGGCCCGATGAGTATTCCGTGGGTGAATGTTTGAACAACGATGAACTTGCGACGACTTTATCTCATCGACGGAGCTATGCCTCTGGCCATGAAGGTGCCGAGTGGGCGCAGATCGAGCGATTGATCTCACGCATGTTTGGGCATGAGCGAAAGGCCAATTCTGAGGAAGAGCAGACTAGACATATTGGCGTCATTTGGAAGAATCTCACAGTGAAAGGTTTGGGTCTGGGAGCAGCGCTCCAACCTACCAATGGAGACATATTTCTTGCCCTGCCGAGGCGCATCAAGGGACTGTTTACTAGAGGAAGGAAGCGTGTTGGAGCTGGGAAACCAGAGATACGGACTATCTTGGATGATTTCACGGTATGTCACACGCCTCGACGCTGAGGATATGTGTTTTATCTGACAGCCAGTTAAGGGGTGCGTGCACCCCGGGGAGATGCTTCTGGTTCTAGGACGGCCTGGGTCAGGATGCTCAACGTTTCTGAAAGTGGTCGGGAATCAAACATATGGCTATGAGAGTATCGAAGGAGATGTTCGATATGGAGGGACTGACTCTACCACTATGAAGAAGAAGTATCGTTCAGAAGGTATCTTGCTATTCCCAAACCTCCATTCAAACCTCCATTATCAGACATGCTGAAACAAATAGTATCTTACAATCCCGAGGATGATCTTCACTATGCCACGTTAACGGTGCGGGATACGTTGCTATTTGCTCTCAAAACCAGAACCCCAGGTAAAGCGTCACGTATCCAAGGTGAAAGTCGAAAAGATTATCAACAAACGTTTCTTTCGGCAATCGCCAAACTCTTTTGGATCGAACATGCCCTTGGAACTCGAGTTGGAAATGAGTTGATCCGCGGAATCTCGGGAGGGTAGGTGAATCTGTAATGCAAGCTAAGTAGACACAATGCTAAAACCGTCAAATCGCAGAGAGAAAAAAAGAGTCTCAATTGGTGAAGCGATGGTAACAAAAGCCAGCACTCAATGCTGGGATAACTCCACCAGGGGCCTCGATGCAAGCACCGCCCTCGAATACGTCCAGAGCTTGAGAAGTCTCACCAATACTGCCCATGTCTCAACATTAGTAGCTCTTTATCAAGCCTCTGAGAATCTTTTCAATCTTTTTGATAAGGTGATTCTGATTGAAGGTGGGAAGTGTGCATTCTTGGGACGTACCGAAGACGCGAAAGCCTACTTTGAAAATCTCGGCTTCGAGTCTCCTCCGCGTTGGACAACCCCTGATTTTCTGACATCAGTCAGTGATCCTAATGCAAGAAGAGTGAAACCTGGATGGGAAGATCGGATCCCGCGAACTGCCGAGGAGTTCCAAGCTGTATACCGGGAAAGCGATGTTTTCAAAGCAACGCTTGCAGACATCGAAAGCTTCGAGGATGAGACTGAAACTCAGAAGCACGAGAGAGAGGCTGCCAGAAGTAAAACGACCACAAAGAACTATGCTGTTCCATTCTGGAAGCAGGTTGCAATCCTCACACATCGGCAGTTTCTTGTCATGTTGGGCGATAGAGCCGCTCTAGTTGGCAAATGGGGCATGCTCGTCTTTCAAGCTCTAATTGTCGGAAGCCTGTTCTATAATCTCCCAGACACCAGGTTTGTCTCTATCTGAATTTTCGTTAGCCTGAGTTGCTTGACTGATGTTTTCACCAGCTCTGGAGTCTTTACTCGAGGGGGTGTGATGTTTTTTATCCTTCTGTTCAACGCCCTACTTGCACTCGCTGAACTTACAGCTGCGTTTGAGAGCAGACCTATCCTGATGAAACATAAAAGCTTGTCAGTGAACTACCTAACCATGAAAAAAATGTTACTGACATGCTTAGCTCTTTTTACCGACCCGCAGCATATGCTCTGGCACAAGTTTTCGTGGATGTTCCATTGGTATTCATACAAGTGGTACTCTTTGACATCATCGTTTACTTGTACGCTCTCCTACAATGTGACTTGGAGCTGAACTGATAAATTCTCTAAAGCATGGCAAATCTCGCACGAACGGCTTCCCAGTTTTTCATCAACCTGCTTTTCATCTTTATACTCACGATGACTATGTATTCATTCTTCCGCTCACTCGGGGCGCTGTGTGCATCATTGGATATTGGTAAGTGAGAATTCTCCTAGTGATAATGTTGGTAGTCCTACTAAAAATTTTCCTAGCTACGCGTCTCACCGGAGTTGCAATCCAAGCGCTGATTGTCTACACTGGTAAGAGAAACAATAATTTTGTGGGGGCTCTTTCATTGACATTCAGGGTTATAGGATACCTGATTCCGCCGTGGAAGATGCACCCATGGCTTAAGTGGCTTATTTGGATTAACCCAGTTCAATACGCATTCGAAGGGTTGATGGCAAATGAATTCCACAATCTTGGAATCAAGTGCGAGCCGCCATACATTGTACCCGATGGACCCAATGCATCTTCGTCTCATCAAAGCTGCGCGATCCAAGGGAGCAGCCCGGATAGCTTGGTTGTACAAGGATCTAACTACATCAAGGCTGCATACACATACTCTCGGTCTCACTTGTGGCGAAATTTCGGTATCATCGTAGCTTGGTTTCTTTTCTTCGTCTTTTTGACCATGCTTGGCATGGAGATCCAAAAACCCAACGCAGGTGGGAGCTCTGTCACCGTGTTTAAAAGAGGCGAGGCACCGAAAACTGTCGAGAAAGCAATAGAAGGGAGAAGACCATCAGCAGATATGGAATCGGCCGAGAAAGATGGGCCATCTTCAGGCATCCATGATGACGAGAGCGATCCAAAGGTCGAGGACATCGCAAAGAATACGTCGATCTTCACATGGCAGAACGTGAATTACACAATCCCTTACAAGGGTGGACAGCGGAAGTTGCTACAGAGTGTGAATGGATTTGTGAAACCTGGGCGATTGACGGCGCTGATGGGTGCATCGGGTGCAGGGTACAGTCGAGTATACCCAGTTTGCCAATAATCAGTGGCTAAATTATGTTAGGAAAACGACACTGCTTAACGCGCTAGCTCAGCGAATCAACTTTGGCGTTGTTACCGGAAGTTTCCTGGTTGATGGAAAGTGAGCATTGAACAGTATGTTGATGCCAAGCCGCAGGCTAATCTGGAATTTTAGACCACTTCCCAGAAGTTTTCAAAGGGCAACAGGTTTTGCCGAACAGATGGACATACATGAACCCACAGCCACGGTCCGAGAGTCTCTACGGTTCTCTGCTCTGCTACGGCAGCCAAACGAGGTTCCCCTGCAAGAGAAATATGGCTACTGCGAGAAAATCATCGATCTGCTAGAGATGCGATCAATCGCAGGGGCTACCGTTGGATCTCATGGGTCTGGTCTAAACCAAGAACAGCGCAAGCGTCTCACTATTGCAGTAGAGCTGGCCAGCAAACCAGAGCTGCTTCTCTTCCTGGATGAGCCTACCTCTGGTCTCGACTCACTGGCAGCGTTCAATATTGTCCGTTTTCTCCGACGACTTGCCGATGCCGGTCAAGCAGTTCTTTGTACCATTCATCAACCATCGGCCGTTCTGTTTGAGCAATTTGACGAACTGCTTCTGCTCCAGAGCGGTGGAAGAGTTGTGTATAATGGTGCTCTGGGTTCGGATTCCAAAACATTGATTAATTATTTCGAGCGCAATGGGGGCAAGAAATGCTCTCTGAATGCAAATCCGGCAGAGGTGAGTCTCCCAATATATACTAAATTTTCTCACTCTGAAACATGATTTAGTATATGCTCGAAGTTATCGGCGCTGGAAATCCCGATTACAAAGGACAGGACTGGGGTGATGTGTGGGAAAACTCCCCTGAATCTAAAAAGCTTTCTGATGACTTGGAGAACATTATCAATTCTCGCCGGAGCCGGCAGCAGGATGAGGTCACCAAAGATGATCGAGAGTTCGCTATGCCTCTGTACGCTCAAATAGTTGCAGTGACCAAGAGGGCCTTTGTGGCTTATTGGAGGCTCCCAAATTATATTCTTGTGAGTTGTTGTTACTCCGAAATTACCAAGCCATACTCACTCCAAAACTATGCAGGGAAAAATGATGCTTCACATCTTTACGGGCTTGTTCAACACCTTTACATTCTGGCATTTGGGGAACAGCTATATTGACATGCAGTCAAGACTTTTCTCCATCTTCATGACCTTGACCATTTCTCCACCTCTCATTCAACAGCTACAGCCACGGTATCTGCATTTCCGGGGCATCTACCAATCGCGCGAGTCAAACTCTAAGATTTATTCCTGGGTTGCATTTGTAGTGAGCACTATTCTCCCAGAGTTGCCGTATGCCATTGTTGCCGGATCTGTCTACTTCAACTGCTGGTATGTAATCATTGAGTGTCATGTTTGAAGCATATCGCTGACAAAGTATAGGTACTGGGGCGTTGGATTCCCACGGGACTCTTTCAGCTCGGGTTATACCTGGATGATGCTTATGCTATTTGAATGCTTTTACATCGGACTCGGTCAATTCATTGCAGCTTTTTCGCCAAATGAGCTTTTCGCATCCTTGCTCGTTCCCTCATTCTTCACTTTCGTCATTTCCTTCTGCGGTGTCGTCGTACCTTATGCCGCTTTGCCGCACTTTTGGCAGTCGTGGATGTACTGGCTCACCCCGTTCCACTACCTACTCGAGGGTCTCCTGGGTGTACTTACACATAATGTTCCCGTTCAGTGTGTCGAGCGAGAAGAGGCATTTTTCAGTCCACCGCCTGGCTTGACTTGTCAGGACTATGCGGGTCCATATGCGCAAAAGTCCGGCGGCCGTGTCCGCGATGCTGGAAATGGCTTGTGCGCATTTTGCCAATACTCCACGGGAGATCAATTTGTGAGTTATGCTATTCAGTATCACATCATATACTTCGGATGGCGACTGACCATAATGCAACTGGGCAGACTGCCGCTTTCAACGTCTTCTACTCTCACAAGTGGAGAAACTATGTGAGCTCTTCCCCAGTGAACTCCAATCTTACACCGTCTAATTCTTCTTAAATAGGGAATATTTTGGGCATTCGTCATCTTCAACTTCATTGCTGTGTTTTTCTTTTCTTGGCTATATCTCCATGGAATCAGGGATCTGAAGCGATGGCTTAGCGAGCGCAAGACAAGAAAGATCAAGAAAGCCGCAAACTGAAGGAATCTGCGGAACCCGCAATCAACGGCATTGCAGATGCTGAGTTGGGCTCCAGGAGGCTAAAGTTTACGATCTACTTTTTTTGGAAGAATTCCTCATGCGAGAATGGACACAGAATATGGAGGATGGGACGCCAGGGTTTGCCCTCCAATATGCCCAGCCTGATCTTTAACCCTGGCTGCTTCAAATCACCTGGGAAAAGTAGCACACCACCCTAGAGAGACAGAGTCTTGTGTAGAAGGAAACATAATCAGCTGGCTACTTCCGAAACATCTCATTCATTTCATAAAACATATAGAGCGGTCAATTAGTCGACAGCCATAGATTTCCATCTTGGAGACGTGGCAATTGCTCCAATCAATCGCGCTAAGCCTCGGTGATCTTTTCGGACAATTCGACTTGCATTTCACGATCTTCGCATTGTTTAATTTGAGGTCCCTGCCTCAATGGCTATATCTTAAAGCTTTCCAAATTGCGATTACGTATTCTTGGAGTGGTGGGGCCCAGTTGCGTTACATCAGGGCTATGTGCTACCTACTTGCTCAATATGATACGCCTGCGTAGAGCCCCTAGCTAGGAATAATCTCATTACGATACATTGCTTCATCTCTTCACCTAACAAGCTCAAAGAAGCATCATAGTTTCATCAATCAAATCCCTGGCTCCTGGCGCAATAATCAATAAGGTTCTCACAGTAGACAATCCCTCGGCCCTCGTGAGCGGGTCTGCTTCAAGTCTTCGCGCCAAAGCTTGGCGTACCTCCTCGAAACTTCGCTTCACCACCGCCCCTAATTCTTCCCTCCGAATTTATCGCGTCTACGCAGAGTGCTTCCGCTGCCATGATTGCATGAGCCTTTAGCACCTGCCGTCATTATCATTGCTCGCGTATCCGTTACTACTGTACCCTCTCCACCTTCCCGGCCTGCTCGATCATGACGGAATCAGTCCCCAGAGACACACCCGAGCAGTCACAAGCCGATGAGCAACACGACCAGGAGTCGGCTTCGAAATTGGCTGCCAACGCAGCTCTTAAAGATCGGAGATGTCAATACTGTGGTCAGGCATTCACATCATCCTCTCTGGGTCGTCATCTAGACCAGTTCTTGTTCAAAAAGAAGCCCGATGGGATCCACGATGTGGAGGAGATTCGGCGCATCCGCAGTGGGATCACTCGTCGGCAGGCCCGCACAAGTTCTGGCAAGCGCGATGGCAGCCCAGATCATGCACAGAAAAGGGGACCCTCGGGGAGCAATGCAGCGGGTGATTCCGCTTCCAAATCGCGCGATACTTCTGTGCGCATGATGTTCAACACTCCCACCTGGCACGCAACTGGTGTGATCAACGATATACCCAATCCAAGCCGTACCGTGGACGGACCTCGAATCGCGCCTGCTCAATCAAGAGCAGGATCGCTACAGCTGCCCGATTATGCGACACGAGGGGCTGTTGCGAATAACCCAGATACAATGAAAGCGTTGGAGCTGGCCTTGCGCGAAGTGCTAGATAACATTAAGGCAGCAACGTACGTCGCATCTCGACGTCTCCCTACGTTTTGTCTCCATCAAAGCTGACAATGCGATTCTAGTTCCCGGGTTCGACCGCGCCTTTCGCCATTCGACTTTGAGATCCAAGCCCAAACTTTCCCCTCCCTCTGCCTTCAGCTTCTCCCTCCGCCCCCGAGCTTGTTCGCATCGCATCCTTTCTCATCCCCGACATCATTCCCACTTCAACCACCCGGCAGGGAATATCTTGATATTGTACGCCAAGCACTTCGTTCCAAAATTACACAATGGCGAACAGATCAATTCTCCAAGGATTCGGGATCGCGCCCAGGAAATGTTGGGGGCACTTTTGATAATTCCATGATTCACCGGACGGCACACCAGCACGAAGAAACGGCAATTCGACACCTAGAACTAGCCTTCAATCATTGGAACACGCTACCTCATGAAACCCGCCGTGAAGCGTGGCAGCTTGAGATCACGCGCGCGTTCGCCCGTGAACTCGAGAAGCGCAAATCTGTGGACGAGCAACTTGCGCGGGTGCAGCAGGAAGCGAATCAGCTTCGCGCTCAGGTCGAACGATTGGGCTCGTGCCAGTGGCCACGCGAATTCGCTCTCTTCCCACCAGACACACTTCCAATCCCTCGGGACGTGGCACGCGAATTGGACGCGAATGGAAGCCAGATCGGCCCCGAATCGACGAGGTGGGACTTTGATAGCGTAGTTTCCAAATGGAAGCGTGTTGTCATGCATGACAAGAGTATGGGCCGCAGCGGAGTAGGTCATAGCTCGACCGCAAACCCCCTGGACCCGGATTCTCAGCATGACGTTCGTCCTCCTCGACCAGGTGAGGATACGTCGTCTCACCCGAATCGCCTGCGGCCTTTCCAAAATACTGCTGCAATGAGTCCAGATCCTGCCAATGCATCTACCCCGGCGTCGTCGACAAATTATGCCTCTCCTTATTCCCACGCCGATCCTCGCAGCCCACCGGGTGGTAACGCATCCGGTCCACAGGCCAAGCGCCCACGGCTGATGAACGGATCTGAAGGCCTTTCGACTGCCGAACCAGCGACGACGAAGGCGGCTGGTCCTGGTTCATGGCCTTCGTCTACGCCTATCCTGTCTAATTTGGCTGCTCCTTCGGGGCAAACGCCCCCATCCGCTTCTCGCAGCTAATTCGTTGAGTATATACTTGATATTGAGAGCATCGGGTTGGTCTATTCATTGGGGCTAGAACCCATCATTTTTACATATAATATACCCATTCATAGTCAATGAACATACAGCCATACTGGTATACGCAGATTCTCCAAGTAAAGTTTGATGTCTAGTTCTGGTGTTGTTGAGCACCACTCAGTGTAGAGGGCAACCGAATGGATATGTAAGAAAGTCGACTTGATACCTCACTCTTGAGATACTAATCTTATTCACGGTCATCTCAACCATCTACTTTGTCTCTACAGTCTTGCTAATCTCGCCACCGAGATACTCAGCAAGAGTCAGCATCTTCTCTTCCTGCAGCCTTCGCCCAACAAGTTGAACTCCAATCGGAGCGCCATGATATGTATCGGCATCATCTGTACCCCGCATCAGCCAAACTCCAAAAGGACAACACAAATGACCACTTACACGTCCACTCAATATGGTCCGCTAATTCTGCTACAGATGCATCTGCTGCGCGCACATCGATACTCTTATCCGCGAACGTAACCGGCAGAGCCACGCTGGTATAATCCAAAATATTGACGAACGAAGTGTATCCCACGTAATTGAACTGAGTGGGAATCACCGCAGCATGAGGTGCCAGAGGACAGAAAAGTCCGTCAACGGGACGACCAGTGCCCGTCAGTTCTGCAGTGCTGTTCCAGTAGTCCATATATTGCTTTTGGTACTCACGCTTGGCGACGTTCAATGCTGCGAGCTCGCTTATGGATATCGGGTTGGACTCGTCCACTATGACCTGGACTGCTTTAGATTCGCCGGATAGACCAAAGTGATGCTTCAGATCGGCACCGCCATCCATGTTGAATGCCTCAGACTGGCTTGAATTAGTGAGGCCTCTGTAGTGTCTGGGAAATGTTTAGAATGACTTACACTCAATGTGCCAGCGGTAGCATGAGATGGCGGGTTCCAGGTAATCACTTTATGACCCAGTCGCTTCAGGGTCTGTTCGACGATTTTCAATCCACGAGCAATGGGCGGTTGAATGCGTGTGATGCCATCCCAGTGCATCATGCCGAAAGCTAGCGTTGAATTTCCGGCCTTCGCTTGCTCAATCCAAGAGCGCGTCTCTTCAACAAGTGCGTCTCGCCAGGGCAGCTCGAGGACCAGTGGATCATGATACCAGGGCTGCTGGCTAAGAACAGTCTTGAACAGCAATGCCAGAGACCGTGCCGTTGGTGCTAGCGGTCCAATAACGGACAAAATAGTATTTTGCCCATCCATCGAGTTAGCAACGCCCTGGTAGGGCATTCGCCCCGACGATGGGCGAAGTCCATATAGAAAATTGTATCCAGCAGGAATGCGAACACTCCCACCGATATCAGTTCCAAAACCAGCAGGCGATCCACGCAAAGCAATCAACGCGCCTTCACCTCCAGAACTGCCACCACAGGATAAGAGGCGATTCTTCGGATTCCATGTATACCCGATGATATGATTGACAGTCTCACCGGCCATCAGCGTAGCCGGCACACTGGTCTTGCAATAAAGGACTGCGCCGAGATTGCGCAGCTCTCTAACTAGTTCACTTTCTTCTATGCGGAATCGGGGGTCATCCTTTGCACCTTGGAAGGTACCGATCCACCCGACGTAGCCCATGGTGGTCTCGACACCTTTGACGTGGAATTGATCCTTCAGACTAACTGGAAGACCATGCAGCGGGCCAATGGGAGCCTTGTGCTCTGCAAAGTAGGCATCAAGCTTCTTCGCATCTTCGATAGCTGCGTCGAAGAATATCTCATGTAAACAGCTGACCTGGCCAAGTGTTAGCCACGCGCAAAGCGCTCAATGTCTTATACAAGGGCGGCATACTAGTTGGTGTGCCAGCGCAGCGCGGTGACAAAAGGCCTCTGTGACTTCGACAGCAGTCCACCTCCCCGTAGTCGTTTGTGCAGCGATATCAACTGCATCGGACTCTGTGATTTCAATCTCACGCTCGCTCAGATACTGCTGAATATAACTTCCGGTCACATCGCGTACCTCCGTGGCGGGTGGGACGGGATTGGGTAGTCGCCATTTCGCGGGGATGGTGTCTAGGATGGATTGGCGTTTTGCTTCGCCTTTTGCAAGCCAGGGAGAGTTTACAGACATTGTAGATTACTGTAGACGGGTGCAGCGGATCAATAGTGGGTGTGAGAATGGTGGACGTTTATAGATGCGCTTTTTGGGTATTTCTTATCGCGAAGGGCGGGGAAGTTGGGGTCGTTTGGAGATGTTTGGAATCCTGCACTACCAAAGGAGGAGACATGTAGGGGGGTGAAGAGGGTAAATAACCTCGGGAGAATCAGGTATCAATCTGCCGAGAACCGGCTTCGTATTCAGGTTGCTTAAGGCACTATGCATGCTGCATATTTTACAGTGGGTGTGTCGTACGGAGTATGTATAGATGTGGGGAAAGTTGGCGGAACATGGAATTCCGCGACATGCTATCAATGGCCTATCAAAAAGCCTAGATAATCGACCCCAAGGACATCTGAGGGGATCTTTCGATATGATATCGATGTTTTGACCCCAACTTCCCCTGAACAAGTATGCCTAGGAGGGTTCCCCAAGGCACGACGCCTTTTTGGAGACGGTTGTGATGGCGCTGTGACGTGCACGGAACGGCTATCAGTCACTAAAGCAGCAAGTGCTAACCACGGTGGCCCCTATAGCGGCCCCTGTAGCCATGAGAGCAATCGAAGCAATGGCCCATCCAACAGAGATGACCCCAAATGGCGTTTCTCAGCTTGCAATCAAAGCCACTTTTGCTACTTCATGGAGCAGGACTGGTCATCTGCCGCACATTGAGATTGATCCGTTTGCTAGACATCCATCCTTTCCACATTTGATATGGAGAGCCAGGCGCATCTTCTCCAAGAGATGGCCAGTCTGCCAGCCAACTGGGACAAGTGGCTGGCAGGACCTTGGGCACACCGTGCCAGGCAAACCGCGACGTACCGTCCATGTAGACGGCGTCGCCTGACCGAAGTCGAATGACTTCCGCGCCATTCCCATCGTCATGGCTAATCAGGAATAGACCATCACAGCCAAAACTTACACTGATCAGCCCGATGTCGCACTCTTCACTCACGTCCCGATGCGCGCTGAGGGTATCTCCGGCGGAATATAGATTCAGGATTGCAGCTTGGGCATCTGTTTCTGGGAAGGCTGCCTTCAACAGCTTCGCCACGTCCTGTGGGAAAGGTGGCGGGGGCTCAGATGGGTATACTTTGGCAGTCCAGTCGTACTGACCACCCAAGGTGACCCACCGGAGCTTCTTTTCCAACACACCCTGAATAGTGAGAGGTTTATGGACCTGAGGATCTTTTGGCTGGAGGATCCGTGTCGGGTCATCGGTGAAGAAGGACTTTGGGGTGTCTTGATTGTCCGATCCCTCGGGATATGTGACATCGTAGTGGAGATGGAGATTGGTCTTGTGCTTGGGATTAGGAAGATCGCGGTGCAGCAAACGAGATAGTAATTCGATTTGAACGGTGGGGGGAAATAAGGAGGGTATCATCAAAAGACCTGTCCGGAGTTAGGTTGCTTCGTTCACTCTGGCGGATCAGTGTCGGGTAATTGAGACAAGTTGGTGCTGACCAGATACTGCATTGTGTGTGAAGACGGGTATGTTCTCAGCAAGAGGAGCATGTTCCTTGTCTGAGGCATGTCCACCGCGAATAAAATCATCAAAAGCCAGCCGGAGATCTTGACTTGACATGTACTGTGAGACGGTAATACCCGGGGGAAGCTCATCCGGATCTAGTCGTTGGAGGTCGAGGATCTCGAGGTCATGGTTGATATCTGACAAGGAACACCTTGTGTACTTTTTGTAGCATTGGCGGACAGCCTCTGGTGGGCGATCATGAGCATTGATGCCTTTGATCTGGGCCATAGTGAAAAGTATCTCGCCAGAGATGATCGGCGAAGCGCCGCAGAGGAAAAGTACGCGCTCACCGCCTTCCAGCGGCGCGGGGAGTTGTTTGTTTTTGTCGCCTCCCCACCATGCAATTCTGACTGTGAATATCTTCAATTTCGACAATCTCGACCAACTCGACAGATCTGTGGGTGCGGGGACCTGGAAGTTATCGAGTGTAGCAGCCCTAACATCAGACTTCAAATTAAATGTTTGTTCTACTGGTTCTTCCCGCCTCTTCTTCCTCCTTGCTTCCTTCTCCCTTCGCTTCCTCCCCCCAGTCCCTCCAATCTGCGTCACTCCCATCTTCACAGCTCCTGTTACCTTGCTAACATGGCTGAGCACAGAACATCCTCAGCAAGTACATCTGCCATGGAGAATTATCAAAAGATCGAGAAAATTGGCGAAGGTTGGTGTCTCTGATGTGGTGTCTTTATCTCGTCCTCGACCCCTCAACTCACGCGTCAACACCCTTTAGGAACGTACGGTGTCGTCTACAAGGCTCGCGAATTGAACCACCCCAACCGTATCGTCGCTTTGAAAAAGATCCGTCTCGAGGCCGAAGATGAGGGCGTCCCCAGCACTGCCATTCGCGAGATCTCTCTCCTCAAGGAGATGCAGGATCCCAACATCGTCCAATTGCTGAACATTGTTCACGCCGACGGCCACAAGCTTTACCTTGTCTTTGAGTTTCTCGACTGTGACCTGAAGAAATACATGGAGGCTCTGCCGGTTAGTGAGGGTGGTCGTGGCAAGGCCCTGCCTGATGGCACGATGTTGAGCGCCAACCTGGGTCTGGGCGACGCCATGGTGAAGAAGTTCATGGCTCAGCTGGTTGAGGGTATTCGTTACTGCCATAGCCACCGTGTCCTGCACCGTGACCTCAAACCCCAGAACTTGCTTATCGACCGTGATGGTAACCTGAAGCTGGCTGATTTCGGTCTGGCCCGAGCCTTTGGTGTCCCCCTGCGTACCTATACTCACGAGGTATGTACTAACACGGAAAGACGTCAATTGGCTCAACTTACTCAATGTTCCTATCATAGGTCGTCACACTGTGGTACCGTTCCCCGGAAATCCTGCTTGGTGGCCGCCAGTACTCCACCGGAGTCGACATGTGGTCCGTCGGTGCCATCTTCGCTGAGATGTGCACTCGCAAGCCGCTTTTCCCTGGCGACTCTGAGATTGATGAGATTTTCAAGATCTTCCGGTATGTGATGATTCAGAATAAACCTCTGCGTGTATTTTGCTAATCTTCTCTCTACTCTGCAGTGTCCTCGGTACCCCCGATGAAGTTGAGTGGCCCGGTGTCACCTCGTTCCCCGACTACAAGCCCACATTCCCCAAGTGGAAGCGCCCCGATGCTCCCATCGTCCCCGGCCTGGAGGAGAACGGTCTCGCCTTGCTGGAGGCGCTTCTCGAGTACGATCCCGCGCACCGGTTGTCGGCCAAGCAGGCCTGCATGCACCCATACTTCAAGAACGGCAGCTCGTACTACACGGGCCGCGGTGTCAGCGCCCCCCGCAACGGCTATCACTAAGAAGACGATCTCGTTCCTGATCTACTCGTGTAACCCTATTGACGTCGGAGGATCGCATTTACGTTGATGCGGGCCCCGGACCTATGATGTCTTGTTATCTTTCTTTCTTCCTTGTTGGGCTTCTCTTCTTTGTATCGGGCGTTTCTGGAGGGGAGTGACTAGGAGGGCGGGATTTCCTCTGTTATCAACGTGCTTTTTAGTCAAATGCAAGGCGTACATACCCCTTTTGGTGGATAAAAGAATAATCTCTTTTGTTTCTCTTTGAAGACAGTACCTTGATCGCCGACCATGCAGCCATGCAGCTAATTGGAGGTAGTCTCAGCCGAACTCAGCCTTAATTAATTCCGCCGCGCAGCTACTGTCACTCAGTCTTCCCATGTTATGATGTTACACTGTCGCTCGGACTCCATGCCCCCCATTTATGACTTTTAGCATCGTCAGCAACGGCGACTCTGCCAATCAGATGCCCCCAATTCAAAGTGGCCCAGCTCGTGTCTGAGCTGAGCAAAAGGCCCCACAACTACGGACAGAGCGGATACGAAACGACCTTGACAAGACTCGAGTGCCTGTCGCAGGATGGATGATATTCTTAGAATCGGACCCAGCAGAGAGTCATCCTGCATATGCTGGTAAACCGGGAACGGGCTTTAATGCCCGCTACAGGAGGGCGTCTCGAGTCTCTTCCTATCAGTCTACCTTGCCAGGTACACTACAGGACTACTCCGTCCAGTGCTGACGATGATGGGGCTGGTGTTATTGGGGGCCGTTTCTCTTGGGGCCAGCATTCCAAATTCCAAGCTGAGCAGGGCTTACAATCCCTTCCTTGGGGGCCACGCGAGAGCCACAACTAGCTCGTCTGGGTGATTCTATTCGCGGCCCACGGGAAGTCTAACGCACGCACCTGCAGCCTTACGGCGAACGCCTGAGCTGCCCACTGCCACCAGGCCATGGAATCCGCGAATCCAGAGGCTGCTGGCCTCGGCAGCGCCGGCGCAGGACACGAATTGGGGCAGCTTTTTGGAGATGGGAGTCTTGAGTGAGCAGTGAGCAGTGAGCAGGAAAGAGACAGTGGCTTGTCTTAGGTTCTTATTAATAGCGGACGGTCGCTCGTCTTTTTTTTGGCCCCGTTGGATTGTTTGATCTTCGTCGGTTGTCCGGACTCTGGACTTGTTGGTCAGTGCGAATAATAAACCTACAAGTTCGACACTAACCAAAGAAGAAAAAAGACAACGTTCCCCTCCCCGCCCCGCTCAGATCCACGGTCCAGTTTCTTTATCCCGTCGGGTGCGGAGAACTTGAAAATACTCTATTTCGCGACGGCTTGACTCTAGCCTACTCCTTCCACAATGGAATTTGACGACGAAATGGCCGGCTTCGGCAATACAGGACCTTCAGCATCTTCGCGCTCAAATAGTCACCCTCCTCAGCGCGCCCGTCGCCAAGCCCCGCAGGAACTAGTCAAGCAGTTCTGGGAGCAATTCAACACAAAATACCCCGGAAAGGTATATACAGTGCTGCCGGGTAACCCGTATGCGCGCACGAGGGCGAAGCGTGTGCCGAACGGAGTGATCCAGGGCCATGCAGCGGTGAAATCCTATGAGCAGGCGCGGCGAGAATGCCAGACATCCGTTGAGCGCATTGTCAAGGAGTGCCGACGGGTGAACCAGAAGTATTCCGATCCGCATTTTGACATTGAGTTGGATCTGAAGTCGAATCGGAGACATTATTTGGATGAGTTGGATAAGGTTAATGATATAATGAAACCTCGGGGTGTGAAAAGAGTGACGGTGTGTTGATAATCGGATGTATGTCATGAGGAGGGTGGTTTTGCTGATCTGGCTGCTAGGAAATCTTTGAGAATCCCCAGTTCTATGTTAATGGACCCACGGCGTCGGATGTGCGTCAAGGGTATGATGGTGACTGTTGGCTGATGGCTGCGCTGTGCACGATGGGTAACAAGGCTGGTTTGATTGAGAAGATCTGCGTTGCTCGGGATGAGACGGTCGGTATTTATGGATTCGTCTTTTATCGCGGTAGGTGAACAATTCCTGGAACCTCTACGTGGAAATTTTGGACTGATAAGTGTATTAGACGGCGAATGGCAGCAATGCATCGTCGATGACAAGTTGTATCTACGGGCTGCAGACTACGATGAGTCCAACGAGGAACGAATGACATGGGACCTAATCAACCGCAACGACACAGAAGAAGAATACCGCCGCGTGTGGCAGACTGGCTCCCGGGCTCTGTACTTTGCGCAATGCGTGGATCCCAACGAGACCTGGCTGCCACTACTTGAAAAGGCATTTGCCAAAGCGCATGGTGATTATTCCGCTATTGAAGGCGGCTTTGTCGGCGAGGCCATTGAGGATTTGACCGGAGGTGTTACCTCCGAGGTTCTGTCGAGCAATATTCTCGACAAGGACCGGTTCTGGAACGAGGAGTTGATGATGGTCAATGAGGAATTCCTGTTTGGTTGCGGCACTGGCTTGTTCTCAAACTGGTTGGACACGCGGTCCCCGCCGCGCGATCGGAAAGGCATCTCGGAGAACCATTCATATTCAATTATGGACGCGAGGGAAGTCAAGGGGAAACGATTGTTGCGACTGAGAAACCCCTGGGGAAAGAAGGAATGGCATGGTGCTTGGGGTGATGGGTCAAAGGAATGGACGACGGAGTGGATGGATTTGCTGGGACACAAGTTTGGAGATGATGGATTCTTTTGGATCTCGTATGAGGATCTGCTCAAGAAGTACCAGCACTTTGACCGGACTCGTCTGTTTGGCGATGAGTGGACTATCACTCAGCAATGGACTACTCTCAACGTGCCCTGGTCTGCCGACTATCACAGCACCAAGTTTGTCATGAATGTGACCGAGGCCGGGCCTACTGTCATTGTCCTTTCTCAGGTACGTACCTCATTCTATGACGCCCCTTTGAAAGTACCACCATACTAACAACCACAGCTCGACACCCGTTACTTCAAAGGCCTCGCCGGTGAATACAGCTTCGTCCTCAAGTTCCGCGTGCAGAAAGAAGGCGACGAAGACTATATGGTACGCAGCCACAGCAGCCACTTCATGGCGCGATCTGTCAACGCCGAGATCGATCTCGAGCCAGGCCGGTATCAAATCCTAATGAAACTCACCGCATACCGCCACGACGACACGGAATCAACCGAAGAAACTGTCCGCCGTCTAGCCTCCACACACCGTGAAAAGCTCGTACAAGTCGGACTATCCTATGATCTCGCTCACGCAAAGGGCCTCGTCGCCGAAACGGATCAAGAACGGTATGAATCAGAACGACGAAAGGCTGCAGAATGGAGGAAACTCCGTGACGAAGCCAAGCGGAAAATGCAGAAGGAGTGGATTCGGGAGCGCAAGATGGCTGCTCGCCAGCAGCGCCAGGCAGCACGTCGGCCGCGCAGGATGACCAACGGTGCATCACCCGATCGGGGTCCTATTCCTGGCCAGATCCTCACCGAGAACAAGGCGACTCAGTCTCCTACTGAAGTCGGCTCTATCTCCAGCGAAGCGAGTGACCGTAAACCCACTGTCAACGGTACAAGTGGCTCAGTGCCCACGATCCAATTCAACGGACTCCATGCAAGACACCCCAGTGGCTCCTCAACGCGCCGCAGAACCGAGTCTCCACGCCCAAGTCTGAACACCCGTCTTGCCAACGATATCCTGGATACCACGGACTTGGAGCTGTTGGATGGCTTCGAGTTTGACAGCGATTTGGACATGCCAATCGAAGAACCAAAGACTCGCCCTCCATTCAAGGACTTGGAAGGTCCTGCCGAGGATCCCTGGAATGCGGTCTGTGTTGTTGGACTGCGTGTCTACTCCAAGGATCCGAAGTTGAGTCTCCAGGTTATGCATCCGGTGCCGGATGACGATACTGAGGCTCCCCTGGATAGAGATGACCCTGCGGCGTCGGCGACGCTAGAGAAGACGTTTTGGGGTGGACAGGTGCCTACTTGATCTGGATGCATGAAGGGTGGTTTTTGCATGGATTGGATGACTTGATTTGATGGATTTGTAGAAGCGATGCCTGTAACTATATTTCGTTGCACAAATTGAGTTCTGTTTCTCCTTGGGGTTTATCACAATCTAGCGATACTTTAAAGTTGACCATCACCATCTTTTCTACTGTTTTAATTCCTTCAAAATCAAAACTTGCGCGTATTATCTATATGGAACAATACTATGGTGATTATCTTTGGCTTTAGGTATAGACCGCGCAAGGTTGGTCGGGACCTGGCATCTGCCGAAACACCATCGGGCTGTATGGTCTGTTCTCCCATAGAGTCACACTTAGATTGTTTCATGTATATAACACTCTAAAGAGCTGATCAGTTTTAGAATATGAAATTTAAACAATTTTGATCAACACCCCACAAAATACATGTTACGTTCGATTCTGGACTCCAGTCTACCCGTTGAGATCCCCCAAGCAGCCGCGTGCCAAGACCTGACCCTGCATCGTCAACCCGTCGACAAAAACAACCTGAACTCATCACTTCCACCAGCACGATGTGCTCATTAGTACATACATCGTGCCGTCTGATCATTTCCCGACCAAAGAGAATTCCCATTCTTCATATCACATGCTTCCGTGGGCGCTCGCTATCGACATCGTCTAGTTGGGTTGACGAGTCTTTCGACCTCCCCATTGGAAACAATGGAAGCATATCACTAAGGTGGATAAGACTGCTATGCTGTACTTGCTACACAACTCTCATAGGACATGCATACTAATAATTTTATAGTGTGACGCGACCAGTGGCATCAAATTCGCCCACAGAGAGCCAGTCGCCCTCCCAAGTACCTAATGTCATCCTGTACCTCCCGCCAGGTCCCTTGTTCCACGGACACGCGACTCCCGTCAGCGAAGACGTCAATTATGATGAACATTCACAACATCAACAACGGGCCATTGATAAGGCAGCTCCAAGTGGGATATCACCCCAGCAGGCCCTAGCCTCTATGACATACGCCACAGTCGTAACAGTCAACTACCGACTCGGCGCGGTATTGCCCACGACATCAAACGAAGAAACCACCCAAACACACCCCATCTCCCCTCCACCATCCCAATCCCTCTCAAACCCCCCATTCTATCAATACCCAACCCCAATCCACGACACCCTCGCCGCATTCGACTGGATCCAAACAAACCTCCACCCCACAAACCTCGGCATCATCGGCTCCCACATCGGCGGCTCCCTAGCCCTCATGCTAGCCCTAACAGAAGCCCAGTCCGTAAAAGCCGTCGCCTCAATAATGCCCATCTGCGACTGGCCCGGTCTGGACGAGTACTGCACGACCGCGCAGCCCAGCCGAATCGCCAGCGAAACGCTAGGAAAAACGACTAAACGGGCGTCTAAGAAGAAGACGCTTCGCGCCAACGCGCCGTCGGATTTGGTTCCGCTTCTTGCTGCGCGCGAGGCTCTCTTCGCTTCGCCGGAGCGCTGCTTTGATGCGTTTGCTTCGCCGGTGTTGCTTCTTCGTTCGGCGGGGCGGGATGTTCCCCCTGCGTTTCCGAAATACACCACTGGACCGGGGTATCCGGTGCCGGTGCTGAAGGATTCACGGCATGCGGGAGATGGATCGCTTTTGGATCCGGAGTTTGATCCCCTCGATGCAGAGGGAGATGGATTCGGGGAAGAGGGTGGCCACCAGACTATTCGGCGCCGAAAGGCGCTTTCGCGATGGCCGCCCTATGGACTGGATTATGGTGTAGCTGGTCGTGGATGGGGCGGGAATGGGGTAAAGAGGTTAGAGGTTACTCTGCCTTGGGTGAGGGTTTATATTGATGGTGCGGAGGGAAAGGAGAATGGGACTGTTCTTGCGGATCAGGGGGAGGAGATGGTTTCTGTTATGCGGCGGGCTTGTTTTTTTGGGAGGGAGAAAGGATTTGGGGAGAGGAGGGTTGGTCTTGTTAGGAATTTGGGGGTTATGGGGTCTGGGTTGGAGTTGGGTGAGGATGTGGGTGGTTGGTTTGGGGGGATTTTTGATGGGAGGATACGTGATGAGTGAAGATGTTGACGTGTACTATATTGCATTGTTAGATAGGACTGCATGTTGGATTTTGCTTGTGCAGTGTGAGATTTCCATGTGCCCATTGGCCTGTTCGAATATCCGAAAGAGTGCAATGCTAATGAATACAGAGCTATTATTTATAAAGCAACATGACAACAGATAACCCCCAAAAATACAACGGAGGATAGTATCCAAAGCAACGCTATGTATGTGGTTGAGTCGGTTAAGGCCACAAAACTACAACGCCGTCCCTCCCATCCCAGTCCCATGAGGCGGACTCCACCACCCCTCAATATCACCCAGATCCGGCAACATGCCCGGTTCACCAGGGAACTGGGATTGCGAGAGAGTGCCCAAAGCATGATTCGGACTACCGCTGACATCGCCATCAGAAAGAAGATTCAAATCTGTGTTCCGAATCCAATCAAGTTCACTTGCTTGCGCTGCTTGCGAGGAGAAAGGGTGTTGTTGGAAGGACTGCTGTTGTTGTTGCTGCTGCTGAGAGGGGTACTGCTGGTAAGACCGCCCAGCGGCCATGGAGGTAGACGAGTCACCTGATGTGCGGTTAAGCGTGCCAGTATCAACGAGGCGCGTCTTCTTGCGCGATACATCACTCCCATGTTCCTTCTGGGAGACTTGCGTGGAAGATCCCTGCCCCGCCATCGCCGGCAAATTCGCACTACTGATCTGCCTCTTCGCGCCGGATCCAGTCCGCCGCATATGGGCTTGCCAGCGTCGTTGCAAAGTAACTAGGTAATCACGCGTGCGCTTCGCATTCTCAAAGGACTGGCCCAGTTCATCCAGTGCACGGAAACACAGGTTCAGGTACGCGACCATCTCCGCGTTACGTGGGTGCACGGTACTCGACTCGCCCGGTTTAGTCGGGAGTATTGGGGAACTGGAGACTGTGACGAAGAGGAGCATCAGCGCGGCGCTGAAGATTATCGCGACCACTTGGTTGTTCATGCGTCGGAATGTATAGTGCTTCTCGTATATGTGTAGCAAGCGGGCTACTGCCGTGGCGGATTCAACGCACATGCGACGGGCGTGGTGGTAGCCTGGGCCCTGGCGGGGACTGCGGGGTTGGATGTAGCTCTTTGATACCCAGGGGCGGTGGAAGAAGATGATTATTTGATGATATTGCATGTGGAGGATGAGAAGGTGGGGGAGTTTTGGAGTGGAATCGTCGTCTAGATCGATTTGGAGAGTTGATGGGAGGTTGGCTTTCCAGGCGAAGAGGTCCTCTGTTACTTGGAAGGTGATTCTTTGCAGGTCGTGGGGGAGATATCCGAACAACCGTATAAGATGTGGCCTACGGGAGATACCATCTCCCACAAAACCACGAATTGCCGGCTGATTAGCTCAGTGGGATTTTGTAGACCGTCCTCTAGTGTCTTGGACGTAGTTTGAAGTCCATACGGATGCCAGACCCCTTCTTTCTCGACACCAAGAGTCGAAGCAGGTTTTGGGACCGTCACATCTCCGGCATTCATTCGGAATGGACGACCCAGATAGAATCCCCAAAAATGATCTGCAATATAGCTGCCCCAGAACGCAGCACGTCGAACATCTGCCTCGTGGGCACTCATGTCCCCTTGGTTGACATACGATGTCATATCAAGGTGCAAGCCGAGGTCGAAGGCGAGTCGCATCGACATTCCACTATACAGCCAGCCTCGGGCATCTCGATTGGATGCTCCTTCGTGACAACTCATCAGAACAAGAGCCTGAACAGTCGCCACACAAGGCGAATCAAGCTCAATCTCCAGCAACGCCTTGGCCCTGTCGGCAAAGAACTCGGCCAGAGATTTAGGAAACGTGATAAATGTCGGATGATATCTTGCTTCGAATGCACTTCCAATCGCACACATAGCGTTCGTGAGAACCTCGGAGTAGAACGGAGTGTCGTCAAATTCATTGCGCCACTTCAGTCGAGCCGTCATATACATTTCTTTATCCACGACATAAATGCTGGGATTCTGCCACGTGAAGTACAACTCCACGAGATGATCTTCCAAAGCTTGATCAACCGGTTGACCGACACGAAGATGGTTCAGAATATCCTGCCCATCGTGACGCACAGTCCGTGCGTCTGGTCGCTGTCGCTGTTGTGTCGCAGATACATCGACTAAATTTAGATTAGACGTCGCACCGTAAAATCGCAAGTGGCCATCCCCTGCTATTTTCAGCGTGCCAATTCGATGAGAAAGCTGCTCGATCACGTCGTTCTCGGCCTCGTTCTCTTCATCGCTGTCTGACTCGTGGTCGCGGTCTTGGGGGACTTGGCTTAGCAAGACACCCGGCTGCTGTGCCATGTCCATGCCCAGCGGGAAACTGTCCGGGCTCAGGTTTGTGTTGACTGGCAAGCCTGATCCTCCGTTGATATTCGCGTATATCGTATCCAAGCTTTCCGCTGTCGGTAAAGTGAAGCCCCAGTGCACAAAGTTCTGATTTTCCGGTACACCTCGCACCATGCCGAACGGACTCCATGGTTCCATAGACGACAGCTGCTGATTCGACATAATGCCCTGCGAAGGCGAAGCACCAGTAGGTGCAGTCTCAGTTGACAGCTGTGCCTGATGCTGTGGTTGACCATTCGGTGTCGTGGTTGGCGAGCTCTGCACCGGAGATTGATCCAATCCATCCGAGTGATGCACGTCAGACCGGGGCATTTGGCCATCATTTGAAGAAACTTTTGTCCTGGCGACACCTCGCGGGATTTGCAGGGTATCAAGAACCCGATTCATACCCGCCTCGTCATCCGGTCCCATAGGTGGCGGTTCCAATCCCTGATCATGAATAAATTGAACAAGCTGGTCAATTCTCGCAGAGAAAAGCTCCGTCGCAGCTCGAAGAGAGACCCTAACGCTGATATTAGCCGGTCTGGTATTCGATTTTTGGTTACATCGGCGGGATGCCGAGTCTGGCTAGTAGCGGGCCGAGAAGCATTTTCGCTTCGGCTCAAATGAGGATAGAGACTTTCAAGGGTATACTTACTTGCGTTTGTCGTCTCCATGTTGGTACTTGCAGGCTTTTCCTTTCCGCTGGCAATTCTGGCAATGCGGTGTTGACCCGTCGCACTGGAGAGAAGCCGATTAGAAATGTCTTCAACGCCGATCCCTGCAAGGAGACGTGTGGGAGAGGTACATACCCGGATCTTACTCTCACGACAGGGCACGCAAGCCGTCGTGACGTGCTTCCGAGGGGCCTTCTTAGGCTTCTCCGGCTCTGGAGACATGATTCCTCTTCTTCCGCTGTCCCAGGAAGATTTCAGATCGGGAGATCCTCACTGCGATTCAGCGATGCGGCTTCCAGGGTTGCCCGTGGGGGTGGCGGTCGAAAAAGCGCGGAATCAGATCGCGCGGTCCTGTTCAGTCGGGGCTGCGAGTCAACTCATCCCAACTCGGCGGGCACCATCGCAGCCATGGTCTATATATGACGAGATCTAGGAGTGAATGAAGTCGAGAATGGACAATGTGCGAGGTCGGACTGGTAATGTTCGCAAAATGTTCGGTCTGGGGGGGAGGCGGGGGAGAGGGTCCACTTTGCGCCCGCCTATGAGGGGGATCGGGAATAAGCCGGTGGTCCATGCACGTCGTCTCGTGGTCGAGAGGTGATGGGACTACGTGGGGAATGGAAGACACTGAGAGACCATTACACTGAATTTTGTATGTACATCACAATGTAGGTCTGGTCACTACATGCAGAGTCCTTTCTTGCAGGGCTTCATCTTACATCTGCCGTATCTACCAGTTCAAGGTGCGCTTGATGCGCTCGTTCTGGATCACCTCAATCCAGTAGTTGTCCGGATCCAAGACAAAGGCGATGTTGCTCATGCGACCGTCAGTCAGGCGCTTCTTGAAGGCAACATTGGCCGTGTCAAATCGGTCGCAGGCCGCCTGGAGGTCATCGACCGAGATACCTATCGCGCAGAAAAGATCATGTGTTAGCGAGGACAACCAGGCAAACACACCGACGTGACACGGTGAAACTCACAGATATGGCCGAATCCTTGCGGCTCCGTGTTACCGTTGTGGTAGACGGCGCCCTCCTGCTTCTCCGTGCCGTAGTTCCATGTCAGCTCGAGCAGGCCTTCCCACTCTGCGACACTGTTCTTCGCACCCTCCTTGATCTCGGGGTTAGACTTGGGATAACCCAGGAAATAGAGATTGAACTTGGCATCGGGATTCTCAATGGTCCTGACCAAAGTCATGCCCATGGACTCCTGGTAGAACTTCAAGCTGGTCTCGGCATCCTTGACACGCAGCATGGTATGGTTCAGACGGTAGGAGCCCGGGTCAGTAGTGGGAGAGAGATCCTCATCGGCGCGACGGATGATCTCCACCCAGTAGCCATCGGGGTCCTTGGCAAAAGCAATGTGTCGCATACGGCCCTCGGTCAGCTTCTTCTGGAAAGCATATCCGGCGTCCTCGATGCGCTTGCAGGCAGCCTCGATGTTATCGACGGAGATGGCGATGTGGCCGAAACCGCGGTAGGGCTCGGTGTTACCATTGACAACGCTGTAGTTGGGGTCATCCTCGGTACCGTAATTGTGGCAGAGCTCCAGCACCGCATTGCGGTCGGTGAAATGGCGGTCACCACCCTGCAGCGAGGCCGGGCCATTGTAGGCGAGGAAGTAGTTGCAGAACTTCCATTCGGGGAAATCGAGCTTCTGGATGACATTCATACCGAGGAACTCGTAGAACTGCAGCGATCGCTTTGGGTCTTTGACCCGCAGCATCGTGTCTGAACGGGCATTATTATTATAGTCAGTGATGATGGAGGTGGCAGGAGAGGTAAGAAGAACGAACGGTTAAGCTTATAGGTAGAGGGATCGGTAACCATGGCGGCGAATGAGCGAGTAGCTAAGAAATTGATGGTCAGTGATTGGAGGGAACTGAGATCTGGGGGCCATCTGGGCGTCTGGGGTGCATGTGTACCAGGAATACGAGTTGATGGAGTGAGGACCCTTGAGAAGAGACGTGGAAGTCGAGTTAACATGATGGGATGGTGAGATTCGAGCCCAGCGAGGGGGGTTTTGTCAGCCGTGAGGGGGAGAGAGTGGGGCAATTCCGCCTACGTCAATCGTCGACTGGTGAGTTTGGTGATTGACTCCGATCAACCAGGAATGCCTGTGCTTCCTAGTGGATTAACTAAGATGGGAGCACATAACTAGTCCTGTACCTATTGGCTAGTTAACTGATGTGGATTAGTCTCGGATCTCGTGAGTTGACTATAGAAGATCATTGAAGATCGTACACTATGATGATATACTCCTATAGTGATAATATACCACAGCTAGGCATACTATATCAGGCTAGTACTATATTGAAGCTGCATATATACCTTGGTACTAGATCCTCGGATCTTCTAGAGGATCATCTCATGTTCCAGCTACAGTACCACGGTCTTACGGCACCGAGTATGCCCTTATTACGTGAGTCTGGGGTAGTCTGACTATCCAAATCACCCCCCAACTGCATGCCACATCGTCCATGCAGCAAGGCCAAAGCCAAAACGAGCCCAAAAAAGGCTAAAAGAGTGACTGCCAGCGCGGCCCCCGCGCGAATCTCGCTTTCATGTGCTTGCGACCACCTCCTCTTGGTTCATCCATTCATCTGGATTGTTTCTCTTTTCCTTCTCTGTCCACCTCTCTCCTCCACACACCTCCACACCTCCACACGCTGGCTTACGCCCTGTACTGGTACTCCTTCGCACAGGCCCAGGTTCGTCTGAATTCTCCTATACTCGTCGACCTTGTCCCAGTCCTGCATCCCCCGCCCTCTTCGGTTGATCATCCCTTGCCATTGGCCTGGACACCCCCCCGGTCTTAGCTGGTCCAAGCTGGTCCAAGCTATCTTGGGTTATTCTTTTGGTTCCCTCAGCCTTCGTGTCAGATCGATGCGTCTCTCTGAGCTGGGGCCTGGGCCTTTCCTTTCTTTTTTCTTCGTTGCTCCCCCCCCCCCCAAAAAAAACCTGCACATCCGCGCTTAGCACTGAAAGACCCTCACGCGTCCTGCTCCCCAATCCGTCCATCTCTGCCTCCAATCAAAGCTTCCATTCTTGACACGTTCCTCTCTGTCCTTGACCCTGGACCTGCACGATGGTCGTGGCGCTTCACCCGCGGAGCCTCGCGGCGATCGCATGACTGCAGTCCTACTTGGGCCACTACTACCACTTCCTCTCACAGCCTGGACCAAAAATACCCCTTCCTGCTCTTTAAATACACCTCCTATCCCCCCTCCAATCCTGCTCTTGTGCCACCGGGCACGTCTGGAATTCTTGTGACTCGCCATCTGGACCGGACATAACAGTCCTCTTGACGTTGTGGTCTCCGGATTCCGCGGCACTTCGAGGTCGTTGACACTTTCCCTTCTTGTGGATCGCGCACCCAGCTATGCAAACACTGCCCTCGTGCTCCTTCCTCCTCGGTCTCTGTTGGAAAGAAAAAGACGCGACTGGCTTCCTTTTCTCTTTACACACCTCTCTTGTTGGCCATGGGTCTGAAGATGGCTGAATTCGAACCGTTCCCAGTCTCCTCCGAGTACTTCGCAAAGCCCGGTACTGCGCCCCACTCCGACGCCCCGTTCCTCCCGTACTGGGCCCGCTGTCGCACGCAGTGCGCCCAGAACTTGCTGGACTCCTCCGACGAGCCCATCGAGTACGATCACGACGACGAGGACTACAGCGACAACTGCTTTTTCTTCCCCGAGGATTGTTCCTGGACTCCTCCTAAAGACTGGGTTGTGGAGGCCCACTGTCAGTCAACCAAACAGGTCCCTGAGATCCGCATCCACGAAGATCCCCTGGGTGGCCTGGACGCCGCCGCCGACACCATGATTCCCGGTCTACCTGATATTAAGATGCTCGACTCGGAGGCGCTGGGCGATCTGCTGGAGGATAATCTCTCCCCGCCAGAGATCACGACAATGATGTATGTACCCCTGTGGATAGCCTCAGCGACATTGGAACATGAGCTAACCATTCTGTCTTTTCGCAGCGTGTTCGCTACCAACGGTGCCGTCTTTGCCTATGCCTCTTCCCTCTCATCCCGCCAGCTACGGAACCTGAGCTCGACCTATGGCGCCGCATATACCTGCTACGCCAAGACCGCATCAAGCGGAAACCTTACAGGGGTAAATCCCGCCAGCCACCCGTCATCCTACGTGACGGCCCAATCCATGTCGCTGGGCGACGTGGGATCGATTGTCTTTGAGCTGGACGACTCGGTGGCAGTGGTGACCCGTATCGCGGACAAGGTCCTGCTGGCTGCAGTGGGTCCTAACAAGCTCGACGACACGATAAACGGCGACGCGGCCGATCACCTCGCGGTGGACGGCCCAAGTGACTCAACGGCTGGTAATGGAACCACGCCAGATGAGTCACAGGGTGAGGGTGGTGTGCCTTCTTCGAACACGCCAGCACATAACGGTGCCCTCGAGGCTCAACACGAGATCGACCGGAGCGCCGATCTATCCAGACTGGCTAGTCTGAACCTCTCTGCTTCACCATCTGTGCTGCTTGCGCTGGAGTCTAAATGTGCGGCTCTCGGGCGATTCCTGGGAGAAAAATTGAGTGATCTCGAGAGCCCGGAGGATTTCTAAATTGTCCTCCTACAAGGGTATATTGATGATACTAGTGACTCATAGCAGCGCTTCACTTTGGATCTGGTGTTATGCCGGGATTGCCCACTTTAGAAGCGGTTGTCTTCTATAGGATGTATGTAATACACGAATTCATGACAATTTGAATCTTTCCCGAAGAATATCTTATACGTTCCACGAAGTAAGATCGCCGCCTAGTTCCCTAACTCCTGCATTGTTTACTGAATCCCCTTCCACTCCAGTGGTTTCCTGCTACTACACTTTGAGGGATTCTAAGAATAGGCATGTCCCATCGCCGAGTTCAAGATCTGGGCTATAGCTGTACAAATTTTATCCATTGACCCTCCGAGCAAACAATTTGCGTCAATACCGGAAATCTTCCTCTCTTGCCATGCAGAAGGACAAACATCTGTCAACATCCTCTCGCTCGGTATAACCCGCCTTCTTCCCCCTCTTCGCCTCTTCCAAACCCTCACTTCTATATTTACTCACTCACAGTGAGGTGATGCGCTACGCCATATCTATATTTATCAAGGCTCCACTCTTCTCCATTTGCAAGATTCTGCTGCGAGACTATCAAGTTGTGTATCATTGAGACCGACCTCAGCACGGCCACCCTGGGAATCGTGTGTCAAAATCAGGCTTTGGATTTGATGGGAGCTTTGCTATTTCGAAGGATGGAATGAGATGGTGACCTACAGCGGGCTCTGTCGATCCTGGGTGCGCGTCACCTCGGGTATCGAGTCTGAGGTAGACGGTGTACAACATGTCCATCAGTTCCCTGGCAACATATACAGTAAGCACACCCCAAACCATCCTCACACCCACAACTCCCCGCAAGTTAACACAAACGACAAAGCGGGGACGAAATCCGCTGGAAGGATGGGGTTCGCCCATGGATGACCAAAACGAAATATGCTATATATAATTTCACATGAGAGTTAAATCTAAGGGCGAACCAGTGCAATTCAACCCCACCCACACAATGAGACTGCTGGTTACGCACCCTTGCCGAGGAAGGAGTATGCAGATGGGCTTATCTGGCATGACCATCATTTGTAGGTCGAGCTGCCGGTGTTGTCTACCGGCGAAACGGTTCAAACTTTCGAGACCCTCGACCGATATGTTAAACATGAACATGAACATGAACCCTACGCAGAAGAATTCATCTTGGCTCGCAGGCAGGGTGGGAATGGTTCGATGGGAACGCTTGGTATGATTTGGGTGGACAGTGCTACGGTCAAGGAATCAACTTCTGAAATTCAGAACTTCAGAACTTCACTGGAAACTCTGTGCACCATGGCACTAGAACGCATCCAACACGAGTCCTCCAATGTCAAGATCAGGGTCCTCTCCGCGAGCGACGGCAGCTTCATCAACGCAATCAAACGACATACTCGAAGGTCTCGTTCGCAGTCGATGTCCACAAAATACCATCCAGCATGAGTGTCGAACAACCCGAGGCCGTTATAAAATCTCAACATCGACACCAGACACTGAACGTTTTCACTAAGGCGAAGCCCGATCCAGGGTGGAAAGCGGCTGTGTGGAATTACACCCAAATCCAGTATGGATGAAGCTTCTCGCTGTTGCCGCCAGCGAATCTTGAACAAACCCTTCCGAAGAAAGTCATTCATCAAATTGAGACCTCGATTACGAACCCGAACGGCGGTTGTGCAGGGTACTCCGCCATCTCTGTGACAAACTGAGGTTACATATCGCATCTCTCGAGAGTGCACTGACAGGTCCGCCGTACGCGTTGAAATTCCTGGCGAGCATGATAGACTGCTGCTTGATATAAACGCGGTGGCACATCCATCGCCGGGGAACTTGATTTTTGTTATGGCTGGTGTTGCTTGCTGCCGTACATGACCCAGAAAAGCTACCTGTCTTCCAAGATGTGTTTCCTCAATCTTGTTTTCTGTCAGTGTTGTGTATACTGAGAACTAGCAGCGCTGCTTCATTGAACGCCAATATTAGTGGAGATAATGTCTGTTTCAAATGCTAAGAATCATGATACATGTATTAGCGCATTATGTATCCTGAATACCTAGTCATCCTGCCCCTATAGTGATTTCGATGGACATCATTTACAAGGACGAGGTTCTGGAGGAATTGAAGGATGTGTTGGAGTGTTGAACCACTGTTCGTTTAGAGGCTAGCCTCGAGGAGGTGTACTTAGTTACTTTTCGTACATTTAGTTAACACTTGTTGATGCACCATGTCAGGTCTTCAGCAGAAGGTAGCTCAGGGGGCCCCCTGACCTATGATTACCCGTTCAGCAAGATATTCTTGTGAATGGGCCCTAAATGGTATTGTTGCAGGTCAAGAGGAAAGATCTCTTTTAAGACATGCGGAGACATCCTTTTAATCAGCAAACACAAAACAAAATCAAGACACAAGACTGATTTTGCCATCTACAAATCCTACCTAAGGTGGTATGATATATGGTATATTAAACTACATTTTCCTTCAACCCTACACTTCTGTCAACATCTCCATTCATCACCTTTCCCTCCGCTCCGGAAAGTGAGACGTTCATATCTCTATATACCAGGAAGGTCCTATGACCAGAAAGCCATATATCTTTCACACTTTAACTAAATACGTCTGGCCTTTTGCCATCACACTACTTCCAACCTTGCTCACTGCAATACGGCAAGCTTTATATCAAAACCCCGCAACACCCCGTACCAACCGCATCACGTGTGAGAACTGCGCGAAGCTCATGCAAAGTACAACGGATGCGACAGCTTCGATATATATCTCGACAACTGTCAAGATACCGGAACTATGACCTTAAAGCTCTCCAATCCCCTCAGTCTTTTCTTCAAAGGATCCGCCTATAAGTTAGAGTTTAAAGGAGCCATCATCAACACCACAAATTCAAGATGATGTAAATGCCAAAACGTATTCCTTGAATTATCCCGCTAAACAGTTTCACTCGACTAGACTCGGTACTTACACGAGGCTCCGGCCTTTGACCTACGCGGGAAAAGAATCCCAAACTTCATTTAATCTACGAGAGGCGTGGGAATCGAGCCAGGCAGATTCTTCATGGTCCTGCTTAGTTTATGTTAAGATATGTACTACCGGTGGCAGGATCCATGCTCAATATGCCTCGGTGTTGGGTTATGTGATCATCCGGATCCGAGACATGTCAGGCATGATAGCCGCGACGAGGTCTGTTATTTCCTCGTTTTAGACAGGGTTGGGCGCTGGTGCTCGGGAGCGTGATACTTTATCTTGGTTTTGCATGCTATTGTCTTTTACTCGACAAACGGTCGCAAGAACGACATCACACCGGACCTTCACCTGCACTGCCAAGTTACATGTCTTTCTGGTCCGCGTCTACCAACAAACCCAGGAATGCAATTAAACCGCAGCAAGACTTACTACGAACAATTCAATGCTAGAGAAATAATTTGAAACCTTATCAAAATCATGATATTTGCGGGATATTAATGAGCTATGTGTTAAGCAATATACGCGAAACCAAAGAGCAGAATGAAAAGAGTAGCTCAAGGTTCAAGGAGAGAGACGCTCATATCGAGTTCACTAGCATAAATTTTAGTCCGGAACAAGAAGCAAAAGATGAATATAAATAGAACTGCATCCTGGGAATCCAGCGTGTATATAGCCCACTCGGGACAAGCAAGGCACTACAGAAATCAACAGAGCTCGTGTAAGGGGAAGTATTGTGCATAAAGATCTCGCGTCATGACTTCTCCTGCACCGCGGAGCCACCGGGAGAGCCATGGAAGTGGCTAGCGGTGCTGGTGGAGCGGCCCAAGCCAGCTGTTGAGCTAGGGGCGGCGGCATGGTCCTTTGCATCGACGCTCGTTTCAGCAGCGGCAGCTGCCTTCTCCTTCTCGGCATAGACTGGAGGCTGGGCCTGCGAGGAGCTACCGGCCGGGCTAGTAGCTGCGGGGCTAGTAGCAACGGGGCTGATGGGGGAAGTAGCCGTAATGGAGGACACAGCAGGAGTGGCCAGGGCGGTACCGCGAGTGCAGTCCTTGATGACGGTCCACCACTTCTCGGCATCGTTGGCGCTGTGGGCCTTGAAGCTCAACTCGGTGGTGGCGTGGAAGGCATTGCCGACCTTGCCGCTGGACACGTCCTTGCCCTTGACGTTGAACTTGGCGCCGTCGATGGCGCCGACGATACAGTCGGGCAGGTATAGTGACAGCTCGGGGGTGGGGTCTTTGCGGAAGTCGTCGGTATCCTTGAACTCGTGCAGGTAGCGAGCGGGTGTCACGACGTAGTAACCCGTACTGTAGCCCTTGATGACGGCGCGCGAGCGGCGCTGCAGAGAGCCCTCGATCAGCGGGTGCGTGGAGCGGTGGTCCATGTTCGGGAAGGTGATGCTGGAGAAGGAGCGGGGCGGCGAGTCAGGGTTCACTAGTTTGGAGTCGTTGCTCACGCAAAAGTTCATCCACTCGAAGTCGGCTGGGATGCGCTGAGCGGTACCCAGGATGTCGGCATACATGGCGCGCTGGCGATCCAGTTGGCCGCCCATGAACTGGAAGAATTGCTCGAGTGCACCTTGAATGGTCTGGAGAACGTGAGCCTCGAACTCTGCGAACGAGTTCTGGATCGCTAGAATGTCATTGCGGTGGTTGTTCTCCTCGGTGACCTGTTTGTTCAGGCGGTGGTTGATACCACGGCGGAGGACATAAGGGTCGTACTGGGTCTCGATCTTGTTTTTAGCAACGGCATCGTGAGAAGCCGAGTGGTGGCCTAGAAGTTCGATATGCTTCTGAGTGGCCTGTCGGGCTTTCTCAACGGCCTTGGCACCTTTGACAGCTCCGGACTGGAGTTCCTTAGTCTTGCTCTTAATTTCCTTGTGCAGGCGCTCCAAAGTGGGGAGCACGGTACCCTTCAGGTTCTGCTCGGTCTCGAGGTACATGTTGACCATTCCCTATTTCCAACCCGTCAGCAGCTGTTCCATGCGGGACCTAGACAGATGTATTTCGTCCGTACCTGGGTATTGTTCCGCATGTTCTCGAACAGACCATTGACACCGTCAGCGCTGGTGCTGAAATGGTTGCCTTCCTTCAGAGGTTCGCTCATAGTCTGCAATAGGTACACAATTTAGTCATTCTTTCCTTCGCGCATGGTATGTATTCCCCACCTTTAAGATCTTCTCGTGGTCCTTGGACTGAGATTTGGAAATTTTGGCTGTCGTCGCGACATAGTCCTCAAGATTTCCGCACATGTGCTTCCATGCTTGCAGGCGCTCCAACAGGAGATTGGTAGTCTAGGACATGACAAGCAGTGTTAGCCGTCAATCTCTCTCTCTCACACCGCGGGGAATCCGCTTCCGCCGTAACTCCACTCCCTCTCTTCAACGCATTTCCCTCCCAGGGGTTCTAGGTACATACCTCGCTGCTATCGGTAACGGGGATCGCCTCGTCATCGCTGACAGATGTCTGACGGGTCAGGCTGCTGCTCACGGTTGTCGAGCGCGACGGGAGCTTGTACTCCACGGGACTCACGGGCGTCGACATGGCGGCAAGTGGGGAAGTTGTCCCAACGCTGGGTCAGGGGGAGAGGAGGAGAAGGGTCGGCTGTAGATGTCGTAGAGATCAGCTCAAAAGGAAGCACCACTGCCGGCAGCAATTCCAAAGCTGGATTTTGTCTTCTGGTGTCTTTCTCGAAAGCTGGGGAATTGTTAGGAGAGATGGAAAAGGCGGGATGGCGGATCAGTAGTCTCGCACGGTGTTGTGGCACCTGTGGCTGAGATACTAAGCGCTAGACTCTGGACGGACTAGGGGGAAGAACAGACGAGGACTATTGAAAATGTGTAAAGAGTCCAAGTGGGGGTAGTATGACTGAGCTTGGTGGATGTTGGTTTCTTTTTGGGCGTGGAAGGTGGGATGGCCCTCGCATTCTTTGACCTGGCGATCGGCGGTCGAAAACGCCGATGAGGTCACTGCCCGCCGGTTTGTGGCTGTTTAGGCCCAACGCTAAAAAATGAGACTGCAATGATGATGCCCGGTGGTATAGGAGCATGATTTTTGTGGTTTAACCTTTCGAAGCTCACTTTCTTTATTGTTTGGATGTTGGTCTGTGTTGTTCCCCGTTGTTGACAGACCTACGTAGCTCTACGCGCTAGTATCATGTAACCACGTCCTCGGGAAGTCCTTGGGCTGTTCGACGCCACAACCTGGTGGAGTCCGAACCATCGAAAGCGGATCGCGAGGTTGCATTGTTCAATGACCTTGGACCGGGCATAGCAGAGCGTTGATCGACCGGCTTTGACCCGATACAGCTAGAAAATGAGCCAAGTCGAAATGTCGAGAGGAAAGCAGGAGTCCTTCGAGGGAAAAAGTACGTTTTCGTTTGAGAAGAGTTCTTATGAGAAAAGTCACGTACATGCCACGAGATTATTAGAGTACATGCGTTTCAAATCAAATTCATTCAGATGCGTGACTCGTGCTGCAGGAGGCTGGTTCTCCCATTCAGTTGGTTCGTAGACAAGAAATGAAGAAAAAACAAAAACGATCATGCCCGTCTATGAGATGACTCCCATCCTGTCTATGGAGAAGATAGTATCCGAACGCCGAGAAAACAAGAACGAAAGCAGGGTATGAACCATTTCCTATGAGATGCGGTGAAGACGGGCAAGATCCCGAGTGAAATGAAACTTCTAGCGTGTGTAGAAGTATTTCGGCTCGGGAAAAAACATGAGATGAATGGAGAACATGGGATGGGGTCGTGTCCAGCACTGACGAGGGGAACTTTTCAGAAGATCGAATCCAGGGGAAGGAGAGAGGTGCAGGTTCGAGGTAAGAGAGTCGGGGGTGGAGGAGTGAGCAATGAGCAGTGGGTATCGGTTGAGTGAATTCTCTTCATCCTCTAGCGCGAGCTTGCACTAATCGGAGTCTGCGTTCGGCATCGTCAGCGTTGGTGCCGGGTGCATGGAAGTATCCGGGGCGATTCACCTCTAGAGGTGTGGTAAACCCGCTGCTACGGCCACTGCGAATGTGAGCCTGCTGGGGGGACTGGAGGACCGGCGGAGTGGGCAGGTCACCGGCAATAACTGCATTGTAGGCCGGGAGATTGGAGTCACAAGGACCTACCACGGCGCGGACCGCAGTCGAGTAGCTAGGCACGCGGCTGAGCGTCTCAACCTCGGCATACTGAGGGTGGAAAGGTGTGGCCATGCCAGATGGGATGTGGTCGTGATCCACCTCGTCCGATGCTCGGCGGGAGAGCTCGGGGCTGCCAGGACTGTGTGAGTTGGATCCGGATGAAGGTCCGAAATAGTCTCCGAAATGGACATTAAGCTGTCGTGAGTTGGGGTGACTCTCGGTAGGAGAGTCGGGCGACGGATCGCCGGGTGACTGGTGACCGAGGCGATTAGCGTGCAGCGTTGTGAGACGGCTGTGTAGCGCGGAAGCTGAAATATCACTGGTGGTCAGGGCGTTCATCGAAGCCAGATTATCCGCCGAGATGTTACGGCTCAGAGGCCCAAACGGTGTGCCGGGGCCGCTGCCGGGGCCTGGAGTGCGGTATCCGCTAGGGTCGAGCTCGCTGTACAGCTGATCGAATTGGTGCTCGCTGTACAACGGCGGGGCCTGGTGGGCAAAGTCGTCCACCGTTCTCCGGGCGGCGGCGGGGGTCTGGTCACGGAGGTTGTTGTTCTCGTCAATGGGCAGGTTGGGGGAGATGAAGATGGATACGGGGAGAGTCGCGCGCAGCTGCATCGTAACAGTTAGTTTGAAGGAAAAAAAAAAAACAAGTGATAGGCGAGATTCTCTCAAACTCACCTCGCTGACATGACCGTCAGGGTTGTGTAGCTGAATGCGGAACTTCATCTTATGGCGAATCTTGATGCCCTTGGTATCCGTATCCTGCAGACACCGGGTCAATGTCTGCGGCATATCGAGATACCGCGTGAACTGGTAGCCCTCGGCGGCCTCGTCGATGATCTCGACATTATCCTCATCCACCTCATGCTCGTCGGTCAAGATCGTCCGGGTAATCTTGTAGGTATTGCGTACGGAGTCAGGATCTTCCGGGTTTAGCGTGAGGTCGTGGCTTTCGATCAGCTGTGACGTAATTTGTCCGATGCGCAAACCCTTCAGCAGCGGGATCAGCTTGAAATCGACCCGAATGGAGGTGCCGAAGACGACGGCCTTGGTCGGAGTGCTGATGGAGTATTCGATCTTGTTTGGCCAGATGTTGTCCACAGACTGTCAGACGCTGTCAGCAAATAATCCTACGGGGCCGGACCGGGGCCGATCGCCAACTCACCATCGCATGGGACAGTTCCAGAGCGCTGGGATCAAGAGTTCGGATGATCCGCAGCGGTTTCCGTGCAACAATGTCTTTGGCATACTTGCGCCCGATCTCCGCTTTGAAGCGGTACATCACCCAGGTCTCCGACAGCCCCTCAACGCTCTCGGGCATAGAGCCCTCTAGGACCACGTCGAATGGGTACTCGTAGTTGCCCGCCGCCAGAATCTCGGTCTTGCCTTTGCCAGGATCGCGGAATCGCCATATCTTATCGTAGAAGACTCGTTCTCTCCAGGACTTGCGGCCGCCGGCGGTCGAACTAGACGGGAGGTGCCAGCTATAGAAAATCAATATTGTTAGTTTTTTAAAAATTTCCCGGTTTTGTCTTGCGGCCGCGGGGTCTTCCGGCGGGCGGCGGAGGGGTTCACATACCAAACGCGCGACATGCCCGTCAGCTGCAACCGAATGTGCTTGATTGTAAGCGGCTCCGACAGACAGAGCACCAGAGTACCTTTCAGATGGGCGCTGGCGGCTTCATGCTCGCCGCCGCGAAAAACGATGTACTCATCGGTCAAGCTGGAGATGGTCAGCGCCGACACTTTACGCGCATGAGAGCGGTCCCACTCACCGAATGTCAAAGTACTTGGCGTTGCTGGCGCTTCCGGTGCCACTGAAGAAGCTGAGCGCCATTTCAGGGTTTTTGCCCGCCGCCGCGATCGGGCAGCGATTGAATCAGCGAAGGGAAGGGTTGATGAGGGTGAGTGTAGAAGAACAATCGCAGTGTTCTGAATTTTTTTTTTCACGGTCAAGTAGGCCGTGAGGCGGGTGTGAGAGAGAGAGCAAAAGCGAAAGCTGAGAAATCAAGAACCAGAAAAAAATAAACGGGTCTGTGACTCGAAATTTGGCTTATCCTGATCTACGGGAGCATGTCCAGAATGGCCTCTCCGGTCCGACCAAACGGGTCCCACTGAAGTCGAAGTGGAGTGGTGCCGTTTCCGTACAAAGTGGCGATAGCGATGCTGCGAGATGGATTGACTAAGCTGGTAGGTCAAAGATAAGGAGGAGAGGGTCAGCTACTAAGACGGGAGGGGCTAAATATTATGTCTTAACAATGCTAGAAGAGGATGGAATAGGGGGGCTTAATAAGAAGTAAACGACTCGATCACAAGACGTCAGCGTGGGATTATTCCTTTTAGGCAGTTGACGTTCATCTGGCACAATTGAGTCGTTACGTCAGCGCCATAGTAGGATCATATGAAAGCCAACCGAGGAAAGCAATTATTTTAGATCTGAAGCCTATACTAGAGTCTATACACTTGAATCAATCATCCTAGGACGACTCAGAAGCGATGGACTCTCTATCAGCTGAACTATGTGAACTATTTTCAAGTACCCGTCTTATCAGCCCATCTGCCGCGGGGCCTTCATTTATCCATTCCTCCCATCACGCCATTATTCCTTCGGGATCGCCCTTCCCGCACAGTCCTCCTCTAGGGCTTCGATCGATCCCGTTCGACGATCTGAAGCCTGCAAAACATTCACGTTACACAACATTATCACAATTTTCCGGGAGCGATCGTCTGCAGTCCATGGTGTGACATACATACAGATCATACATACTTTTTGCACCATCTCAAAGTACCATACATGACCAGTACTATCCGATGAAACACGACCTCCGAGGCATGCGTTCGTGCGACCCATTAAGCTGCAGATAGCCTAGTCTACATTTCATGCATAGGTGCCCTGACACGCAGGTCCAGGCCTATGATGATAGCAGGTGATTGTACCCAAAGTGGCATAAAGCTGGAAGGTATTCTATACTAACTCCCGAGGAGTATTCCGTACTTGCTCAAGAGCAAGACCCTGGTCAATGCTACAACAAGCAACTACACACACTGCATATACATACGATGCCCTGCTGTAGACATTGACTCAAAAAATGTGGAAATTCTATTTGTCCATGACTCCATTCCGGTGTGCCATGCGTAGCCATGTTTCTAATTCGATGACAGGCCTGCCCTATCAATCACGGTCCACTTCGACTACTCTATACGGTAACCATTTTATTTGATTTCAGACCCCATCTAATAATATGACATTGTACGATTGTTTAATCATTCAGCTGGTTCTTGAACTATAGTAACGAGTCTCTAAAGTACCACTGTACGGAGTACATAGTAAGGACTGTTATTTCCTGAAATGTCGCCGATCTGCCCAAAAGGACCCACCATCGATGTCAAACTCTTCACCGGCCACACAACAAAACACCCACCCACCTTCAAGACTTTCCGGGCCAAAGTTAACCATTTGGCTGCCCTGACGTGAGTGGTATCGATGAACCATGGCCAGAGGGGCCGCAAACCTGTCCACCCAAGATAAGGTCTCGGGCACTGTATGGATCCCTGTTGCTTGTCGATGGGGCTCTCTGATGTGGCGTTTGGTTCTTGATATTTTCGTCTTGCCTTGAACCTAGCTGATAACACTTATAAACGTCCTAACGGAGGTTTATTGTACGACTGTGATCACTACTAGGATTGCTCCAAGATTGAATGCCACCATGCAATACACCGACCGTGTAGCCCTTACCCTAGGCCCCTAGCGTTCACGGTCTTCTGTCTCGGCCTGGTGCCGGCCACGGGCCCTATCGGGATGCCTTCACATGCGGGTTCGGGCATTCCCGCTCCACCGGAATCCCGACCTCGTCCCGGTTTCTCTGCCCGATTGCATTGCGTGTCTGTGTCGCCATCCCGATAATGCACTGGTAATTACTGACGTCGCCATTTAATTTAGAAATTACACACCCAAGACCCGACTCTAGGACCTAAATATAGGATCTTTCATCTACTTCTGTCAATGTAAAGCTAACAGCGATCTCATAAAGAAGATGACATCAGGATCCGGCTAAATTGCCAAAGAATATTCAGGCAAAAAAGTAATGGCTATTGTATTTTCTACGTATCTACATATTGTAGCTTGAAAAATATTCTAACTCCCGTTTCAAGGTCCTCATCAGGGTTTTCCTGGCCCGGCCGGCCCCACTCCGAAGCAGATCATTGACGGTGAGCTTTTTCAAGAACGGCTTTTCTTAAACATGTCTAGGTGACATACGGAGTACATCGTTACATTCTAGACTCTTAGAGCAGCTGTATTCAGTGCTCGGTGTACGGTTTGAAGTATTAGATGTATTCCAAGACAAGGCATAGTAGCTTTTCAGCGGCATGAACCGAGTCATCAAACTCAATATAGTGGACACAACCTATAAAATCAAATTTCTTCCAACTGTTCAAGTTTCGGCGAGTGTGAGAACATGAACTCCGTTTTCCATAGATATCTCCTTGATTATCACATACTCCAAGTAGTTATCCTACATGCTCGGCACCAGCACGGTCCTCTTTAGCTACTCTACAAACCAACACCTTTATTGGTGGCTATTCCTCATTAAAGCACGCCACAACTCGCACCAAGAAACCCGCCGACAGCGCGTGGAAAAATCAATCAATACTAAGTTCAGGCACTCTAAGAGAATTGCCCAGTCTCGGCTAGCGTTATCAGCTCGGTTGACATCTTCCGAGTTGACCTTGGCACTAAACCACATTAATAATAATCGCTCACATTTGTAACTATTGTACATATGCTCCATTCAGAAGAAAGATAGCACAGCAGTCTACTACTAAGCATGTTTTACTGAACTTGTGCCTAGCCGGGCCGGTGGGGGTGGCCGCAGAGTTTCGTTCGCAATGCCAATTGCCGTCCAGATATGCGGCACGCCAGACCTGCGAAAATCAGATCGTGCCCCACTACGGGTACAGTTGAGGCAGCTCTGGCGGATAGCTATTTTTTTGTCGCCGAGTCTCGGCGCTTCCAGTTTGATTCAACGGTCGATCTTATTTTACCGGCTACTGGCGTATGTACTCTGATCTAAGACTGAATCTTGGGCAAGTAGGATTACTTGCCTCCAGTAGAATTATCATCGTCATCTCGGGATAACTCGTACCGAGGGCGGGTACTGTATGTTGCTTATTTCTTACCAGGGTTATCGTTGATCTGACGCAGTTTCCGAAAATCAGCCGCAGATTACTTGACACTTCAAGCGCTAGGTACTCCGTAGTTAACTTGGAGAGCTGGACAACCGGAGTATCAGCCGAGCTTAAGCGGGACCCAAGAGCTGCGTGTTTCGGGCAGATCAACAGCTGCCAAGAATGAGGGATAAGACCTTTCGCGCTGTCAACGGTACCAATCGGGCCATGCGATCGCGCCACATGGGACAGAGCTATATAGAAAATAGGGGTCTTCTTCGGGTATTCCGCTAGCGTGGGACGGACTGCCTCTTGTGTCTAGGGGCTGTTAGGCTGAGCGGACGCGTATCAGTTTGCTTCGATTTCGGCGAAAAGGAGTATGAACTATGGACGAGGGTATGGAGTACGTGTAGAACAAAGAGGTCATGGCGACTCTTTACGCACTCAGGCCAAGCACAAAAATATCTCATATATTCCATTGAAATTCCAAGCTGAGCAGAAACAGGTGTCCAATCAAAATGCGGATCTAGACATTATCGTTATCATCACCAAGTCTATGTTGGCTGGACTCAACTCTGATTATCAGAGTGGGAAGACACTCGACCATCGCCCGCGGCCCATGCTGCCAACTTACAGTCTCCTCTTGATCCAGACTCGACCTTGAAACATTAACACGACCATGGACATTGCCTCGCACAGCCTTCGTGCCAGCGGCCTCATCTTCTGAATAAGCATGATTGAGCGTCAGCACAGCCAGAATCTTGCCCCGCCCCCGCCGATAAAGATCTTTTGCCAACAACATAGGTTCTCCGGTCAAACACTCCCCAGGCATCGAAGACCGGAAACTAACCACACCCTCAGCAAATGGCGCCGCGTCTAGAACGGCCATCCCACCCCAGGGCGGGTACACCTGGGAGGGCTGGAACGCCTCGAACCGGCGCCTACTATCTGGGTCATCCCAAAAGAGATCCTAATTGTGAGACCAGGAGTCGTCGTGCAGGATCTCAAAGAACGTATTACCGACCAGCGAGCGCGAGACCCAAACGTCGTAGAAAAGTGTCCCATCCCGGATCCAATCAAAGGCACAGGTCATATGCGCGTTTTAGCTAACATGCTGGAAGACCAATTCGAGAATGTCCTCCGGACATAGGGGCGACGTCAATGATGAAATGATAAGCGCATCTGGTGAGAACTTGCCAGACAGCTCGTTGATTGGGTCGGTGGCAGCGCTGACTTTGAGGGGCTCGAGGGCTTTTGTTGCGCAGCTCCGATAAACGCTTGGTTCGGTCCTTGTCTTCTGCTTTTGGTTGATATTGCCAGTGGAGAGGAAGAATTGCGCACCCATGGCTTCAACGTGCATCTGGAGCGCTGCAAGGATTTCATATGTCCCGTCGTCGGATCGGCCTTCTACGATTGAAGTCGCGCAATGCTCTGCTCCCAAGAAGCGGATTGCTTCGACGATGCTGCTCATCAGCCGAAAGATGATCCCGGTAGATTGGTGAAGGTTCAGGGCGAAGAAGTATCGCACCTGTCCGCTGCTGGCTGCCTGGTCCCGTAGCGGACTATCTCGGGGTCCAATCTTTGATGGACAAGATACCCGCTCGAAACCGGGGCTGGAGTCGATCTCAAAGTCTAGAATCGAGCGCACATATTTCTCAACTGTGCCGTGCGATATGTGATTTGTTGGGAGGATCTAGCCTGTAGATACCGATGCAGGTATTGGCGTTGACTTTGACACATTAGGCCACAAGCCCATATCGTCCCAGGCGTCATCCCATTGTTTCGAGGGCTTTTCTGATGGTTGCTTGTCGTCGTTGTTTGGGACTCAATCTCTGATTCATTGGCTGGTTTTTTTCAACCCCTGGTTTGTCGCTATACTCGGGAATTGGGGGAAGGTCTCTGTTGAAGATTGCGATGCCACTGCGACTGTGTGACCGAAGAAGCTGCGCAACGAGGAATAGTAGAGCCATTGCTATAGCGGCTCCGGTGAGTAAAGCTTGATAATTCCAGGCTCTCGTCATGATGCGCTCAATGCCCGATCAACGGCGTTCAATCGGCTTGAAAGAGCGAGAGAACACAGACGGCCACTCGTATGTTGTCGAACGGAGTCGAAACTACTTGAACAATAGCTGGATTTTCCTGGCTGACATGATAAATAACAGATTCATTAAATCCATCTGCCAAGACCGTGTCACTTGACTCTTTTTCGGTTGTGTGAATCCTCAAGCTTCAGATGCCCCCACCCGCAGGAATGCCGTCTTAGGCAAGTGTTCCATCGGCATGCCACCCCCAGATTCGGCATGCCAAGCCATTTAAGAAGACCGCACGAGTGCTGCTTGAAGCAGACATTCTTGGTCTAAGTTGATACTTTAAGGGAGGCCATTTAAGGCTCAAGATGGATGCGGAGTACTATGGTACGTGAGATCACGATGTTCTCCGCGGTCTTTGGATACATGGTAAGCACTCTCTCGCTATGCCCTCCCGTAGTGCTAAAAGAACAGTGGGGGCAGATTCAGGGGGATCGATACCTCCTATGTTTAGATCTACTACGTGCGCAAGGAGATCGGGGAAACCTCCAAACATTAAGTTTCAGATGATAAAGTCCACATCGCTCCCAGTCTATCTTACGATTTATATAACATGCACTACTCACTACTTCATTTCCAGCCTCGAGTCTATCCAGAACAAAATACGCATCAGCACATCGCACTTTGATTTAAAAATCATTCTTCCATCACGAGCAATGCAGTTCTACACAGTTCTTTTACCAGTCGCGACCCTCTTGGCTACTACCGCCAACGCTGCTGACTGCTATTCGCAAGGCGGATCCCAAACTTGTCTTAATTCTACTGATCTTCTAAATTACCGCAATATGAGTTAACAAATATATAGGGTGGAAGGATAACCGATCTAGAATTTTTTTTGAAGATGCTTTCAAGCTAATACTTATTACAGCTGTTTTGTAGTTGTGAGATATAGACGGTCAAGGCTGAGACTGTAAGCAATCTCCCGCTAAGTTATAGACCATAATTCCTTAGGCGAAACAATCTCTAATTGTTACATTATAGCCATAGCATGGTAGTAACCGTCATACCGGAACTTTTACCCCATTCAACATCCCTGATCAACAGTCGTGCTGGGATAGCACCCTTGACGTATACAATCAACATATTCATTTCGAATTGTCCCTACGGCTCTTGCCATAAAGCTATTAAAATTGCTAACGTGGCTCTAGATTATCGACCAGTGCCTTGGACATAAGAATGGTGGCACGTACTCCCTAGACGGCTGGAGTATGAACATCAACTTCTGTGCTTGAATAGGCAGAATCTTGGCCCACTATAGACTTTGCCTTCGATACCGTTATTAGCCAGTTACGTAGCACTCATCGTTTATAGGCAAAGCCATCTTCCAATTCTACCCAATACGTGTAACTCGTTGTTTGGCGTTCTTGCATCCTTGGTCTGGTCTTCTTCCATGTGGTGTTACTCGTGGCATAGCGCAGCATACTTGGACGCCATGATCGGAAATTCGTAAGAACACCTTGGGTTGGACACTTGACAGTGGAATAATCAGCCGCGTAGTGGGCTATGGGATAAAATGAATGTTGTTATACAAAGGACTTGAATCGCCTCGAACAGGCATCGTAAGCAAACAGGAATCACAATGCCCGGTACTTGATGATGGAAAAAAGACGGGCATCTGGATCAGCTCAGGAATTATTTGCACAATAATTATGTTCTCAAGTACCAGCAGAATGAATTAATAACACAGAATCAAAGTAACATCAAAACAAGGCCCTCGCAACCAAAATGCAGGCATAAGCTATTTCCTTCACACCATATACAACTCCGCTCGCTGGTTTGCAGATTTCGTAAAGACATCAATCTAGTGATTGAGAGGTGATATGACAATGGACATGTGGCGACTTTCGGTGTACTGAGGCCCCGAGCCCAGGGTTGTAGTGTAACGGGCAGACGGGGAGCGACATCAAGGACGGCCGAGATAAGGGACAAATATTAGGGTTCTAGGAAGATGGAGGCGACTATGGCTCGACACAACAGTGTCATCGAGGTATAGGAACACATCTCGGGCCAGCGAGATTAGTGACTGGGAGCCTCGGCGGGGACGTAGAGGTGGCAACAAGGGGTGATCAAAACAACCAAAGTAATATCGGGCAACGGGCTACCACTCAAAAGATCCAGCCAAGAATGATGTAAATGAGCAGTCCAGCGGCAATACAGATACCAGCGACCTTCAGCACTGCGACTGTATCGCCTTGCTTTGCCATTCGAGTCAAGCGGGAGGCGCTACCTTTGAGGTTCGTCGAGAAGGAAGAGAAGACTTCGCTCTGGAAAAGAGTTAAATGTCAGTCAAATTCAAACCGATATCTGCGATCTTAAAAAGCCTCCCGATGCACCTGTTCTAGCTCATAGCACTCATCTGTTCAGACGTACCGTGTGGTCGATAGTACCTTGATCCCGCGCATTGTCATGGATATCGATTGTCACAGATCGGAGAGCGGAGACTTTTGATGAAAGACCGCTAAGAAGCGCATTGTTCTGCCTATACATCGGCTGTTAGCGATCCGTCCTTCGGCGAGATGTCGGCTTCAGGGTGAATCAAGGAGCTGGCTGGCGCCAGCTGGTAGTAATCAGCGTGCAGTGGGAGACTTACTGCTCGCGTTCATAGGCGTCACTCATGTTGATGTTTGGGTAGAGCCTGGCTTTCTTCTTCTGCCTTATTTGGAGTGTTCACCGATTGTTGAGAGAGCACGAAACGGAGGCGGCGGTGGTGGCTTGGCCGGGGATGACAGGTCATGTGACCTACTCGCCGCCGTGCTTTGCCCCGGGACCACTGCTTGATATTGGTCTTTAAGTTGATCACTACTTTCAACTGCCTGTAATTCTCCTCGACCATGATACAGTATACCCATGCACGAGATTATGTGATATTCTGATCGGAATATGAAGCGATATTTAGAGATCAAACCAGATCTCCAATGGTCACCTGTCGGATGAAGACAGCAAAGTCCCATCAAGCTAATGACAGATGGCATGGTTTCTAGAAATTCTCTCCTCTGTTTCAGTATCAAGTTCTCAGTCAGTCATCATGTCATGAATTATATACAATAGCCGTGCATAATCAGCCATCCAGTGTGTTCCCACTTCGTCCAGAAGGCCAGCAAACTCTAGAATAATGCGCTGGGCATGACGAGCACCTGGAAAATAGATTTTTCGATCGATGACAACTGGTCCACCAAAACGGATGAATCTGATAGCCTCATGCTCTACTCTCCCTGTGTCTTCTGTGATTGACAATTCTGAAGATGAAAATCCCTCGTCGCCTACCATCCTCCAGTCAACGTCAGCATTGGCTAGATCAAAGGGAGTCCCATCATCACTACTGTCTGCTTGTGGGAATGTTGAGTTGGTCAGTATATACATCCCGAGGACTAGGGCGGCCATGAACAGCGTGCGAACCGACTGGAATGCAGTACCATCTGCAGGCTTGCGATGGGACAAGATCCTGAAGGTTTGAGCTGCATGAAGACACGCTCTTCGTGCGGAAGCAGTTTGTGCCCAAGAAGCGAGAGCTTTGCGGGCTTCCACCATGGACTCAGCGCCGTCACGACCAGCGGCACGTCCGAGGACGTCAATATCTACCGTCAGCAAGATACAGACACTGTGCCAGATCACAATGCAGTTTGGATTAGAGTTCCTGAGAGTATCCTCGTAAAGCTGAATCATTTCCGTCAGAAGCGGAGCAGAAACACTGGCACCTCTATCTAAGCGAAACGTGTTGCAAGGCACGTATCGACGCTGTTCTGGAGGGATCAAGTCGGAGCTGCGAATCAACCGGTGGGTATCTGCAGTCACACGGAGCAACGCAGTGCACAGAAGCCCGTATAGGGAAAAGGCATGTGTCCTGCCCTGTAGAGTGGGCAGTGTAAAGCCATAGGCTGATAATTCAAGAATTTGGTTGACGTGAGATGCGACTCTTGAAAACTCTTCCCATTTCCTGCTTGATGGTGCCAGATAGAGGGCATTTTCTTGGGGAAGCGAGAGGCATATGGCATCCGTACGTATGATCGGGTTTATTGTAAATAGGTCCGATAGCCAGGAGTCATGCAAAACAAGACCTATGATCAAACTGTGGAGAAGAAGATTAGACAATAAACTGACATACAACCGAATGACGTACTTTTTCGTTGACTCCACTCTACTCCACGCTTTCCATCGCACACTCGCCTCTAAATGTAAAGGTAACAATTGCTCAAAATTCTCGTTATCTTTGGAGCAGAAGAAACCATACTGTTGGGCTGTCTGTCGAGGGTGTCAGTCATTGAGCTCCAAACAACTGCGTTGTCTTACCATCATAGTATGCAGATACAGAGTTCGTGACATTTCTGGAGCAAGGTTTCCCTAGCGGTTCGATTAGACTGAGAGTGTTCATGACTATGATTCATTCACTTACCCCAGTTGAAATGAATATAAAAAGAACATGATGTGCTAGCACAAGATGATTCAGGATCTCGGTCGGTGCTCGAGACTCCGTTGTCGCAAAAATGAACTGAGTGAATACCTCATTCAAAATTTCCTGCCCCAAATTCAGTCTTCTCTCAGTAATATAATATCATTGAGTTGACATACCGGGTATGCTCGTCGAATGAAACTCGCTGCATCTTCGGTCTTCAGGAAGGAGATTCCGATCATGCACATGACAAACAGTAAGGTCTCTGAAACGTTTTCAGGGTGGAAGGTAGCAGGATGTAAGACTAGATATGACGGCTGATATTTGTGGAGGTACAGGTAAATTCCCTGGTCAAATACTTCAGTCGTATTTATACAAAGATAACGCTGGCCACATGTCGACTGGTCAACGAAAACATTATTGCAGGGACATGTCAGGATCCTCGTTTTTAGGAGTCGAAGGCGTTCTTTGACCTCGTGAGTAAGACTGACATCAGTTGTCTCAATCTCATCGGCAATATCTTGGGCATTTTCCGGATACATCCTGATATTGTGGCTGGAGAATATGTTATCTGGAGAATTGAACGCAATCTCGTGCCAGAACCGCGGCCGTCTGGTGGACTGTGACTTCCCCGGCCAAATTTTCCTGATATCATTCAAAGGCTTGAGAGTATTTCTAGTGTTGTTAATGACTCCAGTGTTATCGAAAACTTCCAGCGCAGGATGAACGAGGCTGTTGATCCCCAGGGTCACGGAAGAGCTGTTGTTCAGAACGCCCGGAGTAGAGGTGAGTGGGTCGTCAAACGGAGAATTGAAAAGCAGATTCAAGAAATCGGTATTAGAGTCTGCAGCTCTTCTCACTTCCGGTAATTCGGGATTTCCCGTCATTGGAGGTATTACTTCCGAGAATGGATTCTTCGCATTCATCGTTGAGTTGACAATCTCATCAATGTGGCCGTCGATGCAGATCTCGGGGGACCCATCTTGATGACTTTGCGCAAGTTCTTGGCCTTTCACCTTTGGGACCGTCTGTTTCCGTTATTAGTTTGCATTTCACCAATTGCCGAAGGATTTCAATAACGGACACTTAGCTTTTCTTGGTCCTTCGTGGAATGATTCCGGCGATGACGAAGGAGCACATCTCTGCCAACCGAATCAATAGATGATCATAGAGGTAGAGAGAGGAATGAATCTACCTTCGAGCAAAGTCTTTGGTGCAAATTGGGCACTTGTAAGGACGTTCTCCAGTATCTGTGTCAAAACAGGTCAGCACCAGCTGTCTCGTCCGCATATCCGCATGGGCAGCGAGCGTAATATATAATGACAAAACGTACGGGCCAACTGATGGCGATTCAAGTGCTCCACCTTAGAGAAAGTCTTATCACACTGCGCACAAGGAATGCGATACGGCACGTCCCTGGGTCGTTGTCGCATATTCGTTGAGTGGAGGTAAAGAATGAGGACCGAATTTCCGGGTAAAAGAGTAGCCCTCGGAGTCGTAGGGCTATCTCCACGCGGGGTAACTTGGATGCCACATTAGTGAGGCACCAATATCTTGATGTCTTGAAGTAACGATTGATAATGATATTAATTGGTTAGTGACACCCTGGATTATACTGGGGCAATTACTTTCTGCAATCAATGTCTAAGATGACTCTTGGGGGAGAATAAGCGTGAGAATCACCTAGATGGAAGTCAAGGCTCTTTGAGTATGTTGATTCTAGTAGACATTGAGAGAAACTACGATTATTGCGACGTACGGAATCAATGATAATCCAAAACTGCATTCTTTTTATCTAGTATCAGATGGATGTACATAAAAAGAAGAGAATAATCATCATGTCTAAAATAATACAACCAAGCCTGCGTGGCGTGGAAATCGAGGACTTTATGTGGGGATCAAGGTTCCCCACATTATCTCCCACCTAATAGAGTGCGGGGAATCACCTTGTCACCAGCCGCCACAACTGAATGTTTATACTGAACGATTATTGACAGGTCTTTGGAGATGTGGCATAAAGTATGAAGAACAGTAAGGTGGGGTGTCTCTGTTGAGTTCAAACTGATATAAAGTGAACAAACATCTCGCATGGTTCGACGGCGGTAGATCACTTTTCGTCAGGACGTGTTCAGACAGCTGCACACCATGTCAGTAATCCATCTTATCAATCATCCCTTGGAGATATCCGTGGGTGCCTTGCTTTTCAGTATCGTCAGCTACGTCCTTTACCAACGATATTTCCACCCTCTCGCCAAATATCCAGGACCGTTCCTTGCCTCGCTCACCGATTTATGGCAAGTCCATCAATTCATGACCCTGAAACAACCATACCATTTGACAAAGCTTCACGAAAAACATGGCTCTATCGTTCGCTATGGTCCCGATAAGTTGAGCATCACTGACGAAGAAGCTGTCAAATTGATATATCAAAGCGGAGCAAAGTTCATGCCAAAGACTGAGTTTTACGATGCCTATGGAGCAGCCCACCCGAACATCTTCGGCATGCGTGATGAATCCGTCGGTCTTATTCATCAAATAGAGCTTTTTGAACTATATCTCTAATTCCCCTTTAGGCTCATTCCATTCGGCGTCGCCACATGAGTCACTCGTTCTCGATCAGCTATGTCAAAGAGATGGAGCAATACCTCGATGCAAACATCAAAATCCTCCGTGGAAAAATATCCGAGTTCGCGTCAACCAACCAGACGTTTGACCTCAAGAAAGCTTTACATTATTATGTCATCGATACGCTTGGCGAGCTGGCTTTTAGCCAGACTTTTGGCATTCAAGTATCTAATGACGAGTCCCGTGTCCCACCCGTCATTGAGCATAGCCTTCTAGCCGCAGTGACTGGTGCTTGGCCAATGATGACCGCGCGACTGAAGATATGGCTACCACTTGTGCCCCACAAAGGTCTGAATGCCTTGTTCGAAGGCCGAAAAACTTGCGCAGATCTAGCCTCACGTTGTGTTAACGTCCGGTTGAACGTGTTGAGAAACTCTAGCGACAGTAAAACCAGTGGACCTGAGCGGAAAGATATTCTTACAAACCTTATCAATGCGAAGCACCCTGATACAGGCAAGCATTTGACACAAACTGATCTTGAAACAGAGGCATTTGGATTCATGTGCGCACCTCCTCAGGTACCCCACTTCGAAACATGTCGGCCCAAAAGACTAACTTTGCTGTCAAACAGTATCGCTGGAACTCATACTACTAGTGCCACTACAACCCTTCTTTTCCATCACCTCCTTCATCATCCTGATCTGATGGCAAAGTGTGTCGCAGAGATCGACACGAATCTCCCACCCTTGCAAAAAGAGGAAAGTGCTTATGCTGTGACGGCGGCTGAAAGCTCCCTACCATATTTGAGAAACTGCATGAAGGAGAACTTTCGAGTCACTCCTGTCTTCACAATGCCTCTAGCAAGACGAGTAATGAAGCCAGAGGGTGTCGTTATCGCTGGCAACCATATACCATACGGAGTGAGTGCAACTCAACCCATACAATCACAGGTACTAATTAGGTCAATCAAGACATCAATTGCCGTATGCAACCATGCCTTCCACCACAACCCCGAGGTGTTTGGTGTCGATCATAATACCTTCAATCCAGCACGATGGGATGACCCTGAAATTGCAAACAAATCTAAACTCCTGATGCATTTCGGGCTGGGGGGCCGACAGTGTATCGGAAAAACAGTGGCTATGACAAACATTTACAAGCTGATGAGCACTCTCTTGAGTGAATTTGAATTTGAATTGGCGGATGAGAAAGAAAGAGGCAGCTCGACTATAGAAGGTGCTTCGACTGATATCCCGGAATTGATTAGTGTGGGAATCAGTGATCTCGCCAGTCCTTTGATGGTGAAAGCCTCGAAGCGAAAAAGAGTCATTCCTTGATTACGTGAAGACGATGGGTTGATGTTATTCAGTATTTACAGGAGACTACTTTACTGTCGTATCTCTCATTCTGAACAGGACAGCTAGTATCACCTCATCAATCGATATTCTTTTACATATGACTGGGGGAAATTCTCGGAACAAATGCAGGCGAAACTAATCTCTTATACAATCTCGTGTATGAAATGGCCCTTTCAAGCGAAGACTTTTGATAGCCGTCGCTTCTGAATTTACAGTTTGGCCTTCTCCATAGTCGTAAGCCTTCTCAATGGTGGACCCGCCCGGCTTCCATCGCCCTTCATGCCGTCGCCATTAGGTGCATTGCGAGGTGACGGCTGGAGTCGCCACTTCTGCCGCAATTCCTCGGATGCCTTGTTCTCGAAGCAGTCTGCAATGTATTTACCCAGAACAGGGAGGAATTTGAATCCACTGGTAAGCGTGTTAGTCTGTGACTGCCTTAAAACGTCATAGATAGACAGAATTCAGAGCTGCAGAGAAAAGAAACTTACTGTCCTGCTCCTCCGGTAGCCACGAAAAGGCCGTCCAAAGTGGGATGGTTGTCGATAATGAAATCACCCTTGGGAGTATCCGTGTACCAGCACAAACGGCGGTTCATCCAGGGTCGGTCCGCAAATTTGGGGAAGAACTGACGCAGACCCTTCCTCAGATCCTCATCAGCATCCTCGGGCAGGTATCCGGTCTCCGAGTTACTGCTATCGAATTTTGGCGACGAAATGGTGCGTCGCACACCCTCCACCTCCACAGTCACATCATTGGCATATCCGTATCCGTGACGCGCAAGCTTCAAGATATTGCTACCAGGTGTCGGAGGGAACACGAACACACCAGTGGTCATATTGATCATGACTGGTGTGTTATCCAGAGAGCGTGCTTCCTCCTGAGTCAACTGGATGAAGCCGACCGGCTGTCCAGACGAGGATGCAGCATGAGTGATGTTCAGAAGGCGGCTTGTCCATGCCCCCGTGCTCAGGATGACCTGGGATGCACGAAGAGAGCTCCCATTCACTAGGTTCACTCCCACGACCCGAGATCCTTCGCGAAGAAGCGATACTACGCTTCCCCGAGGGCCAGTGATAATGGAGATACCTTCCACACTGCAACGAGATGCCAGCTTTTGGATGCTTGCCGCGGCGTCCGCCCATCCACCTCTGCGATTAAGGTATCCACTCATACCAGCCAAGTTAGATTGAATGTTCGGATAGGACTTGAGGAGACTTGTCGCGTCATCCAGATCTTCAACGGTGCCGCCATTCGCCCGCACGGTTGCCGCTGACTTTATAATCCAGTCATTCTCTGACGTCTCGGACAAAAGCGCAAATCCGGATTCATAATAGTGTTCCTTATACTCGGTCTTCCAGCCTTGGTATGCCTCATAGGCCATTTGACAATAAACTGGATCGGCATAATCAATTCGAATAATGCGAGAGATATCCACACTGCTTCCGTCCACAGCGGGAGGGTTGTACCGGTCCAAAACGGTGACATCAGTGTAGCCACGGCGCTTCAGCTCCAAAGCAGTGCTGAGGCCGAACACACCAGCACCAACGATGATAATTGAATCAGTCATAGAGGGAGGCATCTTGACACAAGTGTTCGACAGTAGAGACTATGATACGGGCGTCATTTTTATAAAAAGGTTGGAGGTTGAGGTGTGACACGGAGAACACGGCTGGTGCCGTGGGCTTGGCGCACGGAGAACCCGGAAGCGGGCCGTGGCCCCGGGTAAGGTGAGCACCACATCTCACGCTGGATTGAGGCTAAGCCAGTCTTCAAAGGCTTTTCCGTAGTCTTGCATCTGTAAAAACAGTGTCTCTTCACTCACAAAATTCAGACTTGGATCTTCCGCAAGATTTCCGAGGGGCACAGCGGGTGATATTTGGCCTAGTTCTTGTTGCAGCTGAGTCGAATGCTCCGTTTGCTCGGGTGGATAGGTCACACATTCTGGAGCCACCGTCTTGTGCCCTGAAATACCAGCAGATCCAATCAAAGCGAAATCGGGCTCGGCAATATCAGCTGTGGATGAGATCCCTGAGTATGCAATGCTCTCCTTGGCCAACTCAGGCCCAAAAATATCACCCCTAGGACTGGGGGCTTTGCTTGCATGGGAGTATACTAGGATCTTCCATAAAAGCTGTAGATTCACAGACCATTTTTGGCGAGTATTGGGAGTTGCCCCTGTTCCCGTCATGATACCCCCAGAAGATATGCTGTCACGCAGCTGTTCCAATTGCCGAGCCTGGTAGAAGTCAGTGACAATTCCACCAGCGATGCCTGAAGGATATCTGTGAGAAGGGACTGACCTGTTGATCAACGTGGGGCCATCGGTGGCCCAGTGTATGTAAGAAGCGAAGGCATTTATCAAACCCTGTTTGCGCTTTCGTACTAAAGTTCTGGTCTTCAACGAAGCTATGTTGAAGATAAATTGTTCCCACAATAGCAACGCAGTGACTAAGGGTGGGATCCGACACTTCAAAGTTTTTCGACTCGATGAGCTCAAGGAAGTGTATAATCCAGCCCGAATGCAGGGTGAGCTGCTCGAAAGAGTTACGCAGAAACGATTGTGGCATAGTTCGCCGGAAATTGCGTAGACGTATGGATAGGAGGAATGGATGGTTCAATAAACAGGGGACGGCATGCCATACGATCTGAAAGAACAGCCAAGGACCCCAATAACCACGATTGGCTTGCAGGTCCCCAGGCGCGTGTTCAGAGAATCGACTTGCATGGAGGCGAAATCTCAACGGCATGCAGCTCTCGTGCTCGGTATGCCAGTACGTAATCATGGAATAATCCGACTGAGGATGCCAAGGGGGTTTTGTGTCGATGTTCCCATGATTGATGGCATATCTGCATGCGAGCGACCACAACTCGCTAGTGCACATGTTCGCCGAGATTATACCAATGTTAAGCTTCGAGTCACTACCATCTCGGCGAGAATACCTCTGTAGTATAAAGCTCTCTAGAGATGATGTCGCAAGAATAGGGTCACCTTGCTGGTCATTGCTCTCTCTGAGACACCATGACTGTGAAGTACCTTGGAGATTCTGTAGCATCATGACGCTTGCGTAACATAATCTCTTTTCGTCTCTCTCTGTGTCGAGGTTGTCCATCAGACTCTCAATGTCACCTATCCGGATATTCCGAATGAAGTAGCTCGCCATTCTGGTATAGAATCCCGCCCGGACAAGGTGTCCAACTATTTGTCATTGGTTAGCGTAGGATGGTTTAGGGATCCTAGTGATCTCACCTGTAAATTCGAGCAAACTCAAAAGGCACAGTGCTTGGATTGTGGACAGCTCTACATTGCCATCAGCCACGCGCTCCATAAGGAGTTGACACGCGCGTTCTGTCTTCATTTTGATTTCAAGCTCAATTTCCCCATCTTTGATTCCCAGTCCACGAAATCGAATGCAATGCGCATCCATGGCAAGTAGAAGTTCCGGATGTCTGGTTCTTAGGGATGCAAGTGAGACACTCTGGGAAAACAAAGGTAGTGGCTGAGAGTTGCAGAAAGTAAGGAACAATTCGGCAGTTGAGGGGTCTGATAAAGCTTCTCTGCAACGGTCATTAGTAAACCTGCTTTCCAAGTAGAACAATGAGGACTTTACATGACGGCATGACCCCGAGAAGGCTGCCCAGAGCTTCTGGGAATATAAGAATTTGAATCATGGCCGGTCACTGGAGTGGAATTCCTATCTTGACTCGGTTGCCGACTGTGTTGTTCAGCATCGTATTGGAGCGATGGGAAGCGGCATGACTTGACTTACGCGATGTAGTCAATGAGTTGCTCCAGCTTACCCTCAATCCGAGAGACACGGTCATCCTAGATGAAAAAATCAGGAGATCGACTCGGAGATCAGTGGAGATTTCCTACCATATTGTTTAGCTGCGAACCCTCTTCCACGACGTCGGCGCCAGAGTACACGCAAGCCTGCCCGAGTCGGGCACAAAAGGAGCAAACGGGCTTCTCGCCAGGGCATCTTGTTTTCTTTCGGCTGGCCAATTATCAGCTTCTGATCGCCAATCGACTAACAGCTGTACCCACCGACAACCATCGCAAGCTTGCCTAGCCCGCTTCGCTGGCCGCTCGCCTTCCGTAGGCGCCATTGTGAGCAAGTGCTCAGCCTGGCTTGACAAGATCAGTTCCCAGTAAGCTATCAATCGATGAAGTCCAACTGATCTGTTCCGGGGAGTGATTACTGTTTGACCTGGCCAACTGTCACGAAATGGCGTCCATAGGGCAGGATCGGATGGAAAAACGTGCGGGGACGGAAGTGGGTCGGGAATGCCGGGAAGGACAAAACAGAACGGCACAACCGCCGCCACTTCTGGTCCACGCCATCTTCACTCTCCTTTGACTACTACCTACGGTGCTCGTTGTGGCATTTGGATTCATTCGCAGATACGTTGGCTTCAAACTGGTTAGTTTTAAGGTGTTATTTTTGACCTCTGGATAAACTTTGATGTGTGACACCAATCCGAGCGAATAAATTATCCATATATTTTGAGATATGCACCACCAATACCCTAGAAACTCCAGACAATTTATGATAAAAGGAAACGACGCTCAGCATGGAACAAATATTGGTTCTAGAAAGCCTAGACCGGAGATCTTGACCCGAGGTTGACCTGAGGTTGACCTCATCATCTCGAAATACGTTCCGGCGACAGTCTCATCAGCCGTGGAACTAAAAACCGAACGGCTGGAGATCTCCGTAGTCGCCGACTCCAAATCATAGTCCGAGACAGTAGTCAAGACAAATTCAGCTGGAGGTTTCTGGAGTGATACATCTGAGCGACGAATTGTCCGAATGCCTGTTTCCAACTCTTCGTCAAGCTTGTCGACATAGTCATATGCCGCTTTACCAGCAATGGCCAGCCTCTCAAACAAATCCAACCCTCCAAGTTTTCATTCAGATAAGGGCTCGGGTCACCCACAAACATCGTTTTCGAAGAAAGGCTTTCCGTCCTTGTCCCCAACTTTGCGACGTTCATCCTTAACTTCTGGATTGCCCGGTTTGTAGATCGGACGTGAAGGGTCCTTTGAGTTCTGCACCTTGAGCCAATTTACCCGGAAGTTTACAACTGGATGGATATATTCGTCAGTCTTGTCCATAAAGTCCCTTCTGTCGTTGGCATATTCTCCTGGTGTGCGTCTCTTTTGTCCGTTGGCCCAGTAAGCCATGGTGTAAGGACCGGTCAAGATGTCAGTTCCCCAACCATTCTCATAGATCCTGTCTTCTGTCGCTCCCCTGATTGCTATGACAGGAAGTTTGATTGCAGCCACGGCGGTTTCGGCGATTGAGCAAGCCTATTCTGCCCAACACTTGGGCCTAGTTTTTGTGGGCGTGAGCTCCAATTCTGTCTTCCTGTGCTTCTGGTTGAGCTCCTCTCTTTGTCTTCACGGTCAATTTGTTCCTGGGAAATAACTTGTTCATTTGCCGATACGTGACCCTTGATTTGATCAAGCATCCAAGAGAATGCGATGGTCGACAAGTTTTCCAAGTCACATTCCTCTACAGGACCGATCCATGATCCTCCGCCAATATTCGTGTGGAAACGTCAAGACGCGCTGGGACACTTAACCAGTTTAGGACCACTCGGCTTGGCCGCCATTTGTCTGGTTACTCAGGCCCTAATAGGACGGTGGCTTGCCTTGGCATCAGCTGAGTAGAGAATCATGACAGCCGATGGTGGGGGCCAAATTTTAGGGAGTGTACAGTCAGTGACTCCATCATTAGTTAACTAGTGCCCATCCGCCCAAGCTTCTTGGTGATTTCCTGCGATGTCCACGGTGTGGTAGTACAAGACGAGGCCTACGCACCAGTCGAAAAGACGATCGGCAATCCAGAAAAGTCAAAGGGATGGGTGCTGAGGATTCAATCTAAGCCTTGCAGGGTGGAGCTGGGCTGACCGCGGTTGGCTGTGTACCTAGAGCTGACAGACCACCGCCTAGGGCTGGTTCTTTAGAAATAGACGTTAGATATTGATTGAGCTCATAGAGGGCCAAGAAGCCAATCGTCTTGCACTATGCGGTAAATCTATCCAGAACTGGACAGCATCGCCACGCGTGACATATGAGCAGCTATCAAAGGTCGAGGGCGAGAATGATATGGACACAAATCCTTTTATTGATCAACGGTGAAGATTTTTGCACTTTACAAGAATCTATGTATGTATACAAATGCATGTCAATGCTCGCCAATCACAACAGCTGGAAACTATTCTTGCCGCTCCGAAACAGTTTGTACAAATGTTTTCTGAACAGTGACACCGCTCTTCGAGAGGGCTGGCGTGAGCTCAGGATACAAAGCCTCCTGACTGCTATTAGTATAGCGGAATGAATCCAATCGTGGCGATGATACTGTATTCACGACCGCTTTGTTGTCATTTGCGTTCAAATCGGGCCTCCAGTAACCCGGGTCACGAGAGCCTTTCAGTTGATCACTCCTCAGGCTGGACAGTGGATATTTTCCCTGGCTAGCTGCTCTCCGCCCATAAGCGACACTTCCGTCGAGGAGCCAGCGAAATAGTGGACGAAGGGTGACCAAACTTCCTGCCGTGATCCCGAGGCCAGTTTCGATCACTGACCAGACGGCGATTTGATATGTTTTGCCTAGGATGAATTAGCAATTGTCTTTCTAATTTTGATAAATCGTTAGTTTAAAGAACGGAGAGTTGAGTAACTCACTCAGAAAATCGGTATCGGCGTAATAATGTAGAAAGGGGAGTCGTATAATCACAGCGACACTGGCACTAGTACGAGTCAGGCATGCGATTCCCACAAACGGAAGGATCATCACATACATGGCTCCGAGGCTAAGAATTCCTCCAACCGCAATTTTTGTTCTGCGGTTCATTTGCAACGTCCATACCAAGAAAATGGGCAAAACCCCGAGGGTTAAGTCGCAGATGATAGTCAGAGCGCTGTAAAGGTATGCAATGTCGAGAAGTATTTGCACTGGTAAGCAAGTTCCTGAATATCTCGGGTCCACTCGATTCCAAAAGTACGAAATAGGATGGCAATCGAGAAGTAAGACAAGCCAAAACATCAGACCGATGGATATGACTATGCCGACATTAGCCCAGAGAATAATGCGGTGGACTCTCTTTACTGTCAATCGTAGCAGTGCGATGGTTATCGATATCTTAGCAACGGCAGATGCCCATAGGTAGAGCATTTGACCGAGCCACCACCACTGAGCGAGCACAGATGCGATTAGCCAGTACTCAAGATAATATTTCAATTCATAACTAACCAGTAGTGCCTTCTTATAGACTTCAAGACTGGGGAAGTCCAGAATAGAGTGCCCAATCCCATTTGTCGAGCCGATCATGCAAAATGCGGTCAGAGTTACGAACAAGGCCTGTCCAATAGTTAATACTTCATCTTTCGGTCAATTTGGGACTCGAGAACATACCAGAGCTACCACCATCAGGCCATCGTCCCATCCAAACGCTTGAACAAGGTACAATCGAACAAAAGCTCTCAATGAGACAGTCACAATGGAAATAATCATCATCACAATTACAACATCAAAGATCGCGAGGCTGCGGCCCACGAGGGGCATCGGATACCCCATCCTGAAGCGAGAGCCGCCTTGAACCCGTGAGCAAACGAGGGTCGGTGATCAAGTTTGAACCGTCAAGATTGCATAATGCCCCGTGTTCCCGTATAGAATGAAACTTGATAGAGGGAGAGGATGGAAGACGGATTTCAGAAGAAGGATAAACTGAGAGTAGAAGTTCTTCGGCCGACGAAATACCCCGGCCATGCTGGAAACTCTGAATCAGCAAAGATCGAAGCGAGGAACGGGGATTGGCAGCTGTATGCGAAGTGGAGTTTCGGATCTTTAGCTGGAGCCAGTTCCTGATCGATTAGGTTCCAAAACACGATGGTCGAAGCACCTGGCGAAACAACTAACCACATTTGAAATGAAATCCGTGCGCTAGGGTGTAGTAGGATTCCACCAAGGGAAAGATTCCATCCCAGGATCTTGGGGCTGAGAACACTGGCAACTATTGTGGCCACGGCCCAGTCATGTTAGTTGATTCTTCTCCACTTTAAACTATCTGTAGAAGGATCATGGTTTCAAGGGATATATTTGCCGAGGGGTCTGCGCGGCATTTGGGGGCTCGATTCGGCCCAAGATCTCAAGATCCACTAATTAGCCCGTCCCACAGCTTGCGGCTCCAGCCCAGTCGAATTCAGGTCCAGAAACATGACTCGCGAGCAATGGGATTGTGGTACCCTCGTGTTATTGGGTCAATGGGATCCATCTGTCAAGTGTCCTGAAACATCGTTTGACTGTAGTAGCTCTGCAGCACGGCCAGACAGGATGAAACAATAATAAGCCGCCGGCTTATCCAGAGACGCGCTTTGGAGGCATAAGCTACAATCTAATGCCCGGGAAGCGGAGCTACCTTTGACGTGCATTGTTTAATGTCGTGAATATTCATACAATGTTTCTAGCCAGTATTTATTTACTTCTGCGTCCTGAGCGCAGGAAAATCTACTAAACCTCCGAATCAAAAACGTCTATGTATCTCGGTCCTCGGCGCGGCTTTTGCCGGATGAGTTACTACTCTATGTAGTCCCACAATCCCCACTGAAGCCACCAAACCATCGGTTCCGTGGTTTGACGACGTTTGGCTTTCAAAAAGGATCTTATCTCTGGCTATCTTGATTATTTTTTCCACTGTCGCGTTCGAGCGAACAATACGAGAAAACTCAACGCAGTTCCGGAGGACAGGGAAAATTCGTGAAGTGGTCTAGAATATTGTACATTTGATCCGTAGCTAAAACATATCTCGTCGACCTTAAAACGAACAATGTAACGCAATCGCTAAACCTAGCAAGTAAGAAAAACGAGACTAAAGGCGGAATAATCTCCATCAAGTTCCAGAAGTTATGTATGGGCGAAAAGATAACAAGAGAAAAGCTCACTCAGCGCTAGACTTCGGCTGGCCGCAAAGCCCTCTCCTTGCTGGCTGACCTCAGCTTCATATTCGATGCAGTTCCCTTGGCAAAGCTACCGTCCTCGCAGATAGACCATTCATTGGGCCTCAACCAATACTGATCGTGAGAAACTTCTCCTTTCATCTTACCCTGGAAATCAAGAGGGTCAATGAATGTTTCCCACGGATCGCGGCGGTCGCTCCACCCAGGTCCCATACGCTCGGTACGACCATCAGTGTCAAGATAGCGTGTCTTATTCCGAGGCAGATAGCGACCAGGATGAAGCAAATTCAACCAGAAAGTAAAGATCAACATGGGTCCCAGCTCAAACGCAAACAGATACCATTCATTGCTGAGAATCGGGCCACAGTTGTCGGTGCAGCCGAGGTTGCCGAACATCTCAAACGACTCGACGGCGCGGAAGATGCAGCGTAGCAAGACGAAAGTAGAAGTGCCATATAGTGTCACGCAAAGAGTGGACACATTGCGGGGGACTGTTCCCGCTCTCGCAGCTCGAGTATGCACCATCGCGACAACGGTGATTACCAGGCCTTCCACGGCGGCCTGGAGGATGAGGCCAACTGCAATGAGAACACCGCCACTCTTGTATTGATTCAAATCATCTCCCGCCGCTGCATTCTTTGCTGCGCCTGCCACGGTGATGCCTTCAACTGCGGCACCGGCGTACACAAAAACCATGAGAACGCGGTCGGGGTGGAATACGGCGTGCATTGGAAGGTAGTTCATTAGTCGACCGACGACGTTATATGCCGCAGCAGAGTAAACGGGAGGAGCAAGATAGATGAAGACCGCTTGTGCGATGAACAAATTCATATTATCGGGGTGATAGCTGCTCCAGCATCGCAAGATCCAGCCAACCGTGAAAAGTAGGCCGCCCCAGAATGCCCAGAAGGTCACTCTCCAGAAGCCATAGCGACTGTTTAGACATTATTATTCAGGCCGAGAAGTTTCAAGGACCATTTTGAGACTTACAAGTTTTGCCAGGTGTGTGTGACCAAGCTAAGAAATACGACACCTGCAAAGACTGCAGGCAGCACATGGCTGGGGTCGTATTTGTAGTAGCTGACCACTCTGTCGTCAGAACTCATTTTAAGAGGTTTTGTGTGATTTTGAAGATAAGCCGATGTTTGTCGAATGGGATTCCCCTCTGTTAAATACTACTCATCTCCATGCCCGCAAGCACAATAGGGTGAACTAGTTTAAGGCGAAGCGCTACATAGATCCAAGATCAGAAAATGATCACCCACTCTGCGCCCCATTAGTCTGTACACCAAGCCTCGTGGACCCGTCCAACCTAAAGTTCCCCACGCTTTTTATTGACAAGAGCTTCCAGAACCTTTGATAAGCTCGCCGTCAGAAGGCTGAATTGGCCCCCAAGCAAATGTGCCCACATACATCAGGGTCGACCAATCAAAATGTACAATATCAACTGGGGCAGCGGCACATACAGCCCGATGCAGTTAGACCCAACGCTGAGCCATGTGCGACGATGACGCCCATGGGCTGTGTCTTCAGCCCCAACATCTTCAAAACACCACAGCACCAGAGTTTGGAGCGTTCCGTCAGACTCAAAACGGACATACTCGGGTCATGCTGACTCACAATTTCCAATCCTTGTTCCTGAAAATCTCTCGAGGCCTGCACGTTACGTCTGTAATTAGGCACGTCGGTTCGCTTTTACCCCACACTACGTGCTTCCAGGGTCTTGGGCCCACTAGGAGATAGAACATGCCTGGTGTTCCATCAGGGAAGGCTTGCGAGGCATGCCGCAAGCAGAAGAAGAAGGTATGTAAATGGGAAACCTCGAAATCCATAGTTCCGAAGAATTGACATGGTTGGTATAGTGCGACGAGAAACAACCAACCTGCGGACGATGTCTCCGCCTGAAAATACCATGCGTAGGCTCCGGCCAACAGCGCTTCAAATTCCAAGAAGAAAAACGCTTCACTAAGCAAGCCCGACGAGAGCATAACAGCGTGACTCTCTCCATGGCTGCCAAATCTAATTCCTCTTCATCTAACGCCACACCGTCACCCCCTGGCAGCAACCAACTCCTTTTCATCGAAGCCAGACCGAGCTGTAGCACCACCCGATTGGCAAACGCCTTTACCCAAGCCATTAAGCGCTCCACCGACATCCGCTACAACCTCGGGTGGAGCTTCGGCTTCTTCCTCGAGGATGTACCCCGCCGATTGGGTACTAACGAGGCGCTGGACCGCGCCGTCGATGCAATTACCAGTGCCCATGCTGACTTCTGTACCCGTCAGCACGGATCAGTACAGGCATTGACCAAGTACTCGGCTGCACTGCGCACTCTACGGGTCTACCTTGATGATCCCGTCCATGCACAGGAAATAAACACGCTAGCTGCAGTGATGATCCTGCTCATTTGTCAGTCGATCATGGGGCAGACCACAAAGGGGCAATGGTGGTCTGGACATGCAGAGGGCGCGACACAAATTCTAAAAGCTCGAAAGGATTTTGGTCCCCGCAATGAGTTTGAAGCGAAGATCTATATGTCACTTCGTGGGAGCGTGGTAAGTTCTTCCTTATCTCCAGATCTTCCCTCGATGCCGTGGAGGTGATTCCAATGACGTCATAGCTCTTCGAAGGCCTCTTCAATCACCGAATCCAGCTCAGTGAAAAGGAATGGGAATCTCTTATCGTGAACGAATACGACGGAAATAATCCCGAAGGCCGTCTGTTACAAAATCTTTCGCGGGCCCCGGGCATAATGCGGCGTGCTAGGATCTTTCTCCGAACGGGATCCGACCAAACTGGCATCCAAGATGAGCTTTGGGCACTATATCAAGCGTGCAAACTCGATCTCAGCCAGCTTAAACAATCTAGCATCAGCAAAGACCTTTCCGTTACTGAGGTACTACCCAAAGGAGCCCACCGGACGTGGCTAGAACGACTATTAACGGTGCACTACGACCGCATATACGGCATTGGTCTGGCCATCACCCTATTTTTCAATCGCATGCTACAGTCGCTGGAGATACATAGTGACGCGGTACAAGCCGATGCACACTATTACACCGAAGAAATCCTCATGTTGGCTGAGATATCAGGGGATCTTCGACCCATTGGGGCGGGGTATCTGGTTATTTGTCTTACGATGGCGTGGGCGGCGACGAGAGATCGCGAACAGCGAGGGAGGGTTCTTAAATGGTTGTGTGAATATCAGAGTGACTTTAATCATCGCGAAATAAGTCATTTGCAGCAGGAGCTGCAGTGGACGGCGGAGCATTTGGCTCTGGGTGATCCGCTTGGACTGCGTCAGGACTTGGATTATTTGGATTATCTTATTAGTTGAGATAGATAGAGGATCGGCGTTGCTATAACGATTACCGGAATCGGATATGTTCTTACACATGCATGCTCATGCGGACTCCACCTGCTTTGTGTACTAGTGTAGCGAAAGTTCTATTTAAACCCGAGAGTACTTTACAACAGATAGGCTCATCTTCATGTAAGAGCTTCATGGCCTTGCCAGCGGAAACTCGATCTGCAGTGCCCGTTCAGAAGTCTGAGTCGAATGACCAGACAGACAGTCCAATAGCACCATTGTCAAAATTTCCCGTGATTTCTACAAAGCTCTATCTCGAAGGCAGGCCTCGACATGATCACCAACACGGGAATGAAGTAATTTCCACGAAGTCATACGAAGGAAGGTAATAATTTAGTTTGAAGGAAAAAGGAGAATACAAAAATGGTCCTGATTGTATGGTACGGACGCAAAGTAGAACTCAGAAAAGAGGTTTGGAGAAGAAAAACAAAAGACGAAACGAGAAAAAGAGGAGAACGGAGAGTCCAAAATAAACCCCAGACGCTATGCGAAAAGAGAAATGAGACCATGTGTGTGTTCGCAAACTATATGGCAATGCACAAGGCCGGTGCCACAATGGCGCTAGCACAGAGCACAGAGACTGATAAGAAGCCCAGCAGAATGAGATGGGGAAGGAGGAAGAAAGTACGGGGCTTCGCCCTAGACTCCCAAAGCTTGTGGAATAATACGGATCGAAGGAGATATGTGTAATGATATGAGACGACCCTTGAAACAAGGTGAAAGTCTTCGTTCAGCGGGGTATGGGTCGTGAGAGACCATGATGGAGAGAAAAAGGGTGAGGAAATTGGGTAGTGGAAAAGACGCAGGGTTTGTGTACAGGTCCTATGGGCGACCAGAACAGATCAAGGCAAGGGTATTTCCGTGCAAAGGCAGAAGAAAAGAAACCGAGAAATGCAGACAGACACGCAAAACAGCTTGGATAAGAGAAAAATGAGTGACCGTCAGCTCCTAATTCACCACATATCGTCATCATCATCGTCATCCAGCTGGACGTCGTCGCCAAAGGACGAATGCCCGTACTGGTAGTGGCCCGAGTTGTAAGAATGGCCGTTTTCATAGCCATGCTGACCACTCCTTCCTTGGCCCTGGTAACGATCGTGCGGATCGTCGTCATAGTCGTACATGGACTCGTCGTATGCGCTGTCCCCGTACTGTTGTTGCTCTTGCGCCTGCCATGCACCGTTAGTCATCCAGCTCTACGTGGGCAGGGGCCGAGGGTCCACTTACTTCTTGATATCGCTGGTATTGCAGGTACTCATCTGGCTGATCTTGAGATTTCGAGGACCTCTGCGAACCAGAGGAAGCCACCATCATCTGGGGGTGCATCTGCTGCACCTTCTCCAGGTATGAGTACATAAAGTTACTCAGCAACACTTGAGAATACAGAGCCCGGCGCGGATTGGCAAGCTTGATGTGGGCCATGCGATAGATGGCTCGCTCTTCAAGTATGGAAAATCGAGTCCAAGCATAATCGACATCAGCCCGCAGCTCTCGCATGGGAGGGTCCGGAGAGAGATTTCGAGACGAGTTCTTCCGGTGATGGCCCTCTCCACTGTGCTTCTTGCGACCACCGCCAAAGATTGATGAGAAAATGCCATCCTTTTCTTTCTTCGACTCGCCAGAAGCCCGCCGCGCACCATCTTTCCGCCGCTCTTCCTCCAATTTTGGATCAAGGCGGTCCAAAATGAGGCTTTCTCTACCCTTCGGGGTCGTGTCCATTGACGATTGCAAGACGTCCATTCGCGCATTGTTGTGAGATTTTTCCGTATACTTTGATTTACTCCTTTTCGAGTCACTGTCCTTCTCTTTCTTCTTATCCTTTTCTTCACTACCCAGTAGCCAGTGCCAGCTAGACTTGCGACCTTCGGAATCTTTCTTCGACTTTTTCCCTTCAGACTTGCGTTCCTCTGGCTTCCGCTCTTCCGGCATAGTTGGAATAAACGAAAGGCTGTCAGTCCGCGTGCTGTTGCCCGGTATCATCTGTGGTTGGTTGGCAAACTCATCAAGGGTGGACGTAGTATCTTTCCCAGACTGGCGACCCGTCAACGGTCGCTTGCTAGGTGTCGAATCGTTCACCGAGGATGCCGTGCCAGAGTAGGCGGAGGGCACATCTCGGTCCGGCGATCGAGCGGGCTGAGAACTTGAGCATGGCGAATTACTGGTGTCGTTAGGAGGAGGAGTTTCAATAATCGAAGGGACTTTTTGTTCGGCCTGAGGAGTAACCAAGGTTGAGCGACCATTGGAGCTGATACGAGAATGCCATTGTCTTGAATGGGAACTTGCACTGCTTCCGACGGAATCAGATCGATCGAAAGATGCGTCAGACTGGTTATTGGATGGCGATTGCTCTTGCTGCTCAGCCTCGGGATTGTCGAGAATCGAGTCAAATGTCGAACTAGTGGTAGAGCCTGGCGCATAAGCTGTACCACGGGACGAGGTAGAGGGAGACCGAACTGCTCGCCCTCCGGCAGCCGGAGTCGGATCTGTCGACACACGAGTCGTTCCAAGAATTGGCTGATCCTCGGAGGGGGAAACGATCGTAGGCGGTCCTGTATGGGTAGACTCTGAGAGCGCCCTTCCAATCCGTTTCGAATATGGCGGCTTCTCGCCCTTTTTCAAGCTTCCCTTCTTATACTGCGTCCGAGTCGATCGTCGTAAGCTGTGACCCGGGGGCGCTGGCGGTAGAATGGGCTTGTCCTCGCTCGCTGCAATGCTTGCGTTCTGCATTTCTCGCACCAATAGATCCTTGCTATCCAGCTTGGTATCGTCCACCAGCGACTCCAGCTCCTGCAAGTTTGGACTCAACATTCCATCCCGTCGATTCGATTGGGAACGCTGACGCTCCAATCGCTCGGCACCATCTTTATAACCGGAGGAATCGTCAATCTGCTTAGACAGCATCGATCGCTTTCGGCGGAGCCCGCTCCCCGATCCCTGACGCTCAGGTGACAAAGACGACCCAAATTCGCCCGATTTGCGTTTAATGACATCGGCCTTGCTCTCGAGGAATGACTTGAACTCCTTTGGTGCCAGCTCCGGGTGCAGACTCGCTGGAACCCAGAACAACCGTGACGCGTCGTTTTCATCGGCCGAGGGTGAGGGCGGGAGAGAAGGAAATGAAAGGCTGCCGCCAAACGAAGGGAGATCGGGGTCACCTGTCGCCGCGACATCCATGGACATGCGCCGAATCGCAGCCAAGTTGTTCAGCTCCTGGACGACCGCGGCGGGGTTGGACTCGTAGTCGATATCGTTCAGAGGAAAGGAAGATGTGGCGGTTTCAGAGGGCGATCGCGTCGAGTCCGGGGACCCAGGATCGCTGTCCCGGTCGAAAGACCTTTGGCCCGCGAGTGCCAGCCGTAGGTGACCATTGCTCTGTTTCTGTTGTCCTTCGGTTGGCGACCGCAGTGGGGGCGTCGAGGGGGAGAGAGAAGACTCGGAAGCGGCGGCGTGTCGCGGTATAGTTGTGATTGCCTCGCCAAGGGGAGACGCTATATAGCTGAGCCGCCGAGTATCGTTGCGATCATAGTCATCGTTGTACATATGCCCGATGGCCTCTGTCACATGGTGACTTGGGTCGCTAATCGACAAATGCGTTGCATGGCCTCTGCGCGTCGTGTGTCCTCCGCCAGCCTCAGGGGCGCTCGTGGAAGCCTAGCGGATAAGAAAATGGTTAGCAAGGGCCAACTCACGTGCTTTGCAGGCCTTGACTGTGCCAATGAAGCCAATGTTATAGCACCGAAGCCCCATACAGGCAGCCCTCGAGAACGAGGGGGAAGGTCACGGTAGGAAATTGTAAAGCGCTTCCAGACTCTCGGGCCCGCCTAGCCAGCAAGGGAGACAAAAATTGAATTGAAGAAACGCACCTGCATGGGAACCAGCTATACAGGAACCAAAAGAGCCCAAAATAACCCTGAAGACCGAAGGGCGGGCACAGCCTGGAGGGACGGGAGGAGGGGGAATCAATGTACCACCTGGGGAAGAAGATGAACGATCATCGAAGCGGGGGACACGGAAAGAAAGAGTTGGGGGGGCTATCCGGTAGCTACCGTGCTCGAGTTGTCATTTGTGGGACAGAGAGGAAGGAGAAAAGGACAGATGCAAAGCGGTAAATGAGCAGAGAGCCCCTGGACGAGCAAAAAAGACGAGAATGCAAAGAAAATGATGTTTGGCCAGAAGGGGAGAGGGTTGGTTTGTTGGTTTGGGTTTGGGTTTTGGGGAATCGGCGGGCGGAGAGAGGGCTTTCGGTCGCAGCACCTGACTTGCGCAGGCATCAAGTGGACTTTCCTTTCGACAACTGGCTGAACTCGATCATTCATGGACCAGGCGCATGATAGACGCCTTTGTCTTTCTTTATTCGCACGAGGTACTCGCTGCTGAGGCTCCACTTTAGGCTCTTCTGGCTACGGCACAATACGGTCAGAACCACGCCTGGGCCATCGTTTCGACTCCACGGGTCTCTGCTCGTGTCTGGCTGTGTCTGGTTGGAGGGACCCCGGAGATCTACACACGACCCTCTTTCTAGATGGGACTTGTCGGAACTTTTTCCACATTACTCCGTCTTGGTATCATTGATAACTACAGGACAGTGCTCTCTCGCCCTTCGATTCGATTGTTCGCTAGTCACATTCAAGTCAAGTGCCCATTGTTCCAGTCACGAATGATCGCTAGCGGGCGAGTGGTTCATCTCGGTTCGGATTTCAACCTTCTCGGACTTTGAAGTATACAAGTACGACCATGCGAGGAATAGGCTGTGGCGTCACTTGCTTTTCATGGCTTCCTCGATCCGTGGCACGGGAATTATGCAGGTTGAGGCTGAGATCCTCGCCTCTTTCCGGGACCGTAAGCATCGTGATCAGCCCCGTTGACATGGATCGACGACGTCTCAACTTTATAAACTTGCGAATCTTCAGATCGATAAGAATAACTAACCATCCCACCTCTGTCCCCCGAGTGAATGCTCTTGTCGTTCGGACAAGGGTCCATCGACGCTCAGGGGCTGCCTGGGTGTTCCGCTCCCAATCGCATAGGGAGTATATATCTGCAGTGTCACTCGACTACGGGCAGCGGGAAAAGTCTAGACAGCGATTGTGCAAGTGTCGGCGTAAGCGACATCCCGAGCGCAAATCGGGATGAATGGTGAGAAAAGTAAATAGATGCGATTGCGCTTGAGCTGAAAAGAAGAGTCCAGCTAGCTGGCTTAGGGCTGAAAGTAGAGACACGGCAATTGGACAGGGAGAAAAAGGTTATTTCCACTCAGATATGACGGATGAGGGTGAAACGAGACCTCTAGGAACGTGCTGGAAGGAGGGCGCCACAGCGCGCATAACCACGGGCTTGAAAGACCAAAAAAGAACCAAGCTGCCCAAGAACTTTGCGAGACATGAGAATGAGAACGAGAAAAAGACCTCAGCGCTCAAGAGGGTGAAGCGAATACGGGTCCAGAAAGAAGACGATGACACGGATCCAACGCCCCCAGTATATTCAAACCAACCAATCAAGCCCTGTATATTCATGAAGAAAGGGGAATCAAGTAGGTGCAGCCTACGACCTCAGAAAATGCGTAAAGAGCAGGTATCAGCAGGCAGAAAGAAACAAAAAACCGAGGCATGAAAAAGCCTAAGAAGAGGCATCAACATAGTTGCTGAGAAGATCAGGTTAGCCCACATTCCAAAACCCATAGACGAACGTTGAGGCCGCCGCACTTACCTAGGGAAAATGCCAACCCGATCGCCAATTCGGCCAGTCCACCAATCCTCTGCCTTCTCAGTTCGCTTCAGAATCGTAATGATCTCGCCCTTTTTGAAGCCCAAGTCCCCATCTTGGTCCGCATCAAACGTGTAGAGGGCAATCGCCTGGTCCGACCGGAGAGTCGCACCCTGGCCCGTACGTTGCCCAAAGACCGGCTTGGGAGCAGTCGGACGGGTAGGCCGGCGGTCGGAGTAAGTGTAGTCGTCGTCGAGCGGCGTGGTATTGCTGCGGCTGCGTCCATAGCCGCCGAATGAGTCATCACGAGTAGTCGAAGAACGTCCCAACCCCCCTGCAGGGCGGTCATACACATCATCATCCCAGGAGGAGGTGTTTGCGCGGCGTGGCTTGTCGCGGTATTCGTAACCACTGGAAGCGTCGTCGAAGGTACTCGCTCGGCTGCGGTTGGTGCGTGAGCCCTGACCATAGGCCTCGCCTCTCCGGCCTTCCCAGACAACGTCGTCATGACTATCATCGTAAATTGGCGTATCGTTGTACATCGAGTCACCCCCAGCCCGCGCGTTGCCCTGGAAAGCACGCGAGTTGAGAACGTGCATCAGTGCATCAGTTGAGGGCGGCGGTCGAACACTACCGGTCAGAAGCTGGGCGGCGCTGACACGGCTCTGATACATCTTCTCATTGGCATCCTTGCGCTCCACGAGCATACTGCCCTCCAAACTGACCCCGGCAAAGAGACCCTTGGTCTTCGAGTACGAGAAGACTGCCGCAACACCCTTAGTGCTAGCCGCACCGGCAGCCTCTGCATTGCGACCGACCGGACCTGCGGCAAGAGAGACGTTGCCACCCAGTGTAAGGGTTCCAAACTGCGAGAATGCGCGGACGGCCGAGGCATCGTTGAGAATGAAGACGAAGTCGGTCAGCTCGAACCCAATCTGTCCACCCACACCGGCACCGGCAGTAACGATCGCGGAAGGAGCCGACCAGGAGCCATCAGCTAGACGGGCAACAACAATACCGGATCCAAATCGACCGGATCCAATAAATCCGGCTTTAAGAACTGTGAGAATGGCGAGACCCTAGACAAGGCCAAGTGTCAGCCAACTGAAGCCTCTTCGCTACCCCGCGCGGGCAGTGTCTTTCGTACCTTCGCATTGGCCAGAATCTCTGGTGGAATGACCTTATCGGGACCAAAGGCCTGCCTTGGGTCCACAAAGGATGTCAAGATTTTGGCCGCCTTTTTGCATTCGCCTGTTCATATGGGCAAGGGTTCGGATTAGCCGGAGGTGCCGCGAGGCAATTGCGGGGAAGCGGACACGGGAGATCAGGACACATACTGCTCAGAGACGACGGCAGCGGGTTATGGATACCCAGCGGCATCGTAGCGGTGGTTGTAGAAGAGGTTGAATGAGGAGGGAATGAGAGAGAGAGAGAAAGAGAGGAGAAGAGGGGAAGGGAGGAGGAAGAGACTGATGCTCCAACTCCGCGCAAAGGTCGGGCAGTAAGATTGGGGCGGATCCACAGGCATCCATGTGGGCCTGGTGACTGACGGCTGACGCGGGATGGTTCGTGGAGGACAACTGTAGTTTGTTGGATTCCTTGTTTCCGATGAGCTAATCTATTGATTATTAGGACTATGGTTTCCTATGTATATTCTCACTTTTAGTCTACCCACCCAGTTCCTTGGCCAATATCATGGTTGTTTAAGTTCTGGTAGTTGCTGGTCTGTTGCTCAGCCTCCTTCTGACTACTCGCCAAGTCTCGTCCCTCTGTAGCCGAGACGTCACGGAATATACAGCGCCTAGCGACGGTCTTGTAAGATGCTTACATGCATGCATCGGGAATCACAGATTACAATCTTGTTCTAAGATAGGTCTTGTGATAACAGCGGCCGAGAATTCCCTCTTCAGATCCGAAATGGCCACACACTAAGACATGGACCTCAACGAATCGAATTGAGATGCCGTAGAGTGATAATTAGGCTCAAATCCAGGTGAGATAACTTTTCTACCCCATTCATAACCTTCTGGATCTTGCGAGAGCTCCACGAGGTTGGAGGAAACAAGTCAATAAAACTACATATATAGCATCCCATCTCTTGATCGGACCTGAACGATAATCAGCAATCACGAAGCAATTGTGAGTTTCAAACGGGCTAGAATGACCAGTGAGCTCGATCAGAAAATCCAGATTCAAGGCGACAATTTCGGCTCCAATTGTTGTTGGGCCATTTGGTGTCTCCCAGGTCCCTCGTAGTTGCGAGTCTCAAGCAACGTACTCTCTTCTCTGTCACAACTCCATTCAGATCAACATAACTATAGATCAAATAGCAGCATTCACACATGTCCTGGCAATTCGTGAAGCTTGAACTCGATGACATCGCCCTGCAGAGCAATTTCTAGTGCCAGGCTTCAGCATCCTCATGTGGACGTGGCAAATGGTCTTCACTGCCAGGCACAACCTCGTGGAGAATCCAGAATGCATATCGATTAACCACGTGCAAGCTGTGGAGGTTCCCTTCCCGGAAAAGTTCAGTGTGTATGGTAATGGTGCCCCACGGATGCTCGAGAAAATAACAATCGTGGCGGAGAGCGTCTGGCGGGCGAAAATCTAGCCGATAGATATTCTTGTTATAAACGTACTCCCCCTTCCCAGAGTGTGGCTTTTCTCGGAGAGAAAGACATTTCTCAATTAATCGGAGCTTGTCATGGGGTGTGATAGAGATGCAAGGACAAATAGCAGCCATGTCGGCAGAGGGCATGGAACAAGGCTGGAGCAGCGATAGATCACCCTCCGAGTCGCATACACTTGGTCGGTTTTTGTCCAATGAACACACACGGGCGTGAAGCATCCATCAATGGTTGTAAAATTCCCATCGATCATTGGCAAGCCGGTGAAGCAATTGTTTCTCTCTCGTTTTTCAGCGTTAGGAGTCAACATGACTCGTTCCTCGCGCGGCAAAAGCTTCGAAAGCTGAGCGTTCTTAGTGTAAAGGAATGACTGGAAGCAAGAAAAAAGATGTTTGCAAGTCAGAGAAAAACAAATTCTGTCGGAGATACTGAGCAAAGACAGTAGTATCATGTCGACTATCTCTTGGGGAAGATTCTGCACCGCATGATTTTCCAGCTCATGCCGCGACAGTTTGAGGTATTGCTCCAGGCCGAGGAGCAGATTCTGATTCTTTTGTAAAGACATGGTCGATACTCAAAAGAGAGAAGCCAGCGATAAAAGGCCATAATATGTTGAGTGAGCCTTAGGATGCCGCTAAGCCTTTTTCATGAAGATCTGACGTTTGTCAATCTCAGACCGACACCGAATTCGACAGAACGAGACAACCTATCTCATTTCAGACATGAGAGTTTACACATTTCTCGGGCAGAAATCCTTGAATTCTTGATTTATGACTATTCTTGAATGGCAGACTCATTCTACCAGCTGATGGCATGAAACGTCAGCGCCAAGGAAGGTGAAGGTCGGAAGGAACGATAATATATTGAGCGATCTGGCATCTCCGGGGGGGAGGGGGGATAAAGAGGAAGGTTGCCTTTGAAAAGAAGAACAGACTATGGGGTTCTCCGTAAACCGGGTGACCGGGTGGGAAATAACCCGGCCACCCTTTGGACAAGACTGGTAGCCAGTAGGTACCGCGGGCGACATCAAAGCTCATGTGTAGATGGTTGGGAACGTATAGATGTCGCAGATGTAGGATTATGATGCCGATGGTTAGGGTTTTGGACCCGAGAAAGCCGCTCTCGCGAAGTTAGTGGGTCTTTATGTAGTTCCAGTATTCGAGCAATTGATGTAATGCATTGCCGGGACTTCAGTTTGCACGTAGAGACGCGAGGTGGTGAAGATCCCGATAGGGAGTGAAAATAGCTGTTCATGGCTTCTTTCTAAGCAGTCGCCGAACTGAATGGCGTGGAGGACCGGGTTCAGACTAGAACGATAGCAGAGATGGTCAGGGAATCGGTCAAGTATGTTATGGGTTGATCGATGTTTCATTAAGAAAATGTGTACTGGCGAGGCTCTTACGTTCGTTTGTTATAAAGAGATGAATCAAGTTAACATGATTTACGTTCTCCGCAATGAGCAGACTGGTAAAGCGAGATATTAACTCAGATAATACCTCAGAAGATATGTAAATACCGATTTAACTCGAATCCAATGGGCGGTACCTGGCAGACACACTTCCGCAAGGATCGATCGAGCATGGCCAAGGACGCACCGAACTAGATATCGAAATTCAAAAGCGGGCACAATACCTTATGAGTCCATATTAGACATATAGTTAGTTTCATGTCTAAAGCTGAAGACCTGGACAATACGTTGGCCCATTCTACTTCACATGCTCGACAGCATCTAGAAGATCACCCTCTAGCGTGCTTTGCACACTGGGTGCAGCTGGCGCATAACCCAAGAGAGATCTCGCCCGATCTGCGCGCACACGTGTGTTACAGGCCCAGGTGTACACTCCCATCGGCCCCCAGCTCGAACCACCCCGCATCTCTCTGACAGTCTCGACAGGCAAACTCTTCGGCTCGCTAGAATATTCTCCTCAGTAGCTCCCCTCTTGGTGCTGAGCCCATAGCAGCGCATCCTGCATGCTAATGATATAATGATAACCATAGAGCTAGATGGTAGGTCTGGTGGTGGCCCAGATATATTCCGCTATCCTGGCCATCATCGTCACCGCCACTTGATAAATCAAGGATTATATCAGATAAATCAGGCTCATCGGCGTAGTTTTCGTACGAAGATCTAGGAAATCATCTAAAGACATAACTTCCTGAGCGTCTTTAGTAAGTCTCTCAGTTAAGGTCTGATATAAATGACCTAATTGAAGAGCTTCTAGCGACCATTCTCTCTGATCAGCACGACCAGCAACAGTACTCTCATTAAGCAGTTCTGTATAGCTTGACCAAGTACATTATTACGCCATGCCTGGGTGATCCAACGCAAGTATAAGTAAGGCTCATTCTCTCTCGAGGATCAATATTCCGATCAAGCATATTGTGAGAAGGCCCGTAAGTTATGATATATTAAAGGTAATTAATGGCGCAATAGGAAGATCGGCTCAATGGGTGTAGTTATATAATAATTATTATTGTTGTTACTGTAATTTGGTATGATGGGCATTACGGTTGTTGCAGCCCACGGTGTCCCTTTTGCTCCATTGTACCCCAGTCTTATTATTCGAGCATTCCCGCAAGAGTTCAACTATCCATTCCCCAGGGATGGCCAACTTCAACCACTGAAGAGCCAGGAGACGTAATCACAATTCCCTGGCAAAGAGTCGATGAACGACGGAGAGAAGTACCGCGCATTCCGTTTTGTTATACTCGGTCTTGCACAGCAGGAAAACAAGGTGTAACTGGTACTTGATGCCCGACAACCGTACACAGGGATCAACAGCACCATATTCGATAATCCTTGCTTGGAATATGATCATTTTCTGGCAGTTCTGAAAATACCAGGTTTTCATCCCTAGATCTTCCACTAATGTATAGTGGAAGAGGGCCTACGAAGAACTGGAAGACCATCCGTAACGGAAGGCTTCGCGAAACCCTAAGCAATATGACGCACTTAGAGGAGTTTCCTTTCTATACTGCAGAACTAGACGGTTGTTATAAGTAGAGAGAGCTACCTATTAATGCCGCCCCTGTGTTGTTAGAGAGTATATTCCCTATCGAGAAATGGCCTAGGCTTTGCTATTTTGCATTATCACGTTTCATCATCAACCAGGTTGACCTGATCAAATTTCTTTCGAAGCTGCCGTCCACAATTCAATTTGTGAAATTGAGTTTTCTGGCGTTTGTTTATAACGGGAATGCTTGGCATACTTTCCTTACAGAGTTGTGCACAAAGATCTGTAAAAATAGTCTTTGGCAGGGTCGTTGACCAACATTGTTATCGGCAGCGAACGAGGTTTTCTTTGTCTAGGATGTGCTACTTGGTACGGAAAGCAGGTTGATGATTTCCTATATGCGAATGGGGAAATCTATTCTATGACCCTCCTCGCAACATCGGGAAAATGCGTTTTGGAACAGTCAAGAATGTATTTGATCCTGATTTTTAGTCAGTTCTATCGTGCTATTCAAGCCATGGACCATGAAATTGACGGTATATGGTTGGCTTTTTGCCCCCGAAATCTTTCTCTTGCCCTTAATCAGATTGTACATTAACCAGATCAAAGCCTAGTGAGCACTAGAACGGAAGGAGACCGGTAAGAGTTGCCAGACATTATCCGGTTCATATGAACTGCTCTCAGGCAAGGGACGATCACCGGGGTGCTCGGGATCACAGCCTCCCCTAAATCTCCTCAGTCAGCCCTGGTTTAACTCTTGGCATCAACTAATTCGACTGCTGGAGAAACGCTGCCGCGTACTGCCGTCCGGCAAGGCTGATTGCATGCGCCGAGGCATCACCGGAAATCCCCCTGCCACACTGGGAACGCGACGTTAGATGGTGTGTTTCAGATGCTAGGAGATTGGCCGCGATCGCTTAGACCCCCAGGCAACAGTAATGACCTCAAGTACGCAGGGCTTGCAGATCTTCCATGCGGGATCACAGTTCAAGAGAGAGTCAGAGTGACTACCGTGCATTGCAACGAGTGTGCCGAGTCGAAAGGGAATTTGGAAGAAACTGACACTGGGATCGCCATTCTGCCGAAGAGCTTGGACATACTGCCTGAGTATGTCGATCCCCATTCAAGCTTCGTCCAGGCAGCTTTGAATCTCTCTTTCATGCCGGCTCATCGGAGTTTTCTGCCGAGGAAAAGACTCGCCAAGCAACAATACTCCGAAAGGCCCCCATCAGCATTGTGGACGTGTATCTTGTTTATCCAGCAGTCATTCCTGTGCCTCTGAGACAGGCTACCACTTTGACGGTAAGAGATAGAGCAGTGAGAATGCTTTCTTGGACGTCATCCTGGGAGTTGATGGTAGAACGACTTGTACTAGAGTGGAAAGTCACTCATGGGAAGTGGGACGAGAAGCGCGACGGCTTGTATGACAAGAGCAAAGAGAAACCTCCCGCATAGTTCGACTGTCTTCTATGCTAAGCAGGATCCGCGGCTCATGAGGATTCTAAAATTCCCGATAGCATAGATCGTTTTAAGTCTTATAACCTTATTACTACCCTAGCTCCGAATGAGAGCGACGGTCCGGATGATAAGTCGAAGTGGAATTAATTTAATGAATACCTTCACTCTAGTGTATAAGCGTTAGATAACCTATATAACTTAAGTTCTATGCTCTAACACAAACGGAATAACGTGGTAAGTTCGCTCTAGATTATATATTCCGAGAAAGATCTAATAGGATTTATTTACGAAAGTAGCTTGCTAGTAAGGAGGAAGAGAAACTGAATCAAGTCTAAACAAAAGCAAGGTATATATTCGGGGATAAGATAATTCGAGCTCTTAAGCAGTTATTGGGCATTCTAATGCTAAATATATAGAGTTCGTTTTTCTGCCAGCTAGTTATACCTTATATCATGGTCGCTCTATACCCGAATGAATCATTCGAAATCAATGACTGAAGTCTATCGAGGAACCGTGAATAAACCTTAGGTTATCGGAAAATTATGAATAAACTAGATACTAGAGGTATAGAAGGTATATACCTAACTCTCTAAATCAGCCTCTAGGGCTACGGGGTTAGTAAAGTAGTACTCTTTATCCGAATCTAATTAATCTAAATATATAGTAGGTAAAGGTTTCTTATACTTAGCTTCCTTTAGATCTTTTAATTAGACTTATTAAAGTACTAATCCTATCTAAGAAATCCTTATATATCCTATAAGAACCTACCGGGTGGCCAGGAAACTAGTATTAGTAGCTACTAGTAAATTTAACCTATACCGACGAGAACCTATCAGGTAGGACCAGATAATAGGTAGGTATCGATAAGGAATCTGCATAATATAAGCGCCTACATAACCCTACATATTCCTATATGATCCTATAGATATCCTACTAATTACTAGCTAAACCCACCCGAACACATATAATTATACTAAAACCCTTCCCATTCGGTCACCCGTTGAGCTGTAAACCCCAGACTATGCAGATACGAGAATGGTATAGCAGGCTGATGACTGGGTTTCCTTCGCTTCTAGTGAACGTTCCTTCCCATTTAGGAAATGGTCGCTGTAAGGACTACCCTGGTCCAGATTTCGAGCCTATCCAACTACTAATTGGTTTTATCTTCTCTTTCCTCTTAACGATATCGCCCCTCAACCTTGCAACATGGAAACCCGCGATTCCTCGTGTTCACTCTCTCTTCAGTCATAATCTCTCGCACAATCCTTTCGAGCTGGACATTCCATCTGGCATGCTCTAAATGATCTCTACCCGTTGAGCGTTCAAGTTCGGGTATGTCTTCCATGGTGCGACTTTGGAATAAAGCTGACAGCTTAAAAGATCTTCTCTTGGAGAGGGAGGTCAGACAGCTTCGCGAAGAGGTCAAAAAGCTCAAGCTCGACGAGAAAACATGCCCAGGCATAGGATCGATGTATCGCTCCCTACTTCGCGATATCTATGGCGGTTCCTTCCACAACGATGTTGCAGAACAGGGGCGGGGCTTCAATAATGGCTGATGATTTCTGTCTTGAAACGCCGCTCTCAGAGGGCGAATATAATGCTCCATGAGACCAATCGCGGGTACTGGCATGCGAATGAATTGTTGGTTTTTTGCTGCGCGGCGTACTGACCAAAAATATTCGTAAAACACCCTGGAGAGACATAACTCAAGTGAGCTGATTTTGTGGCATGGTGTAAAAAAGACTCTGTGGTAACCAAGTGTATTGTAGCAGTGGAGAGTGAAGAGACAAATGTTGAGATGGTGATCTTGCCAGTTATCCAAAATGAAGTCATCGGCACATCCAATGGCCGCAGATCCACGTCGGCTTGGCACCGGGAGTGCGTGACCCCCCGTAATCACATCGGGATCCCCAAACACTCCTCGAACCCCCGGAACTTGGTGCCACGGTCATGCTGAGTGTATAGTGGTAATTGAGGTCGCTTCGAATTGGACATGGCGACAGGTAAGAGATCTCGCTAGACTAAAATGTCACCCCCTGCTGACAACACGTAGTCCGAATCTGCGTCTGCGGTGACGAAGGCACTGGCAAGTCCAGCCTCATCACCTCGCTGGTGAAGGGTGTCTTCGTCACGAACAAGATCCAGCCCATCCTCCCCCAGATTACTATCCCCCCTACGATTGGAACCCCCGAAAATGTGACTACAACCACCGTCGTCGACACCTCGGCCGTGCCGCAGGAGCGAAACAATCTGGCGCGCGAGATCCGGAAATCCAATGTGATTCTCCTTGTCTATTCCGACCACTATAGCTACGAACGTGTCGCATTGTTCTGGCTACCATACTTCCGATCGCTTGGTGTAAACGTACCCGTCGTGCTGTGCGCAAACAAGTCAGACCTGGCGGCGGAGCACAGCGAGGCGCAGGTCATCGAGGAGGAAATGCTACCCTTGATGTCGGAGTTTAAGGAGATTGACTCATGCATTCGGACGAGTGCTCGTGAGCATAGAAATGTGAACGAGGCTTTCTTCGTCTGCCAAAAAGCCGTCACTCATCCGATCGCGCCCCTGTTCGATTCGAAGGAGGCCGCCCTGAAGCCCGCGGCTGTCTCCGCGCTACAGCGCATTTTCTACCTCAGCGACAAAGATCGAGACGGATACCTGTCGGATAAGGAGATTGGGGGTTTTCAGACACGGTGCTTTGGAAAACCACTCAGTGACGAGGACCTAGCCCACATCAAGGAGACCATCCAGAAAGGATATCCAGAGTCCGTGACCGAGTCGGGAATCGACTGCCAGGGATTTATTCATCTGAACAAGCTTTACGCGGAAAAGGGTCGCCATGAGACGGTCTGGATTATCCTGCGCGCATTCCAATATACCGACAATCTCTCATTACAAGAAAACTTCCTCCACCCTCGGTTCGAAGTTCCGCCTTTCGCTTCCGCTGAGCTCTCACCGGAAGGATATCGCTTCTTCGTGAATCTGTTCCTGCTGTCTGATAAGGACAACGATGGCGGGTTGAATAACGCAGAATTGGCATCCTTGTTTGCTCCTACTCCGGGTCTGCCTGCGTCATGGGCCGACGGTTCATTCCCATCTTCGACGGTCCGTAATGAAGCAGGGCATGTTACTCTCCAGGGTTGGTTGGCTCAATGGAGTATGACGACTTTCATGTCACCGAAAACGACGCTCGAGTACCTGGCGTACCTGGGCTTCGAGTCCTCCGACCGCAACAACACCTCTACTACCGCCGCGTTGAAGGTAACGAGACCTCGCAAGCGCCGGCGGCGCCCTGGGCGGGTGGGACGAAATGTGGTCCAATGTCATGTTCTTGGAGCGCCCGGCTCGGGCAAATCGGCATTGCTCGATGCTCTCCTCTCGCGAGGATTTAGCACAACATACCACCCCACCATTCAGCCTCGTACGGCCGTGAACACAGTCGAACTCCCCGGTGGCAAGCAGTGCTACTTGATCATGGATGAACTAGGCGAGTTGGAGCCTGCAATCCTGGAAAATCAGGCGAAACTCCTCGATCAGTGCGATGTTATCGCTTACACCTACGACTCCTCTGATCCGGACTCCTTTGCATATATCCCGGCTTTGCGGGCCAAATATCCTCACTTGGAAGAGTTACCCAGCGTCTTCATCGCGCTCAAAGCTGATTTGGACCGCACTACTCAGCGGGCCGAGCATCAGCCGCACGAGTACACTGCCATGCTGAACATTCCCACCCCGCCCCTCCACGTCAGTGTCACTTGGACTTCTATCCAGGAAGTGTTTGTGCATATTGCCGAAGCCGCAATGGAGCCCAGCACTGCATTCCCACGCAGCGAAGAAGACGTTGAAGGGAAATGGATGGCGTGGGGTATCGCCTTTGGGGCTGTGGTCTGTGCGGGGGCCGCAGCGGTCATGATTTGGCGACGAGTCAGTGGTAGCGGGTCATAAATGGTCTTTACCTGGATAGTTTTGTCTTTAATAATACCCCATTGATTATTGCTTTCTTTCTTTCCTCTGTAATTGTATCATCTGTGAGTTAGGGTAGTTGCTGACGGCTAAATGCACCTGGCAGTCTGCCAAGATCGGCTCGCCCGAAGAGTTCGCCCGGACCCCCGCCAGGCACGAGACTTGCGTTTCTCCGCTCGACTTACCCCGGACCTTCGCCTCGCTGATCTCAACGCCTCCTCTCCTTCTGCCGACCTCCATATTCCATCCGCACCCCTTGAATCGACGCCCATTTTGTACATACGGTACCCCGTACCATCATTGCATACCACAAACTCCTATCGGTCCTTCACGAACCGCTGCCGAGCCCCCCACCCCCCGGCGCACCGATCGCACTGGCTGTCCCTCGGAAGCAGTATTGTCAACGTACATCACATCCAATCGAAGACTCTATTCGAAGCCTAATCGGGCTCTTTTCTTGGTCAATTTTGGTACCATCTGCGACAAAAGGGCATAGATCAGGCATCATCCCCTGTCTGCAGTCCACAGAGCGGCCGGTTCTGTGTCACCCCCGATTCGTGTTGGTTTGAATCGCAAGTATAAGCCTATCAGACCGTAACCATGTTGTAAGACATCCTCGTTCTTGAATCTCTCTTTTCTCTTGTCTCTTCAGTAGAGAGCCTTCTTGGAGCCACCCCCAAATACGTCATATGAGTGCTCCACTCCACACTCCCATCATACCACTTCGGATGCCGGAGCACGCAATCGTTGGCGGCGCTTGAAGCTGAACCTTCGCGCTACTGGGATCACCTTCAACGCGAAGACTTATTGCCTCAACTCACAACTAACTCGATCACCAGTGTCCTACCACCTCCCCCTCCACGCTATACCATCCCTGTCGCTTATGCGGCGGGGGCTGCGAACGGCATGGCGGTTCCGGTAATCGAGACGAATAACACAATCTCTCATCCGGAAGGTGGATGTCCACTGCAAGTAGGAGAAGGTACTTTCTCTCACACTGATGACTGGGCTTCGCAGCCTAAACCATCACCCTTTACAGCGGATTTGGAGCCACATTGCTAACCTTAAATCTTATCTGTCACGATAGGAACTTACACTCTCAAGGATGACCTTCTGCTGGCTACACCACCTCCCCATCCATCTGAAGCACCAATCATTAACCCGAACCCGCTTGCGACGGTTCCCTCACCTCCAACTACTGGTGTCAAGGTTACTTTGGTCAGCCTCGATCCGCGCAAGAAGCCGCCGACTTTCCTGAAGTCGGGCGTCACGGCCCCGCCATTTGGAGATGGAAATGCCGCTCTCGCCGCGCCAGCCGTGCCAGCAAAGGACGCAGGCAAGCGACGAAAGCCCAAGAACAACATTATCAAGAGCAGCTCTTCATTTGTCTCGCGGGTGATCACGCACGAGACTTCAACAAAGCGCCTCAACGACCGCGACCCGAATGGCGTCTTTGCCTTTGCCAACATCAACCGGGCTTTCCAGTGGCTGGACCTTAGCTCTGCGCAGAAGGAGGAGCACCTAACCAAGGTGCTTTTCACGAAGGCACATATGCTTTGCCATGATATCAACGAGATGACCAAGACATCCTCTCATTTGGACATTGTGATGGGCTCCTCGGCTGGAGACATTATTTGGTACGAGCCCATGTCCCAGAAGTACGCCCGTATCAACAAGAACGGGGTCATCAACAACACCCCTGTCACGAACATCAAGTGGCTGCCTGGTTCCGAGAACCTATTCCTGGCATCGCACGCCAATGGCGTCTTGGTAGTCTATGATAAGGAAAAGGAGGATGCGCTGTTTACTCCCGAACCCGCCAGTCACCTCGAGAGAGACCCTGCCAAATTGCCTCTGGAGATTCTGAAGTCGGTCAATTCGAAGAACCAGAAGACCAACCCGGTTTCTTTGTGGAAGCTCGCGAATCAGCGAATCTCGCATTTCTCGTTCTCGCCGGATCAGAGACATTTGGCTGTTGTTTTGGACGACGGTTCCCTTCGTCTTATGGACTACCTGAAAGAAGAGTAGGGCTCACATATCTGCTTTTATCTGAGTATCTTGCTAATCCTGAATTAGGGTCTTGGACATCTTCCGCAGTTACTACGGCGGTTTGATTTGCGTCTGCTGGTCCCCTGATGGCAAGTACATAGTAACCGGAGGACAAGATGATCTGGTCACTATCTGGTCCTTCCCCGAACGTAGAATCGTTGCCAGATGCCAGGGTCACAACTCCTGGGTTTCCGCAGTTGCCTTTGACCCATGGCGCTGTGACCAAAAGACCTACCGGTTCGGCAGTGTCGGCGATGACTGCCGTCTCTTGCTGTGGGATTTCAGCGTCGGCATGTTGCACCGACCCCGTGCTGTGAGTTCCATCCCTTCATGCATATGAAAATTCCGTTCCTAATTCTTCCAACAGCATCATCAAGCATCCACTCGTCATCGCAGCAGTCTTGTTGTGCCGAGTACGCAGACATCGAACCGTCATCGGGCTGATAGTGGTGCGAATCGGATGCGATCCGACTCGGATCGAACTGAGAAGTTTGATGGGGATCTGGACCCGATGACCAGTCACCCAGTTGAGCCCCGTGCTCGGACTGCCCTTCTCCCTCCCATCATGGTTGGCCATTACCCAGACTCTGAACCCTTGTTCTCAAGCTAATCTTGCATATAGTCTAAAATCGTTGGAGAAGATCCTACCTGCTGGCTCGGGTTCCAGAAAGATTGCATTATGACATCCTCTCTTGAAGGTATGTGTGGATTTTAAATAAGAGAATTTAGAATGCGCTATTGACATGTCAATTACAGGCCACATCCGAACCTGGGACCGACCAAACGACAGTGTTGTCAAGCAGGATCACCGCCTCTGATGAGAAGCAGATGGTACATAGCAGGCTTGGCACTCACTCGCCCTTCAGTAACCCTTTCTGGGTGGGCGGGACGCCCTTCAATTTAATTTTCCAGATACCCATTTAATCAAGCAAATTCAGTTCTTCGTGTATTTACTTCTGCGTTGTAGATTCATATCCAATTGATATTCTTCCAAACCACCCTTTCGCTCGGGGTTACTTCTGTAGTACTATATCACAGCTTCGAAGCCCCCAGACCTTCAACATCAAATTCAGTCGTACACAACAAGAACGTATCACGAAGTGCCTGCCACAAATTAGCAACGCCTTCCTCACCAACTCCAATCGGGAAAAGTCTGCCTCTTAAGTATAACTCACCGTCAACCGATACTTCTCATTAATCTCCTGATAATCATCCCCCGCCAACATATCACAAAAATGCCGAATAGACGGATAATGCACAATAGAAATTTCATTCCACCACTCCTCCTGCGGTCTCTCCCTCCGACCTCTCGAATCCTCCAACTGCCCCTGCCCGGGACTCACCACGTTACCCACCAACTTGGCATCGCCACCGCGCTTCCCCGCAACAGGGATAAAGGCCTGGCCATACTGGTAATAGCTCTTTTTACCGCCTGGGTGGTGGAAATGCAATAGGTTCAGCATTGTGACAGGGCCCGTGTGTGTCTTTGTGAGCTCGGTCATGAAATTTAGGAGCTCGGGGGAGACTTCTAGATTCTGCGAGGAGTCTTTGCTTCCTTCGCGGAGGACTTTGTCTAGGGATCCCGTTAGAGGGATGGATGGTGCGTTTTGGTTGAGTTGAGCGTTGCGGGATGGGTAGGTTGAGAGGAGTTTCGAGGGTATGCCGGTTGTTAGTTTATACTCGGCTGTGATTTCGTGGCGGAATGTTGATGGGATTGGGTCCTCGTTGCTTGCGGCATTGGTGGGCGTGAGGAGGACAAGGAGATCCCATGGCTGTGTTGCGAGGGGGTTGTTGTCTAGTTTTGTTGGGTGAATCACGATATGGCGTGGACGGGATGCAACGATGACTGATATATTGGGGGATTGCTTGAGTTTGTGGAGGAAGGAGTGGGGGTCGGTGGACTTTGTAAGGGAGAGGAGGTGTAGAGTTGCCACGGGCATGATGAATGATGTGCTTGTATGGTGAGTATGTGAGTTGGGAGGTTTGGAATTTGAGAAAGAAACCTGGGGATTGAAATGGCTATAAGCTTGGCCGAGTCGGGGTTCATTGCGGAGACGGTGGGGATGGGCCGAGGTTCATTATTTCTGGCGCTGATTGGCTGATGGGAACAACAACAGGATATAGTAGTGCATGGAAGTTTGTGTTTAGAATGGCTTTGTAGAAAGACAGCGGTATATTGTTCTTGGAGCACTGCATTTTTGACAAACAGCTACCTTTTCCACACTCGCGACCGTCACCCTCTTCTCTTCTGCCACAAGTCTCTCCGCTGTCGTGTCTCCTCCGTCACTCCTCCACGCCAGCCATCTTCCAGCTTTTCACGCTCACCTTCCCTCTTCTCCATCTTCATCTACACACGAACCATCAACTTTCAACATCATCTGTGCCATCTGAGATGTCATTTCTCTGACCATCATCATGGCCCCACTTCTTGCATTCAACGCGGAGGTTGCCGAGCATCTCAAACTTCTCAGCGCCAACGAGGCCAACAACACGGACTCATCCACTTGTGATAAACCACAGCTACCAGAAGAAGTGGTGACAGCCCCACTCTTCTCCTTGGCTGTACGCACTGTGCTCTCCGTGAAATACAAGAGAGACCACACCCGGAATGCAAATGACCAGGTGTTCCCTCAATATGGTCTGCTTGGGCACCGTGTGGACAACTTTGCTGGCGGTTTAACCCAGAACTCTCTGGTGTATACCAACACTGCAGCCCCGTCGTCAACATTCATCTGTGGAAGTCAGGGCAGTGGAAAGAGCCATACCCTTTCTTGCTTGTTGGAGAACTCTCTCATATCATCTTCACCTGCAGGAAGATTGCCCGCACCTCTCGCGGGGGTCATCTTCCATTATGACAAGTTTACTGGTTTCTCCAACACACAACTCTGTGAGGCTGTCTACCTTTGCTCCTCCCAGGTACCTGTCCGTGTCCTTGTTTCTCCCACAAATTTCATGTCAATGAAGAATGCCTACACCAACCTTGCGGGCTTGGGTAACGTTGCTCATAAGCTGAAGGTTGAACCCATGTACCTGCCAACAAAGGGACTCAATATCAGCATGATGAAGACCCTGATGGGTATTGACAACGCCTCTAACCAGCCCCTCTATATGGAGGTGAGTCCTTCCTCAATCATTACCCAGAACAAGATCTCAGCTAACCCAAGCATTTGACAGGTGGTAATGAAGATTCTTCGAGACATGGCGATTGCCGACCAAGGACGCGAGAGTTTCGACTACGCTCTTTTCCGGAAAAGACTTGATGCTGAGGAGTTCATGAGGGGCCAGCAAGTTCCCCTACAGATGCGCCTCGATGTGCTGGAATCCTTCTTCGAGCCAGGTATGATGTTCAACGGCAAGGGAAAGGTCAAGAAGCAGTTTTGCGTCGATGATATCTGGAAGTTTGCCCCAGGCTCCCTCACTATCATTGACTTGAGCTGCCCCTTCGTTGGACCGGATGATGCATGCGCCCTGTTCAACATCTGCATCTCGCTAGTCCTGAAGGACCGCCATGAATCAGGCAGAATCCTGGCCTTTGACGAGGCACACAAAGTAAGCATGTTAACGCTCCCGGAAAATAAAATCAGAACTCGAAGCTAATTTGTACTGTCTGCCATTAGTTTTTGACGGCAACCTCATCCGAGGCAATGGAGTTGACAGAAACCCTGCTCTCCATTGTACGACAACAGCGACATTTGGGCACGCGCGTCCTCATTGCCACCCAGGAACCCACCATTTCACCTACACTCCTTGATCTCTGCAATTTGACTATCATCCACCGCTTTACCTCCCCGGCCTGGTTCAAAGCGATCAAAGCACACATCGCAGGGGCCGCCGATAATGGGGAGGTGAAGGAAGCTCTGGAGCGGGATCTGTTTAGAAAAATCGTTCAACTAAACACGGGCGAGGCATTACTTTTCTGCCCAACCTCGCTCCTGACTGTCATGAGACGAGAGGATGTGAATGGTTGGGGGTGGTATCCCAGTGACTCCGACCGAATGACGGATGATGAGGACGTCACGGGGGGAAATCATTGCGCTGTTCAACTTGGGGCTGGTCATGTCCATGTTCGGGTGCGGAAGCGTATCACTGCAGATGGTGGCCGAAGCATTATCGCGCAGTGACAGGGTGGTGAGGAGGACTCTAAGCTGTACGATAGGGACGTTGTGTATTTGTAGATTGGTGGCAAGGGATGTGCATGTATGAGTATCTCAGTGAGAAGTCAGAGACAATCTATTGTATTAGATCAGAGGTGCTTTCTTCCACTTATGATTCAATCAAGTGCTCTGTATTCAAGAAAAATGAGTAGCCTGAGGGCTAAGCTGGTCCGACCATGATGGGGACTCGAGGAGCACAAACGCGCGTCGAGTCCGATAGTGCCTTTTGCGCCAGCGACAATCAAATAGATGCGTAAGAGTGTAACCTATATCGTTAACAAAAGACTTTTAAAGATCTCCGGCCTGAAGTATTTCAATCCTTCAAAGTTGGTGCAGTTCCCAATCATGATACTTCCGACGTCGCACAAATGATCCCCCCAGGATAGCTGCACGATAGAGGTTAATCCTTTGTTAGTTATTCTCGCTCGTGAATCTTTGCATCATTTAGAACAAGTGCTCATCAAGGAAATCTTTTCATTGCTGTGATAGTAAACTAGATGTCTTTATAGCGACATCATTCTCGTCTTGCGTAAGAATGAGCGACGGATTATAAATATTCATGAGCTGCGGGATTAGCCCTGTCCAACATAAATCCATGGCTATCAGCTGAGACCACGAACAGGGAACCACTTTTCGTGCTTGGACCTCTCAGATTCACTGGTTAATAATCCGATACATAGTCGATCTGTATGCTGCATCCTGAAAAACTCTGTCGCGCAGAATTAGATCGGTCGAGCTTTCCAGACTTTGCAGCCCATGTCGTAATGTTTCCACGAATTAGGTATGCAGAAGACCAATAGATAACGCTATTCCAGAGAAATCAGCTCCGAGTGTAAACTTCCTCCACTTCAATTGGGCGGATTGTTACTTGCCCTGGATGGGCCACAGCGGTAATATCAGTCCTAGAGCATGTGGACTGACTACCTCAATACTTCCAGAAGCATGAACCTCCGGCTGCGAAAGGATTGTCTTTCTTGCTACCTGGACATGTACCAAGAAGGTAGTATGACGCGCGGCTAGTTCGAATCGCATAAGCTGTGCAGCACGAATTCATCGCCCAGCCTATTCTAGTTCAGGCTGAGATCATGTTCTCGCAAGTCTCCAGCATTCACAACCTCGGCTTCTGCAAGTAAATGACATGATAAGTGGGATCTCGATGCTGAGTCCGTGGACTTCTGTACTCCATTGAAGCTGGAAGCACAAGGCATGACGTGCTGTGCTCGGCCTTGAGCTGTCTTTCCCAAGAAAAGTGGTGCCCCTGATCTCCGAGGAGAGATTCCAGATTGAGCCAGAGCCTGTATAAAGGCTAGGAACGTTGCCCCTCGATAGTGCCTCCACTCGTTTTCTCTTTTCCCACCTGAGTGACCCCTCTATCTTTCTTTGTCTACTCGACGTCCTTGAGGATCAAAGGCACCATATACACTCACTCCGGTTATTGTTGGTGTCTGATTAATCACCATGCGGGTTGCTTTTCTGTCTTCCTTGGTGGCTTTCACTGCCACTACTACAGGTACTGCGCAGAGTATTCCCTGCAAATATAACATTATTTATTGATTCATATCAGCTATTCTCGTCACATACCCACCGAAGGGAGCAAAGATTGATTGGAGCAAGCCTGTCACAATCAAGTGGGATTCGGTGGAGTTAGTTTACTCGGTGTTCGCAACTCCCCGATGTTGGATGTTAATAGCCGATTTAGAACCGATCCTGCCACCTTTGATCTATATCTTGTCAATCAGGCTGTCAACCCTAGCGTCTCTACTCTTGTCGCTTCCGATATTGACACTTCAACGGGCTCTTATACTATCAAAGCCAACAATAAGGATTTGACTAGCTCTGACACTGGGTATCACGAACATCTCTTCCGTATCCGAGCTTATAACTCTAACTGACATACTCTACAGTGGTGGCTACCAGATCGACCTCAAGTCGAGTAACGGGGATGGCATTCTCGCTCAGTCCCAGCAATTCAAAGTGACTGATGCCAAGCCTGAATCTGCATCAGCGTCTAGCTCTGGTAAGGAAACCAGTACTGCTAGTGAATCTCTGTCTACCTCTGCTTTGTCGATTTCTTCCATGCTTTCCACTTCCATGGAGATGTCGACTACTGCTAGTACTCCTTCGACGGCTGCTTCTTCCACTTCTCCGACTAGTACTCATACCTCCTCCTCCAGTGCGTCTACCTACACCACTTCTTCATCTATTACTTCTCCCACTTCTACTTCTACCTCTACCTCATCTTCTATGACGACTTCTTCTACCAGTGCGTCTACCTCTACTTCTTCTTCCTTACCTAGTTCTACCCTTTCCACTCCATCAAGGTCCACTTCAATATCATCATCCACTACTTCCATCATTACTTCGAGCACTACACATTCCACTCATACTAAGACTCATTCATCTACTTCTTCAGCCCCCACCTCAACATCAACTTCTAGTTCTAGTTCTACATCGTCTTCTTCCACCTCTACCTCCACATCCCATTCCACCACGAGTACTCATACAAAGACTCATTCCTCCACTTCCTCCACACGCACCAGTACTCCTGGTCAGTATATGGTGCCATGTCTTGGCTTTCATTCGTGCTTCACTCGTCCACTTTTAGGCAAACACATAACTAACCTCCATATGCAGAGACGACATCGACGAGCACTTCCACTTCCACTTCTATGAGGACGACCATGTCTACTACTCAGCACACCAAGACAATGGAAACTACCTCTACCGCTTCGGCCTTCACCACTTCCAATTCCGCTGGTTTGCTCACGCCTCCCAACAAAGCCGGCAGTCTGCTTTTGGGCCTGGTTGCTCTTGCTCTCTAAATTTTCAATGGGCTGGTTAATGACCATTTTATGGTCTATCTAGAGAAGCCACAGACTTGATGATCAGTGGCATTGAGGTGTCTAGGATAACCAGCCTGTTTTTGATGGGCGTGCAAGAAATAGTCATGATTCGGGGCTTTCTATTACTATTGATACTAATGTTACTTGGTGGATAAGTGTGGACTTATGTATGTCCTTAATATGAAATACAAGAATACTTACCGTGAATGTCATTGATACCCACTTCGGCGTAACTGACTGTTCGGATATATGTTCCCGCTCAACCCTACAATGCCATACCCGAATGATTCAATGAGAGACTCCTAGCAAGCTGTTTAGCATATAAATCACAGAATAGAAGGATACTCAACATTCTGCAACTATACAGCGCCTTCTCGACCAGCCTAAAACCCACATTGACCATCACAGCACCAAAGAGCTGGTAAATTCATAAGTTCATCAAGGCGGTGAGCTGTTACCAGAGCATTCCAAGGGCGGTAAAGGAAGGGAATCTCCGTTCTCGCGGCAGAAAAAGAGCTGTGGGCGGCCCCAGTTATGTCATCTTTCAATCCCATTGCCAAGCTGTCTTTGTGCGTCGCCGTCTGTGTTCCACTGCCCTTCTCGAACAGTTCTAGTCTTCGCTGCCCTATTGAAATTTCTAGAAAGACTGGGTCCACACTTCTTTGCATTCTTGTCACAGTGGCCGGGCCCATATCGGGGCAAGGAGCGCTCCGTACCCCGCGTCATCCCTCAAAACGCGTGCATATCTCGCCATGGGGTCCTGCAGCGATGATCTGAGAAATGTAAGTACCTGTGTGACGACTGAAGGTACTTTTGATACTTTTGATCCCTAGCCGCTGACACATCTGGAACTTGCAGGAACTGGAGAAGGAGTACTGTCCTCCAGTTGACTCTGCCTTATTTGCCGCAATCACGACGGACTTTGACCTGACAAACCCCGATGAGGTCAAGTCACTGCGTGAGACGCTAGACTCTATCAAGGAACTAGCAATCCAACAAGAAGACCTCCCATTTGACCCATCAGGCACAGCCAATGATCATCTGGATGTTGCTGACACGGGTGCAAGCTCATCCGCAACTGGTCAAGGCACACTGCTAACCCATAGTGATAGTACCAGCCAGGAATCGCATTTCTTCCTGGATGGGAGCGACACCAGGAGTTCAAAATCTCAAACTACCTGCCACTCAACATACACAATTGCAGCCGATGGGTCTGTTCAGCTTATTGGTGGCAGTGATCAAGACAAGGTGAACTTGCTGCTGGACATGTTCCCCGACATTTCCCCTTTCAATGTTGAGCAGAGCTTGAAGAAGAGCAACGGAGACATTGACAAGTCGATGGACATCCTGCTCAACTTGTCTTTCTTCGACCAAGCCAAGACTGATGAAGATCAAGTCGTCATCCCTAAGGGATTGGACGGGTTCGTGGCGGAGATTCCCGACATTGGTCGCCAAAAAGGGCGGAAGAAAAAGCGCAACAAGAACAACAAGGTCTCGTTTGTACCGACGTTGCCCACCGATGATCCACCCGCCACAAACAAGTGGGAGACAGGCCAAGCTGACGTTGAGTTCATTTGCTCTCGTACACCTGATCTCCCACGGCACAAAGTTGCATCCGCATATACGGCGAACAACAGATCTCTGTCTGCGACAATCAAGGCATTGGCTCTCGCTCATGCAGTGGACGATATCAGTGAAGCGGAACTTGCACCCGTCCTACAGTCTCAATTGGACGAACTTGTGGGTGATTACCCCAACGTTTCCCAAGCCACTCTCGTTGGGCTGCTCCGAATTACACGCAACATGATCTCCGCCGCAAATGAGCTGGCAGCTGAGATGATCCACCAACCATCAGACATCTCCGTGAATGACTTGATCAAGATCACCGCGCCGAAACTTAACCTGGACGACGAGGCGGACGACGTCCACACACCAAGCCGCCAGAACAAAGAGAATTTCCGCAGCGCGCTTGACTACGAAAGCGAGCAAGCAGCTGCCAATGCCTACTTTGCTGCCAAATCCACTGCAAACATGCAAGCAGCACAGGCCGCCCGGAAAGCCAAGTCGGACCCATTGTATGGGGGTGCCTCACATTATTATCGTGAGGTTGCGCAGCAAAACCGGGAGCTTGCAATGCGGCATCTCTCTGCGGCCTCTGAGCGGCTTGTGGATAGCCAGTCCAGTAACGGGGATGTGGATCTGCACGGTTGCCAAGTTCCCCAGGCGATTCGTATTGCGCGGGAGCGGGTCGAGGCCTGGTGGGACGGCCTGGGAGATACCAAGCACGTCCGTGGCGGAGGCAAACATGTCCACGGCGGCTTCAAGATCATCACTGGTGTGGGTCTTCACAGCCGAGATGGGAAATCTCGCTTGGGTCCTGCTGTGAGCAAGGCTCTAATCAGTGATGGCTGGCGCGTGGAGGTTGGCCGAGGCTTCGTGACCGTTGTTGGTGTTGCTCGCCGTTAGCAAGGATGGCAGAATGGCCAGGGCCAGGAGGTGTCTCTGAGCCAAGGTTCCTTTGTGGGGTGGAAGTTGAGATCGTGAACTTTCTCTTCTCATACTTTGCATCTTTATTTCCCTGGCATCTTTGAATTGCTTTGATCTCATCGGCTGGGAGCTGTTGACATTGGGTGTGAAAGAGATAGTTTCATGTCATTGCATGCTATGGTGAATGGCTTGGGGGTTGTGGTGTTTTCCTGCTTATGTGGCTGCATTTACGCGTGATACCCAGCATACATTGGCGGAGTTTTCATGATTGTTTAGGCATTTAGTACTTGATGTGATCAACGTGTTATTTCAAATTTCAATTCGGCGGTGTATTCAAGATAGAGACAAGATTAGTACTAGTGTTCGTAGTATGATTCCGAGGACTATCAAGTTCGCCAAGCCTCCACAATATCCTTTATGCTATGTATTGTCACCCACCAAGCTGGTTAGGTGACCCAACAAGCTTATATCATGGCCCCTACCTCTTGGGGACAAGCTCCGCTAACCAACTAGTCAACTAACTAACTTAGTTTGTTAGTTAGTTAATTTAACTTAATGAATCATCTTTACTTCTCCCTGACCAAGTCACATATAGTAACTAACTAGTTAACTAACTACCTACAGGAGTTAATTATAGCAGCTCCGGTAAGCTTACCCAGCAATTTCCCCCGCACGATGACGTAAGACGGACTGGAGCCCGATGGTTTTCTTAACTTCAGCCCCTCCAGTCCATGGAAGCTATTTAAGATCTACTCTCTGCTAATCACCTTCATGCGATCGCAGGCAATCCGCGCAGTCACTCATCTTAGGCATCGTGTCCTAGCTCAACCTACACTTCCCTCCCGCTTCTATTCAACCTCGTCTCGAACTAGTCCTCGTCCAACACTTGGGGCCAAGGCGCTCAGAGCTGCACCGACAATCCCATTCTTTGGTGCTCTGTTCAGCTCGAAAAGTAACAGCGAAGAATCGTCTGGAACCATGTCATACCCCGACCAGCGAAGTGAGGATCAATGGAGAGCTGTTTTGAGCCCTGGTTTGTCGTCCCCAGATCTAAGTATTACATCTCCACATCGCACTCACATAAACGAATACAGAGCAGTTCCGTGTATTACGTGAAAAGGGCACCGAGCGCCCCGGCACGGGAGAATATGATTCTCACTACCCATCCAAGGGTGTATATACCTGTGCTGGCTGCAACGCGCCTCTCTACACGGCTGACCACAAGTTCAAATCCGGTTGTGGCTGGCCAGCCTACTTCGATTCCATCCCTGGAGCTGTGAAGCGACATGTGGACAACACACTTGGAATGAAGCGAACTGAGATCGTCTGCAGCAACTGTGGTGGTCATCTTGGCCATGTCTTTGAGGGCGAGGGCTTCCCGACCCCCATTGATGAGAGACACTGCGTGAACAGCGTTAGTCTGCGGTTTACGGAGGACGCGGAGGCTGCAGAGAAGAAGCCAGAGGAAAAAGCCAAGGCGTGATTGGATGTAGATAGTTCAACAAATCGATTTGAAATGTTCTAGAAACGAGGCTGGGGACGCTCCTTTAGCGCTAGCGAAGGACCTCTTGTGGTTGTACTCCGTAGATCTGCCAGGAACGCCCAACCACGTCGCAGGATGTAATAATAAATCTCACGCGTCCGCATAATCTAGAGCCGCATGTCCCTGACCCTTCCATATCCCTTCTAGAAAGATAAGACCAGCCAATTTCCCATTTGGCTCGCTGCCAATTTACATCGAACTGCACAGCTGGCACTCACCGCCTGCCGTAAGCCTCCAGCAGCCTTAGGCCGTATTGCCGACCGCCACCTGCGCATGCGAGCGAAGACATCCACTGTTTCTCCTTTTCCACTTCCTCACGTTCTTACATTGGTCGCTTCGGAATATGTCTCGACGCGCTACGCCGGGCCAGGCGGCCCAGAATCAACAGATGATCAAAAGTCTGCTGAAACTTGAGTCCAACAAGATATGTGCTGATTGTAAACGCAACAAGCGTGAGTGTCCATTTCTCCCCCTCCGAGATGTTGGCCCACTCACGCGGAACCGTGTCGCCTTGTCGCTTCCTCTCAAATCTGGGTTGCTGACTTTCTTTCGCTCAGATCCACGATGGGCGTCTTGGAATCTGGGTATATTTATCTGCATTCGTTGCTCGGGCATTCACCGTGGCATGGGTACACACATCAGTCGGGTCAAGTCCGTGGATCTTGATGCCTGGACCGATGAACAACTCCAAAGCGTGGTGAGATGGGGCAATGGGCGAGCAAATAAGTCGGTCACTCGCAATTGACTACGTAGGCTTCATGCTAAATGTTGAATAGGTATTGGGAGGCCAAGTTGGCACCTGGACACGTTCCATCGGAAGCGTAAGTCGATTGTGGCAGTGATACCATTGAAGGCCAGTCTGCTAACATCCTACGTGTATAGTAAGATCGAGAACTTCATTCGAACAAAGTACGAGACCAAGCGCTGGGTGATGGACGGAGGAATGCCAGACCCCTCGACCCTGGATGATGGAGATGATGACGTGGTGAGTGATGGAACACAGGGTACACGAGTCGAATAGCCACCGCTGACCGACCAGCCTCTTGCGGTCGTCCAGGAGAAGGCCAAGATTGAACGTTCTGCATCGCAGCGAGTTGCCACACCCAGTCAGCCCCCGCACAACGTAAACAAGCCCCGATCGACCTGTTCGGTGACGATATGATCTCTGCCCCGCCTCGCCCGAGTACAACCGAGCCCACACCTCGTGCGCCTCCCAGGCAAGCGCCGCCTGCACAGCAAAAGACTCATAAGCCGGCTGATTCCTTGCTTGGTCTGGACTTTTTTGGCAGCACCCAGCCCTCGGCCGGCGGCCGCCCCTCGAGTACAGCATCAACACCTGCCGCTCCCACAGGCATGTCTCGACCGGACCTGAAACAATCAATCTTATCCTTGTACTCAAAGCCCCAACCGGCTCCTGTTCAGCATGCGCGGATCAATTCCTTTGGTGACTTGGCCTCTCCACCACCTTCCTCCACGGCGTCGAACATGGGCGGTCTTACAGACGCCTTCAGCGGACTCAGCTTCCCCTCTACAACTTCTCCTCCCCCTGCCAAGCCAGCTGAGAAGCCATCTCCATTTGCCAACCTCGCCAATTTTTCGAACACCAAGTCGACCCCCGCGGCGCCCAGAGTTACCTCTCCTTCAGGCTCAGCTAGTGGTGATCTATTCGATAGCTTGACCTCTCCTACTCTGTCAGCACACAACCCCCAGTCGCGCAATGCTTCTATCTCCAGTGGTGGACAGGACTTTGGCTTCGGCGGCTTTGCCTCCCCATCCACCAAGCCTGCAAAGCCCAACCCTCCTTCGTCTCTCTCGAACGACTTGTTCGGCCTGTCCTCACCCCCTCTCGCTCCCGCCGCACCTGCGGCGCCCCCAAGCCCACTATTTCCTCTCCCCAGCAGGAGATGAGCTCTGCGTTCAACCTCTCCAGTCCTTCCATCCATCCCCCAGCGCCTGCTAAGCCTACAGTGCCGGTTGCAACCGCGGCTGCTGGCGGCGTCATGTCTGCCAGCATCGACCCCTGGGGTGGTAATGCATGGGGAACCCCAGACCCCGTACCTGCGCCCGCCCCCGCGCCGGCTGTGTCGTCTACTTCCAACATGATGAATCTTCCTGATACCTTGACCGCCAACGATATTGGCAGTGGCTGGGGCGCACCATCCAAGCCCACGCCCACCGTCGCAGCCGATGAGGACTTTGGTGGCTGGACGAGTGCCGCCCCTGTTTCCTCTGGTACTACTTCAACCACGACCTCCAAGCCGGCTGGCGGGTTTGGCGGTGGAGCTGATGACCTCTTCTCCAATGTGTGGGAATAAAGAACCCCTTTCTTCTTCATAGTGAATTCAGACATGAGTTATTAATTTTTGTGGCTATGTGTTATGTCTAGCACCATGGTAGTACTTTGCATTGGATATTGCACATGTCTGGTGTGTCTTCACCTTGAGGCCTGGCTTTCTATGGTACCCTATGAATTCCCCAACTTTAGTTTAGCATGCATGTTACTACTATCATTCTTGTTCTTAGATGCGAAAATGGGCTGGAACTTTTGCAATAAGATCATTGTGTTGATACTTGCTGATCTGCGTTGATAATGAAATACACGTCCGTTTTCAAGTCGTTTTTTCCCGCTATGCAGTGAATTAGGCCTCGATAATGCAGTGTTCAGGCTGTACAAGCACTAACAGCATCTGCATGAAACAGCGGAGCAGTCGGGCTGTACGTCCTTGAAAGAGACTCTGGTGATCAACAACACACTTGGGGAGCCAACATCCAATCCCGAGGATGATATTTTGCGAAGGGAGGGCTATGTCGGTCGAGTACTCCCACACAAGGTCATAGCTGTAGTAGATTCATAATCGAAATGCCAATCATGTTGGCATCAAATCAAGAAAAAGATGCACGGAATCCACAGACGCGTGAGGATCCGTGGTGAAAAATAATTCTCCAAGTGGCCCGGCTAGAAAGAGATATACAGATCACTGCATACTAAGAATACAAAGATTGTAATAAATTGGGGGATATCAATAAGAAACAAATATGAATAAAAAAAAGTCCACACCAAACAACATTCAAGTCATAACAACGGAATCAAAAGCTATGCTCACGCACAAGATCTTTCGTACTCCCAGTCTCATCATTCGGAGCCTGGTGAGAGGTAGACTCCTGTGTGACGAATGTGGTAACCTTGATGCCCGAGAAGCCATCCTTGCTACCACCGTACTTATCATGGTTATCGAAAGACGATTGTGAAGCCGAGAGCTTATCAAGGTCGTAGTCGCGGTCGTGACCGCCGATGACGGAGGCTTGGACTTGGGTGTTTGTGAATGTTCCCGTGAGATGGCTACGGCCTGTGCGGGATGGGCGAGTCGTGCGGCTGCGGTAGCCGTTGCTGCCGGTTGAGAAGATATGGGGGAGGAGGTTTGATAGGAAGGGACGAATGCTGGGGAGGGAGGCACAGATGATGGCGACGTTGCATTCGATGGCGGACCATTCAGCGGCACCGACGTTGTCGTCTGTGCAAGTGGGGTGGTTAGACTGAGATTCACGGATAGTCGCGATCAGAAATGAACAGAATACTCACAGGTTGGATCGGAAGAGTGGGTAATCACGTAGATACTCCTGAGACGGAGGATACTGGTGAGCAAAACGCTAATAGGTCACTGTTAGCATAATCCAACACGGTTGATATTGATGAACGTACAATCCACCGAGTGCAAAGACACCCATCAACGCCACCTTCTGCCTCTTGGGCAGCTGCAGAGACTTGAGCACTGGCATGGGATAAATCAAGATCAAGATATCCGTCAAGATATGAATAGCAGAGTTGGAGAACCACAGTGCCTCCTTATTAAAGCAGAAACCTGGGATAGTATCATCCCAGAATTTGGCGAGAGGAACGCAGTTTGCCCACGCGCTGACGACGGTCCATGTTCCGTACAGGGCGAGGAAGCCAATCAGCAGGTTACAGGCGAGGCGCATCCTCGGTGTTGAGAAGACTCGTCGGTATTGTAGAAGAATTGACAACTTGGTGGTGATTAGACTGCTCTGGTAAATGGGGACTGATGCCCAGAAGCACTGTGAGTGTGAGACGATTAGCGCGCTGCCTTGGGGAATGTGGATATGAACTCGATATGAAGGAGCTTACGAGCATCTGCGTTTTGAAGATTGCAGCCGGGATGAGAGCGTAAGATTCGCCCAGGCCGTGGTAAACCTCTGCTTAGAAGTTAGATAATGTCTAGTCTATCAGACCATGTGAAGGAACTTACCACCAACGTACAGACCGAAGAACGCCCATGAGAAAGCCTGCGATATATGTCAGTCAATCGAGTACAGACAGACATACAATAGTCAGACCGCGGGTGCTCTTACCAGAGAAATCAAGATAGTGTAATCGTCAGGTCCCATCTGCTTCACCATCACGGCTCGAGTGTAAATCCGGACTAGCACCATAGCCGTAGCCAGGGAGGTGAAGACGATACTGACGGCCAGGGCCGAGCGGCCTCGAGGGGTAGAGAGCGTGGTCATAGTTGCATGTAGACGGTAAAGACAGTTATGGAGCCTGGGGTCGCCCTCTGGACAGAGGGAATGAAAATCCAGGTGGAGGAGAGAAGATCACGATCAAGCCAGGGCCACTTTCTTTTAATGTCCGTGATTGCTTTGAGACTAAGTGATGTACACTCGTTCCTGGCGGCAGGACGCTAGCACGATCGTGGGGCAGACTGGCGGGTCCTCTTTTGGAGCGAAGCTGAAGGAGGAAAGAAAAGCAGATCTATCAATTGAAATGGCCCGCAATGAAGACTAGCTGGTGAGGAGGGGGTCCAGTTTGTTGAACCACTGCCAGTCTGCCACCGAGGTGGGGAGGCTATTGTATATAAGCTTGTAGAAAGGTGGAACGGGGCAAAGACATTTAAGTTTTCAGGATGAATTATACACGCCGACTATCAATCGGGACAGCCTAATCATGCAGCTGAACTCTGTTCATAGTTGAACAACTTCCAGTATGTGTACCAAACCACGCAAGCAAAAACCCAAAAACGAAACGGAGTTCGATTAGTCCCAGCGCCTCGTGGGAACTACGGAGGATGCGGTCAACCATCATCGAGTGACCAACAACACGACACATCTATCAGCCATGAACTTTATCTGCGTTTCAGGGGCGGGACCAGAAGGCGAGAGCCAGTGGTTCTACACACTAGACAGGAGCCTCCATGCATAGAATTCTCAAATTGATTTTGGAAGGTGGGATTGCAACCACGAGGAGAGTCGGCAGATGCATAACCAGTCTGCTTATCGCGGAAGGAGGCCGCGGGCCCGTGATGATGAGGTGATCCATTGCCCTGCAGGAGCAGGATCTTCAATTGCCAATAATGGAACTGCCAATGGTATGATTTGTTCAAGTTGGAACTCGCTGGACTAGCGGAGGACAGTGGAGACTGAGGGCACAGCGGGCTCGTCGGGGTCTCTCGTCTGTTGGAGACTTGGAGTCTAGGGGCACTGACATCTCGTCTCCTGTGTTTGTGCTCGTTGGCATTGAGCTCGATCCATGGAACTGAAGCACTCTAGCCTGACCGAGTACATAATTTTCTTTTTGCCGTCGGCAGGCTCCACTAAGCCACGTTGGGCGCTCGGCATTGTATTTCGACTGTTTCCTGTTATTACCAGCTGCAAGAATTATGTACAGTAAAGCCCAAGTGCTGTCTACAGGCAGGGGTTTGATATAGTCTTTCAATAGGCAAATCACTCTAGACCAAAGAACATAGCCGGATCAATTACCAGACCAAAACGCCAAGTGGACTTTTAGCCTACTCTCGAGGATCGATCGACGTACGAAACAACCCGGAAACTAAGCGAGCTGTTTTACCCAGGTGGCTAAAATACAGACTATCGGGTGAGCTAAACTGCTTTAGCTCGGCCACTCATTCCCGTCACAGCTCGCTTGACTCCTAGAAAGTGGCGAATATTACCATCTGGACTCCTTATCCGTTATTGTTCCTTCCCCCCCCGGAACCATGGCTGCCCAGCGCTTGCGCCTGTCAACCCGCCCGTGAACCCCATTCGAGAGGATTGGGTGGCTGGCGATAATTTTCAATAGCGTAATAAATCCCGAGCTCGTGGGTAGCTAATAAAGTCATTACTGTAGAACTTGCTACGGCCGTAGCGTACGGAGTACATGCACGCCAGCTAAACAATGCGACATCGAGAAGAGAATCTACGGAACGACGCAAATCTCAGTTGACAGGGGTGTTTGACGGTACTCCTGTGAGCACTTAAACGGCCGGAATCTCGGCACTGACAAGCTGACATAGTACACAGGGCCGCCTAGGAAGAAAATGGAAATAGCCCGGTATCTGTCTCGCAATAACATGATGTCGATCACTAGCATGTTCCCCAAAGTCCCTCTCTCTGGGCATCCGGTTGACCCACGTGTGTTGAGAATAGAGGAACTCCGCCTTATGCTTATGATAGACTCGGCACAATATTACCCATGCTGGATATTGCCCTCTTAGCTTTGAAGATCATGATTTCCGTGCCTGCACCATGATCGCTAGAGTCTTCAAGAGGGACTCCACTCGGCAAGTTAGTGCTATGAATCTGAGGCTGCTTGGAGGACAATGGGTGATCAAAAGTCCAGAATCTCCACTGTTCATGGCCCGAGTAATGCTTAGTAGTATGCAGTGTATTTCTTTCAGTAAAACTGCCTCTTCGCGATAGTGCTAGTCATCCAGTAGTGCGGTTAATGGAAAGGAGGCGCGACGATCACTTTTACCTAGAGCGAATGGGATTACTAGTTTTCTGGTGATGGCACTGTCAAATTTATCAACCGTGGACCGCACGGGCACGGCGGGAGACAGTAACACCGAGAAACCCCCGAATGACGAGGCATCGAATCTTCTGGACAGCGAGCCAAGAACGGAAAATCGTTAAAGTAGTGTGAATCGCTATTATTGTATATTGAGTTCGATTTTGAGAAGCCATGGAGCAATTATCATTATTATTCAGGCAGTACGGAGTAGACCATCCATAGAACAATTCAGTCAACATCAATGGCTCGTATTCGACTCGAAAGGACGATCTATCCCACATATCGGCTATAGACCTTTCATTCAGGCAGAATGTACAGATCGCCATCGACTCTGCCGAAAAGAGTGTGTTGCCATTCTCTCCGCGACGTATCGCAAGCACCGCTGCGTCCACAGAAACAAGCTTACAGTATCGTAGTTCTAAATGAGACAGGGTAATGTAGAAGACGATGGCCATCCGTTCAAACAGGTTGATAGGAAACTGGAAGGACACGTTGCATCAAGTACAGGGCTCCTCGACTCGCTGCTTGCTTACTTGACACAAGCCGTCTACCAGGGTGCTGATTGTCAAATATGGTAAAAGCCAGCTTGGGTCTAAACAATCCACCCGACCAGAGCATTGGACATGCAAGACAGCGGTGCACCTATCCCCCTACCAGAAGCAAAACCCAGATGCGGGGAAAGTTCCCCCACGCTGCACCGCCGCCGCCTTCCTGTTTCGGTATGAATTCTAATCCGTGCAACTCCAAGGCGGCGATATCTTCCAAATCAGGAATTTTACTGCCAACGTATCGCTCTCGTCAGCTACTTCATCTCGAGATCTATATCAACACCCTTCGATCCATCTCATCCTCGAGAATGACTCAATTCACAAAATTACTCTACGCGCCATTATGTATGCCATCGCCTTAGCAATATTCGTGTTCACATACTTCATTGCAAAACCCATCGTTGCATATTACTGTGACCCAAAAGGATTAAGAAAATACCCAAACTTTGCCTTTTTCTCTGGTATCTCTGACCTCCCCTTCCTCTACGAGTCGCACAACGGGTTTCGCTCCAGAAATCTTTTCGAGGCACATAAGAAACACCCTGTTCTCCGAATCGGTCCAAACTCTCTCTCGTATGCGGATCCACGAGCCATTAAGGATATATATGGTCACGGCACGGCATGTATCAAGGATCGATTTTACTCTGAAACGGCGGGTACACACTCGCATCTCGCAGATGTCGTGGACAAAGCTGACCACGCTCACAAGAGAAAGGTTCTATCTAGTGCTTATGCATTGAAGAATCTCGAGGAGTGGGAGTTCAAGGTGGCCGATGTTACTCGCAAACTTATCGACGCGTTCGATGCTCGATGCACCTATTCCTTGTCCCCGGGCACTGTACCAGAAACAAAGGATCTAACTGTCGATTTTCGCGACTGGACTGTGCTATTTGCCGCCGCAGCCATCGCGAATATTGGACTGAGCGAAGATCTAGGGTTCTTGGACACAGGTTCTGACCAGGTCAAATCGGAAAGTCGAGACGGAACCATCAAGGATGTCTCCTTCCGAAAATGCCATGCTGCTACTGCACGTGTGTCATACCAACTAGTCTGGGCGTATGACTGGTTCAAGACCTTGAAGCGAGTTAGTCAAGTCATATCGCCCAGGTATCGCCAGATGTGGAAGTTAGATAGCGACTGGAGTGGCATCGTCTATAACCGTGCTACTACCCGTCTCAAGCGGTACATGGCCGGAGAGAAACTTGATGATTTTTTCACTGCCATGATGGAAGATAAAAACGGTGCGCCGCATAATCTGGAATGGGGCGAGATCCTTGCCGAGATCAACATCATGATAAACGCTGGCCACGATACCACGGCGATATCACTCCGGAATGTCCTCTTCTTCCTGTTGAAGAACCCGACGTGCATGAACAGGCTGCGGGAGGAACTTGACGAAGTGCTTGATAAAGATGAAATTGTCGCATCCTATGGAAAGATCAAGCATTTGCCATACTTGCGTGCCTGCATCGATGAAAGCCTCCGGATGATGCCACCCGTGATATTTGGTCTTCCCCGTCGAACGCCCTTGGAGGGTGCACCAATACTTGACGATTTTGTCGCTGGTGATACTTCGGTTAGTATGTCTGCGTATGTGGTTCATCACCAAGAATCAATTTTCAAGGGCCACGATAAGTATAAGCCTGAGCGCTGGCTGGGTGAGGATGGGAAGGCCTTGCAGCCGTTTTTCGTCCCGTTTAGTACGGGCGCTCGGGGATGTATTGGTCGGAATATTAGCTATCTTGAGCAGACTGTTTTGATTGCTTCGCTGGTGCATCGATATGAGTTTGCACTGCCATCGCCTGACTGGGATCCTGCGATTCGTGAGACGACGAACTTGAGTCCCGGTCCGATGCCACTCAAGATATGGAAACGGGAGATGGTTCGAGACGAGGAATAACTGTTGCATATCTATCACCCTTTGATTTGAGGAACATTACCATTGAGTCGTCACTGGTGTTTCAAATACTCCATATATCAAAGTACAGAGGTGTGTGTGGTTCCAATCACGACGATTCCAGCCCGACGTGGCCAGCGCCACCCGAAAGTAGTTAAGCGCGCAACACTAAACCGCTCTTCCCCAGCCACCTCAAGAAAAAAAGCACATGGCTGGGAAAACATCAGGTTTGCCTTAAAATCCCCAATTCACATTCCAACTGATGTAATTTTTTTTCTTCTCTCTCATCCTTCTATTCCTACGCATCTCTACCCTTGCTGCTGGAATATTCTATCAGAAAGGACCCTCTCAATCTTTGACTGTGCAACCCGGTCGCTGGTGCGGGTATACTTGGAAGTATACAACTCCACCTACTGCAATAATTGTCAGGGAAGCAGCAAGGGAATACCGGTGTTACTTCTGCCGTTGCCAGCTAGTCATAATCGCTTGAGATTTATCTCATCCGATCACTCACCCACAACTCACCTTTACCACCACTTACATATCCTCTATCTCCTCGTCTTCGGTACCTCATCCCTCTAAACAACACCACCCTCGCGGGTCCCCACCTCCAAGATGGTGAAACGCAACATCACCATCGCGATTATCCTCATTGTCCTCTTTATCCTCATCTCCATCGGCGTCCTCATTGCCTACGCCATGAAGCACCAACTCGGTCCCTTCGGCGGCAAGCGCATCTCCGACGAGGAGAGCGACGGCGGCGGCTAAGAAATCGCCCACATCGCTCCAAGACTCGCCATCATTCACATCACATTGTTCAATATGCCTGCCTCTACTTCTCACGCATGCACCGCACTAAAAATGACACGATACGATACCCCCAACTTCCTTTTCTGACGACTTTTGATTGCTGCTATGACCAGCTCGACATGAATTTCTACGCGATCTGCGCTTGTTTTTGATACATATTTTTCGACCTTGCTCTGGGAATATACTCTACAAACGTGCTTTTGACTACCCGGCGTTGATGGATATGTTCTGTCTTTCGTGTTTTCTACTTTTCTTTTCTTCTCGAATGTATTTTCCACGAGGACTTTCTGATGAACATGGTCTGCCTGCTATGCTATTCATATGAAACTGAACAATGACATACATGACTTTTTACGATGAACTAAATTGGCTAAGCAGGGCTCATTATTACAAGACGGATTCCACCTTTACACCCAGGCTCCAGAATTCTTAGACCCAATCTAAAACCCGTGTCTGTGATAACACGCTCTCTTTCTTTTCTTTTCCTGAGGTTCCGCTCCTGACCTTGGCCGAATCGTTGCTCTGTGTCCGAATTGACGTGACGGAGGTGATAGGGGTAAGCTTGAAGTATGTCAAACTGGCATAGGTAAGGTAGATACGCCCGGGCACCGAGAGGATGAACAGTTGACTAAGTAGTGGGTATATATTATATCTACGGAGTATATTGTATCGATATTTTTCGACTATGTTCTAAAAGGGTCTCCGCGGCGGGGTGGAATGTTGGCCTCGAGAGAGACTCAAACGGATGGAAAAGAGAGAAGTCAAGATGCTTGGTTCTTTAAATTTATGCATAGGATGGTACACGCTTCCTCAAAATTCAAACCCATGCCGCCAATGATATCTCCACTAAGCTTTCATAACAAACGCAAAACAATGCACCCATGCCCTTCACACCTCATTGACTAAAATCTCGGAACGCCAGCATAACGGTATATAGAAGAAAGAAGAAATGAATATTCAGCACCATTCCCGCTCAGAAAACATAGCTGAGTAGCTCTTGGGCCCGCAGAGCCGTCGCTATATGCCAAGGAAGCGTGTTGCCTTGTACACTGCGTATGCCCCATGCCCGGGCAAGAGACGACAGGTCTCGATACATGGCAAGGGTCTCCCCTAGAACGCTTTCATGAGAGACAGCAGGACGCTGAGAGTATAGGAGATTGACAGTCATTGAGAAGATGCCATCGCTATCAGCCGGGCCTTTACGCCGAAGAAGATACCCGCTGACCAGCGCGGGGCGAAGCTCGGTGACATGGGGAGACGCGTTGAGGCGATGCGAGAGAATGACTGCCCAAGAATCATCACAAATATCGGTCAGAACAACCTCGGAGTCCGGTTCGAGAGAGGGCTCGGTGGGCGTTGGTGCGTTATAGAATGCGCTTGGAGTCGGTGCATTGCCGATTTGCTCAGGCGAGGCAATGCTTGTGTTTGGGTTGGGGGTCGAAACGGGGGTAGATGAGAAGTGGGGATTGAATATACCAGTGCTCATTGGAGAGGCAGAGATGTTGAGTGTGAGGTCGGGGATGGTATTGACAGTCACGATCGTCAGCTCTAAAGACGCCGGGCGCATCTTGTTCTGTTGCTCAGCTAGAGTCGCCCATGCTGTTTAAACTAGTAGTTAGAAACGGGAAACCGGCGCTTAGGTTAAGAGATGATGCTTACCGTCAACCTCGTCCGGATCCATCGGGTCGGTACTGACGAGGACAACCTTCCAGCGAGCCTGGAACTTATCCATGATATGCTTTGTAGTAGCCCAAATCTCGTTGCGCACTTCAGAAATCGTCCTAGAAGAACCTCTGTTTCGATACCTAAGGCAGTAAGACATGCTCGTCTGAAGTAATCCTGTTCCATCGGACCACGCTACCGACACCCAGCGCTGGTCACAGCTCTTCGAGTATGCGATATGCAGACTTCGCCCATCTTGTAACGGGGATACCTTGTCTGGGGCGAGCCGGAAATTGAGAGTTTTGGGCAGGTTCTCGGCGAGCAGGATTGCTGGGGCGCAGAGAAGAGGACTCGATTCGGCGTCCTTCGGGCGGCAGCGACTGTAGACTTCGAGAGCCAGATTCACATACGCCGTTTGTGTTGGCACAACCATGGAATCCTCTGACATGACGAACTCCATCGGGATAATCTGCAACACCACTTCATTGACCTGTTTGGTCTGTCGACGGTCGGCATCGACAACCAATTGCTGGAAGAGGTTCCAGAAAGCCGCACAAATGTCTGCCAGTGCTGCTGCATGAGGAAAGGGGTTTATTATGTAGACAACACTGTTATTTGTGTTCGAGCCCGTAGCTTGCGAGAGCTCGGTAGCAAGTTCCTCACACAGCCCCAGAAGGGATTGCATCATCGATGTGTAGCTTGATGACTCGGAGTCCCACGTCTTGAGACCATTTTCGAAACCGGTCGACTTGTCGCCTCGTGAATGAGTGCCAAGATTGCAACTTTCGTATAAGAGCCCAAAGCGAACCATAAACACATCTGCTGCTTGACTGGCGGCTTGGGGGTGAATGCAGTACGCCGAGACGTCCTTGGACCCATGAGCTGGTTCTAAGCCGAACGTCTCCCAGAAAGACATGGCGGGAGGAAGGGTTTCCAAATACCCTTTCCCACGACGAACTCGTAAATGCGGTGCAGACAACTTTGAAATCGAATTCTTGCCCGAGTCTTTCGTAGGCTGCTGCGGCTGGGAGGAATTTTGTGCTGCGTCTTCTTGTAAAGACGTATACGCCTTGAGGTCCAGTTTTTGAATATTACCCAAAAAGGTCACATCGTCGAAGGCTTCCGTAAATGATGTCCCCTCGCTTTCAAGGGCAAACAATCCAATTTTTCCGCCTAAACGATGATCTAGCGATGACTGCGTGATTTGGTCGACTAGAAGTTGCGCGATTGGAATCTGCTCTTCCCGTCGAAGGAGGACAGGTAGTTGTTGAATCTGGAAAGCTGAGAAGTAGCCAGTGAAAGCCCAATCCGAGAAGTTGGAAAGAAAATTGCCCAAGAAGGTAATATTCTCGGCCTTGGTTCCCACGCTCCCATCAGGGACAGCTGATGATATAGCTGGAGATGCCGCGGATTGAATATCGGATTCCGAGGGAACTCGTTTTCGTTTCAGCTGAGGAATGGCAACGGGAGGGAATGCATGTTCGAAAAGAAGGCCTTCGCTATCTTCGTCCTCATCACTGCTAGCGTCGGTGGTATCTGAGGAATCCCGATCACAGCCATTTTCGACGGGTTGTAAAGAATCTCTGCCGAACGGCTTGTTCCTCGCAGAAATCGACGTCCGTGCACGATGTGGTAAGCCGACGGTTGGAATTTCATTCAAATCGTTGGCAGTGGATTTTGTTGTACTTCCAGCCGAGAACCAGAATTTCCCAGTGGTCCCATACTTTTGATCCCAGGCCCCCAGCTTCCTTTCAAATGTGACGGGGTGGTAGTGGCCTGTTTGAGCATGTCCTTCCTCGCTTTGTCGTCGATCCTCTGCCTGAAAGCCCGGGAAGAGGATCTTTTTAATTTCCACCGGGCTTAGTGGAGGACTGATGGTTTGACCGGACTGGCGTTGAGATGATTCAGATGACTCTTCCAACTCCATTGGCTCTTCAGTCAGCTCAGAATCGTCCTTCATGAGAGTGGGGGAATCCTCTGGCTGGTGCGCTTCCTCCGCTTTTGGGACTTCGGGTGAAGCAGTCACAGCAGGTACTTCATGCACCTCATGCATTTCCTCCTTGGCGTCAGTGGGCTCCACTGGTTCTTGGGGTATTTCTTGAGTCTGGTCAACAGACATAGGATCCGCCATGTCGTCGAGATCAGGGTCGTCAAAAAAGCTGAAATCTGCATCGGTGATTCCCTTAGACCCAAAATCCTTGTCATTCATTTCTCCAAAGAGATCGTCATCGTCACTTGCATCGTATCTGCCTGTGCCGATGTCAATTTTCGGGGAGAGCCCAGAACCTGGAATGGGCTTAGTTTCCTGCGGCGCTGCAGGAGAGAGAAGATCATGGTCCTCAGGGTAAGGATCGTGTTGTGTGGGAATGTTGGTGCCAGTTGCTGTAGCACCTTCTGGCGGTGTCGGGTAGACTAGGTTGGTGTTCTGAAGATCTGGGTATTGCGACATTCGGGAGAGGCTTTCTAAGTGTTCACCGTGGTCATTTCGGGGTGGAGACATCCCCTCGTCCTTTTGCTGGGGTTCCTCAAATATAGGAACGTTCTGTTGGCCAGGAGCCAGTTTCATGGATCCCGCATCTGAAGACCACCTCTCCGCAAACTCCAGAGGTTCCTCGAGGGATGCTGCAGGCCGTGAAGACCGTATCGACGAGCCAGTCCTTCGGAAGCAGAATCTTGCCGGCCACAGCATACGCTTCAATGGAAGCGCAGACTGAGGCTCATCACTTTGGCGCCATGCTTCACCGGCAAGTCTGGCAAAAAACGGCTCCCAAACTTCCACCTCAACCCAGGGTTCCTCGTCGACCGAATCAATATGCAAACCAAAATTGGTCAACCACTGTACAACGTCCAACTTCCATTGCCTTCTTTTCCCGGGGGCATCTCCAGAGGTAGGAAACCCCGGTGAAGGGACAGTCGGGGATTCGATGTTCGCGGTGACAAGTCTGGCGATAGCCCCATTAGGGCATAGCCAAAGATCCGTCCCTGGTTGGACTCGGAACAAATCTGATATGTCATCACGAGGGGAACATAATCGTGTGATGCCAGGCTGAATGATTGTTTGTGTAGAGACGGTTAAAGTTCCAGGGGCATTCAACTGTACATTCAGTGACGTCAAGCTGGGAGAGGAGAACAAAGCCTCATTATCGATTCTAGGACTTTCGTATCCGATCTTGTCCACTGCAGTAAACAGAGTTCGTGATCCAATAGGCAGAGCGCCATAAGCGCGAACAAGGTGTAGACTCAGAGCACCGGCGACAGCCGAGATAAAGGCGGCATATACAGCGACAGAGCTGCTATACCCATCAGATCGACGCGCAGAAGGTTGAGCTTGCTGCGGTCGTTGTGATGGCGTCGGTTGAGATCCTTGTTGATTTTGAGCCTCGGATGAGAGACCCTTTATCAACTCTTGGCATGCGATACTTCCCGATGCCGAAACTGCAAGTAAAATCAGCAAAATGTCCGCCATGTCGAAACTTCACATGCATTAGTAGGATACCTTTGAGAGTGGTTGTATCCACGAGAATTTTTGTTGTTTCAACGTCTCCGTCTGTAATATACACAGGGCCCAGACTTTCAAATGTCGGGGAAGGAGAGAATACCCAGAGGCCGAGCCGTCTTGGACATGATGCTAAGCAACCTATATTTCTCAATTGCGCTTCGAGAAGCTTGAGACGGCCAAGATGCTTCAATATCGTATAGCCATTGGCGGGTCCTTCCTGAGAGTGAGTCGCAATGCCTGACTCCTCAGTGTAGATCCTCCAGTAGATGGTGGAGAAGCCATCCTAGAGTCTCCAGTTAGCTGCTGATCATCTCTACCACGCTAGAATACTTACTATTAGATGTATGTTAGTGGTTGCGCCTCCGGGAAAGTCCATGGTTCAACAGTCGCGGACAGCCCCGGGAAGCAGGCACAGATAGAGACAGGGTGATCGAGGTTTCTTCGAGGAGTCATTTCCATATATGAGATGCTCCACAACGAGTACCCTGAACGCACAGCAGCAAGGGTAGCCCCATCAAGTATATATGGTCATCGCAGAGGATACGGATAGATCCGATCTTGGATGATTCTCGTCGCAAATGCACAACAGTGCGGCGCCTCGCAAGTCCGGGGGAAGTTCGAAGGACGCTCGGGCCAATCACTGGGATCCGCACGGGCATGTCACGTGGCCCCTATCGCTATCTTTTTTTTATCGGCCTCGCATTTTTTTTCTACGATCGTTGAGCCGAGTTCCAAGCTTGTTCACAACGCCGCCATGAAGCTGTCAAATCAGTCAGAGGTACCGGTGTACACCATCTCGGGCTCTAACACAGCCAGGCCTTTGCCCGAATGGCTGGCCCGACGCCGCAGGCGCAGCTTGAAAGACGACCCGGAGTATGCGAATCGCATCGAGTTGCTGCAAGACTTTGAGTTCGAGGAGGCTAGTCAGTGCGTGAAGGTCAGCGAGGATGGCGAATGGGTTATGAGTACAGGTATGACACAACCGTGACCATGGGTGTCGTCTCACAGCTAACGGAATCTGTTCTAGGCACATACAAGCCCCAAATTCACGTTCACCAATTGTCCCAGCTTTCCCTATCTTGGGCACGACACACAGTTGCTCTCAACACGAAATTCCTGCTCCTTTCTTCCGACTACTCTAAATCCCTACACCTCCAGGGCGACCGCTCTCTTGAATTTCACACCCCGCAAGGATGCCACTACACCACCCGCCTTCCGCGATATGGACGTGACCTTGTCTATGACCGCCAGTCAACTGAGGCGTTGATTCCCTCGGTCGGTGTCAACGAGAATGGCCTGGGTGAAGTTTTCCGTTTGAATTTGGAGCTTGGGCGATACATGCGATCTTTCGAAATCGAAGTTGGTGGTGATGACATGACATCTACGGGAGGAGGTGCTTTGCAGGGCGGCATTAACACCGGTTCGGTCAACACTGGTGCTATCGCAGAGGATAGTCACAATCTTCTTGCATTCGGTACTTCGATAGGAACAGTGGAACTGTGGGATCCCAGAGCAAAGGGCCGAGCGGGCATTCTTCTGCCACCCACACAGTCCGTCGGCGACGAGACGCGGTCTGAAATCACTGCTCTAGAGTTCCACCGCAACGGATTAACGCTAGGAACTGGCTCGTCCAACGGCTTGATTCACCTCTACGATCTCCGATCCCCAGTCCCTCTGCTTAAGAAGGACCAAGGTTACGGTTTCCCCATCCACACTCTCAAGTTCCTCCAACCATCAACCGAAACACGGGAGGCGACCATGGACCCCAAGATCATGTCAGCCGATAAGAGGATTATCAAGATCTGGGATCCTCGTGATGGTACCCCCTGGACCTCCGTGGAACCCGCTGTGGACATTAACGATGTGGCTTGGTGCAAGGACAGCGGTATGCTCCTGACTGCCAACGAAGGCCGCCAGCAACACTCCTTCTTCATTCCCCAACTCGGACCCGCGCCCAGGTGGTGCTCGTTCCTGGATAACCTTGTCGAAGAGATGGCCGAGGACCCGAACGACCCCAACGCATTCACCAGCGCCCAGGCTGGCTCTGTTTACGACAACTTCAAGTTCTTGACCATACCCCAACTGCGTACGCTCAACTTGGAGCACCTTATTGGTCGCACCAACCTTTTGCGCCCATACATGCATGGTTACTTCGTTGCTCAGCGTCTGTATGAGGAGGCGAGATTGATCACCAACCCTTACGTCTGGGAAGAGGAGCGCGCCAAGCGCGTCAAGGAGAAGATTGACCAGGAGCGCGAGAGCCGTATCCGTGGCAAGAAGAAGGCCGCCGTCAAGGTCAACAAGAAGCTGGCCGAGAGGCTGCTCAACGCAGAGGAGAAGCAAGAGCGCCGCAGGGCTAAGCAGGTCCTTGAGCGTGGCGGTGATGCCGACATGGTTGATGCACCTACCACCGAGACCGAGAAGAAGGGTGTTCTGGGCGACAACCGTTTCAACAAGCTGTTCGAGGACGTAGACTTCGCCGTTGACGAGCACTCCCACGAGTTCAAGCTTATCAACCCCAGCACCATTCCCGACGCCCCCGCCAAGAAGGAACGTGGCCTGACAGCCGTCGAGCAAGAGACCATCGACGACGTGCCCAACTCTAGCGATGACGACTCCGACTCAGACTCCGACCGCGAAACCCACAGGCCCGTCAGAGAAAAGGCCTCCAACAAGATCTCCACCGCTGATTACAAGCGCACCAAGCGACCCCCTCCACGCATGCAAGTCTCCTCCTCGACACGCACAAGCTCCACCCGAGACCGCTCATTCGGCTCCCGCGCGCAAACCATGAAGACCAAGCAACGACCAACGCGCCAGAACGGCGTCGTCGGCGAGCACGAGGTCAGCTTCATGCCAGCTTCCAGATCGAAGAAGCAAAAGCCGGAGGTGCAGTACGACAAGACCGAGTTCCGGGCCAAGGAGCGCCGGAGTGCTTCGGGCAATACGTTCCGGAAGATGTGATGTGGGTCACCAGGTTGCAGGCTGGTGTTTGCACCATAATGGCGTTTTAAAATGGGACTTTTCTTTTATCGGAGTGATTGGCCTGGTTTCTTTGGGGCTTGATTATGTGTATTCTTATCATGGTTTATGTTGCATGACGGGGTCCCCTTCTGCATTTAGAGCCTTTTGTTGTTATATACCTCAACCAGCACCCAAAAGCAATTTCTTCCTCTTCAAGTCTTTAATCCAGTAAATCCGGCCTTCATTCTACCCTTACTCGACTATACCAGATCAGCGCAAGTATATGCATGCAATGAGTTCGAATTCGAATCTGTCTGCTCTAAAAGGAATGCCCAAAGACCCAGCCTAGCCACGCAAATTATGTGTGATAGCAATTAGAAAACGAACAAACAGGCCCCAGGCCTAACCAACCAACCAAATAACCGGCCAAGGCTCGCCAGAACAGAGACATAAAGTCGTATCGATCGTTCAGAGTTTAGCAAATCCCTCCCAATCAGACCAAATATTCCAAGAGGAAGGTGAAGAAAAAACCAACGCGAAGATAACAGGAATCATAATCAAAACCACCCCATTCTCTATGCACATGTGATGAAATGGGAACAGAAAAGGCTGCTTAAGATAAGAGAACGATCCGGTCTATGATAGCAGCCGACGCGACGCATGTAAATGATTCAAAAGAGAGATACGCAGAGATGAAAGTGAACTGTTTTAGATAGAAAAAAGTACCTGAAGTCACCATTCAACCGAAAGAAAATTGAGACACCAAACAAGAACAGGCCGGCGCGGGGGGGTATTGGCTTAAAACGGGGAAACAGATTCGATGTGAAACAAAAAAAAAAGAGATCAACTCCAGGCCAGGGCACAGAGCGCTACTCACCCCCTTTCACCTCTAAACTCCAGCCACAAACTACCAACCACCTGGGAGCCCAGCTCCGCGGCGGCCACTACCTCGTCTCGAGATGCCGCTCGAGTCCGCGCCATGATTGCCATGGCGATTCTCCTCCAGACTCCGCCGTGAGGCGCCGAAGTCGCTCATAGCGAACAGCAGCGGCTCGTCGTCCTCGAAGACGGCTTGCGAGGGCGGGGCCCGGCTGGTGCCGGGGCGGTGGATGGAGGTGCGGCGGATCTCGGTCGTCGAGTTGCCGCTGTTGCTGCCGCTGGCGTTCCCGTCGTGGTCGTCGCGTTCGACCAGGTGCGGCGGGATGTTGGCGCCGCGGGCAAGGCTACTCGACGCCGAGCTGAGGGAGTGGCCGCTTGAGAATCCTCGGCCCCGAGAGCTGGCGAAGCGCGGCTGGTAGACGTTGGACGCGGACGACGCGGCCGAGGGCGCTGTGGCGGTCTGACCGCGAGTAGCTGTGCCGCTGGTCGTAGTGGAGTGGTCCTCGGATGGCCGGCGTCCTGTCGGGGCTTCGGGGTCGGGATTCTCGTATTGCGGTCGCTGCTGTAGCGGGCCAGGGGTCTCTGCGCCCAGGCTCATGCTCCGTATCACGAGGTTGAAGATCTCCTCGTCGTCGCCTGAGTGTTGTCGGCGGTGCTGAGCGGCGGAGCTTGAGCGCCGGTATGCAGGTGAGAAGACCCGTGGGGAGGTTGGAATATCGATCGCCCCGGCAGTCGAGGTGCCTGGTTGGGTGTTCTCCAGGCTGGGATTCTCTTCCAGCGGCGAGTCATGTTCCAGGTGTGGTCCTCGGCGGTCGTGCTCGGTAGGGACATCGTCTGCAACGCTGTTCGAGCTCAGACGGGACCGGATGGCTGGCGTGTGTGGTGTATGAGGGGAGATGGGCTTTCCGGGAGATGATGCGGTTGAAATAGATGTACCAGAGATCATAGGAGGTACGCCAGAAAGCTGCTTGCTCGAGGATGTAGATGAGCGGTGCAAATGCATAGATGATGACATAGAATCCGAGAGCGCCGCATTGGAATCTCGCATGCGCTGGAATCGTGCGAGGGCTGCCGAAGTAGCAGTGGGTTTTCGCTGCCCGGACTCGATTGACATGGAGCGGCTTGGATTCATGAGATCCTTTCTCGAATCAAGCATCTTCAAAAACTCGGAGATATTCTCATCGTCGGCGTGGAAGGACTCGGCACTCGTCCCGGTGACTTCGGCAAGCAGGCCTGAGCCCGGTTGCACGTTGGATGATGCCGCACTAGCCTTGCCACTCGAGTTGTCATCATCAGTTTTAGCCATGCCTGCAGAGGATGGACGACCGCGTCGATGACTGAAGGAGCTGCTATAACGGGAGATAGGTGCAGGCTTGGGGGAAGCGGAGGTAGAAGATGAGATGGCCTGTTCAGACGCAAGAGCAGCGGGCTTGCGAGCCGAAGCCGCGGAAGAAGGAGGTGGCATCACGCGTGATTCCGCTGAAGTGCCGGTAGAAAGACGAGCAGGTGTGGTACGGGGTGAGACACCAAGAGGCGTGTCTACCAAAGCAGGAGATGCGGAAAGTGGAGGGGCTTTGAAAGCTTGGAAAGAGATGGAGGGGCGACGAGGGGAGCTTGATACACTTTCACTCGCGAGTTGCGCGGCGCGTCCAGTTGGTGGTGCGATTCGCGCAGCAGGCAGAAGTCGCTTGGAGTGATTATCAGACGGAGATGAAGATCCAATGTCAGTATCTCTGGCAGCGCGCAACGCAGAAATCGGGCTAGTCCCCGTCGGGCCAACGTGGTGAAAGGTAGACAAACTGCCATATGCGCGTGAGCAATCCGGATTTTCCATGGGCCTTCTCTCTACAGGCACCGACCCAATCTCAGGATTCAGGCGACTGACATCCTCCGACGGCAACGAGGGGCGGAAGATATCATCATCGGCACCCATGAACCGCGAGCTCAACAGTGCTTCTGAATCGTCGACGCGGAAATCACAGTTCGTCCGATATGTGACTTGCACTCTGAACGGTCCTGCTGGAGAGTCGGTCGTCCCAAAGCTGTACGTGTCCACCGTCTTCCCACTCCCCTCATAAAGTGGCAGCGTCAAATGATCCCGATGTGACTTGGACCGATCCAGACGAGCAACAGAACTCGGATCGAGTACACGGTACTTGATCTGCAAAGCAGGACTTCGCCGCACCTTTGTGTTGCGCCGTGAAAATTTCCAAGCCGGCAGGAACTTGGAGTATGTGAATAATGACCTGAAGAGGACGATGCTCTTCTTGTACACCGTCGGCAAGATGGATCCCAGATCAGCAGTAGGCTTGGTAGTCGTCTCGCCCAGCTCGATTCTCCACCGTTCCAAAATGACCTCGTCTGCGCCCTGGGGATATGGATGCCCAACGGGACCACGAGACGCCGCAATCGAGTCTTGTACATCCCACCGCTTCCCATTATCATCCAAAATCACGAGGCTTTGATTATTCGTGAGTCCTGCGGAATCCAGATAAGTCTCGATGATAAGCGGCGGGGGTCTATTGGTGGCGGCATCGCAGGTCCGCCATGTCCACAACTGTTCACGGAGGACATCGGTATCTTCTAATTCAACGTTGAACTGTTTTATGCAAACCGGTATATCAGCATTCCGAACTTGACAAGAAGGCGATCAGAGACCGGGCGCGCGCGCCATGACCTACCCAGCGGTTCACTTTTGGGGTATCGGAATTCTTAGCATATGCAGGAGGGAGCTCGACGCGCGAATGAAGGATGATGAGGGCCGCTTTGGTGTGGTAATTCTACATCAAATCGAAGAACAGCTGTCAGTCAAGACTCCATATGGGAAAGATGGGCACGCCCCCCTCCCCCCACTTCACCACATACCGAGATGATCTGATTCAACTTTGTCATGGCTTCTTTTCCGGGTGGTCCCAGGTCTCTCGCCGACGGTTCAGACACCTGTTCCGCACCCGCATCGATGCCCAGGCCTCTGGCAGGATTCAACCGCCCATCGGTGGTAGGAGAAGGCGGCACGGAGTCTGAGTCTTTGAGGTCATCCCGCGCGGCAGAGGATTTGGCGGGTATCTTGGGTGCCGGCGAGGGGACCACCGGCGACCGCGGGTGCTGATGCATGCTGAGAGTCTATGGAAAAGGAAGGTTAGGGAGAAATTGTGAGGATCCGACGCAGCAGAGCTTACCCCGACAAACGGGGTCGGGAGGCGAGTGCTATCAGCAGTGGCGGAGGGTGTTATCAGGAAGGCAACGAGACGGCGGTGGAGCTGGAGCCGCAGGCATGCTCTTCGATTGTGCAGAAGCAAGAGCCCGATGGAAACACTCTAGACAGCGTCCAGGGTGTAAGATGGAAGTGTGAATGAATTAAAAGCCACCGAGCAGGCTGTGCATCGTTTGATGGGTCGTGGGCAGAGGGCAAGATGGGGGGGGGGGGAGTGGTTGATGCTCTAGAGAATCGCGGACCTTCGGAGACCAATGGAGGAGCTTCTCCGCATCGACAAGCGGAGCCTGGTTCGTCGGGGGAGTTCACAGCGCGGGCACGGTGTGGCACCTACGGAACTATGAATGTCATGGTCGGAAGTTGAGGTTGGTGAGGATGGAATTTATGACTATAAGGGTGGATGTGGGTATAGGAAGGGAGAGGGAAGATCGAGGAGGTGAACCAGTGGATTTGCAGGGAGCGGAGGAGGTTGGTCCTGTCTCGTCTGTGACGCACACCCGGTGACTCGACAGGTCTCGAGGGTTCAAGTCAGCCTGGAACGCCACACCACAGCTGATCAGAACAACGGGCTGGAGAATAACCCAGGTCTCTAGGGTGGATGAGTCTTTTTCTTCTGCTGCCTTGCACCTGCAGAATCAGAGAAAAGCAAAGACTGAAGGGGCGTGGTGCATTTCCAGTTGGGACGATGTATACCAAGTACAAGTCCGTTGTCCGAGTACCCGGTCGCATTATTACAATCCTTTCGGGAGCCCGCTCAACAGACCAAAAGATAAGGAAAGCAGCTGATCATCTCCCGGCTGATCGTCCGAGCACAATCACGTTTGTTGGACGAACGACTTGGGAGGATTCTGATTAACTATTGGGGTCGACAATTCACGACTCTATACGGGTCCTATACTTCATTGTTCTGTGGTATGGAAATCCGTCACGCTAACCACTTTCCCCCCTTGTTGCTAGGCCATGCATTTCTTCCAATAATCTGGATGACTGAATGTCTATCTCGGTCTCGACCGTATGGCTGCCTAAAGTTGATTAGATTCAATATTCTACCAGGACAGAGAGAAGCTGGAATTTCTCCAACCGGTCGGGCGGTGCTGCAGTCTTGGAGCGCGACCGGCACCAGGCAGACAGCCGGGCGCACTGGCACTGGCACTGGCACTGCAGAGACGGCAGAGCCGCGAATGGCGCAAGCAAGCACGGAATAAGGATCATGGAAGTTTAATTCGGACTGCAATTGGAGGTAATCCGCCTGGCTTAGACCCGTGTACACTTACAGTATATTACAACCTTCCATACCCCTTACTGAAGGGCAGGTTCGTAACAAAGAAATCAAAGATAAAAGATACAATCATCATTATTCCATTCAAGTGGGAAGTCAAGCATTAATTCATAGCCTATATTTACCATTCATCCATATCATAATGCATCCATACATGACAATGGCAATTCCCGTCTCCCTCCCTGCATTCCATCCATTACCACTTCCGAGATCATAGACCCGAGATCCTGCCAACGTGACCAGTCAATCATCACCAGGTGACAACCTTCTTGAGCACACCCAAGTTCTGCTTGACATTCGAATCACCCTGACCAAGGTGCGCAAGCACATCAATCAATTTGGTGAGGATAGGCTCAAGTTCAACCCCCAGGGCAATCGGATTGAGAATACTGCCAAGCTCGGTGTTCGTCGAACAGCCGCTCGCCGTCGTACCGGCAAAGGCAGCTTCGACAAAGTTGATGGCGTCCGGTAGAGCGACAACCTCCGTTGTCGCGTGACCACCAGTGGCAAAGGTGGTGAACTTGACACTGACTCCGTTATTGCACCATGAATTGACCATAGTGGACGCGTTGGAGTATGGAATGACTTCATCTTGCGTCGCGTGGTAAACAAAGACCGGCGCAGTGGGGATCTCCGTCTTGTTGACGCCCAGCATGTTCTTGCTCAGCACCTGCTGGACGGTCGGCTCGTAGAGAAGACGGTCACCCAGGCTTTGGATTTCAGTGGACAGCAGAGACATCTCGGGGAAGGCGATCAAATCTCCGACTGCGCAAGTTGTTCGTGCAGTCGCCAGGGCTTGTGCACCCTTTGCCGTCAAGATTTTGTTGATAATGGGGTTCAGCTCGGCACCATATGCACTGGGCATGGCGATACCCGCAACAGCAGCCGGAATGAACCCGCTGAAGAGCGTGTTATCAATGAAGACCAAGGTACCAGTCAAGTTGGCAGGTGTGCCGCCCTGGACCCAGCCCTTGATGTCCAACTCCGGGGCATAAGTGGGCTGCAGGGAAGCTGCCCAACCCGTTGCAATTGCACCACCCGAGTACCCAGCACCGACGATCATGGGTTTGGCACTGGTCAGACCTAGCGTCTCGAAGCTGGACACGGCTCGCATACTATCCAACACACCCATTCCTTCCAAGTGGCCCGGTCCAAAGGCTGCATCAGGGCCCTCGTAGTCAGGCGAGGTGACAATGTAGCCCAAAAGCAGGTAGGCCTGGAGGATCAACTGCTCGGCCGAGGAGATGATGTCGGTCTGCGCAGCACCCAGCTGATAATTATAACTCGGGTTGCAAATTGTCGCCGAGCTATCGTACGCCGTGTGGAACGACAAGAAACGGTCTTTCTTCGCACCCAGGGGCACGAAGATCGTCGTCACGCCAGCAATTGCTGTACCATTGATAGCCGTCGTGCGGTACAACAATTGGTACGCCTTGACAGGATCTGGAATCAATCCCAGAAAAGCGACGCTAATCTCGCGCTGCCGCAGAATGGCTCCATGTTCCTCAGACTCATACCCAGCTGGCGGCTGATAGAACGGGTCTTCGCTAGGAGGCTTGGGGCCAGACCGCGGCAGTATCCGCATGGAAGCTGGTCGAGCAGAAGCGATCGCCAACATGAAGGCCAGCAAGGCCATCACGACCAAGCGTACCGACGAGCCAAGATGGGAGGCCATACTGAGCAGAAACCCCTTCAACCGGGTAGTCTGGCTTTCTAGGAACTGAGTCTTGGACGATTCCCACCGAAGCAAAACGAGTCGGAGGGAAAGCCCTAAATATCCACACTCCGATGGATCCATGAATGTGATGAGAGCCTCCTACCGAGGCAGCTCAGCCCGACTTTTGGCCGCGGTGATCTCCATTCCCCCTGAAGGGAACGTTCCTGCAGCGGTCATCCCCCAAAACGACCAATCCATGGGGGATACTCCCCTCGTAATGGAAGTCTATAAACCCGGACAGGGTGTCATCGCGGTGACCGATATTTCCCGGTCATGGTGCCAAAAATCAGGGTGTCTTGGAGAAGAATCCTTGTGCCTGAACTAATTTTGCGCTGGGGGCGGCTCTTGGGGGAGAAAACGACTGGAGAGATCGGCGGTGACCCCGCACTCCTGGGGTGCGCTCCCCATAGTCATTCCCCCATAATAATCCTGGCTAAGATCGACACTGCAGGGCACCGTGTTTGTGGATGGTGAACGGCGTTCGGAGATAAAGTCAATTGCGATAGGGCTAGAGAGGGAGATCGGAGTGATAGATGGGCCGATGATGCGTAATCTGGAGTAGTACTACTAGTGTTCGTGACATGTGCTTGCTGATGAGGGTCGTGAAGTTAGTGTAGGATCGCGGATCAGGTCGCTAGGATGACGGAGAAGCTTCGGGATTACTATCAAGGAATCGTATTTCTTCCGTATTCGAAGCGAATTGTGTGTGCCCACTGCCACGGGATTTGCTGTCTCATAGTGCGACTAGGTACTTGGGGCTAGCGGAAGCCGTCATCGTCATGGAAGGCCTGAGTGTTCTTTTTAGGATTCCATCTCCCTCACATGTTGTGTTGCCCGCCGAATAATGAGCCCGGGCGACCTCATTTACTGATGTCCTTAGCCGTCCAGTATTAGTATTTGAATTCTGTAGGAATACTCTCCTCTTTGCTCTATTGCACTCACAGATTTAGATAAGATATATCTCTTCCAATGTGTAGTCACTCCCGCTACGGTTAGGTTGGATATTACAACAACCTTGATAGTAAAACTGAAGATCTGCCACCAAGGATCATTGCCCATGTGCCCTAACAAGAAATACGTACCGATGTACAGTGGAGTTCCATAAGTGTGAAACCCCATGAACACGTTTAAAATCATCTTATCAGCCATGATTCGAAAAATAAGTTGAGGAATTTTCCCGAAACTATCCAGAAGGACGTTTCGAAAGACATTCAGAAAGATTTCACAGAAAAGAAAGTTGGAGCATATTCAGCTTGATCGTTTCCTAACTTTCTAGATTCGGACTTCTGAACCGCTACATCTAGTTGTATATCTTTGCTTCCAGACCAGGAATAATCTCCAGGTCCTTCTCTCCGTAAGTATACTTTCCGTCCTTCGACACCTTGACATCCTTGTGGCGCCGCTGCTGCTGGGTCTGTCGCACCTTGACCCATTCCTCTGTAGTGAGATGTTGTCCTATCTCGGTAAAGGCATTCTGCGTGAGACCAAGCCTGTTGAGCAGTGGACTGTTCTTGATGGGGTCCAGAACCACGTGGTTGTTGGGACTAAGAAAATCATCAGAAACGAAAATTCGACGGTTCTACGGACCTCCGCGTCTTTCATTAAGTGGTACTCACCGGGAAAAATATAAAACACCCAGCCGATCGACATGAGCCTGGTCTGCAGGTGGAGTGTGCACACGGTGCACGCTAGATTTGATCAATCCACCCGTGAGCGCTGTCAATGCATCACAAGTGTTGATCGTAATGGTCCCATCCTGCGGCCGCACCCACTTCCACTCTCCATCTGAGTTGAGGATTTGTAGGGCTGCCACAGGCTGACGGAACAGTAGTGTGATTGAACCTAGATCAGTGTGGCCGGGGCTATACAGGCCGCCAACCTTCTCATTTTCTTCCGTGCTGCGAGCTGCATAGTGCATGTAGCGTAGGTGATCCTCGCCCTTAACGTCATACTTGTGATCCTTCACTAGTTGATCTTCGTCCGGCAATTCGAGCAGGATTGCGAAGAGGCGGAGAAGCTTCTCCACTACTTCAGTGTGGCATTTCTGTAGGGTTGCAATTGTAAGTGACTATTTGAGATTGCAGGTGAGGGGTCAAATGTACGCGGCTGAAAGCTTCGATCTCAGCGATATTGTCGGAAAGTAGCGGAGGTTGCTGTCTGTCGTGATATCCATCGAACTTAGGGATATTGTACACCTGCACATTATCCTTGACTCCGTTCCCGAGACTTCATTCCGGGTAAGCATGGACTTTAGGTAGGGTATATTGCCAGTGGGGGTCTCACATGCGATGACCAGCAGGTCGATATCCATTGTACTCGCCCCTTGCAAGGTCATCTGCGTTGTGATACTTGAGCTTCTCCTCAAGTGGTAACGCATAGAACTCACGACCAAGAGCAAACTGGCGGTCAACCTCCTCTTGGCCGATGTTGAAGTTCTTCACATAGAAAAATCCTGATCGAAATTCCTCGTCAGCTCCGGGAACAGCACTGAAAGTGCGATTAAGCTTACCAACATGTTGCACAGCATGCTCGAGCTGTTTTACAAGCTCTTCCTTGCCACCAGGCTGTTCATACTTGCTCAGATCGAGGGTGATAAGTTCCGCCCAATCCACTGTCGCGGATTAGCGAAAGCCACAACAAGCTTTTGGGGTTGGAAGCTACGTTTCCAGCAGACTCACAATTTTCCTTTGTCACTGGAACGTGATCATATCTGTCGATGATTTTTCCTGGCATATTGAATCTAAACTGGTGGTTTCTTCTGCTTAAAACTAGCGATTACGTGTCGACTCGAGTCACACTTAAGCAATGTCATACATCCAGCGTGGGCGACATATAAAACACCATCTCGGCACCGACAACCGATCTCAACCCCGCACGACTCGGCACATTATTCTGATTGATAAAGAGAGCACGTCATAAATATGTCCGCATGAGTCGTATGATAACGGCAAATATTCGGTTGGTGAAAAATGGTTGAAGCTGAGGCCTGCGCACGCCATACTTCGTCAACATGTCGCGCTCTTTGACTTAGCCAGTGTCGTTCTGCATCAACCGGTTAGCGTCTCTATGCAGATCCTTCTTTCTGTCTCTTAATTCCATTTGTCCTGCAAGATTACTGCCAGGTTTGTTCGGACAGACTCCGATCACTATTGCGATGGCGACACTATGTGGATGAATTACATTGATGTCCGCGAATTATATGGGGCCGACACAATGAAAGGATCTGAACAGTACATGATATATAATTATCCGTAAAGAGCTATATTTCCATAAATCTATCCGGACGGCATAAGATCTTCTCGTTTTTGGGTGTTGGGTAGACAAAGCTATGTCTGAAGCGAAGTCAAGGCCCAGGGACTCCGCCCTTGGGGTTTTCAAAGAGATCTTCAATTGGTACCCGTCTAATTATCCATCTGAGGAGAGAAGGTCAGAAGATTTCCTTCATTTTGGATCCGACCAAAATAATAATCTTCCTCCAGGTTGCTGTTCAAACTAGACTTGTCAATCTTGGTGTTTGCTTGTCTATGCTGTGAGTTCGACCTATTATTCAAAAAAAAGGTATCTTTTACTAACAAAATTCAGTCTTTGTAAAGTACTTAGGTTCGTCACTCCGTAAATGCTATTGAGAATGATGAAGCTGAGAATATTATCCAGATCAGACAAATATCAGCAATGCCTACGTCAGCGGCCTCAAGGAAGAATTCGCCCTTTACGGGAATGAACTAAACTACTTCAATGTCTGCTACTTCACAGCCTATGTCGTTTTTCAGGTTCCCGGCCTCCTGTTGATGTCCCGTCCAAAACTGTACGTTCGGGTATTCCATTATTTCATCAGCATGACTAACTAATTGACTCCCATAGGGCTCGATGGCTACTTCCGGGACTAGAAGTCCTGTGGGGGATCTGCACCTTCGCCCAAAGCCGTGTGACCAGTGTCAACCAGATTTATGCTCTACGTTTCCTACTCGGCATGCTCGAAGCACCCGTTTTTGCTGGAACACATTTCATTCTGGGTATGGATAGCCCAAGACACAAGATATGTCTGTATACTAATTAGCAAAAATCCAGGCTCCTGGTATTCAGGTCCAGAGCTTTTCAAACGTGCGGGAACATGGTTCATCTGCAATGCACTTGGTACCATGGTCAGCGGCTATCTTCAGGCAGCCGCCTACACCAATCTCTCAGGGGTAGGTGGTATGCCAGGATGGAGATGGTTGTTTATTATTGATGGCATCTTCACGATTCCCGTAGCCCTGATTGGGTTCTTCGTCTTTCCGGGTATCCCCGACTCTCCGCGGCCCTTCTATCTAACGGAAAGCGACGTAAACTTAGCCAAAGAAAGATTGCGCAGAGCGAAGATCCGTCGACCTGGAAAGTTGAACTTAGATGTCTTCAAGCGCAGCTTGAAGCGCTGGCACATCTGGGTTTTTATTTTCTGTTATGCGTACGTATAAGACTTGGTGCATTTTCTTTTTCTTTTTGCCGACTAACATTGGACTAGATGCATGATCATTTCATCCTATCCCATGGGCTACATGAATCTGTGGCTCAAGGCTGAGGGTTATTCAGTCACTCAAATCAATCAGCTACCAACGGTTACCTATGCAATTAATATTGTTGCCTCGTGGCTTGGGACCACGCTTGCAGCCATCTACCCCGAATGGGTCATTTTCTCGATTGGCTCTGTGAGCTGTTTCTTTTCTGCGATCTGTATGATTGTCTGGTTCATTCCCACGGGCTTAAAGTGAGTTGACTGATGAGGTGTTTGTGTTTGAACTTACCATACTTGACAAACCCCTAACTAGTATTACTCATAGGTTCGTTGCTTGGTATCTCTTTGGTGTCTCTGGCTGCTTGAGTCCCATCCTGTATTCTACTGTGAATACAATTGTCAAAGATGACTCTGAAGAGCGAGCATTGATTTTGGTATAGTCTCCCCCCTTTAATAACTATTACTCGAGTGATTCGACTGACTTTGTTAGGGATCGATGATGACCTTTGGCTACTCCTTCAACATTTGGGTCCCACTTTTACTGTTCCCAACTGCAGGCCCCAACGGCGCCCCACGTTGGAAGAAAGGGTGGCCTGTGGCCTTTGTGTTTTACTTCCTGCTCTGGGCAGGATTCATGACGGCTATTATCATCCACCGGCGGTACGTGCAATCCGATAAATGTAGGCCTAGCATACACTGACTGTTTGAACCAGTGAAAAAGGGAAGGAAGCTGCCGTGTCGGCCCAGGAAAGTACAGACGAGGACGTGGAAACTATCATTGTTGACCGGGATGCGCATGGTAAAGCCGGTTCAAATGACTAGATTGGCCCAAAGAGTGAGCTGCATTAGCCCTGGACGGATTGAGTGGAGTCTCCCAAAATATATCAGTATTTGAAGTTTTTAAAGCAGGCGGCGATACCTGACTCCCGCCAAAATTATATCTGTCTAAATATAATTGGTGATGCGGTTCAGGCCAAAGCTGACGACTACGCGAGGTTTCTAGAATCTCGGCATTGTATTTCGCATAATATACTGTACATACAAAATACTACGTGGAATATGTCTGATTCTTATCGGCACCCTCTTCCGTGGTAATGTCACTTTGCTTTAAATGAGTCGGAGGAGGAGGCTGAGTTGATCTCCATTAGTATCTGATGACCCATGGCTGGACGTGCCCAATTTGGCGATTTTTGACCAAATCAATACCACCCGATAAGTTTGTTGCGTCTTCGCCTGGCCCTGTAAACTTTTCTTTTTCTTTTTCTTCCTTTCAAGTACTTGGAACACAGTAGAGTGGTAAATATTATGCTTTCTCTGAGATTTTGGGTGAAACAGTGCCTCAAGCGGCCATGCGAGGCAGACAACGTGGCCCTCCTTGTCGGACTCCCTCCCGAGCTGATCTTATCTGCTCCAGCCTTTGCAATCATCGATTTCTCGAGCTTTGCCAGCGGCACATTAAGCGGCTATATCCTATCACCCGAGACGATAAATTTTCACTTTTGATTCGATTGGAACGCGACCAGATAGAGTACTTTGCTTGCGAAATTTGCAACCTCCTCCATAGGTTTGATGAGTCGGACGGCTTTGGACTTGGCGGTTTAAATCTGGAAAAGACCAGTCGCCTACCATGCGTTCAGGCACGCAAGTGGTACACGTATGACCGGATCCTAAGTACACATCGCTACTTTATGTACTCGCCGAATTATCTGACATTCCTCCATGTTCAACTTGCCATGAGAAGGGTGTTCCAGGGCCCATCATCAGGCATCACAACGGGTTCACTGTCTTATACACAAGTTCTCCACAGCCATGCCGTGTCAGTTCACTCTGCTATGGTAGCTTTATTCTCGAGAGACGCACAGGTATGTCCGGCACACCCTGGTCTCTACGTCAGTCTAGGATATAGTGTTCGTCAATACTCGGAATTTGTTATTTTCCGTATTTGATGATGGTGGATTTGATATGGATGAAAGGTATAGACATATCCCTTTCGCCGTATGCTTTGACTTTTCTTCATCAAAGCATATGAAGAGGATTGTGAGTTTCCTCCTCGACAATCACAAGACATCCGCTGCATTCACCGGGCATTGCCGTTCATGTATGATGGATTACCAAAGTGAGCTTACTAAAGTTGACTCCCAATTTGCTCTGGTTGTGACACGGTGGATCAGTCTGGGCCTTGGTCTTTCCATGCACGACTCATTGTGGGCGGCTCAGCCTGTTGCGCCAGATATGAGGCCTCACGGTCTTTCGACGAGCCTTGGCCACGTTCATGTTTGAATATGCCGCCTCACGGTCTGTTAAAGACTTATGCGCTCAGAATCTTTTATTGTTACATGACCAGCAGTACAAGCGTGTCATGTCTTTCGTTAGCGAGGGGCATTGGAATATCTTTGGGACGACTATGAAGATACTCCAAAGCCATGAGGGGGGGCATATATTCAACCATCTGCAGTTCTTCACTGGGTGCAGCAGGGGTCACTAGATTGAGAAAGCTTGCTGAGAGGATGTCCTAGGTCTTACTGTTTGCGCTAAGCCTGAGCCGAATACATCGCCTGATATATTAGTAGGTGCTAGGTAGGGCGAGACTTCATACGGGGCCTTCGGTACAGGGCTGCTTAGCCGAATGATGACAATCTTGGTTCGATGGAGGGTTAGAGAAGATTAACAGCTTCGCCTAATGCCTATATGTAATTCATACCGTGTGACCAATGCGTCGGAGTATTTAGCAGGCTCTCCTAATAGTAATCTTGCTATTATTAGGCGGTAGCAGTAGTAGGTGAGTCGTGATATAGGTTATTAGTAGGATCTTGGTCTCTCGGTCGCTTACTATTTTCGTCGGTTTACCTACCTAGGTAGCAACTGGGGATGTCGTCCTAGCAATTCATGGTCCTCTACTAGAACGGCCTGCTTTAGAACTAAGAAGATATAGTCTCGCTAGCGACCTAGCATAGACCTTGCGGGAATGGCGGACATTCTGTTGGAAGTGCGGGGAAATAGAAGATCCTCCTGTAGATCGAGGAATGTCACGCAGATGCAAAACCAAAAAAAGGCCAATGCCAACTGGCGTAAAATATGCAGGCCCGAGCCAGCAACAGTTCGGCATTCCCCCACGGGCTCAATCAGCTCGGATCTGATCGTCTCGCCAGTCCACCTCTCATGGGGCCGCATGGAGGGACGTGCGGCCCGTCATTGGCCAGCACACGAGGGGCCTCGATCCATGGACATGGACCTTGACGGAGGAGCACGAAATACCGCAATCTACGAAATTCAAGGGAACCCCCGAGTTTCTTGACCACCTCGACACGCTCGACCACGCCTGCAGCTGATCTCCCTCGCGATCGCGCCTCCTTCCCCCCTCTTCGTCAGCGCCAGATCCGAGTCTTTCCGCAACCTACTTCGCACTTAAGGACAAGTCATCGCCACCGCGTACGGCCCTATCTTTGCGACACCCCACAATCGAATCCGTGCCGCCGCGCGTGGATTGAACTCTCATCTGAATCGCATCACCAACTACTCAAGGACGCGTTGATTCATCTCGGATCGATACTCCCCTCCTTCGTTCGAACACCAGAATCCTCTTATCATCCAGCTTCCCCGTCGCAGCTCACCCCAGGTCGTGGTGACAGCGACGCTCCGGCGCGGGCTTGATAAGAGATTCTGCGATCCGACCACTCCGGGCACATGAGTAGCAAGCTTTGGGAATATTTTATTCAAGATGATGTGGAGAGCTTCAGACGGTACCTGGCGAACGCGACGTTCGCCAGACCGCGAGCTTCGGGCGTGTCTGGCGCAGCAGCTGCCGCGACCGCAGCTGCGAACCTGTCGTCAAAAACTGGGAGTCCCGGGTCAATGATCGCCTCATCCCCGAATCCTACAAAACAAAGTAAAGCTTCAGCTGGATCGCCAGCAACCTCTGTACCCGATCGGTCCGGCTTCCCACGTGGTAATATCGCTCTCTCGCGCGCCAATGTCAATGCCCGCGATCACTTCGGCAGGACACTTCTGCATCATATCGCGTCCTCGCTGAAACCCACGGCTGCAGCGTTTGCGCACGCGCTACTCGAAATACCGTTCCTTGATATATATGCGCAGGACTGGGAGAGTGGATGGACGGCATTGCACAGAGCTCTGTATGCCGGGAATGCCACCATTGCTCGAGCGCTGATGGCGCGGGACACGTGGGACATGACGGATTACAGTAAACCCGGTCACACGAGTCAAAGCGGGAGTCTGATCAAGATTAAGGATCGTGAGGGTTACAGTCCGTTTGATGTTTACGGATCTACCATCACATCTCGAGACATCAAGCAGATGACCTCTTCCACAAGATGGCCGGGTTCTATGGTCCCCGATATCGAGGGCAGCGACGCCGCTTCCAACCCAGGGTCAAATTATGGCGAGGACGGCGAAGACGACACATATGTTGTGCGAAGCTCTCTGAAACCGCGAACCGACTTCTCCGCCGATGAGGTTTTCACTCTCGGTAGCAATAAGAACCTGAACCTTGGACTTGGAGATCAAGATGACCGGCAGTTCCCGGAGCGAATCGTGCTCAAGCGACCTGATCATTTACTAAACCGATTCTACCGTGAATATGAGGAGCAGATGGAAAAGCTTGGCCTTGAAGACCTTCTTGACCATAGCAACAAGGAACTACCAACAGTCATCAAGAACAAGCCCATGAAACTTCAAAATGTGGTCATGTCGAAGCTACACACTGCCGTGATTACGGATGATCCTGAAGCGAATTTGTTTGTGTGCGGCTTCGGACCGGGTGGTCGTCTTGGAACCGGCGACGAATCTACCCGGTTCAGCTTTGTGTGTATTGAGACTGGCGGGTTAGCTGGTAGAAAGGTCATGTCCGTTGCCCTCGGTCAGGATCACAGTCTGGCCATCACCGAGTTCGGTGAGATTTTCAGTTGGGGAAGCAACAGGTTTGGTCAGCTTGGGTACAGTTTACCCCGGACGAGCAATAAAAACGATGTCCCCATTCAGTCAACCCCGCGACAGATCTTCAACCCCTTCAAGAAGGAGACCATCATCGGAGCAGCCGCTTCCTCTATCCACTCCGTCGTCTTCAGCAACTCTGGACTCTACACGTTCGGCAAAAATGAGGGTCAATTAGGCCTGGTTGACTCGGACGCTCGATCGCTTGAAGTTCAGACCACACCGCGACGCGTTGGTGCTTCTCTGTTCAAGTGTCCCATTCAGATGGTATCCGCTATCGACCGCGCCACGGCTGTACTTCTACAGAACCACGAGGTTTGGGTATTCTCGCAATACGGCTACTCCAAACTCTCCTTCCCGCTCGAAGCAAGCTCGAGATTCATCCGGGATAGCTTCATGGCAACACGATATGACAGCTCTGTAAATCATGTCGTCAAGCTGGCATGTGGTGGCAACACAATCTGCGCGTTATCTAGCTCTGGCGACGTTTTCACTGTCCATGTGAACAAACCCGAAGATCCGTCAACCCCAACTTCGACAACAAATCCTGCCAAGATTCGCAACTCTTTGGCTTCTCCTGAGAGGGCCTGGTCTGTGAAAAAATCCCACATGGCTGCGAGTGATGTCGACGTGGGTCAAGATGGATCGATCATCATTTGCACCACTTCAGGCTCAGCCTGGAGGAAAGAAAAGCGGACGAAGAATAAGGAGGGTGCTTCGAAGGATTATAAGTTCGCTCGCATCCCGGGTCTATCCAGGGCTGTGGCTGTGCGTAGCAACGCCTTTGGAGCATATGCTGTCGCACAGCGTGATTGTGATGTTACCAGGGAACAAATCCATATTGATCGATGTACACTCTGGGATGACCTTTTGCCTCTCTCACCATTCATCACCCCTACTGTCGACGATGTGGAGGCAATCTTGGACGACAATGCCAGTGACAACCCAATACCGCGCTCAGCCGCTGCAGCTATCAAAAGATCAATCCTTTTGTCGTCGGAAATTGAAACCCAATTTCTGTCGGTTCGCTCCGAAGGAACTGTATGGTTTACCAGCTCCGTATCCGACGCCCGGATTCCAGCACACAAGTTCCTTCTGGCTGGTCGCAGCCCAGTGCTTCGCAAGGCATTGCAAGATTTCCGCGAGTCCTATTACGCTTCCGTGCCCGATGTCTTTGACATTGAGTACGGTAAAGATGGCATTACTCAGATCCGCCTTTTGGGTGCTGATTTCCTGACTGTCATGAATGTGGTGTTCTTCTTGTACACCGACAGCATTCTTGATGTCTGGCATCAAGCCAGGAGCTCGCCCGAAAATGCAGCTCGATACCGTCAAGTTCGCCTTGAGATCATGAAAGTAGCGACTCATCTTGGTCTGCCGTCTCTGGAACGTGCTGCGAGGTTGATGGTTGAACCTCAAAGGAGTTTGAAGACCGACATGGCGCATGCTATAAACCACCCTTCGTTCTTCAATGATGCAGATGTGGTTGTCGAATTGAATGGTGACGCTGTGAAGGTCCACAGCCAAGTGGTCTGTCAACGATGTCCCTTTTTCGATGCTCTGTTCCACGGCCGCTCTGCGGGTGGGTGGATTGCGTCTCGGCGAGCCAATCCTTCAGACAAAATACATGTCGACCTCAAACACATTGATCGTTCCACGTTCGACTTTGTCCTGAAATATCTCTATGCAGATACTGAAGAGCAACTTTTCGACCAAGTCAAAACCAGGTCGCTCGATGACCTCATTGACCTGCTTCTGGACGTCATGTACGTGGCCAACGAATTGATGATCGACCGTTTATCACAGATCTGTCAAAAGACGCTTGGTCGGTTTGTCCACACTCGGAACATCTCCTACCTTCTCAACTCAGTTGCGCCGATCTTCGTCTCCGAGTTCAAAGAGGCTTCCCTGGAGTACATTTGTCTGAACCTTGAAGCCATGCTTGCGAACCGTTACCTTGAAGATCTCAACGAGGACATTCTGAAATCGCTTGACACGGTCTGCCATGAGAATCAACTAGCATGCTTCCCTATCTCGCGCGGTCGTAACTCAGAGGAGTATGTCTTTGAGAAATATCCAGAGCTTGTTAGCTCGGTAGGCATTGACAAGCAGCGACGCATCGATGCCATGACCTTGCAATCTCGCCTCAGTGAAGTGGAATCATATGATTACCGACCACGAGCCCTTGCAAATGATAAGGTTAATGCATCACCATTGGCGCGGAAGACAAAGGCCAGTGTCTCCAGGGATCCCGAAAGCTCCGTCAACAGCCCGATGCTGAAACCGAGGCAATCGACCGCCGATCTCATGTTCCAGATGGACGATGAAGCTGCTCTTTCACCCGGAGATTCCATCAAAGGAAAGGCCGCCATGCGTGGGCTTGGCATCGAGAACCGGTCTTATCCTGATTCTCCCGCGCTGGGAGCAAGTGTTCCAGAGGATGAATCACTTGGCGATGGAGGCTTCTTTGATGAGCGAATGTCTTCGCCACGGGAGACGCTACTCGCAGAGTCTCCAACTGAAACTCGCGCTATAGCAATGCGCAATAAACGAACTATGGCTTCCCCCGAATCAAGCTCTGCACCATGGGGCTCTCCTGTCATATTAAACGGCAAGAAAGATCTCAAGGATATCATGGGCGAAACTTCACAATCCAGAGTATCCGATCTTACTCTGGAAATGGAGAATCGACACGAGGGCAGCGGCAACTTCAATGCCAAGCTCTCCCAGAAGGAGCGAAAGAAGATGCAGCAACAGCAGATGCAAGAGAAGCTTGCCGCACAGCAAAAGGCAAAAGCTACGCCAAAGAACCCCTGGCAGCTGCCTCCGCCAGCAACACCCACAAAACCTGCTCAAGACCCCCTTCCTGGCCAGAGTGGGCCCAGCACACCCGCATCAGAGCCATCCAAGGCAGCCCAGAAGCCGGCCATGACTCTCCGGCAAACCGTCGCCGGAACTCCTCCCCCACGGTCAAAGCCAATGGCCACTCCAACCCAAGGCCAAAATCGCAGCGTCTCAGGCAACGCACCACCTCCACCTCCCCTCTCCAAACCTTCTCCATCAGTCCCACAAACCTCCCCACCGCATCCCCTACCAAAAGCCCCCCCCAACCCGCCATCCAATCTATCCGCCACATCCCCCGCCAAGACCCATACATGCTGTCCCCCTCTTCTGGCTCCCTCTCCCTCGCAACTATCCTCCACCAACAACAGTCCGAAAAAGACGAGATCCGCGAAGCAGCCACTGCCAAGCACAACCTGCAAGAAATTCAAGCTGAGCAGGAATTCCAGCAATGGTGGGACCAGGAAAGTAAGCGTGTGCAAGGTCTTCTTGAAGCTGAGCCTATCCAGCAGGGTGGAGCGAAAGGTGGTCGTGGTGGAAAGGCTCCTGGTGCGGGTGGAAGCTCGCGGAAGCGAAGGGGCAATAAGAGCGCTGGGCCCGATGCTGGTTCGGCGTCTAATATGCCGAGAAAGCACTTGAATGCGAATACCAATGTGAATGGGTCCGCTGCTGTCCCCGTGCAGGGGAGTGTGGCTGGGAATCATACTTCTGGTGCGAGTGGTGGGAAGAATGCCCGTCGCGGGGGCCATGGAAACCAGCGTGGCAGAGGGAGAGATCGAGGATAGACGTTGTTCATATGGAATCCTCCCCTGTCCTTCTCTTTGCTTTCTGATCCCGGTTTGACTTTTTTTGGGATGCGAGGTTCAGGAATACTTGTTTCCACTCCACCCTGCTCGACACCTCTCATAAATACCCTCTTCCTTGGACTGTCGTTCATTTGTATTGGATTTTTTTCTCGGATCTTGGTATACGTGATTGAAAATCCCATTGGACAGAATGGCGTTTCGGTTGATCCTCATGAGGATTCGATAGACTTTGTTCGCATTTTAATACACTTTTCTCCGACGGCTCTCCGCTGTATTATCATTTAATTTAATTCCTGTCCATTGCGATGTATGGCAGAATCCCTTTAACGAGTTAGTGGGGTTTCGATGTCTTCAAGCTCGATTTGCAATTTTCAGCGTTCAAGGCCGTGTCTCACGGCAAAATTCATTGAGTTAGCGGCTGCTGTGGCTATTTTTGAAAAGCTATATAGCACAGGTTGAGAGTACACTATCTATACCTAGCATTTAGGATGCGAGTATCATAGTTCTTTCAACCCCAGGCAGGCTATGGAAGACAAAACGGTGTTATCCCTGCCGAGCAGGGTAGTAGGCATGGGGTAGGTTAAGTACGTATGGCTCGGTCGAATGTATTTTCAATTATTGCGCCTCAAATTACTCAGATCCAGAAGAGTTTCCAGGACTAGTCCGGTGCCTCGGAGAGTACCAGACGTTTGAGGGTTCTAGAGAATTTTCAAGGGCTGCAATGCTAACATTCAAAACATTCACTCTGTATTTGAACTTTATAACCTTGAGATTCCAATTTTTAGCCCTTGGACTAAAATCCTCTTTTCTCAGCGAGATGATCATATGGTATTGTAAACTCTGAACTAATCCAGAAGTAGACCCCGGCAAGGGCGTTGTTAGGTAGTGGGGGCTAACAGTTTTTAGTGTCTCCTTTCTCTTCCCTCATGTTTATCACACTCTCTTCTCACCTTACGAATCCCCGGACCATGCAATACAGCGTTTTTCACCTCGAGAGAGACGATATTCTAGAACCCGCAGAGACCGCCCTCCGCGACACAGATGGCACCCGACTCTACGAGACCTGGGACAGTGGTCTTCTAGCCAGGATAATCCATCTCAATGACGTTCCCAGACTGAAGCAATATCTCTCTGTCTACACGTGGCTGAGTCTTGACCACGAAGAGGATATCTGCTACGACCCGCTAGGAGTCGCCGCGGAGGCGGGGAGCACCGATGTTCTCCGTGCCCTCGTGGATCACTATTACAAGACCACTTCAACAAACAAGCCGCTCCATCGACGAAAACACTCATTGTTGAGTGCAGCATGTAGTGGGCCCCATCTTGAGACGGCGCAGTTTATCCTGGGCATGCAGCCTACACCCGATTCCCTCGATTTTAATCAGTCGGATCGTAATGAAGCGCTGTTGGCGGCTGCAGGGGCTCTGACTCATTTGCCCCCGGAAGTTCCCAAACATGGGACACCGATCAATCCCGATCAATGGAGGAGCGATCTCATCGTCCGTGGCGAGGAATTGATAAGCTTGCTCCTCGATAGCGGTGCGTCTGCTCAAGCGGTTGACCTCCCCATTGATGAAAGAGAATGGGCGGGTAGGCTACTCTGTGGTGGTAATGCAGTCAAAAATGATGATGATGAAAGCCAATCACTACAATCCTTTGGTACTGTTCTCGGTCTAGCTTCGTCTAGAGCCAGTTCTGCGTTAGTGAAACGACTCATTGACCATGGGGCCAATATACACGCGAAGGAGCAGTACCAGTGCCACGGTCCCTCCCACTTTTGGTTTGATATGAGAATACCATGGAATGTTACTTCACTTCATGTTAGTAGCATGTATTGGAATGTGGAGGCACTTAAAACGCTTCTTGACCAATGGGGGAGTGATATCACAGAGTCGCTGTCCTGCCGCGATAGTAATGGACGTCTGCCTCTTCACTGGGCAGCCGCGGGCCCCGGCTCGCAGGAATGCTGGCTTTCTGATATTCACGTCAAAGATCGGATCATCGATACCCTGAAGCTACTCCTAACTGGCAGTGATATCAATGCTCGGGATGATCTAGGTGCAAATGTTTTGCATCACGCAATAGGAGGGCACGCATGCTGTGCTGGGAGCAAACACTTCGATACCCTGATCAAGTTCTTACTGGAGAACGGAGCCGAGGCAGATGTAGTGGACAAGAATGGCCAAACTGTGCTACACAAGTTCGCATCCAATTGGAAGCGAGGCGGGCCTATTGATATCTCTCTGATGGATACCTTTCTATCACGCGGTGCTAAGATCAACCAGCAAGACAAGGACGGAAGTACTGCCTTGCATCGTATGGTCACGGATCTACGACAGGTTCAGGCGGTCAAATTTTTAATTAGTCAAGGAATAGACGTCAGTCTCACCGATTCCAGAGGAAATACAGCCTTGCATCATTGTTTGCACTCGGGAAGCATTTTGGACAGGGAGACGAGCAATGGACCCATGGTACCCACATTTGCTGATCAGAGAAGAGCGCTGGATGAGATGCGTGGGGTCTTGCTGGAGGCAGGGGGTGATGGCATGATGGATCAGCCAAATTTACGGGGCGAGACACCGCGACAGTTCCAGTTTAACAAGCTGGAATGGTGGCGGCGGGCTGAGTTTCCAGGACTGTTCCCAAAACCTGCAGGGAGGGGGAGACCTAGAACAACCGATCTTGTCAATAGCTAGAGAAAGTTGTCACTGGAACAAACAGAAATGCGAAGCCGAATTGTTTTCAACGGACTAAGCGAATTCGGGCCTCGCGAGATTTTAAGGGAAACGTATCAACCACGCTAAGTCTACCGTTCCGTGATTTATCAATCAAAAAGTGATTATATTCATAGCTGCTCTTCTAGCATCACCCATGTGTTATATGAACTAATGAGAGATATCGGCACGTTCAAAAGGTCCTTCGGACATAAACCATCTGCTTTAGTGGATATTTCGCTTCAAATAAATGCCACAAAGAGAGCAAAAAGCACAATAACACCAGCTCCTACTCCAGGCCGACCCTGACCCCCGGAGGTATACCCGACGTTCATCGAATTGTTCCCAAATCCAACCGTTCGAAGCCACGTCGGTGTGGTCGTGTTCATATCCAGCACATCTGAATGATAAGTATCCAAGTTTCCCCTAAAGGTAAACCGAATAGTACCCTGGACCCAATCGCCGATACTGATTTCACCACCATCAGGAGTGCCACTATACCCCGTATCATTCGCTCTCAGATACGGGTATGCCGCGAACTTGCCCTCCAGAGTGAAGTTGGCGGTCTTCTCGTTGAACGTCGCGTTCATAGATGGTAGTGTGAAGTCTGTCCAGCCTTGCGTGCTCCACCACTCGTCTCCTGGTTGTTGCGCGATGGATAGTGTGTAATTTCCGTAGTAGTAGCTGGAGTTACATGTAGGCATCCAGATCGGGTCGAAATTCTGTGAAGCGTATCCAATGGAACCATTTTCTTGTAAAGTTCCTGCAAGCGCGAAGGAACCCGAGGATTTTGTTGTTGAGATATTGAAGTCATCTCTCACGGTTGTGTTTTCTTCGTGTTGCTCAGTCGGACTAGACAGTTTGGTCATCGTTAATGTATGAGGCTAAAGGAGAGGCTCAATGTGGATCGGCGTTTACTCACGCTGAAGATTGCAACGCCCACCACAGTGGTAGGGGGTATTGATCTGTTGCTAGAGTGTTCAAGTTGGTCTTGTTGTAATTAGGCGGTATCAAGGTCAACATCACATTGACCGAATTCGATCCCTTGTTGTACGCTCCCCGGTCCAAGATGGCCAAGACCGAGTCCCACTGCGTGGTAATCGTTTGATTCTGTAGTGGAGCACATGGGGCCGTTGTCCCATTAGGTCCCCTCTCAGTAATCAAGTCCACCTGAGTAGTTGCGTTATAGTACCTGTCCAAGGTAAGCGATCTAGGAGAATAGGATTAAGCAATGGTCGGATACTCACGATCCAACCCAGGCGTATATCCCACCTAGACCGGTGACATTTTGGGGGCGGAAATTCTGCGTCAAGTTGTAGTTTGGATCATCTTTGGCGAGAGCAGGCACTGGGAGGCCTAGAATATAGGAGCCAACAACAAGGGCTCCGAGAAAGGCTCGCATACTGTTCACGATGCCTTTATGAATAGCTCGATGAGGCTGAAAATGAAATTGCCCAGGTCGACTTTTAAAGGGGCTCTGCGGGGATAATAACGGTTTTGGCCTATAGCGCTTACGTCTGTTGCCCGTTCATAATTGTTAGTCTCGGGTAAATCGGCCGAAGCCAACGAGGTATCCGCACATGGTTTGCTTCGCCTCGCTGGGAGATGGTGGGTTTACCTGTCTTTTGATCGCATGAATCATGTGAGCGATCCTGAGATCATATGGGACTGCTTTTGATGATCCGAGCTAATGAACCCACCCCTCAATAAATACGGATAAGACATCGTACTCACGCCGACTTGAGCCTCCATGATCACAACTATTGCTGCCATAATTGTTCGTCAACGGAGAGTAACCGAGTGAGACACCTTGGGAAGATTCGAAGATGCGGATCCCCATCGTTGGCCAATTACCCCCAATGCCTTGCTTGTTTTTATCATCTCAACAATCATTGGCGAGTAGAGCTAAGACGATCATCGCCTAAACTTACTAGAATATCCCCATCTAGCTCATGACTTTTCAATTAAGGAACGTAGTATTCTTTCCGACAATACATAGCTATTACCAGCAGACGACTCCCTCCATGAAGAAAGCAGCAAGCACAAATTATAAGTCAAACACGATCCGGGATCCCTACCAACATTACACTCCACGACGCTCCCACCGCACAGTCGCAGGCTGCATTGGCCGCGAGAACAGGGACTATAACCGAAATCAGTCAACAAATCCCACAACCAAGTGAAACAATCATCACAAGCACATCTTACCGAATAATCCGTCTCCGGAACACCCTCCCTATCCTCGGGATTATAAAACCGAAACTCCTTCACCAGCGTCGCAACAATAACATCAAGATTCAAATACGCAAACTTCTCCCCAATACAACGATGTCTCCCCGCGCCAAACGGCAAATAAGGGCTCTTCGTCCCCTTCGAAACAGCACCATACCCGTAATCAACCGTATCAGATTCATCCTCGACTTCGACGCGGTTCTCCCACCGGTGCGGATCCCAGGTCATCGGGTTACGGAAGTATCGTTCGTCGCGGGCTGTTACACCCGGTGATGAGAGGAGATTGTGCGATGTTGGAATCACGTAGTTTGTTCCGGGGATTGGCATGGGGTTTTTGACTTTGCGCATGAGGGTGTGGATGGAGGAGTGGATCCGGAGGGTTTCTTTGATGACGTTTTGGAGGAGTGGGAGTTTTTCGAGATCGCTGTATTGCAGAGGGGGGAGGTCAGAGCCTAGGGCATTGGTTTGCTCTTTGTATAGTTTTTCTGTCATTTCGGGCTCCGAGGCGAGACGGAGCATGATCCAGCAGCTGATCGCGGACGAGGAGTGTTGGCCAGCCATGAGAAGGGTGATCATCATATGGGCGATTTCCTTATCTGGAATCGGTGTTCCATCTTTGTACACGCAGCGCATGAGGTTCCAAATCATATCCTTCGTATGAGATTCTTCAGACGTGCCAGCCTGACGCCTTTCACGGATAATTTCGAGATAGATCTCGCGCATGCGTGCGTGAGCGACATCCCGTTTACGATTGTGTGGGAGTGGTGCCCAGGGGAGCATGAAGTTTATAGGTGAGAAGCCGAGGTCGAGGTCGTGGTAGAGGTCGGCGAATTCGGAGGTGAGTTTTGCGCGGACTTCGTCTCCTTGGAGAGTTCGACTGGCTGTGAAGATGGTGATTTCTGCCATGACGGCACCGAGGTCAATGGTACCGGATTGACCTTTGAAATGTCCGGATGTTTTGATGTATTGCTGGACTTCTTCCTCGATCAGAGGGACGTATGATTCTAGGGCATCTTGGCTGAGGCCGAATTTGACGAACTAGTTGCCAGATGAATGTCAAATCAAAGGTGTCATGAAGATGATAATGAGTATTTGGAAAAGGGGCTCTACCTTCTTCTGTTCGATGAGCTTGGAGTTTGGGCAGTCGTACACGACGTCGGACCCGAAGACAGGCGTAGTGAGCTTGCCATAGACCTCCTCCGCATTGACATCCTTCAGCTTTCCATTGAGGATAAATTCATTTCCATCCGTCCCAAGATAGACAGTAGTCTTCTTTCCCAAGAGAACGAACGTGAAGATGTCGCCGTGCTAGCATCAACATTAGACATCGAAATCTCTTCCTTGTAGGTATATATCATCCAATTCGGACAAGTACATACCTTCCGTCGACACGACAAAAAGAAATGATACGGATCCATGCCATAACTGATCGTACTCCCCAAGATCGGAAACCAATGGAACACAACAGGCGGCTCATTCTTGCTGTAGAAGAACAGCTGGTTGATGACATTGAGCACGACCGAAGTCAGCACCAATGCGATGCCATAGCCCGAGATGCGCAGGACCTGGCCAATAACCAGCTGCGGCAATAATTCCATGTTGAATTCCTGACTCTCGCTGCGTTTAGCAACTGAATACTCAGAAATGTATTTAAGTATATACCTCGACCGGAGGCCGATTCAGACAAGGGGGATTAATCATCTTAGGGCTCGGGGGTCACGCCATGGTCGATCCTCCGGAAGGCCGCGCTGCCGAGTACCAACACCAGGGCCACTACGAAAGCCCAGCTTCATCTTACCAATGAGATATTTCAAATGAATGACGTCCAATGAGTGACAATGCATTACTCCACTTACCCTTTGGTGTTTTAGCATTCAGGCATTTATCTGGGCTGGCCCCAATTGCCAAGCTCTCCCAGAGAAGAAATGTAATTCACCTCTTAACTACGAAGTGACATCTCCCATCAACCAAAGGCTACAAGGCATAGGATGGGAGGACCTAGTAAAGATGACCTATGATCAGACGAATTCCATGTTTGCATATCGAAGATTATATTGGCATCAAGAGCCCTGGAAAGAACGAATATGTCCATGCGCACGCAAAAAAATGATCAAGAATGCCATGTCCAGAATGACCATGAATGATGAACCACCAACGCCGGGGAATTGCAAAACAAAAAATGACAAGTCATAGCCATGGGACTGAGAAAGAAATGCAAAAGTCATAATTAACCAGACGTAGCCACCTCCCGAGTCTCCCACATCCGCCGAATCATCATGTCAGTCTCGTTCAAAGCGGGGAAGTCATCCGAAGAATGATCACCGGTCAGGCCATGTGCAGCCTCATCGGAGGTTGACAAGATCCGGTGAGATGGATGAGAAGACGTCGCTGCCTGGGTAGGATCGGTGGATTCGCTCTGCGTTGTAGGGTCGTCAGAGGCCGAGGAGTGGGGATCAGGCAACTGCGACTTCGCCTCGGGGCTCGAGCCCAGCCGGGTAGGTCGAGTATTTTGTTGGAGAAGGGTCAGAGACGGGGCAGATTTGACTGGCTTGCGTAGTGCGGACGCGTGTTCGGTTCTGACTGCGGACCGTGTGCGGGCTACTGCGCGCAGGCGGTGAAAGCTGTCGGCCGTGGGAGACTGGAAACGACGCGCGACCATCAGCTCCAGCGAAGTTTTCTCATACGCCTTGCGGATTTGGCGAGCTTCAGTATTGTGACCCGGCACTCCAGCCCGGCCGCCGCCATTCATGCCTCGACTTCCGTCAAAGGCCGAACCAGCACGGGAATGTCCGCCTGGAATATACGTCGAATCAATATTCGATGGCGATACAGTTGCGGACACGCCATGAGATTCGGGTGGAGAGTTGTTGAGAGTGGCAGTGCGTTGAAGCCAGAGCTTCTGCTGTGTTCGCGAGGGTAGATCGACGCCCCGAGGACGGACCGGTGACGCGGTGGACTTGCCATTAGCACGGTTGGGAGATGGGGGTGTTTGCGGATGGTAGTGAGGTAGGAACGAGGATGGAGTGTTCGGGTCTGAGTCTGTTCGTGATGACGACTGGAGGCCAGACTTGTTGCTCATGATGAACCTAGAGACGCCTCCTTCCATAGAGGACGAAGTAGCTTGAGTCTGGCTGCCAGGAATTTGGGCCAACCCAAGATTAGATGTTGAGAAATTGCGCCGAGCCGCATCCAGGCCACCGGTCAAGTTGAGTGAGGTGCTGCGGGAGGTAGAATCCGACGGCTTTGCCATCGCTGAGATGGAAGACATGGCAGGCGGCGCCTTGGCAGAGTGTGAAGGGCTCAGGAGGCGGTTTGCGATGTCGCCTTGGTCGGCCGGTTGACTAGGCCCTTGGGTCTCGTCGGAGTCGTCCTCCTCGTGCTCCTCGTGTTCTTCGTCGTCTTCTTCTTCAGGGTCGTGGTATGGGTCTTCCCGGACAAGCTTGCTCGTGATCGAATCAGGTAAACTGGTTGCGCGAGAAATTTGCGGATATGGCCGCTTCACGAATGTGAGAGGGTCAACCAAGACCTGATTGTTATCCGCGCTATGGTTGGAGGGGGCGACGGAGTTGCGCCTCGTACTTTCTGGTGATTGTGTGGTGTCTTCCCACTCGGCGTCGTCGTTGTCATCGTCGTCGCCTAATTCGAATCCGACCGACTTCTTCTTTCCCGCGCTTGAGTGTGGCCGCTCGGTGACCAAGGCCTTCTTCACGATCGCTGCTGAGTTATTCCGGCGGAGTACGGGCGTTGAGTAATTTCTCTTCATCGATTCCTTGGGATGTTCGTCTACCGCCCCAGCCCAGTGTACATGTGCTTGGCCCTTGGGGCTGCCGATAGGAGTTACGGGGGCTGACTTCTTGCGCTGATGCTGTCGGCCTGTGGTCTCGGGGCCTAGTTGGAAGCGCTGGAGTTTGTTGAGGTTCTTTCCGAGAGAGGGGTTGCGATGGTGGTTGCGGTGACCGCCGCCCACGACATGCGCTCGGTGAGGCTTATGATGGATGGTGGTAGTCTTGGAGGAGTGAGATTGTGACAGTTCGTTGGGGTTGGAGCCGGCGTTTGCGTTAGTCCTCGTGACGACCGCATGTGAAGACACGGCGCGGCGGCCCAGGCCGGGGCGCTTGCCAGGGGAGGAAGTGTTGGTTGGCATGGCGGCAAAAGCTCCCCAGAGACAGGCGGGCAGATCAGCAAAGTACCGGGGGCATGGAAGGGGATTGGCCGAGGCAGAGAGCAGGTATCACGGCAGCTGGGGACGTGCAGGCGAAAAAGCAACAAGATGGTAATAGTTCGACTGCAGGGAGGCGTTCACACCGCCCCGCTCGAGCCTACGGGTTGTGGAACAACCGGTTTGGCGATGGGGGGGGGAGAGATGCTGAGGGGAGACGAGCGGGAGGAGTGTGAGGAAGAAAGCTCGGGGAAAGCTGGAGGGAGAAGAACGAAGGAAGAAGGTGGATGTCGATCTCGCTGTCTCCGGCGATGGGGGGGCGAGTCCTCCGACTCGGGTAATATTACGGTACCGCCCCTGTACCAGAGAGACCAAAGAAAACGACCGTCTAAATATGCTTCGATTTTACGTTTGTAACAGATCTTTCTGAATGTCTTTTGAGCCCTCTTTCTAGATATTCCCGTCAGTTTTATTCAACTTGCCTTGTAAAGTATAGCTGATGAGATGGGTTTGAACCTTTTCGGTTATTGCAAACTTATGGAACACCACTGGAATTGACCGGGTCCGTGTGGGGGAGGTTTTGAGTTTCCAGACCTCTCAATTCTCTCCCGATCTGGAGCTGGGAAAGAGCATGTCGCTGTATAGTAGGTACATTCTGCCATTAAAGTAACCAAAAAAAGGAGAAAGACAAGTCTCAGGTATCATCGAGTACGTAGACTACCAAAAAGAGAAGAGCGAGACACAGGCGGAGACAGTTCACTAGTATCAAACGCCGTAGAAGACATGCATCTACACTATAGCTCAATCAAGCTTTCCTCCACCGCTGGTCGGGCCGGTTGGTGTGAGGCGGCGGGTTGCGCTTGAGTGGCATCCGGATAGGCGCCCGGTTGGCCCGCTGCCATTGGCGGATACCCTGAAGGTATCGCGCTAGGTTGCTGGGGTTGATAATAATAAGATTGAGGAGGAGGCGCCCCCGTCGGCTGGTGCTGTTGCGTGGGTCCTGCTGGAGGCACGCTGGAGTATGTAGGTGATTGGACTTGCTCGGACGAGTGCGGTTCGGGAGCAGGAGTGAGGCCGGTGGAGGGTGCGCTTGCCTGGTATTGTGAGTCTCGCCGCATGACTGGGGAAGGGTGATAAGGGGTTTCGGAGAATTGCGATTGAGGGGGATCTTGCTCGGGCTGGGGCGCGAAATAGTGAGGTGCGCCAGTCGGTCCAGGAGCAACCGGGTTATTGGGAACGGCGTGGTTCTGCGGCGGAGGTGATCCCAAAGATGGGTATGGGTTCGGACCCCAATTATTATGCGTCTGTTGCTGATAGGCCGGACTGTCCACCCCACTGGGGGGCGCATCATAGCCGCTGCTGACCTGACGGGGTGCATATGTGGATGCGCGGGGAATGTCTGGCGCGTTCGTGTAGTAATAGTTCTCGGCACCAGATTTCAGATCCGGGGCATGAGACGGCGCGCTGGGCATGGATGGGTACTGTGCGGCACCGGGAATGGCACCGTAGCCCAGGGTCTGTTGAGAATATGCACTAGATAACCGTTCTTCCAGCATTCGATCGTAGTAACGAACAACAGTGGAGAGCTTCGAGTGGAGATCAAGGAGAGTATCTAGAGTGATTGATTAGCTATTGCCAAGTCTAGTTATAAGCGCATTCCCGAGCGTCCGAGTCTCGGCTTACCATGCTTGCTCATTGTCTCGCCATAGCTGCGGGCCAATTTGGGCCGAAGGGTGCCAATGCTCTCGTAAAGTTCTTGAATTTGAGGCTCCCGGAGGATTGTTCCAGGAGGCTGATGTTGCAGGCGATCCACTAGGGTAGAAAAGAGATGAATGTTCTCCGCCTCCACGGCGGTCAGCTCATATGGGTTCTTTGGTAGTGGCGTGGGGGTGCTGGATGAATCATAGAGAGCACCAGATTGCGGAGGATTGCTCTTCAAGGCAGCCGCATGTTTCTGCTTGTGCTCTTCCATGTCTCGGAGAGAAGCTTCAATTGCAGCCTTCAGATCTGCATCTTCCTCTTCCACATTGGAAGGGCCAGCAGTAGGAGCAGTGACTGGTTTGGGTGGTTCAGGAGCATTGCCAGTCTGCGGCACAAATCCAGTGGGGCCTCTTCCTTCCGCTTCCTCGAGGCTCATCTGCAATGCCCGACGAAGATCGTCATCGAAACTGGTATCCACTTTGGCACCCCGGGGCTCCATAGCACTAGATTTGGTGATGGAATGATTCTTAAATGCAGAGCGATCGGCAAGGCCGGCTGGTGTGTATGGTTTTGAGGTGAGTTTGGCGTAGCACCCATCATCAACTCTGACGGGCTGAAGGATTCCGAGGTGCGGAAGCGGGAGGATCTTGCTTGAACATTGTTGATCGAAGACGTTGCCACAATTCCGGCAGTGATGTTTCCTATTCATAAAGCTGAAGGCGGTGCGGCATCGCATGCAGACATCTGAATCAATCCACTCTGGTGGCTAAAGCAGAGGAGTTAGTCCAGCTTCCCATGTTTCGATTCCAGCGGGGACGCGATATTCGGGATGCGGCACTTACTGCATTGCTTTCCAACATGGAGCCGCTCATTTCTGTCTTTGGGGGAAACTGGAATCCCTCGTTTTGCAGCTTCCTATATGTTTCCCCCAGATACATCAAATCCATCCGTCCCTGGGCAGCCATCGCCCAATTCTGGACAAGCTCCAAGATCTTGCGCTGAACATCGGGATTCAGTGGAGCGCCTTCAGATTTGAGTAGCGAAACCAGGTTGTCCATGAATTCACGGGATGCGATCTCGGCCAGGAAGTGGGTGCCGCCATTCTTAACACACGTGTCGGTCAACTGGGAGATAAGGGCAGAAGTCAGCATTCATTCATTTACTTGAAGTCGAGGAAGAGACAGGCACCGACCTTCAGAGTTGCTAGCTGGATATTTGGGTTTCGATTCTCTAAGCGACGTTTCAAAGATCTCATGGCATCCTTGGGTTGGACGCTCTTTGATCGGACCATGTCAGAGATCTCCAGGTTAAGAGCGATGTCCTCCCTATCACGTTGGTCAGTCTCTCATATTCGACAAGTTGAAATCAAGATTCAAATCGGGAAAGTGAATCTGTTAGGCAGCAGGTCGGTTTATGCTTGGGTGATCACGTACAGCGAGGAGCCCGTCGCCCGCTCGATCTGCTCGTCGAGAGGCGACGTTGAGGAGAACCAGCCAGCCATTAGGGAGAGCTAAGAGCAACACACAAGGAACGCGCGCAATCTTCAAGGGTATATGGAGAAGCACCAGCCAAGAAGTCGCGCCGAGTGAGTCTAGGATACGATGGAGCTCCAGGCAGGGTGGCAATGACTAAGCTGCTGGCGTCATAGGCGCGGGGGCGGTGAGCATATTGTCCGTTTGTTCCCCAGACCCGCGGTGGTTCCAGTTCCTGGATCAGTATTGCCGCTCTTGTTCGCTCTTTACTTATTGTTGGTGCCTTGCCAACTGTTTTCTTTCCTCTCTTCCAAACCATGCGCTAAACGGTCCTTGCTATTTCACGCTCGCTGCCTCGACCATGCCCCCCGATGCGGCGGCTCTACCCACTCCACCAGACATACCACCGTGGAAGGACGGCCGTCCTTACTCGGTGGGGGGCAACATGCATTCCAACGGTCCGGTCACCAGACCAGCCTCTTATTCGAATGGCGCTCTGCCAGGACCACGACCTAGATTTCCCAATATCAAAGACCTGCAGGATCAGGCAGCGCTCTTGAAGGTGAACGAGAACACACCAGTAAGTACAACTCATAAGCATAAATTACTGCGGGGAAGACACCTGGCTCATAAGGCGCATCCTAGATTGACGTCCTACTGCGAACCGCGGCCGCAGCGTCTGAACAAGCGAAGATCCTCGCGGACGGTGACGACTCCGACAAGGCTTATGTACAGTATCTGCGTGCGTCCGAGATTACCATTAACCTCATCCCCCACCATCCTGACTACCGGACAATCCAAACCCGCAATCCAGAGTTATACAAGGAATTCGCAGCTCTGATGATGGTACGCTCTCTCTCTCAGTCCAGTGGCTTTAGTCCTGTGTTGGTCTTTGGCAATGCGCCTTGTCGATCGGATCACATCTACAAAAGGCTAACCCCACTGTTTCGATACAGGCGGTGCGAAGCAAGCAGGCGACGATGGATGCGATTAAGCGTGAGATCATCGAGGACAACTTGAATAGTAATGTGCAGCCGACTGGGTCTTTCACGTCTACTTCACCACCAGCCTCCAGCTCTTTGCGAGGTCGGGAGAACCATGATCCAACAAACGCCTCTGTGAGGATGCCGAGTCCAACGGAGTTTCAGCGGATACCTGATCCTCAAGTACAGCCCAAACAGTTCTCAGGCCCCGCAGGGGATTCTCTGGCAGAACGCTTTGCGAGGTTGAAAACCTCCCGGACTCGCGATGAGTCTATTTCAAGTGTTGCAACGTCCACTGGGCAGTCCATCAACGCGTACACCGCTAATACACCTGCAACAAGCCATGGTTCCCCATACGGGTCACCCTCGAAACGCCCTATGGGCCCTCGCAGCATGGGATCTCCAAACCATATTCCATCCGTCCCTCCCAAACTCCCATTGAGCACCTCTTTGCCACGTGCCCCGGACCCCGCTTACAGTCCGATCTACACTGTATCCACTCAGCCTCCTCCAAATCCGCCACGAACGTCAACCGAGAGCACACGATCGTTCAATCAACGATATTCCCAATTCACCAATTCCCCACATGGGAGTCCAAGTCGCGGCCTAGACGATCACCCGTACCGGTCGCGAACACCAAATGGAGTCAACTTGGGGCGCGAAACACGGAGTAACTCTCCAGACTTGCCCTATAATACCCATATTACAGCCGAAAACTTGATGGATTATTTGCGAAAATTCAATGTCTTGGTAATTGATGTTCGTCCTCGAGACCAGTTTGACAGTGGTCATATCTATGCAAAGTCGATCATTTGCATTGAGCCGGTAGTGCTGAAAGAAAACGTGTCTGCCGAAGAACTTGAGGAACGCCTAGTCGTGTCTCCCGATTACGAACAGACATTGTTCGAGCGGCGCAACGAATTCGATCTCGTGGTGTATTATGATCAACAGACGGCCTCCGTCAGCTACCTCGCAGGATCCCCTGTAGGCACGTCGGCGCCGCATTTGAGAGCGCTTCATGACACATTGTATGAGTTCAATGAGTACAAGCCATTGAAGGCGGGACGACCACCAGCGCTGCTGCTTGGTGGACTGGATGCATGGATTGATCTTCTTGGGCAGCAATCGCTTGCGACGTCTTCTACTGCTGCTGTTATGGGATCTCTGCAGGCCAAAAAGCCCGTTCCGAGACCCGGAAGACCACTTGGTCGGGTTCCCACCATGGCCAGTGCCAATTCCAGTCTAGAAGTACGCAAGAGGAGGTTGCGCGAATTTACACCGCTCAATTCGGAGGAGTTGTCGGCATGGTTGGAAAGGTCGAAAAACGAGGAGATTGACACCAGTCATTATCTGGAGGAGGAACCGTTGACCGAAGAGCCGCAGGAGGAGGGTCAGCCCGAGCCCATCACTCCATTTGTGCATTCTTATGAGGCCTTTTTGCGCCGCTTCCCGGAGCCCCAGCATATCCAACAGTCCATGATGCACCCAGGGTCCCAACCATCTACGCCAGTCGCGAACTATCCTGCTCCCGTCCCAGTGGCTCCTTCGCGGCCACCTCCTGCGGTCCCTCGTCCCAGTTATAGCGGTGTCTCTGACGGTCGTCACATACAGCCCCATCTGGAGCGACAAATTTCGGCAAATCGCGTGGCCTTGTATACATCGAACTCGTATCTCAGCCGTCTCAAGCTTCCACGAACGGGCCTACACAACTTTGGTGTCACCTGCTATATGAATTCCACCATCCAATGTCTCAGCGCAACCGCCATGATGAGTAAGTTCTTTATCGACGATCGGTACCGCTATTACGTGCAGAAGAATTGGAAGGGCTCGCAAGGAGTGATGCCGGGTCTATATGCAAATCTCATTCGGTCCCTTTGGAAGGGCGATGTGGAAGTGATCATGCCTACGTCTTTTCGCAACTTCTGTGGCCGCCTGAACCGGGAGTGGGCCATTGATCGACAGCAAGACGCAAAGGAGTTCTTCGATTTCCTCGTGGACTGTTTGCATGAAGATCTCAACATCAATTGGCAGCGCAACCCCCTGCGGCCCTTGACCTTTTCGGAGGAGATGCAACGTGAGCGAATGCCTGTACAGAAAGTATCGGGAATTGAATGGAACCGTTACTGCCATCGGGAAGACTCTTTCATCTCATCGCTGTTTGCCGGTCAGCACGCCAGTCGACTGAAATGCACCACCTGCCGCAAGACATCTACCACCTACGAAGCCTTTTACAGCATCAGCGTCGAGATTCCGCCTGACGGTACCGGTGATATTTACCAATGCCTGCGAAGCTACTGCCAAGAGGAGATGCTTAGCGGCGAGGAGGTCTGGAAATGCCCGCACTGCAAGTGCGACCGTATTGCGACCAAACAGATTATCATCACGCGAGCTCCGCAGATCCTAGTCGTCCATTTCAAGCGCTTCTCCGCATCCAAGACTCAGAGCGCGCGCAAGATCCACACTCCAATCGAGTTCCCCTTGTACGGCCTTCGCATGGATGACTTTGTCGTCCCGTACCCAACCTCCGGCCCGCCATCCGAGCCCAGCACGCCCGGTATCATGAGCGCGACCACGCCTCCATTTACATACGACGCCTTTGGAGTGCTGCGGCACATTGGATCATCTATGGGTAGCGGTCACTATATATCGCTAGTACGGGACGCCGAACGGCAGTGCTGGCGCCGGTTCGACGACGAGCGGACGACCGAATTCAACCCGCGTGATCTGCGGGCGCGCGACCGGCTGCAGAATGAGCAGGCGTATATTGTGTTTTATGAGCGAGTTCCAGCGAAATGAGCTTTAGCGTTGTTTATTCTGTTTTATTCTGTATTGTTTGAAGATCCCCTGTGCTGCCATCCTGTGCTGTCCCGTTCCGCCTTTTCCGGCTGTTGCGGTCAGAATTCATATTCTGTTTACCTTGGACATTCGCGGTTCGTTCCTTCTACATTCGACTCTTTTTTTTTTTTGCATGTCACGATAGTCACGATTGGATAGAGATGGCGATGGGGACATTCTGGGGGTATATACGTACTCGCATACAGGTAGTGCGAAATGCATCATGCCTTCAGGGCTGTCTATGACCCAACTGCTCTGAATGATGGAGATAGCCAGAGATACGGATAGTCTAAGTACATGTCCTGGCACTAGCAACCACCGCAAAGGTCTTCCGGGACAGTCTAGTTTGGGTGGAGTCTATCGCTGATTGATAATTCGCATTGAATCCCCCTACCTGTCACTACATACGGTACTCTATTTACCATATTTCCTCTGCGAGGTGGGGCTTTCCTTTCTGAGCTGCCGACGGTTTTATGAGGGCGCTCAGAGTCAAGCTCACTGAGTAGATTTCAGTCTAGGCTCAGACTCACTGATATGCTCGGTCTGGTCACGTGACTTATCAGTGAGTCTGATCGGTCGCTTACTGATTACTCAGAGACTGATTACTGACTAACGTAATTCCCGGCCGTCTCGAACACCCCAAACACCATACTAAATACGATATTTCAGATTATGATATTTCAACCCACAGGGGTTTATATAAGTTGATGGGATATTCAAGTATCAAATATGTCACATTAAGTATATTTATCAGGTCAAAAACTATTTTGAGGTAGTGTAATATTAATATATAAATATGCATCACCTTGTTGGCGTGTATTTTTAGTAATGTATGTAAAATAACTATGTATTCTATTTATTGATAGATCTATACTAGTTAATGAATTATCAGGAACTATCCTACCAAAAATCAAGTAATGTTATATTCTTGTTGTTGATATATAGCGACCTGAAATATCGTGTTTACTATGGTGTTTAGGGGTGTTCGGGACGGCCGGGAATTACGTTAGGTTGGTTAACTTAAAGTTAACTAACCTAGTCAGTTATTGAGCACTCAGTCGACGCTCAGTCTATACCTAAAGGAGCGCTTTGCCCTACGGTACTGTTTATCTTGCGACCTACTTTTTGATGGGCCTCATTTTTCACCGTGCCCCTGTTTTTTGAGGTACTCGATCTTCTCGTTCCCTTCTCAAAAAATAACGTACTGGAGCACGATGACACAACAATGGAGGACTTGGGTCCTATCTGCTATACACCGGCGCAGAAAAGATGCCCTTCCTTGGTCATCGGACTGCTAAGATCTGTGCCCAAGTACTGAAGTACAAATTGAAGCTATGTCCCTCATTTCAAGCTCCCGCACAGATTTCCTTCGTCCTTTACTTCAATCTCCCCTTCCATTCATTTGTTCTGGCGTTTTGTTGGGATTCTTTCAGTCATGGGTCGAAAGCTCTTCTTTGCTCAACAAGATGAGACCGCCAAAGAGAATTGCCGAAAGCAACCAGCAAAGAGTGGCTATAGTTTTGGCGCTCATGCAGTTGAGTACTCCATCCGAGGAAAAGATAAAAGGATACCCAGGACCAAGAGGATGTATTCCCAAGCTGTCCGTCGCTGGATGATGGCTGTATTGTATTACAGAAGATAACGCGGTGGTGATGAACCTACCAAATGTACATAGGCAACGGAGCAGTGCACACTAGCTATGGGGCTGCATACGACCAAAGGTCGTGAAAAGCCTGAGGGATGAACAAACAAACAAACAAACAATTGAAGATGTGTGTTCCCCGCAGAGATCTGCTGGGAGACCTGTCACACCGCTCTCGCTCGATGCCACATGCGCACAACTCGCTATCACTCCGGCCGATACGATGAGGATATCCATTGAGTCTGGCATGCCCCGTGCCGAGTTGGGCTAGTATCGACGCTTTCTCCTGGTTCAGACAAACATATAACGTCCTTGTGTGAGGTCCTGGGAGAGCAGAGTCCAGTTGACGTGTAAATTGACCAGTGGTCGACTGTCGTAAATTATCCTTCCAATGTTGTTTAGAATTGGCCCGTGCCCATCGCAACGCTGACGCCCGGAGCTGGACTTGTGCCACGGCGGGGGGTTTACTTCGCAGTTCTCTACTGTTGCTTCGCGTGCTAGGCTGTGCGCTCATCCTGTATTCTCATTGCCCCATCTTCAATTGTCGAATTGAGGGGTGGTATTTTACCACTAGATTCAGGCTGATTCAGCGTTCACCTAATCCCCCATATGTTTTGTATGCTAAATCAGGTCAATGCGGAATATCCGTGTAGTAACATGCCAATACTAGCCTCTCAGGCTAGGAGACGTTTTCAACAGCGATCTCCTGGATAGTTCTTCAATGAATCTTCTCAATTAGTCCCCTCAGTACTAGGGCGTACGGATATTCTGCGACCCGACATTTATTTCCGATGGTGCGGCTTTGTTCCTGATCTACACCAGCCTTATATCACAACAGTTTTAATAACCCCTGATTGGATGTGCACCCCGAAACTTTCTCAACGAGCCACATTTACCATACAAAATAATGTACTTCTGGGCTCCCTGGGGATACCCGACGTACCTCAAATATAATAAGTAGTATCTATCAAGAGGCTTCAGCGGGGTCGCACGCAACTGACTCCTCACGATCCAATCCTATCTTTCGTTGAAGTCTATGTTGGGTATCCAGTCTCTTATTCATGTTGACCGACTTCAAAAAGAGCGCTGCGATCAAGCCCAGCCCGGCCACGGCAACCAAAACCTCAAAGAGATTCTTTAGGCTTTGCACGTATGCCGTATTCACCGAGTAGATGAACGACGGAGAATAGGATGACTTGGTTTTTCTCAGGCTGGCGATAAAACCTTGAGCATTTTCGGCAATATCCAAGGGTAGCTGGCGAATTTGCAATTGATGGTGGAGTCGGTTTTGCGTCACGGTGCTCCCCACGGCAACCCCAAGGCACATCCCAAAGGACCGCAGGAAAGTGTACATAGATGCAGCCTGCGCCGAGTCTTTTGCCTCCGCCAGCGCCTGCACACACATACTACTCGAAACAATGATACAACCGTGCCCCATGCCGACGGAGAGAAAGATCAATGCCCAGGCGTACGTTTTGGTGTCGCTATCGAGCAAGATCAACAAGCCAGTGGATGTCGCAATTAAAACCCACCCGGTCCACAATGCCCACCGGATGTGACCAGATTTGGTAATGATAATGCCGACCACGAGGCTGACAGGCATCAAAGATCCAGTGATAGTCATCAAAGCGACTCCGGTCATCGTCAGGGACATATCTTTTGGGCCCTCTAGGTATAATGGAAGGGAATAGAGCTCACAGAACATCTAAGGGGGCCATGTATTAGCGTTCAGACTGCCGATTCTGATTGAACCTCAAAGAAAGAACAAACAGAGGTAGATAAAATGGGAACGGAGTGGGACGCGACCCAAGAATATTTACCAATAGTCCTTGGAAAACGGCGCAAAAATACATCGCCCGTGAGGAGATGTCTCGGAACAAGACGAGGCGGAGGAATGGATTTTGAGCCCCCTTCTTCAGCCAGAAGATGGTGATTATCACTCCCACCAGGCCGAGGCAGACGGGAAGCAAAGTTTGCCAGCTGGACCACGCGAACTGGCCTCCGCCCCAAGTGATGCCAATCAGGAAGCTCGAGACACTCGCCATAAACAACGCAGCCCCCACCCAGTCAATAGATCGGAGCTGCTGAATGAGCCCTCTCCTGCTTGGGCCTTTGTAGGTTCACAACCCACGGGACCATGACGAGGCCCACACCCATAAACGGAAAATTCAGGTAGAAGACCCAGCGCCAGGTGCTGTGGTCAACAAGCAGTCCCCCGATGAGGGGACCAGTTACTGTCCCCACCACAAATGCCACTTGTACGATGGACGAGTATGCCGGACGCTGGCGGAGAGGAATGATGTCTGTCGTGATGACAAAGGTCTGGCACAGGATGCCACCCCCTCCGACTCCTTGGAGAGTACGCCCAACCAGCAGTTCGGCCATTCCATGGGAAAGGCAGCAGATCAATGTTCCAATGGTGAATAGAACCAGGGACAGAAATAGCACACTCTGTCGGCCCAAGACATCTGAAAGAGCAACAAAGAGCGGCTGGAACACAGCACACGACAGTAGATATGCCGTGCCAACCCAGTATGCCTCATTTGTATCACCGTGCAAATCTGATGCGATTGTCTTTGACCAGCCATTAGTTATCAGACACGAAACTGGCAAGGGTGTTTGAATGCGAACCTACTGGAAGGACAGGGACAAGGACGGTCCCGTCGAGAGCCACAACCAACGACACGATGGCTAGGCAAGCTAGGATCATCAATTCCTCGCGTCCAGGCTTCCAATTGAGAAAGTCCTCTTCATCTTCACCAGCAACAGTCCATATTTGTGGTTGCTGATGCCCGGCCTGGAGTTCCACCTGCTCAGCCTGCAATACTGACATGTTGAATATTATCTGACGTAGTCGACAGACTCGAGGATAAGGACTTTTGGGGACTTAATGAAGCAATTCTGTTGTATAATCCATATGAGGTATGATTTATTGGTCCAAGGGCGAAACCCAAGACGGGGGGGGAAGGAAATGTTAGGATTTGGGCTGAATTGGTGGTCTCTCTGTCTGCCTGTTTGTTTGTCTCTCCTTTACTTTTTTTTGATTCATCATATGGATGATCTCTGCTCACCTAGACTCATTTAGTCCACCATTCTGGTAATGAATTTCGTCAATATTCCAAGAACGAAAAGTGAAATATGCATATGTCGCTGTGGGACTGCGGCGTACATATACCGATAGTCATGGAAGTTAAATGTTGATCAACATGTGCGCGTAGGGAGACAGAATAATAAAAATATAGACCATAGATAATAAAGTACCCTGCCTGGCAAAGTTTGCATGCCCCGCCGAGTAACACTATCAGTATCTCAGTACTTTCTTTCAAGTCTTAATAGCATAATGCGTAAATAGATATGGAGTACTTTAAAGGTACCCAACAGCTACCAGGTTGGGCATGCAAACTCTTTGCCAGGCAGGTATCCAAATGCCGATCCCTCCACTTCAACAACGAAGACTTCGAATTTCCATTCGAGGGTAAATTTCAAATGTTGGGCGTCGCGCCCTCACATCATATTTTACCGCTATTACTAGGTATAAAATAGGCGAGCCACACACCCCCGACCCTTAACTGATAGCGTATCCTCCCCTTTTCCATTACCCACCACAGCCTACCTTGGCCCTTGAAGCTATTCAAAATCATCTTAATTGAGAGCTTAGCAAGGAAGGGATCAATATCTCAGCCTCGACTACTCCGTATTTATCTCTGGCTCCACTATTTGGCGTATCTGAAAGAACGCTAGCCTACGAAAAACAAATCCCGCCAAAAGAAAATCCCACGAAACAGAAAGCCGGCTCGGAAGTACAGACCGATGAAAAAACCAAGGCTGACTGACTTGGCTTGAACATCAATTTTGTGCTCATTAAGTTTGGCATCTGAAATTTTAAAGCTTTTATCCGATCGTGTATTTGAGAGCGCTAGAAGGTCGAATTTGGATCTATGTTTCATGTTTGCTTTTCTTCCTGATAAAATGTGGCCTGGACCTACCCTGCTGCCTTCAATATGCAGGCCAGGGGCATCACTGTAGGTACACTTGCTTTTATCGCTACACTGCACTCCTCGTGGAGACTGCGGCCCTGCTCTAAGGATTGTCGAATTGGACGAATGGTCGTTTGTTCCTATGAGATGGTAGAATGATCCTTGTTTACAACTTCAAATAAGACAACGACAAAAGCTCCTATCATGGTATTGAAGTTCAATTTGGAAATGTCGAGGTAGTCTATTTCAAAGCGATTAGTTGCGTGTAATATTTCCAGATCATGTATGCAGCAACGTTGCAACGAAGTCTTGATGCTCTCGGGCAGCAACTGAAGGACTGGTTTCTGGCTGAGCTGAGCGATATCTCGTATTAATCTGTAGGCGCAAGGGGCAAATTTAACCCCACCCGCTTGCATTTGCGTTATTGGCGAGAAATTTGACATGTCTCCGCTAGATGAGATGGCTGCGATGTAATGCGAGATAGACCTGGACTGGTGAAGCTTCAGTATGGCTACCTTGTCTAGGTAGGAATTTAAGTTTATTGGAAACTGGCATGGACATGTGGATATCGGAAGTGTCCAATACCCAAGACGTGGCCGGGGGCTCAGTCGTACGTCAAATTCACAGGATTGCTCTGTAATATATTTTGTAATCAGGCTTATCGTTTAGGGGCATTCATATAAATAGTTGTTAGCCCCTCGACTTTCATAGCTTCAAGCACCATTTTCACACAACTTTACGGGCGGAATTAGCAATGGATAGGCTTAGCAGTGTTGGATGCAGGGATTTCCTATCAACTAAAACACTGGAAAGCCCTAGTCTGCATAGATTTTGCGTGATTGCTACTAGGACTAGCGGCTATGATGCGCTACTTTTTACCATGCTTTGCGTCAGCTACGTCCTTCTTAATCGCTTGGTGTTGGGGCCGTTCCTCCTCGACCTCATATACGGTGAAAAGTACTCTTCAATGAAGGAAGCGGACAAGCGGGCGTTTAGACTTCGACATATCGGGATATTCGCCAGAACTACCTCTTTGCTCTTGGTTTCAAAGCCAGCTTTCATGGTGGCTTTGAAAAGCAAAGAATGGTCCGACCCTTACTCACAAGGCTCAAACATCACTTTGGGCGAGGTTGCCTTCTTTTCTATCATGATTACGGCTGGATTCCATCTATTTGAACTCATCTTCGACCAGTCGTTGAAGCCTCTGCTCATTATCCACCATCTTGGGTCAATCATGGTCATCCATGGCTTTTTACCGGCCCTCATGAGCTTACCAAAAGCGCAAAATATGGAATTAAATCGAGCTATTAGTATGGCGAATGTTACTCTATATTGGGGTATGTCCGCGATATCTTGTATCTATTGGTTATGACCTGTCCCTTCTAATAAGCTTTAAGCGCTCCTGGATGCACCTCTGGTCATACTGTCCTATGTCGTTGCTGTTCTCCGATCTACTCTTGTTCAAGGGCGCACAAAGATCCGCAAACTCTTCTACATCAGTCTCCGCATCGCAGTGTTTCTTACCACTCTCGAGATTTTGGTCATTGTTTACTTGGGTTCACAAAATTGGAAGGGGCTGTCAGCCTTCCAGAGAGCGACAATTTGCTCACTCCAAGCTTTGTTCACTGGGGCTAAGGTCTGGGTCTGCCAACGCTTTTATTCAGCATATAGGAGGCAAGCGGACCCGCTGGAAACCAAGGCCACGAGGGATGCGGGTGCGCTCAAACCCGAGTGAGAATACACATTCTCCCATATGGAATGTAGAAGCATCAATCAACACTATAATTCAATATAAATGGTTGGGGACTGCAGCCATTATTGGCCACAAGGGTCACCAAGGAATTGGGGGATTTTTGAAGAATATGGTGCGAGAGGATATGATAGATAGGAGTGAAAATGCCAATTAGGCAGCCGATATGAGATAACGTACTTCCCGGCCGATCTGGCCACCCGGCCGTCCTGGCCACCCCAAAACACCATACTAGAAGCGATATTTTGAGTCCTCTATTTCAACCACAAGTAATTTATTTCGGTTAAAATTTTGATGTGCATTTTTCTACGCATATGATCAATATATCCAGAGTTTAGGCCTTTTAGACTATTATTTTAATGCTTTACCGTAAAATACAGCATAATTTTGATATTTGAGACTTAAATATATACATGTCTGTTAATACTTAAAGTTCTCTTCCCATACTATACCAGTAGGTTTTAAATGCTTTCTAGATCACATATGCCTAGTAAATTATTTTGAATAGATATGGCTGTTGAGATATGAAGTTGTAATTTATCGCATTTAGTATGGTGTTTTGGGGTGGCCAGATCGGCCGGGAAGTACCGTTACATTGTATATTAGAGATCAGAATGAGCGCAGAATGGAAGAGTATGCTCAATGTGTGTTCCGGGTATGCTCCGGCCTGGCTCCAGTAGACTTCAGGTGAACTTGACGATGCGTAGTGACAATGAAGCTTCGACGTACCTTTAAGCTGGCATTCAAAATGCCTGTAGCTACGTGCGTCGATTTATCTCAATTCATCTGACCGTGAATTGTATGGAACCCTTGGCTTTCTACTACATAAAACCAAGGCCACTGCACTATACTGTGCTTGATATGCACGAAAAGCTTCCTTGTCGTGTACGTCATATGTCTCGAAAATCCACAAAGCCATCGAAGCGGCAATGAAATGCAAGGGAACCAAGTGTTACAGGGTATTCTCGTCAGTCTAGGGGCCCAGAACATGGCTTGGATATGGCCGGCCTTTAGGTGACTCAAACGACCTTTCATTCAAACTGTGCTCATCGGAGCCATTCAACTGGATGTTTATTGCTGGTGTTTCCAACAAAGCGCATTGTTTGCTCCTCCATTCTTCGTCTTCGAGTCTTTGTTCACGGCTGACGTGGTGTTTATTTAGTAGCTAACTCGGTATTGCCTTTTGTCACTCGACTCGGTTTATTTCGATCAGATACTTCTTTCTTTGAATTCTTGATAATGCCTTTCACCACGAGTCTGCGACATTGAACTCAAATAGGCATTGTACCTCCCTCTAAGAATCGACTGGACCGCTATCGACCTGGTCTCATCAACTCTACATTCGAATCGAAAACCAAAGGCTCTACTGACCGGGAAAGAACTTGATCAAGATGTCTCGTACAACTTATCGGATTATCAATGGCAGAGTCTCCTATTCTCAATCTACCTCGTCACCCAACCCTTCTGATCTCGACCTCTTTCTAGACTGGTCTCTTGGCATGATGTCGGTCGTTGCTTGGAACATTCTCCTGGTCTCTAGATATATTTCTCTAGACTCTATCGGCCTATCCTTCTGTCTATTTTCAACTATCCCCCTAAGGCGGCCTACTATCCTCTTGGGCCTGCTATCGTAGACATTATTCATCATTTGATCGATGTCATTTTGAATATCATTCTGTACCTTGTCGCCTGTATCGGCCTTCTCACTTTATCCGGTATGGCACTTTTTACTCTTGTAACTTTCGTGATGGTCTGTTTTGGCCTGCTTCTGCTTCTCCGAGATCTCCTCTCCGGTGCTAGCGATGCATATTCGGGTTTTATTCGGATCTCTCTACCCCCTCCATATGACTCTATATTCACTTATTTTCTTTTCGTCAGCCTGTAACCGGCCCCTTACAAATATTACATATTTTACGGACCTCGCTCCGCGAGGGTCCGCCACCCACATGATACTGCCCACCCAAACGAGATCGCGTTTTCCCATAGTAAACACCCCTTTTCTACACGCAATTTCTCGCCACAACCATGCCTAAATCGAAGAATGAATCTATCGAATCTCGCATCCAATTGGCCATTCTTGAATTAGAGAATGTTGATAAGCCTAATATTAAAGCGTGGGCGCGCGGTAAAAACCTGTCGTACCAGCGGCTTCTTGCGCGTTACAAGGGTCGCCTATCGCTCTCTGAATGGCCACCTAACGGTCGTAAATAGGATGAATCGCAAGAATCTGCCCTTTACCGGTATATCGATTTCCTTGATTCAATCTTCTTTCCTCCTAAGCGACCGATTATCGCGGCTGCTGCTAATGCAATTCTAGCTAGTGGCTATATTGGTCCAACTAAACCACCTATAATCAGCGACCACTAGCTAAGACGCTTCCTCTAACGTTATCCCGAGTATCTGTCTCGCTGTTAGCGAGCTATAGATATCGAGAGAAAGAAGTGCCTAGATAGGTAGGTTGTAATAGAGTGGTTTAATTCCTACTACTAGACGTTAGTGTATTTAGTGTATGTAAGCGCTAGCACAGTGAATAGGTATACGATGACATTGGGACAGATGCAAGACCTAAAGCACGGTGAAGAATGTCTAGGCCACTTTGTGACAGCCCGACAGGTACGAGATGGTCTCATTAGTGAATATAGACAAGATATACTACAAAATGTGTACAACAAGATAGATGGGCAGTATTGAGGATAGTGTTGTTCTCAATATCTCGTGTACAAGTCATTTAAATCTAGTCAGCATGGAGTATCCAATCATCATTCAACTCCCGCAATCCTTATTCCATGTCTCATTCCATAGTACAGTATTATTCCATAGCACGTAGAAGCACCGGGTACACCCGTTCCACAATGGATCACATCACATCAGAGCGGGATTGTGGATGGGCATATCGACCCGAGGGAGGGGTCACAATTCCATACAATTCCGCGGGCGCGGAACGCGGGGACTGAAGCGGACGAGGGGGAGTGCGGAGTACAGTCGTGGTACCGACAGAATTGATTCGTAGTAGTGATTGCCAGAGGGAATACTCCGTGCCCTACCGTAGGTACCGACGGGGTACTACTGGACAGTACTGCGGGTACCGGGGCCATTACCCGAGTGGTGGTTGACCGAGGGTATGGGGAAGGAATGGGTATGAAGGCTGGCAGTTGGGTCTTGGGGCTAACCTATGGAGATCATAGTTTTGTGTGATGCTGACGATGGAAGAAGGAACTATCTTGTTCACCGATCATGATATTCTCGCTATGCTGTGGTTTGTTAACGATCTGTCTGAAGGCCAGTCGGGAACCGAAAGGGGGAAGTTCATCTACCGACAGGAAGACCGGATTCCGAGAGGCTAATTGTTGGAGAGGAGAGATTCTAATCCATGTACTAGATGTATAGGAAACATACTGGGTGAGTAGTCTTTACTTGTATACACTATACTATAGTGATAATGTGGCTACCGTTTCACGCCCCCGTGTTAGTACTGCTCGTCATATGCGCCGAGGCACCCAAATAAGCAGCCGCTGATAGGCCCGAGCCATCGGATCCTACAAGTCTCGGCCTCGTTGCACTGCAGCCAGTGGCGGGACATCTTTTCCTAGAAGGACAACTAGGCCAAGGGTGACCAGATAAACCCCTCTCCTCTCAATTCCCAGTCGCCAGTTCTCAGTTCCCATAAACTCCGTACATAAAGTATTCCTCTCTAATAGCCCCGGCTAACCCGATGGGCAGTCGCCTCACCGGGTGGGATTCACGGCAAGGGAAATGGAGGTTAGTCATGGGCCAGAGGGTTAGTCATGGTCGATCTGGCCAGTAGCAAACCAGCAAAAGGAGCAAAAACAAAAGTCGAGGAACAAAAATCAATTCTCCACTTTGGTCAGTGACCGCCTTCGAAAGGAGTCGGGTCCCTGGGGCGGAGACCGTAGTCCATACAGTGTCAACTCGTCGGCTCTTTCCCTTCTCCTCCTCTGCATTCTCGTCTCGTACCGGCCTTGTCTTTCCTGCTTCGTCTTCCTTTCCCTGTTCTGTCGCTTCTTCTCGACGTGAGTACACCCTCCTCTCTTAATTCCCTCCCTATCCGTTGGGACCATCTTGCGGCTGTCGCCTTCCTATCGGGCCTTTTTTTCGCTGCCTCCGACAGACAACGCCATACCGCTGCCCATCCCAGAAACCCCTCTCGTTATTACCTCTCCATACTCCGACAGTGTCCTACTGTCTCCAATAGAGTCACTCAATCTATCTCGTGACACCGGGCTAATTCTTTCTGCGCGCAATTTTCAGTCTTTCTTCCACATCTGCACCATGTCTGCCACCAAGGAATTCACCCTCCAGGAGGTCGCCTCCCACAACACCAAGAAGGACCTGTACATGGTTATCCACGACAAGGTCTACGACTGCACCAGCTTCGTCGATGAGCACCCGTACGTCCTTTCTCTCCTGAAACGTTCCTAGCACGCTGCGCGCTTGCGCCGATGCGAATCGGCCCCCGCGACAGTACACCCCTATCGCCCGAGCATGGTTGCGGATTGCTCAATTCATGCTGTTTCCTATTCTACGACTTTACCGATGCTATTTTACGTGCATGGATGCATGAGAGGTCTGCATTACTGACACTGCTCTACAGCGGTGGTGAGGAAGTCCTTCTGGACGTCGGCGGCCAGGACGGCTCCGAGGCCTTTGAGGATGTCGGCCACTCCGACGAGGCCCGTGAGATCCTCGACGGTCTCCTGGTCGGCAGCGTGAAGCGCATGGTACGTTACTTTTGTCAATTCCATACAGGGAATCCTCTTATTGACCTGTTTTCAGCCCGGCGACCCCGCCCCCAAGGCCCACGCCTCCACCAGCTCCTCGTCCGCCTCCTCTTCCTCTTCCTCCGGCGGCTTCGGTGTCGGCCTCTACGCCGTCATCCTCATCGGTGGTGCCATCGCCTACGGTGCCTACAACTACCTCCAGGCCCAGCAGCAGGCCCAGTAAATAGCCTATACCCTGGCCTCGGGTGTGCGATGTGGTGGTGAGCATAGAAGTATGAAAGTGAGGGGGTATGAGTCAACGAGGAGGGAAAAAAAGATAAATGGAAAACGGCGGTACAGGAACAGCAACCTCCCCCCATCGGGACGTATCGTGAGGGGTTTGGGAATAGTGCCCAAGCGGCGCGAACCAAAAGGGGGAGGGAAATAGACTGCGGGGACGAGGAGGAAGAGTTGTTGGAGATTGGAGAAAGTGCCTTACCCGAACCTGTCATTATCATTGTTCTATCAATGGTTAATGGTTAATGGTTCAACGAGGTTCTTGGATTATTCGGGGATTTCTCACCTTTTTATTGTTTATTATTGGCAAAGTTTTTTTTTTTCTCTCGTTTTGATCATCTTCATTTTCCAAATCCCTGGGCGTACTTTCTGTGTCCCGCAGACTCGATGTCCTATCGCTTGTTTGCTAAACCTTGGCTTTCGCAGTCTGGTCTTGCTACCACCCACCGCCCACAATCTCCTTCTCCTTCGGCGGCGATTTCCCTTTTCAGTTCATGGAAGTTTCTGGCGCCCTGAACGCCCACAGATTTGTGTTTGTGTCGTTCAGCCCGCTGCGGGAAGTTTTACTTCTTTGGGCGACGAGTTCCGCTGCGTGTGGGGGGGAGGAAGGAGCCCGCGGTAGAGCATGTGGGGAAGGTAACGAAGAGGACGAGGGGAGAGGGGGAATGAGGAGTGGAGAGATAGATCTTGTTTCCTTTGGGTTTCTGTGCATATACTTTATAGATCGATATGGAGTGCTTTATCTAGGCTTGTTATTGGTGACTGGTGATAAAGGCTAAAGAGAGTAATATTAAATTGGTAGTCGGGTAGGTGGAACTGACTTGATCTGGGCTACTTATACCAGTCCCAGGTGTGACGGGATATGGAAGTCATGACTTTTCTGCAATGGTAGGCTTGGAATTGCTTAAGATCGGTATGCTTGGGCATGGAACATGAAATGGAGATTTAGCAAGACATGTTCAAATTCAAAAGAACTGTTTCATTGCTACCTATCAGTCCGTTACAAGGCAAGAACCCAGGGATGAATGCTACCCGCAAAAGAACGGCTGGTCGGGCAGAGAAGAAGACGGTCCAGCGATCACGAATAACGTCTGTCGATAGCAAATTCTTCCCCAGTAATAGGATTTTTGACCGTCACAGGATCCTCCTCAGCGTACTCCAGATTGTCCAGTGCCAGTCCCACTTCTTCGAGAAGGTCAGCAGCAAATGTCGGACACTGGCGAGCCTCTCGAGCAATGTAATGAAGCAAACATGGCAATTCCCATAGACATCCCGGGTGGATTATCCTCGGTGACGATCTACCTGGTAGCTGGTGTCCCGGTAATTGGCATGGGTTGTTCGTTATTCACGCACTCAACATCATACTAAACTGTCCTCTTTATTTCAAACTTTATGAAGTGATTACCGAGAATCGAGATCTAAAAGAAATCTGATACCATTTCAAGGCCTTTCATGATCTCCACACGTTGGTATTTTACCTATGTGAGGAAGACATCCTATTTGCTTGCTGAACGAAAGAGGATTAAGACGTATTCCAATAAATTGTTCTCTATGTTCTTGGTAGTATTGATAGAGGCGAATAAGATCCCGCCATCACTAGACTCATAACCGTAAAAAGCGAATATCAAGCTCGATGTACTCGGGATGGAAGCTCTATCTATATATTTGGAATTAAACTTCGTTGCTTTTCTACGTATTGATTGGTGGCAAGAACCAATTTAGGAAATAATGGCGTTCACAAAAATGATACTTCGTTTCTATGAAAAGGTTGTCCCAGGACTCAGCGAGAAGATGTGCCCTTGAAATGACAATGACTTCCAGTGATAGGATCTTTAACATAAGGCGTGCCCTGAATTTGCCTCACGCTGGTCAGTGTGCATCTCACTTCTTCAAGAAGGTCAGCTGCAAAGGTAGGATGCTCTCGAGCCTGATTAGAAAACTTGTAATTTGGACCTTGGATAAATCCCTCGACCGATGCTGCAGCCAAGATGCGGCGTACGGCATGGCCTCGAGGCAAGAAAGATGCTGAGTTGATGTGGTTCTCGGTGATCCAGCGAGTGTTGAGATTTATCCATTGTTTGGGATTCATTTTAGGTCAGCGTCTCGGTTTGCAATGAGCACGTTTTTGATGGACAGGGCCATCTCAGCGCCCAAACCTTTGATGTTGCACATGTCTGCAAGTCGGCAAAGCTCGATGGCGGCCGATATCTGGTCTCCAGGCTTATTATCGAATCGAACTCGGCGATGCCACAGCCACTGGAGGAGGGCTTCCATGCTCCTTGGTGACACGACGTCTTCAATTTCTTTCATGTCCACAGTTTTTGTCTGTCCCTCGATGAATTCACTCTCAAACATGGCGGCGAAATACGAGGAATCCTTGCAGATGAGAGGCTTTGGCACTTTGTATTCAGTGTTGCTGGGCACGAGTCTGATGGTAACCTGGGGGCCTTGGTAGAGTGGAAGAATGCTAGATATGAGCCGTTAGTTATGTGGTTTGTTGGGGGTTCTGGGTTGTAGAGTGTTGCTCACTTCTTCACAAATTCGCTGTGGGTTACGTCGAAAAGGTCAGACATGATGCCGGGGTTTGGCGGATGTCGAGTATGGGAGGGAAAGGATGATCTGCGCAGCGGGTCTTTCTGGTTTCGGACACTGCGTTGGATGATGATGAAGAGGCCCAGAAGATGGGTAATCGATGTGAAGGCCGTGGAAAAAGATCAGTATGTAGAAGGTGGATGAAATGGAGTGACGAGAGTGGATGCGAGTTGACTTTGAGGGTGGACGCGGAGCGATGAGGAGAAGGATTGAGATAGAGAAAGAAATAGAAAGGAGAAAGAGAAAGAGAAAGGAAAAAAAGAAATTATCTGAGCAGACTTCAATCCGCCTCAGATTGGTTTTGGAGGAAGGAGCAAGAGTAAACGACGAAGCAAACATGACAAGACCCGGAGACACTAGATGGTTAGCTATCCAGTTACGGTCACATACTTTTTATACACCCAAACAATACGGGAAGAATGATTTTAACTGTCAGAGGTAATATAGTATTGAGCCTGTTTCCTTATTTGAAATTTGATAAAAGTGCTATATATATGTCAGGGTAGACATTACAGAAGGAAAAAATGATGCTTGGTGGAAGGGAGCAAGTAAGATTCTGCCATCTCTAGGATAATAACCACAAAAGGAAGGTTCAAGTATCAAGCTCATTACAAAGTACCGAAGTCCTCCAGGGCAAACTGAACCCAGTCAATCCCGAGAGACAAAACAGTACGAACATCAATCTGCGCTCCTGTTCTAACTCCAAAGCTCCAAGGATGCCAACTTTGGCAATCGAACCATCTCCGCTGCCATCCATGATACAATACAATACCATCCAGAGCCTCGGCGACGGCTCGGTATTCATCCAGGTAAAGGCGAAGCATAGCGTCCTGGGACTGGTGTTGTTGCCGCGTAAAAGGATATATAGATGGTGGTTCTCACTTCCGACGTCTTGTATCGGTCCTTTGCTGCCTTACCCCAGAGTTCGTCGTAGCGGCCCTTGTGGTCGTGAAGTTGGCGGATGATGAACGGGGATAGTGTAACAAGTAACCTCTCCTGTAGCCAGCTTGCAACACTGCTTCTGGGTTTTTCTCCATCCTGATCCAGCTGCACACAAAGAGACAAGGTCGTTGACAAGAACCCCACCAGGGGCCTAAACCCTGGTATGCTGTTCAGTTTTTGCGTCATAGAAAAGCGCCTTCCTCGGTGGTATGTCTTCATGCATCGGGAAATTTTGAAAAACTGCGTCGAGTATCTCAGTTTTGAACCACCTTGCCCTGCTTATCAGGGATGGGGAGCTGTAAAACAGGGGCACTCTAGAGGAATACTTAGATTTGCTGCTTTCAAGATAGCCGGGACCACTTACTTGTCTTCTACCTCGCAGGAGGACAATCCAACGGAGTCAGATAAAGAAAATCTGCCACTAAAGTCGGACGAGGTGGCCAGGGAGTTAATTTTAACGGTCGATAGAAGAGAGGGATATTGTTGCCATTCCCAGGGTCTTGTTGAAGAGGAAGCAGCTTTTGTCCCTGAATTAGATATCAGGATGGATTTCCTAAAGCTTGGAAGAGAAGAGGAAAGAACCCAAGACCTACCCGCCACCAAATAAAGGGCTTCGCTGTGTTCTAGATTTTCACAACTTTCATCATTCTGCATTGCACTTGAGCAGTCATTGCAACCCCCACTGACGACCAGTTTGTCGTCGAGGATTTAGGCACATACCAGCCCGATCGATGGTCATGCCTGTTTCAACAAACCTGACACGGATATGAAGGTGATGTCTTTGGCGAAATCCACTGGGATATGGCAAGCAGTAAGTCCTAAGAAGACCTTTAGCCACAGCGGAGCAATCCCCTAATAAGAACAAGTGGATTTCATTGACTCTGCTGTGTTTCGCCGAGGGTTAATCACTCAAGAATCGGAGTGGCAGAAGGATATATGTACAAAAGGGCCAATTTGGCCAGACACCAAGTGTGGACCTCTGCACCCATTCGAGCCAGTGCCGAGTCATTCTCGGATTTGGAGGAACTCAGTGCCACAGGGACTGCCGAAGAACCGGTTGCATGCCGGTTTGCGGGGGATCGATGACGACACCTGTCCATGCTTGTCACGCTGGTCGTGTGAGATGCGAGTTTGGACGGGGTTCGTTTCTCGCGCCTGCACTCCTATCTCTTCGTGTTGCCCATGCGGTCCAAAACAGTATATACCTGCTTCCACTGAACATTTTCAGACTGCTGACGTCGACTGCCGAGTAGGAATCCGTAGCGGAGAGAGCTTAACCGTAAGCATGACCGGTGCTGTCGAAGAAAGATGCATATAGGGTCCGCCATGTCTCAAGAGAACCGTCGATGAGAGGTGTGGTGAAGGATCCACCATTGAACCTCAGGCACACTCATGTAGGCCATGAAGCTCGCTGAGGGCACAGTAGGACATCTTTACTTATCACTTGGGCACGTGCACGAGTAGGTATAACTTAGAGTTGATGCTCATGATGACCAGGCAAGTGGCCTTGTTCCGGTCGAGGGAGATCGTTTCGACGTGAATGAGATCAACTGCCCGGTCCTCTAATAAGTTTCGTCGCCGGGTAAGTATATGGAAGTAAAGAATTTCCGATGGAGTCTCGATTGAAGAAAGCGGGGAGGCTTCCCGTTGATGAGAAAAAGTACACTAGGGTGCTATTGCTCGTCCGCTCGGGCTTATGAGGTTTTAACTATATAAAAGATAGGCTCTCGGTTGAAGACAAAGGATCAGCTAGATAATAGCCGTTTCGGGGTAATTGAAGGATATACTATAAAGTGATGCCCGGATGGTCTAGGCAGATAGTCAAGTTGAGAGGTAACTGAACTTATACAGCGAAGCTCCCTTGTTCAAAATTTAGGGGCTTTTTCCATTCCGGAACTTGCCTTCCAAGTATATCAAATAGATATTCCACTTTGTAGGAAAATACCTTCTAATGAACAAAGCAATTATGGCAAGTTCCATCAATTGAATCATTGGAACCATACTGAGCTTACTTATCCCTACCTCCAACCTTCATGAAACACAAGGTTGTAGAGCTTGGGCGGGCCCGGCCGATCTGTGGTACCCCGCTGTTCTAAATAGAAGGTGGAGAACCGATATCTGCCATGTTGCCCGCCATTCGGCTAGTCCTGCTGACGCTTCTAAATTGAAGGTGGAGAACCGATATCTGCCATTTTGCCCGCCGTTCGGCTACTCCTGCTGACGCTCTATGAGACATTTCATAAGCGAGCTTATCGTAACCTCTCAGCCTAGAAGTTTTTCCACCGCGCGCTTGGCCGTTGCCTGATGAACCATCTCGAAGGCTCAGCAAAGCTAAGAAACAGCCCCATCTACCCCTCCTCTACAACCTCAATCAAATTGATATACTTCCACCATCCAACCATTGCTCCTTACCAACTCAAACCCAACAAACCACCACAATGATCACCAGCACAGACACAGCCTTCCTCTACCGCTGCATCGACCTGGCCAAAGAAGCCGTCGAAGCAGGCGACGACCCCTTCGGCTCCCTCCTCCTAGGCGCCAACGGCAAAATCCTCAAAGAAGAACGCAACCGCATCCACACCGAATCAAACCTCAGCCTCCATCCCGAATTCACCCTCGCCCTCTGGGCCGAAAAGAATCTCTCCCCGGCCGACCGCGCCGCCGCCACTGTCTACACCTCCGGCGAGCATTGTCCCATGTGTGCGGCTGCGCATGCGTATGCGGGGTTGGGACGGATTGTGTATGCGAGTTCGTCGAGGCAGTTGGCCGGGTGGATGGAGGAGTTGGGGGTGGGGGAGGGCGTTGTTGCGACGTTGCCGGTTCAGCAGGTTGCGCCTGGTTTGGTGGTTGATGGGCCGGCGATCAATTTGCGGGAGCCGATTTTTGAGTTGCATCGGTTGAGGAAGGAGAGGAGGGATGGTGCTAAGGCGGAGGTGTAGATGGATGTTATTGAGTTCTGGATGAATATATCGGGAGGACTGGAGAATATCTGTGATAATCTCCAGGTGGGCAATATTACAGTTAGACCAGTATATCAACCGACGAATAGGGTGTTGATGGCTGTATGTTGAATATATCCAGAATCTACCATTCCGCGTTCCATCGATTAATTTGCTCAATTTTGTGAAAAGAAAAGAAACCATTGTCTAACCAAAACTCCATACAATACATGGGGAATCCAAATCAAGTCTGCATCTACACATGCAGGGGATATCTAATTGATCCACCCCTTAGGTCCAGCCCAGTTGCCCTTAACCATGGCATTGTAGTAAACCCACGGGAAAAAGTCCTTCTTCAGGTAATAAAAGGCCCGACGCGGCTTAGCCTGGTCAATACCAAACCAATCACCAAACGTCTCCTTGGGCTCACCACCATACTTGAACTCCGCCAGCAGCACCTTGCCGTACTCCGTCAACAGCGGGCAAGAGGTGTACCCGTCGTAAATCGCATCGGGCTCCTTGCCTTCCATGGCCTGCAGGAGATTGCGCACGACAACGGGGGACTGCGAGGTGACAGCTGCCGCAGTCTTGGAGGTAGGCAGGGACGAAGCGTCACCGGCGGACCAGACATTGGCGAATTTCTTGTGACGGGTCGTACCGTCGTCGACGTCAACGAAGCCAGCCTCGTTTGCGAGGGGACTGTTCTTGACGAAGGCGGGGGCGCCCATCTTGGGCGCAACGTGGAGCAGGTCGAATTGCTGGGTGACCTGATCCTGGCCATCGGGGCGGGCGAAAGTCGCCGTGTTACCGTTAATAGCGACCAGATCGTGCTGGAAGAGGCCGTTCACGCCGCGCTCCTGCTGCAGCGCGGTCAGGGCCTTGTTGTACTTGGGCACGCCGAACATGACTGGTAGACCGGTGGCAAAGTTAATTTTGATTGGTGAGCCGGCGGGGTCGGCTGGGTCGTAGAGACCAGCGCGCTTCCAGTGGTCCAGTGCGAGCCACATAATTTTCTGCGGGGCACCGGCGCACTTGATCACGCCGGCGGGTTGGGTGAAGATGGCATTGCCCTTCTCCAGCTTCTTGATGGTGCCGAAGACTTTGCTGACGTAGTCGTAGCCGTAGATGGATGAGACGGGGGCTGATGGGTCGGCCAGGGCCTCGGGGAGACCCTTGATAGCACCCCAGTTTAGGGCCAGACCGGGGGCTACGATGAGCTGCTCGTAGCTCAAGTTGTCGCCGTTGCCGAGAGTGACAAAGTTCTTTTCTGGTGAGAACGTGGCCACGCTTTCGGCGTAGAGCTTCAGCTGGGGATCGGCCAGATCCTTGAGTGGTCGTCGCAGTTCTTCTTTGGTCTTGAGACCACCGCCGACTAACGTCCAGCCAGGCTGGTAGTGGTGCCACTCGGCCGGGTCGACGATTGCGATCTCATCCCGTGCAAATTTGCCAGATTGTAGCAGCTGGTGACTGATGGCCATGCCTGCAGAGCCACCGCCGACTACGACGACCTTGTGGGCGCGACCCGTCGCAGCAACTGGTGAGGCTGATGCGAATTTTCGGATGCTTGGCATTGCGTGCTTGCGGCTAGCCGCACGGGCTGCCGATGATACTGGGCGGCTGAGCATTGTGTACAACTCTGGAGGGGGAAGGAATATAAGGAAAGAACGCGATGAAAGTGCAGAGTGAAAGGAGAGGAGAGAAGAGAAGAGAAGCAGTGGAGAGGAGAGTTGCCAGCTATTATTATTAAAGGAAGAAACATCTCGTCTCGGCCGTGATCGACCGGTAACTTTACGATACGCCGCGCTTACGGGATCCACTGCTTGCGGCTGGCATGGCAGGCAAGATCCGGGGACCCGAAGAGAATTCTGGTCAAGGCCTGATAATAATGGGATTGGCAAAGAGGCTTAAAATCTCTAATTCAATAGTCTCCGCTCTGTCGGCGACATGTTCGTTATCAATCGCCGATCCGGTGGCAATCGGCGACCAAGGGGCCAATATACAGGATAGAAGCCCGAGTCTGTTCTGTCCCGTTATACTTTTTAAGCTTGTCATAACTCCAGCAAGCTCTAGATTTCAAGTTATTCACTTCGTCAAAGCCATTTTCGAAGGAAATTAATGATGAAGTCTCTTCGCACTCAAATTCCAAGCCGCTGGCCAGCTGCAACTGGTTTGCGACTGTCATCCAGCACAGCATTCATCCCTTGTGGCCGGAACGTGAGTCCACAATTTCAACAAGGCAGTAGGGCGACATACGCGGACCAGAGGCTTCAGAAGAAACAGTCTCCATTAAACCAATCCTTTTCAATCTCCACGTATTGCACAAAATATACCACTGCAAATACCTACCCACGCAGTGTTCAGCAATGTGCAAGATACAGTACTAGCGCCACCACAACCAAACAACCAACAATCCACAATGTTTTCGAATCCAACACTGGAACATGGCAATACATCGTAGCAGACCCCGCTACATCCAAAGCCGTCATCATCGATCCAGTCCTCAACTACGATCCATGCACGCAGACCATCACAACAACCTCTGCTGATGCCTTGCTCGCCTTGGTCAAGGAAAAGGGTTATATGATCGAACGCATCCTCGAAACTCACGCGCATGCAGACCACTTGACATCTTCATCCTATCTGCAAAAACAGCTTACCCAGTCCCAAGGCTTCAAGCCGCCTATTGGCATTGGCAAACGCATTGAACAGGTGCAAAAGCTATTCGGTCAGCGCTACGGACTGGCCAAGGATGAATGGCTCGGCGTCTTTGATAAACTCTTCGACGATGATGAAACATTTTCTGTTGGTGAATTAACCGCAAAGGCAATTCATCTCCCCGGTCATACGCCCGATCACCTGGGCTACCAGATTGGAGGTAAGCCTCTCGCTGCCCAATTTTTATACAACCCCTTGAGACACTCTTGTTAACACTGTCCAGATAACGTCTTCTGCGGGGACACCCTTTTTCACGCAGACATTGGCACCGCTCGCTGCGACTTCCCCGGCGGCGACGCAACCCATCTCTTCCAATCAGGTCGTCGACTCCTCGGTCTAGATGATCATGTCAAGATCTGGCCTGGTCATGATTACCCGCCCGAGGGCCGGGAGCCAATACCTTGGATGAGTGTGCGAGACCAGAGAGAGCAGAATAAGCATCTGAGAGGCGTTGTTACTGAGAAGGAGTTCGTGGAGATGCGGACGGAGAGAGATAGGAATCTCAGTGCGCCGAGATTGTTGCATCAGTCGCTGCAAATTAATATTCGGGCTGGACGGTTGCCGAGGAAAGAGGAGTCGGGGCAGCGACTGCTGCGATTACCGTTGAAGTTGAGTGGGTTGGATTGGTAGGATTGTGTTGGTGATTGTGTTATTTAAATGCGATGATGGCGATTTGTCTGTAGCTCATCTCTGATCGATGTATGAATGAATATTGCATATTGTACCCGACTTTCCAGCGATTCAACCAGTAAACACCTACCACGCATTTCAATTATCTGAAGTCAAAATGCATCTAGATATCCAAAACACATAGAAATCAAGCCTTCAACTACAAATAGTCGTATTATCCCACCAAACTCGCAACAGTACCGATACCAGTATGGCAGCGATGATGCCATCGCCTCTCGCCCGAGTAATCCATTTCTCGCCCGAGCCAACGCCTTCTCGTCCGAGTAGACCTCCAACACCTCCAGCACTCATACAACGAATCGCCGACACAATCATACGACAATCTGGGAATGAATTTAGGAGTAAAGGAGCAATTTTCGGACTGTATTTGAACTAGTTTGATATAAAATGAATGCCCGGGGCTGAGGGGGGAGTGCAGGGTGTGTGGGGTAATGGCATCCAATCATATGTGAGAGACCGGAGACACGGCGAAAGTGGAATCTAATATTCGGAAAGTAAATGGAAGATGGTTGAATTCAACATGAGTGTAATGGCAGATGTAATGAATGCTTTCCTAGTTCCTAAGAAGCGAACCATGTCGGGAAAGATCTTTCCACCCAGATCCTAACCTCCCACCGAAATGAAAACCTTCAGGCTAGGCTTTTTCGTCTTCAGATTTGTCAACTGAGGAATGTATTCTCCATCATTCTCATACATCAATTCTATCTCACTCTGAGAATTTACGCCAGCGAATGCATAGTAGATATGCTAGACATCGGTCAGAATTATGAGAAGATTCGGTGGGAAATAGTATGATATGGACGATGATTTCTTACTGTCCATGGCGCAACATCAATATCCTGGGGCTCAACCGCATCGCATCCACGCTGGTAGTTCCAGGCTTCATAATAACCGGCATAAATTGTCTTAGGTGTCTATCTGAATGAGTGTAATTGGGGCTCTGGGTGTTGCAGGCCTCTGACAAACCCTTAAAAAGAACCCGAGTGCTGTTCATGGAACGCATTTCGGCGCAGGTTTGATCAGTCACCCATCCAGAGACTAGCGAAGAAAGAAACGCTCCTTATCTTGGCATTTTCTATGCGTCCTTTTCTTTTCCCTTATTCTTCTTCTTCTTCTTCTGCCGCTGCTGCTACTTCGCCGGTGACCTTCGGGATTTCCATCTAGAAATTATTGTCGAGGGGGTTGCTTGTATTCGAGTTGCCTACTTCAAAGAGTGACTTTTTGAAATACCGAACAAGGATAGTCAAAGTCCGGTAGAAATTTCATTCAAACATCTAATCCATTTAAATCATAAACATTCTTAATTCCATTATTAGTAATATTGATTGCTTGGGTTGCTCAACAAAGGAGAAGATAGGTTTGGCAATAATCGGTTCATTTAAATTTTGTTAGAGACCTAAAGACAAAGAACAGGGTTGCCTCTTATCCGTAACAAGGCTACTATCCCCCTTATTCTATCCATCCGAATAGATGGGATAGTAGTCTTGTTATGGATAGTTAACTTGTGAAGCCTCGATCCAATTAGGTGAGTAGGCTGCTTATCTCCCCGATTGGCTGGCTAGTTGCGTCCAAAGCGAAGACTTTTCGAGTATCCGCCTGAGACAACTGCGTAGCTCCCTGCTACGTTGCCGCTTAGCTGTGCGGGAGAGCAGTTTTGTTGCTGCAGTTAGATAGATTTTGGGCTTCCACTGTCGTTTTAGCCTCATTTGGCTTTCTCTGGTTTTCGGAGTATAAGGTCTCTCTTAGGGGATAAAGCACTACCTATGTCCCAGCCCTTCTTCTACGAGATAGAATAGTTAGATAGATTTGACCTTATCTTTTTCTCTCATTTTATATGCCTAAGGTGCCTTCCTAGCGACCGTCTCTTTAAAGAATAATTATTGATTTCTGTAACAATTTCAAATCAGCGTATATTTCCTGATTATGCGTAAAAGTGGGGTAAGGGCCCTGATATATGAGGCACTAGTATTAAGGCAGTGATATATAGGAGTTTGGCTTAGTTCTTGGCTGGGGCCTGTTCTAGGCTACCGTTATCGTCCGCTGTACTGGCCTGAGACCCCTTAATACCCCCAACAAGCCCCACAAGAAGCCTGCTTGATCTCCTTCTACTTTGCACGAAATTTTACTTAGGTCCAGCCAAAATCATTCCAAGCCATGGGTGCGCCTAATATGATACCAGAGATATGGTCTCTGGTCTTCCAATTTGTATGCTTCATTCTAGATTTTCTTGATGAATGCCCCAAAATCTAACCCATCCTGAAATGCCATACAGTTAGCTAGGAACGATCTCAGGAATGTGTGCAGTGTATGCCGATTATTTGATGAAATCGCAACCCCTCTCTTGTACCAGTCACTTGTCTTCAGCGACTCTTCCATGAACGGAAGCCACTGGTTCGAGTTTCCTGATGATGAAGAAGTAAAGACACAAGATGAGGCCGATAGTCTTTCCTTTGGCCTCATGTGCAGACTTCTGGACGACCGTAACAATCTATTACGGGGTTTCGTGCGTGAAATTACTTTTCATCACAACGAGCATGATACGATAACAGTAGATCGTGTTTGGCGAAAGCTGCAGCCGCCCAACGATGTTCTCACGACCTTGGTAAATAGACTGCCTAATCTAGAGGCCATACAGTAAGTTGCAGACAGCACATTTTGATTTTCTACAGGGTTGATCGGCCGGTGCTGAAATCTGGATACAGTTTTCAGAACGCGCTTCCAATAACAGATAACCTTGTGAATGCCCTTCTCCGCCATAAGAAATCCCCGAAGCTCCATCTCCTGGGGGAAGATGGCAGAACTCGGGTCGACATTAAGATGCCCTTTGTGCAGAAACTGCATACTTGGGTAGATGCCCAAGATAGAGCTCCCAGAGACCGCTCGGAGACAGATATATTCGGGGCTCGCGCGTGGGAGCCGCAGAGGTTGGCTTTGCATGAGCTTTTCAATACCTTCCCGAATCTTGAAGAACTATCAGTATCTGTCAATTGGCTGCTGGGAGGCTGTGTAATGGATGGCCTGCCCTCTCCTACCAGGATACTGGGGCTTGTTCTATCCGAAGATGCCACATTCCCACCGCTCAAAAGCCTTTCACTGAGTGGTTACCCTATCGAAGGAGATGAAGTTGCTATCTGGCGGGACAGATTCCCTTGGGAGAAACTACAGTCTCTCAGTGTTGGCGTCCAGCTACTACCATCTACCCGGGGGCTCTTGGAGCTAGCCACGGGAAAGCTGGTCAATTTGAAAGAATTTCGAATTACTAGCTACAATCGTTTAAGGTCGTCAGCCGAACTTGATGCCTTTTTGTGCTCATTTAATACTCTGGAAAGTTTGACCGCCAAAGGAGCAGTCCCTTCTTTCAGTTCGGTGATTCATCAATCCAATCTGAAGCATCTCTGCTTACATGCGATCGAAAAACCTGATATGGAAAGAGAGACTCTGGATGTTGAGCAGCTTGAAAACTTGAATCAATATTGCCCTGAGCTTACAACCCTGGAAATCGACTTGGATCCGAATGGCACATGGGTAAGTCGTGGTCTGATATCCCTTCCACTGCTGGAGTTAATCTTTGTCTGTTTAGCCCGACGATATTATCAGTGTCATAGCAACCTGCTTCAAGAATCTTCGTCGACTTTCCATTCACGTTGGACTAGGTATCGCTCATGTGAAAGATACATTTTCAATGGAGGAGGATTTTGCGCAAGTTTTGACAGCATCAAAGGCTAAAGACTTTGCAAAGCGCCTCTTTAAACTCAGAGGACCGTCCGTTCTGGAGATGATTACGCTTAAAACAGGCGAAAACCTGCGTTGGTTTCCGCAATGGCATCCGGAGTATGCCGAAGCAGAATTTCGCTACACGGAGATATTTGAAATCTATGCTCCTTGTGACGATAATGACGAGCCACATTTCAAGGAGTCGGAAAGCGAATATATCCGTCTGATGAGAGCATTAGAGGAGGATAGCATGGCTTTCTGGGATTCTACGGGTCACCCCAGCGCAGATTCAAAGTCTCAACGGCTCAGCAGGTCTCCTCGTATATTCAAAGATCCAGCTTTGCCACTTTGTGCCTAGTATGCAGTACTTGTCTGGTCTGTTTTACCGCTGTTTGACAAACTGGGGATACTGTTAATCATTTGCAGATTCATTGAAGTTATGTTGTATATTGGAAATAGAGTACCATCATCCCTACTCCTTGGAATCATTGCGCACTAGCTTTACTTGAATGTGTCCTGACAATTTCTTTTGAGCATTTAGGACTGGCTATCCGCGGTAATTTGTTGATTGTGTAGGTTCTCTTTGCAATAATCACCATTTGGGATGACAAAGAATGGATATTGCGATTATATAGGGGAACCCCATTCTCGGAGAACCGAGCTTAGCTGTGCCTTTGAAGTGATGGAGCTGGGAACGTCACAGGAGGGCAGTCTACACAGAAAATTATTTTGATCTGGTGATAGGATCATATGAGAGTGGATCTGGCTGAGGAGTCTCCACTTAGTGCTGTATGTCAATCGGCGTTTACGTAGCTCTCGGCTTCTGATAACATTTACACACCCGGTACGGTCATCAACAGGCCCAACCCGCGCAATTCCCTCAACGTGGCACCGTTGATCATTGATCCTCACATATTTATCAGTTCTATCGCATATGCAGCTTTCATTCTTGCATAATATATCCCTTCCAGGACCTAAAATATCCCAATCTTCAAATATCCTACTTCCGTCGGGCCCCTTTTAGTTCAGAACGAAAATGGCATCTCTCCTCCGCCGCCTCCTGCCCACACGTATCCCAAACACAAGCTCTCAACAACGCGACCACCACGCCAACGAGCGCACATTCCTCTCATGGACACGCGCAGGCCTCGGTTTCGCTGCAATGGCCCTCGCCCTAGATCGTCTAGACAAAATTGACCGCGTCCTATCTTCAAAATTAAACCTCGGGGCTATTTTCTCGCCACAGGCGCAAACACAGGTTCAAGAGTCACCCTCTCAGCAACCAGAGTCTCCTCATTCTACAAATAAGGACAAGACCCTAACCAAGGATGGACCTAATGTACCTTCGAAGACGCTCCAATCTGGTAATACTACCACTGCTATGCTGTCACATACTTTCTCCGCATCCCGTTTGTGCCAATTACTTGGCCTGTGGTCCCTGGGTTACGGGTTCTTCCGGTATTGGTCGATGAGGCGGTATTTACTCCAGGGGCAATTTGTGCCTGCGTTTTGGGGGCCGGTGTTTATGACTGCGGGCAGTTTTGGGGCGTTTATGATGTTGGGATTGCAGATGGAGCGGCGGCAATGGCATAGTGAGTGAGAGTGGGGTTTGCGTTTTGATTTTAGAGGTTAATTTTGCATGTACAATATAGAGAGATTGTTGGACATCAGAAGGTAGTTAGAGGGCTAATATTGATTGAGTAGCCGTTCTTCTCACTCGTTGAACCATAAATGATTGTCGATGGGTCTGTGATGTTGGAATTTCACTGTCTACTCAGTTCTACTGCATGGTAGGGTTCTATTGAGGCAATTCACCGGTATGAAGGATACACTACAACTTTGTAATAGCGAAACGAGACTTCGAAGATCCCAAATTTAGGCGACTCTCCATCCTTGCAATTCCGATCTAGAAAGCCAACGAAGCCCTGACCTCGGCATTCGTTTCACAGCTGAGGTAGAGCCCACAGTACATAGAGTCTGAATCTTGTAGAACAACTAGCGACCAATTGACAAGACCGACAGGATGAAAATTTCAAGCCGCCCAAGTGCTCGTTGGTGTAGTCGAATATGCCAGTGTGTGCCTTAAATCACGGTCTGATAACTGAACATCGATGAAACTTCTCGAGTTAAGGATAGTGTCCATGACAATTCAGTCTCGAAATATAACATGTAACACTTCCCCTGGCTAAAGCCCCGTGACAAACACAAGTGGAATCAATACTTAAGCAAGTTCCTCCGCCGTATGCCTTATCGTCCTTTGCATATCGGAAAGCGTCCAAGCCTCCAATTCTCCTCATCAAGGTAATCAAAGCCACCCCCCACCCCAGGTCCCAATATCTCAATATTTAAATGAGAAACCATAATAAATCCATTGTTGGGAGAAGAGAATCATTCTTTTAATAAAAAGGGAAAATAGACTAAGTACCTCGGTAACATGTGGTCAAAAAGTGCCAAAAAAACAAGTCTGAGAAAAAGTAACAAGAATTCCCCGGATCCCTCAACCAGACAGCGGGGAAGAACGGGGCAAAAGAAAAAAACCAAAGAGGGAACAAAGAGGTGGTGTATATGTCTGGTGCAAATATATCCTGTCGACTCTCCATTTTCAATCTCGCTCATTCAGCCGCATGAAAATGTGCGCAAAAGGAAAAAAAACCACCCGGGGATATTTGGCCATCTGTTACGCATGACTAGCTTCCTAATCTATCACCGACCAGATCCGTTCAGGCCGTTCTGCACGGCCTCCAGGATCATATCGCGGGCCTCGTCGAGACTAGCGGCGTTACCGCGGATCTCGATCGCCTCGCCCTGTGCCTGGTTCTTGGGCACGTTGATGCGGCATCCGGTCTTCTTGCGGATGGCGTTGATCTGGCTACCACCCTGGCCAACCACGAAGCGGTAGGTCTTGGGGTCCGGCAGGATCAGGTAGCCAGTCGCAGACTGCTGGTTGGAGGAGGCAATGGCCTTCTCGATAGCGGCGCGGGCCTTGGCAACGTTCTCGGGAGAACCAGTCAGGACCCACGGGAAAGGAGGAGTGTCGGCATCACCGGCGGCGCTGGTGTCGACGACCTTCCACGAGTGGGCATCGGTAGCGGTGCTGGGGTCGTCGGTAATCAGGGGCAGAGAGGTGCCGTTGGCACCACTGCGAGTCTCCTCGGTGGCAGGGTTAGCGGGAACAGCCTGGCCAGCGTGGTCGACGGTCACCTGGTAGTCATTCCGCAGGCGACGGAAGATAGCACCGTTGTCGGCCACGGCGTGGTGCAGATTCCGAGGAACCTCAACAGTCTCAGCGTGCTGCTCCTTGAGCATGCCCTGAATGTGGGCCTTGGCCTCGGCGACGGCAGTGCTGGGGCCCTTGAGCTTAACGTCGGTGCGGCCAGAGCCCTGCTTGGGAATATCCAGGGTGACGTTGAACTTTGACTCGATACCACGGCGGGTCTCACCACCGCGGCCGATCAGCATACGGTGCTGAGCGGTGGGGACATCCAGAGTCTCAGAAACCTGGTCCTCGCGCTCCTTGACGAATTCCTCAATGGCAGAAATAATGCTGTCCACGATCTTGCCATTGCCCTCCAGGCGGATAGTAGACTCAGTGCTGTCGGGACGAGGGAAGCGAACCATACGGGCAGCGCTGCCATCGCTGGGACCACCAGCGTCAGCGACGATCTTGCGGATGTTGGCACCTATTACTCTCCAAGTTAGCATAGCTTAAATAGAAGATGTTGAGGGAGAAAACATACCACCACCACCAATCAGAGCCTTGTGGTACTTCTTGTCCACGTTGATCGTCTTGGTAACCGTCGCATCAAACTCAGAAGCACGCTGCTGCAAGACCTTCTTGGCCTCAGCGACCTGCTGCTTGGTACCCTTGACTCGAATCTGCACACGACCAGAAGCATCGGGGGCATCGTTCGCGCTAGGGACATCGATCTGGGCGCCAGTATCCGCGCGAAGTTTGTCCATCTCACGGCCACGCTGACCAATCAGCGAGGCAACTTGGCTCTGGGCAACGGAGATGGTAGCAGAGTGCGAGTGGTCAACGACCCACTGGAGCAGACTCATAATCTCATCACGAGCCTGATCAGCACCCTTGCTAGGTCCCTTGACCAGAACCTCATCCGCAGCCTGCTGGGGGCGGCCAGACCGGGTAGCACCGGCATCACTGGCAGCATCACCAACAGACTGGTCATCCGCAGGGGCAGTGGCGCGAGGGAACTGGACGCGAACCGAGTACCGATCTTGAAGACGGTTGACCTGGTTGCCACGCTGACCGATCAGCTCGCGGTGGTACTGGGCGGGGATCTTCAGGATGTGGGTGGTCTCATCCTCCAGTTTCTTGCCCAGGTTGATGATGCGCATGCGAGCAGCATCAGCCTTGGCCTTGGGTCCCTTAACCTCAACCTTGCCGTTCTCCACCTTGATATCGACATCGAACTCTTCACGCAGCTTGTTGATGTTCTCACCGCGCTTGCCAATCAGGAAGTTGGCATACTTCTGGGGGAAGTCGAAGGAGGTGGTGTATCCACGCTCCAAGTCGTCCTTCTCCTGCTCTGCGATAAAGGCACCCAACTTGACGGCGAGGTCGATGACCAAGTTGGAGGGTCCACGAAGGGCAACTTCACACTTTCCACCCTTGGCGTCACCAACGATAGCACGGATAGGGATGCTGTCCTCGTCCTTGGTTTCCTGTTCACGTAGGATGAACTTGCGAGTCTTCTCTTGGTACTTGGCGGGAACAGAGACGGTCTTGGTGACGATATCCTGCTGGTCTCCAAGTGCGCTCAACAGGTACTCCTGGGCCTCCTGAAGCGACTTTTCAAAGGCCGCAACTTCAGCGGGAGAGGGACGTTGACGGGGAACCTCAAAGTTGGCCGCAGACGAAGAAGGGCCTTCATAAACAAGGACAACATCGGAGCTGTCGATGTCATCGGGGACCAACAGGTGAACACCATAATCACCCTGAAGCTTGGAAGCACCGCGAGAACGCAGGTATGGGTGGAAGTAGGGGTCAACGGCGACGTGACGGAGACGCGAAGGGGGGTGAGCCTGGACCAGATTCATAATGTCGGAGCGAGCACGGATAGTGTTCTTGCCATCACGAGAGTAGACCTCCCAAGTGACGGGGCCATCAACGCTCGGGGGCAGAGCAATGCGGGCGTCATAGGCGGCCTCGAGCTGCTTAATGATCTGGCGCCGGCGGAGATACTGAGTCAGAGCGCGCGCATGGGCGTTTGAACCAGCAGGGGCGTTGGGGTGCTGGCGAGACAAATCAATGCTAGCCATCTGCATGCTGGTAGCAAGATCCATCGCATGGTTGATACCGGCCTCGATCTGGTCCAGGGGTCCGGTGATAGTAAGGAACTCGCTCTCATCGTTAGCAGGAGGGAGGACGATACCGCAGCCAGTCTGTGCAAGGAACTGGTGCAGAGCATCGGCCTCGTTTCCGAGGATGAACTGGTGCTGGCCGCGGTTGATGGCAAGCTGGCGGAGGGTCAGCTTGCGCTGAAGATCAGCAGCCAAGCGCTCGACCTCGGCACGGGCCTCTTGCGCGGCCGCACGCTCTCCAGAGATGAGGATGTGCTTGTCAGCGCAAGGCACGAACTGCACATGGCCGGGGTTGGCTTCTTGGGGAGGCGGCTGAGTGGACCATGTGTCGTAGCGGGGAACCTGGACCTGCGCCTTCGTGCGCTCCTCGATCTCTCGCAATTGCGCATCGTGCACACCAGCAATGAAGGGGAAGAACTCGGGGGGAATCGTCTTCAAGCGCAGGCTCATGTTTGAGCCGCGTTCCTTGACAATTGCCTCGATCTCACGGCGCGCCATCTCCGCCGCCACGGCATCACCCTCAATTAAGACATCAATGGTATCGTCGTCGTCATCTTCATGGGCGGCACCGTTCTCGTCAGCGCGAGGGACTTGCACACGGGCACCAGTACGGGTTTGGATATCCTGGACCACGGAGCCCTGACGGCCAATGATGTGGGCTCGTGCAGAGGCAGGAATGGGAACGCGGACGGATTGCTAGCCAAGTAAAAATAATCAAATTAGAGATATGGATCTCGGTTCAGAGAACTTTATCGGACGTACCTTGGATCCAACCTGCTGCGCGACTTCCTTGAGAGCCTGGCGAACAGCGTCCACGGAACCCTTGCCTTCAAAGATGATCGAGCCACCAGGACCACCGCGCATGTCAACGGTAGCCTTTGACCTCCGTGAGATATCACGCAGGATATCTCTGATGGGCTTCTTCAGCAGGCCGCGGGGGTGCATCTGGGATGGGGCGAGTCGAAGCTGTTCCATGTGCTTTCCGGGGAGGGACATGACCCGAGGGACATCTATTTCCACGCAATTTGTTAGAAACAGCGCATTATACTTCAACCCCAGATTTCCTTGTCATCATAACGTACCCATTGCCTGAGACGGGCGGCCATTGGCAACAGCCGCTGCCGCAGAGGGCTTCTTCGCACCCCACGTAGCCGCCGCAGGAGCAGCCGGCTTCGGTCCACTGCCGAGGGCAGGGAACAACTCCTCCGATTGTACGTCAAAGGCGGGTGCCTTCTTCTGAGCCGGTTTCGGGGCAGGTGCCGGGGTGGCGGTCGAGGCGGGGGACAAGATAGGGGGCAAAAGCTGGTCATTGGCAGTCGCCGAGGGAGGAGGGTGCTTGAGGTCCTCCTCATCCACGACCTCCTCAACGGTGGGCTTGTGGGCTTCATCGCGGGCATGTTGCTCCTCCAACATGGCGGCGAGGGACTTGGAGGCGCCGTTAGTGGCGGTCGATGTTTCGGCGGCCATGGTGAATAGGGGAGAATTGAGGGAAGGGAGAGAGCGCAAGCGACAGGATAGAGACGTGGCTGTGCAGGAAACAGACTTCAATCAGAACTGGTAAGAATTAATATGAGACGAAGACCACAAGAGAACTTGTCGGGTGGAGAGGAAAAGAGAGGAAACCGAGTGAGTGAGACAGGAAGGAATTGCAACTCACGACTGCAGTGGTACCTTTGCTAATTGGAGATGGCAAAGGATCCGATGCCTGAATGGTCGACTTGGCTGTGGGCAATTCCCCGGAGGAAATGGGGGGGGGAGAGCGGTATGTGAGAGAATCTGGGGAACCTGGACCAATCACCCAGGAGCAATTAAACCCAGAAGCAGAAACCGCGTGAGAAAGGAAAAGAGGAGGGAGGTGAGAAAAAAGAAAAACGGAGGTGAGAGTGATGGGAGGGGAGGGAGGGGGGAAGAGGTGGAGGAGGAGGAAAGGTTGGAGGTGAAGTCCAGCGAGATCCCCAGAAGTACACAAAGTGACCGAAAAGGCCAGCTCGAGGCTCCGGGGAAGTTTTCTCCGAGGCCGACGGGCCACGCGAACGCCAACTGGTTAGTGCAGGAATGGGTAGACTGGGGGACGAGTCAAGTTTTGTGCGTTAGAGAATACTGTGCAGAAAGAGAAGATTGAAAGAAGATTGAACGATCAAAATGGTCGGTCCATTTGACCGGGCGTTACTGCACTGGCAAATCGTAACGGTGGATATGACACTTGCCCACGAGCAGGGAAGTCGCTAGTTCGCATTCCCTATGTTTAGTGGTGCGGTTTTACCAGAACTCCCTGCCATTAGTATGCTCCTATGCCCTTCTAGATGCAATTGAACTTCAATTCATAGAGAAGTACTATTTTAGAACTGATTTTGGGCCAATGCCTTGACTTAATCGATTTGCCCAGATTGACAAAGGTGACCACTTGGCAGACCACGTGCTCAAGAGGCAACGTTCCTTCTTGGCAGTCTCAAATTGGGATACAAGCGATATTCCGTACTCACTAGGGATCAAGTCCATGCCATTGAGCCCTATTGGATGCTCCTACATGACATCTACCATCTCTCATGCTCCGACAAAGTACCAATTGGGGAGGTCGGGAAAGTAGCCACTGCCCAACTCCGAGAGGCTTGCAAATGTCAGGTGACGCGACGATGTACACCAAGCGTGCAGGCCAGACCTACAATAACCTATCCAATCGCATATTTCCATACAATATCAACCAGAAATGACCAACTCAACAGTCAATGCTACACTCTTCCAATCAGAACGATCGAACCGATCGAATCAACAGCCTCGGCGACATCCGACCCCACTTGATAACGGAAGTTTTTCGTCGGACCGCCCAAAGCTTAACCCAAAGCTGATCCTTGCCAGATGTTGAAGCTGAAGAACTAGACAGCAGGGAGATCTACCAATAGATAGACCAAAGCGACACAACGCCTGGTTTGATCTAGCCATAGCCTTATAGATAGGACAAGAAATACAGCCATACATCCCATCCTGACCCATAAAATTCAGGTAAAACTACCAGTGGCAAACCCACAGAGAAAAAAAAAAAAAAAAGGAAGGCAGAAAATAGAACTTCATACAAACCCGATCGTCTAGACGGCCTATGGCCCACCACAAAATGGGTCAACTGCAAAAAAGAATTCGCCGACGAAATCCAAGCCCCAGATTTCTACTCATCTAGTCGCGTGCGGAGAGACCAGAAAAAAAAAGAATCAATCGACAAATTTTCGCCTTCTCTCTTCCACACCTCCTCCCTTCCACCTTCCCCCAAGGCCCGCCAGCCCTAACTGCCGCCGCCGCGACAATCGCCCGCCGTCGCAGCCATGGCCACCACCACCACCGCCGAGGACATGGAGAAAAAGCTACCCACCGAGCCGGCCGTGTCGCCGATCGATGAGCCCGAGCCCGAGAAATTTTCCAGACCGCGCGGTGTCTTTGCGACGATTCGCTACTATGAGGAATACCTGGATCGCAAGATGGGCATAGAGTCGCATAGTTTGGATCGCGTGCATCCGGAGAATCGCGACTCGCCGAGCTCGGTGGTTATGGGGCTGATGTGGGCGTCGGCGACGATGAATATTAGTTGCTTCAGTACGGGGTTTTTGGGTAATGAGTTTGGATTGTCGCTGGGTCAGACGATTCCTATTGTGATCTTTGCGACGCTGTTGGGTGCGGCAGTTACGGTGAGCACACGAAAATTTCATCTTGGCTTCTTTCGTCATTGGGCGGATTCACTGCAATTGATCTTAATCTCGATGGTTGGATGCTGACCGTCGATCTATCTGGCGATAGGGTTGGTGCGCTACTATGGGCCCTGGTACAGGCCTACGCCAAGTCGCCATCTCCAGATACTCGTTGGGCTTCTATCCGTCCTCCATCATCGCGCTGCTGAACGTGATCGAACAACTAGGCTGGGCCTCGGTCAATTGCATCACAGGAGGTCTAGCGCTCAGCGCCGTCTCGGACGGTCGTGTCTCCATTGCCGTTGGTGTCGTGATCATCGCCTGCATTAGTCTACTCTTCAGCTTCATCGGTCTGCGCGGCGTCTTGCTGTACGAGAAGTACGCATGGATCATGTTTTTCATTATCTTCATGATAATCTATGGCGAGGCGGCTCACCACGCGAACCTCGCCGCGCCACCTACCGTTACTGGTATGACGACGTCTGGCAATGTGCTCAGTCTGATCAGTGTGGTGTACGGATCTAGTGCGTCGTGGAGCTCGATTGTCTCTGATTTCTATGTCCACTACCCCGTGAACACCCCGAAGATCAAGATCTTCTTGTATACTACCCTTGGTATTACGATTCCGACGTGCATCGGCATGTTGCTGGGAGCATGTATCAGCTCGGCGCTCGGTACGAACCCCGAGTGGGCTGCTGCGTATGAGAGCGGCATTGGCGAGATCCTGAAGACGATCATCTATCCGAGCGGGTTTGCCAAGTTTTTACTGGTTCTTTTGGTCCTATCTGGCAGTAAGTCTGAACTCACATCGGAAATTGGCTGCTGGTCTTCCGATTTTAACTTGGACTTCACAGTTGGCGTGAATTGCATCGCCATCTACTCTGGCGCTCTCTCTGCGCAGCTCATCGCCGCACCATTCGCAAAAGTCCCACGGGTAATCTGGTCAATCCTCGTCTTCGGTGGTATTCTTGCCCTCGGTATCGCTGGCCGTGACCACTTGCTCGACGTGCTGGAGAATTTCCTTTCGTTGCTGGGCTACTGGAACACCTCGTTCTTTGCAATTTTGTTCATCGAGCACTACTACTTCCGAGCAGGCAGCCTGGCAAACTACGACCTCGACGCCTGGAATACCCCCTCGAAGATGCCCGTAGGCTACGCTGGGCTAACGGCATTCCTATGCGGCGCCGCCGGGTGGATCGTCGGCATGGTCGAGACATACTATGTCGGCGCGCTCGCCGCCAAGATTGGTGCTGATGGCGGCGATATTGCCAATGAGCTGGCACTTGTATTCACGACAGTCTCATATCTACCCCTGCGCACGCTGGAACTCAAGTACGTGGGGCGGTAAGTGTGATTTGTGGTGGAATGGCATGCGCGCCAAGCATTCTATATAAAATGGCAAATTTGCAAAGCGGGTCGAGACTCGAGAGGGAGTTTCTTTGGTCAACTCTGTACAGGAGGCACATACAAGTGTACATTAATGGGTGGGTCTAGGTGGTTCAAAAAGATATAGACTAATCATGAAGAAACGAGCGCTGTGCAGTGATCGATCATATCACGGGGAGATCTTTAAGCAATGGTGACTGTGCATTAGCCCCATAGGGCAAGCCCAATGAAGCGACCACGCCACATTGAACCAAACCACATTAAGATATAGAAATTAGTATGAAGAAAAAACACCTGTCAGACAAGCGTGCCGCCCAAGCAGCCGCCATGCATAGGGTATCGAACAAACGAGTGCGCAAAGGTACTCAAAAAAAAAAAAAAAAAAAAAAAAAAAAAAGACAGGGCAAGTATGAAGTATACAATCCCCGAACCATTGACACGAAGAAACGAAACTGGAAAAATTCCGGACCGATCTCGCGAACGTCCCGATTCCCCATGCGATATGTATAAGATGTAGACAATAATAAGTTGCCGGAGAGTGTATCTGGCACAGCTTTAAACGGCCTTGACCACGGGCCAGCCGGTCGAAAAGTCGAGCTCATTCCAGCCATACATGTATCCGGCAATGCCATTTCCACCACTCTGTTTCACCGAGAGCGGGTAGTAGTGGTAGTACAGAACAGGGCCGAGATCCTTGTCGGTGAGAACACCCCTGTCGCATGTGTCAGAGCTCTGATCTCATGTTCGCGTAGATCGGGCGGGGAATTATAGTCGTGGGGGCGATGGCCCGGGCCATGAACGGGGGGGGAGGAGTGCGATCAACTTACTGTCCACCGGGAGCATAAACTTGATCATGGCTAGCCAGGATAATAGTACCACCAGATTCCAGGCAAGACCGTCCAGACTCGTCGACCTATCACACGCAAAACAAAGAAATCGTTAGTCACAATCACATCCTCGGGGTTCAAGTTACGAGGTTGATCCCCCCGCCGATCACGATCCACTTACAAAGTGCCCAGTCCCACTCGCCGAGCGGCATACATGCACACGGTACTCCTCGCCCTGGGCGGGGTAAGTAGCCGTATACGAGCCGGCAATGCCACCGCTGAAAAACAAATAATAAAAGCCACCATGCTGATACAGGAACGAGCCCTCGACGCGATGGTTCAGACTGGCGTTGTACGCGATCTGGTGCGGTGTGTTGAAGCCGACCCCCAGCGGGCTTTCCAGAGCAACTTGGTAGATGTCTTGCCAGTAGGAGCCGAATTGGAGGTACTGCTGGCCGTTGATGGAGATCCAGTTGGGGTCGATGCGGTTGTAGGCGCTGTTGGCGGGGATGCCGATGATGCCGTGATCAGTCCAGGAGCCCGGTTCCATTGTTTTGGAGGTTGCAACCCCGATTTGGGAGGTTTGCGTGCCGAGCTTGGAGAGTACGTAGTACATGTAGTATGTTCCACCCTGGTAATGCACGTCGGGGGCCTGGACAGGGGTGTTAGCTTTGTTGGAATCCTCTTAGTGGGGAATTAATATAGAGGTTTAACTAGAAAATAGAAACAGCCCCTAACTAGCTCCGCTTGGCTAGTTGTTGTTCTTGGCGATGTGCTCATTTTTCTTGTTTTCTTTTTCCTGTTACATACCCAGATGTCGTGGCTGTCCACGCCGTCAAGAGTAATCTTGGAACCATTTGGCAGAGCCGCGCCCACGTCGGACCAGGGTCCCGTCAATGATGGCGAGGTCATAGTGTTGACACCAGTGCCCGTCGAGAAACGGAAGTACGTGCCATCCGACTCTCGCTGAATCATAGATGGGTCATGAGTCCAGCAATCTCCCGTACAAGGGCCTCGCGCCGGGTAAGCGCTAGCCAATGCTATAAACAAGCAGAAGAAAATAGCCAGCATGGTGGCAGGCAATAAAGAAGAGGGAGATCGACAAGTGGCAAGGACAAGAAAGAGAATAGAACTAAGAATGTCGAGAGGCGTGACTATACTCTATTCTAGAAGGAATCAAAGACTCGTCAATGGGGAGGGGAGAGGTCTTTATTTATGTTGATCCCTTTGTCTTTTGGCTTGTTGCCCCTCTCGGACTGTAAATCTAGGGCTCATAGCTTCTCCATAGAGGGTCATGCAGATGTCGTCTTTGCGGGTGCGTCTTCCGCCTTGGTAGTCAAGAGAGGGTCGTGGGACCAGTGTTGGCACTCCAATCAGGGCGTCATTCTCCGTGGATATTCATCCTATGAATGTAAGGCACATGTCAGTATCAGTCGTTAGACTGGGGCCACCCCCCGACGTGGCTCGGGTGCCACAGTAGGGATGGATAGTGCCGAAGCCCAAGGGGATTTTGATTTTGGGGACAGGAGATGTGGGAGGTAGATCATTGACGGTCTGGGTAATTTGCAAACAGACCCGCTCTGAGTATGCCTTGGGATTTACTCTCAGGAGGAGCCGTTGGAAAGTGAAAGTGAGCCGAGGGCACGGACGGAAATACGTACAGTGACTATGTAAAATATAACGCCTTTACAGTAGATGACCGCGGAAGTAGACTTATACAGACATACATTATCGATGCTTCAGGTTAATACAGTACAAGAAGTTAATAGTCAATAGTCGAGTAGAATGTATGGTTGTTAATGTAAGATTGTATGAGAGATCAGACCGGACTGTGCCGAGCTATCCCTTTTATGATGTCTCGCATCAACACTACAGCGTTCTCCACATGAGTCGAAAAGAATCGCTCGGCGCACCAAATTGCTACTTTTTGCCACAGCCATGAGCACGCTAAAGAAGCGCATCGACTCCACCCATATCCAACTCGAGATCGAGAATCCTGGTTGCGGGCCCTGCTGCATAGCCCTTTATCGCAGAGCCTTTTGAATTGTCGGGAGAGACCAGGGGTGGGAAAGGAAGATGGTGCATGATTCGCAGTCTGGAAGTGCGCGGCCGCATGGGTCCACATTCTCCTCTAGGGCCAAGAAAAATAAAATAAAATTGGGAGCCCTCGTTGTCAGCAAGGGGATTATCTGTGCTGAGGTACGCTATTGATTTCCGCGGTGTTGGGATCTTGGAAATTTCTTGAAAATTTCTGTTTGCTTAGAGGGCGTTAAAGTTGTTGGGACTGGATTAAATGTGTGGAGTACTTGACTCTTGTCATGTATGTACAACAGCCTGCTTTAAGCCAAGATACATTCAATATGTAGATGTGTGAGGTACAGTATGTACTCAGTACATACACTCCACTCTTTCACCATGCCCCGTTGTTATGCAAATCCCAAGCAAGCCCCCTATACTTGCATCACTTGCTGCATCGGTCATCTGCACTCTCAAACTCGGGACATTATTAGTTTCTACCTCCAGTGCCTCACAACTTGCCCATTCATTTTGACTTTTTAAGGCTTTAGCCCAAAAAGTGACTCCAGTCCGGGGAGGCTGATGATCGGCCCCCATGTGGGGACCATTCGCGGCACTGGCTGCGCCAATAAGCTTAGCCGACTTTTGCTGGATCGCCAGCTGAACTGTGCTCGGTCGCAAGAGCCGGTGCTGACCCCCGTCATTGGGGATCGACTTGGACGGTTGATTTTCCACTAGTTATGGAGTCGAGTCACGGTCGGAAAGGATAGCGATCTTTGAAGATCGCCCCATTGATCAAGTGAGGAATGTAATATCACGCTGGGGTTTGGTAGGTCCCATGCTGCGAGAAGGAGGTGGAGGACTAGTACTGTGCTTAGTCCTAGTGAGGGGAGCCTTATGCCCTTCGGCAGGGTCGAAGGGGCTGTGAGACCGCTAGACTGCCAGGGCTCGGGAAGGAGACGACTCCCGAGGAGCTGAAAGACATAACCTGCAACTGGTCTCCCTGGAGGAAGAGCCTTGGAGAAGCGAGACCGACAGGCACAGCACAGTAGTGCTGCGCGAGATGTGGTCATCACGGTTGATTTGTCTGGTTATTCCTGCATGTATGTCGCAGTTCATTCCCCGAGGATTTGGGGGCTATCTACACCGACCTTCTGGGCGCAGTAACTGGCTGTTGCACGCTGGTCCTTGGCTGTATGTTGCATGCCAGGATCGATGCTGATGTTGGACGTGGGAAATCCTCGGCAAACCCGCGTAGCCGATGGCCGACCTTGGCCATCGTCATGCAGCAGTCAGGTCGGGAAGTGAATCATCGTTGGTTGGCAGATACCTTCGTTTACGATGATGTCTGCAGGCTTTTCGAGCCGATGCTATCACGCGAGTCATGGGGAAAGTTACGAGATGGGCCCGATGTGGAGAAAGCGGCGCAGTTTAGAGCTGACGAGCCAACAGCTAATCCCAGTCGGTGACCAACCTGATTTCCCCGCCTTGTAGGCACTAGCACTACAGTACCAGGCTCTGCCGTACTCTAGGTAGTGGTGGTCATCGTATGAGTTAGTAATATCGCAAATCTTGATGAGTTAATATGACCCGCTCCTCTGCTGTTTCCTTCCTCATCGCTCATCATGCATGACTGCGTCCATCGGGATGACTGCAAACACGAGACTCATGGCGTGCTCGGGTCGCCCGTCAAGGTTAGCCAAAGGCGTCCAAAGGCGTCCCCAGTGCTCCATAGAGATGCCTTGCTGGCCCTCCTTCTCCCGCGTCCATCAATCTGACTTTGGGGACTTCCCCTCTCTTGGGAGGAAAGGCGGCATGGTGATCAAGTGGGATTCTGACATCAGACAGCCAGTCGACGGGGAATAGTGCAGCGTGCAGGTGAAAAAGAAGAGGATGGAAAAGGCTCGGGTGTCGTCAAGTTTTGGGAGTGTCCAAGGGTGTTCTCCGGGTGATAATTTTGTTCTTGGCTTCGCGGGGTCCCCGCGACTGCTGGCCTTCTTGTAGGCTGTAGAGATAGTAGTATGATCCTCTATTCGAATACACTGTGTGTTGATCGACAACCCCATAGTATATAGTCAGGCTCTATTCTCCTCTGAACTTCATCTTTTGAAACACTCATCGTCGCATCAAAGATATCCTTACGATCGACAACTGCAGGCACCATCCACGTTGACCACACATTCCTCAAATTTAAGCTTGTTTACGAAGAAACCATCTTCATCATTGATGACGCGGCACGGGCGCTCGCAGGGCTTCCACATCGAAGCTTGATTTTGACTACAACCAATAGTGTCTCGGAGCTGCCCGTATTAGCATCTCATGGTACCTTCTAAATAGTATAAAACTCAGGTATGATCTCGAGATACTGCAAATTGAGAGTATAAATAATTACTCGAATGCGGTTGATTTATACTACACTAGTGTCACACCATTAACCCCTGTACAGCCAGGACGGCGATCCACGATCGCAAATGGAACACATGAAGCATTCGCGTTTGTCAACATGGTCATTGTCGCTCTCATAAACAAGGTTTCTGCGCTATCTATATTTTTAGAGGTAGCAAGCACTACAACACCAATCTATAAGACTTTGTCTCTCTGTCTTCTAGACAGACAACCCCGCATTTCTATTGGTACGGCCATACTTTCGCGTGTAATTCCCGCTGGCGCTCGTTGTCAGCCAAATCGATAAACTAGCGTTTGAAACGGTTATTCAACTCCACGGCCCGCTCATAATACTCCCGGCGTACCATACCGCCCAATGGAATAAGCCCTGTATCTTGCAGCTCGTGCAGAATTGCGGAAATCCCCTCAACAAGATCCATCTCATCTTTGGTGTTGTAATAGCTCTTCTTCGCTAAAATGGACTGGGCATGGCACTCCACCGTGTCTGATTCCAATGTCACCCCCAACGGGCGACGACTGTGATCAATACATTGCGTAGCGAGAATAAGTCATCTCGGTGCCAGCATCCAGGGACCAAGCGAATGGTTTTGTCTTAACTGTGAGGAGGGGATCTGCGAGAACTTCCCACCGCAGAGGATCCGTTTCCTTGACCGCATTGTAGTAATGATCTAAATGCTTTCTCTCATGCCTGCTTTGATCTGAATCTGGTGTGCCAGACAGCTCAAGCATTTGCGGACAAGACCGCTGCAGAGATATCGGACAAATAGAAGTCTGTTGCCAGTCTATTATGGATGTGATCCGGTTGGTCCCTGGGTCAACGAATATATTGTCAATGTGTAAGTCTGGATGAGAAATCCTGTTGGGCTGTTCGATATTTGACGAAGCTGCGAAACATGGACCAAGGGCCAAGAAGTCCTTGATAAGGGTAGTATAATCGTTCGGTGTCTCCGGAGTCTCTATAGATCGATAAAAATTGATTCTTTGCCTCGCATAAGCGGTCGCCTATTTAATTTCGTTCTTTCTAAGGGCCGTAGCGTAATCAGCAACGCTTCCCCCTAAGCTCGTATTACCTAGCGGAAGAATATTTCAAGTTAGAAACATATATAGGCCTCGGTCTAAATCTATTACTGCTTTTTCGTGTTCCTAGAAACCTGGATTGGCTGAAGGGCCGATCACAAACGATGGCAGTTGGTCGTTTTGAGGGGTCGCTGACTTCGAAAACCTATATCGTGAGCAAAGGGCCTTATAATGTAAGGATCTTGATTGAAGATCGGTCTCGGAGTATATATAACCGTGTTTAGGGAAATAAATCGACGTAATTTTTCTTTTCTATTTCCACGACCTGGTTCACAACGTCTAATTGTGCGCCTAAAGTGAGGTTGGCCTAGACTTTTCTAAGGGGTTGACCGGTAGCCTCCTTCTCTTCCAGAATATATTCAGCACCTACTGGAATACATGCCTCGGCCGACCAATTATAGATGCGAGGGATGGGTATACCCAGTTCGTCGCGCAACTTTGACGTTGCATTAGCACCTGCCCAGAAAACCGCGGTGGAATGCTCCAACTTACAAAGCGGAGTGTCGCGACTTCTGATGCAACAGTGTAAAATGGCGGCCCCGTATTTGGATTGGGCAATCGAGCGACGACCTAAACAACGGGAATTCAGGAATCACCTGATCCGCCCTCGAGTGCTCGCCAAAGAGATGTTGATGTTGATTGCATCCTAAGAGTCCGTAACGAATACCTGGAGATGGCCATGAAATCTCGCAAAGCACGGGGAATGCGATGTTGACAGAAGAGACTTATTGTTGCTTGGTGTCGAAAGTTCATCATTCCAGGGGAGCTTATAACGGTTTCTCAAAGGCTACTCGGAAAAAGGTATTTTCGGATCCGTAGATTTGTTTTGGAATTGTTGTATTGTTGACACGAAAGGAAGACACCGAAATGACTCTATAAGCGGTCTGGCGCGGGCATCCAAAATGTTGCCTCTCCTAAGGCTCAGTCCATATTTGGTCAGATGAGGGCAAAAAGTCCTGTTGGCTGTCCTGTGCTGGCTTAAGAAGGTCCTGGAGGGGGTAAAATAACCTCAAATTGAGATGTACCAGGCCAGCTATTTGATTTGGATATTTCAATCCAATCTTCCGGGGCCATCGAGCTAGCGCAATTTGTTTTGCACCGAGTCATCTGAGTGTGGTACAGGACTCGGCAGTCATTCATATCTTCGTATCACAAAATTCGATAACATGCTGTATATGGAATTCCCTTCCCCTATCCATCTACCAATCTCACCTCACATCAATGACCCGGATGCCTGCGCTCCATTCTACGCCCAAACATATTCGTCGGTACAGCAGCCTCCACAGCCTGCGACGACTCCAGTCGCATCTCTTCAGTGACCGAACTCAAAGGACCACCAATACCTTGAGGCCTACTAAAGAACGTCACTTGATAGATAGGAATCTCCCCGGGAGGCGCATACCGCACATCAACAAGAAAGTCGCAAATCCGAACATGTTCCGGAGGAACCCAGTCATCATCCGGCCGCACACCCGGTGCCAGACCACAACTTTCCTCTTCAATCTCCATCATCCGAGAGAATATCGCACGGTAATGCTCCGCCTCAAACAGCCACTCCCGCCGCGGCGACCGACGCAACAAATCCAACCCCTGCCGCCGCAGCCTAGGCCAGCGGCATTTCCACGCCACAGCATGCAGCGGGAAAATCAGACCAAAGTCCAAACTCAACGTGCGAGATAACTCGTCCGGAAACCGGACTCGATCGGAGACTAATGCGTCGGCGAAGCGAATCACGTCTTCGTACTCGGCTCGATGCTGGTCCCATTCACACTCGGACTGCGCCTCGTACGCTCGCACACCGAATGTAGTAGCCAGTCTGACGATGCTGATGACGTCGGCGATCTGCTGCTCTTTCGTGTCCCAGGTGCATTTTTGTTGGCGGATGAGTTCGTCCACGTTACGCTGCCATCTCCCGAGGTTCTGCTGTACAGATTTGGAGACCACGACGGCGTCGATGTCGGCGAGCGGTCTGTGGACGAGACCATCGTCTAACCCGGTGCAGACACATGTCGCGTCGGTGATCATGTCGATGAGGCCGATGCGAGCTTCTTCGAGGGTCTCGAAGCGTGTGGCGAGCAGTAATGCCCCGTGCTGGTCTACAGGGTTTAAAAGGAATTTATTGCGATGGCCGCCGGCACATTCAACCGCGTTAGTATTGCATAAGCTCAGTATCGGCGCCACCTCTGTCTCCATGAACCGCGCCTCAAAGGATGTATACTTGCGACCCCAGGGCGCGGCGGGCCTGCCATTCTTCTCCCGCCACGCTTGTAGCAGCTTGATACCCGAGGTGATGTGGCCTGCGGCGGCTTTGGCGTTGCCCTGGATGATCTCGAGACAGGTGAAGAGCACGTTTATCATTGCGAGTAGCGGGGTTGCATTGGGACTGGCTGCGACTTTGTCGAGAACTGCGCGGATGGACCGGTTGTATAGTTTGATGTGGACGTTTGGTGGGGAGTTTCCCTGGGGCATACCATGTCGCCCTGTCGCTGTTTGCTTGTGCAGGAGGGCGATGGCTGCGATCGCTTGGCGGATGGCTGGTTCGGAGAGACTCTGCTGGAGTACGCTGTGCTGGAAGAAGGCGCCTCCGAAGAAGCCTGCTAGCTGTGGTGCAGTCTTGATGAAGAAGAATTCCAGCGCAGGCGGTTCAATCAGATCGTCGACTGCTGGTGCGGGTGCCAATGGCCTAGGTAGGAGGGATGCTTGTTTAGGTGTTGCATAGCCGTCACATATTCGCCCGGCGTTGGCGCAGCTGTAGAAGTGAGTTGAAAAGGCTTGGAGAATGGGAGAAGGTGTATGAAGGGAAAGCCAAGGGGAGAAAGGGAATGGAGATTAATTTACCGAATACAGGTGGGTTTCCCTTCATCGCATTTGACTCGTCGAGTCCTAGAATGGATTGAGTGACGCGTTCGCAGATTAATTGCAAATTACAGGGCAGCAACTAACTTGCAGGTCTTGCAGCCGGTGCGCACCTTAGGCTTACTCAGTCTCGTGCGCTTCTGCTTGGACACTGGGTCCTCGAGCGACATCTTGAAGCCACCGTAGGAATAGGAAGGATGAAGTCAATCAAGCCTCGCGATGGGAATGGGCACTATACCGGATCTAGTGTAGCATGGCTTATCGACGATCTGTGGAAAGGTCAGTCTTTGGGGGTCTGATTCTCATGAGATGTTGCAGTGAAGCGTGGGGGCGAAAACCATCAGCGGGTGGGTTAGACGATTTCAGCTGGTAGGGCGACCTGCACGACCTGCAAGTATGCAGGAGGGGATCTAGTCGGTGGCAGTGCAGTGTACCTGCAGAAAGAGATATCTCGTCGCATATTGTTCGGTAGGAGTATATTCGGTCAGGTGGAAGGGATTGATGGGAAGAGTAGTTATCGAGTATGTTTGGAGATATAAGATCGGATCAGTCGCCTTTCGGCGGACAAGGCCAGTTGAAAGGACGAGCCCTGAGCACTACCTATCGATACGATTTGTTTTCACTACTACTCCTGTCAGTACCGTCGAAGCTGTCCTCAGTCCTCACGCTACGGAAAGATAATCATTTCCATCGTCCAGAGATGGTTTAGTTCGTGGGAGCAACCCACTTCTTTTCTTGTCCCGCGTTTGGTCAAGGCCCAACGTTAGGTGTCCACTTTGCTGCCCACTTTAGCCCCGTCCATCCACTCGGGTGAAATGAGGAAATGAGCAGACCAGGGGGGGGGCGGAGGGGGGGGGGTCTTTGGAAAATCTAGAATGCTTCGGAGAAATTACATGGCGGTTGGGGAGCGGGAGAGACATTGCTTGGGCTGGCTTGTCATCGTGATCGTCTATAGTGACGGAGACGCATACGGGCGATGATCACAGTCAAGGAGAAAGGTCAGGAGGTGGTATAGTAGAAATGATTAGATAATCCATTTTGATTGCATCGACCGGGTAATATATTCGAATCTTCACCTTCTACCAGGAAATCCCGGTCATCTTAGTTCGATCCATCAACTCCTGTCCGTTAAACCTGCCCTCGTCGGGTCCCCGCGTCATCGCCAAAAAAACCAGCCACCGGCCTTTGTCTCTTGTCTGTCTCTCTCCCTTTTCAACTCCGCTTTCCACGTGCCAACCACCGTTGGGCCTTCCGCGTCTCTTGGGACCCTCCAACCAACCTCTCACTCCCTCCCCTTCTCCATTCTTCTCGCTTCATTCCAGATCTTCTCATCCTCAACGACCGTTTTTTTTCCCATCCGCCACTCACCTTAATTATATCTTCCGATCAGAAAATTACCGCTGTCCCACCTCCTCCCTCCCCGACCGTGGCCTCTACGGTCGCAGACCATCCCCCCCCCCCAATTGGCCTTGGAAAATTCTCCTGATCCTTCCCCTCCTCGGCCCAATTCCAATCTCAATCGTGTCCTGTCCCCAGCGACAGCGACAACCCCCTCCGGTGCCCGCCCACCATGAGTTCCGAAAGTAATTTCTCGTTGAAATTCCGGCGCCCCTCCAGCAAATTGCACAAGGATCCCCCTAGCTTCAGTTCGCGCATTCTTCGAAGTCATCAAAGCAACACCTCGCTCAAGCGCCACCCCTCCGCCCCCGTCTACCCGCGCTCCTCGCCCAGTGGCAGTCGCGAGCACGTCCGCTCGCGCTCCAACGCTGCCTTTGGCTCCTCCTCATCCTCCTCCCTCGAACAGCATAGCCAGCACAGCCAGCATAGCCAGCATAGTGGTGGCCCCTCCCCCATCGTCGATGAGGGGTCCGGGTCCTCGACCTATTTCCCCAGTTTCAGCTCCTCGCGCTCCCGGACTCGGAGCTCCAACCGCTTCTCCTATAACGAACGCAGTTCGGATGAAGTCAATAATCCCTCCTTTGAAACGCGGGGTATGCTCAGTGCCCTCGATGAGAATACCGCCGAACCCGATCATCAACCCCAGCATTATCAACCACAATCACAGCCTCCGCCGCTGCGCTCCCATCATACCAGTCCCGACGACCCGCGCGGCCGCCAAACGCTCCGACAATCGGCCAGCTTTACGGCCCTGCCGAACCGGATGATGGACTCCTTTGCGCATCGGGAGACCGAGCGGTCGCACCACGATAAGCGTTATTCCGATGAGGTCAATACTGGCAATCCGGGCCCACCCCCTCCTCGCACGGGAAGAAGCAAAAAGGCGAGCTTCTCCAGTTTCGTCAACAGCATGCTCGGGTCGCCTCGCAACATCAAGATTTCCGCCCCGGAGAATCCGGTCCATGTAACGCATGTGGGATATGATAACCAGACCGGTCAGTTCACCGGTCTACCCAAGGAATGGCAGCGACTGTTGCAGGAAAACGGTATCTCCAAGAAGGAACAGGAAGAACACCCACAGACAATGGTGGATATCATGCGATTCTACGAAAAGAATACTCGTGGAGATGACGACGAGGTTTGGCACAAGTTCGACAACGCATCATACAAGGCCACTACAACAGCAGCCCCGGCGACGGGGACCTCGCCGCCCGGTAGCCCCCGATTCCCGCAGAATCACGAAGGCAGTTTCGAGAACCCACGATCGCCGCCTCCCATCCCTCGCGGTCCTCCCGCAGTATCGCCCGCCGCTGCCATTTCCCCGCCTCTAGGTAGCCTGGTTCCGCATCGTGCGCCTCCAAAGCCCCCGACCGGCATCACCCCAGCGCGTCCACCTCCGCAACCTCCCGTATCACAAGGCTTTACTGCCCTGCCGCAGCGACCGACTCAAGATCCATATGGCGCATCATTTGGGTTACCACCCATGGTCGACGCAGCGCCTGTAACCTCTGGATCGCCCAAACCCAGTCGCTCCAAACCCAGTCGCTCCAACTCCCGAAACGGCGTGCCGGCTCCCAAGCATAATGTGATCGCCTCCCCGACACAATACCAGCAGCAACAGGAGCAGGTCATGGCAGCTGCGCAGCAGGCAATTGCATCAAAGCAGCTGGATCGGAGCACGAGCCAGCGCACCCAGCAGCAACCACCTCAACCACCTCAACCTGCACCTTTGGCCACGAACTTGGGCCCTTCATCCACGGATCCTTCGCCTACTTCAGCGTCTCCCAGCACCCGCGCTCCGCCCGCTGCCCGTCCACGACAACGCCAGCAGCGTCAGAGCAATATAATGGATGTACGCCAGCGCCTGCTTCAGATCTGCCATCCCGGCGATCCGACTCAATTATATCACAGCCTGAACAAGATTGGCCAAGGTGCTTCCGGTGGTGTATACACGGCATATGAGACGGGCACCAACAACTGCGTGGCCATCAAGCAGATGAACCTCGACCTCCAACCGAAGAAGGAGCTCATTATCAATGAGATTCTTGTGATGAAGGATAGTAAGCACAAGAACATTGTCAATTTCCTGGAGAGCTTTTTGCACGGGCTGGATCTGTGGGTTGTCATGGAGTACATGGAGGGTGGTAGTCTAACGGACGTGGTCACCTTCAACATTATGAGTGAAGGGCAGATTGCTGCTGTTTGTCGCGAGGTAGGTTTCTCCAGTAGTGGCTGTGGCTCTGGTTTTTGATTATCAAATTGCTGACGAAATTATCCTAGACTCTGAGCGGCCTTCAGCACCTGCATTCCAAGGGTGTCATTCATCGTGATATCAAATCCGATAACATTCTTCTTTCCCTGGAGGGTAACATCAAACTGAGTATGGTTTCCCAGTCTCTCTCTGTTATATTCTGCAATTACAATGCTAATATTCCACAGCCGATTTTGGTTTCTGTGCCCAGATCAACGACTCCCACAACAAGCGCAACACTATGGTCGGTACCCCGTACTGGATGGCGCCCGAAGTCGTCACTCGTAAGGAGTACGGTCGCAAGGTCGACATTTGGAGTTTGGGTATCATGGCCATTGAAATGATCGAAGGCGAGCCGCCTTATCTTACCGAATCGCCACTTCGTGCCCTCTATCTGATCGCCACAAACGGAACCCCCAAGATCAAGGATGAGCATCAACTGTCACACATCTTCCGTGACTTCCTCCACTTGGCCTTGAAGGTTGATCCGGAGAAGCGTGCTTCGGCGCACGACTTGTTGAAGGTATGTTGCTTCTTCTTTTCCTGGACTTTGTTCCTACTTTCCTTCGAGTCAACCCACTAACGTCTCATATAGCACCCCTTCATGGGCCTGTGCTCTCCACTTTCCCACCTAGCCCCGCTGGTCAAGGCTGCGCGTATCAGTCGCGCGCAAGAGAAAGCGCAGAAAGGCGGCGCTTGAACGACTAGGTTCTCTTTTTTTCTCCTTCCTTGTCCATGTTTCGGTTTTTCATTTACTTTTTACAAGTCTTTTATGACGTCTCCCTCTTCCCGTCTCGTTCAGATACCCCGACACTCCCAATTGTTTTTTTCTTCTAGATTCCGGCATGTCAACATATTCGCATCACCATGTCGTTGGAGTCAGTCCCGTTTTTTCTACTGATTTATTCATTATATTCCCATTTATCCATATTCATTTTTTCTTTTCATATTTCCCGATCCATTCCAATTCTTCATGAACATTGTCTTTACGCGATGAAAAAATGGGCTCTCCACCCCATGCCTCACTTTGTGACCTGACGCTGTGATCCTGGTATTTTGAACTAGGAAAGAATTAGGGATTCATGTTTCTCTACTCTGTCCATCTTATTTTATCTCCCCTTCCTGTGTTGGTTTTACCCTTTCCTACAATGGGTGTGTCTGTAGCATTATGTAGTTCTACCCTGTCATCTTGCTATGCGATTCGAGTATGAAGAAAGCGGGCTGAATCCTGCTTCTTCCTCTGCCCGCTTGCGCGTTATGTGCAATGCTATCGTGACTCTCTACCAAGTGGGATTTAGAATGCGCTTGGTCTTCGCATTCGGCGTTTGAGATTTGAAAATGTCTGTCCTTTATCGATTCGGGAAATGGTCCTTTCACTTCTGTGATCCCGGGTCGTACATCACTTCTGCCGTTTAATGGCGATTCTACCAAGTACATTTCTATTGACTGGTTTTGACGACTGTGATCTCTCTTTCTGTATCTTTCTATATCTTTCTACCCAGTGCAGATGCCATTTGTAGACGAACAGTTACACATTCCATGTCACAGCCACTGGATAAACGAGTACGAGCTGCCTTGCGAGCATGTAGATGTGGAAATATATTGCTCTCGGCCACATAGCAATCCAACACATCAAAACTCGACAAAAAGCTGGAGCCTACATCTAACAATCATCAAAGAGGGGGCGAAAACACTGGAAGTAAAGTAGAACCCAAAATTTGTGCCACAAGCAAAAAAGAAAAACTTCCCCTCGAAGATCTTGTCCATCCCTCAAGGCAGACACCATTCTCGTGGGCCCTGAGCTAAGAATATCCGAGCTCCCATCCACCTACTCCCACCGTCGTCATCGTTCTGCTGACTCAGGTTCCGCCCGGACACAGCACTGACAACACGCAGGCTTCCCTGATCATCGCCTGCAGAGCAAGCACCCCCCGTTCGTCACGACAACCAGAACTTCCTTTCAACATCTCCTTCCAAACCCGCCTCCCTCTCTGCTCCCCTCGCCATCGATCTCCTCGCACCCAGCCGTGTCGGCCCGATTCCACCTCGTTCAGCCGCACCCTGGTTTTGGTTTCTCTGCCACTCAATCCACTCCCCGCATTTAGTGCTCGACGGCACTCCCCCCGACTGCGACTGCTACAATCTGCAGTGCAGTGCACTATTGGATATCCTCTTCTACGCAGATTTCCGAGTCTAGTCGATTAAGCCGACGACAGATAGTACACGGCGGAAGGGCTTAATTTCTTGACGGCGTGATTGAACTACCTAGCTTAAACCGAGGAGCGGTGCCTGACAGACGACCGAGTACCATTCGCACAACTGCTACATATCACTTGGCACAGTTTGGCCTCGTGGGGCAAAGATCGTGGCAATGTTTCGCGCGCAGCAGAATGCCTTTGACGACGCTGTCGGTGAGTCGTGTTTGGAAGTACTCCTCGATTTGTTTGGGGATTCCCCGTTGCTGGTCGTAAGCTGGACATTATGGCAGGCCGCGAGAGACTCGTTAGACGGGGGGCCTTGTGGATCTATACTAACCCGTCATTTATTTTACAGCCAAGGCGACCGATGAGAATCTGACTTCGGAGAATTGGGAATATATTCTGGTGCGTGCTGGGAGGACAGGTTTACTGTCGTTGATTGATGGGGGCTCTTTGAGAGCTCAGGCTGACCTGGTTTGATGATATAGGATGTCTGTGATAAGGTCTCTGCGGAAGAGTCGGGGTATGTGGTTCATATATACGCGCCGGCATGAGGATGTCGTTCCTGTTTTGCGAGAAGTTCAATACTGATTGTGGTTTTGGTGGAATAGGGCGAAAGAGGCAGTTGCTGCTATGATTAAACGGTTGGCGCATAGGAATGCTAATGTGCAGCTTTACACTTTGGAGGTTTGTCTTCCTTTCCTGGAGTATTGCGGATAGAATTTACTGACTTGGATTCTAGCTCGGAAATTCGCTGTCCCAGAACTGTGGTCCCAGGATTCATCGCGAGCTGGCCTCCAGGAGCTTTACAGATGCTCTGTTGCGTCTGGCAGCCGATCGGAACACACATCAACAAGTCAAGTCGAAAATCGTGGAGCGCATGCAGGAATGGACGGAGATGTTCGCGTCAAACCCGGATTTCGGTATCATGGAACAAGCCTATATGAAGCTGAAGACTCAAAGTCGGTACACTATTTTGCAAGCGAGCTGATTGAGTTCTGATCAGTTATCTTCTAGATCCCAACCTGCAGCCTCCATCGAAGCCTGTCAAGAGCGCAATGACCGATATCGACCGGCAGAAGGAAGACGAGGAATTGCAGATGGCACTTGCCCTATCCATCAAGGATAAGAATCCGCCACCCGGTCTGGCACCTCAAGCCGAGTCGTCCACAGCGGCTGCTGCATCGTCTGCGTCCACTCCCGCCGAGGCAGCTGTCGCTCAACCTGTTCCCTCGGGCACATCCGCGGCTACCGTGTCGCGCGTCAGAGCATTGTTCGATTTCCAGCCTTCAGAGCCTGGAGAGCTTCAATTCCGAAAAGGCGATATCATTGCAGTCTTGGAATCGGTGTACAAGGATTGGTGGAAGGGTTCTTTACGTGGACAGACGGGTATCTTCCCTCTGAACTACGTAGAGAAGCTGCCCGACCCTACCGTGGAAGAGCTACATCGAGAGGCCCAGATGGAAGGCGAGGTCTTTGGCCAGATCAAGAATGTCGAAAAGCTCCTGACACTGCTGAGTACTCGGAGCTCGGACTTGAATGTTCAGGAGAACGAGGAGATTACTACCCTTTACCACTCTACGCTGGCCATTCGCCCTAAACTGATTGAGCTTATTGGGAAGTACTCGCAGAAGAAAGGTAAGTCTCTCGTGCCTTACTCTGGCCATTTCTTGCTTTGAAGTATACATACTGATCATGATTTAGACGAGTTCACCCAATTGAACGAGAAATTTATCAAAGCCCGCCGTGACTACGAGTCGTTACTGGAGGCCTCAATGGCGCATCCTCCACAACCTCAGTATGGACGTCCTGGCCAGCCTACGTACGGTTATCCTGGGGCAGCCCCTGTTGGATATCCTCAGGGGCCTCCTCAGGGGCCTCCTCAAGGGCCTCCTCAGGGTGCTCTCCAGCCGGATCAGCGATACTTTAGTCCTCGACCTCAAGGTCTGCCTGCCCCATATAATTGCCTAGTTGATCACACACTCATTCAATCATTAGAAACTCCTACTCCGCAGGCACAGCCGAACGCGTACTACGGCGCAGAACAGTCGATGCCATACCGACCCGCATCTCAGTCTCCCGATCCTCGCACTCAGTACCCCGGTGGAACCCAGCCGCTTTCACAGCCGCTGGCTCAACAGCAGCCCCCTCAGTCCGACCCCTACCAGCCTGTACATCATCGTCCTCAGTCCACATATGATGCGCCGCAAGAACTTGGAACATCAGTCTACGATTCGCCCGTTGACCATCCAACTGCTGCCAACCAACGTCCGCCCTACCCTCAGACTGGCCAAGCTCCCCCATCCGCCCACCAGCAATTCCAGCAACAGCAGCAACAACTGGATTACTCGCCCTCCGTCTACTCCGCCGAGGAACCTCACCAGCAATCCCCGCATCAGTACCCTCCGCAGCAGCAGCAGGCACAGCAGGCACAGCAAGCCCCATACCCAACCTCTCCACCACACCAACAAGCTCCACCATTGCACCAACCACCCCCCGTCCCCGGTGCTGCCCCGCAACCTACCCAATACACTGCCTTCAATCCAGCTCCATCAGCCCCGCCAACCGGGGAATACCAGGCCTACCAGGCCTCGCAAGCCGGTGTACCTGCCTCAAACCCAGCTTCCTTTTACAGATAAACATGGCTATGCAATGTCCTATGTTAGCTGCGGTCGGTTGATACCTTGATACCAAGGGATTGGAGCTTTTTATTGTGGTTTCTTTTGCCTGCAGGGGTTTTGGGCCAGGGTTTGCTTTTCTTTGTGTTTGACTCTTACCTTACTGGGGCCTTTCTGTTGTATTTAGCCGATTGATGACAGCTGCTCCGAGTTGTTTGCCAGTACATATGCTTCCTATACCTCGGGCTCTTTAGCAATGTGATTGATTTGTGATGTTGCAAGCCTGCTTGCCTAGTATCAGGATAATCCTGGATTTAGGTTGTCATTTGGTCTGATCAGGATTGTGCCTGTGCCTGGTATGCCTACTTTAGATCCGGCTCTTAGTTCTTCAATGTAGGCTAGAAAGATGGTTTCATTATCCTGAGATCCTTTCAGTTGAATGGCGCTGGGTTGGATTTCATCCTTTCACTACTTAATTAGCATATAGTCCCTATAGTCCCTACTAGGATATTCAAGAATGTATTTGAACAGACATGTTATATGCATGATTCTTGATAGAGCTGCCTTCAATGCATGACTGTAATAGCGATCTATAAAGCTCGAAAGACCAGATCAGAATGCTATGAAAAGCATAACTACTGCGTTAATTTCTCCCCCCCCCCTTAAATACATAGGAGCTAAAACTAGGCAGAAATGGCGGGACACACCGCTCTGTTACTTTCGTGAACACCCTCGGAATCAATATGACTCCCGTAACCTATAACCCGTACTTGTTTCTAGATCATACTTCCTGCGGTATTGGGCATTTATCACGTGACTATATCGATATCGACACCTCGATCCCGCGACGGTCTCCAGACGAACAACAAGTATCAACAAGCACCGGCAGACTTCTCCTTCGATTTCATATTGAAGCCGGATCTACTCCTATCTGATCATCAACATACTCACTCAGATACCTTTCCACACGCGCTGTACCTGGCCGGCGTCCGGCTTCCCAAGGCTACTGATAGCTTCCCCGCAATCGCGTCCCCTCGAAGACAATGCTCGGACTCGGTCGTTTCTCCTCCGGGTGAAGGTTGCAGACCCCGAGCCAAGAGATTATCCGTGAGACAGGCAATTTTCGATATTATAATCTGGGGCGATTCCGCCCGGGTTAGTCTGCCGTCACGATGGAGGCTGATTGGGATGAGTTATCGCGCATCCCGATGCCACCGCCGAGTGTGCATGGGCTGCCTACGATTGCGACGACGGTGGCATTCGATGATATGATGGAGCTTTTGTGGACGGGAAATGAATATGTGAGTGCTGCTTATCTATACTCTGACGCTATAAGGGCATTGGTCTGATGGTATTCTCTCTTTCGTCTCTGTAGGGTAGAGTCTCGTCTTTTTACGGCCCGGATCTGCAACGGTATACCTCCGTTCGCGCGCACCCTGTCTCCGAAGGCATGGTGCGGCAGATTATCTTTCACGAACGGGGAGTGATATCTCTATCTTCAAAGAGCGTGCACATGATTACGCGGCGCGGCTTGACACAATGGCATCTGGCGCACGAGGAGATGGTCGACCTTCGGTGTATGAGCTTTACGGCGCAGACGAATCGCATTCTGGTAGCAGGGTGCCAGCACGCGATGTTCACGATTGATATCGATAAGGGGGCTATCGTCGACAAGTTGCATACCGACTCGAACTATACCCTCATGAAAAAGAGTCGGTATCTTTGCGCGGCCACAGACACGGGCTCCGTGAACGCGCTTAGTATGACGGATTTCAAGGTCGTCAAATCGTGGAAGGCACACGGTACCGCTGTCAATGATATGGACGCGCGAAACGACTTGCTGGTCACTTGTGGATTTTCGGTCCGTCACCTTGGGTCTCCGATTGTCGATCCGTTGGCGAACGTGTATGACTTGAAGACGCTGTCACCGCTGCCACCTATTCCTTTCCATGCGGGTGCGGCATATGTGCGGATGCATCCGAAGCTACACACGACCAGTTTTGTGGCCTCGCAGACTGGGCAGCTCCAGGTGGTGGATCTGATGAATCCCAATGCGATCAACCTACGACAAGCAAATGTGTCCTTCATGCTGGGTCTTGATCTTTCTCCTTCGGGTGAGGCCCTTGCCATCAATGATGCTGAATGTTCCATTCATCTGTGGGGGTCGCCTAACAAGGTTCACTTCAACGAAATGAGCAAGGAGATTGAATTCGCCGATGTACCTACCCGACCACCTCCCATCGACTGGTCTCCCGACACCCCCCTGAATATGGTCGGACTGCCTTACTATCACGACCGCCTCTTCTCAGCATGGCCTAGCCATCTCGTCTTCGAAGTTGGTAGCCCGCCACCTCAATTGGACCAGTCTCTACTCCCATATCTGCGCCCAGCGGAAGTAGGGCATGGCGCGCCCAATCCCCGGAAAACTCGTCGGTATCAGTTCGAGAATACCCGTGCACTAGCCAACGCCGAGCCCGCTCTTATTGCACCCAAGTTCCTGAGCGAGAAGGCTCGGGATCAAAGCAAGTCGGACTTGAAGGGCTCCGTTAGTGACACGGCCGAGGCATTGGCGGGCGCAAAGATCAATGGCGAGAGTGAAGATGATCCACTCCTCAAATACAGCAACGTTGAGATCAAATACAGTCGATTCGGTGTGGACGATTTCGACTTCCGATTCTATAACCAGACCACCTTCTCTGGCCTGGAAACTCACATCGCGAACTCCTTCACAAACTCTCTCCTCCAACTTTTCAAGTTCATTCCTCTTTTCCGGAATCTTGCCCTAACCCATGCCGCTGGCTCCTGCATCTTCGAACACTGCCTCCTCTGCGAATTGGGTTATCTTTTCGACATGTTGGAGAAAGCCAATGGCCAGAATTGCCAGGCAACCAACTTGTTGAAAACATTCAGCAGTTTCCGCGAGGCTTCCAACCTGGGCCTGCTGGAGGAAAACCTTACGAACAAATCCCTTTCGACCGCGATTCAAGCCGTGAATCGCTTCTTCCTGACGCAGATTGCTCACGATTTCCGCATGATCCAGCCCAGCTCTGAAGAGCTGGACCAGCGCCTTGCGACTATTGCGTCGGAGTCTATTCGGTGCATGTTTTGCCAGAATGAGACCGTACGCCCGGGCAACTCTCTCGCGAATGAGCTCCTGTATCCAAACTTGGATATCAAACATGCGCGGCGTAACCCGGCATTCCGATTTTCTAGTATTCTGCGCGCGAGTATTGAGCGTGAAACCCAGAACCGAGGATGGTGCAACTACTGCCGCCGCTACCAGCAAGTCATGATTCGGAAGACGGTTCATCGGATGCCTCTAATCCTTGTGCTCAATGCGGCGTTGACGAATCCTATCTGTCGTCGTCTGTGGTCCATTCCTGGGTGGCTGCCGGACGCTGTTGGCGTTGTTATTGACAATGGACAAGTGATGTGTTTCGAGGGCGATGAGCTTCGGGCTTGTGAGCAGAGTAACACGCCAGGGCTTGTGGTCTACGACTTGGTGGGTCTGGTGTCGGAAATTGATATTCCAGAGCACCAGAAACCGCACCTGGTGTCGTTTATCAATGTTTCCATTTCAGAGCCGGAAAGCCAGGAACCGAAGGATAAGTGGCACCTGTTTAATGATTTCTTGGTGACCGAGGTGGATCGTGATGAAGCCCTTCGCTTTACGCAACCTTGGAAGCAGCCTTGTGTGCTGGCTTTCCAAGTAAGGAGCGCACGTCATGGCGTTGATGACTCTTGGAAGAGCTGCTTAGATACCACTCTGTTGTTCCGCGAGTGGTCTTTGAAGTAAGTACTAGTCATTGAGTCAGCTTGGTTCCGAGTGAATATGTTCTAACGATGTTACAGTGGTGGCCACCAAGTCGAGTCCTGTCGCACATTGACCGAGGAAGAGAAACCGCAAACCGGCACACCGGTGGCCCTCGATACCGAATTCGTCGACCTTGAAAAAGCCGAGATCGATGTCAAGGCGGACGGATCTCAAGAGATCGTGCGTCCTAACAAGAGTGGCCTCGCCCGAGTTTCGGTCTTGCGGGCCGCAGGTGTGGATGAGGGCGTGCCTTTCATCGACGACTACATCACCATCCGTGAGCCCATCGTTGACTATGTCACTCAATACTCCGGTATCAAGCCCGGCGATCTCGACCCGCGGACCAGTGAACATAATCTTGTTCCTCTCAAGGTAGCATACAAGAAGCTCTGGCTTCTGTTGAACCTGGGATGTATCTTTGTCGGCCACGGCTTGGCCTCTGACTTCCGCAAGATCAACATTCAAGTACCCAAGTCGCAGACCGTCGACACACAATACCTCTTCTTCTATCCCAGCAAGAACCGTCGTCTCAGTCTACGGTACCTCGCATGGGCGGTTTTCAAGGAGTACATCCAAGAGGAACCAACCTCCGACGTGATTCACGGTCACGACTCTATTGAAGACGCTCGCATGGCCATGCGTCTATGGAAAAAATTCCAAGAATACGAAGACGCTGGAATCGTCGCCCACATGCTCGAGGAGATCTTCCGCGAAGGATCTAAACATGGCTTCCGACCCCCTCCTAAGAACGGTGGCGGTAGTACGGCGGCTGTGCTCTCGCGCCCTGGCACAGCTGTCGCGCTGTCGAACAACAGTGGTCGCAACACACCCAGTACCCCCGACGCTGCTGGAGCATCCGCTGTATCGGCAGCGACATCTGCACCTGTGAATACGGCTACCCCAGCGGCCCGCCCAACCAGTGCTCCTACTACACCACGCCAGGCTTTCCGGCGGTCGATTGCCCTGACCCCTAGCAATGGCAGTTTCTCTGGCCCCGGTGCCGGTGACTTTTTCGGGGGCAGTCCACTGCGATGATATATGCTTTATGCCCTTGACACGTTGAATGTCGAGGCTAGTTGAACGTTCTGTGTTTTCTTTTGATCGTTTGGTTTTTGGCGATTACCCCGATGGTACATGGCATGGTCTTCGAGACTGCATAGACGTAGGAAGTTACTTATTGTATGGATGCAATGGCAGTTGTAAACAGTCACAAATACAAATTACCTCTTTTCAACTTTAAAATTTACTTATATCTGAATACGTATTTAGGGAGTGGAATACTTAGCATTTCTCTGCAGTATCGCGGGACCCTCAGCAAGCTTACCTGCGCTGGTGGAGAATGACGTGGACCGCAGAATCGCTTCGACCTAACAAAACATATTCCACTTCCTGCTTGGTGACCGCACTTGAGAATCCTATCTCAGGAACAAAGACCTCCACCTGGTCAACTTTCTTATTCCCTTATCTCGCACCGCCTTTTACTTTCTCTTCAATTGACCATCTCCTCCTCCTCCTACGGCGCTAACCACCACCGCCCCTCCTCCACCCCTCCGCCTCCCCGCCAAAGTCGCGGACACCCTTTCCTTCCTCTCTCCACCCTAACCCGCGACTACCACATCCAATGTCGAGACACCGCGTGAAGAATGTCGGCTACGACGACGACGAATTCGACGATGATGATGGCTATGACTCGCCCGATCCCGAGGAGCAGGAGTTTCTGCAGCAGTGTACTGCCGCGGTCGTGGGACAGCTTCGAGCGGGGCAACCGTCGCTAACGGCGACGACGGAGGAAGTCCAGGAAGCGCTATGGCATTATTATAATGATATTGACAAGGCTGTGAATTATTTGAGGGGTGTGTATTTGTTTCCTCCTTCAATCTGTCCCCGTCTGCTGGCGAGATCATCGTGGTTTGCTGGTGGGGGTGTGTGCATGTGTGCGTTGCTTTGCTATGACTCAGTGGAGTATCGCTAATACTGGGAGCTCATGTGTGCAGGCAAGAAGGAGAAAGAGGTCAAGAAACAGGCAGCCCCGGCTGTACAGAAGTCGAGGGTTCAGGCTGGTAAGTTTACTTATTTCGTTTATACGTTGGTCGAGGTGTTCGTGGCTGTGCTCGTCCCTGCTGTGGTGGTGATTCACGTTAAAGGAGCTAGTTCTCTTGCATGAGGTATGTGGTCGATCCTTGTCCCCGGTGGTGAAACACCTTGCACTTGATCACCAAGACTTCAAGACTGACGGCACCTGGAAGTTTGGACATCGTTCTAACAGGTCTCCCAGTACCAGGATTCCCAGCGCCTTTACCTGCTGCTGCGCACTTTTCAGCTGCCGATTTCTTCCGTGACTGCCCCTGGCTGAATGTTCCTGCCCACCGCAAGGCTGATATTCTTGTCGAACCGTTGTACCCACGACTGGGACTATTGGGGGGTGCACCAGAATCCGGGGGCAAGATGTCGAAGCTAGCTGCTTTGGCGGCGGCTCGAAAGAAGAAGGAAGGTGAAAAAGCCGCCGCTGCACCGGAAGTGCCGTCAACGCCGCAGCCTGAATGCTTGGACGGGCCACCACCTAAACCATCAGGGACACCACTATCTCTGAGTGAGAGGCTGGCTGCCAGCAAGTTGTCCAAGTCCTCTGAGACAAATGGAGGACTACGCCGACTGGGCAGGCCAGGCGCATCTGTCTCTTTGCCCGCTCGTCAACAGCTAGTCCCTGAACCTAGCAAACCTTCCCCACCATCTCTGCCGGAACCCACCAAGCAAGAAGAGCCAGACACCAAGCCAGAGCCCCAAAAAACAACTCCGAACATCCGCGCTTCTCCATCCACATTTGCCAGTGTCATTCTCGGCAATGCAGCAGGGCCAACTATGGCCGAGCCCAGCCACCTCAACTCGAATAACGTGGATTTGCTTCAAATCTATGGCCAGGACCATGCTGAACCCTTTGACTTTGCAGCTCCCAGTCCCGATGACGTGGTCATGAATGCGCAAAGCACAGCAAAAGGTTTGGCCATCCGCAGAAAGGGTTAGTAGCCACTCGCCTAATAACGTGTAGGATTTAAATCCAAACCCGCTGGTCCCAAGGCAGCTGGCGGTCAGAAGGGCCAATCCGATCTGGCTGGCGGTATGAAGGATCTTTCCGTGGAGGAAAAGGTTACCGTGAAGAGCAAGAACCTCGATGTCGTTGCTGAATATAATAAGTCTACACGGAAGAAGTCGGCTAGTTTTGTGGTGATTGGTGTGTTTTTCCTTTCTCTTTTTATCAGGAGAGATAGCAATGTATGGCTGACAAGATGCAGGACATGTGGATGCTGGAAAGAGTACACTTATGGGGCGGTTGTTGGCGGATCAAGGAGCGATTGATCAGCGTACGTTAGACAAGTATAGGAAAGAGGCCGAGAAGATCGGCAAGGGCTCTTTTGCGCTTGCCTGGGTGTTGGATCAGGGCTCGGAGGAGCGTGCACGAGGCGTCACCATCGACATTGCGACCAACAAATTCGAGACCGAGACCACCGCATTTACCATCGTTGATGCACCGGGTCACCGTGACTTTGTGCCGAACATGATTGCCGGCGCCAGTCAGGCAGACTTTGCGGTGCTAGTCATTGATTCCAGCGTGGGCAAATTCGAGTCCGGCTTGAAGGGTCAGACCAAGGAGCATGCTCTTCTGGTCCGAAGCATGGGAGTCCAGAAGATCATCGTTGCTGTGAACAAGATGGATACTGTGCAGTGGGACATCGAGCGATTCCAAGAGATTGAGCAGCAGATTTCGGCCTTTTTGACGACCGCCGGCTTCCAACCTAAGAATATCGCCTTCGTGCCCTGCTCCGGTGTGCTTGGCGACAACATCACCCGGCGCAGCGAAGACCCCAAGTCTTTATGGTACACGGGTCGGACACTTCTCGAGGAGCTGGAAACCTCGGAACCGTATACGCACGCACTGGACAAGCCGCTGCGCATGACAATAGGGGATGTGTTCCGCGGTGGTGTGCAGAACCCAATCTCGATCTCTGGCCGCCTAGATGCTGGCAGTCTTCAAATGGGTGATCAAATCCTCACCATGCCCAGCGGGGAAACCGCCTTGATCCGCAGCGTGGAGGTAGACGGCGAGCCTAGTGACTGGGCTGTTGCGGGCCAGAACGTGGTCCTCCACCTGGCTAACATTGACCCGATCCATCTGCGTTCGGGAGATGTGGTCTGTCGAGCTTCAGCGCCGATCAAGACCATCACGAGTTTCACCGCCAAGGTCCTGGCTTTTGAGCACTTGATGCCCATGCAGGTGGATGTGCATCGAGGTCGCCTGCATGTGCCTGGCCGCATCAGCAAGCTGGTGGCCTCGCTGGATAAAACATCGGGGGCGGCACTTAAGAAACGACCTAAGATCGTGGCGCCTGGGACTGTGGCGCGTGTGGTGGTGGAGATTGATCAGGCTGTGCCTTTGGAGGCGCCGACGCGGATTGTCCTACGTGCTGGAGGAACGACGGTGGCTGCGGGCCTGTTGGAGTAATAGCCAGTTCTGTAGCGGTTTTGGTCTTTGGTCGTTACGGTCTGGAATGAATATAGAGATACACAAGATACATGAACACTCGCGTGTACTGTGGAGTCTGTAGAGTTGACGCTGGGTATACCGATACTGAAAATGATACCTAAAGGCTTAAAATATATTATACACATATACACCTGAGTTTCAACCTTTCTTTCTGTTCTAGATCTATACGCAATCACTGGAATGGACTCTCAGATGCATCTCCGGTCACGCATACTTAGGATGGGTTACAGTAGAACGTGGTCACATGAAGTTGAGCATGGCCAGAAGCCCTTTTTACACCCTCTTTCGTTGAATGTTAACTTCAGTGACTCCCATATAGTCGTATAGTCGAAGTACAAGAGGGTCAAATTCTACTTATTCTTTAATTAGAAACAAAGTGAGACTTAATGGGGAGATGTAAAGATGATCAATTGAACTATCTGATGTTCTCTTTAAGACGTAGGACTTATGACTAAGATGCTTTGTCTTCTTTCTGACGGTCCTCTAATTCTTGGATACTTCTTTCCATATTTTCTGACAAGGGGACTCATAGAATATACAGTCTTCTGCTAGAAGGAAGATTCTGGGTACTCTATCATGACGATGATGATGATGATGTCTATATTTATTTTGAACAAGAACGTCAAACATTCGTACAATTTCTCTTCTGTAGTATTCGACGCAATCTTGACTTTATAGTCCTTATTTCTATATTTCCCAAGTACAGTATTGTCAACAACTTAAAATTCCAGGATCTACAACTTAATCTGCCCTGGCCCCTTCTGTGGTGCCTTGCGCAGGCATACTTTGCAGACCCTGTTCTTTATGTATGAGGCTCTGTAGATCCCCCTGGTCCAGATTCTCGGCCCCATGCCTCAGGATCGACAGGCAAGATCCAACTTCCAACTTGACAGAATTATGAGGGAAGAACGCATCTACATACTTTTTTGCCGGTGCACCGCTGTCATCTCCATGCCAGATATCAGTGGTACAGGCCACTTTGCTCCTCGTACAATCTTGAAACGTGGCTTTCGTCTGATGAAATTGAGCCACCCCCAAGGAGGCATGGGGGCAAACCGCTTAGCTGCTTCTAGCAAGTTCGACATCGGTGGCGGTCCCTGACTGGTTGAACCGCCAGTCCTCCCCTGGCCAGGGGTCCATCGCCACTTGCCCAATCAGGTTAGTGATTGTTCTAAAGCGGAAGGCGGTCAGCGCGTGTTTAAAGTTGGGTCCGTGGCGAGTGCTGACTCATCGCCACCTGAACGGCCCCCAGCCAATCACAGCGCGAGGAGTGACCTCTCCAGAAAAGGCCAGCATGGCCGCTGCGCGAAGCCGGTCCCTTCGTCTCCATACAAGAGGGCCTTTCGTCTGCTTCTCTTCCTTTCCCTTCTCCATCCCCCTTCGCCTTCGGGTCCCTCCCGCCTATCCACCAAGTTTTGAGGGTTTACAAAAAGAGTCCCTTCCGCGCGTCTCATCTGTATACGCGCCTAGAAGCTTATTCGACTCGGCTTCCGTTCTTTGATACTCGCTTTGTTGCAGAGGATCGAATCTTTCTTGAACACTTTCTCCTTTTTCCCCCTCTCCCTCATATACCTTTTCACAATGTCGCGACTCGCGAGCCGCGGCGGTGTGTCCAAGGGCTTCACCTGGACCACCGTCTTCTACCTCCTTCTCGTCCTGATTGCCCCCATGGCGCTGTTTGGCACCACTGCCCACGCCGAGGAGGAGAACTCACCGGAGAACTATGGCACCGTTATCGGTATTGATCTGGGTACCACCTACAGGTTCGTCAAGCGTCAGAATCCCGTCAGGAACAGCAATTGGACTTGTTGAGCTAACGCAGAACTTTCTAGTTGTGTTGGTGTGATGCAGAATGGCAAGGTTGAGATTCTCGCCAACGACCAAGGAAACCGTATTACTCCCTCCTACGTGGCCTTCACTGATGAGGAGCGCCTCGTCGGTGACGCCGCTAAGAATCAATACGCCGCCAACCCCCAGCGGACCGTCTTTGACGTTAAGTGAGTTTTTCCTTGGCAGTTTTTATCTTGGCCAGCGTGGCCGGTTTTACCCGATGAGTCAATATAGCTAACAATCCTTCTTCACAGGCGAATGATTGGTCGCAAGTTCGATGACAAGGATATCCAGCGTGACGCCAAGAACTTCCCCTTCAAGGTCGTCAACAAGGATGGCAAGCCTATGGTCAAGGTCGATGTCAACAAGACCCCCAAGACTTTCACTCCCGAGCAGATCTCCGCCATGATTCTTGAGAAGATGAAGGATGTCGCTGAGAGCTACCTGGGCAAGTCTGTTACCCACGCCGTTGTTACCGTCCCCGCCTACTTCAACGACGCCCAGCGTCAGGCCACCAAGGATGCCGGTACCATCGCTGGTCTCAATGTCCTCCGTGTTGTCAACGAGCCCACCGCCGCCGCTATCGCCTATGGTCTGGATAAGACCGGTGACGAGCGCCAGGTTATTGTCTACGATCTTGGTGGTGGTACTTTCGATGTCTCCCTTCTGTCGATCGACAACGGCGTCTTCGAGGTTCTGGCTACCGCTGGTGACACCCACCTTGGTGGTGAGGACTTTGACCACCGCGTCATGGACTACTTCGTTAAGCTCTACAACAAGAAGAATGACGTTGATGTCCGCAAGGATCTCAAGTCTATGGGTAAGCTGAAGCGCGAGGTTGAGAAGGCCAAGCGTACTCTGTCTTCCCAGATGTCCACCCGCATTGAAATCGAGGCCTTCCACAACGGCAACGATTTCTCCGAGACCCTGACCCGCGCCAAGTTCGAGGAGCTGAACATCGATCTGTTCAAGAAGACCCTCAAGCCCGTCGAGCAGGTGCTCAAGGATGCTAAGGTCAAGAAGTCCGAGGTTGATGACATCGTTCTGGTCGGTGGTTCTACCCGTATTCCCAAGGTCCAGGCTCTTCTCGAGGAGTTCTTCGGTGGCAAGAAGGCCAGCAAGGGTATTAACCCTGACGAGGCCGTCGCTTTCGGTGCTGCCGTTCAGGCCGGTGTTCTCGGTGGCGATGAGCACTTGACCGAGGTCGTTCTTATGGATGTCAACCCCCTGACTCTGGGTATTGAGACCACCGGTGGAGTGATGACCAAGCTGATCCCCCGTAACTCCGTCATTCCTACCCGCAAGTCCCAGATCTTCTCGACTGCGGCTGATAACCAGCCCACCGTCCTGATCCAGGTCTTCGAGGGTGAGCGTTCCATGACCAAGGATAACAACCTCCTCGGCAAGTTCGAGTTGACTGGTATCCCCCCGCGCCCCGCGGTGTTCCTCAGATCGAGGTTGCCTTTGACCTCGATGCCAACGGTATCCTCAAGGTCAGCGCCAGTGACAAGGGCACTGGTAAGGCCGAGAGCATCACCATCACCAATGACAAGGGCCGTCTCTCGCAAGAGGAGATTGACCGCATGGTGGCTGAGGCCGAGGAGTTCGCCGAGGAGGACAAGGCCATGAAGGCCAAGATCGAGGCCCGCAACGGACTGGAGAACTATGCCTTCTCTCTGAAGGCCCAGGTCGGTGATGAGAACGGCCTCGGCGGCCAGATCGACGAGGACGACAAGCAGACCATCTTGGACGCCGTCAAGGAGGCTCTCGACTGGCTCGAGGACAATGCCGCCACTGCTACCGCCGAGGACTTTGAGGAGCAGAAGGAGCAGCTGTCCAGCGTGGCCTACCCGATCACCAGCAAGCTGTATGGCTCTGGTGCTCCTCCCGAGGACGACGAGCCTCTGGACCACGATGAACTGTAAAATTATTCTTGAGGCATTACCCATGGAGTTTTTCTCTTTTTTCCTTCCTGTTTGCTTTCTTTACGTGTGCTTCTAGTTTTAAAGACCTGCGCGGGGGTTAGATACCCCGTCGCTTGAGCCTGGCTTCTTGAATGTACCGGCTCTTAAATACCATGATACCTTTTTGCATACAGTATATCATCTTGATCATTCCGAAGTAGCTTTTTCCCAATCTTTCCTCTATACTTTGTTCTATTCCATCTGATATACTCCGTACTTGTTTCTTCAATGCCCCTCCTCAACAACCTGCCGAATCGTCTCCGCCACCACGGCATGATCATCCTCCTGCTTCAACCCACTAACCACCACAACCGCAACAACACCCTCCACCCCCCGGACCCGAATCGGCCACCCACCCCCATGAATAGCAAACTCATCCGCCACAGCGCCCCCAGACGAACTCTCCAACGCAAACTTCCTCACAAACGCCCCCTCAATATCCCCCGCACTCACACCCACCGCCGCCCCGCCCAGCCCAGCAGCAATCTTCATGCGCATCGCCCAGCTCGACACCCCCCACCGCAGCACGGTGTTGCGCTTGCGCCGCACCCAGTTCTCGTTGTCCGGGATGGTGCCCTTTTCCGTCGCGCATTGGAAGAGTACGTGTGGGGTGTTGGTGGGGGATGCGGTTGCGGTGGCGAGGGAGATGGAGATTAGGGCTGGTTTGCGTTGGGATGGGGGCAGGGAGAGGAGGCGAGTTCGGAGGGCGGTGCCGAGGGTCCAGGCTGTTTCGGTGGTGAAGGTGCGGAATTTGTAGGGGTCGCTTGTTTCTTGGGCGATGAGGGTTGTTGGCTGTAGATAGAGGGAGGAGGAGGTTAGTAGATTGGTAGGTTGGGATCGGTGGGTGGTGAGTTGTAGTGGGGGTTGTGGTTTTGGAGAGGGACGTACGTCTGTGCTTGGGACGGAGAGGGCCATTGTGGATGGATTGAAGGATTGAGGCGTGGGAGGTTTGTAGAGATGTAGAGATGTAAGAAGAAGAGAATTGATCAGGGGATTGAAGAATCAAAGAATTAAAGATGGAGCGTGAGGGGCAAGATAGGATGATGCTTCACCGGTGACGTCGGAGAAAAGGGTGGACCTTCCTTCGTTCGATGAGAGTGGAGCCTTCGGGAGTTGGGGGACCTGTGGAAAATGGCTCCAGTTATAATTGCTGCATCAGACACATGGTTAGTTCTTATATTATATTAAATTATTCTCTGAATACTAATAGGAGGTATCGAAATAGGAGCAAAGGTTTCCATACCGGTATATACTGTCGGATAAATCCCCAACAAGGATCTCTATTAACCCTAGTGTGCAAATGCAAGGCTGACATAAGAGGTAAGTATAACTATAGAACTGGAAGAACAAGGTAGATCAAAGCTGACATCATGGTATAGCTAGGAACAAGAAAGGCTAACCCGCCTGTTGCGGCGGGTTTGCCAGGACTCACGAATAGTCCTGTTCCGATTGCGCCTGAGTGCGATGAACTGAGCATGTCGGGATGAGTGACCTCGTTTAATTGGGACGTCTCTGACTTCGGTAGTCTCGACTTATTCTTTGGCCATTGTCTGAGTAAGCTTTGTTGTACGTCTTCTCTCCGGAAGCTTTTGCTTTGATTGGGGGAGATATTGTAGACATTGAACAATCTGGATAGGAAATGAACAGGGAGACTAGTAAATTTAGAACTTGTAGGAGCTCCAGGCTCTGAGTAGACTTTCTAATTCACCTAGCCTGTGGACATCCTTATCGCCATTCGAAGGATTTTTCGAGATGTTACTTCACTAAAGAATGTCTCTCCATGTTGAGCAAACGGTCTTATCAAATTATTCATCAGCAAAATCTAAACACGATGAATATCGCTGGTAATTGCTACAACAGTACAACTTGATAGGAGAGCCGGTCCGTTATGGACAAACCAGCCTTGACGGCGCGCCTATGCTTGCCCAATTTTTGTATTGGAAGCGATAACAGCTTTATCGAAGCTAGTAAGGAAATCCTTTCTATATCCATTTCTTTGCAAGCTCTTATCATCGTCAGGTTACTTCAAGGCATCTCAGGTGCCTGCTTAGCATCCACAATAGGTACAACATAGTCCCGGCGTCTCGTCACAAACAACTCCAGCCCAATCGGGATATTATTCTCCTCGAGACAACCGCTCTTAATCAACGTGATCTCTCCCAGGGCCTGCGGCTGTGAAAAGAGGCTGGACCCGCAGTCTGTACCTATCAGTATCTTGATACATCTTGGAGGAAAGGGGGTGGTTACTTACCCCCACAGAAAAAATGTCTATTTTCCTTGCCAGAAACATCTCCAGTTCGGACCCAGTTCTTGGGCTCGCCCTTGGTGATTGAGAAGTTGGGGGTTGGAACGCCAACGTTCGAGGAGAACGCGCTGCCGCCCCAGTTTTGGCAGGCTTTGCAGTGGCATAGTGCTGTCAGTGCTGGTTCTTCTGTGACGTGAGGTAAATATATTAGAATTAACGAATATTGTTTTGCAGTGGAAAAAGTGGAAGACTCACCAGTGTATTGGAAGGAAACATTTCCGCAGGCACAACTTCCAGAGCCAGGCATCTTGGTTGTCTAGTCGAGCTGAGTCGTGAGAGATAGATAAGATTGCGAGGTAGAGATGTTGACTGAATGAAAGAATTAAGGAGGAATCCCGTCGACTACTTATACCCTCGAGCTGCGGGAAATCTTCGATCCATCGTGTTCAAAATATCTCTACTGATTCCAAAGCATCTCCGCTCCGTTACGACATCTTGTATGTATGAGGAATCCATTTGACTTGAGATTGTGGCGCACCGGAAAATGCTTTGGAATCACTCTGCAAGATGTGGAAACACTTTGTTCCACCCATTTAGCTATGTAGTCCGAGCGCCGAACGGCTCGTGCGGCCATATTGAAGACCGAATTTCCGGTGCTACTGCATTTCTTCTCTCATTCTTCGTTTACTCATAAGATCATTCGTCCAACGGAATCATCGGCTTCATTCTATACAGAACATTATGAGTGGTAACTTTTAGGATCACTCCCCAAAGACACACCGAAATAGATCCTCAAATACATCTTCCTCGATCAATGCGCCAAACCTGTGAAGATCCGATCAGCAATGTGTAACATATAATGTTATAAAGAATACAGCAGGCGACCGAATGAACACTCTCACAGTCCACCAACTCATTCATAAAACTTACCCATAACACTTTACATGCGGAATCATAGAAGATCTCAGCTCCTCCAATCTTGGATCCAAGATCTGGGCCAGATCAAGACGACTAATTATCCGATTCCACGCTTGCACGGGGGTGATATACCCGTCTAGTCCTAGAGAACCTGCGAACTCGAAAAGTTTCTCAAGTTGCCGGGATGGCACTTCCCATGTAGTATGGTCCTGTAGATCTTGCGGGGCTCCGGAAAGAAGGATTCCTTGCATTGACAAGGCGTGTCCGGATGGCGCATCGGTGCTAGGGGGTCGTGTGTGGAAGAGACAGGGTCGTTCGATTCTGTCAGGTCAGCTGCTGTAGGTATTGTTGTTCTTGTGGGTATGCTTACGATAGAACAAAGTCAACGCCCATTTGCGCGAGGTTCATGCCGCTGTGGTAACATTTTGGGTCACTGGATCGTTAAGTTAGACAGATACTTCGTGTGAAACGCAATGCTGGAATTTGGTCGTACCTAATCTCCGAGAACTCCACAGAGGGCAAGGTTGACTGGATAGATGGAAAACTCGTATCCGTGCTTGTATGTGTATCGAGGCCTGATGAATGACTCTCTTGCGGGGCAGACAGAGACGAATAATCTGGCAACTTGACTTGTAGTTGCTGATCATCGCCACCATTATTGGTGAACGTTACTTCGGCCCATGATGCTCCTAGAAATGGCACACCCGCAGGCAGCGGTATTGAATTGCGGAGCATAATTTCTCGAAGAATCTCATTCTCAAAGCGAAGATTCTGGAGCTCCTCGTCCATGGTAATCAGGATATACAGCCGGTGGAGCTCATCTTCAAGCACGCGGCAGTGGTTTTCCTTCCGTTCTCGATGTTTTCTGGATATGGTTAGCTTTCTGAAGTATCTAATCCCAGGATTTACTTACTTTTGCGCTCGTCTGACCTGCTCGCGTCGTCTATCGTAACTAGTTTCCGCCGCTGAGGGGTCGGTAGTTCCCGGCCCGCGGGGAGGCGTTTCATCGCCAGGGAGTGATTGGGCCATCGGTGCGGCACAATCGTCAATTGCTTGATGTGTATATGTCATTTTGTAATCCTGTGAGGTGCATGTGTCGCAAAGTGGATAAGATATTGGTGTGCTTGACGTTGTGACAGCCTTGCTGTGAGCCCGCTGGTACTGAGATTGGGGGCGGCCAATTACTGTCCCGAGATCACACCGGGAGATATAATACGATGGTAGTATCTTTCTGAAAGCCAATGGATATTCCGTGTCTAACTTGGGAAAAATCGAGAAATGACACTGTCGCTACTCCAGTTCTTTGATAATACTCAACGGTGTCGGGGCTTGGGCCGCGCTTTGCTACGGAAGTGGGTGGAATCCTACGATGGTTTGCCTGAGGTGCCCTCCACCAATCATGGTAGCCTTAAGAGGGACTATGTGGGGCCGTTCACAAAATGATTCCAAAGCCGAACCTAGAATTAGCTAAATGAAACGATTCCACATCCCTTGTGGATCACCATGATTCCAGAGAGAGTAGGTTCAGTGGTGCTTCCATGGGAGCCCACAATTTGGCCTCGGAAATTACATTTCCACAGTAGTTGAGATGATAATATGGGGGAGGCTACCAGACAACGGTTGTTCGATAGGTCAGGGACACAGATTTAGATTCACTGGACGTTATGGAAAATCCTCCTGGGATCATGACGATTGAGGCTGGCGAAGAAAGCATGTGTTCCATGACATGATGGGGCCCATAACACACAACGGATCCTCATATGTATGGTACCCCCCTTAGGTAGTCCTTCCTAACCTCATCACGAAATGCACCATAACGCCTTGCTGATGTACAATCCCATACCCCAGAAATAAACCCCCAACCAATTCCCAAACCAACACAAAGATAGCTATTCCGTTTCCTTTCTCCACTGACATTATACCTCATCCTTCAGCACGACGCGAGGCATAGAGAAAGACTTGTTATTTCGCACCATCCTGTGCCCACCAGATCCAGACTCGATATCCTCGACTTGCTGCGCACCACGACGTGGCGAGCGGGCTGTATTTGCGTTCGTTAGGAGGATCTCGCCGCTGGCTTGTTTTCGGAGCCAGTAGGCGCGCATTTGGTCTAGGGCTGTTTTGAAGTCGTCCAGGATGACTGTGTCGCAGAGACATTTGAAGATGAAGGATAGCTGAGGAGATACCGATTTTAGTATGGATTGAGGAGGAAGTGAAAGTAAAGTGTAGGAGTGATAGAGGATATTCGAGCAGTTTTTTGAGTCGGCGGAAGTCAGGAATGCGTACCTTCCAGAATGGCTCAATACCTTGGGGCAGTGCATCGCTAAAGGCGTTTAGGACACTGCAAGTATCTACCACGATGAATGCGATGGAGAGACACATCGAGGCGAGCATAACTCCGAAGCGAGGGCTGATGAAGACGAGTTCCCATAGTCCAAAGTTGTACTCGCGCTTGATGGTGTAGAATAGGGAGATTGTGGTGAACACCCACCAAGGGTCCCTGAAGTATAATCAGCATTGAAGGTTAGACAATAGCAACCATTAACAGAAAGAAAAGAATCCTTGAAGTGAGACATGGAGCAAATCAGATATCCGTTCGTACCTGAAGATCGGCTCTAGCGGCCGAGTCGTATGGAAGATATTATTGATATTATTGAAGTAAGTAAAGTTGGCATAGATCTCGACAATCCAATACGGCCAACAAAGAATAACAGTAACGATGTAAATCATCGAAACGCGTCGTGATAGGAACGGTCTATTCTTCATCCAGGCAATGACATTGTGCAATGCCCAGGATACATTCAGACCGATCGCAGTGACGGATAGGTACCAGCCATAGGCGGGCTCATGCAGGAAGATAAAAGTACCGTGGCCCATTGCGAGAATCAACTATGCGGAGGATTCGGGATTAGCCTCGTGGCATGGCACAACATGGTTCGGTTCATGCAGGTACAATGCGAGGGACAAGGGGATGAAAATTTTGTTTTTGTCGTATATTGGCCGCGAGGTGGACTGGAAGATATGATGATTTGTAGTAGGTACTTACTTCTGCGAGAATGAGTTTGTGTAGAAGAATATGCTTCTTCATGTTGGAGAGAGTGATGGCTGCCATGATGAGCAAGCTGCCAATCATCAGACCCTGGCCCCATGCCTCCAGGACTAGGCCCTCACCAGTAGGCCGACCAGTATGATCAGACATGGTGGATCCTAGTTCATGGCACTGCTAGTCGATATCAAGAGAGATGGAAAGAGTGGTAGTAGGAAGCGACGAGAGAGATGGAAAATACAGCGAGCGATTGCGCAGCGGGTAGTGAAATGCGTGACAGGAAAGGTAGCGAGGAGGGAGCAAAGAAGGGGGGAGAGAAAAGTTCATCGGTTGTTCAAAATGTGCCGTCTTGTAAAGAGGGCCGTTGCACACACGAGCGTAATAGAGTTCGTTCGTTTAGAGGGGACAGACAGAAATGCCCGACCTAGTCCTGCTAAAAGTAGTCTGGCGTGAACGAAGTGGCTTTTAAGCACCAGCTCGGACCAGGGGACCCATTGGTGCTAGCTCAATTGTAAAGTGATGTGCAGAGGACAAGTCAAAAATAGTTGAAAAAAGAGAGATCAAAAGCAAAGACAGGTTTGGTTTCTTGTCTGTAGGATGATGGGTTGGATAGGGGGCCTTGTAGTGGTCTTTGCTGACGGCGATAGAAGAAAAGGAAGTCTTCGGTTCTCTGGGGTTGTAACCCCTATATTAACCAGGGGTGTGTCTGAAGTGACTTTCTAATTTGACTCTGCATTACGTTAATTGTTGGTTATTGTGGGGATATACGATCTGGTCGAGACACTGGAGTAGCTTTCGAGGAGATCCACCGTTTACCCTGGGGGGATCATAGTTTGTCGGTTCACGGAGGCATCTTTTGCGATTGCCCATCCACCCGAGAGGCTCAGAAAAAAGGCATTTATGGCCAGATCTATCTCCAGCTCATAGGATGGAAACGCATAGTTCTGTCCAGGATAGGTCTTCGAGCCAATAACATACCCGCTTTCTCGGAGATCTTCAATTCTATTGGACCGGCCTGCAGAACCGCATGGAGAGAGTGTGGGCTGGCTGCGACCAATCTGTCGCGTGCTCGACGCCGGGACGAAAGCCTGTTCAACAATCGTCCCGGGGGAACCTGCCATTCACGGGTCGCGCACACGAAGGGATTGGTGCCTGGGCCTGGGGGCCGAGTGAGTGGCGGAAGTTAAAGGAATGGACTCGGCTTGCGGGGTTTTTGTTCGAGAAGACTTCCGAGTCGAGAAATTAGGAAGCACAGGAACGGAAGACCGCAGGAGAGTTACGATGGCATCTAAAAGGCAGTTCTAGAAGTCAGATATAGTATATACTACGACCAGAATTGGATGGTGTTCATGTGTCCGTGTCACACCTCGCGAAAGAGGTTGTTGTTCCTGGATCCCGTCGGAGCGATTTTCTTGTGCTTCGGGAGGGCCGAGGGCTCAACGAACAGACTAACTGGCCAATGCCAAGTCATTAGTCTCCGCTATATTCCCGTCTACGTGGGGCCGAAAGCCGGGGAAGCTCGCCAATCCACACCCAGAGATCCAGGAAGGGCATGAGGCGATGTGGTAATGGGGCAAGATCCGGGTGCTTCGCGTCTCGTGTTTGTGGAGAGGATGTGGGAAACAGTGTGATTCATGAGGGGCACAGAGGCATTAGTACAGAGTAAGTATCGAAGAGATATCAAGGTAGAAACGGGGCCAATGGATCTCGGTGCACAAGTTGTGTCCGAGTCCCGGCGAGCAGGTTTTGCAACGTCTTGCGAGGTTTAAGATCCCACTTTGGCCTCCTTCGAAACTGATTCAATGTGCTCTTGGTGCTCGGCACTCTCAATATGCTTCTCCTCCCTTGGGCCGCCCCCAAAGACCTCCTGCATCTCCTCCAGCGAGTGTCGCGATGTCTGTTAGGCTCGGTCAATATGCTACCAATGAGATTGGTGTGGATGGCATGACATACCTCTTTGAGAACGAGCCATGAGTACACAATAATGGCGTAGTTGAAGATTGCAAACATCAAGAACATGCGCCAACCAATATTGTTGATCGCGTGCGGCGTGACCTGCGACATCATGAAATTGAACAGCCACTGCGACGCCGCTCCCACCGTGACACCCAACTCGCGAGTACGACTGGAGAAAATCTCTCCGACATAGAGCCAGGGTAGCGGGCCCCAGGACATGTTGTAGCTGAATGCCTCCGCGTAAGTCATGATGATACACGCAATGCCCGCAGAGCTAGGACCCGAGGAGGTGCTATTGTTGTTCGCTGGGTGTGTCGCCAGGATACATGCGATGATGAGCATAAAGGAGCCCATGGCAAAGGCGCCTACCATAAACGGAACCCGGCGTCCTATTCTATCCAGGACAAAAAGCTGGAAGACTGTCACACCGCACACCTTGACGAGGCCGAAGAATCCAGTCACTAACTTGGCGGCGCTGCCAGCCCCGACAGAGCTGAAAATCTGCGTCGCATAGTACGCCAGCGAGGTATTCCCAGTAAGCTGGGCAGAGAGCTGGATAGTAACGGCAATGAAGAGACGGTACCGATTCACCGGCAGTAGTAGCTCCTTAAACGTAAGATTCTCCTTGACACGAGCCTCTTCCTCAATACCGGCGAGAATCTCATCGAACTCCTTCTGCAGCTCCTCCGTCTCCTCACCTCCACGCACCCATTTCAACGACTCCCGTGCCTTATCCAGCTTCCCTCGAGCGGCAAGCCAACGCGCGCTCTCTTTGACCGTGCACATCCCGCCCAGCAAGAGTGTCGACCCGATAAGCTGCAGTCCCAATGCCGTCTGCCACTGATTCGTCCCCGGGGACTGATCTTTATCAACCGCATACGTTACCCAATAAGCGATCATGACGCCTATAGCAAAGAACAGTTGGAAACACGCCCCCAGACGACCGCGAATCTCCTTCGGCGACATCTCCGCCGAATACATCGGGATCAGCACCGTGGCGGCGCCGATGCCCAGACCTGCAATCACGCGCCCGGCATAGAATGTACCCAGAGAGCCGGAGTTGATTACCTGTAGGATGGTACCGACGGTAAAGACAAGAGAGCTGATAATCAAGCCAGTGCGGCGGCCGAAGAACTTGGCAATGGGGGAGACGAAGAAGCAGCCGAAAAAGGCGCCCGCTTGGAGAATGGAGACGGCGTTGGAGTTGACATTGGTCTTTTGGGCTTTGGTGTATCCGAAATCTTTCTGGAATGATTCGAGTGAGAGGACACCACCTGTTTAGAAGATCGTGTCAATCAGAATCTATGGTCGTTGAAAGTGACCAGCTGGGTATTGAGGTCGACATACTGATCACACCAGTGTCGAAGGCGAAAGCAAACGAGCCCATGCAGCTGGCCGAGACCAGGTAGGCAGCGCGAAAGAGGCCAAGCTTGCGACCCATGGTGTTGTTACACTTCCGTTACGCCAAGGTACGACCTGTAGTTAGGAAGAAGAGCTTTTAGTGTGGAGTGTAGGAAGCTCGAGTCGCATGAACTCGCGTCCACGCAACTATTGCAAGTGCAAGCTATATGTCTCTGTAGCTAAAAGGGTCCCGCAAAGACGAAGTTGAAGAGGTTGCATCGGTGATCAACCTGGGGGCTAGGCGAGAGTGGAGAAAGAAGAGAAGCAAAGCCAGCCACCATGCAGTCTTTATGACTGGCCGAGCATCTGAAAGCCCGAAAGTGATGCACCGCGTGGTTGATGTAAGGCCACTGCAACCCATTTCTGCTGGCCGGAACCTCACTGGCTCAGCTTTGAGGGGGCCAAACCAGGCAAGGTCTTTCAAAGCCACGCGAGAGCCGACCGGCTCGCAACCGAGTACGATGCGGTGCACATGCTCGTCATTGGCAGCCGGCGAATAGCTTAGTGGGAGAGCAAGCTCTGGGCAGCGGGGAGCTTGGATGCTGATTTGTGGGGAACTCGAGTGACGGCCGTGCTACGCAACAGATGGTGAAGGGGATAGAAATGGAAAGGATGTCTGTGAACGAGCGCAAGGGGGCAAGTTGCTGCAGTTGACGGCCTGGCCTGGTTTGCGGTCTGAGATGGCTGCTCATCGTGTTTGGACCGTGGATAACGGGCCTGTTCCTTGCCAGTTTGTGGGATCCGAGTTGTATGGGTGTTTACAACTCAGAGTTTCTTTCTAAGGGTGTTGTAGTTCTGTTAAGGTGGGGTCTCCCCGCAAGAGAAGGCTATCCCCGGATTTGCAAGATCGCGTTGCGCCACCAATTGATTACTCCCCAAGAGCCAAGAGGGGGACTACTCGCACCTTAGCCCTACCGAACTATTTCAACACAACCCACCTTAAAAAAGGGCAATCCCGAGTCAGGATTATTGCAGAAGGACCTCAGATCTCTTTGATAGGAAAATAGTGTTCCATTCAGAGCATTCCTGTGATCGGTCCAGAGCTTGTTCTAGACTCCTTGAAGCCATCCATTTGATACTCTGGACTCCAATTCTATTCAAACTGTTTGACTTGCAAAATAGCTCTTGAAAGAGTGTTTTGTGGAGGCGATTGCGACCGCGTTAATGTTCGCAGGTTAGTACGTATTGCTAGTGATAGCATTTGGAGAACCTCATGATAGTGGTAGGAGCAGAAAAAGCTTAGCCTCGGTAGCTCGACTTGGCTTTGGAAAAGCCTCAAAGTAATGTCTTTCTATCACTCATTACTGTATCATTTTTAAGCATACCCTAGCATCACGAGAAGAGTATTTGAAATGTCCAGGGTTAACCTTAGGGTTGTTTGTGATTACAGGGTGTTCCCACCCGCTATCCCACCCCATCGCCGCAGCTTCAATCGAGACACACAAAAGGAAAGCTTGGGCATTTTGAATGATAGTCTCGACTTGGTCTTGTTTTGCTTTTCATCGATTTATTGAAAATGTCTCGCTATTCTATTCAGTCCATTTGCTCTGTACTTCGCATCTCGATCAGACCATCGGTCACCTGACAATCGTGATACTAACTCGGAAGGCTGGGATGTCTCCAAGCCATATGCCATGCTACAACTTTGACCGTCGAAAACATGCATATCCGCGAACCGTTTCATAACACTTAGAGGACTGGAAAACGTCTTCATGTCAGTCAAACCAGGCCACCCTTTGCATCCGCTAGCAACCCGTCCAGCCTGCGACGATCCCCGTCGGCCAGGCCGACCAGGCCAGCGGACTCAACACGGAAAGGACTCGGAGAGTACAATCTTTGCGGATGTGATTTGCTTGTCTCCCTCCTCCGTATATCACACACTTTAAGCAAGACGATGCCCCTCCAATATCGTGATAATAAACATCCACGCTGCTGCCGACAGTTACTCTATCCGGCATAGTGGAAGCCGATCGCTGCCACGCACTCTCCTCAGGGGCATGGGGATCAAACACGTCCCAGGGTTCAGCACCGCCGGACCCCCCACTCACCTAGCTTTGTGCTTGCTCCACCGTCGTAGCAAAATTGCAAACCCACACAGCACCGGAAAAGGTGTGTTCCTGGCGACAATTCGGGGTTTCTTCCACGCGACCTGCCACGCAGAGTATGCCCAACCGGAGCGGATATTGGCCATGCGAAACACACTGCCAAGACCGATCGGCTCGCCGATCCCCTCGCTTGAGGCTTAACTGTGTCCTGGAAGCTGCGTTCTGGTTGGATCTGATCTCGGGACTTGATTGTAACCTTCTGATTTCACTGACCCCTACAGTATCAGATTTAGCCTTCTTACTCGAGGAGGAATTTGGCCTTATTCACCCCTGTCCTAATCTACAGATGAAACGTCCGTCCAGTGCTGGTCGGACTTAATACGCGGGGACCCTCGTCATGTTACCAATTTGGACAGATAGATGAAGACTTGTCCCGTTGGTCCACCCAATGACGGTGGCCAAGCCTGGTTATCCAGACTTTTGAGGGGACTTCGTCGTGTATAACGAGAAGGCCAGGAGATGATCATGTTGGCTCAGCTACCTGGTTGGACCATTGTCAGATCCTAACCCACTCACCATCGGCGTGCGGGACGGCAATGATCTCCAGGGCTATCGCTTTCTTCACGGAGCTCCGCGGATGAAACAGAAAGACTGTTGGACTGACTTTTAAACGAACAACTCCCCGTTGAGCCTGACGGAGATTGCTCAATGCTCTGGAACAGCACGCCTTTCCACTTCTCACTCTCGTCACTCGTTTCTTCAACCTTCCTATCCGTTCATTAAGATCTTATCCATCGTCTTTCTTTAATTGGCCTTGTGCGTGATTGTTGTTTTGGCTGAACCTTCGAAATCTGTGAGCAGACATGGCTCCGTGGTGGTATACTGCTGGCAGCACGCTGCTGTTGTCCTCCCTCGGTGCAGCGGCTTGGCCCTACTCAACTTATAGATCAACGAACTTCCAGCCGCCCACGCTTGAAGTCAACAAGACCGGCACCGCCGAGCCAGGTTATCTTTTTCTCGGCCCTCGTGGGGGTGTCCAGCCTGCTGGTCAGGCGGCACTAATCTACGACGACGAAGGCAACCTTGTCTATGAAGGCCCCGAAGAGGTCACTGCCAACCTCCGTGTCCAGCAGCTCAACGGTCAAGATGTCATTACCTTTTGGTCCGGCACCATGATGGACCTGGGCTTCGGTTACGGCGCCGTGCATATCCTCGATAATACCTACAAGGAAATCCATACCATCACCTTGACCGGCGCCTTTATCACGCCGGACAACACACCTAAACCCTCGTACATTGACCTGCATGAGAGCCATATCACTCCCCGGAACACTCTGCTAGTCACTGCCTACAACGTAACTCAGCATGATCTGACCTCCCTTGGTGGCAATTCTTCAGAGTGGATGCTCGACAGCCACTTCTACGAAATCGACATTTCCACTAACCAGATTCTCTACTCCTGGAGCGCTCTTGACCACGAGGACCAAATTCCTCTCAACTCCTCGCACCAGAAGCTCGGTGCCGACGCCGGCTCCCAGGAGAACCCTTACGATGCCTACCACATCAACTCTATCACCACCACCAACAACGGCTACCTGGTTTCCTTGCGCCACATGTGGTCCGGCTATCACATCTTCCCCAATGGCAGCATCGAATGGCAACTGAACGGCGCAAACGGCGGCGACTTCGCGCAGATCGGCAACGCCAACTTCAGCTGGCAACATGACATGCGCGTATACAACGAGACTGACGAGGGTCTGGTACTGAACCTGTTCAACAACGCCAACACTCCTACTGACTCGGAGACCCCAACCACTGGCGTCAGCCTTGCCATTGACCTGGTAAACAAAAAGGTCACCGGCCTGCGCTCCCTGACCGACCCCAACGACCCAATCCACTCTGTCAGCCAGGGCAGCTACCAGCTACTCAACGAAGCCAACGGCCACGTATTCATGGACTACGGCTCCATCTCCAAAGTCAAAGAGTACGACGGTGGAGGCAACGTGGTATTTAGCGCGAAGTTCGGCCCAGATAACGCCGTCGCCTCATACCGTGGCTATCGCTGCCAATGGAGTGCCATTCCATTCTGGAAGCCCTCGTTGACGGTCAACAAGACCACCGAGGGTGCTGCTGTGTATATGAGTTGGAATGGTGCCACTGATTATGATAATTGGGTAGTCTACTCGGCCGCTTCTGTGAATTCGGTCAACACGACGCAGATTGGCATCGCTAAGCGGACTGGCTTTGAGACTGCGGTTAGTATTGATAATCCGCCTACTAACTTTATTCAGGTTGCTGCCCGCCAGGGTACAAAGGTTCTTGGTACTTCTGAGATTGTCTCTTTCTAGATTGGTTGTTTCCTGCCGGCTTTTGTATTGGGATGATCATGTGAAAGCTCTCGGTCGTGGATTGTTTCTGAAAGATCCAAGCTTCTGGCATCTCGATATAGCTCACGGAGCCACTCGTCTTTTTCTTTCTGTACATTTTTCTTCCTCATGTTGAACACGTACATATTCTCTTGCCTTCTTGTCACTTATGGACACAATGAATGTATCAATTCCACGAGCAATATTTGACTTTCACGTCTTACTGTAACGATGCCGGTTAGCAGCGCTATTTGTTTTTGGATTACTACCAATGATTCAAGTGATAAGCTTAGTATCAAGATGATTATGGTTCTATATGCATGAGACTTACTTGGAGAGACTAGAATACAAATGGTGCTAACCAATGATCGCATGCATTGATTACGACGCGACAAGCAAGTCCTCCAGATCTAAAAGCGGCTTCTGTAGCTGGGGACTCATCCAGTTTAAATAATGCTTTTGACGTCCTTGATTTGATGGAAAAAATACCCGAAACCTATCCCTCTCATTCATATAATTGTGGTCTTTTGTGATACCCAAGCAAGTGCTAGGGCAATCCACCCAACAAACTCATAGCATTATATATGAGCATAGGAAGGTAAACGCTTTTATTAAGATATGAGGTCCGCCGCCAAGTAGGTAGAGCTCAGACCCGGATGGTAGATTTCCTCAGAGAAGGTAGGTCAGGGCTGGCGAGAAGAACGAAAATAAGGTCCTCCACTGCTGGACAGGCTCTGAATTGCCAGCGGGATCATATGCCGCAAACGCCTTATTCCACGCAGCGTTATGATTGACTGTTATCTCCTTCATGTGCGCAACGTCCTCCTCGGGCATCAAAGCTTGGAGTGCGGCGGAATAGTCGTCTGCTTCTCGGTAGATAGCCTGCATCATGATTGGTACCATCCAGCTAACACCAGCCTTATTCAATAGGGGTGCCTATTTGCAAAATCATATTAGTTATCATTGATATTGGCCGCAGTCGATTTTCAAGCATGCGAACCTTCTCACGGTAGAGATCCAGCAGGTCCATGGAATCTTGGTTCAGGGATGTAAAGTGCTGAACAACCTCGTCCGACTCCTTCGGTGTGAACTTGGTGTCGGTGAGCTTGGTATGCGCCTCTCTCAGTGCATACCAGCAATCATAAGACTTTCGCCCGATAGGAATAGTGGCTAGTGAACCACCTTGATAGCGACTGATGGCGTCTTTGTTTGCCTGTACAGCCTGAGAGACGGTCGCGATGCTGCTGAGAACACTATCTTTCTGGCTCGTGGGCACAGCTGAGGTCACCAGAAGGAGTGACAAGAAGGTCACGAGAGTGCGTAGGAAACGCATAGTGGAGGCGGCAATTGAAAGGAACTGAGTAGTCAGACTGGTCGAGGAACAGTGTGATGAATGAAGTTCAGGAGATGTCAAATAAGCAGATTGTTCCAAGCTGCTTTAGGCTGATGTGCAACATTCCTTTTAGCAGGGAAACTCAAGGGGTTCGTTCTTGCATAGGAGGCAATTTTAGAATTCGCTAGTCAGCCAATATACCGCGGAAATTAAGTCAATGGACTTGAGAAATGTTCTGCACGGTGTTGTTTTGCATGAGACTTTCCACACCTGGAGCTGTCCAAGGAAATTTCGCGCTTGATCAATCACCTGTGTTGTAAACCAGTTAGTACTTGACCGCACAATAATGTAGCTCGATGTTTCTTTTGTGCAAATGCAAGGGGCTGGTACCCCGGCATGGTAACAGCGGTCGTCAAGCTCTCTCACCGAGCCTCGATTCCGATGGTATGTACATCTATAATAATGTATTGACTGTGAAAAAAAAAAAATGATGCTACTGGAATAAGGTTCAATAAGTCGTTGACCTGGCAGCTGGTCTGGATCTGTGCATGATTCAAGCTTGTGTACGAGTCCAGGACTGGGTAATTTCTTTTTCCTTGGGAGCCGAGCTGAAGATCTGTCACTCTTGCCCGATAGTTAGATTGCTGAGAAGCAAACAGGTCATTTTATGGTGGGTCTATGGGGTAACTACCAAAGCGAAGACTTGGTGAAACTGGGACGATTTCCATCTGTCCAGCGATGATAGTTAGATCGTTTAGAGATTGGACAAGTATGTTAGTTAGTGCAAGCGATCCCCTAAGTAGCATTCCTCTCCTTGTTTTCAGTCATCATCCAACTCTGCCCAATCGTCACGGAGTCACTGTACCTCTCATCACAAAGGTTGGCTGGAGATTGACCAAATGTCGTCGGTTTCAGCACAAGCAACACTAGATGGCTCGGCAGGACCCAAGGGCCTTGCCAGCCCTGGCTTTGGTTCGCACGGAGCACCCAGAGAATCGCAACAAAATGCCACTGGACTTGGTACTTCAAGAGAGGTTCCGTTTCCAATTGCTATCATTGGCATGGCAGTGAGACTTCCTGGAGGGGCAAACACCACAGAAAAGTTCTGGGACATGTTGATCAACAAAAAAGATGGGCACTGCAAGGTCCCAGAAACACGATATGGGGCGGACGCTTTTTACAACGCCACCCGACCGGGCACCGTCAAAACCCGCCATGGCTATTTCCTACAAGAAGATATTGGCTGTATCGACCGGTCTTTCTTTTCTATGAGCAAGACTGAAGCCGAAAAACTGGACCCACAGCAGCGGATGCTTCTGGAGGTCGTATGGGAATGTATGGAGTCTGGTGGACAAGCAAACTGGCGTGGGCAAAGCATCGGTTGCTACGTCGGGGTGTTTGGAGAGGACTGGCTGGAGATGTCTAGCAAGGATACCCAACACATGGACCGATTTCATGTAGTAAGCGCGGGAGACTTTGCGCTCTCAAATCGTGTCTCCTACGAATACGATCTACGAGGACCGAGGTGAGCCGTTCAAATTATATTTGCACCGTACAGCCAGGATTCTAAGCTATGATGATAGTATCACATATCGAACAGCTTGCTCGTCCTCCATGGTTGCCCTACATGACGCCTGTCAAGCTTTGTATAGTGGTGAATGTTCGTCGGCTGTCGTCGCTGGATCAAATCTTATAATGACACCCACTATGACCATGTCTATTTCCGACAACATGATCTTATCACCGGACGGGATCTGTAAGACATTCGATGCCTCTGCGGATGGATATGGGAGAGGCGAAGCGATCAACGCCATATACATTAAGCCATTGGAAGAGGCTTTGCGACAAGGCGATCCAATCCGCGCCGTCATTCGATCCACTGCTGTAAATTGCGATGGAAGAACACCAAGCATCACAACACCAGGCTCGGAAGCTCAGGAGCGACTCATTCGACGTGCATATCAAAAGGCAGGCATTGAGGACATCGCTAAGACGGCGTTTTTTGAATGCCACGGTACGGGAACAATTGCTGGTGATACGGCAGAGACGTCTGTCGTTGCAAAAGTTTTCCCTGAGGGTATCCATATCGGAGCGGTTGGTCAGCCCGCGTATTGTATGATGCTTCAATATTGATACTAACAATAGTCTAGGTCAAGGCGAATGTTGGACATTCAGAAGGTGCATCGGGGATAACAGCCATCATCAAGTCAGCCCTTGCACTCGAGAAAAGGATCATTCCCCCAAACGTCCATTTCACAAATCCAAATCCCTCGAGTGCGTGAATACTATGACCTCCATTGTAATCGACTACTAACTCTTTTCATGAAGTTCCATTCCAAGAAGCTGGTCTGAAAGTGCCTCTAGATCCGATCGCATGGCCAGAGAATCGATGCGAACGAATTAGCGTGAATTCCTTCGGCATAGGCGGCACCAATGCTCATGTACGTGATCCTATTGAAGAGGTTAATGAATACTTGTGTTTTGCTAATAAATCCAAGGTTATTCTCGAGTCTTTCTCATCAATGGCACAGGTTCAAAAAGAGCGCCCCACCGGTAGAGTAGGCCCTCGAGTACTGGTTCTATCTGCAAAGAATGGAAAATCTCTGCAGAAGACTGTGGAGCATATGAGAGAGTATATCGCCCAGATGAGATGCTCAGTGGATGATCTGGCATATACCCTAGGATCCAGGCGGGAGCATCTGGGACATCGAGCATTCGCCATCATTGATCCTGACGGGAAGGTGTCAGGTTTTGAAAAGGCCCGCGACATGTCATCTAGCATCACTTTTGTCTTCACTGGCCAAGGTGCGCAGTGGGCTGGCATGGGACGAGACTTGATGTCGAGATCACCATGCTTTCTGAGTAGTATCAGGGCCATGGACCAAGAGTTGTCGCTGTTGACGAATCCCCCTAGCTGGTCCTTGGAAGGTAAATCCCCGTGAACCGACGTTATGTTACGATTGATTTTGACCAAGCGGTGATTACAGACGAGCTCGCGAGAGACGATGAATCAAGCAGAATCGACGAACCTGAATTTGCTCAGCCGCTCTCTACAGCAGTACAGATCGCACTGGTCGATCTTCTCAAAGAATGGGGTGTATGTCCGACATCGGTCATTGGTCACTCGAGTGGTGAGATTGCAGCTGCCTATGCTTCTGGTGCAATAAGTGCAGGTGTGGCAATTTCCGTCTCCTATCTGCGAGGCAAGGCTGTGAGCGACGCAACCATGAAGACTGGAGCCATGGCCGCGGTTGGTCTTGCGGCTGACAAGGCCAGGAAATTCCTCCTTGGCGATGTGGCTATGGCTTGTGATAACAGTCCACAAAGTGTAACGCTTTCAGGAACTGCAAATGTTCTCGACGAGGTGCTCAAGGAGATACAGGCAGCGGATCCAGAGACTTTTTGCAAACAGCTCAAGGTCTCTGTTGCATATCACTCCAGTGAGTCTTATATTTTCTTTTAACTAAGCCATTGGACCTAACTTTGCTTTAGGCAGCATGAAGGAACCGGGTATTGCTTATGAAAACATGATGAAACCGGTCATATCCCATAATAAGACCATGATACCTCTGTATTCGACGACCAGAGAAGATGTAATATCGGATCCGACGATGCTGGATACATCATATTGGCGGCAAAATTTGCAATCCACAGTTTTGTTCAATGGTGCCGTTCAGCGATTGCTTCGGGAAGCAAAACTACCGACTGTGTTTGTAGAGATTGGCCCTCACTCAACCCTCTCGAGTCCGCTGCGCCAAATATTACGCAAACACGATGTCGATCAAGCTTCCAAGTATATCCCGACACTCATTCGGAATCAGCCGCAGCTGGAGGCTCTTCTTACAACTGCTGGACGGCTTCATGTCAATGGAGCGTCTGTTGACCTGGCTGTAGTCAATGATACTAAGGGTGCTTCTATCTTGAAGGATCTTCCGGCTTATTCATGGCTACACGAGGAGAGCTTCTTTAGCGAGACGAGGCTTGTTCGGGAATGGAGGAACCCCAAAGCGCCGCATCACGAGCTCCTAGGGCCTCGCTCCCTTGAATCGACAGACCTGGAGCCTTCATGGAGAAGGGTCCTCTTTGTTGGACATGTTCCCTGGTTGTGGGACCATGTGCTGGGAAAAGAACTCGTATTTCCCTGCGCTGGGTACATCGGCATGGCCGGCGAGGCAATCCGACAGATCACTGGAATGGAAGATTACACAATTCAGAACTTGAGCATGAAGACACCACTTGTGCTCAAGGAATCTGAGGCCGCAGAGCTGGTGACCAGTCTTCGTCCAGCAAGGCTCACCATGACGATGGATTCTATCTGGTATGAGTTCACAATCGCGGCGTACCAGAGCGGGGCGTGGAAAAAGCATTGCTCTGGGAAAGTGAGAGCCGGGGCAGTAAAACAACACGTCCCTCACGAATGTGCTTCATATCCACGAATGGTTTCTTCCAAGGCATGGTACGAAACGATCAAGAAGCGCGGACTGAACTTCGGTCCTGAATTCCGAAGACTGGAGAATATTTCGGCCGATCCATGCAGTCCTCGAGCAGGCGCCCAGCTCCAATGCAGTGATGAGAAGGATTCAAAAGACTCTAGCATGTACGCCCTACATCCGACCGTGATTGATCAGAATCTTCAGATGCTTGGTGTCGCAATGTGTCGCGGATCATCTCGTCATATGACAAAGCTTTGCATGCCCGTGGCAATTGAGAGCATCTATATTGCCACAGGTCGTGGAATAATGTCCATTGAGGCGTCGTGCGATCCAACCGGTGATTCTATTATCGGAAACGCAAAAATGATGTCCGACAATAGGGTTGTTCTCTCAATGGAAAGAGGCATGCTTTTCGGTGTCGAGGAGGCAGATGAGGCAGAGCAGAATGATTCCTTGATTGCCCAAATTGAGTGGAAGCCCCATATTGACCTTGTATCCTTGACTGAGGAGATTTTACCTAATATGTTGAATAATCGTGTCTGGTTTCTGTTGGATATCGTCTTTGGATCTATATTCACAGAAACAGCAGACAAGATCCGATCGTTACAGGCACAGAATCCCCAACTCGAAGAATATCGAGACTGGATCTGCTCGCAGGTAGATTCAAGGAAGGACAATGTCAAGAGCGTAAAATCATTGTGCCAAAATGATCGTCTAATTGAAGCGACGAAGGAGATCGAGAAAGACCACGCTGAACTGGCGCCTCTCTTGAATCTGGCACGCAAGATTTCAATGGTCACCGACAGTTTGTTGGAGGGGAATATAAGCCCCGAAGAGGTCGGAATTCCTGAAGAATGTCTGTTTGATGTTTACAAGTCCTTGTCATCTGCAGCAGGGTGCTCTGCCTTCTTCTCACTCCTGGGCCATTCCAACCCGTTGATGCGGGTTCTGATAATTGGCCAGGGAAATGGATTCGCAGTGGCTCAAACCTTTTGTGGACTCACATCACGAAATGGTACTCCCATGTACTCGAAGTTTACAGTCACCGAAAGAACGGATGATCGCATTTCCAGCGCAAAAGAGAAACTTCCATGGGCTACCGGGGTTGAGTACATGCTTCTCGATGTTACCCGCGACCCTATTGAGCAGGGCTTGGAAGCTCAGAGCTATGACCTTGTCGTTGCTTCGGAGGCATTTGATGCTGACATGCCAATGTCACCACCTCTGAAAAACATCTTTACTTTGCTTGCTCCAGGAGGTCGGCTTTTCTACCAAGGGGTTTTTCCTGTCATTCCTTTGGTCACATATGTGATGGGCGTCTTCCCTAAATGGTGGGCACAGCAAAGCCTGGCTTGCAGCAAGCCTTCTATCAGCCCTGAGCAATGGAAGCGTGAGCTTAAAGAGAACGGTTTCAACGAGTCTGACATGTTAACACTTGACGACTCATCAACCTACCACACGGGCACAATGATGGCATCACGGCCATATCCCCCAATCAACACAAATTCGAAAGAACTCGCGATCCTATATCTGTCCACAATTCCAAACTGGGCTCAAAGCTTGGCTAGAGATCTAGAGAAAAAAGGGCAACTGATAACATGGGTTGCTTTTGGAAGCGACCCACTTCCGCCAATGGATGTGATTTCAGTCATGGACTTGCAAGGTCCATTCTTCGATGAGATCTCGCCCGAAAGGCTTTCCCAGTTTCAACAGTTCGTTGGCCAGATCAAGAACTCTCTCGTTCTATGGATCACAGGCAGCTCTCAGATGACGTGCGATGATTCTCGGTGGGGCTTGGCACTGGGAGTGATCAGAACAATTCGACACGAACTGACACCGGACTTCTATACACTCGAAATTGATAATTTTTATGACGAGTCTGTTGGGGCTGCAGTTCAGGTATGGGACCATATGAACCGAGAGCGGGATTCCCCCTTATTGGACCCAGATCGTGAATTTGCTTTCGAGCAAGGGAGGCTTCACGTTAGCAGGGCCCACTGGATAAGCGCTCGTCAGGAGTTATCCAAGGCGAGGCCCGCCAACTGTGGAAGTAAATTCCTAGACATTAGATCTTATGGCCTACTGGACACACTTGTGTGGTCGGAATGTGAGCCTCGTGCGATGCAGAATCATGAAGTCGAAATCGACATGAAATACATTGGACTGAACTTCCGGGTAGGCATATTGATTGGATGATGCTCCCCTGAGGATAATTGTTGGCTAACTTGGAGTGTACAGGATATGATGGTCGCTCTAGGCGTTGTGGGTGATAGGAGTGAATTCGGTGTCGAAGGCAGTGGTATCATCCGTCGAGTAGGCTCTGCAGTAACACATGTGAAGGTCGGTGACGCAGTGATCGTTGTCGGCGATGGTCTCCTCTGCACACGCAAAATTGTTGCTGGGGAGCGTTGTTTCTCTCTTCCCAATGTCATCGGCTTAGCCGATGCGGCCACTATTGCATGTGTGTATGGAACGGTCATTCTTTCGCTCATTCAGATTGGAAGACTCCAGAAAGGCCAGTCTGTTTTAATACACTGTGGATGTGGAGGTGTTGGATTGGCAGCTATTCAAGTCTGTCAAATGTTGGGGGCTGAGGTACAAGGTTATCTTACCAATTTGTCTACCAAATTAGTTGCTAACGTGAGCAGATATTTACCACTGTTGGGAATGATGAAAAAATGCAGCATCTTATGGACACGTTTGGCATCCCCCGAAATCGGATCTTCAGCTCTCGAGATCCGTCTTTCTTACAAGGCGTGATGGAGCAAACTGGGAATCGTGGAGTCGACCTTGTCCTCAATTCTCTCTCCGGCGAGCTTCTACATCTTTCTTGGAGATGTGTGGCTAAGTTTGGAAAGATGATTGAGCTAGGAAAACGTGACCTGCTGGGACATGGCCAACTGGACATGAATGTCTTTGCAGGAAATAGGTCTTTCATAGGGGTTGACGCAAAGCAGATCATAGAAGAAGATATTGGTCAGTTTCAAAGGTAAATTACCCACTACATGCAACTGGCTGTCGCAGGAAACTCATGATTTTCGGGAATCCAGTGTGATGCAACAATGTATGGAATTCCTCCAGCACGAAAAACTCAAGCCCATTCGACCACTTACGGTGTTCGATGCTGCAAATATTGGCCAAGCTTTTCGGTTTATGCAAACAGGAAGACATATGGGCAAAATTGTCGTGAAGATGCCCGATGAGGCCTCGGAGCTACATGGCTCCCTCAGTTCAACTTTGATTTCCCTTCCCTCGGATGTCTCTATTGTGATAGTTGGGGGTCTGGGTGGTTTGGGCCGAACTGTTGCAACCTGGTTAGTCGAGAAGGGCGCGCGAGATTTGGTATTTCTCAGTCGATCGGCAGGCAACTCTCCTGAGTCACGATCGTTCCTAGAAGAGCTTCGAAGTCAAAGTTGCTCGGTGACCACGATCACTGGCGATGTGGCCAACATAGAGGCAGTACAACGCGCAGTGACAGCCTGCAAGAGGCGCATTGCCGGGGTTATTCACATGCCAATGATGTTGAAGGTAAGCCAAAACTGCCTCTCAAAATCAAGAACCAACTAATTATGCCCATAACGAACAGGACCAACTCTTGTCAAAGATGACCCATGATGCGTGGCGCTCGGTGTTGGCTTCAAAGGTCCAAGGAACGTGGAATTTGCACAATGTCCTCATTGACCACAGACTGGATTTCTTTGTGTGTTTCGGCTCACTTGCTGGGCTTTGTGGAAATGCCGGCCAAACAAACTATGCAGCAGCTAACGCTTTCTTGGATGCTTTTGTCCAGTATCGCTCAGAACGCGGACATGCAGCAAGCGTGATTGATCTCGGCCTGATGAGCGATGCCGGATTTGCGTATGAAAGTGCGCCTAAACTAATCCAACGTGCCAGATCGGCTTCAATGCGAACTGTCGAAGAGCGCGAGCTAGTTCAGGTTCTGGAATTAGCAATCTGCCGATCGGGTCAGATAGCACTAGGTCTTGGAACTACAAAGCCCCTCTCGAGTTCTGGTGTCGTGCCACCCTGGACGCGAGACGCGCGATATAGCCTATGGTCAAACATCGTCTCAGCAGAACAGCCAGCCTCCTCTTCGTTAGATGGAGACCTGAAGGAACTGATGGAGGCCGTCAAAAGCAATCCTCATATATTGGATGACCCTACTATCAAAGCGAGGATCACCAATGTTCTCGGCATACAAATTGGATCCCATTTAGCAAACATCGACGACATGGATGAGAATGATATCAACAACATGGTAATTGAGTCCTTGGCTATGATCGAAATCAGGAGCTGGTATCGCCGCCATCTCGGTTTGGAGCTGCCCCTCGTTGAGATTTCAAATGCTCAAACAATCGGAGGTCTTGGAAATGTGACAGTGCAGGCGCTACGTGCCAAGTATCAAGAAACTACCAACACGGAAGGTTCCAAAGAGGATTCCACTGGTGCGCCAAATGAGGAAAGTCTTCAGTATCTTCAAGATGCAACACTGGGTCGGAGTATTCAGCCTATCTCAGCACCAATTTCAGAGTGGTATGCTAACTCAGATGGGCATGTACTGTTGATAGGTGCCACTGGGTTTATTGGTGCATTCATGTTATCCATGTTAGTGGTACAGCCCGAGGTACAGACTGTCACTTGCTTGGTTCGTGCGGGCTGTACGACAGCGGCGATGAAACGGCTAGAGGCAGCATTTTCTAAGCTCCAAATTCCGATCCAATCCTGGGACAAGGTTCGAGTTGTCACAGGAGATATCACTCAACAAGGTCTTGGTCTGCAAGACACTGAGCTTGTTCACCTAACTAGTCAATGCGGTGCGATTTTCCATCTCGGCGCTGTTGTTAACTATACTCTGTCATACTCTGCGCATCGAGGAACCAATGTTCTCGGTCTTGCCAACGTCCTCAAATTTGCCAACACCAAACGCCTCAAACCTGTTCATTATTTCTCGGGCATGGCGGCGTATGGCCCATCTGGGTTTCTCAGCAACCCCACATACGTGCCTGAAAACGAGAAGCCAGTAGCTGGCTCTGGGCCCTTGCAACACCACACAGGCTACTCGCTAAGCAAATATGTCGCAGAATGTATCGCATGGGATGCCATCTCGAATGGATTCCCTCTCGCCATCCATCGTGCTGGTTTTGTTCTTGGACACAGCGTGACGGGAATCGGAAATCCACACGATGCCATCAATCGCCTCATGTCGACGTGCATTAGTCTGGGTGCATATCCCACTCCTCCTGCCCAGAGAAATTACTTTGTCCCTGTTGACTTTGTGTGCTCGGCTGCTTTACATATATCGAAGTCCAATGACAATCTTCGCCAGGCGTACAACCTGATCCACCCGGACCAAGACCAGAATGTCGACCTGTCAACGACATTCAGCATGCTCAGTCATTTGACCTCGCCGCCGCTTCGCGCTGTCGAGATTTCTGAATGGGTAGGGCTGATGTCAAGGGGCATCAGACCATCGTCTAAGTGACATCGCGCCAATTATTGCGGAGAGGCTAACCGAAGGCTCGGTATGGTGGAACAACAAACATGATACAATGGTTATTCATGGCACTGAAAATCTCCAGAGAGCTTTGGCAGATCGACCAGACATTCTGAAGTGCAAGACCATGCTTGAATTGATGGAGACTTACTTTACTCAATGGAACCAACTCTCAGGATCTAGTATCTTGATGCACGGGGCCTGAAATATATTGTATGTCCTATTCAGAGAATATCTCAACATCATATTTCTGCAATACATACAATGAGATTCGAAATTGTGAATGTCCAATGAATAGCTCCTACATCCCAACTGGGACATGCAGCCCGGCAATGATAAAAATTAGTGCCCTTTCGCTAACACCGCTGGTCTCCCTTAGGCCCAGCGGTGCTAGAAATCCTTGATGATATTATCTAGAATATAGTACGGAAAGTCTGTTTATTGACCCCTTTCAAAATCGGAAAGATCGATACATACGACCTTGTTTTGACTACAGCGTAAAGCGTGACTACCATTATTCTCTACCCTAGCTCTCTACCAGTCTACGCTATTGAGGTTGATTAGTCTATTTTTTATTAATCATACCCCGCTATAGAAGTTACTAAATTTACTAATGAAAAGGTTGTGTAAAAGAAGGTGTTGCAAAGCATGTTGAAACCTGTTGCAAGTTGCCAGATGTATCAGAAAATTAGTAATGACGCCGAATACTGGTATGTAAGAGCAATAAATAAAGTATAGAGTACTAAGTGCATAAAGGTAGTATAAAATCGATAATTCTTGCACTATCTTTGAGGTCATAGATTGCGACAGGAAGGGGCTCCAACATCACTCAGGTTTAGTCTAACACCGCTAGGCTGCACCCTGTTCCAACTGTGGAAGTGGATGTAAGATCAGGCATGAATATTTGATTTACATGATTAGATGCTCCGTTGTTAAGGTTGCTAGTAACTCTGACGTATATTTACATCAGCATTACTCATCAGTTTTGTACTCCATGGACTGCGCGGCAGTCTAAAAGATGCAAAGAATGCCTCCTGACCAGGATCATCTAATTGCCAGGGAAGTACCATTAGAAGCCAAGTGATAGAAGATATCACTTCAACAGTCCAAAGTAGAAATGGAGTCGCTGTTGGACCCTTCTTCCCATGGGAGGCAATCCACTGAGCATTCGTCTTTTGGTATATCGTTGCAACTGGCTGAAAACAGTAGGCAGCAAATACCCTGAATGCGGGTAGAGCACGCCGGGAGGACGTAAATGATGCCATACCATGTGAAACAGCAGTGATTACAAACACTCCCCAGATATGGACTTTGCTGGAAGTGTTCGACGGCAGCAGCCACTGAGCGACAGACCACATTGGGCGTCGAAGAACATCGTGCCACCAGTTGGCCCAAAAGTCTGAGAGAACGGAATTAGCTTCAGTGTTTTGACTTCCTATCCCAACCACTTACCTTTGAGATTTGGTGATGACAGCCGGAAACCTCCAAATAAAGTTGGGTATGTCCATGTCTCTCCCGCAATATCAATTGAAGTACTCGATATAATTCCAACAGCGATGAGAGAAAAGAATGCATGAGACCCATCAAGAAAGAACTGGGCGCTGATGATACGCGCAACGCGCCATAGCCACTTGTATATCTCTTGGCCCACAGTCTGTGTGAGGTGTGCTCCAAGGCTTTCAGAGACATTTTTGATCATCTGTGTTGCGAGAAGGTCGTCCTCGCGCGCGAAAATAGCCAAATAAAGATCAAACCAGAGATAGGCAATGAGAATGCGCCGGGCCTGAGTCAAAATAAATAAACGACGACTGGGTTTCCAATCGTCGCTGACACGCTTCCACGAAGTGGGAGCACCAGACTCATTGATTATCAAACTTGTAGGTGGAAGATGGCTTACGGGGCCATGACTCCAACCAATCGCCCGCGGATTTGCAAGCAAGTCGATGATACAAAAAATGCGACGAATGTCACTGGGTGGAGGAAATGACTCCCAACAGTAAAGACGGCCAACCTTTCTCAGACGCTGCATCGACAGTGGGTTGGATATGATGAGAAGTTCTATCGCTCGCACAGGATGATAGATAGACATGAACCCGGTCATATAGTTGAAAAGCGGACCTTCAGTTGGGTGCTGTACAGAATAGATGGAGTAGAGAACGCTGACCGCACAACAGCCATACCGCAAGCGATCGGACTTCGCCAGATACTCGTAAAATAACAGGCCCAGTCCATAGATTCCAAAAGGCACTCCCATCCAAATAACGGAGGTGGTGAGGCTAATATAATTCAACGCCATTGAAGCTGAGCTACTCCGGGAAGATCTTCACAGACGGAATGGACCTTAAGCCAAATGGTTAGAAAGGCCTTCAACACATGGGAGAACATTCATGGAGATTGGAGTATGCTTTGTCTTTTCTTTCGTCGACCTTGAAAACTGTTTAGTACCACTTGGGCACTTTCTGACCCCTACAGCAAAACAATTTTCCTCGGCATGATTGAAACTCAACAAAAACCTTGCATTGCGCATCGAGTGACATTGAGCATTCCATTCCGCGGGGGCAAGTTTCACATACCACAGGTCAAATCGGCTGTCCGCGCGTTAAGACAAAATAGACTTCATGCCATTCAAACTAGTCAGAAGATGTATCATGTACTGGAAGTTCTCAAGGTTCACAGTTGCAGCAAAGATTAATAGTTCATGCACGTTCGTAATTGCTTTTGGAGCTCGGATGTGATGGCCCCTTGCATACCTGTCATTCAGATGAGTAAATTTGACGGGTAATTTCTCGCCTAAAGAATAACTAGCGATAAGAGGATCATCACTTACATGGTCCTTGGATTGAAGAAAGAATCAACAGTTTGTCTCGTTCAAAACAACGGGACCTACCGCAAGCGGCAATCTCAATAACTAAGTGTACACTGTCAGCATGCGCTCTACTACCGCTCATCAGCTTGAAAAAGATGGGTCTCATCCCATCGCCATTGTTGGTATGGCAATGCGACTACCAGGAGGTGTGCGATCTGCTGCAGATTTCTGGCAATTGCTGAGTGAAGGACGTGACGGAAACTGCGTTGTCCCAGACTCGCGATATAGCGAACAGGGCTTCTATTCTGAGTCGGGGGCCCATTCATTAAGAATGCGACACGGTTACTACCTCCAAGAGGACTTGGAAACATTAGACACCTCGTTCTTTGACATGGAGGGACTCCAACCCTCCCGGATGGATCCACAGCAAAAGATGCTCCTTCAGGTGGTGTGGGACTGTCTCGAAAACGCTGGACAAGTCGACTGGCACGGAAAACCAATTGGGTGCTTTGTCGGTACGTATGGAGGAGATTGGGAAGAGATGGAATTCAGGGATCCCCAAAATGCACACAACTTCCATATGATTGGGCATGGAAAGTTTTCACTCGCAAATGTGATCTCTTATGAATTTCATTTCAATGGGCCCAGGTAAGAACAGTGCAGCATTGACATATTATTATTCTTGCTAACGATAGTACAGTATGACGATTGAGACTGGCTGTTCCTCTTCCCTTGTTGCTCTGAATCAGGCCTGCCAGGCTCTCATAATGGGAGACTGCTCTACAGCCATTGTTGCTGGATCCAATCTGATATTCACACCTACTGTTGGAATGCATGGGTCGGGTCTTAGCGTTTTCTCCCCATCCGGTATATCAAAATGCTTTGATGCCTCCGCGGATGGATACGGAAGAGGCGAGGCCGTGAATGCAGTTTGCATCAAGCGGCTGGATGATGCCTTGCGGGATGGAGACCAGATTCGGGCTGTCATTCGCTCTTCAATGGTCAACCACGATGGTCGAAGCCCTGGAATCACCACACCTTCTGCCGAGGCACAGGAAAGGTTGATACGGGAAACATACAGACGAGCCCTGATCAGTGATCTCTCGCAGACTGCCTTCGTCGAGTGTCATGGTACTGGTACTTTAGCTGGTGACCCGATTGAATGTTCTGCGATAGCCAAGACCTTCCTCGGAGAAATATACATTGGTTCGGTTTGTGTTTACCCTGCACCAGTGATTACGTACCGTCAAGAATCCGCTGACTCCTTTATCATCAGGTCAAAGCCAATGTTGGTCACTCTGAAGGGGCATCAGGACTCACGAGCCTTATCAAGGCTGTCCTCGCTTTGGAGAAAAGGATAATACCGCCCAATATCCACTTCCATGAACCAAATCCGAGAAGTATGCATTTTATCTATGACTTCAATAGAAAGTGGCTAACATTATCTTAGTTCCCTGGGATAATGGCCGCCTTCGTGTTCCCAAACGGCTTACTGCGTGGCCTCAGAATCGAAAGGAGAGAATCAGCGTCAGCAACTTTGGTATTGGTGGCTCGAATGCACATGTGAGACTGCCACAACTTGTCGCGAATTAGGGGGTTATTGACAAATTTTCAGGTAATAATTGATTCGTCCTCTTCCTTCATACCCACGGCTTTGGTAGAAAATGGTGCAAGAGAGTCACGGCCTTTGCTGCTAGTGGTTTCTGCAAAAAGCCAGGAGGCCATGTTGCGTCGAGAGCAAAGTTTGCTGAAGTACGTGACTTTGTATCCGAATCGTTTGGACGATCTTGCATATACCCTCGGTGTTCGTCGAGAACATCTGTCTCACAGGGGCTTCATCACTACGGACGGTATAGCGGCAGAGACGGAAATCACCAAGCGTTCCATTGCCAGTCGGGCCCCAAACTTGACATATGTCTTCACAGGCCAAGGTGCTCAGTGGGCCGGAATGGGCAGAGGATTAATGAAATGTTTCAAAGGCTTCTGTGACGATATACGATCCCTGGATGTTGTCTTGCAGAACTTGAAAAGACCTCCCTCGTGGAGTTTAGAAGGTAAATCATCATGACCTACAGTCATTTACCATTCAAAACAATCGCTTACACAGTGTCATAACAGTGACGCTTGCGGAGGCCGATATTGACCAGATCAACACGCCTCAACTTTCTCAAACTTTGTGCTGTGCACTACAGATCGCATTGGTAAACCTCCTCGCAACATGGGGAGTCGTACCCGCAGCAGTCATCGGTCATTCGAGTGGCGAGATCGCAGCTTCATATGCCGCTGGAGCAATTACGGCTGAGTCTGCGATAGCTTTGAGCTACTATCGTGGCCTGCTGGTAGATGAAATTGGCAAGTCTGGAGCAATGGCTGCAATTGGCCTCGGTCGCGCGCAAGTGGCATCGTATCTACAAGGCGGTGTTGTCATAGCTTGCGACAATAGCCCTAATAGCGTCACTCTGTCCGGAGAGCCTCGTCGAGTGGAAGAGATAATGAACAAGATCAGATCAGAACACCCAAATGCACTGTGCAGAATGTTGCGTGTTAATAGATCATATCATTCAGGTATTTCATTTTCTGTACTTGCTGAACAGCGAGGTGATAAAAGCCGAACAAGCTAACCAAAGGATAGGTTCTATGACAGCCGTGAGCAAGGTGTATGAGACCAGCATTCGACCATACATCAAGACTCAGAAGACAATGATTCCAATGTACTCTAGCGTGACGGGACAAATTATCTTGGACCCGAAGCAGTTTAATGCCAAATATTGGGCCCAGAATCTTGTGTCACCCGTGCTCTTCTGGGGCGCTGCCGAGTCCATTATGGAAGATCAGGCTAGGTAATTTTTCTTGGAGATTGGTCCACATTCTGCCCTTGCAGGACCTCTTCGTGACATCTTCAGATCTCTGGCTCATGAGAAGCAAGAAATGTCATATTCATCCTGCCTGATTCGTGGACAATGCCAGGCAAAATCCCTCTTAACGGCAGCCGGAGAGCTATTCCTTGGAGGTATTCAACTGAACTTCGAGGTCATCAATGGCCCTGGAAAGGTTCTCACTGATCTTGATCCCTACCCTTGGCAAAAAGGAGAGCGTCAATGGTCTGAGAGCCGAATTACTCGAGAGTGGAGATTCCGCAAGCACGCCCACCATGAGCTCTTGGGTTCACGGGTTATCGAATCGACACAGCTTGAGCCCTCGTGGAGAAATATGCTCCATATTGATGACGTTCCTTGGCTTTGGGACCATCGTATCGGAGGGTCGACAGTATTTCCCTGTGCCGGTTATATCGTTATGGCTGGTGAAGCTATACGGCAGATCACTGGGTGTGACAAATATCGCTTAAGATGTCTTCGCCTCTCTAAAGCGTTGACACTGGACGATCGTGGCCGAATAGAAGTTTTTTCGTGCTTTAGACCAGCTCGTCTGACTGAGGAGTCTGGCTCGGGGTGGTACGAATTCTCCATTTCCAGCTTTAGAAGGGGCTCATGGGTGAAGCATTGCACAGGACAAGTGCGAAGCGAAGCATCCTCGCCCACTTCGCGAGATATCAGAGGTCTTCCAAGATCTGTAACTTCCCACTCATGGTACGAGAATCTAAAGGAGCGTGGGCTCGAGTATGGGCCGAACTTCAGACTACTCCAGCACATATCAGCTCACCCAACACAACTATCTGCGACCGCCAGCTTGCAGAGAGATGGATCTCTTGATACGATTGACGCTCCGACTATTGATCAGTGCTTGCAACTTGTCGCAGTCGCAATGTCTAACGGTCTTCTTCGGAAGTGCGTCGCGATGGGAATGCCTGTGTACATTCAGGAAGTCTTTGTCGGCAAGACAGGCCCGGACGTTTTTCTTGAAGCTTTCGCAACAGGGACAGCTCTGGGAGGGGCCTCTGGGGCTGCATGTGCACAGTGGGGAGCAGAAGTGGGGGTAAAGCTTGATGGTGTGGAGTTCATGGGATTCGATGAATCCTCTTCGGCAGATGGTGATCAAAAATTGTGTTCAAATCTCGCGTGGGCACCAGATGTGGATCTGGTACCAGAAGGGTCTCTTCTCGTGCCATCTAGACCAGTGATGTCTACTGCTGATGAAACTTATGCTCCTAGACAGCAGTTCTTTGACATGTGCGTCATTGAAACCGCACGACGAATTGTTGATTTGGAGCCGTTCTCAGAGCACCTGCGCAAGTATCAACATTGGATGACGACAAAATCAGCTGTGATCCTCAAAAATCTCCAATCTATTTTGTCATCTAAGGAAAGCTCTTTCTTAAGAATACCTATTGAAGACTGGATGAAAATTCTGGCAGGCCTTAAGTGGCAGATTGAGGAAACGATGCCACTCAGCAGACATTTCGCACAACTTTCTCTTCTTGTCGTGGAGAACTGCGTTGACATCATCCAGGGGAAGTGTCAACCTTTGGGTCTACTAATGGAAAACGATGGCTTATCGCAGCTCTACAACACTGGTAACAGCAGAAATTACGAGGAGTTCTTGAGGCTCCTTAGTCATGCTCAACCCGATCTTCGGATTATTGAAATTGGAGCAGGCACTGGAGCGACGACAGCAAGAGCCCTGCAATGCCTCCACCCTGACGGAATGGATCGTCAGTATTCGCGCTATGTGTTCACTGATATTTCCTCGGCCTTTTTCCGACCAGCAATGGAAAGGTTCAAAGCACACGAGGCGCTTGAATTTGCGGTGCTAGATATCAGCCAGCCTCCAGCCAATCAAGAAGTTGAACTCGCAAGCTTTGATCTAGTGATTGCGTCCAATGTAAGTTTATTCTTCGTGTTCAGCAAGGAGTAAATACTCACGGCGTACTTCCAGGTACTACATGCCACATGCAGTATACAAGAGACTTTAAAAAATGTCAAGTCTCTCCTCAAGCCTGGTGGGCGTGTCTTGATTGAAGAAATTTGCTCTGGTGAGTTACAATATGTGAGAAAATTCTGCGTATGACTAATATACTCGAAGAGGCCCAACCAATAGACTTCATTATGGTAAGTCCATCTGCACCAAAGGCTCGGATGATTAATAGTGAGGCCAATGATTATAGGGTTTGCTCCCCGGGTGGTGGATTGGTGAAGAAGACAACCGCGTCGATGCTCCGTATATTTCGATGGATCGTTGGCGGAGCGAGCTACAAAAAGCCGGATTTGAAAATATCCACTCGGCTCCAGGCGAAGCAGAAATATACATGACCTCGATACTCGCATCTCTTCCTCCGCTACTGCATAGCGAAAAGCATACAGTCCATCTTCTCTGCAATTTGCAGAGACCAAAATGGGCAATCAATGTTGCTGAGAGGATAATGGCTCTTGGTTTTCCCGTCCGTTGGTGCGACCTTTCAGAGCCACCTCCTGCCAATGAAGACGTCATTTCCTTCCTCGACGTTGAAGAGCCATTATTGCATTCCTTGACGAGCACCCAACTTGCCCGACTTCAAGAATATCTCTCGTCATGCATATCCACTCGTATTCTGTGGCTGACCCGTAGCTCCCAGATGACTTGTCCAAATCCTCGTTATGGGTTGACCCTGGGTTTCGCGCGAACAATGCGGATGGAATATGAGATGGACTTTGACACTGTCGAGGTGGAAGAGTTGGATAGAATCTCGGAGACTGGCGTTGTTGAGATCTACAAGAAGTTTCAACAGCGGCGTTTCCGAGCTGACACAACAATGGATCATGAGTATGCCATCCAGGATGGAGTGGTTCATATTCCAAGATACCACTGGAGTAATTTGTCTGAGAACCTACTCGAAGACCCTTCAACGGCAGGTCCAAAGACTCTCGCAGTCGAGCAACCTGGGATTCTGGACTCTCTGAAGTGGATTGAAAATGAGTTGCCCACTCTAGATAAGGACGCGGTGGAGATTGATGTGAAATTCGCGGGCCTCAATTTCCGAGTAAGGCATTCGCCATCCACTTTGAGTATCAGAAATTTAACCTTATTAACAGGACTTGATGGTAAGCCTGGGAATGTTGCAAGGCAAAACTGATATTGGACTGGAAGGAAGCGGTGTGGTTCGAAGCGTTGGAAGGGACGTTACACATGTCAAGGAAGGAGATCAGGTAGTATTCCTTGCCTCGCCTGCTTTCAGTACCCGTGTCGTTGCGCCGGGTGCTCTTGTCGTCGCAATACCCGCTGGGCTCCCTTTGGATCAATCAGCAACAATTGGCTGCGCGTATACTACCGCAGCGTACTGCTTGATGAACGTGGGCCGACTGCAAAAAGATCAGGTATGAATACTTGATTTCTACCGAAATCATCCTGGAAACTTACTGATCCCATAACAGTCGGTGTTGATTCACTCTGCCGCAGGCGGAGTAGGGATCGCGTCTATCATGCTCTGTCAGATGCTCGGTGTACAGGTAAGTTGCAAATTAAGATTAAGAAGAACTACATTTGCTTCTGTAGCTCGAGCAAGCTTTGAACTACTTCTAACCCTGGTAGATATACGCTACGGTCGGTAACCAAGAGAAGGCAAAGTATCTCACTGAAACCTTCGGAATCCGGACAGAGCATATTTTCGATTCCCGGAGTACTTCCTTCGCGTCGAATTTGCTGAGAAGAACTCGAGGCCGAGGTGTCGATCTGGTCCTCAATTCCCTGGCAGGAGACCTCTTGTTGGCATCATGGGAATGTGTAGCTGAAGGAGGCATGATGGTGGAAATAGGTAAACGCGACTTTATGGGTCATTCTATGCTTCCCATGGATCGGTTCCTTGCGAATAGATCCTTTGTGGGAGTGGACATTCTTTCCCTCGCCAAATTGCGGCCCCAAGTCGTCCTAGAGTGAGTTGGCCCAGCAGGCTGGCACAATATAGGGTACCAACTAACATGGGTGGATAGGTGTTTAAGAACCGTCTCAGCCCTTTTGGCCAAGAAGTCCATTGCGCCTATTCAGCCAATGCGTGTCTTTGGAGCACGCCAAATTACCGAGGCATTTAAGTATATGCAAGAAGGCAAACACATGGGAAAGATCGTTGTCGAAATGCCAGATGATGCCCACGAACTTCTAAAGTCCAAAACCCCGGCAAAAATTTCCTTCTGTCATGACGGTGCCTATCTTTTGATAGGTGGTCTGGGCGGACTAGGTCGTGCTGTGGCGCAATGGATGGTTGAAAATGGCGCCAAACACTTGGTGTTCCTTTCACGCACTGCGGGAGCTGGTGATAACGATGCCAAGTTTGTCTACGACCTAGAGCTCCAAGGGTGTGATTCCCTCTTGATTCAGGGTGACGTCGCCAACCTGACGGATGTCAAAAAAGCAGTCGCTGCCAGCTGCAAACCGGTGAAGGGTGTCATCCATATGGCAATGCTCATGAAGGTAAAACATTATCTCTCAATATAAAAGCATATCAAGGACGAGGCTTACCAACATGTTCTCCAGGACTCCCCTTTCTTCAGCATGACTCACGAACAGTGGGAAGAAGCATTGCGTCCTAAGGTTGAGGGAGTGTGGAACCTGCACGAAGCGTTGCAGTCCCGCAGTCTCGACTTCTTCGTCATGTTCAGCTCTGTCGCCGCAGCAGCTGGCTCTGCTGGGCAAGCAAACTATGCATCCGCCAACACTTTCCTTGGTGCATTCGCACGTTATCGCCAGTCTTTGGGTCTACCAGCATCCGTCCTCGATGTTGGTTGGATCACCGACGTCGGGTATGTTAGCCAGCGACCGGAGCTCTTGGACATGATGCGGTCTAAGAACTTTATCCCTTTACGAGAGAGTCATCTCCTGGCCGCGTTGCAATTGCTCTTGTTCCCGCCCAAAATGGTTGATGGGATGCCATCGAAGTTTAGAGATGAACACCACCTGTTGATCGGATTGGGTCTCTTGTGGTCACAGGCTTCGGGTGACATGCGATGCAAGGACGCCCGGTACCGACATGACCTCGCGGTAGGAGTTGCACACCTCGAGCCACGTTCTTCGGGAGACAGTCCTATCAAAGGTCTTGTTCACGCCGTAGAGGAGAATCCTGAGATCTTACAGCATGCCCATACTGTTGACCTTCTCACTAAGGAAATGGCACTTTTGATGGGGCCATATTCAGCTGCTGTTAAGAACGAAGATTGGGCGGCCATGGCTGAAATATCGGTCGACTCGCTTGTAGCTGTGGAGGCTCGGGCATGGTTGAAGCGTAATCTCGAAGTGGAGCTTGGCCTTGTCGACATCGCAACGGCAGGCACTGTTCGGGGCGTTGTCTCTCTCACTATGGCTGCGCTGAGCCATAAATACTCCGTGAAACGGTGATATTCTGGCAAGATCATCAAGCGTTCAACTTCAGAAGTTGTTTCTATCTTGTACTTATGTCTGTCGGGAAGCCATTATATTTCTGTGACATAAATTTCAAGACACCAACTACCAAATCGAACTGATGATAAATGGAGACGAAGAATTTATCAGGCGTTATACATACTTTCATTCATGAGGTTGTTCTTTAAAGGGTTTAGAACGGGCAAAAGATTCAGTGACGAGCGCCTTCCAGAATCCCGACCTGTAGATCCTTCAAAACATTATCGGCATACGGAGAGTGAAGATGACTACCATGATAGAGTTCAGTGGCATCTTTCCCAAGTGACTGCTCAATCAGGTCACGACCACCTGGGTGAGTATCCATAAAGTCTGCGACATCATATACCACTCCGTTGATGCAGGTAAGGTGGTGCATATCGCCTGATCGCCTCTCGAAATCTTCCCAGCTCATTGGTGGAAGCTTGGATAAGGCTTGAATAGTCTCGGACTTGCCATTCTGGCCCTGGTTTTTTGCCTTCTGCTGGTTGAGGCGAGCCTGCTTTATCTCAAATGGACTAGCCGTCTTTAGATCTTTCGCCCATCCAATTCTTCCCCACAGCCAGATAATCCATCGAGAGAAATCCGGTTCATTCCAACTTACTCCGTTCCGATAATCAGTCGGAAACGCGTGGTGAAAGTTGTGGTTCGCTTCTCCTAATGTCAATATAGCGAGAAGAGGGATATTCCGCGCAGTTGTACTAGTAGAGTACGGCTGAGTGCCAACCCACGGGGCATGAGCAACTGAGTTGATCAAGAAAGTAATGTGTTGAGTCATGATAATTCGGGTCAAGCCTGCGTAAAGCATTCCACCTTTCCAGTCATTCCAGCCGCAATGAGCTACGGCACCGGGCATAAGAATGCCGACCGTGATGAGAATAGGCCAGTACATACGATCCTGCCAGATCACAACTGGGTCATTTTTCAAGTCTGACAGGTCCACCGGCCCCCACGCTTTCTCGTTCAGCCCAAGGAGCCAGCCAACATGGGAGAAGAGTAGACCTCTTTTGGCGTTGTAGGGATCCTGCTCTGTATCTGTATATTTGTGGTGGGCTCGGTGATGTTTCACCCACCATAGAATAGGCCATTGATTTTGGGCAGCCCCAACAACTGCAAGCACGATTCTTATCCCCAAGCACGCCGAGAACGATCGGTGAGCCCAAAGTCGATGATAACCTACCGTCACGTTAACTACCGACCTCTCGAAATTCAAAGGTCTTTGGGTATTGTGACCCACTCACCAATTGTAATGCTGAAGCCACCTATGATGCCCCAAGTAATTGCCATGATGATAGTGTTTTTCTTAGCAACTACATAAGGGGCGGCAAGAATTATGAAACAAATTGGTCCCAAAAGGCTCGTATGGAGAAATCCGTGGAAATTTTGTCGATACCACTCGAATTCGGCCTTCCAGGTATGGCGGGAAGCAGGGCGCGACACCAGTCGAACGAGTTTGCCGTGTGGATTTGACATTATGATAATAAAGCAGTTCTGTAAGAGACCAAGCCCATCAATTGCGCATTGTTGAATGAGTCTTTAAAGGTCCCCTTACAGACGAGAGTCAACCGTTGTTTATATGACACGCAGCCATTGCGCTGATCTTTTTTTTTTTTCTCTTTTTCTTGCTTTTTCCCTCCTTGCATGAGGTATGCAGTTGATGCATTGGTTTCGCATGAACATATCAACCACTAAACACAAACTCGACGCAGCATGTGAATTAACAGACAGGGTATAACTAATATTTGCTATTTCCATAAACTTTGTGAAGGTTCACTGAGAGCAGTCCGGGTGTGTCACAACAGCTTGCCTAAATGGGATTTTCATGTCCTTCCACCCTGCAGATGTCATAATTGTTGAATGGACTCCAAAGAATGAATGAAGTAGCTGGTATTAAATAAGGCACATTCGGAAGGGTTGGAAACAAGCCCACTTTTTCTAACCCCTCTTAGCTACAATAGACTCGGGGTGACCAGAGGTTTTGGTTAAAAATCCTACAGGAAACAATAATCGAAATCTTGGCCTAGAGCCATTTTTATTAGGGCGGCACTCTAGGGAACCCCCCCCCCCTCCCTGCGGGCGCTTAGAGGCTACTCGGTTACACGGTCCCTACTGCCTAAAGATCAAGGCATGAATCCCTATTCAGGTTTAGTGCACGACCAACATGAATTCATCACCCTCTACCTCGCCCGGCAGAATATTTGCGCCTAAGGCAGAATTTCCCTTGACCTCACTATCAGCCTCCACCCATTCATCACCATCTCTAAAGCTCTCTCCACCGCCTACCTAATCTAGCACCAATCGGCAGCAGTAGCCAAGCAGTTAACGCGGTTACCCCAGAAGATGCGTGGCAGTTTACTGCCGAATCGCAGGTAAAGAAATACGCGAATTCTATATAGTTCGATCATCAAAATATGGGTTTGTAAACAGTCGCTAAGCGTGCAGTTTACTGTGTAAGTCACAACAGTAGACGGTAGAGACCAAGATGGCTGAAAAGTGGCAGAATGGAAATTTGGTGACCTATAATAACTCACTAAACGCATCACAACGCTAAGCCCAAATAGGAACTTTTGCTTTGAAATCGAGGCACAGGGTCCTTGGAGTACTGCCCTAAAGATATCCTGAATACTACAGCAGTAAGTAAGAGCGATTAATAAAGCGTATAGAGCTTGCATAAAGATTGTATAAAGAAGAATAACTAATGTCTAATTATTCAGCCCCTTCGAGCCTGGGGAAGGTCAGAAACTAGGAGTCTTTGTATTAAGGTTATGACCCCTCCCAAGTACAGTCTGACTGCATCGGACCTCCGTGAACTGTGCCCCGTATTAAATAGCTTGAAGCTTCCATTGTCTGACTGCAACAGTAGCGCTGCCCTGGTGCCCGTGGTTCGATACATTCTGCACAATACCCGCTGCTAGCTTGCCCAGAAATCCCCTCGTTCACCCGTCCTTCTGGAAGTGCCAAGACAAAGAAAAGCGGTCATGATTCAAGCAATGCATCAGTCATTTAAACAAAGCCAGCATTTGTTAGCACGAGTCAGTAGTTAACTAACTAGGTAGCCTTTGCATGACTCAAGGAAAATATAGGACAAAGACCACATCTGCTACTCCAGCACCAGCACCAACAACCACATCATAGGTCTTGGCATGGCCGATCTTCTCTTCGGATATCATATGAAACATCTGAAACCGGACAACCGAGGTTCTCCAATGGCACGGTAATTCCCCCAGATTCTCGTATACCTTGAGGCCTTGCAGTCCCGCAGAATGGCAATTACATATAGCAAGACGAATAATTTGCGAGTACCAATTTTATGCAGCTTATATCGATATTTAGATATAGACCTACACAATCAAAATATGAGGTGCATAAGACATAAGGTCGGAAATGATCCTGACCACGATGGCAGCATAAGGGCCTTGACTAAGAGCGCGATCACCCAGAGAAGCGGGGGTTCTAGGCATCTCGGAAGGCTGTCTCGAAGCAGCCACGTCCATTCCTCCACAAAACGCAAATCAAAACGCTATCATAGGCCACTTGGTCTCAAGTTTCTGGGGAACCGGGCCCATTGTTCCCCCGATTGATAGCCCGTTGCATACGAATGGACCACTTGCACGTCTCCCGGAGGAACCATTAACCGTGCATATGCCGGCTTGGGTGGATTGACGCCGTGGTTCCAGGACCCTATGATGTACCTTTGTCCATTCACAAAGACTGGACCGGGCTCATCATGCAGTATTCGATCGTGTTGCCAGCATACGGCCGACGGAATACTCGGGGACGGCCCCGTTCCCTCGCTAGCGTGCCATGTGCAAATGAATTCGGTCATGGCCTCCCTTCGCCCCGACCGAACCCCACATTGGCATATTAAGACAAACATCCTTTCCTGGAGCTGAGACTGCTGACCTGGTTGATAAATCTGGTCTCCTTTAAGTCTCGACCATCCAGAACCAGGCCATCATGATTGAAGCAGTCGTGGGCGATTTGACGCCCACTAGGGCGGCCCTATGGTTTCTGGGGCTATTCACGGCTTTCTGCGTGTTTCGCAAGTTCCAAGCTTCTGCGCAGATCGCCCGAATGGGTGCTCGTGCTCCCAAAGTCAAGTTTCGTCTCCCATATGGTATGATTCAAAATGCGCTTGTCCAGCATGAGCGGTAGACACAAAAACATGACGGGAACCAAGCTAACAAATCATCAGCTCTCGACTTCATCTACAAGGGCCAAGTTGCCAACCTCAAGCACGAGGATATCGAATTCTGGAATGATACCATCATGGCAGCCAGCGGCCGCGACAACTGCAAGACCGCCGAAGTCGATGCTGGCATCTCTACCCGCGTGGTGCTAACCATGGACCCCGAAAACATCAAGGCGCTGCTCACTGGCCAGTTCGCGGACTACGGCAAAGGGGAGCCTTTCCACCGCGAGTGGAAGGAGTTCCTTGGAGACAGCATCTTTGCGACGGACGGCGAGCTATGGTCGCGCTCGCGCCAGCTCATCCGGCCCATGTTCGCGCGTGAGCGACTCGTCGATACCGAGATCTTCGAGAAGCATATGCAGAAGCTTATCCCCCTACTCGGCGGTGACCCTAACGGTAGCAAGGTCGTCGATGTTGGTTCGCTGTTCTTCCGGTATACTCTCGACGCGGCGACCGACTACCTCCTCGGCCAGGGAACCGACAGTCTCGAGAATCCAGCTACACGCTTTGCCGAGGCGTTCAGATATGTGCAACAACGACAAGCGGAACTTTTCCGATTCGGGTAAGCAACACCATCCCCCGATCTTGTGTGATGCTCAGCATCGAATTCCGATGGGAAGCACAAAACCTAATCTGAGTTTCCTCATCAATAGCGTCTTCAACTTTGCCATGTCACGCACTGAATTCCGCCGCAATCTTAAAATCATGGATGGCTTCCTTCAGCCTTACATCGAGACCGTGCTGGCCATGTCTCCAGACGAACTAGACCAAAAGCTCTCCAAACGTGAGACGTTCCTTCACGCCCTGGCCCGCTTCACCCGTGACCCCAAAGTCCTCCGCGACCAACTCGTCGCCGTCCTCCTCGCCGGCCGCGACACTACCGCCGGTACACTCTCCTTCTGTCTCTTCGAACTAGCCCGCCATCCCAAAGTCGTCGCCAAACTACGCACCGAGATCCGCGATAGACTCGGCGTCGGCGCTGACGCCCAGAAACCCTCGTACGATGATCTCAAGACGATGAAGTATCTCAATGCCGTGATCAACGAGACTATGCGCTTCTACCCGGTCGTTCCCTTTAATGTCCGCTATTCGCTGAAGGATACCACCCTCCCTCGCGGCGGTGGGCCAGACGGACAGTCCCCCGTCGGTGTACGCGCCAACACTCGCGTTATCTACTCCACGCTCCTTATGCAGCGTGATCCGGATCTGTATGATGGGCCGGAATCGAAGAATTACTTTGATCCGGGCCGGTGGATTCCTGAGCGTTGGGTAGAGGGGTGGCAGCCGCGGCCGTGGCATTTTATTCCGTTCAATGGAGGTCCACGAATCTGTATTGGGCAGCAGTTTGCGACTATTGAGATGGGGTATACTATTATTCGGATTTTGCAGGCTTATGAGAAGATTGTCGCGCTGCCGGTTAATGGAGAGGATTGTGTTAAGGATCCGGTGTTGAGGTTTGAGGTTACTCTTAGTCCTGGGGCGGAGTTTAATTGTGTCTTTGTTAAGGAGGGGGAGGAGGCTGTTAAGGCTGGTGTTTGAAGGGATGGTATAGGTATGGTAGGTGGAATATGGATGGTATATTGTGAATATGGTGCGGTTGACTTAGGCTTAAGCCGACGATCTCCTCTCTGCTTTATGTGGCTCGATTCTGGAGTTGAGCCTGCACTAACTACGATGTATACGAGAGACAACTTGCAATGTCTATTTTAGTTCAAAACAAATTGAATCATCATTCTGTGAATAATAGTACACACACAACAGATTTACTCATAAACCAGCTCAGCCTTCCGAGCAGGCAAGCCCGAGTTTCCAAACGCCAGAAAGATCATTCACCAACTGGAACTGGAACTGGAAGTATGACTCGAACAGGCATCTCCATCTCCATATCTGGACCGGCCCAGTCTTAGAAATAACTCAACTTCAACTTCCTCAACTTCTTCAACTTCTGCAAAATCTCCACCTTCCTCAACTCCAAAAACAAATCCTCCTCATCCGCATCATCCAAATCCCCCGAAACACTAATCAACGGCGTCTTTGCCGGCGAAAAGTCCCAATCCCGATTCCTATCTCTATCTGTATCTCCATTTGCTGCCGTCCTCGTCTTCACCTTCAATGTCGCACCCAGACCACCACTCGTCACTAGCTCCGAAACCAGCGGCGAGGCATTCTGTCGCGGGACAGCTTTGGGAATACCCATACCCCGATTCTCGCTCGGTGCCGTGGGCGGCCCGTTTGTCGTGGCCTTGTTCGTGTTGTTAGGCAGAGCTTCGTGCGCGACAGACTTTTTCTCGCCGTCGGTACTCCTATCTCCGTCCTGATTCTGGGTAGTATCTGAACCAATCCAGCCTCTGCTCATACGCACGGCTTTCTCCCACTGACCGAATTTAGTTGCGCTCTCTTCACGGCTGATTTGAGGCTCGAAGACGGCGCCACCGGCGCGGTTGATATCGCGTAATTCGGCAAAGTTGCGCCACATGCCGACTGCGAGGCCTGCGGCGATCGCGGCACCTAGGGCGGTGGTCTCGCGCATTTTGGGGCGGTAGACTGGGATGGAGATGAGGTCTGCTTGGGTCTGGTGGTTGTGGAGTGGTTAGAGTTGGTTGAGATGTTAGGATTGTATGTATTGAGGGCTGGAGGCGATCTTACCTGCATTGCTAGGTCTGAGTTGCTCATGCCTCCGTCCACAGCGAGCTCGGAAAGGGCTTTCCCACTGTCCTTTTCCATTGCGTCGAGAATGGCTTTTGTCTGGAAGCAGGTTGCTTCGAGAGTTGCGCGGGCAATGTGGCCCTTTTGCGTATACTGGGTGATGCCAACTACAGATGGACCAGCCAGTCAGACATTACGATCAAATCACAGACAGGACTGGATGAGGCTCGGGTCATATCCCGGGACTTACAGATCGTCCCTTTGGCATCATCAATCCAATAGGGCGCAAATAACCCACTAAACGCAGTCACAAACACACATCCCCCATTATCCTCCACCGTCAATGCCAAGTCATTCACCTCCTTCGAATCCTGGAAAAATGACAGATTATTCTGCAAGAATTTGACCCCAGATCCGGCCACCGCAATGCTGCCCTCCAGCGCATAAACGGGCTTCCCACCAAAATCATACGCTACCGTCGCCAGCAGCCCGTGTTTCGAGATCACTGGCTTCTCGCCCACGTTATACAGCAAGAAGCAGCCAGTACCGTAGGTATTCTTCGCCATACCCGGCGAGAAGCCCTTCTGTCCAACCAATGCAGACGACTGATCTCCCAAACATCCCATAATGGGGACTTGGGCGAGAACACCACTCGCAATCACCCCGTACGCAGAGGGATCACTTGAGGGGACAATCCTCGGTAAATGAATCTTCCCCTTGATACCAAAGAAATCCAACAGCGCATCATCATACTGCAACGTCTCCAGATTAACAAACATAGTCCGCGACGCGTTTGTCGAATCCGAGACAAACACGTTCGCCGCAACGCCACCATTCAAACGATAAACCAGCCAGGCATCGACGGTTCCAAACGCCAACGTCCCGCGGTCAAAAGCATCTTTCACCTTGGGCACATGCTCCAGCATCCAGAGCAGCTTTGTCGCGGAGGAGTAGGTTGATAGCGGGAGGCCGCAGAGGGATTGGAGGTGGGACGCCCCCGGGCGGGTCTTTAGCTCGGAGACGATGGACTGGGAGCGTGTATCGGTCCATACAATGGCGTTGTGGAGGGGTTCGCCGGTTTCGTGGTCCCAGACGACGGTTGTTTCGCGCTGGTTGGTGATTCCCACGCAGGCGATGCTGGTGCGGGCGTGGCCTTGGCTTTCGAAGGATTGGACGGCGCCCGCGATGCAGGTTTCCACGGATGAGACGAGTTCGAGAGGGTCGTGTTCGTGCCAGCTGGAGTTGAGGAAGCAGGTTAGTCTTTCGGGTTTCGTGAAGGGCTTTTATTTTTCGTCTCTCTTTTTTTTTTTCTTTTTTTTTGGATTTTTTGGGCTTTCGTCGAGGGTTTATTCCACTTACCCCGGATGTGGGTATATCTGGCCAAACTCCACCTGATGAGAAGCGACGGGTTCCCCATCACGATTGAAGATCAGAAATCGGGTGCTGGTAGTCCCCTGATCGATTGACCCAACGAACATTTCGGAGGGCTGCATCGCTGTCCAGATCAACGTGGACGAGAGGGGTATTGGGGGCAGGGGAGGTTCTACTAAGGACGGAACGCAACGCAACGCTCTATGCAGTTATGGGGGTATCAACAAAAGATTAACATAAACGACATGACTTCCTCAGAGACAAGAGAAGAAATGAAAAGATGGCTTGATTCTCCTTAAATAACATTGCCAGAGAGCTGCTGTGACACCAAAAGTTCCCGTGCGCGCGGGGTGAGCTGTTGGGGGGAAAGGAGGGTTGACGAGAATCAAGAAGCTGGGCAGGGCACCAGATTGGTGGGATTATTGGAGTTGACCAGGTCCAGTTAGCCAGGGGTGGGGGGCTCATCCAGAAGATTGGTCCGAGGCTGGCAAAGGTGAAATAGGCTTGAGCGTGGTAGAACTATGGAGTTCAGTCCTGGCTGCTACTTACTCCTCCTGTTCAGGCCCAGTTCAGGAGGTCGGGGCTCGATACTCCGAGCACATGCCTGGAGACGCGAGCATCTTGCCAGAACTTTGCAACGTGCTGACTGCTTCATGCTTCCTGCTGGCCATGCATAGTATAGTTGCATACAGCATCCAGACCAGGCCCTTGCTAATTTAACAGACCAGCCAGACTCGACAGGAGTACTGTACTCACGTACATTGTCCTGTACGTGAGAGGACCCCGATCAACGCTCCACTCCGACGATCTTTCCGGGGGAACAAACCCACCTGACAGAAGAACAACCAGACACTCGAAGAATACGAGATGCCTGCCATCTTCAACAATGGCCATTATGAACTGCATGGACCACTCTCTTACCCGTCCATCCTACTACTGTACCAGATTGTTCCTCCCAAACAACCCACACAAAGACTCACCAGCTGGAGGAATTGTGGGGGCCACCCGACGCGTTCCAGGCGTTCCACTCTCGAATCGCCCCGCCGTGGAGAAGGCCAAACTCCACTCTGCATTATGATGCCTGTCAACCAGCAGCAAGTTGCAACGACCACGACCAACACGAGTATGACCATTATCACCAGCCCAAGCATCCCCATTCAACCAACCCAGTCCAAACTGCAACCCCGTCGGAATCCCAAGCGGACTGGCACGCCCTGCCCTGGTCGGCACTTGGCCTGCCGGTCTCGTTTTTGTCGGTGAGATGAATGCGCTGCGGCGATAACTGACGAATCCGATCGTCTGATTTTCTCGAGGAGGACAAAGGACGAGATCGCCCCTTCCCATTCACCGTTGCCTCTCACCGGTCTCAATGTCATGCATTGAGATTCCGGGGTCTATCCTGGTCGTCACAATGCGACAATGCATGGGTTCAAAGAGCCACAAAGAAACGGGGGCCTTGAAGTGGTCACACGAGCGCGGAATTGGGTAATAGGGTGTCATCATCTCCCTTGCTCCAAGAGATCAAGACCTCAAAGAATCTAGGCGACCGCAAAAACGAAGCTCAAATTACTACCCATCAAACTGCACCTCGACATAAACATGCCCATGTCAATTCCAGGGGTTCGGAAAGGAACGGCGTGTTGAAAGGCAGACGGCCAAGTCCAGCCTCCCTGCTTAGGTCGGTTCGGTTGCTGGTCGGTACTGGTACTGGAGACGATGAAAAAAAAAACATCCCGTCTACTTTCCAACTACCGTCCTCACTGACAATTGCAAAACCTTCGAGCTGGCAGGTACGGTTCGAACTTCTAGAAATCGCAATGATACCTGCGCGGTCTTTGCAAAGTCCGTCGATTTGCCGATACGTAACAGAAGCAATGGAAGCTTCTCCGTACAACCATCCAACCACCCCCTTCCAATGCCCGGATTGCAGTTTTGGTTTGTTGCCGGGGCGTGCCAGGGACTTTGTCTGCGTCGCGGAGCCATTGGGAACGACGCGCATTTTTTTTGGTGTCACCATCCCGCTTATTCCAGCACAATTGGGAGGCGTGTGTCTGTTTATTCCCCCCTGCAAATGGCGAATCAAGGAAAAGGAACACATTTACGGTGGTAATTGTTACTCGCTTCAACAGCTCTGTACGTCTTGGATCCTCTTGGCTCCGGGAATCAGAAATGGGCCGGCGTTTCCCGGTCAAACGGCTGTCCATACAAACGCGAACCATTGGGCTTGAAGAAATGTGTGCTGTCAGAAATTCTATACCTCCATTTGAGAGAGTGACATGTTCATTGCATTCCGCTCTTTCCTTTTGGGCAGGAAAGAAGGTAGAGAGAAAAAGCAGCAACAATCCCCATCAGTGGAAGTTTTTCTGGAGAATGGAATTGTATCCAAGTATCAAAGCCCCAACTAACACCCCCAAGTCTGCGTATGTGTCTATGTCTGTGCTCGCTATTGTCCTCATCCTTGTCTCGGCCTGAGCGGCCCTGTACCCCTGTACTGGTCTATCACGCCGGTCTTCCCTGTTACGCTCTCGCGAGCTTGGTGAGAAAAGGAAAAACACGCTTTCCTCCGAGGACCCTGCATCCTCCAATAGAGCGGATTTGCGAGCAGCCCGGTGGCAAAGTTTGAGTGGAAGGTGTTACACGGCTAGGGCTGGTGGTCGGTGATATATCGCTAGTTGACCGCGCTGTTAGAAGCGCTGTTGCTGTACTTGCTTTGTTCACGAGTCGATTGTTTCATACATCCTCTGGGAAAGACGTCGATTTTATATCTCCACTCCATTTGCGTCAGAGTGAATACTTGAATGGGCTCCGCGGCTGCAACTACTTTCCCGTCGATGTCGACTACTCACAAAGAGATAGGGTCACCGGGGAGTCAAGATAGTGGATGTACCTCTCTATACATAGGGAGTAAGCACGACGCCTCGATTCACGATGCATCCTCCGGACTGGACATCGTATCCGGCGAACCATCATTACTCTGGTACAAGATCCGGGCCTACGGACGGGATGCCTTCTCCGAGTTCTTTGGCACAATGATATTGATACTCTTTGGCGATGGCGTCGTCGCCCAGGTACTCCTCAGCCACGGCCAGAAGGGCGACTACCAGTCCATCTCGTGGGGGTGGGGGTGAGTATCGCCCATACCATCACAACACTCCATCACCTACTACAGTCTCCTCTAACCATGCCTTTTTCCAGACTGGGCGTCATGCTAGGCGTATACGTCAGCGGATCATCAGGAGCCCACATCAATCCCGCCGTAACATTCGCAAACTGCATCTACCGCGGCTTCCCCTGGCGCAAATTCCCCATCTACATGCTCGCCCAATTACTCGGCGCCATGTGCGGCGCAGCCATCGTCTACGGAAACTACAAATCCGCCATCGACGTCTACGAGGGTGGCCCGGATATTCGCACTGTACCGGGTTACTCGACTACCGCGACGGCGGGCATCTTTTGTACCTACCCAGCTGAATTCATCACTAAGACTGGCCAATTCTTCTCCGAGTTCCTGGCTAGTGCGATTCTGATGTTTGTGATATTCGCGCTGAAAGATGATGGGAATTTAGGGGCGGGTCCGTTGACTCCTCTCGCGCTGTTTTTCGTGATTTTTGGCATTGGCGCTTGTTTTGGCTGGGAGACTGGGTATGCTATTAACCTTGCGAGGGACTTTGGCCCTCGACTTGTCTCGTATATGTTGGGGTATGGACACGAGGTGTGGGCTGCTGGAAATTATTACTTTTGGGTATGTGATCGAGTCTTTGCACTTTCTTTGCTTAAATCCTCAAGTGGTTATTTTCTCACGCTAAGTTTGGTTCAATTAGGTCCCCATGGTCGCCCCGTTCCTGGGCTGCACATTGGGCGGATGGCTCTACGATGTCTTCTTGTATACTGGACTAGACAGTCCTGTCAACATGCCTTGGCTGGGTATCAAGCGGATGTTCCGCCCCAGTCGTAGACAACAAGTAGCCCTGCCCAGTCCTGTCTGACTCTGTAACGATCTCATGACCCACGAGATCATGAAAATTGAAATGAAATGTCAGCATTATGTAGCTTGATGGTACAAACTTATTTTTGTTGTCACCTTCTGCCAATGCGTACTCTCAGGAATTCTCTTGCAAGGAAATTCCCAACCCCGTACCATGGTAATGAATGTACAATGGCATTGCTTCCTGCAGAACATCCCAGTTCCAGTCACACTCGATCCAGCAAAGGGATAATAGAATCGGCTTCTATGAAATTCCAGGAAGCATGGTTACCTCGATGACATCGTGTCAGGGACCACAAGAATTCAGTCCCAAACTACCACCCGCATTAACCCACGGCGTCTGCAGTCATGTGCGCGCCTTCAATTTTCGAAGCACGAAGAAGAATACAGGGAGGGAAAAGGTTTCTTGCATGTTCACCGCCATCAAGTATCTGAGCCGCGAAATTAGAAACCGTTTATTAAGCGGATACCTTCTTTAAGGATATTTGAAATCAACTTTCACGCTGCACAACCAGAACTGAAGAGAGACGGCATACTTCAAAGAGGACTCATGTAAAGCGAATCCCACAAGACGTGAAACAAGTATTTAGTAAGAATTGTCACACTAAAATGGCCAGCGCACAATCCACAAATCCTCCCACGAGTCCCTGCCGATCAACTAACCTTGGCTTAATTCTCATTGCGACAGAAAGGGAATTAGGAACCTTTTCGGGCAGTAGACCCAACAAACCTCTACCTTCTCCACACTTGAGCAATTGACAATCGCCCAACCTGCAGTAATGAAGTGCAGATGCTACTCAAAAAGATACAAAAGCCCTAATCACTACAATATGAAACTGCCCACTATGAATCAAGAAGTACTCGGGCTATCTGCGCGTAGCAAACACCGCTCACGTCATGTAGGCAAAAAACTTGCATAACGCAGCGCAGCGCGTAGGACACACCATGCCATGCCATGCCATGCTTATAAACTCGACATGGGACAGTACCTAGGGGCATGCAGGCTAAATGGCAAGTCGGCACGACACACAATACAAGAGAAGGAGTCTTGGTAGGTTTGCGCGCGACGTATATAATGCACGGGCTATAGAGGGTGTATTTGGTGAAGCTTTCTCCTCTTTGTTTGTGGATTCTATTGGGATGGTTGGGATTAAACCTTTGAAGTCAGATACCTAAGTAACCAATATAACTAGGCTTGGCTAGTTTTCTTCGGCAAAGAAACGGTGTCCATTCAGGGTTTTGTCGCCACCAATAGATCAGCTCGATGGCAGGCATCTCCGATTTACATCCAGCATTACTCTACAACCTCCATAATGTCTATCTGGTAACAAGCCTCGTGAGAATGAACACGCACAGTAGCATAAAATTAAAATCTCATCTAGTGTATACGACCAAGACCGAATCCCAGAATCATCCCTTCGGATCCCACTTACAACATCCGATCCGACGGCCCAGGCTTCCTCCCCACCACAATAGCCGGCTGATTGATATTATCGTGCTCAAATCTGATCCGAAGGAGACAAGTCGACATTAGCCAGACTCGCCCAAACTCAGCAACACCCTCTCTGAAGCACAGAAAAAAACATACCCTAACACCGCCACACCCCCGGCTCAAAAATCAACCTCATCATCCCCGTATCCAACGGTAATCCAACCCACCGAATCGCCATCGCAGCTAGAATATGCCCATGAGCAACACAGACAATATCCTGCGCATGCTGGCTTCGATGAGAGATAATCTGGCCGCCGGGCCAACTAGCCGAGTTCTCCTCGATAACGGATTTGATTTCGGCAATCAGTTCGTCGAGTCGGTCGCTGACTTGCTGGGGGGACCTAACGAGAATATCATCAGTACCTATATTCTCTTATACATTCACATCATAGTCTTAAGATCAGGGCCACCATCAAATAGATACCACCTCAAAGAGGGGGGAAAAAAGGGGAGGATATTGCAATACATACTCTCCACCCGGACACCCCTCCGTCCAAATATCCCACTTCGCATCCCTAAACTCCTTCATGCGCGCCTCCTTAATCCCATGCAGTGTCATCCCCTCATAATCGCCATAATCCCATTCCTCCAACCACTTGGTCAAATGGATATACGGATCCGCCGACTCCCCCTTAATCATGGACTCCGTCTTGAATTTCTGCCCCGTCTCCCGGTCCAGGAAATGAAGGTGGTTGTGGATTCCTAGTTTGAGGATTTCTGCGGTACGCCGGGCGTTGATTCGCGGGGAACAGTATCTGTAAAATAGACACGATAGAGTATTTCTCTTCGGTTAGATCCTTTTTTTCCCTCTCTCTTCTGGATTTGGGTTACCGGGATGGGTGGACTGACATTTTGGCTACTCCCGTCGGATCAATCATTTCGTTTTCGGCGACGAGACGTTCGCGGATTAGCTCGACGTCTTTTTCACCTACGTTAGACAGTGGTACGTCCGTTCGACTGGCAAATTTGCCGCCGGTGATCCAGTCTGTCTCGCCGTGGCGAACGAGGAAGACGCGGGCGGAGGTTGTGGGTGCGGTCATAGTATCAAAGTGAAAGATTTGATTAGACTTTGATGATTTTTGACATGGATATGATGAGGATAGGATGTTCAGCTCTCAATTTATAACTCCAATTATTATGTCTTTGTGCCGTTTTGTGGCAACTGCGACTGTTGCTGTTCTATGGCTAATGTTGAGGTCAGTCTTCCATGGGCGCGGAACATGGTTCCTGTCCACGGGCCACCGAGTTAAAGAAACAGCGCATCCATCCAGCTTGCAGTACGGAAAAAAAGGTAGAATCTTGTGTTAAGGGCTGAAGCGAGATTTAATTCTTCGAATCAAGCATGTGTAATTTATAGACGATCTATCAACACGCCAAGGAAGGTTAATACATGAAAAGCGTGCAAAGCCAATTGCACCGCTGGGCAGAACATCCATCACCTCTGCGGTATGTAGGCGTTGAGAACAATAATCATAAACAGAAAAAGCAAAGCTCAAGGGTCATAAGCGATAATATGCAGCATCCCTCTATCATGGTGAGCCATCAAACAAAATCATTGTGCATGCAGCGACATGGTTCGCTGCAGGTCGGGTAAAATGTATGTCGTTAACGCCGTGTCGAGTTCATCCCATCATAATACATAATAATACAGTTCGACAATGCCATGAAACAAAAATAAAAAATCAGTTTTCAGAGCAACGCAAAGATGCCGCCGAGCAGCACACAAACGACGCTCATGCCCAGTGCGGTTGGAACGTGGTACAGGCTGATTCCACCCCCAACCGAAGGGGCAATAGTAGGAGAAGAAGTCGCCTTGGCAGATGGCACGTCAGTCATCGTCTGGGTTGTCTGTGTTTGCGTATATTCAGAGTGTTGGTGCTTGGTCTTGGTGGTACTCGTCGAAGTAGTGGTCGAGTGTCGAGTCACCATCTTGGAAGACGACTCAGGCCCAGAAGGGGAAGAGGCAACCGACGAGGAAGCCGAGGGCACTGAGGTAGATCGGGAGGTATACTGTGAGAGAAGGGGACCGGTCTTAGTGGTTGATACAAGGGGTGTGATGGTAAGAATAGGGCAGTGCTCACTCACTGATCCCCTGCCGGGCGGTTGAATCTGCCTGGAGCCAGATTCCCAACCACTGGGGAGGCCAGTGGAGGTTGCCGTCGGCGAGCCTGTGGCAACCCAGGGCCAGACATCGGGGGTGACAAAACTAGAGGTTTCTCGGTGGGTTCCGCTCCATGGAACCGGGACACTGTCCACAGTTGCCGTGATGAGGGGTGCTGACTGGGTGGAGGTCGGCTCATCGACACTGTTCCCGTTGACCTTTCCTCCATTCGCAATGATAGACTCCCACGAGCCCGACTGATCACCATAGCTGTACGAGGTTCCAGTCGAATAGTCGGTCACGGTCATCGACTTGAGGTACATTGTGAACGGACCCTTGCTGTAGTCGGTCAACCCGCCAGCCCAATCTAAAGCAGAAAGGTTAGAACTACAGAATCAACCAACCCGAACCACAGGAACTGAGATCACTCACCAATTGTTCCCTGGGCATTGTCCGAGTCACCACCAGCCCACACGCCAACCTTGATCATCATCGGAGTCTGCGGATACTGGTTGGTGTCCGCAGTGGCCGGTGTGAGCACGCGAACCGTCTTGCCGTCGATCGCCCACACGATCTGAGAGCTTGTCCAGTCGACCGAGTAGGTGTGGAACTCGTCATGGTTTCCGGCGTTATCATGATAGGCGCCACGGTTGTAGCTGCTGGTGTCTCCCTTGCCAAAATAGTTGGTCTGAACCTGAGCATTGTTGCCACCCAGCCATTCCCAGTCGATCTCGTCCAAGTCGTCCGACTGCAGCACGGCACTGCTGACAATACCCGTTCCCGACGCCGCCTTGATGGTGAATTCGACCTTGCCGAACATGATGTACCAGCCTGACTGGATCAAGGGACCGTCACCTTTCTCGGAAATTGTAAAGGTAGCCCCGTTGGTGCTGTCGTACGTGACAGCTCCCGAAGCAGCGAATTGGGAGGATGAGCCGGAGGTGAAATCGATGGTCTGGTCAGACTTGCCAAGGGCAGTATCTGCAGGGCAAGCTGTGGAGAAGGTTAGCATTGAACTGACTTGTGCTGACCTGGTTTGTTGGAAAAGTGGCATTTACTCACTCTTCTGGAGCGGGTTGCAGTCTGTGTAAGTCTGGGCTGCCACCAAAGCAGATGAGCAGAGCAAGCCCAGGGCGGTACCCAGAGCCAGCTTCATGGTGGGTGGTTTTGTTGAAGTCAAACGTGAGATAGTAGGAGCTTATAGATGAAATAAACCTGTGTTCACGTAGATGGGATGCGTGAGAATGGAGATTGGGATAGCTTGGAGGGGGAGGATGCAAAGGGAAGAAAAGCTCGGGGAAAGGGAAAGGACAACAGTGGCGATGGAAATTGGAGCGAGCAAGAAATTGGAGAGCAAGTGCGATCTTGGCTGGACACAGTGTATGGATGGCAACTACCAGCCACCTCCATTTTGGCCTCTCGTCATAATATTATTTTAGCTTCTAAGATTATTTACTCGGTCCACTTGCAAGTTGCACTTTCCAATCCACTTTTTGGGCGCCGATCTCGTGGGTCCCGTTGAGCTGTCATTGGGCCAATCAGCCTTCGGCCACGTTCTGCGGCTGGAATCACATGATCTACAGCGACATTGTTTCGATCCGAACTATACAGTGCAGCATTCTGATCGGTCCTTGAACTCAACGGTATAATCTGATAATATGTATTCCAGTTTGACTGTTCTCTTCATTCAAGTATTAAATACTGAAATCAACCTAGCACTCATCAAGAAAAGTTTTTTTTTAAAAAAGCAGGGGGCAGGAAACACAGATCTGATTCAGGTGTGGGTCCTCCCCAGCCTCTTGATTTCATCCCACGTCGTCATCAACCACTCACCAGCCCAGCCAGCGACACACACGATCTGGGCAAGGATGAAAATTCTGTTGACGAGAGCCTTTCGATAGCTTTATGCTCGGTGCCCAAACTAATTATAACTCAAGAGCTAGTTAACTAAAACAGCGGCTTGTTGAATCGGGAAGTTGTTGAATGCAAGGACGCGTTGTCCGACCGTGGCCTCTCACCGTATACTTCTTATACTCTTTACTTCCTATATACTCCCAAACAGCCAGGGTAGATCTGTGAGCCAGAACTGTGATAAGATGAAGGACTTTGTCCAAGCGGTTGAGGGAGGAAGTTTACAGCACTTCACTCACCAAGTTAAGACTTGAGCAAATACCGACGGCAGTGGATCTGTTTCATATCATTTATTTACTTGGCCGTTTTCATGTTATACTATTCGACCATTTGGCAACATTTAGAGAACCGACCGATTTGCCTATCTGATAGCTTTGATATCTCTCTTCTCATTTAACGTGACTCACCACCGGACCAGACACACGGTCAGCACGGAGACCATCTCTAGGCGTATACGGAGGTGCATTTCAAAAGTTTGGAGCAGCGCACTGACTTAAGTAAGACCTGAATCCATCTAAGATGGCCCGCCATACTTGGCCTTGAAAGCTGACCTAAATTGATCAATAAAGTGACTTAAATTGGACCTCTGAATTTGTCAAAATTGACCACTGGGCTTTATCTAATTAACTATTCGAATCTATCATAATCTAAGAACCGAATTCACCACAATTCGAGATGTTTGAGTTGATTGATTAAAGAAAAGAGCGGGAAAGTTCGTCTCCGGTACTATGGTCGATTTACCATTGGCTGCTGCCGAGAGATTTCGTGTGCTTCCAGGTTTGTACGGTGGCAATATTCATGAAAGTGATAGTATTACTGACTGAAAGTCTGATATGCTAGCTGGTGCAAAAACCTTTGCTGTTGGTATGGCTAAAAGTTGCGTTGATCCGTTCTATCAGCCCTACAAGGGTGCCAGAGACGGAGACGCTTTGGGCTTTGCTGGTGCGTTAGTCAAGGGAACCTTTGGCGTGCTTGCTAAGATAGGTCCCGGTAAGACCTTATTCCTTTGCTATTTCTCAATATCTGCTTTTCTAAAGGCTGCGTTGTCGCTGACGCTTTGTGTTCTACAGCCTCCATTGGCCTTGTCGCATACCCCGGGCAAGGTATCAAGAGAAGCATTAAAGTGGCCTTCGTTGAGAGTTCAAAGGGAGATAGCGAGTTCTCTACACGCCGAAGGCCAAGACATGGATTGGCAATGGAGGGTAAGAGGTTCACAGGACGGGGTGGTTGCTGACAAATTCATGCGTATGGACCATGAGGATGATTCAGGAAATGACGGTGATTATGTATAATGAGCTTCAATTGTTGGCTCTGCACGCTGTGAGCGAGGAAATTTTCTAATAAACATTGTTTGACTTCCACATAGTACTTCAACCAAAAAGCGCCTGCAATGCTATCATTTCTATAGGAACAAAAGGAAAAGAGAAAAGAGACCACCAAATAGAAACATTCGAACGAAAACGGAACGTGTCCAAGAAAAAAAAGAGTATAATATAAGACAATCCTGACTCCAGGCTTCAATCAGACCTCCGAGTACACATATGCAAGGGGCATGCTTCCCTCAAGATCAGTCTTGGCCTTTATATCACTGGGATACCACGTGAAGTAGATAATCATGACAATCGCCATCGGCACAGAATCAAATATATATAGCGTCCACTCATGTTGCAAGGGATATCCGCTGTTTCCAAGCACATATTCAATGATGCGGAAAATCGAGCGAATCATGATCAAAGCACTGACAGCATATAGCATATACAATGACTTCTTCCACGGAATCCCCGGTAGGAGAGATTCGGGGGTTGGTTCGCGGCGGATGCGTCTCTCAAACATGAGGGCTGATATCCAGAAAATGGTAAATGAGACAAGCTGGATCGCTAGTCCGCTAATGACTGCCACTTTTGCCCATTGATCATATCCCAGAACCGAGAGAGAGGATGAATTGCCTTGGACGACGAAAGATAAAACATCGCCCCATACAAAGGTCTTCGTCAGACGCGAGACGCGGATAACCGAAAGATGCTCCGCGCCGACGCGACGAATTAAACGACCTAGAGTCATGTAAATAGAGGCGGCGAATAGCGTAGGAGCGAGTAGAACGAAGACGTTTGTCAAGATATATGGCCCCATAGTAGTGGTGTTACTATGTGCGATAGCGCGACCGATATAGCCAATTATTTCGACTAGGAAAGAAGGGTTAGCTTTTTTCGGGGCTTGGCAGACAGGTCAATTCCAAAGTGTGTAAACATACATAAGCCACCGAGGGTGAAAGCGATACAAAACCATGTTTTGGTCGTGAACAACTTCCAGGAATGCAGCCCAGTCAATCCCATAAATATAAGCATGAAGATGGTTGCCGCAGGCAGTGATGGAATATAATACCAAAACGTATATGAGCGACGGACAATTTCTTGCATGTTGGGCGATCGGTCGGTCCAAAATAAACGAAAGACGAGGGAAGAGAGAGATCAAAAGGTGGATATATTGCGATCGGTATCAATAGAACAGAAGACTCTTATATACTAAGCTTGAAATCATCTAAATCCAGGAGCCTTGGCTTGTAGCGCATCCCAGAAAATGCTTACGTTTGTCTAGATTGTACAGAGCCAATCGGTCCGTCCCGAGGCCTAGCGCCAGCCTAAGTTTACTCAGCCCCTCTAGGCCCCGGCGGGTGGCTCGAATACGCGTATAGGAATTTTACATGAGAACGGTACCTTGCGCCGTGCGATCAATTTGCTTCCAAAATAAAATCGGCAGAATTTTAATTCTCCACTTGGCACGTAGTTCTTTACTTCCTCCAAGTAAAATACCGTCACGGAGCGTGATACAGTAACTTTTTGTATAGTCTCGCGCCAGTTGGCAACGGTGATTATCGGTCTTTTTGAGTATTGATGTCTATGGTTTGTTTCAAAGTGGAGACCGTGGCTGGGAATCCATACACGTATGCACGGACCAGCCTATATTGGTCCCTCGGACGGTTATCTTTTCGAATACGCGTATAGAGAAATCTTCGGCATATCCTACTCGTACAGTACCTTGAAACTAGCTAAAAATGGAATACAGAAACTATCCCCTCTCCAAATCAATTTTTTCTGGTGGGATATTTTCTCTAAATATCGCGCGGATCCCTGCCCGGACATGACAATTCCTCGAACCCCTTGAGCAAGTCACCTCCAGACCCGACAGTATCACCAACATAAATCGTCTCGATCGTTTGGCCCTCGACCCTGAAAGTCAACTCACTCAGCTCTACCACAAAATGGCCAAGTTAGAGCCATTGAAGAGTGGCTATTACGTTTGGCACTATGTCCCCTCTATAGCCGCAGCCATCATCTTCGCAATCATTTTCGCTGCTGTCACCACATATCATTTCTGGAAGCTCTTCAGGACAAAAGTTCGCTTCACCATTCCTTTTGCAATTGGTGGATTATGTAAGTTTTTATCCCGACCGTCGATTTGTCTGGCATACGTGCTGATTTGCCCTGACTATTACAGTTGAAACCATTGGATACGCCGCTCGGGCAGGCGCCAGCAACAACACTGGCAAACTTATGCCATATATTATCCAAAGTATTTTTGTGCTTCTTGCACCCACGCTCTTCGCAGCCGCCGTCTACATGGTCCTCGCTCGCATCATCCGCGCCGTCAATGGAGAGGAATATTCTCCCATCCGCATCAATTTGATCACCAAGATCTTCGTTTCCTGCGACATCGTGACATTCTTTGTCCAGGGTGGAGGTGCTGGTTTGATGGCCCAGAGCAGCCTCAACAGCATTGGACAATACATTGTCCTCGCTGGCCTAGTGTTGCAGATTGTCACATTTGTCCTCTTCGTCGTCACCGCAGTCACTTTTGACCGACGGATGGGCAAAACACCCACGCCTGCAGCTATTCAGGGTGATGTACCCTGGAAGCAGCATATTCGCAGTCTGTACACTGTCAGCGCTATGGTTCTCATTCGGTCTATTTTTCGTGTGATCGAGTATGGACTGGGTAATAATGGGTATCTTTTGGGACACGAATGGCCCACCTATATTTTTGATACCGTCCCCATGTTCATCGGCATGGTTTGCTTTGGTATCTGGTATCCAAGTGTCCTGCAGCCGTTTTTGAAGACCCCGAACTCGGCCTGATTATCGGTGTAGAGGCTGTGCCCAACCTATATTTGAGAGAGCAGTTATTGTTTCTACATCGCTTCCCGAAATGCATTTATTTAAACTGAATTTAGCATAATAGCTATTATTACGATTGTCATATCTCTCACAGTTGTCCTTTTCAAGTCCATTCCATCAAAACTAAAGAGGAACCAAGCCAAGAAATTATATGTAAAGCAACGTATAGCGAACCCTTTCAATCATCAAAAGGTTCGCTCTAGGTTGCAAAATTAACCTCCCATCTAGACTAGACAGAAATACATGAAAAATATTATAATTAGCCGATTTGAAATGGGATACCTAGAATTGCGTCTGGAGAAGGTGGAACTCCTCCGTCCAGAGTAACCGCCACAAGGGCACGGCTTCCAAATGCGATAAGGCAAACGGTGCAAATATCAAGGAATAATATATTTCCTGTCCACTTGTACGATCTCGTGACGACAGATTCTAAGCTTCTTCAGATGGATTTTTAAGTGAGAATGCCTCGCAGAACTCTCAAAAACTCGAGAAACTGTTGCGCCAAGTACAAGCGACGCCACATAAATATGTTCAGCTTCCAATAAAAGTGAGGGCCCTAGTAGTCGATGACCGTGAAGGAACTTACCGGATCTCAAGTGTGACGAAAGCCGTCCAATCTGCTCCCACTGCATTTCTTCTGAGCGCCCATGCTTCTACATCACAGGGCCAGAAAGTGGTCACACACCAGTTCAAAAATCCTCACCAGCGTCTTGTGCAACTCCGAGATCTCCATATGGAGACTCAATAGACTCATTGGAAGATGTCAGTCCCGTCAATATGATGCACGTGGAGCTTCTCCATCATTTTGCCTCAGAAATCAAATCTCCATTCGATACAGACTTTGATCAAGCCCAGGTGTCATTTCCAGATATCCTCAGGCGTTGCTTACCAGCCCCATATCTTATGAATGAGGCATTTGCCCTATCGTCTCTACATATAAGCATTATACGACCAGATCAGCGACAAATTTACCGGCGTCGGGCTTCTCATATGCAGCAACATGCCTTGTCAATATTCAATGCCATGAAGCCAGAGGTGAACGTAGATTCCTGCCTCTCCGTTTTTCTTTTTTCGTCTCTGTTAGGTGTTCACATGCTCTGCGACACCTTTGTTTTCCGCAGTGGGTCCTTCAATACATTCCTGGACAACTTCACACAATATATCCGCCTATACCAAGGTGTCAGAGCTGTTACCAATGGGTGTTGGGAGTTCCTTCGTCAAACCGAGCTGGCCCCGTTGCTAAATGTCGCTGATTCATTCCCAGGAGCAAGCACCGGATTTAATATGAATTTCAAAGGTTGCTTAAGCTCGTTGAATCAGCGGAGTTGGGGGAATCAATCACCAAAACATATCACCACGCCATAATTTCGCTATAAGGGGTGACGGCTGCGGCAATGTCACATTCAGCATCGCGTGGCAATAGTCATGCTATTTTTGCTGGGTCTGTTATTGTTGGGGCTGACTATATTGATTTGCTTTCCTGCCGCCAGCCGGAAGGACTTGTGATTCTTGCTCATTATGCGGTTCTGTTACATATGCGCCGGGACCACTGGATGCTTGGGGATGGAGGTAGATACCTCATAGAGTCAATTAGTCAGTTTCTTGGTCCTGTGTGGGAGACTTCATTGAGTTGGCCAAACCAGTGTCTTCAGCAAGACGCTTTATAAATAATGAAAATTTCATCTTCTTACGGCTCGCGTCTGTGGTTTATACTAGGTAACTGTATGTAGAACGTCAAGGGTTCATAAGGTTGGAATATTATAAAAGAGAAACTATGCTAACTGAAATATGTGGCTGGGGAAGCAGCTAAAAGGCTCCGTCGAAAGTATGCCTATAGTACATGAATCGGAGCGCAGATAAATATCAATTAGTTGTCATCAATAGATTATTATGGTCGCTTGAGCTTAGCGGAGTCGTGATTGGTGAATGTAGCGACAAATGAAACTCCTGTAAGCAAAGGGCAACGTATTGGGGTGTTTACGGTCGTTGATAGGATTGAGAAAGCAATCTCTGGAGGTAAGCCACGTTGTTCTTATTTGAAAATGGCAAAATGACTTTTTCAGAACGGCGAGGGGTGTAAGCAGGAAACCCTTTGCTCTTCTTGTGGCCCATATTGTTGATCGAATATACGAAAGCATCTTGCATAAACTTTTTACTGTCGAGGCCAACTTTGATTCTCTGTTCCGGATTGCCATTTCAAGGTTGAGTCGAAGAGACTCCATGAACACACCGAATTATATTACGGGGAGAAAAGAACATTGAGTGAAGGATGTGGGATATCACACTGACAATCTGGACAGGGGCAATTAGTTCCAACCTCTTCATGAATTCCTCAGTGACATTTTCTGTTCCTTTTCTTTTCCCGTCTTAGTGGCAAAACGTGTTTCTCCAAGACGCCTCTTATAGAGCTAGTAGACGAAGGGTTCCTAGGAGTACTTAGCCTAATTAATCGGGTGATTATCTAGTAAGCTTTATTGTAACGCAATGAATAGCAGTAAGTATGTAAAACGGAATATCAGATTGTTGGTGCTAGTGCTTTTGATAGGGCTGTAGGGGCAATCTACAGGGAAAGGGATTTTCGTGGACACGGCTAGCATATTGCGTTTTATTGAGGTACTAGTCGGGCTATGCTTAGTGAGTAAATCAGAGCACTTAGCTAAGCATCAGTGAGTAACTTAACTAACTAACTAACTTACTAGTTAACTAACTTAGGTAGTTAGATCAGACTTTCTCAGTGAGCCGATCAGAGAGCTTACGTACTACTTACCAGTCAGATCAGGGGGCTCAGAGACATACTCAGATCTACTCAGTGAACAAAAGCGGCGAGGGTCCGAGCACTAAAACGGAAAGGGAAAGCTAAGGCGTGGCATTGGAAATCCGATAGGTAGGTTTCTCAAGGCCTCGAGTCATCAAGCTGTATTTTTTTTCAGGCTCCATTCATGTTGGTGTCCGGTCGCGTTGGCAGCACCAATCCTATCTTGGTACATTGGAGATCGATCGGCAGTGCCACGCTAGGATCAGACTCACTGATGAGACTGTAAATCTAATCTACTGCCTACAGTGCTGTGTCTTACATGACCACTTAGTCAACTCTAAATGCCCTTTAAACATACCCACTATAGCTGTCGGAGCCCTTTGTGACACTTACCGCTCGATGCTGACGATCCATGCATCCCGTTAGTCGGAGGCTCGGGCAGCGCACCGATTGGGGAATTGATGATTGTAGCGAGCTTCGAAACAAGACGAGGATTGAGTGATGTTGAATAAATGTCTTTTTCGCTTCAAATAGTCTCAAAGACGATGACATTTATTTGTCAGATTATGGACTTGAAGTGTGAGGGTTAACTTGTTCCCAAGCGTGGATGGGATGTATATCAAACTTCCTGAGGGGTCAACACGTCAAACTCCATGTCTTTTCACGGAGGAAATCACCGACGCTAACACGAATCATTCCCTTCCCACTACTCTTTCTCCTCACACTGAATAGAGTACTGATTCGCCCTGCAAGGTCACCACTCTACCCGGCCCCCTGGCCTCTCGCTGCAACCATCGCTGACGCCACGGCCGTTTCGATGTACAAGCCTCCATTCATGCCCATCCCGCCGGGCAAGAGCCTGGCAGGCAAGACCGTCCTGGTCACTGGAGGTAACTCAGGACTCGGCCTCGAGTTTGCACGCCAAGCTCTGACTTTGAATGCATCCCATGTGATTGTCACGGTTCGTTCCCAAGCCAAGGGCGACGCGGCAATTGCAACTCTGCGAGCAAATCAAGAAGTCCAAGCCACCAATCCCGATGCAAGGTTGGAGTACTTTCTCCTCGACCTGGATGACTACAAGTCTGGGCTAGAGCTTGTGCAGAAGGTCTATGCAGAAGTCCCAGAGCTCGATATCATCTTATGCAACGCGGGCACGAACTTTTTCAACTATGAGACAAGCAAGAGTGGCCATGAGCGCCTGATGCAAGGTCCCTATACCCCGTTATTGCTGATTCTGGACGTTTAGGGAAAACCCTAGCTAAGTGCAGTTCAGTCATTTGCTACACCCATTTCCTCATCGTCCTCAGTCTGTTTCCCCTGATGCAACGAACAGCAGCCAAACGTGGATCGCCCACGCGAGTGACATTCTTGAGCTCGTACAGCCACGTCCGTCACACCCTGGAGACCAATCCCATCGCTGCAGATGAATCTGTCATTGCTCACTACGACAACATCAAGAAATACGTCTCTGGAAAACGCTACCAGGATGGCAAACTCGTGATCAATGCCTTTGTTCAACACCTAGCAACCATCGTACCCTCATCCGAGGTCATTGTCAACTGCGTATGCCCAGGGATTGTTGCGACGGATATCAACCAGAACTTGCCTCTTTGGATCAAGCCCTTTATGTGTGTCTTCTTCAAGATCAAGGCTCGGCCAGTGACCGAGGGAGGACGGGTCTTGGTTCGGGCCGCCGTGGTAGTGGGTGAAGAGAGTCATGGAAAGTACCTCCAGACGGGCGAAATACATCGGTCAGTGTAATTAATTGACCTGGTCTATCAAAGCAGGACTGTACCTAGGCAAATGACTTTCTGCTGACTCGCGATAGTGGTGCAGAATTCCTCGCCCAGCCGGCAGGCAAGCACTTCATCAAGAAATTCTGGGCTGAGATTGTGGCGGACATTGGGAAGGTTAATCCGGAAGTGAAAGTCCGGCTTGAGAGACAGATCAACCAAAAGGGATTAAAGGGCCAGCCGTTAGCTCGAACAGTTGTCTCTGCGGGATAGATAGCTCCCATACAACCACCTCGTGGGATGCTTGATGGTTGGGTCGGTTAGCAGCAGCTTTGTTTCCTAAGACACAACAATAACACCTCCTATTCATCCTTTTTTTGTTGACAAGTAAAATCTAAAACAAAATCGCAGAGACCCTCATCATGAGACATTCATGCACTATGACTCTAGTGTCAGATAGGAACTCGACCAGGTGGATACTCCACTTGGGAAAAGGAGACGGCCCCGATGTAAAGGACGGGCATATGGCGAAGAACATCAAATAGGGAGTCAGAAGTAACTATAGCAGTTACCAAAGCCGTACATAGCTAGCTTCTTTATATTACAGACTATGATGACGCCCGCCATCCACGGGTCCGCCAGCGCAACAACAAGCGTTGCCAGCACAAAAAGAAAAAGGGCTTCCCGAGCTCCACCAAACTCCCGTCAAGCACGGACAGCATCACGGACCACATCCCCCAGAAACAAGATCCCACCCATGTCCTAGTCACAGTCTCTGTCGACGAATGGCAGCATAATAACGCTCGAAAATCGATTCTCTGCTCCTGCAGATTGCATCGATGAATGACGGTCTCACTGTGAGACGGGACTTGCTTCAAGCCAATCACGTTGTCGTCTGAAGGTCTCTAGCGCAAAGAGCCTCAACCCTCTCTCCTTCACCCTCCAAAACCCTCTTCAGCTCTTCCGTCTCATTCTCTTCTCCCCTAACCCGCCCTCCATCACCGCGTTCTCCATCACAACGCACCCAGTTCGAGTCTTTCGCGAGACATTCTCCTTTCTTGCGTCGCCTTGCTATTACGACTTGCGGCCACTCTGGGTCCTCCCCCCCTTGGCTCTTCTCGGTCCCCCTCTCCTCTCCCGTCGCACCTCGACCTGGTACCTGCTTCGTATGACGCCCACTACGATCCCCTCGCCAACACGTCCACCCCATACGTCTTAATCCCGCAATTACCCTCCTCTCAGATAATGTTCTAGAGGCGAAGCTTCACCGTCACGACCCCCGACACTTATATAACTGCGCCCGCACCGTCGCCTCAGCTTTTCAGACGCGCCCTGCTCCCAGCATCCACACCTCAACGCCCCCGCCCCCGTCGATGAGATCGCCCACCTCGCAGAATCGTGCCTCTTGACCCATACGATCGAATCACAAAAATTTTTCCGGCGCTGACGGTATCGCAAACTCGACGAATTACGTCTATATACCCGGCTTGTAGCTCCGCTCTGTGGCGCAAGCATCCCGCGACCGCAAACCTGTCACCGCACGTCGCCAGCTCCCCTTCTCTCTCCTTTTTGCCCCGGCGCTTCCGATACAAGCACCGCGCCTATTAATGGTGGCCCGCACCTCGATACCTCGATACCCGGAAACGCAGCTGGCGGTGACTTGAATACGCTCCCGACGGAGAGATTCGGCCAACTCTAGGACCAGTCATGCCCGTGCGGGAGCACGAGCAACCCGACCGACAGGGTTCAGCGAGCTCGGCCAGTAGCTGGAAGTCCCAGGACACCGTCCGGAATAACGACACCAAGCGCCCAGATCCGAATAAATCATCATCCAACGGTCGCAATGCCGACCAGTTTCCAGGAAGTTTAGCTATGGACAAGTAAGGCCCCCGCCCTCTCTTTTCGCCCTCCTTCCATCCCCCCAGCTAGAGACCTAGAATTACTTGCGTTGTTCTGTACACCGTGCATGGCGGTGGACTCTATAACAGATACAGCTACTGAGACAAATATAATTACAGACCGGGGCCGTCCAAAGCTCAGGGAATGGACTGGAGTTGGACATGGAGCTCCCCAGACATTTCCCCCACCGAGGAACGGAAAGGCTCTGGGTTCAGCAAGCATCGCAAGGCTCTGGCAGTCTTTGGAGCCGGTGATGATCCCGCCCGGTCGTTTTCTTCGACTCCACAGCCTCCTCCTATCAACCCTGCTCGCCCTGGCCCCGAAGAACTCGACTCGATCGCCCCGTGGGTCACGACGGGCGGCTCTGAGGGTCCCGGGACCTTCTTCAACTCCGCCTCCGAATATGAAGCTTCGCCTGCGTCGGCCACGTTTCGCCCGACCACCGGGCGGACCTTTGCGAGTGAACCCGCCGATTTGGATTGGACTGGGGACCGTCGCAGGCCGTCTGCGACGAGCATGACGAGTAGCACTGGGTCAAAGTCAAGCACCGGCGCGAAGCTGTGGAAGAAGAAATCCAGGGCTTCGGCTAGTGATGAGTGGCCCGTGCCAGATGAACCTGATGAGGATAGCCAGCATAACCCGTACGGTTGGCGCGCAGGGCCAATTGATAAAGTCAAAGCTCGAGAGAGAGCCAACTCGGATGGTTCAGAAGCATCGCAGCGGCCGTCGCGAGCTCGAGCGGGAACCCCTGCCCCTTCAAGTGAGGTTACGCCATGGCTATATCAGAATGTTCACGACATATCACAATACGGCGAAGCTCCCGTACGACAAGTGCCCATCGGCCCTGATGGGCAGCGTCTTGCATCCGCGGGAGGCCTTCCCCGAGGTTCGGCCAGAGATACTCACCGAAGGGCAGCTAATGGACATCGCCATTCACGCAGCAAAGAGGAGAAGCCAACACTTGCCGGCGACCTGGCAGGATACCAGTCTCGGCCCTCGGGTGGCCGAGATGACTTCTCTGTCGGACTGAAACCCTTCAACGAACATTACCTCAATTCCTCTAGCGCCATGAGCTCACAAACCACCCTGGGTGGCCGACCTACCAGTCCGACACCAAGTATACAAAGTGCTATCTACCGTGATCATGGTCAGAATTCGCCGGGGGGTCCACACGATAAGCGAGGTCTCTTAACTCGAGTTCGACATCTATTGCCGGGTTCGCACAAGCCGCACGAAAAGTCAAAACACGACCATACACTGCGCAGGCAACCAAGTCTCGAAGGGAGTTCTCCTCGTCTGGATTCGGCAGACTCGGACCGAAAGAAGGAGACCGCAAAGCGCAAGCTCAAGCGATTCCCCATCGGTGGAGATCCCCACGCTTCAAGAGAGAACACAGCTCAAAACGAAGAAGGCTCGCATGTCTTCAAGCTGGATACCAATTTGAAGGATTTGGACGACATCGTTCGCGCAGCTTCTCCTGGTCAAATGAAGCGCATCGCTGATGGAACTACCACACCACGGGAGGACCCGACCAAGTCTGAACAGACAGGGGCTCTGGACACCTGGTTGGCTCCGGAAAGTTGGGCTGTCAAGAAGGAAAAGGACCCTGTTGTGGAGACTGGACCACAACCTACTAGTGCTGCTTATTTCATACGCGTCTTCCGCATCGACTCGACATTCGCAACGCTCTCGGCTGGTGTCAACGCCACCGTTGCCGAGATCCTGTATATGCTCGGGCGCAAGTCTTTCCTGCAGGATCATCTCAACAACTATGAGATTGTGCTGCGGAAAAATGATCTGTCTCGACAGCTTGACCATAGCGAGCGGCCGATCCTCATGCAGAAACAACTGTTGGAACAAGTTGGCTATACCGAGAAGGATCGTATAGAGGACATTGGCCGTGAGGACCACAGCTACCTCTGTCGCTTCATCTTCTTGCCGACGAAACTCAGCGGTTATACCAGTCTCGAAGGTGATCCTGGCTTTAGCAAGATGTCAAAGTTCAGCCACGTTGATCTTCAGGGTCGAAGCCTGGTCACTATTCCCATCACCCTGTACAAGAAGTCCTCCGAGATCATCTCGTTGAACTTGTCCCGGAATCTGTCTCTTGATGTGCCGAAGGATTTCATCCAGAGCTGCATCAACTTGCGGGAAATCAAGTTCATTGGAAATGAGGCTAAACTTCTTCCGTCGAGTTTCAGCCTGGCCAGTCGCTTGACTTACTTGGACATATCCAACAATTTCTTGGAGGATCTGGAACACGCACAGCTTGATCGACTGATAGGTCTCGTCAGCATCAAAATGGCGAATAACCAGTTGACCAAACTGCCCAGTTACTTTGGAAACTTCCAGTATCTCCGAAGCTTGAACATGTCTTCGAACGGCTTCAAGGTGTTTCCTGAATTTTTGTGCAAGCTGCGGAGCTTGGTTGACCTCGATATCAGTTTCAACAGTATCGAGGAAATTCCCAACATTGGCCAGCTGGTCACGCTTGAGCGTCTTTGGATGACGAACAACAATATCAGCGGGTCTCTTGATGAGTCTTTCCGGGAGCTGGTGAACCTGAAGGAGATTGATGGTCGCTTTAATGCAATCACCAACATTGACTATTTGTCCCGGCTGCCTCGCTTAGAGCAAGTTTTCTTTGGTCACAATCTCATATCCCGGTTCCGCGGGGCATTCCCCAAGTTGCGCAGCTTACACATGGATCACTGCCCGCTGACCCAATTTGATATCGATGCTCCGATGCCGACTTTAAGCTCTCTTAACCTTGCATCTGCCAAGCTCTCACAATTCCGTGATGCCATGTTTGAGAATTTGCCGAATGTTTCTAAGCTTATCCTCGACAAGAACCATCTGTCGTCAATCTCAGCACAAATTGGCAAGCTGCGGCGCTTGGAGCATTTCAGTATCATCAAGAATCCACTCGGTTCTTTACCTGCCAGCATTGGATGCATGACCGAGCTCAAGGAGCTTAACGCGCGAGAATGCAATCTCAAGTTCTTGCCAGATGAGATTTGGCATTGCGCCAAGTTGGAGACTCTCAATGTTTCTACCAACCTTCTGACTACCTTCCCCAAACATGGTGCCCCTCAACCTCTCATTCCTGGCGAGCCGACCACGACTCCAGTGACAACCCCAGCACCGATTGGAAACTCCATCCATGAGGAACTGGGTCCTCTAGATGAAATCAGCTTCCGTCGGCCCAGTCAAACTTCCGGTGCTGCTGTGGGGTCTGGGTCTTCTCCCAGTAACTCATATCGACACCCCTCGGCTACACCTTCTATTGGGCAAAATGGGCCAAGAAAGGTTTCAGCAGCATCGCGGACCGCCACCGATGCGAGCTCCGGGTCTCGCAAGGACTCCAATTTCTCGCAGCATGCAGCCGCTCTCACTTTTGCGGGGTCTCTTCGCAATCTGTATCTTGCTGATAACCAGTTGGATGATGACATTTTCCGCGAGCTGGCCCGTCTCCCTGAACTTCGTATCGTCAACTTATCATACAACGAGTTGACAGAGCTACCACAAGGTGTCCTTAAGCGATGGCCTTTGATCTCCGAGCTCTATCTGTCTGGTAATGAGCTGACATCGCTTCCATCCGACGACTTGGAAGAAGGCAGCAATCTCAAGGTTCTCCACATCAATGGCAATCGATTCCAGGTTCTGCCCGCGGAGCTTTGCAAGGTCAGCAAGCTTTCCGTTCTCGACGCGGGAAGTAACGCGCTGAAATACAACGTCTCCAACTGGCCGTACGATTGGAACTGGAACTGGAATCGAAGTTTGAGATACCTCAACTTCTCCGGCAATAAGCGTCTCGAGATTAAACCCAACATTGGCACTGTTGGCCAGTCGACTGGAAGTGGTGCCGATCTGACTGACTTCACGTCTCTCACCCATCTCCGAGTCTTAGGTTTGATGGATGTTACCTTGACCATCCCCACTATTCCTGATGAGAACGAGGACCGCCGTGTGAGAACCTCTGCCTCTCTGGCTGGCTCACTTGCCTACGGGATGGCAGATTCGCTTGGCCGGACTGAGCATCTGTCTATCATCGATATGATTGTGCCACGCTTGAAACCCGACAACGTTGAGACATTGGTGGGTATGTTTGACGGCTCGACTATGTCCAGCGGTGGCTCCCGTGTCGCAAAGTATCTCCACGAGCACTTCACGCCGACCTTCTCGCGCGAGCTCAAGAAGCTCCAACAAGACCGGGGAGAAACCCCACTCGATGCTCTGCGACGTGCTTTCTTGGCTTTGAACAAGAACATGGCTGGGCACGCGTACCGATCTATCGATGATCGTGAGCTGAGACAGTATCACCGTGGATCATTTGCCTCGAAACAGCTCTGCCAGGACGATATCCAGGCTGGTGGAGTTGCTACCGTGCTGTATCTAAATAACATGGATCTATATGCGGCCAACGTCGGCGATGCACAGGCGATTCTGGTCAAACAAGACGGCTCATCGCGCCAGTTGACTCGCGTCCATGATCCTGCGGAATCTAGCGAACGAGCACGTATCCGTGCCGCTGGCGGGTTTGTGTCTCGTAATGGCAAGCTAAATGATGTGCTCACGGTGTCGAGATGCTTTGGTCATTTCCCCATGATGCCGGCGGTCATTGCTGCTCCTGCCACCTTGCACACTACCTTGACTGAGCAAGATGAAATGATCATCTTGGGGTCAAAGGAGCTGTGGGAGTATATTACGCCCCAGTTGGTGGTCGACGTTGCTAGGGATGTGTATCCGAATCTCATGCTTGCCGCCCAAAAGCTTCGTGATCTGGCTATCGGCTTTGGGGCAACGAACAAGTTGATGGTGATGATTCTGGGAGTCAGCGAGCTTCAACGCCGGCAGAAGAAGTGGTCGCGTCCTAGCATGAACTTGGAACGCTCTGCATTCCCTGATGATGGCATCGTTCCCTCGACCAAGATCCGTCGCAGGCCTCGTGATATGCCAGCCGACACTCGTCTTGCGCGCTTCGACTATGTTGACGCTCCGACTGGTGAGCTGGCCATCATCTTCACTGATATTAAGAAGTCGACTGGTCTGTGGGAGACTTGCCCGGATGCGATGCGCTCGGCTATTTCCATTCACAACGACATTCTTCGGCGACAGCTCGGGATCATTGGTGGTTACGAGGTCAAGACTGAAGGTGACGCTTTCATGGTGGCCTTTTCCACTACTACGGCTGCATTACTGTGGTGCTTCAATTGCCAGAACAGTCTTTTGGAAGCTGAATGGCCTACGGAAATCTTGGATCAGCCACAGTGCGAAGTTACTTCTGACATGGAAGGGAATATCATATCCCGCGGTCTGTCTGTTCGCATGGGTGGCCATTGGGGCGAGCCCGTCTGCGAAAAGGATCCGGTTACCAACCGTATGGATTACTTTGGTCCTATGGTGAATCGAGCATCTCGAATCTCCGCCGTTGCCGACGGAGGACAGATCTTCGTGTCGTCGGACTTTATGAGCGATATCCAGCGCAACCTTGAGATCTTTGCTGATGCCGAGCGCTCCGCGTCCACGAGTTCGACTGACAGCCACCCACGAGTCGATAGCCTTGGGCACAACATCCGTCGCGAGCTGAACCAATTGAACAGCCAGGGCTTCGTGATCAAGGACCAGGGTGAACGGAAGTTAAAGGGACTGGAGAACCCAGAACCTCTTTATCTTGTCTATCCCCATTCTCTTGCAGGTCGCTTGACAAGCCTGGAAGAGGCTCAGCTAGAGAAAGAAGGCCAGCCAGCGACTATCGAAAAGACTTCCAAGCTCAACTTGAACACTGGTGATATCTGGCGTCTTTGGGAGGTCACTCTTCGCCTAGAGCGGATTTGCGGCGCTCTGGAGAATCCCACTGGCGCAGGGCTGAGGGAGCCCAATGTCGCTTTGTTCAATATGGTTAAGAACCACGGTGGTGAGCTTAACGATTCCACTGTGCTTAGCTTGATCGATCAGCAAGTCACTCGTATCGAGGTAAGTTTTCTTCTTTTATGCGACGTTATTCACAGCGATTAACGATTCCAGGCCACCATCAACACCCTAACAGTACGCAACATGATGCGCCCCTTCAAGCCTGGCGATCGACTTGAAGACCACGCCGCCCCCATCGGCGAAATCTTCCAACAACTAGCGACGCAACTTGCGGAGTACCGCGCCCTCAAAGAGCAGATGGCCGTCGGGGTTGCTGGCATCCCCGACGGACCGCCCGCACCCCATTACGGCGGCATCACCCTGCACTCAAACCTCAGTGCAGACAGCAACACGACCTCCGCCTCATCCTCCTTCCTCCATTTGGACAATCCCCGGTCCTTCGAATCCCGCAACAACCAATGATCTGGCCTGGTGCACATATCTTCTCTCTTCTCTATACACATACATACGCTGATCGCTACGGGGTCACTTTAATCACACCTTTTCACATCTCTCGCTTTTTATTGTGGCCTTTCTCTTGCTTTTTTGCTCTGAATCTTCTCATGTCTTGTGGGCGGCGTCTCACTTGGTGGGGAGTCTCAAGATTGTTTCTCTTTTCCTTTTTTATGCGGCATTCGGGGGCATGGAGCTTGGTTGGATATTCCTTTTGCTTTGTTCGGATTTTGTATTTCGTGTATTTTGTAATTTGTGTGCTCCGGCTTCTTGATGTGAGACTGGAGTGAAACTTAAATATATACATTCAGTCGGCTATTGGTTTTCATTTCTATCCATCCATATCTCGGTTGGTGTGTAATTGTAGTTCATGGATAATGGATAAGGTACACAGTGATGATCGTGGATTCATGCCCAGATCTGTCGGCTTACGGCTAGATATGTTGCAAGCATTTTACAGATACCGATGGAACACTTAAGGACGGAACTTCGAAATCAGATCTCAAGTCATGCGCTGGAAAGAAAGTGAGAGATAATGCCAAGGTTGACAGCGATGGAAGATGAAGCTGGAGTATATTACATCACATTTGCAGGTCTGGATATGTTTTGCTTTAGCTGCCTTTGTTCCTGCCGAGTACGGATGGCGTCGGGTGGCGAAGAGATCACGTGTCACGGTTGTTTGTTTCCTGCGTCATCGTGCGACTCTTGTCTCCTCCAATTTGGTTTTCTTTCTTTCTTCCTTGCTTCATCTCTCCGTTGTGGCATCACGTCCATCTTATTCTGCTCCTCTTCTATCAACGTTGATTTCACCAGATTCCATCCAGGCGTTTCGCCAGTAATTAGGGCTCTTCCGTCCTTCTGACCCGCCCCGCTTGTTGCCCTGGCTACGAACAGAACCAACCCGTCTCGGGTTTAATGGACAGGTGGACAACATTCACATCATTTTCCCTCTGTTCACAAACCCAGGCCAACTTCCAAGAAAAAGGGGCGATCGGTGGATTTCCTTCTCCGCGTCTTGAAATCCTGACTGGACCCCGTCGCGCTGCGTCACCGTTCTTGCATCCTTGTTGCTAAGTGGTGACCGCATCGGTCAAAGACTGCGTGCGTTGGCGACTGCCTGCCAACTTGACAGACTAGACACCATCCTCGTCGCCGCGACGTATCACTTTCCACACAACACACCATGGCGGACGAACTCGATTATCTGCGGCCGGATTTCGATCTGAACTCCCTCACCGTGCCCCGCCTGCGCTCTATCCTCGTCAGTCACGATGTGTCCTATCCAGCCTCTGCGAAAAAGGCGCACTTGATCCGCATTCTGGAAGATGAGGTGATTCCTCAGGCGAGGAAACTTCTGCGCGACCGCGAGAGGGTAAGGAGAACAAGTGCAGGCATTACGGATATGAGTCGAGAGAACTCTGTTACTGGTGACGAAGACGATCGCGATTCGATGCACCCACCACCGACGCCGTCGACAACGGGTACCAGGCGCGGTACCTCGCAACGAAGCGTTCGTGGGTCAACCGTGGAAACGGATAGAGGTTATGCCCCGGCTACGCCTGCGACTACGAAGCGCAAGAATGCTGCACGATCAGTAGCCAAGCACCCCCGTGCTTCGGACACAGAAACTGGGGACGACGTAATGGCGACGCCGGTCCCTGCATTGGGCGCTTCGCCTCGCAAGTCGACTGCCCGCAAGCTTCGACGGAGCTCTGTTCTGCCCTCGACCGAGGTGGACGATTACACACCGTCTGTCAAGACTGAGCCCAGAGGTGATAGTGTCTTCACGGATGAGAACCCCTTCCAAAGCGGCAGTCCTTCAGAGGTTACGAGCAGCCGCCGAACTTCTCACGATGGAAAGAGGAAGAGTGGTGGACGGCTATCTACGGAAAGTCCTGCTATTAGGAGTAGCTTGCGGTCACGAAAGTCAGTTACGCCATCCGCCGTCAAGCAACAAGACGGTTATCATGCGCCCTCAAGGGAGTCATTCGATTTTGCGGCCCGCCTTAGACCGACTAAGGAGGAGCCTGAGGAGGAATCGGAAGAGGAATCTGAAGAGGAGTCGGATGAGGATAGCGAACTGATTGCTGGCGAGGAATTTACCCCAGAGGAGCAACTGGCACTTGAGAGTGAACAATATGCACCATTGACCGTGCTACGAAAACGGCCGAAGAAGCAGAGCTCGGTAAGCATCATGGCTTCTTGGTTTGTCATTCTATCTGTGCTTGGTAGCTTCGGCGCATGGTGGCGCAAAGAGAAGATTGAGATCGGTTACTGCGGTCTGGGGAAGCCCACCTGGTCTCTGGCAGAAACAAATGTACCAGAATGGGCTAATGTTCTCGAGCCTCGCTGCGAGCCTTGCCCGCCTCATGCGTTCTGCTATCCGGATTTTGAAGCTCGCTGTGAGCATGACTTCATTCTCAAACCTCATCCCCTGTCTTTGGGTGGTCTTGTTCCTCTTCCGCCAACCTGTGAACCGGACAGTGAGAAAGCACGTCGTGTCAAAGCTGTTGCGGACAAAGCTGTTGAGGAGCTGCGCGAGCGCAGGGCCAAGTACGAGTGCGGTGAGTTGAATGAGGATGGCAAACCTGCTTCTCCCGAGATTCGGGAGCCGAAGTTGAAGGAAGAGGTTGCGAAGAAGCGGCGCAAGGGTCTCACCGAGAGTGAGTTCGATGACCTCTGGAAGGGTGCGCTTGGCGAGATTATTGAGAAGGACGAAGTCGTGAGCAACTCCAAGCAGTAAGTTCCACTCATTCTCAAAAGGATGTCTTCATCCTTTCTTAGCTACTACCGTTCCGGATTTTGTATATCTCGCGAGCATTTTCTCTAAAAGGTCTTGGTTCTGACATTGCGTACCGGAACTAACAGCGGCGCCCTTGCCATCACAGACCTTCCGCCGTCCTCGTCCTCAGTTCAACCTCAACTGCCCGACTCCCACTCAGATGCGCCGCCCGCCGTTACGTCCGACTGGCTCTCCTCGCGTATCGACTCCCTCTTTCACTTCTAGTTCTGACAGCATGTGCTCTGGCTTATGCCCGGGCTCGGGTTCGCGCCCGCCGCTCTGATATTGCTCGCGTGCCAGAGTTGGTCGCTACAACGCTTGACCGTCTTGCAACGCAGGCTGCGCTGCATGCCCGTGGCGGTGCCAGAGAGCCGTACATTCCAATTGGCCAGCTTCGCGACGATGTTCTGCGCTCCGAATTGCACGGGAAGCGGCGCGAGAAGCTGTGGCATCGTGTCCGACGCGTTGTTGAAGGCAACGCCAATGTGCGTGCTGCCGTTCGCGAGGGACGTAGCGGCGATGTCGCCCGCTGCTGGGAATGGATTGGCGGCATTGGCAGTGTTAATACCCCTGGCGGTGACACCGAGCTTGACACTGGTTCCCGCCGTGACAGTGCTCGGTTTTCCTTGCCTTCGCCCTCGAGCAACGTGGATGCTGAAAATCATCACATGATCACCGAGAGCAAGGATGACCCTGCGACGAGTCCTAGACAGTCCCGCCGTTGGGATGAGGGCCGACCTATTTACTAAGATATTGGGCAGCCCTGCGTTTGCGTGCTTTGAGATCCCAAGACTTGGTACCCTTCTATACAAGATAGGGCTTTCTTTTCTTGTCCTTGTCTTATGGGCCTTTTCAGCCCCGTTATGTCCGTTGGCCTCTCTCCAACCTTCTTACTTCACGTACATATTTGTTTCTACCTTTCTCTGTCTATCCTAGTTTTTATTATGTGATGATGTTCAATACCCACCACCCTCTCGAGGTTTTTCATAATTTTTGTCTCCCTTCACTACCTAGTCTCACCACTTCAATACCTTTTTCCATGTGATACAATACAATCCGCTAAATTAGACATTCGCTAAGAAGGCTGATTATTTTTCCACGAAATGTTGCCTTTCCTGTGTTTTCGGGGATTGGCGATCCTTCTTCGTCGATCGTGGCTGTGTCATTGATCCCCGGAGCTAAGGTAGGTTCTGTTAAGCTATGTATGTACTGAAGTCCTCGATTTCCTACTTCATTTTTAGCAGCGTGACCATGGCGATTGGCGATCCCTTCTTGTCGATCTCGACCATTGTAGCTGACGCATTTGGTCTCCATGTCCAAGTTTTATCTTGGCTGCGTTGTCCTTGATTTCCTAGTTCATGTTAGGAATGTAGCTATGGAGATCTCCACTGACGATCTCAATCATTGTGGCTGGCACCTTTCATCTCGATATCCCAGTTTATCCAAGCTGCGAAGTCTTCGTTTTCCTACTTCATGCTAGCAGCGTAACTATGGCGATCTTCATTGACGATCTCAATCCTTCCAGGTAGTGGCTGGCGCCTGTCGTCTCTGTATCCAAGTTCGTCCAGGCTACTTACCTTAGGTGCTTGGGTAGTCAGGGATACTAACTCTGATTTGTGCGTTTATGCATGGCGAACATCTAGCTCCTTTTTCACTTTGTGTCGGAAATGTAATCCCGTTGCTCATCCGTATTACACGCGTAGCTAATAGCTACCGTGCTGCATAGTAAGAGGGGGAGGGGACTTCTACAGGGATTATGCATGCAGTGCTCGATCTGGGCTGAGATGAGATCTATGGGTCAAGCCCTAAGGACTGTATCCCTGTCCTTGCATGTCCGGGAAACAGACTCGGGACTCTGGATTTCTGTTTTGGGGAAGGCCCGGAAGTGTAAGTCCAGCTCGGGTGGAGTGTGAACGGACTGATGGTAGCTACAGTATGGTTTTGACGTGGGGGTTGCCAGCGTGTACGTGTACAGTGGGAGCCTAAATATCTGAAGCCAGGAAGGAATGTATGTACAAGAACAGAAGTCTAGCCGTATTTGCTTTAGCTTCTCCCCTCTCCGAGTGAATTCCTGAACGTCTTTCTAGAAAGCTTGCGCATGATTCTTTGATTTATTCATTAGCGCATGGAGTAAGGTTATTTCGGATATTTGTCGGTCAAATAATGGAATTGCTGTTGTGTATGTATTGTAGATGTATTATTGACCCAGGAAGTTGCACAATAGACTATAGATATGGCAGCTTTCAGGCGCTACCGCGGCGCAATTGCTCACTTTTTTTTCCTCCCCAACTAGTTGCGTCACTCTGATAGCTCTGAAACTATATCTGTGTTCAGACTAGGCGTAGGGCTGCCGCTGTGTCTATAGGCATATGGGCATTTTGTGAAAGGATTCAACGTGCAGTGCCACTATTTGTAATCCATTTTTCATTGCCGGGGGACAGTTTATACTTATCTCCGCTTTTCTTCAGACTGGGTTGCATATGCCCCGCAGTAGATAGGGCATGTGCAGGCACGAGATACTGGAATCCAATCTCTTGACAACGCAGGACGATTTGAATCGGGCTAATAATAAGCCGAAACTAACAAGCGAGCATTTCTTTTCCTTGGTATAATAAGGTTAGCGCCTGCCTGTCCTGTTTGAGAGAAGCCTTGAGGGTATTACGACTCGGTTAGGAGACGGTAGTTCTGTTCTCTATAGTTGGTGGACTTTCATTTTGACCGCTTCTTGAACCGCTGACTGGAGGCACATGTCGTTGGCGAGGGGTAACCTATCAACATCCAGCCTGGGGGAGTGTGTGGATATGAAGGAAATAGAGTCGTTCTGACAGGCGAAACGAAATATGCCCCGCTTATCTGTGCTTGTGGTGTGGCCCGCTTGCTTGCTGCCCGGTGCATGCAACAGGAAACTGGGGAACAGGCTTGGCAAAGGTCGTCTCTACTGTAAAATTCAGTTTTAATAGACGAAAATGGGTCCATGTACGTGGCGGCGCTTTGGCGGGGTCGAGAAAGTCAATCTGAATACAGTAGTATACTGTAGATTGGCGAGATATCTAGAAATTGGTATGCCAGTAGACCCTGTTCAGCATGAAGCTCTGTATACTTGGTTTGGATATGACGGCGCAAAGGCAGTCTAAATGAGTTGTGTACTCAATTTATTTAATCACCCTAGCCAGAATCGAGCGTGGGACGGATGATTCAGGGATCCAGCAAACAAATCCGATCTAGTTAAGCTGTGGAGATAGAGCAATATACATACAATGAGGTTTGGGTGGGCAGAAAGGCACGGATACATCTTTCCCAACTAAGAATCATCTGCTAGATGAGCCCTAGCAGGAAAAGCAAGGGGCATAGTCTGAACATCATTCGCAATTGATCAAGAGGGGGGCCCAGGACTCAGTGTGTCTCAATTCCGGCCCGACGTTGCAAGAATAGCAAAAGCCGTAGGGTCGATCCGAGTCTAGCGTTGCCTAGAAACCCGTACATGGGCCGAGTTGCATTGACTTAGAATAGTAAAGCTTGAAGAGGTTGTACCAGGCAAGCCAGAAATTAGGGCGCAATTTTTGGCAGGAGGGTCTGCTCGGCAATGCGTAGGCAAATCATCGCGGGGAGGAGTATTTCTCCCGAGATCACCGAGAAAGAAAATGCCGGCTCTGAATGCGACGAACCGAAACACGCGTTGAGTTGCGCTCAGATCGGCGAACTAGTTGACTGGATGGTTCCTCGTTGGTCTTTCTTGCAGGGACCATATGTAGGTGACTACTAGGTTGTACATTCGCGGTCTTATCCTGGGTTATCGTATATGGTGGACGCCTATCTTTTGTGCGTGTCATGCTAGTCACCCAAAGAGGCCATGCTAATGCAGTGAGCGAGTCAAGAAGAGGTGTTAATTGGCATCCACTTGTGGACTTTGCCGGATTTGTATGTGGTTTGAGATGAGAACGAGAAAAAAGGCCGGAGTCCTTTGCCGAGGCCATTCACAGCGCATTGTGGTGGTTCCACATGTGTAAGCCGTTAGGGTGCGGCGATGCGTTTGGGAGCTGTCTATTTTGTAAGGTTAGCACTTGGGTATGATTAATTTTGGCCCCTTTAATGATGATCCAAGAATTATGGTCGTTATCATTGTAGATCTTGTACGAAAGGAAAGTGGAACGATGTTGTTGGAATGATATTGAGTACCGTGGGAATATTCCAAATATCACATGGAGTTTCAATCGTTGATCGGCATTTTGAAGTAGTAGTGGACACCTTGAGTGCAGAGTAGCTCTCAACAACCTAAGACTGACAGACTAACATGACAATAATCGATATGCAGCCTGCTGTCTTACACACAGTTTGCGGCGAGTATACATGTGCCAGTCTTTTGGCACTGGGAAATATCGCCTAAGCCACACCGGACGTCATACTCAGACCCAACAATTGAGCGACCAGAGAAGTTCCAAGGGAAGCTTGTCACCGTAACAGCGCCACGGGGGAACTCCGGTGTCAAAGCAATTGCTGGGACTATAGCCAAGAACACTACAGTTAAATTTCACCAAGGACCCCAGGGACCCGCGAGGAATCCCACTAACCAGCCCCATAATGTGGAAACGCAGACCTTCCTCTGTTGTATCTGTCCCGGCATTTCAATGTTTCCCCCGATTCCAGAAGGATGTATCATCGGTCCTGAACCAGCAGGCCAACATTCCACTGATGGTGGCGAATCTCTCCAGCCCCCTCTCTATCATTCGTCAGATCTGGGGGTAGAGGTCTCCAGCCAATCAAGAGCAGCCACCAGAGGATTGACACATCCCAAAGCCAACACGGAGACTCTGCTTAGCGCCTCCGACATCATCTTTGCTAACTATCCAGAAGCATATTTCTTGATCTAATGTAAGGTAGTTCGTAGCTCCTCAGGCCACGTTCAGGCGCAGACACTTCTTGGCTTATCCCACGTAAGTGGGACAGCCACAGTGGGGTTAGACGCATTTACTTGGTGGAGATTGCTCTTGTTGTCTGCAGTCCTGACGTTGTGATGTTCCAAGTGGCGAACATGATTGGGGGCCAAATAACAACTCGGTATGGTCCCAAAAAGCGACGAATATAGTTGTATTATTCTTTGTATTATAATTATTCTCTGGTACCTTGCGCGGGGCAGATGATTTTCTTCACGACGACCCTCGGGATACAGCTATACCCACTTGGGTAGTTGCTAGGTTTGGAAGTGGTGTCAATTTCACCAGTATAATGGACGATGATCATGTGAGAAGTACTTTCTACTCATGAACAAGTAAATACAGAAGAAACGTGAATCAGATCTAGCCCAACGAGTGCACTATTTCGTAGAAACCCATATCTATCTCGGTACATGCCAGCTATCCAAATATCAGTGAAGCATTGAATAATATTCACTGTACAGTAGCAACAATATTGAAACGAACGGAGTAACTTATGTAGAGTACTCCGTACAGAGTGCTGACATACAACATACAACATCCACCATAGGGTAACCCTGGAACCAACTTGAAGGGAGCTATCGCGATCAGCCAATGATCAGCGCCGGAAGTATTGATGCTGCCCGATTATCCCCATTTTGTATGAGAAAATGGACGGAAAGAAGGAAGGAAAAAAAACCGATGAAGCCGCAATGAATGGCTGTGGCTTCAGTCCTGGTCCTATCAATTGGGCCGGAAAAGTGTTCCGCTGAAATCCTTCCAATCTGCACCTCCATACCCACTCCGTCGGTCGCCCTGGGTATCTTCAATTCGCAAAAAATACTCACGCACTCGAGAATGGAGGGGGAACTGAGACCCAAAGGGCCATCGGGATATATCCGAGATCAGTCACTGTGAGTACATTACGGAGTATATCCGCTCAAGTGGAACAGCGTGATCTATATCCATACTGGTGGGAAACAACTCTCGTGTCCCCTTGCTACCCCTCCTTCACGAGCAAGGGTTGTCAGCCATGGTATTTTAAAGCCTATAGTCTATCAACGCGAACCGAGGGGCTGGGATGGATTTCACCACTAGCCAGAGAGGCTCCGGGGAAACAACACCAATGTAGTATAGAGCGCGGGTAGGGTCTGTGGATGCAGCGACGCCCCATGTCACTGCAAATTTCGATTCGCTTGAAATTTACCGTTGACCAGTACGAGACGATCCTTGCGACTTTGCGCTTCCACCTGGATGTTGCTCCATCGGGGCTTAGACGTTGGGTTGATCTGTGTTAGCTCGTCGAGAGTTTTGTATCTATACCGATGTACATACAGTACCATAACCACCCATCACGCGGTCCTTCTCCTTCAATGCGACCCTTTTACCAAGTTCCAATTAAACATGGTGTTCAATGCAGAGCTGCATGACACATTCCATAGGTCGGTTCGAAAGGAACTGAAGGAACTCTAAGTTTTGGGCAGTGATCGGTGTAGTGTGGCGTCGTCGTAAAACCAAGACAGCCGACCCTCTTTGCATCGTTTAGGTATGCCGTCAACGACTAGACCGGGGCAGATCGTTCATGTTCCTGGGCGCTAGTTTTCCGACAGCCCGGTCTCCCACCCGTCGATGGTCCTTCAACTGGGATCTTTTGGGTCTTCTGGGTCCCGACCTGGTCTTTGCTGTCGATTTCCACTGGATATTATTATGTATTTCCAGTGAATTTATTTTATCGTCGTTACGCATCTTAGACTCAGGTCGTCGGAGAGCCTTCCATGTTATGTAGCCACTAGCTCACGGTGTATTATCATGCTTTACCTCCTTTCCCCCATAAAAGGGTCTGAGTCTGTGTATGATCATAGGTGGTATTAGGGAGCCATAAGTATTATGTATCATTATTCGCCTACTCGCCTTCTCTTAGGCTCTACTGTTCGGGAGAGAGAGAGAAATGTCAGCTCTAAAGGCGTATCCACTTTTGTCTCCCGCCACACACGCAGCTTCTCGATCTTCTTCACTTTTCCCCGTTGGCCACATATTTTTTGCCCTTTTCCCCCTCCTTTCCCTCCCTTTCCTTTTCTCCCTCCACTTACTCCTTTTTTGGCTGTCAACTGGGGCTACTCCATATGCGACGCGGCACACTGGAGGGTATGTTTGCAGAAAAATAATCCTAATTAACGGCACGGGCTTTCGGTGGAAACACATTAGCCACCCCGATTTCTACTTTTGAATTTCTTCATCGATTTATTTCTTTTTCATTTCTCTCTCTTTCTCGTTTATTTTAAACCTTCTGTCTTACAATTCCCTTTCGAACGCTCTCGAAGGGTGCCGATCAGTTGATATCATTACATGTGTGGGATAACCTAACTGTATGTTGCGCTTGCCTATAGAGTCTCGTCTCTTACAATCGGCCTCCTTCTGGATCGTATTATCGGCTCTTATTCTTCTTGGTTTTCCTAATTCGTCACTCATCCTTCTTTTTTTCCTCTTGCTTTTCATCTTTACCCCTTCCTCCTCCTACTCCTTTTCCCCTCTTCTTCTACCTCCTCCTCGACGGTGCCTTTCCCTGCCCCCCATACCGCTGTCTAGCGCAATGGGCGACGTAGGCCGGGCCTTTAGACCAATTGCTCCCCGGACAATGCCTCCCGACGGCGGGGCAGGAGGCCAACCACCGCTTGGTAACAGTGGCGGAGGGCCTTCGGAGGATGGCCGGATGAAAAGAGCTTCGACTGCGTGTAAAGAGTGCCAGAAACGTCGAACAAGGGTAATAACCACCAACCATCCAGCTCAATTTACCTTATCTTTCTCGTTGTTCAGGTTCCATGTTTCGATTTCTTGACTTTGTGCCTCCGCCTCGTCTAGCGACTCGAGCTCCCATGCCCTCTTGTTACGCGCCGGTTATTTTTTTCCCTTTTCTAACGAGTCTCTTCTTTTCGTCACACTTAGTGCACCGGACCACCTAAGTGCTCGGAATGCGACACACATGACCGAGAATGTACCTTTGACGAACAAGCCGACAGGCGGCGCAAGGCGAATGCGCGACGGACACAGGAAGAGCTAGCCAGCTTGTCGGAGTTCACAGAGCAGCTCCTAAGCGTCATTCGATATTCCAACAACGCGACCACACAGCACGTCGTCAATGTGATTCGCTCTAGCACATCACGGGAGGAAATTCAAAGCGTCCTGATATCGATTTTGGCTCAGAACCCCGAATTAGCGCAGCAAGCGCTTGGCCAGCCCGCTCCACCACCTCATCCGCAGCAACATCCTTCTGCTGTTCCTCCTCATCACGTTCCTAGCGACCTCGATCCGCATAGTCTCGGCCCTTATTTTGATCCCCGATAGTACTTGGAAATGGAGATGACCGGCCACAGCGGTGAAACGGCATGTTGCATTATACTTGGAGTGACTCGGGGTTCTTTTGGTCATTGTTTGATCCTGGACACACAAAGTCTCAATTCTGCACTCTTCCGATGTTAAGCGATCGCATACACGACATGATCTTACGCTACCAAAAATTCCGTCCGTTCAATCTGATATGGACCTGTTTGGTTGGTGTTTTCTTTCTTTTGGTTGGATTAATTTGCTAGCTTGTTTGCCTGCCTATGATTTCATCTTGATAATGAGCATATGTTCCCTTTCTTCGCGCAACTGTTCTTCTCTGACTACTGTTTTGATCGACTGGGCTAAGTTTCCTCTTGCTGAAGAATCGTCAGCTTGGGAACTTCCCCTGCACGAGGCTGACGGTTATGTTTACCATAAGCCGCGCAACAATAAAGCCTCCTACTGAGCATTTTCGAAGTCAATGACCCTTGTGCACTATACATCTCTCACTCTTTGTTGCCCTAGTGTTGTACTGCTGTTCGATTTGTTCTTGTGTGAGCTATTGGGTATGTCGTAGCGGGTCACAAGAGGACTTGCGCGACGGGCCACAATGGATACAGGGGTTGCGGGTGGAAGTCTCTTTCTCTTGATCCTTGAACCTGGACACTGGAGTCTGAATGCACGAGTCCATCTGATTTCAGGGGTAATTTGACCAACACTACTTTCAACTTCAGCTTTCCTTGGACGATGACGCTGGTAAGTTCGGACCTCTGAGCCCTGCCCTCTAATACTACCATGTATTCACGATACGAGGAAACGCCACCTACGGAAGTGGTCCAGACCCTTGACTACTCGGCTGCAAGACTCGACCTATCGCAGCATATGAACGATGTCTCGAAGATCCAGGTTCATGCGAACAGGTCTGATCGCAAGACACTGACTACATGTAGAGAAAGAGCCAGAAGAAGCTTTGCCTCGTGACACTGGCTTTTTGGCATCAGCCTGAACTGTATCTCACCTTCTGCTGGTCAAATCTGCTTTTCTGCTGTGTATAAAGGGAGAGAGATTCTATCTATGTGGCAAGTTCGTTTCTTGGTTCGGCTTATTGCAGACAGACTTTCTTGTTGAAGCAAGCCAGACTCGGGCTACACAATCCAAGATTTACAAAGTGCATCTTCTGTGCTGGATAGCCAAATCCCATGACATGCAGGAGAAAGTCTTCAGAACCTGCAATGTGAATGAACTGTGATATGGCCGGGCTGGCAGGTTGATGTATGGATATAGGGAGTATAAAATGAGTATAACTAACTATCCCGATGTCATCATCCACGGAAAGTTAAGATTCATGAACTTGAGCTTGGCGTTTTCTCTCTCTCGTCCCACCTAAGTAGGACGGTAGCATTGTCGAATCGACGGAACAGTTCGTGAGCAAAAGGATATCCAATTACCAGGTCCATAGCGTTCGCCAAGGGGTATGATGGCAGCGGGCCAGACCTTATGCAGTGGTACCTGAACTTGGCAACCAGTATCACATTGCTTCTGCAAAGAGGATCACTTTTTCAAGTCACCCGTTCATGGTCGTGCAGCGTTACCCGCAGCGATAAGGTTCTATGCATCTCCGGAGTTGACAATTAGGTTGTCGTACTTTGGTCCTTCAGTGTGAAGTATGTCGAATAAGCAATATCTAATCTCCAATCTCCAAAAAATCCGGGGAGATCAGGTGGAGAGTCTGTCCCGCGCCGACCGGAGAATGGCCGAGTCCGCCGAGGGGCCTCTCCACTTTCATCTTCGCCTACCGTCGGTTAGTTCCTGATCTTCCCACCACCACCACTACCTCTTCGCTCTAGGATTCTTCTCCTTCCTGTATCCTCCCCCCTCTCCCTCCTTATCAACTGTGCTGTAGTTGCATCAGCTCTCGGTACACCGCTTGCGCCCCCGGAAAATCCGCAAATGAAAGCCTCCATGTGCCCCTCGGCAGTTCTAGCCACTCGCAGATCCCGACATGACGACTGTTACTAGCGTGGCCTGCCCCCCACGCAAGGGCCTGCCGGGTCTGGAATGCTTGACGAGACGGGTATCGCCAAGGGAGAATCTCACACCTCACCGACGGGCCCCGGACGCAAAAGAAAGACCTCGTCCGGTGGCCCGCTGCAGCATCCCTCCACCTCCAGTAAGAATGGCACCATTCGCCAGAAAATCACTCGAGCTTGTGACTCGTGTAAAGTCAAAAAGACCAGGTGCACAGGGACCCTGCCGTGCACTCGGTGCACGCGGCTGTCGCTTTCCTGCAATTACAATGCAGCCTACTCCAGAGGACTCCCTCCTGCCCCACTCCCTGCATCGCCGGACCTAGGCGAGCCTGCTCCTCCGTTTACCCGATCGGGTACTTCAGAGGCCGGTCGTACATTCAGGGGCTCGCGTTCGCGTGCCACTACGGCTGCTGTGGTGGCTAGAGATTCCGTCAGCAGCCATCATGGCTACCTGAGCCAATCTCATGGAGTGTCATCACGGAACTCTCCAGAGCCAGGTTCGACTGATTTTGAGGGCAACTATATCGGCCCTGCCTCGGGAGTCTCTTTCATCAATCGTGTCTGGAGCAGATTGCACCAAGATGAGCGGGCGCAAATTCCCGATGCGCTACAAAATGAGTCTTCGACGAATACGGGAGTCTTCATGTTTGGCGATAAGCCATACTCACACTCTCAGGATGTACATTTTGATCTGCCGTCGTATGAGACCGCAATGGAGCTTGTCACGGTATACTTTGACTTCTCAATGGTCACCTATCGCTTTTTGCACCGTGGATGTGTGGAAAAATGGGTGAAGCAAGTATATGAGAACCATATCTCGATGTCGAATCTGCCCGGGGGCATCATGGTAGCCCGAACGGCCATCGTGCTAATGATCTTTGCTGTGAGCACTCTTCATAAAGAGCCAACGCCAATCAACGGAATCAGTCAAAGCGAACGCTGGTATGCAGCGTCCAAGTATATGTTATCTCTCGAGTCAGGGCCTCCGCGCTTGGAAACAATCCAAGTTCGACTCATCCAATGCCTGTATCTTCTATCATCGTCACGCGCCAACGAGTGCTGGTACTCCTTTGGAACGGCATTGCAGGTTGTAACCGCTCTGGGGTTGCACCGCAAGTCCCCTGTGAAGCTATCTAAGAATGGATCCTCACATTTTGAGTTGGAGGTCCGGAAGCGCATCTTTTGGAGCGTTTACACTTTGGATAAGTACCTCAGTATCATGTTTGGACGGCCTCGGCTACTTCATGACGAGGATATTGATCAGGAGTTTCCGGGTGAAATGAATGATGAAGATCTACTAGAAGAGGATCCGACACGGCGGACAGGATCTACGGATAGCATGATGATCGCATCTGTCCTACATTACCGGTTAGTCTGTCAATTAGACTTTCATGTCAATATGAAATCACATATGCTTCTTGACTAACACCATGTCCACAAAGCCTTGGTCGAATTTTGGGCGAAATATCACGACAATTGTATAGTATCAACCCTCTCTCGCGAGACTCTCCACTTGAAACAGCCGCTCGCCTCACATCGGAATTGGAAAAATGGAAAGAAAGCGTACCCCCTCTCTTCAACAGCGTTCGACCATCCAGTTTAATACCGCCCCTCTGCCGACAAAGCCAAGTTCTGCAGTTTGCCTACAATCATGCAATGATCCACGTTACTCGTTCATTCCTACTCAACGATTTCACCGACCTCAGCCGCCGACCAAGCGATCCACATCCGATGGTCAGCGCCCATGTACAAAAATGCATCTCAGCAGCTGAAGATATCATGACCTTGGTCGATGACCTTGCGCAACAGAACGTCTTTATTCAGTCATTCTGGTTCACTCACTACGTCACATTTTGCGCCATCTTGGTCGTCTATATACACATTATCCAGCAACATCGCCAAGCCACGGCGCCGAGCCCGACAGCAGGGAGTCCCGCTGACGCCGGCAAATTGCATTCCTTATTCCTGCTAGCCGAATCCTGTCAGCAATACCTTGCGGAAGCCACACGCAAAAACTGTCCTAGTAGGCGGTACAGCATTATCCTTGGTGAACTAAGGAAAGAAGTTCATCGTCATATTGGCTCAGATGAGCAGTCTAGCACTGAATCGGCGCCGGCCGTTTTCGATGATGGTCACCATGTTGAACCGAAAGCCATAGCTCGAAATGGCGTCGATCACACCGTCTCCTTTGAACCTCCGAATCTGGATTTCCAGCCAATGTCGGGCGGTCTGCCATCAACTGACCTGGGCCCACCTCTCAATCCCGTGGAAGATGCCGGGCTTCTCGAAAACCTCGAAGGCTCAATTTGGTGGGCGCAGCTTGATTCATGGGTATGTATATTGTCTATCAATACCTTCTTTCGATCGCTCTCAGTGGTCTCCCTTACTAATATCTTCTAGGCTTTGTCGAGTTTTCCAAATGACCCATCTGCATTCAGCTTCTAAGGCTCTCTGCGATATAAACGGCCTAAGCTTTTTCAAAGTAGCCTCCACGAGAGACTGCATCCATGCCGGTTGGCTGCGTCACTCTGACTATGATTACTAGACGATGACAAAAAGGCAAAGAAGCGAAATAATATATACCATACACTATGTACTTAACTAACGCCTCTCGCCTGCGTCTCTTATATAATTTGGCGAATGCATGTCAGCATGGCCCCCCAAGGTTTACATCACGGGGTTTCTGGAAGTACCCAAATCATGACATGACTGTCCTCCAATCCCAATACACCAACATAAATATTGAGGATCAAATAAAGTTGTCTCAAATTGGGCTCCATACTTATCCGATCAAGCTTAGCCCTCTATGGCCCTGTTCATCCACCCAGTCGGAATATCAACCGCCGGGATACCCAGGACGGGTATGTATCCGCGTCCCCACGCCCCGGGCCGAGTGATAGAGTTTACATAATTTCCGAAGAACGAGTGGGGACCAGGTGTGATTCGGAAGTTGTGGTGAATTGATTTCTTTTCAAGTTTATATGTGTGCACATTTATCACATTTGATGGGTAGGCCTGAGTGGGCTGTTGATCGCTGTGATCACAAGTCCAAAGTCGGTTGGATTCCAGATGCGATGCTCGCACATGCTTCCAGACTTTATGCTATGGAGTGTTTTATCTAATTCGACGAGAGGTGTCTATTATTGGGCTACGTGTATTGTCGAAAGCCTTAAGACTGATTTGATATTGTATCCACCTCTCGCAGTCGGTATATGGAGGTAAGTACATGCAACCTTAGAAATAAACAAGCAGAGGTCCTTGAAGCCAGATTCAAGACAGATAAAAAATGCGGAGCGTAAGAAGCCGAAATGGTAGAATCATCCGCCTAATCATCGCCCCTTGGTGGAATTAAATCACTGCTCTAGCGCAAAAAAAAGCTATGTCAATGGCGCTACTGACACCACTACGCAAGGGAAGCAACGAAGGCAAATCGATCAAGTTCGAAGCTATCTGAGAACTGTCTAGAAGATAAAGAGAAAGAAAGGAAAGAAGCAGACCTCATAAGCCTCGAAGGCAAACACAAACGCCAGGCGCTGTTCTGCAAATCGCCATCATATGTACCTAGAACTAACATCGCTACTTGAACTCCACAATCTGATCATGACAGTACTGGATGAACAATGCTGCATCGCCTGTACCCCCGTCTTCCTTCAGTCTCATCGCTCGCAACAGATCCTCTCTGGGCTTTGGATGAAGTCGTCCCCAGGGTAAAATATACTTCCCTCCATCCGATATCTTAAGTTCCGGAGAAAGCGCAGCCCAAAGCTCGCTATAAGCGCCCATGATAGGAGGATACAACAATGGCGCCACAAGGAAAGGCACCCACGACGATAAATGGCGAGTCAGATTTGATTTCAGGTTTCCCGGGTTAACGACCACACTCAAAATACCGTCTGACCCAGCCTGCTTTGCTAGATCATTGGCTAAAAACCAATTCCCGACTTTGGTGTTTTCATAGTTGCGGTTGAAGCCGGCGTCTCGTCGCAGGAGCTCGTCCAGGTTCACTCCGTTCGCGGGCGCGGAAGTGTCAACGACGATGGATGATAGCCAGATTACACGGACAGAGGCGGGGGCTTCGTTGCGGGACGTTTTCTGGAGGGTTGGTAGGAGGAGCTGGGTGAGCAGGTGGGGGCCGAGACAGTTTGTCGCCAGCTGTAGCTCGTGGCCCTGTGGTGATATAGAATCCTGTGGGGGATTGGAAACACCGGCGTTATTGAACAGCACGTCCAGTCGAGGCTCGACGCTAGTGAATTTCTCCACGGCGGGTTTGATGGTGGTCAAGTCATCGAGGTGGAGGGGGAGAAACACGATATCGCCTTCGGAATTGGGGCTTCCAGTTTTGATGTCTTCGATCACCTGGAGGGCTTTCTCTTCGGAGCGGCCTGCAAGATACACTTTACCTCCAGCCTGGTATAGAATCTTGCATAGTTCGAAGCCCACGCCTGAATAGCCGCCTGTAACTATAAAGACCTTGCCTTTCTGACTGGGCAGATTGGCCTCCGTGAGTGTTGGTTTTGGCGGAAAGAACTGAGACCAAACAATCCCCATCTTCAGGGTGCAGGATCAGATGGGATCTTTCTCAAGGGGGTGGATTGTGTTCTACGTCACGAAGGGTTGGAAGATGGGGAAGGTCAGGGATAGATGGCAACTTGTCCTAGCTAGATGACGTATCACGGACTTAAGGAAGGTGATAGAGCATGATAAGCCTTTAGTGAAGACCAAGCTCGGGGCAATAATCAGGGCCACGTACTGCGTCTTGTGAATAGCCAATCGGACATGTATATTCTGGCCAAGCTTTAGCGAAGCTTGAGGGCCGGAAAACAAAGATCAGGATCAGCCCCGACCAACGGGCGAACCTCATATTGTCACAAATGCCCTCAAATCAAAGTGAATATTGCCTTTATTAGTCTTTTCTTCATTATCACCTACAAGCTTATGGTTGCGGAATTGCAACTATGAGCCACGGCAGATGCTACCTACCATCTAAGAAACGACAACAAACGCTTGTTCGCTGCGAGGCGATTAGGCCACCCATGCTTGGAAATCTCATGGGAACAACGGGGATTCAGACTGTAGATTTGTACGCTCCACGGTCTGTGCTAAGCTCGTTTTGTCTTGTATACAAAAAGAACTTATCTAGACCCACTATTAGTCCAGCAAAAATAGCAAAAAGAAAGCTGGACTCGCGGGGAATCGAACCCCGGACCACTCCCATGCTAAGGGAGTATTATACCACTAAACCACAAGCCCAGTTGTGTGCTGGATGACAGGAAATTATGTTATATGAATCAAAGCAGTATCGATCCACGTCACGTCGGTTGAATGTCTCGAAAGCACCCCGAGTTCTAGATAGAACTCTATCAACAGATGGCTCAATGATATAGGAAATATCTTCTGCCTTATTGTGATCAAGCTAGCTTGACCGAAAGATACAGACTAATCGGTATCACTCACCTCGGGACCGTGTAGATCCTCGTCGTAGTCCACGATATATATACAGCACGTGAAACACCAGTACGTGAACGTGCGGACCAGGCCATCCGAGTTGTCTTGATCCAATTGGCTAGGTCACTGGTTGTGAGTTGGAATACCTGCTAGAAGATAAACACAGCGATGATTACATGTCTAAACAGGCGGACGAATAATCACGCTAACTTCATGGATGATCAGATAAAACCTATACACGGGCAAGACTCTTGAAATTTTCCTCTTATATGCTCAAGGCTACATCATCATTCATTGCATTATGACACCATAAGTATACGCATAATTATTCAAAATCCACCGGTGGAAGATCCCTCGCTTCCAATGCGGCCTGTACACTTTGCTGCATAGTTCCAATCGCAGCCTCCCAAGTCACAACGCCTTGTTCACCCTGTCCAGACGGCGGACTTGGGTTAACCAATTGAGTTCGATGGAGTTTTGAATCATCGTCTACCAGCCACATCAGCCAACGCACCACAGACACGGCTTTATCAATATCCTTCTCCTCTGCAATGACGCGTCGAATATATGTACATAGAACCTCTACGTCCTCGCCGTAGGGGCCGTCGGCCGCAAAAGCAGAATGCCAGGCACCCACTGCGTCGCGCAGATCTGGCAAGTCTGACAGCCGTCGCGAGGTGAATACAGGTCGCTCTGGGAGAGGGGGAAGATGCAATGTCGTCTCGGTGGGAGGTGGGGCAGCAGCAGCGGAAGCAGGAACGGAGGTCTGAGGTTGAGATACTGGCCGTGAGGTAGCCGCAGCGGAAGCGCGAGCTCGTTGAAGACGAGCGCGTCTTTGCTCCTCAAGAACTTCCTGGCGGATATCCTCCGGAAGTGCCGCGAGGAAATCAGCAGAAACATCTGATTCCTCTTCAATCGCTGGCGACTGCTGGCGAGATGGAGAGTCACGACTCGACGTGGCCGGCACGATAGAAGAGGTAGTTGTAGGTCGAGGAAAAGCAAAGTTTGTCTGAGTCAAGGACCTATTCCCACTCGAGGCTGATTTTGGCGGACGACCACGCCTTTTCTTTGGCGGTGATATTGGTCTCTTGAGCTTCAATGGCCCTGTTTGAGGTGCAGAGCGCGACGTGTTTGCTGGAGCGGCCGAAGGCACAGCTGGTGGATGATCAGGGGTATTATCAGTCTGCTGATTATAGTAGCCAAGGACTTCATTCCGAACGTCCTCAGGCAAAGCAGCTAATGTCTCAGGGTCCAGCTGGGACTGAGGCGGGAGTGGTGCAGCAGCAACAGTGGGCTCGACCATACGACGGCGTGGTGGCGGACATGGGGAGCCAGATCGCGGCGGTTCCTGTCGAGGCTTTGCCTGGGCAACAAGCCTTGATCTGATATCTCCAGGAAGCTCAGAGAGAACCTTGGGGTCTACCTGAGTGGGCATGATGAATTGTGACCCGGAGATATTTAGCGGTTTGTGAGCGCTATTGCTGAGAACGGGGTCGACCTGAATCCGGGCTAAATCGCCTTTACGAGGACTATCCAGTTCATCGGGGTCGACGTTGGCGGCGACACTCTTGCGCGACGGAGATTTGAAGAAGTTCAGCTGCCGCTGACTACCTTCGACAGTGACCGAGGGACCGGTCTTCAGCGGCTCAAGCTTGGTCATTTGAACACCAAGACCCCTGAGATCACCGGGAGAGAAGTTGAAACTTCTCAGCATTGACACAGCCTCTTTGCCTAGGACATCGGATGCGTGGGTGGCCACGCCAATGACGACGCTCTTGTTGAAGACATCGCATTTGCCGTGACCGAGATGTTTGACTGGCTCCAAAGGTGCATCCATCGACCTCCGCATAACTTTCAGCGTAAGCTGCTTGCCCTTGACTAAGTTCTCGACCAATCTGCGACCCAGTTCCTCACAGAGTGATCTGATAAAATCCTCAGCCTGATCCTGGTTGACAAATCGAATTCCCCAATTGACCTCTGCCGAGACGGACTTCCTGATCACTTCATTGCCAACATCTGTCTTGTCTATGCCCCGGGCATACTCCCATATCTTAGTTCCGGTCTTTGGCCCCAAACTGGCGCATAGTCTTTCTTTGGTAAATTCCCTGGCGTCCTTAACAAACTTCACCCCAAGTTCTTCAAGTTTCGACCCAAGGCTATACCCAACGCCTGGTAGATCTTGAACGGTGAGGTTCCCAATAAAATCCAGAACAGCATCGGGTTTCAAATGGAATTGCCCGGCAGGCTTTGCCTTGCGCAATGCCACTTTGGCGAGCAAAATGTTGCCACCGATTCCCACTGACACCGCGCAACCAGTCTTCTCCTTTATGGAATCACGCAAACCTTGCGCTATCTCGTCGGCTTTGGCTTGCTCACGGTAAATCGATCCCTCCGAGACACCTTTCCCGTCAGAACCCCCTGCCTCCAAGCACTGATTGGAAACATCGATCAGAGCTTCATCGATGCTTACACTTTGCACGATGCCGTCAATAGAGAGCACCGAGCTGTAGAATTTCCGACTGGCTTCTTCATAGGCAGGGAAATCGTAAGGCAATACCTGAAGGTCTGGACATGCCTGCATGGCCCCTTTCATCCACATCCCGTTCTTGACCCCACGTCCTCGCGCAACATAGTTACAACTCGCAATTTCGGAGCCAGACCCAGAGCCATGAGCAATGGCAACAGGCTTTTCGCGAAGCTCAGGATGCTTGAGAATGGAAACGGCGGCAAAAAATGAGTCAAAGTCGACATGGAGAATGTATCTCCTAGCCCCCGGAACAGGCCTCATTAACGAAGCGCCGGATATCACCTTTTCTCTTGTCGCAGCTTGAAGTTGGGCTTTCAGGTCGGCTTTCCATGTTGACAAATGATGAAGCCGCGACTCTCGGTAGTATTGCTGGAGAAATTCTGGATTGACCACACTTGATTTTCGCATCCGGGGATCAGACAAAAGTTGTGCATTATACTCCTCCGAGCTCATTTGAGGGTTTGAAGGACTCTTTTGCTTCGCGGGCGAGGAGATTTGCGCATGCTGCGGTTGTTGAGGTGTACGGCTACCCGCATCGCTGGGCGTGGTATTAACTGAAGTTGGTATACTGGGGTTGACAGGAGTAGTTTGCCCGTGTTGCGGCTCCTGGACAGCTGCTTTCTCTTCTGCATCGTCTTCTAAAGCAGCAAAGCTAGGAAATTCTCCATAATCGGATTGAGAAGGCTGAGACGGCAATTTGGGGGACACTTCGGGTGGTCGTGTTGACAGTATTGAACCAGGTGAAGTTTTAGGTGCACTTGTAGAAGCAACGGGGTTTCTATCGGTTGGTGTCATAGCCTTGAGCTGAGAATTGTACCAGCTCGAATTTGATTGGTCTCGATAGCCAACCCGAGGTGTGTTGGTTTGACTGGTAAAGCGACCATCGTCAAACTTGAGGACCTTTTGAGATTGGCCCTCGTCCACGACACGAAATCCGTGCCAGGGCAGCAATCGGCCAGCTTTAATACTCTCCGTGACCCATGCGGGCTTCACGATACGGTACCGCTTGAATTCCTCGCATTTCTTTGGAGTCAAAGAACTTGCAATAATATGAGTCGCGAGAGTCTTCCCATCTAAGTATTGTAGGAACCCGCCTCCGTGGCTGACTATCAAGCGGTGGAGGTCTTGTAGCGACGGCTGGGTGTAGCCGTTGACATGCGCGACGACTCCGCGAAATATTGGTGGACAGTCTCCAGAAGAGGCTCGAATGTCTGCATCTAGATTCTGAAGCTTGATCTTCTTGCGTCGCATATAGTCCCCGAAGCCGCCGAAGCTGGACGCTCCATACTCTTCGCCCGCTTCGTCTTGGAAGTCATCTATAGAAGTTTAGATTAGAATGCGGACAGTAGCAGATGGAAAGTGGGTAAGGGTGGAACGTACGGTTCTCGATGCGCTTACGCACAGCGCTAGATGTCGCATCAAGTCGAGAGCCCATAGTGGGCCAGCAGGACTACCATGACCGTCTGTACACGACAGAATAGTCTTAGAACAGTTCAGTCTATTCCCAAGACTCGGGCGCGCCATATGAGAATCACGCGTCACCGGCAGAAATCAGGTGAGAAACAGGCGGTGAAGCCATCGGTGAACGGAGGCAAATCATGGAAAGCGGTGAGAGTGTTGAATGTAACTTGATTGGCCGGATGTGCCAGGCAGAAAAAATTAATTAAAAAAAAAGTGAGCAGAGCTTCCGGCGATCTCTGTTGCTCCAGTTGCGGGTCGCATCTTTTCTTCTTCTCATCCACGCCCGTTTTTCTTCGGTGGTTCATTTCCCTCTCTACTTCCACGTTCATTTCCTTCTATCGTGTGCATTTCATCTTTCTTCAACCAATTCTATAAAAATGTCTGCCGTCCAACCGGTTGCCGTTTATGCCCTCCGGGTCCCTCCCGGTGTTATGGTGCCTGCTGTGCCTAATGCCGCTGCCTCGGTCAGTATCAGATCTCACAATGCGTTCAAATTTCTTGCTGACTCTATACTTCCAGTTCCGTGTGAGCATGGCTGCCATCGACCCCGATGAGGAGCCCGAGTTCGATGAAGGCGACTCCAGCAAGCCTGGTCGCGCAACCTTGAAGATCGTTCGCCCTCCTCCCGGTCTCGACATGGGCGATTCCGATGACGAGGACTACAGCGACGATGAGGAGTATGATGATGAAGAGGAGGACTCTGACGACGAGGAAGTCAACGGTGGCCCCAGCGACAAGGAGAAGGCCCGCAAGCTCAAGCAGGCCGCCGCCAAGAAGGAACTCGAGGAGGCCATGGCGGAGGATGATGATGATGAGGACGATGACGAGGATGGTGGCTTCGACCTCAAGGCTGCTATTTCAAAGCTGATCAAGGGCAAGGGTCCTCTCACTGATGACGATGAGGACGAGGATGATGAGTCTGATGAGGGCCTGGACCTTGATGAGAACGTCATCTGCACCCTGTTCGCTGACAAGGTAAGGCCCGATTCGCAATGAAAAATAAATTTACGTCGATACTAACACGTCTTTGCAGAGCTGCCAGCAACCTCTTGACATCGTTGTCTGTGAGGGCGAGCCTGTCTTCTTCAAGAACACCGGTAACCAGACCGTTTTCCTCACTGGTAACTACGTCATTGGCCTCGATGAGGGTCACGACCATGACCACGATGATGAGGACGATGAGGATGACTACGATCTCTCTCCCGATGAGGATGAGCTTGACATGGACGAGCTGATGGCCATGGATGACGACGAGAGCGACGACCTGGATGGTATGGAGGACCCCCGTATCACCGAGGTCGACAGTGAGGAGGAGGCCCCCAAGTTGGTTGAGGCCAAGACCAAGGGCAAGAAGCGTGCTGCTGAGGAGGAGAGCCTCGATGAGATGATGGCCAAGGGTGCCAAGGGCAAGGCCGCTAAGGAGGAGCCCGCTCTGACCAAGGCCCAGCAGAAGAAGCTGAAGAAGAACAACGGTGATGCCGCCGCTGTTGAGCCCAAGAAGGAGACCAAGGCCGACAAGAAGGTTCAGTTCGCCAAAAACCTGGAGCAGGGCCCTACCCCCAACGGTGACAAGCCCACTGGCACCCTCGGCGTCAAGGAGGTCAAGGGCGTCAAGATCGATGACAAGAAGCTCGGCAAGGGTGTCGCTGCCAAGAGCGGCAACACCATCTCCATGCGCTACATCGGCAAGCTCGAGGACGGCAAGGTCTTCGACTCCAACAAGAAGGGCAAGCCCTTCACTTTCAAGCTTGGCAAGGGAGAGGTCATCAAGGGCTGGGATATCGGTGTCGCCGGTATGGCCCCCGGTGGTGAGCGTCGTATCACCATCCCTCCTCACCTCGCCTACGGCAAGAAGGCCCTCCCCGGCATTCCCGCCAACTCCAAGTTGATCTTCGATGTCAAGCTGCTTGAGATCAAGTAAATGTTGGACTGATTTCTATATCCATATTTGTTACTTTGCAAGGGTGTTTGTTTTATGGGTTTACCGGTTTAATTGCATGATTCACCGTGATATCCGGCTTGTTTGTCTATTCTTTGCCTGTCCTGCCATGGCGGAGAGGAGGCATATCACGAGGAATTCATATTCCCTTTGCATGGAAAAAGTTCCCGATTTTGTTCATTTGTATCTGCTACTATGTATTTGAATCCAATCCAGCCATCTGGCGTTTCAAATTCCTTTTCCATTTTCCCACGGCACTGTAGTTTGACTTCGTAGGATTGACGTGATGTCCACGGCAGCACGCCCTAATTCGCGCTTGCCACTTACTGGAGGTCAACTTGTTTCCCGTCCCATTCAATGCTTGTCTGCGATTGTTTTATCTTGCCAACTCGCAGTTTTTCGAATTGCCGAATTCTACCATCACATTCTATCGTTAAAGCCAGTGTGGATGTCGTGCGCATATTCAACTACCGCCATCGACGGAGACACCGTTCCTTGATCTCCGCCGGTCCAAGCATATCCAGCATCTTACAAGATGACAGTCTCTTACGGAAGAAAGATGCGACGCCGACGAAGTGTGTTCAACATTTGGACACAGACAAAAGCCACTCCTCATCGCAGCAAACCATATCCATCTCCCGCTGATTCGGCACTATCCGATAGTCCCGTATCCCCCAACTCCGATAATAGGGCCAGCAGAGCTCGATTTCGATTTCGATTAACACGGAGCGGGTCTAAAATTCTATTGTTACTTGGGCTGGGAAATTCCTCCAACAGTTCGTGCATATACATCATTGCCTATTCCATGCTGACTTGGGAATCTCAGGCAACAAGACAAGCGTCGAGACGGGATCAGGCGACGATGCGCAAAGTCATGATGATCACCAGCATACCCTACCAGTCCCAGGGGCCGAACAGAGCCCCTCGATTTATATGACTGGTAGTTGCTTCCTTGAGACCCAGCCTTTGATTGCGAACCCGTCTGTCAACACACTGCCAGAAATCCCGGACACACCCTCGCAAGATCTATCAAATGACCATATGCCGGATCGCAAGATCGATGTTCAAGTCGACGAAGAGAACGTTCAGCAAGACCACGTTGATACCGATGATGTTCATTCTCATATTCTTGTCGACCCCCCGGGTCCTCCTGCTTCGAGACTGGTGGACCGCGTTTCTCAAAAATTCTCATCAGCATTCGGGAACCCAACGGTGGTCCATCGTACCCACTTGCGGCCAAGGCCTAGTATCCTTTCCCCTGACTCTCCAATATTGATGAATTCCAGTAAACAAGGAGATGGGGCCAATGATGACAGCTCAGATCCCTCGACAACCCCAACAAGTAGTGGCTCTCCAAATGGGTGCTCAACACCTTGGACCGCAGTGACATCTGGAGAGCCATCTCCTCCTTCATTGGAAAAATATAGACCTGAATTGAGAGAGTGGTCTACTATATCGAACTGCGTTTCGAACCCAAGTTCGACCTCAAGTGGCAAGTCTTCTATCATTGCTCCATCGATTCTTACGGTGGAAGCTGCATCTGTCGCCAAGGTCTATCTTGAAATATATTTCAACTCCATTTTTGAGAATACAGACCCACGTATCCAGCGTCAGTACGAATTGGAGCAGCATATAATTGCATTCCATCTTGGTCCCGAAGAGCAGGAATCAACACGACACAACTGGGCCCTTCAAGAGAACGAGTATCTGCGACAGTGTCGAATTTTGAAAACCTGCATGAAATCCCCGCGGATCAATCAAGCGGTCTCGATTGCTGGTTATAAAGTTATTAAAACTTTGGGAAAAGGCAGCTTCGGAGTGGTGCGCCTGGTACGTGAGAAAGGTGCCCTGCAAACAAGCAAGGACGATGATGAGAGCCCAGCACGCGATGCTAGTATTTCCAGCTCAAGAAGCCGACATCTTGATGTCATACGATCCGCTGTTGATGGAACAAGAAATAGCAGGCGCAGATATATGGCAGGCGAAAAGAAGGAAGTTTATGCGATGAAAGTTATCAAGAAGTCCGAGATGATTCGCAATTGCCAAGAAGGTCACATTCGAGCAGAGAGAGACTTTCTCGTTGCGTCGGAAAAGTCCCGTTGGGTTGTTCCATTGATATCCAGCTTTCAAGATGACAGCTACTTATACCTTGTCATGGACTACATGGTTGGCGGGGATTTTCTTGGGCTTTTGATTCGCAAGGATATCCTGCATGAAGATTGGACACGGTTCTACATCGCTGAAATGGTTCTGTGCATTGAGGAAGCTCATCGACTTTGCTGGATTCATCGTGACATCAAGCCCGACAACTTCCTCATATCTGCATCTGGGCATCTGAAAATCTCCGACTTTGGTCTGGCCTTCAACGGACATTGGTCTCATGACCAGGCATATTACAACAACCACCGCTATTCTCTTCTAGAAAAGCTTGGTATTGCCATCAAGGGTGACGCAGAAGACCAGGTCCAAGCTGCGGAAGCGGAGAAAGACCCAGACCTTGATCCCAATGCAAAAGAACAGAGCGATTTTCCCAAGTATTTTGTGCCTTCAACGGATCTTCTCGCGTGGCGAAACAAAAAAGAGCGACGACGATTTGCGAAGAGTGTGGTTGGCACCAGTCAGTACATGGCACCAGAGGTGATTCGAGGAGAGATGTACGATGGAAGATGCGACTGGTGGAGTTTGGGTGTTATTCTCTACGAGGTGACTGAAACTCACTCACTCTACTAAAGAGCTGTTCTGATTTCACGTTTGCAGTGTCTATACGGGTTCACTCCCTTTGCCTGCGAGAATCGCCATGACACCAAGATCAAGGTTCTCGTAAGTTACCCGAAGAAGTTTCTCTTTTTCGAAACTGATTTAAAGGTTCTATTCTCTAGCAACACTCGAGAACTTTGCAATTTCCGAGAGAAAGTCCATCGGAGAAATTAGTGTCACAAGACGCTATTGACCTCATTGCAAGACTCCTTCAAGAGCGTGAATACCGACTGTGCTCGCCAAAATATCAAGCTAATGACATGTTGGCTGGTCGGCCCGCGTCAGCTCAATACCTGTACTCAATGGATCCCCGATACAAAAACGTCACGAGCTATTGGGTGTACCCTAATGATGCAGCCGACATCAAGATCCACCCATTCTTCAAAGGTACCCGGTGGAATGAGCTTTATATGACCCGGCCTCCATATATTCCGAGAGTCAAAGGCTGGGAAGATACTCGTTACTTCAATGACTGGAAGAACCTCGATCAGCTCGAGGGGCAAGCAGAGGAAAGCGAGTCCAAGGAAGAGTCTGATGAGGACATCGAAGGAAAGCCCCAAGCTATATCTGCTGATAACATCGCTCCATGTTTCCCTGAAAATCCGTTCATCGAGCGACCCGTGCCAGGAGGCGATGCCATTTTTCCAGTCGCACCCGTTGAAGCTGCTGGCATTAACGCGCCCGCTCAGAAGGCTGAGAAGCAGAAGGAAAGAAAAAGACCACGAGACAAGATTCTGCGGGATAGAAAGGCTGGCAGGACAGCCTTGGAGATCCGCAAGAGAGGTGCCTTCTTGGGATATACGTACCGTCGACCGAAGGGTCCGGCCATGGCCTTGAGGAGCGAGCGAGGGCGGCAGCCCTTCGCCAGAGGAGCACTCGCAGATCTTTATACCCCCTGAAAGTGTTGGTCATGGACCACCCTTGAGCTTTGTGTTCGTGGAGAAGTCGATTACATCCTTTGATTCTGTTCTTGATCCACCTATTTATATCCCCATCCTTTCCCTCGCAAAACGCTGTGAACTGGAGGTAAGCTGCGGGCTTATTCATTCTTTGATATTCTTATAGTTCCAAGCTCAAACAGGATTCCTTTACTGTGGATTGCGCGATTCTCACTATGAACCCGCAGTGTTGACTTTCAACGGCCTTGAAGGCGTGCACATATCTCTTACTTCTTGTTGTCCAGGCCATCGAGATTTCCCACTAGGCCACCCAAGTCACTTTTCATCCCAATACCAGCGTACACGCCTTCGTTCTTGCAAAAGCCTAATGGGAATCGTAACTTTCGGATTAAAGGCAAACTCCATACTGTTGATTGGATTGATTCATCTGATGTAAAATGTGATGTACAAGAAACAGAGAAAAGGCATCGTATGCAGTACATACCACGGCCAGACCGTGCTGGCCAACATTAAAAAAAGAATCAACAAATCAACGTACAGGGTAGGGTATTCTCTCCCCAGTCCGGGGAATGAAATGGAGAAAGGCCAAGGCCGATAGAACCAACGAGCACCCGATATTTGTGCAATCATGGCGTGGGTATCATATTGAAAGGATGCACATTCCACGAGATGGTTTGGGAAAGTGACTTTTTTTTGTTTGGTTTGAGAGCCGTCTAGATGATAGGCGCACTCATGGAGAATGCCGAGTCCGTTACCCGGTCCTCCGGCTTCATCGTACCGTTTAGTAGTGGACAAAGCTTCTTATTCGTCTTGATGTGTCCGACCTGGCCGCAGTTCGCGCATTTGCGCTGCGTTCCGGCGGGTTTACCGTCTGCAGGTGAATCTCCTGCACGAGTGATGCCCTTCTGTTTCTCGCGGGCGAAGCGGCGCTCCTTGTTCCGGTTGAGACGGCTTAGCTCGGCCTCGATCAGTTTGCGGTTACGAGCATCCACCTCGGGGTCACCGGTTGGCTGAAGGGATTCTAGTTTGGTGGTGAGAGCTTCGGAGCGGTGGCGGTGTTGGATGTATTGTCTGATGACCCGGGGGTCCCAAACAAGTTGTTCTTTCTCCAAGATTTCGCCATTCGGGGCTTTATATTGCCGGGTGATGCGGAGGACCTTGCCTTTCTGGCTTGCGAAGCTCATCCGACTGAACTGGCTGGTTGTTTCATCATCGTATCGCCGACTAGGTGCAGGCGTTGGTGCTTCAGATCGTGGGGTAGGCTTGCTGAATTCTTCCATACCCCCTTGATCGACGTCGCTCTCTTCGTCGGAATGCTCAATAGTGGAAGACAGGCTTGCCTTCTGAGCATCCCAGATTCGGCGAATGGATGTTTCGTATGACCTTTGTTGGCGTGCGACATTGTAACTATGCCCACCAAGCTCCTTAAGCCGCTGGGCATCCAATTTGTCTTCAACACTTTCACCGATGGCCTTGAAGCCACCTTTCATCGATGTTTTGATGAAACTGAAACCTTCGCCACGTCCGGTGGGATCACCTTCGCCATGGAGCTTCAACATGGCTTTGCCTTGGGAAGCTAGCAGAAAGTTGCGGGACGCCTTCCAAGGAGCCATCAGCTGTTCGAAGCTCTCGCCTTCCTCATCCTCATCGTTCTCGTTGCTATTTTCAGCGTCGTTGCCGAAACCGGTATCGTGGAGATGTTGCTGGCCGACCTGCATGGATTCTAGCAGACAGACATCCTCTGGTTGAACCCACGATCGGATGGTGTCTTGGTCAGGGAGGACGGGATCCAGAGGTTTCCAATACTTGGTATCCTTGTCATGCTGTAGGAAATCCTTGACTTTTTGCCGATTCTGCATGTCGGTGGTACCAGGGATGTGTGCCGTGACATCAGAGATGGCAAGTCGCTCGTCAGAACTCTTTTTGAGAAGTCGGTAGACAAGCATCTTCATTCGGTTCTTAGCGACGGTGGTGACTTTGCGCGAATGAGGGCCAGGAATATCAACGGATGGGAATTGTTGTCCAGCAATGTAGAAGTTCTCGATGTTGCGTATGAAGTAACTCATGCCTCCCGAGCCGGTTGTACTGCGAATAACCAGGAAATCGGTCGACTTGGCTTGGTGCGGGAACAACGGGGCTCTATACATTGAGTTGGAGATCGCTGGGACAATCTCACCCGGGTCAACATGCCCGAAGATAGAGAAGGGACTTTTGTCCTGCGGCAGCAAGACGGCTGTCTCGCCAATTTCTGCCTTAGGGCGAGTGGGGTCTTCTGGGTTCTTCCTTCGGTAGTAGTTGATGAATCGGTTGCACATGCCAAAGTTGGAGAGCACCATGGGAACCTCCTCAGAATATTCCACCAAGAGTACGCTGGAGTTATCGGCCAGTGAGAGTGCTTTGGTTGAGTCAAACAAAGCCTTGGCGTCCTTGCCCTTGAGATGCTTGCGTTTAACATGCGCGGGATTCTTGAACCAAGAGGTTTGACCACTTCGGAAATTCAAAGCAGGCCTGTGGAAAGACCGTGCTTCGGCCTTTTGCAGCTCAGTCTTATAGTAAGGCCATTGCAAGCGCAAGGCTGGCAAGGCATGCTCCAGAGTGACGTTACCAAGAGTACTCCGAATCTTGTTCTGGTGGTTCTGCTTTAGCATGTCGTATGCCTGATCATTCGAGATGTTATATCGTGAGGTGAGTTTGCGAGTTAGGTTTGTATCGACATCCTCCCTATTTCGCGGCCCAGTCTGTTTGGGCTTGGGCAGTACCGCATCTGGTCTCAACTCTTCCACAAGGATGTTGGGATCATTCATGTCAATAGTGATCCGTTTTGCGATTTGTGCAACCGCTTGCTCAGGTTCATCGAGGAGGGGAATATCAAGGTGGGATAGGGCAATAACGTCGATGGGAGTTGGGCCGGTCTTGCGCTTCTTCGATGGTGGATTTTCTTCCATCAGCCAATCCGCATCGTCGTCGAACAGGTCGGCAGATTCATTCGGGGCAGAATCGTTTAAGATAGGAGCGGCTTCTTCTTCTGTCGTCGTTGAGAGTTCATCTTTGACATCCCAGTCGACACAAATGGTCCGAAGATCTTGCATGGTGAAGCCTCCTGGGAGTATCTCATCCATATCGGCGTCACCCATGTCAAAGTCCTCCTTTTCCTCCTCCTCCTCCTCCCCCTCCTCTTCTTCCTGGGTGGCTTCTGTGATGACCACAATGCCCAAAGACTCATGGTCCAGAACGCGTTTATTCGACTGGCCGGTTCTGAACACGCGCTCCTGGTCAGGAGCTAGTTCGATATTGACTTTCGTAGGGAGAACCGGCTTGGGGGGCTTGAGAGGCTGTTTTCCAAGATAGAACGCTTTCTTGTGTGGGATGATCTCCAACCAACGAGGAAGGGTGTTGCGGTCGAAGCTGGGGAATAGGGAGTGCAGAAGTTCCTCGTGATTCTCCGGTGGCGCAGGTAGATGATCGGGCCCAGTCCTCCCGGACATCGCAAACAACTGTTGTTGGAGTTTCCATGCGCGCAGAGTCGCTTCATCCATTTCCTCCGAGCGAACACTAGCATCGTCCAGGATATCATCTTCGTCCACATCCTCGGTCATGGGCTGATCTTGGGCCTCCTTCACCGGCGGGATCGGTGGCAGCTCGACAGGCTGTGTTGTCAACGACGGTTCTTCATCTTCGAAGAGGTCCCGGGTATCATCCACCTGGCCAGCAGGAGGGGGAGAAAAAGGTCCTTCACCAAACAAATCATCGAGGTTGTCATCCTGAGGTTGTTCGCCTTCGCCAGTCCCGCCAAAGATATCGTCACTTGGTCCAAAAAGCCCGGCCTCGTCAGCTCCTAGGTCTGCGAAGAGGTCATCGGTCGCGTCGTTCCCAGCAGGTCGCCGCGCCGCATCCGGCTCTTCTTCATCGGGAAGTTCATCGTCTTCAAAGTCTTCGTAGTCGACCGCGTCTTCCGCCTTCTCGCCAACATCCAAATCTCGGCTGAGGAAGTCAAACTGCGGACCGCCTTCGTAGTTGTTCAGCTGGCGCATAACATTGTCAAACTCCGCATCTTCCGGGGCCTCTGGGGCCTGGTTCTGGGTGGCGTGAGGCATGTTGCAATCAGTGATGAGAAAGGTTGCTGTGAGGAGGCGCGAAGGACGGTGAGGGTAAGGCGCGGTTGAACGTCGAGTTTAAATGAGTGGGTGAGGCTGCCAGAGACTGGCGCAGGACGTTACTGAAGGTCGAGCGGGCAGGCAACAAGACAGACCAAGGTTTGCGCGCATCGAGTTGGCTATCCCGCTGACCAAAAGTGATGGAAAGTTATGTGCTGCCTCGGCGGCGCGACTAAAACGAGAGGAAGGGATGTGGTGAGTACCCAAAGAGGCTTAGCGGGGTACCAGACAAGCTGAAGCTCACTACTCCCCGCTCCACTTGGTCTTCCCTTTCTTTCCCCATCTCAAATCTCAATTATCAATTCTCAACTCTCATGTCCGAGTCCTCACCTCTCACTTTTGCCTCTGATTTCTACTTGTATTTTTTGTTGTATCCTTTTTCTCATATGGACTGACACGGAATGGTCTGTCTATATTCTCCTAATTTCATCTTGGAGTCGGCGATTATCGTACTAATTCGTACTACTGTCTCTATTTTGACCATGATATGTATGACAAAGCGCTATAACGGCACGAGACGGTGTTTGTTATACTTCCAGTGGTAAATATCTATCACCGATCACTAATATGAGACCTATCGTCGCAAATAATTACAAAAATGCCTATTCATACCTCGACCAAACTCGGCCCTAACATAGCCACCGATCATGAGGCTGATGGCACACCCCGACACTCAAAACCGTAACCCAGAGAACGCAAAGGCTCTTTCCGAGCGAATAATTCAACGAAATTCTCAATTTCTAATGTGCTGTATGTTGTTCTTCAGAGGCTATTGATCGCTCTGGATTCAAGGATCAAGAGGTCAGCATAAGTCGCAAAATACACTGACCTGATTAGGCAATTAGCTTCACAGCCTCGAGAGCTAGAAGAGATAGACGTTCCGAACAATTCATTTCATTATTGTTTTCATTAGGGTTGAGACATAAGCTAAGAGAAGGACCTGCCTATTAGTGTCCATTGAAGTCTCCGTAAAAGATACACAGCGCTTTGCTATGCCCATCCATACAATAATGCATCACCTCCGCCTTGCGACCTTCAGGCACGAATTTCGCCAGTTGTCTGACATCTGATGTCCGAGGCAAATACAAGGCAACGTGAGGAGTAAACAGTGAGTACTCCTTGTAAAGCTTCTCAAGTGAGTATGGTTCCATAGTCCGCAGGTTGAAGACCTCATCTGAGCGATATCCGGGGCCTAGTACCCATTGTGTCAGTGAAATACACCCATGACGTGAGAGAATGATGAAACTTACCACCCCAAGGTGGGCTTGCAAAGATCACACTGTAAGGTGCTAGGTCTTTCAACTGGTTCTTCAGGATCTCGAAACAGTCGCCCTCAAACCAGGTGATTTGATTTTCAACACCGTAGATCTTCGCATTGTGTTTGGCGCATTGGAGAACGACGGGATTCTTTTCAATGGCATAGATGCGCTTCCATTTGCCTGTCTTTGCGAAAGCGATGGTGTTGCCGCCTGCGCCGGCGAAGCAATCCACCAGAATAGGGCGCTCAGCCGGAGCGATTTCAGCAAGATGTGCTGCTATTTTACTGTTCACCACGTAAGCAATGCATGGACTACTTCAAGATGGAAAAGACATATAAAAGGAAGACACACTTGGCCACTGGTTCTGGGGTAACCCCAAACCAAGAATCATCCGTCAACCATACCCCATCGTCGTACTTGGAGAAGATGCGGTGCCGTTGATTCCAATAACTAAGTGACGGGTCAGCGCCGGTGTGTCCATCCAAGCGAGCTGTTTCAGGGCGCATACTTTTGAATATCCCAGGGAACTTCCTGAATACTTTCATAATGCTGCACCTCTGCTGGTGCCACCTCTTCATCCGCCATGTCGCAAAGTCCGGTGGAGATATAAATCGCAAGTCTTCGATAACGGACGCCAACCGATAAAGAAGCAAGATTTGTTTGCACTGTTTGCATCGACATCCGGCCAGCTCGCATGCCCGCATAGCTTCCCCAAGTATGACCTCGATATTGCACTTCCTATACAAACCAAGTCCACCGAAACACTGATCGAGAGCGTGATGTTTGGTGCGCTTAATCGATTTATCGGCCGGTTGGATGGCGAGCCCGTCCAGCAGCCTCGGAATGGTCCCAGCGACAACGCCTATGGGTTTCAAGTACTCCGCAACAAAGACACCGAGCTACCCTTGGAGCCGTGGTTCGACTTTATTGTAGGAATTAACGGCCATCCTATTGTATGTTGACGTACATCTTTGATTAACAACATACGCGTGGTGCTGATACCCTCTCACAGGAAGACCCAGACCCAAACCTCTTTGCGACAGAAGTGCGCAATTGCGCCGGCTCGAGCTTGACACTGGAAATATGGAGTGCCAAGGTACTTTGAGGCGATCCTGATCTCTCTCCATAGAACGGCGATTAACATTATTTTGCTCTGCGCAGGGCCAAAGAACGCATACCGTCACAGTTGCCGTACCGGCAACGACGCCCTCCCTCGGGCTCGCACTACAACTCGCCCCCCTTTCCTCCACCCAACACATCTGGCATATTCTCGGGATCCCATCGCCATTGAGCCCTGCCTATCGTGCCGGCCTACTGCCACATTCAGACTATATCATTGGCACGCCAAGTGGGACATTACGCGGGGAATCTGCTCTCGGGGAGCTGGTCGAGGACCACCTTGACCGCACTCTCATTCTGTGGGTATACAACAGTGAATTCGACGTCGTACGGGAGGTCGAGCTAGTCCCTACAAGAGGATGGGGCGGCGAAGGTGCTCTTGGAGCTGAACTGGGCTACGGCGCTTTGCATCGTCTACCTATCGGACTGGGCGAGGAAGTCGAAGGACCTGGGGAGGTGGTTTTTGAGACGCGCGAAGATGGATATCCCGCGCCAATCCCAAATTACAATGGCGCCTCGGCGACAACAGAACCCTCTGCGCACTACTTAGTCCCAGCAAATATGGTATCGCCTCCACCTCTTGCGTCTCAAACAAGAGTGACCTCGCCCCCGAGTGGGATATCGCCCGCGAGCAGACGGAGTGCAAAGGCGCGACATGGTGTCTCGCCTAACAGAGCGTTTGATGATTACTTTGCCGAAGGCGAGCAGAAGAGTCGGGAGGAGGACTTTGCGCCTTCGCGGAAGGGAACACCTCTACCTCCTCCTCCCAAACTTGGTGCTTCACCTTCCAATTCGGCCAGTCCAGCCCCGGTAACAGCCGAAGCAGCAGGGGATGCGGAGGCGGCGGAGGGAGAACCGGGCCTGGCACAAGAAGAATAATGATACAATCCTTGTCGAAGCTGGGTTGATGTAGTCTACATGAGTTCCACCATTATACCAATTACAATAGTCCCTCTGACCCAAACCAATAAACAATATTCTGACAAGTATTCAAAACACGTCTTCTTAAACCAAAGAATAATTTTTTGTCAAACAAAGGAGACGTCCGGGTTATATCATCGGATCTACGAGTTCTAAGCGTACATATGCAAAAGATGAAACTCCTCCCCGACCACCCAACGGTGACCGGAATCAAGCCGAGCAAATATAAAAAGTCTAGTGACCCTTGCTCACCAACTCCTCGAGCTTCTTCCGGGTCTCACCAATCTTGTCCTCCATCATCTGGCGGGCCATACCACTGTGCGCGATGCCAGTGTACCAGATGTGCTCCGCGCGCTCCCGAACCGCAAGGTGCTTCTCCGCAACGACAGGGAACTTCTTCTCATACTCCCACGCAAGATCCGAGACGTTCTTCATCGTCACGGGGAGGAGGGTGAAGGCAGCGACGGTACCGAAGGTAAGAGGGGACAGAGTGCGGAGGAAGATACCACGGTTGCGTGACACGATGGAGCCGGCCATGGCGGACACAATAACGTAGATACCGCCGGGAGTCAGTCGCTCGCCAGACTCGGGAGAAGGAGCCAGCGATGCAATGGTGTTGGTGAACGCGTTTTCGATGTGCAGAACTCGGGACAGGAAGTCGTTGAAGCTGTTCTCCGCGGCGAGGGAGTGGGAGTAGAGGAAAAGCCGGGCTTGCCGGATCTGAGCGGTCAGGATGTCTGTTGGGGTGGGCGAGGAAGAGGAGGATTGCGATGTGAGCAGAGAAATCGCCTTGGGAGCCGGGGCTGCGGGCTTGGAGATTTCCGGGATGTCGGATGGGAAGTCATCGTAGATAGGTTTGCGCTGTATTGGACAAGTAGTCGCAAGTCAGAAAAGGCTGTCTTCGAGTGGATATACCACAGACGAGCATATTTGGGTCATCTCACCTCGCGAGGCTCCTCAGCGAAAGCAGTCTGCTTGGGGTACAAGGCCAGGCCTCCTGCGAGGAGGGTGGCTGCGATCGGAGCCACAGCCCGCTGGTATCGAGTTAGTACACCATTGGCAGGTCAATTGCACCAGGAAGACCCGATATCAACTATCGGCGATCGAACATACCTGCTTCAACATCGGCCGGAACGACATCCTGGAGGTGTGGGGTGATGAAGCAGAGGGTTGATGGGTGAGGGTGAAGCAAAGTCGGGTTGGAGCCAAGAACGGGAATTCTTCGGCTCGGCGGAACCCAAGAAAACTCCCCGTCATTGCCCGTGTTCCCCTTCTCTCAACTCCGCATTCGCTACTCCAGGTTGTTGTGGATTTTTGTGCATTGGTGGCCTTGTTCTGTTTCAATACTATCTCTTTTCAATTATCTATACAGCTTCTACCATGCTCCGCCCTCTCGGGCGCCGGTCGTGGACGTGCCGCAAATGTCTTTCACGACGACAATTACGAGCCTTCGAAACCGCCGCGTCGCAAGCCCCCAGACTTAACGCCGACTACGTTCCAGCAGATAATCGCACTCCGAGAAAGAATGTCGACGATGAGACTTTACGCCGTGTGTTCGACTCGCAGCAGTTCTGGAAGGAGTTCTCATACAAGCGCAGCACAGCTTCCAAGCGGGCAGGGTTGGTTCAGAACCAATACTTGACAAGTCCAGATGGCTTCCGCACATTTGCCAATGTCTCGCTGCAGAAATGCCAGGCGATTGTGGCGAAGGTTTTGCAAGCGTCTACTTTGGACGAATATCGGGCCTTGGCACGGAATCTTGATCGGCTAAGCGACCTTTTGTGTCGTGTGATCGACCTTTCAGACTTCATTCGAACGATCCATTCCGATCCCCGGATCCAAGAAGCAGCGACGCAGGCGTACGCGCTCATGTTCGAGTACATGAATGTTCTTAACACGACTACAGGTCTTCATGACCAGTTGAGAAAGGCTATCGCGAATCCTGAGGTGACTTCGCACTGGACCGAGGCGGAGACAATCGTGGCACAGATTCTCATGAAGGATTTCACAAACTCGGCCATTCATATGCCGCCGAGCGAAAGGCAGAGATTCGTGAATCTGTCTAATGATATCAGCCAGGTCGGCTCAGATTTCTTTGGTGGCGCGGAGCCAGCCAAGTCTCAGGTGGTTTTCAATGCGAATAGCCTCCAAGGGTTGGACCCGTTGATGGTCCAGCGGATTAAGAAGTGGAATAATAAGGCCCCAGTGCCAACTGCGGGGATAGTCCCTCGGCTTGTGCTACGATCTGTACGAGATGAGTCCGTTCGGAAGGAAGTATATCTCGCGACTCGAACGTCCAGCTCTCGCCAAATTCACCGATTGGAGAAACTTTTGATGAAGAGATCCGAGCTGGCACAACTCTCGGGTTACAACAGCTTCGCCGATATGACTCTGAGCGATAAGATGGCCAAGACACCCGAGGCAGTCTCTAACTTCCTGACGTCACTGATCTCGAGCAACCGAGGGCTTGTTAGCGAAGAGCTGTCTCAGTTGCAGCAAATGAAGGGCAGCTCGCTGCAGCCATGGGATCATGCTTATTATGTCCACAAGCGTGTGATGGAGTACTCTCAGGCCCGCCGCTCGCGTGAGTTGAGCGCCGTCCCGGAGTTCTTCTCTCTAGGCACAGTCATCCAAGGTCTGTCCCGACTCTTCGATCGCCTCTACGGTGTCCGGCTGGTACCTCAGGAGGCAGCTCCTGGGGAGACCTGGCATCCAGATGTCCGCCGGTTGGATGTGGTCAACGAGGCCGAGCAGCATATTGCAGTTGTTTACTGTGATTTGTTCTCTCGACCGGGCAAGCACCCGAACCCTGCCCATTTTACCCTGCGCTGTTCGCGTGAGATATTAGCCGATGAGGTTGCGGAATGCGCTTCGATGGATCAGTCTGTTCACCCGAATGATGGAATGGCCACTGCAGTTGACCCGCAGACGAACACTCTGCGCCAACTGCCGACCATTGCTCTCGTGTGCGATTTCCAGGAACCCGTCACAAATGGATCTGGTCGGCCGACACTTCTGAGTGAGCAAAGCGTGCGCACCCTCTTCCACGAGATGGGTCACGCTGTTCATTCGATTCTGGGCCAGACTCCCCTCCAGTCAATTTCCGGCACTCGATGCTCGACCGACTTTGCCGAGCTTCCTTCCGTGCTGATGGAGAGCTTTGCTACTGCACCGGAAGTTCTTTCGCTCTACGCTCGGCACTGGAAGACCAATGAGCCTCTGTCAGAGAGCATGATGCGTAGCATGGAACAAGACCGCAATGCCCATGGATCGATCTACGGAGCCGTTGAGAATGAAGCGCAGATTCTCATGGCTCTAGTCGACCAGGCTTACCACTCGACCCCCTGTGATCAGGCAGCTAAGGGCATTGATACTACCGATATCTACCACAAGGTGTTCAATCAGTATTCCAGCCTGCCTGACCCGGATGATATCCGGCCCCGAACTTCCTGGCAAGGCTTTTTCGGCCACTTGTACGGCTATGGTGCTACATACTACAGCTATATCTTCGATCGGGCGATCGCCAACAAGATCTGGCAGGATGTCTTCCTATCTGGAAGAGCTGCCGTCGATCGCGCCGCAGGCGAACGATATAAGAACGAGGTCCTCCGCTGGGGAGGTGGCCGCACAGGCTGGCAGTGCGTTGCGGGCGTGTTGGGCGAGGATAACCCCTCCAATGCCAACGGCCGATTGGTCGAAGGCCGTGACGAAGCCATGCGTGAGGTTGGCCGCTGGGGCCTCGGGAGAGACGGGTTGTCTGGCTGAATCATTGCTGCAACCTGTAATTTTATAATGATATCCTATATATATCCAAGTCATCCTGTTGAAATACTGTATTTGACAGTCGCAGTTCACTTTCATGGAGTGCAGTACATGCCTAATTGCATGGGTCAGATCTGACCCCAGGCTGACTAGTCCACCGTTTGTAGATCATCAAAGAAAACACCTTCTTGGCATCAGCAAGCCCGATCCTACCAGGACAGGCGAGGATGCGTTAGTAACCTGCTCTCTGCGTTGATATTGGACGACCTTGTCTCAGACCAGTCAAGTTATCAGTCAGGCTTCGTAGGTGGCGGTTGGCGGGGCGCGGTCATAGTGTCTCACTCCTCTTTGGAGTGTCTCACCAGGCGATAAGATCACCTGCACCTACGCGATTCAATTCTGAGATCTTCCAGTCAGCCATTGTTATCCTTGATCATACTAGCCCATAATTTGATGGGATGAGATACTATTGCTCAGAATTCTATATCGGATTTTACAATAGTTATAACTCTTCCGTTGCGCGCCCGTTTCCTGGGAAGACAGCAATAATTGTGCACGCTGCACGCCCTAGTCATATCGTGCAGGTGGCTTGCTGCAGTGGTACTCCTCCAAGGAATCAAAATGGCAAAAAGAGGAGTGCTCGCGAAGCTTGTGATCGCCTAGGTAAAGCACCGTTGCCTAGCCGCATCGCGGCAGGATCACATTCTTGTCCTTAATAAATCCCGGGTGTCGACCCTACTACTACTGTGTATCTTCCGACTCGGCCCTGTTCTACATATACTTCGGATTTGCGGATGGACCTGGAGGTTGCGTGCATGAATACCCTTTGTGCAAATATTGGGCCACGATGTGGGTATAGCTTGCTTTTCCTTTGAAAAATCTGGCTAGAAGTCTATTCCAGCCCCAGCTGACTTGGACCAAGTATGTCAGATACCCAGCTGGCATTCAAAGCAACCATTGACCTTCTGATATCCACAGGGATGGTCTGATTTGTCTACTTCCACTTTCTATGCTCCCACCGTCCTGGTTCACCTATCTACACACCGGCTCTCTCCAGATTCGAAGAGCAATCCTACAATATGCCTGAATTACCTGTTACTAGCGACGATAAGTCTATCCATTCCAGCAACACATCTTTCTCCACAGCCTATCAATCCATCCACCCCCACCCCTCGCCAACTTCGTCGGAAGAAGACAGTGACTCAACTGACGCGATGGGTTTCAAAAAGAATTTCGCGATCATCCATGACAGACACCGTTCGGGGGAATGAGCTTAGCGAGCAAAATCTCAAGGAGCTGATCAACACTATCAATGCGGAAACGGAGGACCCTGATTCAGAGAAAGAAAGCACAGATCCAGGCACTGCCTCTTTCGACAAGGAACGAAAGAGGACCTTCAGAACAATTGATGAGATTGTCGAGGAGAAAAGTCCAATATTGAACCCCGAGGTAGAACGGGAACTTCGCGTGCGTCGCTCCTATGCTGCTTTTTGCGAAGACTTCACATCGTCGGGTACTCTCGGTCCGAAGAGGAGATTTGAGATGAATATGGGAATGGACGGCCACATTGAAGAGACAGAGACTATGCCAGAATCATACTCAAGGTCTGGCGAAGCACTGTCCCTCGAGCACCGCCAAGGTCCTTTTCAAACATCGTCCGAACTATCGTCACAGATACCAGCTTTGGAGCCGGTCTCTTGCAGTCGGGAAAGGGGATCGAACGCTATAGATCAGCCCAAAACGGGTGTCGACAATGAGAAGGATAATCTTGAGGTTCAACCACCGTTCATAACTTGTCCTCGGCCGTCTTCTCTGATTATGACACCGTCTGTCTACGGAGAGATGCAACGCGCAACTCGAGAAAGAAAGCGAGCTCGAAAACAAAAGCTCCTGGGACCATTCCGTGCACTATTCTTTAAGGGGCACCCTTTGCACAGACAGAGGTATGACATGGACTAAATGAGAGAACAGGTCAAGGAATGATCTCGATGAATCTACTTCGCATTTTATATACCAATCACAGACATATTTAATTCAACTCCGACACACGTTCAAGAACAACAACAATAAACAAACACCAGAACGATCTGAAAGTAATTCAACCAAGAGCAAGTCCAAGGAGCGAATACCTCGGCATTGAGGCAGCCAAGATAAGCCAGTGAATGCATTCTGTTGAGAACAGTGAGGACTGTTGGGTGAACCATTGGCTAGCAGTCATTGACTCAGCGAATACGAGTTGGACATCACCGCTAACTTATAAGCCGATGACCCCACCAAATCAGTAGAACTCAAGATCGAATAAAAAATCTCATCTTTTATCGCAGTCGATAATATCACCTTGATAAGTTGGCAACATGGAGAACCTGCAAAGCTATGACGGTAGCTGCCACTGTGGCCAAGTCAAGTATACGGTGCGGATATCACCACCAATCTCGGAGCAGACTGTGATGCAATGCAACTGTAAGAACATGAAAAACATGGAAATATTTCTGGTATCTACTCAAGGACTAATAGACTCATTTTTTCCCAGGCTCGATCTGTCACATCAACGGCTATTTGATGGTTTACCCCAAGGTCGCTGATGTCACTTTCCACCACGCCGACGATGCCGTCAAGGTCTGCTGAACAGATGGATGTATAGGAGATATTACACTAACCATGAGCTCAGGAGTATCGTTTTGCGTCCAAAAATGTCCCGCACTACTTTTGCGCCAACTGTGGTACCAGTGTGTATGGTAAATCTGAAGTACCGGAGCAGCGACACATCATGGCTGTCAACGTAAGACCTCCACACCCTCAATAATGCTTGATTATCGGACTGCTAAATAGTAACTCACAGGTCCGAACTCTGGCTGGAATCGATCTCAAGACGCTGAAGATTCATGATCATGACGGAAGAGGTGACAGCAAAGTCTAAGTGAACTGTATGCCGAAATCAGAGGCAGGCCTAGGTAGTAAAAGTGACAGAGATTCCGCAAATTGAACACCATTGAAGATATAAATGTTTTAAAGTTCTTAAAATCTTTATTTTCCACTCTTGCACGCCTTTAAAGGCTGCCAAGCCTAGTGGCTGGTCTGGACGGGCCGACTAATTCGATTTATGTTTAGTCTGTACGCTGCCACTGTGTCCCATTAACGCAAAATTGTTGCAGGGGTAGCGAGAGTTTAATGAGCTAGTGGAAGTGGCTCCTCTTGCATCTTTCTTTCTAGCTTATGAGCATGATTTTGGCCTCGATGACGAATTGAGGGGTCTGGGGCGCAACAAGCGCGACTCGATGAGAGAACATATCAAATTCAAATACAATGCAGGTTGAAGGGGGAAAAATAAAAGGATAGAAGTTTCTGTCAATTGTCATTAATTTTCAAATAATTCATGTGAGTGAGGAAGTTTTCGAATTTGAATGTTTGTTTATGCAGACCCGAAGGTCCAAGTAAAGCCCAACCAACGTGGACGGTACTTGGGTACTTTGGCACATCTCCCATGGCTGAACTGTGGGAACAGATGTCGTGATGCATGAAACTACCTTGTATTGGCCTATGGGATAGTTTATTTAGAGCAGATAGCGCATTGATATGGCTAGTAATGCGAGAAAAGTGGGTGGTTGTTCCGTCCTTACCCCATATGACGTGCTTAAATCTGCGAATGAAGCAAGAAAACGGCAACCCAGTTGATATTTCACCCACGAGGGAGGGGAATTAGTATATATAGGCATGGAGAATTCTAGTCAAGTGGAAGATCTATAAGCATCCCTGGTGCAATTCTCGGTACCAGCAAGCATTCAGTCGTGCTCAAAATTTCTCTCTTGGACATTCCCTCCGCAAAGAATACCTGCTAAGGTCATACATTGCGTGTCTCTGGAGTAAAAATGACATCCTGGGATGATAAGGAGAAGACAGCCAATGCGGTTGCGCATTCAGCTTCAGGGTCGGACGACTATGTTATTCGAGAAGGAAGCACGGAATACACGGCAGCCGAAGGCTTGAACTCGTCTACAGTGACATATCAAGATGCAAGTGGCGCACCCGTGGAAACAACTTCGCCTCTGGGATACTCGGTTGATGTTATAGTCGGATTCTGTTTGAATATCAACCAAATGGTCGGAACTGGTATTTTCTCAACACGTAAGTGGACCATATCTTTTCGTATCCTGGTTCCAATCTAGCCCACTCTACTGACGCAACCCCAAGCGGCTACAATCCTCAAGGGCGTCGGATCCGTTGGACTTACTATGATATACTGGTTCATCGGATATTTGATAGCCCAGTGTAGTCAGGCTTTATACCTGGAGTACACGGCCTACTTCCCCAGCAGGTCTGGATCTGAAGTCGTCTACCTGGAACAGGCATACCTGAAACCAAAGTATCTCTTCCCGACGGTCTTTGCGATGAAGCATGTTATATTTTCCTTTGCCAGCAGCAATGCAGTCGTTTTTGCGGAATATGCATTCGCAATCGGTGGGGTGTCCTATACAAATTGGCAGTTGAAGGGAGTTGCCGTTGCGGTATACACGCTTGCATTGATTGGTTAGTGATCATTCCAGAGGCAATTTGGAGTTGACATGCTGAGAGATACAGTGGTTGCCGCAAACACCAAATGGTCATTGAGGTTTGTCGTTTGGTTTGGTGTTGTCAAGGTTCTGACCTTGCTGCTGTACGTTCGAAAAACCGGGTGATCCCATGATCAATTGCGCATGCTTATATTGTCTTGTCTAGAATTTCAATCGCCGGGCTTGTCGTCCTGGGTGGACATACCAAAGTGGCGGATCCCAAGATCAACTGGCGGAATCCATGGGAAGGCACATCAGACGCAAGTGCTTATGGAGCAACAAACGCCATGATCAAGCTGATCTTCTCCTATGCTGGCTATCAAAATGTCTTTGGTCTTGCCAATGAGATAAAGGTTCGAGACAAACTCTTTCCACAGACTCTCATTCGACGTGATACTAACGCCTATAACATAGAACCCCGTGAAAAAACTTCGCTGGAGTGCTCCGCTCTCACTCATCATCGTCACCATCCTATATATCCTGGTCAACGTCGCGTATTTCTCCGCCGCATCGAGGGAAGAAATCCTAGCGTCCAAGCAGATTGCAGCCAGCATCTTCTTCGAGAAAGTATTTGGTACAACCAAGGCTGCTCGTGGGTTGAGCGTTCTTATCTGCATCAGTGCATTCGGAAACTTGATCGCAGTGATGATAAATTACTCACGTATGCTTCGAGAAACGGGAAGGTAAACTGCTGGCTCCTAGTTCCCTTTATTGCTCTTTCTCCATGGCACACAATGAGCTGACCATTTCCCTAGACAAGGTCTGCTTCCATGGCCCAAGTTCTGGACCTCCACGAAACCCTTTGGAACCCCAATTGGCCCCTACACACTACAATGGGCACTCACAGTTATCATGATTATCGGACCCCCTGCTGGAGACGCGTTTAATTTCGGTTCGTACAACCTCAATCCCAGCACTCAAAAGACAATCTAACACCCACAATTAAAACAGTGGTCGACCTTGCCGTCTACCCATCCAACATCTTCAGCTTCCTAATCGCCATCGGCCTTTTACTTCTCCGACAACGTCGAAAGGCACTTGGCCTGCCACCGCCAGACTACAAAGCATGGGGTATCGCCGTGGGCTTCAGCCTCCTAGCAAATGCCTACATGCTCGTTGCACCTTGGTACCCACCCACCGGAGGCGCAGATGGTGGAGATGTCAGTTTCTGGTATGGAACGTATTTGGTGGTTAGCATCGGGTTGTAAGTGATCCTCATCCCCTCGCCTCGCTTTGGTCCATCATATTCTTTCAGCGGCTGATAAAGTACACAGGTTGTCGCTTTGTGGTATTTACTATTACTTCTGGATTTCCTTGATCCCCAAGTGGAAGGGATACGAGTATAGGCAGACTATAGTCAAGTACGATGATGGAGCTGTTACGCATAAGATTGTTAGGGTTCCGGAGGCGGATTTGGTCTCGTGGGATGAGCAACATGATGCTGCTGGACGCCTCCGCCATGAGGTAGCACACTAAGGCTTTGGTCATACAGTGGACGGCATGAGTACTTTTCGAATGGCTCGTTGGAAAGAAAGTTCTAGCGGCCATGCCGTATTCCTGAGATGCGATGAATATGTGTTTCAAATGGCAGTGGACACTCTATGATTACCTTCCTCATCAATTTTCTCACTCGCTGCCTTACTCCAGAAAAAGTTCCTTCTAGAAGACTAACAATGATATCCCGGTAGGCTGAGGTGGACCAAAAATGGCATTAAACAATATAAACGTATTAAACATGAACAAGCCAGGCAAAACCAGGCCAGACATAAACAAACAAGAGCAGGGAGGGTATCCTGGGTCCTATTACATATCACAAACGAAGCAACGACACGAAACGAGCGAAACAGGATCCAACAAAGGAAATTCATGCAACAACCCCAAGCACTAAAAAAGGGTGGCACACTGGCAAACACATGTCACTACCGAGCCGCGGGGACCTCTTCAAGTCGACCGCGGCTATTTTCAGAGTCAGGAGCCGATGCTGAGGTTTCGGGGTGCGGGGTCGACGAAGCGCTGGGAGGACTGGGTGTAGCTCGGCGAGAAAGTTGGGCCAGTTCACCGATAAGCCTGCATAGCGATGGTTAGTGGATGTACATTCCTCAGTATGCAAGGGGGATTAATCCAATAACGCGAATCGGGGACTAACCTGCGGTGCTCATCGTACCACTCATCGTTCGCGGAGCGGATGTGCTTAAGCTGTTCCTGAATGCTTGCCATCTACGGACGAGAGCAATTAGCTATTTTGTACGAAAATCTTTGTTTGGCCTCATCTTCAAGTAAATGGATGAAAATCGGGCAAATCCGAGGAGTAGGACTTCAAACGGGGATCTCCCACCGTTCCCTCAATGGATGAACCAAGGTCCTCACCTTCCGCTGCGGCTGGACCTCCCCCTACAGCTCCCTCACTGCCCTCATCTGCCGATGCCCATCGACTTGCAGCCAGACCGGAAGTGGTGCTCTTGTCGTTGTCAGCCTTCAGAGCGGCCAGCTCAGCCTCGAGCTCGCGTACGCGCTTGCGACTGGCGGAAATGTTATTGTCGACCTCGCCCAGTTGGTTAAGAAGTTGCATGTTCTTGTCGATCTGATCATTGAAGTCTTGCTCACCAGCAGCGAGCTTTTCCTCCATGGTCTTATTATAAACCCGGAGCTCCTCCAGCTCCTGGCAGGTGGCAGTGTGCTTTTCCTTCAGAGAGGTAATCTCCTGCTGAGAAAGAGCAAGCTCCTTCTGGATACCTTCCAGTTGGGACTGGCTACCGCTTGCCGCGGCAGTGGCGGACCGTTGAAGGTCCTCCACCTGGGCGACGGCCGCCTGGTGCTTGTCCGAGAGCGCAGCGTGCTCAGCCTGGATGCGTGAAAGCTCTGCAGTGTGTTTTTCCTGAAGCTCCCGCGAAGCGGTGGCTGCCGAATCCTGGACTGCAGCATGAGCCTCTACGGAATTGGCCAGTTTCTGCTCGAGTTCAGCGATGATAACCTTCAAGCTGTCAACAACAGAGGTATCCTGAGCGGCGGCATTGGCCTTGGCGAGCTGCTCGTTGACATTGGCAAGGACAGTATCGTGTGACTTCTGGAGTTCCTCAAGCTTGGCCTTGTTGGATGCTTCAAGTTCCTCCCTGAGGCCGGAGATCTTGGCCTCCTGCAGAGTGAGAAGTTCCTCGATGGCCTTCCCATGCTCAGCATCGGCATTGGCGGCCTTGGAAGCCTGGGAAGTCTCAAGCTCGGCTTGGAACTTGGCCTTGGTCTCCTCGAAACCCTTCTGGAGGTCGGCAATTTCCTTGACGTGAGTGTCCTTGTCAGCCAAGCTGGATGCTTGCAACGCCTCGAGCTCAGCCTGCAGCTTAGCCTTGGTCTGTTCAGATTGGTTCTGCAGTTCAGAGAGCTGGAGCTCTCGAGACTCGGTGTGAGAAGCGATCTCTGCAGTGTGGCGTTCCAGGGTAGACTTCAGCTCGGCCTGCAGAGACTCAACCTGGGAAGCATGGCTTGACTCCAGATCGCGATTCTTGGCGGAAAGCTCATCATGTTTCTGTTGAAGCTGACTCAATGCGCTGCTGTGAGATCCCGCAGCTTCCTGTTGAATGCGTTCAAGCTCAGCAGCGTGTCCAGCCTTCAGGGTCTCAAGATCCTGGGAGTGATTGTCAGAAGCAGTTTCGGCCAGAGACTTGTGCTCCTCGAGAAGGCGAGTTGCCTCAGCAGCCTTCTCCTCCAAGTCCTTCAGCTTGGCTTCCTGCTGCTTTAGCAGTGTCTCTTGCTGAACTTCTTTGGACTTGGCTTCGCTCTCGAGGTTCTTCAGGTTGTGGTACAACTGCTCAGCCTCGGCCTGCTTGCTTTGCATATCCTGCTGCAGGGCCTTGATCTCATTGGTGGTGGTCGACAACTGGGTTTCCAGGGTTTCAACCTTGTGATGAAGATCATCAATCTCATGGACGGCATCCTCCTGGGCAGAGGCCTTGCCCTCTTCCAGGGTGTGACGGGTTTCCTCGAGGGCCTTCTCCGAGGCCTCAAGCTTCTCCTGGAGAGAATTCAGCTCGACATCATGGGCGGTCTTAAGTTCAGAGATAGCACGGTTCTGTTCTTCCTGAGCGGCCGACTTGGCAGACTCGAGCGAATCGCGAAGCTCCTGAAGCTGCTGCGAGTGCTCAGAACCAGTCGATTCAGCAGCAGCCTTGGTAGCAGAGAGCTCTTCAGCATGGGAGGCCGACAGGGAGCTTAACGCAGTCTCATGCTCAGCCTTCAAGGTAGCGATCGCAGCTTCGTGAGTGGACTCGAGATCCTTCACCTGGGCAGCATGTTCGGTGGCAGCACCATCCCGCGACGACTCGAGCTCTCCTTGAAGCTTTTCCATGGCCTGCTTGAGCTCGGTGATTTCCTTGTCCTTCTCCGCAAGCGAAGTAGAGGTCTCTTCCGAGCTCTGATGAGTGGCAGACTCAGCTTCGGCAAGCTTGGCCTCGAGCGAGGCAATCTGGCTCCGCAACTCCTTGGCAGCCTCCTTCTCGGCGTTGATCTCTTCGTCCTTGGTGTCCGACAGTTTCTGAAGCGCAGCCTTGAGCTCATTCATGACCTGGTCGCCCCCTTGTATCTCTCTCCGAAGACTGTCGATAGCCATGGCCTTCTCTTCCTCCAAGGATGCCCTCTGAGCTTCGAGGTCGGCCTGGAGCGTGCTGATCTGCTCCTCGAACGAAGCCGTGGCAGCCTTGTGCTCTGCGACGTCCTTCTCATGGCCCTTCTCCAGCTCCTCTAGCTGAGCTTTAAGACTCTCATTCAGCTTAACTACCGCATCAAGCTCCTCCTCGCCCTTGGTGCTAGCAGGTTGCTTGGCCTCCTCAAGGTCTTTTTGGAACTTCTCTTCAAGATCCGTGCGTTGAGTCTCAGCCTCCTCCAGACGAGTCTGCAGAGATTGAAGCGCCTCAGCATGAGCCGAAGTCAGCTTCTCAAGCTCTGCAGCGTGCTCCGCACGAACAGATTCGGTTGCATCGCCATCCTTGGTGCTCTCCTCTCCTGCAATCGAGAGCTGGCTCAGCTTCTCGTTGACAGTATCGAGCTCTGCCCTCAGACTGGCGACAGTCTCTTCACTCTCTGAAAGCTTTGTTTGCAGCGCCTGCAGCTTCTCAGCGCTCTCGGAGCTTCGGGCAACGGTGCTACCCACAGTGCTCAGACGTTTCTTCGGGTCGGTAGCTGAGGAGGCCACACTCCGCGAGGCGGTAGTCGAAGAAGTCGGGCGAGTCGGTGTCCGGGTTGCGGTTGTTGAAGTAGTCGGTCGAGTAGTGGATGTGGTCGAGGATGTCAGCTTGCCCACAGGCTTGCTTGCGGAAGTAGAGGTAGCGGTTCGAGAGGTGGTGGAGGCGGCCGTCTTTCTCTCCAATGTAGAGCTAGCGACGCTGGATCGGCGATCAAGAGTCGAGGAAGACTTCAATGGGGCTCGGGTAGAAGCGGTGCCAGCAATCGACATGCGTTTGGCGGTCCCCGGGATACCACGCTTCTCGTCCCCGGAGCTGGCAACGGACCGAGGCTTCTCGTCAGCAGAGCTGCTGATCGACGGACGAGACCTATGAGAAGCAGTTGTAGAAGTGCTTAGCGGTCTGCGTGTAGCGGTGGTGCCGGTCGAGGGCCGGGTAGGGGGCTTGTTCAACGTGCTCGATGTAGTGCTCGTCCGAGTGGTTGAGCTTGCGGTCTTGGATGCGGTGGAGGACGAGGTAGGCCGTTTGGCCGCAGTTGTAGAGCTCGAGGTTGGACGCTTAGTTGCTGCCGCAGGACTGGTGGTGGACTTGGCTGGAGACGCCGGGGTGTTCTCCTTGGATGCCTCGGGGCTATATTTGCCAATATCCTCGCTTCCCGAAAGCACAGTCGAGTCCACGGGGGTGGCTGGCGGCGCCATCTCGACGTCGGCGTCGGAGTGAATAGGTGCAGGCTCTTCCGTCGACGCCATATTAATCAATGGGTGGGGAGGTTGTAGAGATCGCGTGAAATTGAGCCGAGGAAGTTGCGTAAACGGGAAGTTTCAAAATGTACAAAATCGGAGGCTAAGTGGGAAAGAAGCCGATTAGTATGTGTAGAAAAAGCAGAGTATAGCAATGAGCATCGCCAAATGAAATTGGCCAGCCAGGATACAACTGGCGACCAAGGTTAAACATCCCAAAGCTATACGGGGCAAGCAAGTCAAGCTCCGAAGCTTGCTATAATCACAAAGTCAAGGCCACGAACCACCGACAGCCATTGTTCTCCAAACAGAAGGATTGCAGGGAAGGGAATGCATGAGACAAGCTTCATTCAACAAGCAGAATGCTCAGAGTGAAGCATGTATAACAATGCAGGTAGAGGGGAGTCCATGGTACTCACTGGCGTAGATTTGATCTGGAAGCTTTCAGGGGTTTCGTCCGACGGAGAATATTAGGGTCGATTCTCAGTACGATCCTGACAATCGACCAGAAATTGCGACCGCCAGAAGAGAACCAAATACGATAGTCGCGAACTGCGCAAGGAAGACTTGACGAAAGGTTAGTTTGAAGGGAAAAAGGAGAAAGCGGGAAAAGTGAAAGCGGTGTCGATGGAGGAGGAGGAGGAGGAGGAGGAGGGGGGCGATCGTCACTGCTCCATGCGCTCGCGCTTGTCCCTTTTAGCTAACCATCTTGGGGGACCGAGGACCGTGCAGTGCGCTTTTTGATTCTGATGGATTAGGCATTCAAACATACCAGCGCATCTTGTTGGGTCTAGTTCTATCATGACGCTTCCACGTTGCAGCCATAGTGACTGGTCCTTGTTTCCTAAAAATGGTGCCCAACGACGGTGATATATTAGACTTTTGAACCCCAGATTTAGTTGACGCAGGAGTATCACGAAGAATGTTGCTAGAGATACAGCCATTCTTGATATCAAAAGTCTTATTCTACACGTTCTGGCGTCCACGAAAAAGCGTCTCCTGAACGAGATCCAACACGCGTGGCCCCTCTTTGTTGACCAAAACAATCGTATCCACGGTTCGCTCCATTCATGCCCGAGCCCGAACCGGCCGATCCGAACCATGCCCAACGAACCGAGAAGTGCAAAGGAGACAGGAGTAAGTCATCATGAGAAAGATTGTAAATGTCAATGGGAGCGCTAAAGGGTATACTATGCAACATGATACAAAAATAAACGCGTGAAAAAAAAAAAAAATACCCACGATATCCCCTCAACGCCTACAGATCATAATCCAACGGGCCCAGCTCGTCCAATTTGGCTTTCAGGTCCCGACAAGTTCGCCGTCGCAAGCGATGTCCATAATGACTCATGACCAAGGGAATCGGATCGCCATATTCTGTAGTGGAGTTAGTTTGACCGCACCAGGACTGACATCGAAGGGAGGAGACTTACCAGAAAATCGTCGAACCCCATCACGAAGGGCACGCTCTTCATCCAAAGACCATGGGCGCTGTGACGGGGGTATATCATAGTCTGCCACTTGCGTCCATTGCGTGAAGATGGTATCATCCTGGATATAAGACATATCACCCTGGGTGGCTCGTGGACGCTGACTGCTTGAAACCCGCCTTGAGGCTGCACTTGTATCTAGGTTGCCCATCCCAAGAGCCTTGATGATGCGCCTCAGAGGCAGAAGAATGACCCTCGACTTGGCTTTCGTCCCGCTTAAGTAGGAAGTCTGCGCGTAATTGAAGATCTGAGTGCAGCACCACATCAGCAATTCCAATATCCCTTCGTACTGTCCATAAGCTGGCGAGCCCAACGTCTGGTAAGCTCTGTAGCCGAACGTGACTAGAGTAATCAACGGGCCCACTACGTGTGCCTCAAATTGATTTAACAGCTGAGCACCTTCGCCAGTCTCTTCTGGTGCCTCCTCAGCTGCGTACTCGAAGATTCGCGTCGCTTCGATACGGACCGCCTCTCGGAGATTGCTAAGCTCCTTTCGGGTTTCTGAAGGCAAGGCGGAGGTGTTGATAATGTCGTAGTAAATCTGCCGCATTTCTGTAACCTCGGAGTTGGCCCCAGAAAGACACTCTGGCATGGGTTTGATCGCAACTGTTCGCAACACTCGTTTGCACCTGCGAAGAATTTCCCATAGGGGGCCCTGGGGAGATGACTCTATCTCCTGCGCAAGCCATCGACTCAGATCTTGTAATTCATTTTTACGGGGGCGCTCTTGATATGATGATTCGTTGACAGGATGGTCATCCGAACGCTGCTCATCGAAAGGCTCCTCCAAAGGCTCGTCGGCAATGGCAGGCTTAGGATCAACCGCTCCGAGTTGCTTGGCCCTTTGTTCCTCGCCCTCGGATTCTTCCCACGGGTGGTATTTCTCATTCTCGTCACTTTCTTCGTCTTCAAAGGTAGGCGATTCCGCGACGCTGGCATCATGGGTGTGTCCAGTTGTTTGGTCAACACGGCTCAGATTATCGATCAAGACTTCAACGTCGTCAGATTCGGGTTCTTTTTGATATGAAGTCGGCTGGTCGCCGATATTGGCAGCCCCATCGTCACTGGATCCATCAGGGACATCATCCGAATCATCCGGCCAGAGATTCACGCGATTAGGTAGAGGGTCATCGTCAACACCTTCCTCCTCGGCTTGTTCCTCCTCCTGACGCGCCTCCTCCTCTTCACTTTCCTCTTCTGGCTGCGAGTCACGATTCAGTCTGAGATCCTGTTCATTATTGGAACCATTTTGGGAATCCGGGTATTCATTCGCTTCCTCGGCTTCGGAAGATAACGACGCAGGAGGCTCGTCTTCAGGTATAGACTTAGGCTTAGGTGGTGAAAGGTCAAGAATTCGACTTCGTAATTGTCTCGTCAGCGGAGGTTCACTTTGAGCCGGGGGTGGTTTGCTTTTTTGGGGTGGTGTCACGGGGATGTCGAAGACGTCTGGTCTCGCGTTTCGCGGCGTAGTCCACGCGCGGTGAGTGGTATTGCGCCTCGATGGCGCGCTCGAGCCACTAATCTGATTGAAGAAATTGACAGAGTCAATGGTGGAATTGCGCAGCTTCCGCTTCTTGGAGGGCGCCATCCCTGCAAGAAGCAAGGCGCTTGTCAGCGGCCGCAGGAAAGCGTGTTGGCAAAGCGATGATGGTGGAGTGCAATTGAACGGAAGCTCGAGTGGAGATCTGCCACCCGCACGGCGTCATCCCGCCTTAGTTTAGGACCAGGTTCTTCCCCTCAGCCCACTCGCCTTCCACTCCCCGCATGCTTTTTTCAAATCGCAACCCCAATCAGCCAAAATGAATCCAGATGGGAGGGCGATCCGCGTCCTGGCAGTGCTGGATGCTTCGGAGCCACACACGTTCGTTGAACCCACGAAGAGGATCCATGAATCGCAAGACGTATCCGCCTTCCTCTCCTCCAAAGCTTATTCGGACATTATGACTTTCATACTGCAGCTAAATCGAGCAATGTTCCCTTCAAAACTCCCTGATGGCACTATACAAACCTGGCCGTTGGGCTCCGATGCCGTACAATTCTCCGCGCCTGTCCGTCAGTTACAACGACTGCTCTCGAAGCTTGAAGATATCGTACAAGAGGTCCCGCCACACACCGGACCTCGGAGATTTGGAAACATTAGTTTTCGGAAATGGCATGAGGTGTTGGCTAGTCGAGCGTCGGATTTACTCAGAGAATGCTTGCCGGCGGAGCTTTTGGACAAGCGCTCGTCCACGGGCCAGGGAGTGACTGCAGAAGCGGAGCTCAAGGCATACTTCCTCGGAAGTTGGGGCAGCGGACAGAGGCTGGATTATGGCACAGGTCATGAATTGAGCTTTTTGGCTTTCCTTGGTGCTATATGGAAACTACACGGGTTTCCGCAGTCTGAGTTTGGGGTAGAAGAGAGAGCGCTTGTGCTCGGGGTGATCGAGCCGTAAGTACCTGAAGACTGGGACCGAGATCTTCGCCTCTTCTAACAAGAATACTCAGGTATCTGGAGCTCGTCAGATTACTTATCAAGACATACACACTTGAGCCAGCAGGCTCTCATGGTGTCTGGGGCCTTGATGATCACTCCTTCATCCCATACGTGTTTGGCTCGGCTCAATTATCTCCAGCTATTGAAGACACCGATCTCACCCCAGAGGAAGGCTCGTTACCAGATGTACCGAACACAAATGCAGTTATGAAGTTGAACATTGTGGAACGTGAAAGGAGATCGAACCTCTACTTCTCGGCAATTGGGTTCATCTACGATGTGAAGAAGGGCCCATTCTGGGAGCACAGCCCGATGCTTTATGACATCTCTGGAATTCAAGCTGGCTGGGGTAAGATCAACAAAGTAAGTTTTCAATCTTTCCTCCGCGCTCTTCTTTCGTCGTTTCGAGGAAGTGTCTGATAATGACGACTCGCCAAGGGAATGATCAAAATGTACAACGCAGAGGTTTTGTCCAAATTCCCTGTGGTGCAGCATTTCCCCTTCGGATCCCTCTTCAGCTTCGACCGTGACCCTAATGCTGTCATGCCTCCAACCACTGTCCATACGACATCTGGCCCGCAAGGACGTCCTGTTGTACCAGATGCGGGCCCGCCATCATCTTCTACGGCGCGACCAAGCGCAGAACCCGGCACCAAAGCTCCTTGGGCCACAGCGGGCTCCAGCACTCGCGCGCCAACGGCAGCGCCGTGGGCAACCGGAAGATCAACCGAGCCATCAAGGGCACCTGCAACGCTCCCTGATACTTCGCGCCTACCACCAGGGCCGATGGCTCCTACCAGAGCTCCCTGGGCGGGCGCGCAGACTCAGTCGCCACCACCAGGGGGTGACGGGCCTACCAAAGCCCCTTGGGCTAAATGAATCAAGAGTGCACGAGTAAGAAAATGATACCCATTTAGATCAGGACATGAGTATAGTATTTGCAATGAACGCGCAGGGCCGCATGTCTTGAGATTCAAGATAGACCTAAACGCCTTCCCGGGGTATTAAAGTACTGTACAATGCGTAATGACCGAAGCTGTTACTCCGTGTCGGAATCATATCCCACCAATGTTGGGGTTTTTGATGCAGGTCTTGAATGTTCAACATCCTTTTCAAAGGAAACTTCACGTTCAACCAGGCCACTCTTTGTGTCCGTCGATTCCTTGGCCTCTGCGTTCGTCGGCTTCTCCAAAGTAGCTCGAGGTATCGCTGTTGTAGAAGAAGGCCTCTTTCTCTTAACACCTGGTTTCCAGATATCCTGCGAATCTCCCACATCTTTGAGAAAAGGATCCACTGCAGCGCGTGTGTTCCCCTTCAACTCTTTGCGCAGAGACGCCTTCCGCTGCTCAATAAGATCTGCTGTCCGTGTCCTTTGTGACCTCTTTCTGTCCTTATCCCGTCTCTCACCGTCCAAGGAGCTCTTTGAGTCCACCGTCTCAAACATAGGTCGAACCCGAGTTGCACGCGCAGCCTCCACTCCGACCGAGGACTGATCATCTCCAAAATCCACCATCCCAGCTCGCAAACGATCCTCCTCCGTCTCGTCAACCAGATCAATCCCCAAACTCATCTTCTCCTTTAAAGCCTCCCGATTCGCCTCCAATTTCTCCAACCCCTTCCGCTCCGCACGGAACGTGCGCCGCAACCGCCTCGATTTCTCATAAGGGTCCTCCCAATCCCGACTCTGTCGCTGCTGCAACTCCAAGATCCGACTAGACTCCGTCTGTGCGCGCCGCTTATCCTCTATCTTCCCCTCCAGCTTCGCAAACGGGTCTTTCTCCGCCGGATCCTGCGCGTGTCCGCGAATAAGGATCTCCCCAGGCTGCAGCTCCTTGTCTTCACCGGTATCTCGTTTCCTCCCTCCCTCCACCACAACGTAAGCCGTGTTCTTGGGGTCGGTGTGAATATCGATCCATCCTCCACATGCGGTGTGTTTCATGCGAAAGCTGTAGATGGGCGTTGAGTAGTAATTGCCGATTTTCTTTTTTTCGGCATTGAAGCGAACGCCTTGGCCGATGATTGTCTCGTTTGGTTTACAGGTTGTGCACCATACCGCGAAGGGCATCTCGAATCGGACGATTAGGGCGCCTGTTGTGTGGAGGTGGCGTGCACGCGCGCCGAGGGGATGTTTGCCGGCGAGCTTGTTTGCAGATGTGACGCCTTCTTGGTCCGGGGGACATATCTGGAAGTCGTGTCAGTTTGGGGGCTTGATCATGGAATCCCGGGGGTTTCTATAACGGACCGTCCCATATCTGGCAAACATGTTAGCTCTTGCTTCCGAGTAATCGCGGGGCGACGACTTACTAAATCCTTGCATCTTGAACGTTGATGGCCCTCGTGGCCCTGTCAAGTTGAAGAGGCAAGTCGCGCGCGGTTTGAAGGCGTATGAGAGGTCTGTGGAGGCTGCTAGTAGCCAGCTAGCTCCAGTTGGCTCAACAGCGACGGAGATGTCAAACCAAGGCTTCCAAAGGCGGTGGATTGAAGTGTGGCGGCCGGATTTAACGGACTTAAGAATGTTCTTAATCATCCTTTCAATGGTCCCGCCTGATCCCGCCTGAGGCCTTCCACGTTCGTTCTTTCTAATCGTTGAAGCAGCAACTTTCATTGTTGAATTCAACACAATGATGAATTGATCGCCATTTGGCTAAAACATGCAATCTATTTCAACAAAGCCCCGCCATTCGACTCAATAACCGATCCAGTTACAAACTCATCCTTCATCAGGTAGATATAGCTCTCCGCCAGGTCCTCCGGCCTGCCAACGGTCCCAGTCGTAGAACTATCCCGGAACATCTTCAACATGATCTCAAGTTGCTCTCCAGGAAACATGCTAAATAACTCCGTCTTGACGGCGCCTGGGTGCACCACGTTCACACGCACGGGCTTCAGATCCAAAGCAAGACCACGACCAAGACCTTCGACTGCGCAGCAGGAGCTTGTAACCACGGCCCAGCCTGGGGCTGGTTTCTGACCTCGCAGACCGCCAGTGATTGTAAAAGAGCTGGATGGCGAGTTCACGACGTACTTAGGAATGAACTTGGCCATCATGGCGGGCGCGATATAGCGGACGGTCATGCCGTTGTAGATTGCGTCGGGTGTGAGCTCAGCGAGCTTAGGAAGACTGAGACCATTACCTGCAGTTGTAGCGATGTGATTCAGTTTGACGGTACCCCCATCAGTAGCAGCTTCAAAGAGTTTTTCCAGGTTGGTGTCCAGATTGGCAGCATCGGAGAGGTCGCAAACGAGAGTGGTGATGGTCTGCTTCTCAAATTCAGCCGGGTAGGCCTCCTTGAGACGGGCAACGGTCTTGTCGAGCTTGGCTTGGTTGGAACTCGAGATTACTAGGTTGGCGCCGTGTTCGAAGGCGGCTTCAGCAACGGCGAAGCCGATTCCTGAGGTTCCTCCAAAAATCAGGACTCGCTGGTTGGCGAGTTTGTTGGTATACTTCGGCGCCATCGTGCCTCTCGGGTGTATCGCGATACAATGGACCAGAGAGAAGAGATTGGTAATTGAATAGCAATTCGCCACTCTGTCAACCCGGAAATCATACCAATTTATAGTGCAAATCCATTATTTGTGTGACGTACCCGGCTTCAACCGGAGATAAAATGCATGTGCAGAGCTATTAACTCCGGCCAGATCATCCCACGGAACAAGGCCCTCTATGCGCGCCGAACCCGTAACCTACCTTCTTGAATGGTCGAATTAATAATCTGTAGCATCATATTTTGAGATCATTTCTGTCTGCTCGCAGGAGTGACTCCCCCTCTCATCCGTTGCTCCATCGGGCCAACTCCCCAGGCTAACCTTGTCTCGTATCCGGTCGAAAGAACGGCCGTCTGGTCCCTCATGCATTCCGACCGTTTATGCATCTTGTGGGGTTAGTTGGCTGATTGTAGTGGGTATATTTGACGTATTTTTTTTTTTCGCAAAAATATGCAAGTTGAGAACGAGGGAAGGATGTATAGGGGTGCTTGTTTCCCTAAAAGATTCCACCAAGTACAGCCAAATAAAGCATAGATATATGAATGCCCAGGCATGTTAGGCATGATTATGCACCATAATATTGAAGAGTTGTTGTTCATGGACCTTGGCACCACAGAAATGCCCGAGTAGTGTTGAAGCACCTCCACACAATCGTGGTGATTTTGACTGCTTCAATGGCAGGGTTGAGCATCTTCGAGAATGCACCATACTTAACAAAATAGATTAGCACTACGTCTGGAAGCTCCATATTGACGTAAAATTTATTGATCTGGTACAAATTGCATAGCGGACCATAAGGTTCCGAGGATGGTTTGTGTACAGCATCCACATTTATGTCGCACCAACCCGGTGCCTAACACCGAGAAGCACACAACAGGAACAAATTAAGCCAATACAAACCAGACACTTATTCCCAAGGTCCAAAGCACTATCGGGGCAATCGATTGCCTTGTAATGGAGGCTCCGCCTGTCTTAATCGGCTGTTCGGCACCTCCAGCAGTAGATTTTGATGTAGGGTTCGATGCCCCAGTTGGTGGATATATCCCGTTGCATCCTCCCGAGCCAGTGGCCTTCTGATTCTCTCCTGCGCTGCATGTAGCTCGTCGAGGATCGACACACTCGGTAAGGAATCTGTCATTGAAAATCGTCGCCGAAGGGATAGCTTTGCTATTCAGATACACGTCGCACCGTGAAGTAGTCACAGCTTGACCACCGAGATCGGTACGAATGGTTGATACATAGGTTGTGACGTACGTTGCAAGGCTGGAATCCGTTGCCTGTGCGGTCAGAGTGTCAGGCAGGTCAACATCGACAGAATCAGTGTAAGTGAATGTAGTCTTCGTGCACGATGTTGGGTTGCTCAGGGTAACTGGGGCATAGTAATGGGTGGTAATAGTCGGACTCGCAGTGTTGGATTCCGCCGGTTTTCCGAAGAGGTAGAAGGCGCTGACAGGCAGGCCAGTGATATTTGGCAAAATGAAGTATTCCGTTGTGACGTTGATTATGCCAGAAGCTAGGTTGCCTCCTCCGGCATAGTCGGTGTTATAGTCAGTCGATGTGGATATTGGCTTGACGGTGAGAGGTTCGGTCGTCACAACTGGCGTGATGGATATTGTTGAGCCTCCCCACGCGAGAGGCAAGACTGTTTCGGTAGCGTAGTATGTGACAAGCCACGCTGCAGATGGCTGTGCACAGGCGAAAGAAAGAAAGAAAAATGGGGGAATGTGCATCTTGACAAGACGTTTTGAAGGCAAAATTGACTCAAGTCAGAGTAGCTCAACCTCTAAGTCAGTAAAACCATTTGGATAGGGGGTCCTGGTCGCTTTATTTGGTTTTAGGAACGGCAACACGGATGGCCGCCCAGATATCTTAGTACGAAGGAATACGAGGCCACGGACACAAGATGCAGGGATGATCACGGAGATACCTTGATCAACTTAGCGCCCTATAGAGATGTAGAAAGCTATATAATGTGCTGAAAGATAAAACGTGTCAAAGGCTTCCTTTGAGTGCCAAGGAGATGGAAGCCCAGACATACCCTGTGGGAAAGACATGATAAGTGGATTAATTCAAACTTTCGGCTCACTAAGAACTGAATCAATGATAATCCTCATTTAATTTACACGAGATCCAAAGACATGAGTTCTGATTTCGACGGCAAGCTGCGCACAAGATATCGATTTCCATTTGCGGCCTAACTACCTTGTACCAGCTTTGTTCCACGGCCGATCATTGAAAACGAGGCAAGTTATTGTCCCCATTATCCACAGACCTCAAGGCCATTTAAAGATTGGAGATACATCCTTGATCTGTGACAATCATACTATCAAAGATTTAAAATCAACTTCGTTCAAAAAGTCAGAGATGTTCTTTCTGCTTAAACGCCTGCTGGAATATCTGCGTTATGCAAACGTGTGGGTTTACCTTTTATCGATTCGCAATCAAAGGATCAAAACAGAAACAGATCAAGTCAATCTCATTGTGACATACGGTCTGGATGAAGCAATAGTTGAAACTTTGATGTCTATATTATTGCTACTACTCAGCTGTTTGCTATCTATACAAGCTGTTTTGCACTTGTTGGACGAAATCCCCCAGTGTGTCGATTACTGCGATGAATGCCTAAGGAACCAGCATCAAAATAACATAGATAACATATTGCAATATGCTATATCAGGTCGCAGCAGAGGTATACCACTCACAACGACAGCAGGATTTTCCGACGAACACTCAAGGACGAAAAGCCTTCCTGAGCTCGCGGCTTGTTCGGTCAGATCATGCTCAAGACATATATTGGAAGAGAATATCCGGAACAATTCTGCCAAGTGTGAAGTTTGTGGACAAGAGAACTGTATTCGGTGCAAGCAAAAAGCACACCAAGGTGATTCTGCGGATGAGAATAATGATTCCTCGGAATATGCGCGGAAGAATAACCGGCAACAATGTTCTCAGTGTGGAAGTTTGGCGACTAGATGCAACCATATGCAGTAAGTCGGTCGATAAATTTCAATTTATTTCAGAAGAGACTGACTATTCATATCTCAGATGTCGCTGTGGCTTCGAATTCTGCTATGCCTGCGGCGCAAAGTGGAAAACATGCCGTCGTAAAATATGAAGAAACAAAGTTAGAGCATGCGATGGACTACAAGCCTGTCAGTATTCGTACAAAGCCAAGCGATCTTTTATCATTGATCCTGACTCTGCAATTGAATTCTTTTACCTCATCTTGAAGATTTGCCAAGGTACGCTCAGGAAATTACACCTGACCGGTCGGCTCGCTCCTCATCTGCATGATCATGGTCCTTTCTATAATGAATCCGTTCAACAACCTCTGCCCAAAAAGACTGAGTTCCAAGAGCCCGGGGAATTGTTCAGTTCTCGTGAATTGCATAATTTTCATGATCATGGTAGCAATCTGTTCCATCCAGTCGTGGATAAGTTGAACCCCAAAAACAGCCGCCTATGACTGCAAAGCCCCCAGCACGAGGGCGAACTCCGATTAAATGCAGAACATTCTCGTAGTCCGACCGCTGGCGGATCTTTGATAGGTGTCTGCAAACACGTAAGCTCTACTTTCTCAGTAAACGCGGGCTCCTGAGCTAACCATCATTTACCATAGTACCTCCTCGTACGCCTTTATCCATCACTGCGAATTCTCTTCAAATAACCCTCACTTCAGATTCCAGGCATGCTTCAATTATCATTCCTGACACGCATTGGCGATTCAAGCGAAAAGCGTGAAAGTATTCTCCGTGCCATGATGGCTGGTCGAAGTGTCACGGCGCGAATCAAGTGGGTAAATCGCTTCAATGACTAGGGGCGTTATAGCTGGATTTATCGTATTCCATTTCTGGCCGATAATCGTGAAGTTGGTGTCTGGGTGGTGGTTTTGATTGATGACAAGGAAGAGGAAGTTGTCAGATGGAAAGGTAATTGGCCGCATGCTTGAATGGCATCGGGGGCTGTTATATCATTTTCGCTTTATACTGTATATATATCACTTCCTGTTTATTATCTTGGGAATTTGGGGGATATGACGATTTACACCGGCGAATCATTGGGAATATGACATCGAAAGGCGTTAGCAGACGAAGTTTAACCATTGGGCTCTTCAAGTGTAAAACTTCAATTCAAAAACAGCACATTCTGGATAAAAAACATGTCATGAGTTATCAACATTCTTTCGGAAATCTGGCATTTCGAACGGCAAAAATGAAACAGGGCAATCAAGACATCGAGACGTAGGATAATCTTCGACAAGAGCAAAAAGTTCGAGCATATATTGGTAGAGCAAAATTTGGAAGAAAAGTAGGAAAATGACGCACAGCATGTGTAAGTAGTGTGAATGGAAAAATAAAGAAGCAGGCGCTGATGCTGGATAGGCGAAAACAAGCACGCTTTAGATCCGGGTCAGGTATAAACATGATGATGCTCTATTATTCGTACTTAATCACGAAAGACGACTGCTTAGATCCATCGGAGTCGCTCATGATTGCTTCATGATCTTTGACCTTGGTGTTCTCAAAAATTCGCGCAACTTCTTCCAAAGACCTTCCTTGTGTCTCTGGGAAGAAAAAGAACACCACAGCTAGTACAATGACCAGACAGCCTACGTAGATGCAGAAGTATCTCCATCGAAGTGCTGAAAATGCCACCGGGTTCACATATTGGTTGAAAAAGCAAGCCAGTGAATCTGTTGTAAGTGTGACAGCAAGGCCTTTGGCACGAAGCTGGAATGGCAAGATTTCGGCTGGATATGCGATGAAAAGCGGCATGTATGCGAAGTCGTAGGCTGCACAGAACAGGAACAGCATTGGGACAACTGCAATGCCTGCTTCCAGAATGTTCATTTCAGCGAAAAGGCCCGCCATGGCGGTTGATGTCGAAAGGAATATCAGCATCAGTGTTGTGGCGCACAGCCAGAGAACTCGCCGTCCATATTTGTCTGAAGTGCTTGCTCCCACCACGGCAAATATCAAGTTCCAGAATTGAAGGCTGATGTTGACAGCAGCCTGATGTGTTGCATTTGTGATACCGACGGAGGCCAGGATTGGTGGTAGATAGTAGGAAGTGACGCCTTTCCAAGGGAAAATAAGGTTAGGTGATCGTCCAATGTCAAAAAAATTGTGGAGAATTAAAAAAATGCGATCTCATACCATTTCCAGTCCACTCTTGCATAAATCCCAGAAGAACGCAGATTGTGAAGCGGTGAATGTCTCCTTTTGATCTGAAAAAAGCACTCCATCGCGAGGCAGACTTTTGATCGGCTTCGGCGTGAATACTAGCACAGATCTGGTCATATTCGTCTTGAACCAACTTGTCATGTATGTCACCATTCGCATGGTATCGTGTAAGCATAGCAAGGGCTTCGCCTTGCCTGTTCTTCGAAACAAGCCATCTTGGACTTTCGGGGATCACACAGAGTGCCACGAGTTGCATTGACGGGTATAGAACTTGTAGCATGCATGGTACTCTCCAGGACCAGCTATTTCCAATGGACAAAGTGGAGAAAGTGATAGCAGCAGCGGTGATAGATCCACAAAACCAGACTGCATTATAGAGACCAGTGAGTGTTGGCCTTTGACTCGGGTGGGCCGTTTCCGTGATCAACAGTGGTGCTGCGGTTTGGGAGAAACCAACACCGATACCAGTCAGGATTCGAGCACCGAAGAAAACCCAGGGATGTTTGATAGAGACTTGTAGTATAGAGGCGAGTATACAAAGTGTCGCTCCGATGCTAACACATGTCCGGCGGCCCAATATATCGGCGACATAAGAAGCTGGAATAAAAGAAAGGAAGGCCCCAAGAGAGACAGAAGCGATAATGAGACCGGTTGAGTTAGAATCAAGGCCGCTTAGGAACTCGGTGACTGTTCCATGATGTGTTAGCATGGACCCAGACCTTGATCCCTTCCGAAATAAAAGCTCACTCACACTCTGGGAGCACGAGTAGACTGTTGATCTGACTGGCGTTGTATCCTGACGTGGCCGATGCAGATAGCATCAAAAAGATACCAAGATTAAGTCGCCGCAATCCATGGTTAGCGGTAGAAATTGGTGACATGATGCGGCCGTATAGCTAGCTGCTGAAATTTTAGGGAGCTCCAGGTGTCAGGCAAGCTCTATTTTATCTCGGATAATTATAAGCTCGCTGCATTCCTCATGAATCTAGTCTGCGCCGATACCTGCCGACTGTGGTCACGCTGGTTCATTATGTGGTTGGAATGTAGGGAGAATTTGCCAACCGGCGAATCATTAACGAACATGCACCGGGAGATCACTGTACCGAATAGTTAAGGTTTAAATATGCAAGGAAAAAGATAGCTTTCAGCTCCAATTCTGAAATAGATAGCCCTAGAGGGGGTTGGTGCTGATCAATTCTCCTATCATGGAGGGGGAGCAGATGCACCAACGTTGAACAGGGTGACGCAATCTACAGCACTTCACTGAAGCTCTGACCTCTTTATTTCATAAATTGAGGATTTGTGCTGTAGATAGCATAGTCAAGGAACTGATCATCGCCCAGATCCTCTGTGGTTCGTGCTTGATTTTCCGGCTTCCTTGAAGTCCCGGACTCTTGTACTTTGTCGAGTCCAGGTTTCCCCATAGCTTCCACCAAAGCTCCCCTATTTCTACATTTAGCTTGCTAGCTCAAGGGCTGAAAAATTCTTCCGCATTCCACTACGCATATCGCTTATGCCTGAAATTCGAAAACTACAGTAAATGAGGTGGTTGTACCGCCGCACCCGCCATACCCCTAGCACTTCGCCAGTGGTAGCTGACCTTTCGTGCCCTTTGGTCACTAGTGGAAGTGCATCACACCTGATCTATAAAAAAAGACCAACTGATGATTTCTTTGCAATAAAATATAAGAATGTTAGAGCCTATCAGCAAAGATTGAGGGCGCACATAAAAACAATCTTGATGTCACGAGGAAATGTTGGTTTATCTCTGGTCTGACTTTGCTTTTTAGAATGGAAAGTCTGGTTTATTGAAAGATATAATTGTATTTAGAGATGAGAATCCATGTAGCCTAGAAGAGCCATGTTTGTTCTCAAGATGGATGCATTTGTAGGTGGGTCGTTTACATCCCTGCTTTTCCGCTGCATATATATCCCCAATACGAGCGCCAGAGACGGAGCCCGCTAGTCTCTAGATGGATGGAACGCTGCCAAGGTTCTTCCTAAAGTTTTTTCGCTCACGATAACTCGTCTCTAATCCAATTGACTGATTGTTGATCCATATATTTCAGTTGCTCATAAAATCTGTCTGAACATGTCCCGAAGTATGTGCCTCTAGGGTTATTTTTGATCATGATCAGTTGATATCTAGGTATCTCTTTGCCTCAAAATTATCTCAGAAACCACCCTTGTATCTGAAATGGATTGAGTCACATGCACTGATCTCTTTTGTAAATGCTTTTTGACCCCTGCCATCGCTTCGAAACGCAGTTCCCGTCGCCCAACTCCCCGGACAGAGTTTAACACCAAATGGCCTCCACAATGTACTGTAGTAGTACTGTCTTCAGACGGCAAAGCGGACCGAAGAGCATTGATTCCACAAATATAGGAGTGATTGGTAAGCCTTGCATCGAGGGTGACACAAATTGATCTTTGAGTCATTATGGGTGTAGTTTTGGCTAGTGAAGGTACTACTCAGATCTACTTCGCTGTTATAATCACATCTGGGTCCCATTGGATTAGAGGTCTGACGAAACTCTCTGTCCAATAGTCCTCGTTGTCAAAGAATGACCCTAGTCCCAGGTCATTTCGATTGTGTTCTTCAATCTAGGGCTCAGTATCACTCAACTACAGTAGTGATAACTTAACTAGTTAAGTTAGCTACTGACCTTTAGTCATAGGGCAAGCGAATGACCTGTCTTTCCCTTGGCCAATCTATCCTCACTGAACACCTAGTATCCGGGCTAATTGGTCGGATCGCATATCCGGGTGCCGCTACTCCTGTGCTACAACTAACAAGGCCACTGACGATCTCACGTGTATGGGGCTCATTCGATCTCCAAATACTACTCGAGTGCGATCGACAGGCCTGGTGTGGTACTTTTTATTCTCACGCCATCGTTTGCCCTGCCTAGGGGCAGTCTTACCGGTGCTAATACAAAGGGCGAGGAATGCGGATTGAACTACCCGGTTTCCGTATTGGACCGGGATTTGCAACGGTAGCTAGCGACGATGATTATTGTATCCTGTGGCCATCAAAGCTGTGCCCTACGTCTATTGTGGAAACCGAATGAATTAAGGGTTGATAGTTCATGATACATCTTTTGAAAAATTATCTACAGTACAGTATGTACGTGCAGTTCATATTATTAATCCCATTCCTCGTGGATTTAGCCACGAGGTTTCGGAGAATCGGAGGTAACTATATTGGAATGGAGGGTGACATCACTGGAATTTGGGCTCAAGCTATCTGACCGGAGGGCTGCCCCCATTTAACAGGATTCTACTGCTAGATACACTTCTTGTGATGATAGTGGTGGCAATTGGACTGTATAACTTCCCTGTTTTCCTATCTCACGCAACGAATATTGCCGCGCGGCGTTTGAAGGTGTCTGTAGCCTAGTATCTCCTGATGTACTAAGATACAGGTATATGTGTACGAGATATTTACTCTGCGTCATGATTACCCTAAGCGATCCGTCTGACTTTCCCTGAAATCCAGCATCCGTCGACATTGCCCTCGTGCAGTCCGAACTGGACTTGAATCTCGGATGGCTTTCCCATAGCCCATCCCTGTCTCACGACAAGAGGCTTGGTAGTTCCAATTGACAAAATGCCATCATCTAGGAGGCCAAACGAAAGCGCCGCTGCTGCGATACCAGTTGCCGGATCCTCTGGATAACCAGCGGATTTGGGGAATTGTCGTGCTTCGACGATTTGATTTTCCGCATCGATCACTGCATAGGGATAGAGACCCGTGGAATTGATCTTTTCGCATATTTGAGAGACAGAGTTCGAATCAATCTTCAAGTTGTTGAGGATTCCTCGATCTTTCAAAGGGACCAACGTTTTTGTTCGAGATGTGCGAGCGTTCTGGACCTTATAGCCCGGTGCGAGCTCTTCTTGGGTGATTCCCAAGCAAGGCATGATTTCAAGAACATGCGCATCAGATATGTCCTCCACAGAGCCTGTGGGCTGGGACACGAAGACGCGAGGTTCTAATCCTGCACGATCGACCCGTGCTTCGACCATGCCGGATTTTGTCGAAATGGATATTCTTTCGGTCCGGGGTAATAATCCTAGCTGGTCCATGATCCAGACAGCACCGACAGTTGCGTGGCCGCACATTTCCATTTCGTAGTTTGGCACCCAATATCTCATCGTGAAGTCGGAACGAGATTCATTGTTGGTAGTGCCGGATAGGACAAATCCACATTCATGACCACTCTCTTTGGTAAGGGATTGCATCTCTTCCGAGCTCAAGTCGTCGGCGTTGAGGAAGATGCTGGTAGGATTGCCCCCATCTTTGGCATCTATGGAGTATGTAAATACTGACAGATAGTAGACACCAAGAGATGCCATTGGAAATACAGTTATTTCTCAGTATTCTGTGGTTCGAGAGGGAAATATTGAAAATCGAGGGACAAGGCTGACGGAATAGCTGCGGGGAACCTTGAACGTGAGTCAGGACATGTCTTGGCACCCAACGGTTAAGCTCAGAAATGGTGAACCCTTAGGAGCAACATCAAATCACCTTAAACACCACAAACAATTCCGGCTTTGATCTTGTATCTTGAACTTTTTCATCTGAAATCTAGGTTATCATTTGCACCATTTTTACTGGCCCTTCTCCTGGATGCTAGACTTGGCCATGAACCGCATCCAACCACACTCGCTCTAAGCCCAGATGACTAGATCATTGCAAACACCCTCCTCCGAGCAGTCACTGGGCTCATAATCATAACACCAAACCACGAATATAAGGGAATGACTTGCTGGCTTCATCGACGAAACCATGGTTGATCGAGACATCGCGGATTCACTGCTCCCACTCACACTCACGATGACCTCCGTCTACTCTTGAATCCATATCGCAATCCTCTCCAAAGCCTTAGAAGACCCTAGAGCACCTTCTCCCAGACAAAATATCCAAAGCCGGGTTTCATCTTGCCCATCAAGTCCTTAGCTCAAGGAGCTAGAATTCTCACCAGTAAATCACAGGCCATTTTGTCGTCAAGGCTAAACGTGAATCTGATGAAGATTTCTTGACTCATTTCATGCAGGAGAGCCGCAACAGCTCCTCTCCCCCATTGAAGAGGCAGAGATTTATTATGACGTGACATTTTGGAGGAATAAATAAGGCCTATGGCCCCGATTTCCTATAGTTTGCGGGGGAAGGCTGGGCATCGTATTCATGCATTCCGCATCAACGCTAATTGGGTGGGGAGCTGAACAGAGAAGCCTCGTGTGGAGAAGCGACAAGGCTGTGATGGCTGGTCTCATAACTAAATTTGAGTCTATTTGAGCGTCTGTGAAAAAGGGCGGGTGTCTATCTCGCTGTGAATTGACGACGAAACTGAAGGTTGATCGCCTTCCTTCACCGCGGATGGTTGACATGTTTGGCTTTTACCTCCTAGACTCTGAAATCTTGAGAAATGGTTGGTCTGTTAGTTACACACAAAGTGCGCAATTGTATGCTATTGAATTATATGAATGTCATGGCTGGATGGGTCGTAAACTATCGCACAAGAGTAGGAAGACGGAGAAAGGGAATGTATGTACAGTGTTCCCGAGAACTTATTTCTGAATGTCGATCGAGAGTTTAGGTACTGCGAAGGTGACGTTCTTGTCTGATGAGAACGCTTCAGTGCCGAACTGGAAGATACCCATATAGTCTGAGTTTGATGGGTAAATATCGCCAGTCAGAGCGTACAGGTCGGTGATGAGAGGGTAAATATCGCCGGTGAATTCCTCGGTTGTTTCGGTTGCTTTCCATGATAGAACGTTTTGCTTGGCCGCATTTGTTCCGGTGTAGAGTTCGCTGCAAGAACGAAATTAGTCCATGAACACTTCAAATTGAAACTGATGCTCCATCCACTCACAAGGTTGTCCCGTTTAGCGTCTTTGTCGTCACAGCGCCAGCGGAGAGACCGATTGGTTGAGCAGAGGCACCGAAATCAGCAAACCAGACCATGACTTCGTATTTAGCCAGAGCACTGTTTCCTGCATTGTTTTTGTCTGAGTCGAAGAACATATCGATGGCAACGTTGGTTTGAAGGTCGTCGGCTGTGAGGGAAGATGAGTCTGTTGAAGATGCGACGGTGTTGCCCACGCCATAGGTCCAGTGAAGGTCGAGGTCGACCTTGGTCATCTTGTCCAGCTCAATGGGCAAAACATCGTCCACCATGATATTAGGGAAAGCGTGCACAGGTTGGGTTGAGGGGCCAGGATCGAATTGCCAAGTGACGGAAAAGCCTGGCGCGGACTGGGTGGTCGCATAGGTTTCATTGTTGAAAGTCGTGACCTTGAGGGAACAAAATCCATTAGTTGTGGATTCGATCGCAATGACAAAAAGATCCATGAGATACTTACATTCATGCATAGCGCCCCGGAAGTTGTATCTGTCACGCCCCACTGATTGGGATTGACTATTCGCGATTGTTAGTTTTGAATCCGCCTGGGGTAGAATAAAATGCCGAGAAGACAGCTGCTGCGCCAACTCTGGCGCAACAATGCTAGTTTTGCAGGGCGAGACTAGAGGCGAACTTACGAGTATAGAGCTGGCCGTCCGATGGTGGTGAGATACCATAGGAATTCTGGCAATACTGGGTGTTAGTGACGCCGTTATTCGTCGTTGAGCCACTGCCGCCCGAACCGCCGCCCGTACTATCGCCTGAACCTGATCCGGTATTGGAATTGCCGTCGCTGGTGAAAAGTGGTGGTTGACCGTTCGCTGATCGGTGTGCATCAATACCTAGCAGTGTGCCGACCGAACCCCCGATCGGGATCGCTAAAAGGCCGGTGTTGACGAGTAATCGCAACGCCATGGTGTTGCGAATCCTGCCGAACGAGTGTAAAAAGAGCAAGATGGTAGAGATAAGAACACCGCCCACGGAAAATGAGTGTCGAGGTAGCGGAGTATAAAGAAATATGACGATGTATAACGAAGTATAGCGAGGGACGAGTAATAGAGGGAATATAGTAGATGGAGATTGGAGAAAGTTGACTAGGATAGGTGAAGATGCAGTCTCGACTACGGAGCAAGCCAAATCAGAATCGCCAAAAAGTGACCATAGTAACTGAGACCAACCAACTCATCCGACGGTTATCAGTCGAGTCCAGCGACAGGACCCAAGGCCGGGCCCTGAACCACGCCAATCAGCCCAATGGCGCAGGAAACCAGCGATCAAGTGGTCCGAGGCCCTTCCGCATACGGTTTAGCGGCAGGTACTACGGTCGGATCAGACGCTTGTGCCTGATAAGTGGACGAAAAAAGGTGGACAAAGTGGGCAAGTAGAACGCCACACTGCATCTTGCCCCCCTGCATAGTGTGACTCTAACGCCCTCCTAGCAGTGGGCTAGCAGTGGTGGGGGGTGTAAGAGTTTGCAAGGTGACCAGTCAGATGCGATAGACCGTTCGGACTAAGGATGGGCGATGCGCGCAAAGATTAGCCAAATCAAAAGTCTAAGTAAATACTGGACTGTATAATGTGTACATAACGAGTTACAGAGGACAAAAAGAAGCAATTTTGTGCCTCTTCGGCGGATATCCGGAAATAGCAGAAGAATTTCTTCAGTGCGAGCAATGATGGAGCATTACGGAGGACGCAAGCCCTAACGAAACACTGCCAATGATACTCGCTTGCCCCCATGTGAAAAACATGGAAAGCAATCCTTCCCAGGCCCTCGGCTGTCTCCAAAAGGGACATTTCTTTCTAAATTTAAAATTGCATGGTGGTGGGTCGAGGTGGAAACGAAAACACTTTGCACACAACGAAATTTTCTTTCTTTCCTTTCCCCCAATTTTTTTTCCCTTGTTTTAGTGTCTTAGTTTACCGTTTCCAACCTATACTAGATTGAGGATCACCCCATAGTTGGTCACTAGGGGCCAACCGCAGTACGACAACATAATCATCGGGGCCTGGTGTGAATGGCCGGGCAATGATGACGCAAGCGGAAGTGGCTGCGACACTGCAAATCAACAACGAATCGAACGGATAGATGGACTATTGCATCTTCTCCACGATCCATTGAATCAATTCTATTGATTCTACTGAATCTGTATCTCTCAAGTACTCCATAGTTACATTGTGCCATTGTACAATGGTCATGGGGCTCCCCATAGATTATCCTATCGCGGGTGTAAGGTGGGATTCTATTTATACGCTTGGCGCGGATGACGGAACGCCAGTCGGAGCAAATCACAGTCATTATACTCAACTCTCCACTCACGTTTTCAGGGTATGATGTATGATGTTTCTGTACGGAGAAGGGTTTTCCATACTGGAGATCTCCGAAATTTGTGTATGACTGAACTCGCGACAGGGTTTCGCCGATTGGCTTAGCAGCCACAGCCAGCACTTTCCCCCAAACCGGATGGCTTGCATGGGCTGGATGGGCTGGCCTAGATAACCATTTCGGACCAGCCACTCAGCTTCCTGCAGACCTGAGACCAGATCGTCCTCGATGGAGCCCGGCGATAAGTATGACAACGCGTAGCACTCGACAGTCTCTCCATTCATGAGCCTGGGTCCTTGGTACTTCTCGGTACTTCCCCTTTGGACGTGCAGTAGGTCATTGGCTAAGCCTCGCTGGTCCATCCACTCCTCATTATCCGTCCCTCAAACTGGCTTTCTTCTTTCATACACCTTACTTTTCCTCGACTTCCCAGCTTTGCAGCTCTCCGGGCTGATCACACTCGTTTGAAAACGTCGCGAGGCCAAGGAGATCGCGACATTCTACAGGCAATTGCTCTCTCCCTCTTCAAATTGCTGCAGTCAACTTCGTATTCTTTTTTTTTTCTCTACTTCTATTCTCGTCTCTTATCTACTCTGTACTATCTCTTTGTTCGAATCTCAGTCCTCACACGACTGCTGCCTAGTGTCTCAAGATGAACGGACACTATGGCGGGCAACCACATGCTGCTCAGTATAACGAGCACTATGTCACAAATCCATATACTCACGAAGAACCCGAAGAAATGGTCGAGTTGAATAGCCCTCGGGCTTATCGCAGCCCCGGAGGCTTCGATCACCAGGAAAATAACTTCAACTTTCAATTCCAAGAACAACCTTCTCCAAGGCCAGCTGTGATCCCATATAGACCGGGCCTGGGACACAACCCGCCTGACTATACTTCTTCGCCGGGTCTATTTCCCACACCTCGCACATCCTACGGCCCTGAATCGTTTGCGAATACTCTTTACGACTCTCGCTCGGCTTCTCCAACCTTGGTAAGAAATTCTTTAATCTAATTGAGTGCTTTGTACATATAAGAATGCACTATCTAACGAGTCCTCATATCAATCTACAGTACCACCATTCTCAACTTGAAAGCTCCGCTAGTCTCGGTCGTGCTCCTCTCGTGAGTGCTCCGGCATCACCAGGCTTCTCAAAGGATTGGGTTCAGTCGGGATCCATTGCTCGCATCAGTGATCGCGATGACATCGATATCTGGAAGGGCTGGAAGCGGATCGTATTCAAGTTCACCCCGCTACTTACCTTCGCCAATACCGGACTCTACTTGTTCTACCTGGCTCTGCGAATCTACTGTATCGTGTCTGCCCAGAATGCCGCGGGTGCCAGTTTTGCCGGAGCATGGGTGTTCGTCGCCATCGAGATTACCGTTATGATTCCCTCTCTCATGCACAACTGCTGGACTATGATGGCGATGAAAAAGCGAGGCCGGCCCAAGCTGCGATTGACTGGAAATGACTGCCCAACGGTTGATGTGTTCATTACCTGCTGTGGTGAGGATGACGAGGTTGTCCTCGATACTGTCCGTGGTGCCGTCGATCAGGACTATCCCTTCGAGCGATTCCGCGTGATTGTGCTCGACGATGGCAGATCCGCATCTCTGGAGGATTCCGTCAACAACCTGGCCATCACCCACCCGAATCTGTACTACATGGCCCGCGAGAAAATTCCCGGCAAACCTCACCACTTCAAAGCTGGTAATCTCAACTACGGTCTGGACCAGACACTCGCACTGCCCGGTGGAGCCGGCCAGTTCATGGCCGCTCTGGACGCGGACATGGTAAGTCAAAACAAACCCCCCTACCTGGACGCGAAACCTCGCGCAAGGGCTAGCCCCAGACCATGTGGTTTCTTAATCTAACGCACATCGCAGATCCCCGAACAACAGTGGCTGCGAGCCGTGCTCCCGCACCTGCTGGTGGATCCCAAGATGGCCCTTGCATGCCCACCCCAGCTTTTCTACAATACCCCTGCGTCGGATCCTCTGGCTCAGAGTCTGGACTTCTTCGTTCATGTGATCGAGCCGATCAAGGACGCGCTCGGTGTGGCCTGGTGTACCGGCTCTGGCTATGTTGTTCGACGCGAGGCTCTCGATCAGATTGGCAATTTCCCCCTCGGCTCGCTGGCTGAGGACGTCGCGACTTCGACTCTGATGCTTGGTAAGGGATGGAAGACTGCGTACATTCACGAGCCGTTGCAGTTTGGAACCGTGCCTGAGGATTATGGTGGTCACTTGAAACAGCGTACTCGTTGGGCTATCGGTACTGTGGACACAGCTTTCAAGCTAAAGTTCTGTCTGTGGGGTGATGCCGTCAAGAAGATGACCATCGCCCAGCGTTTCTCTGGTTTCTTGTATGCGACTCTGAGCTTGTACACTCTCCTGCTTACCGCATCCTTGTTCGCCATTCCCGTCATCCTCTTGTGGGGCAAGCAGCTTGTTGCATACGCAAATCAGGACCAGCTACACTGGTTGATCTGGGCTTGCTTCGCTTCGACCATCGCCAATCGCCTATGTGAATTTGCCCTCTTCATTCCTGCCGGCTATCACACCGGCCAGCGCGGCTCTCGCTATCAGCTCTGGATGTCCCCATACATCGCCCTCTGCATTGTGCGCTCGTTCATGCTTCCATCCTGGCTTGGCGGCCAGGCCCAGGCCTTCAAACCAACCGGTTCGCTCGGCTCCGCGCTCAACGAGCGTGACCCCAAGCTACGAAAGAACCTATTCGTCCGTCTCCGCGTGATTCTCTTCAACTTCATGGCTCTCTTCCACTTCGCCTTCGTCTACGTCACCCTAGTAGCAGTCGTCATCTCCACATACCGCTGCTTCGCGGTGGAAAAAAGCTTCAAGGGAGTCGTTATCTGCCTGGTTACACACGCCTTCTGGCCGCCTCTCACTTTCCTTTTCATCTGCACTTCGCTGTGGACGCCTGTATCGTATGGGATCGATCCGCCATCGATGCCGGAGCGTGAGGAGTTGTTGTCGCGGGATCCGAAGACGGGCGTTGCTCATCCGACGAAGAGGAGTAAGAAGATTGCATTTGGTGGGCAGGCTGCATGGTTTGAATTGGAGTATACGGTTGCCACTGTGGCCACTATTTTGATTTTTGTGTACTCCTTTTTCTTTTAGAGGTTGTTATATACATAACGCATTACGAGTCAATATGCTCAGGTTTTTTTTTCTTACGAGTGCTTCTATGAAATCTGGAAAGACATAAATATAGCCTCGAATGGACGATATTTAGACTTGTACGGATATGCTCTTCTGATTGTCTAGGTGCTGCCAAGAATCTGGGGCTGCAATAACGCGACTCGAGCGCGTCACGTAAACACGACCGCAGGCCAGCTGTGATACTCTCACAAGCGATTGCAATCTCACAACACGCAAATATGTCAATAATCCCATCATTTTTGCGGCCGGATTTTACATGGCCTCGACCAATAAAACCCTCAATTAGCAACACAACCCCTAGAGTACCGAGTTTACCTAACAAGCACCAACGAAGTGCATGGGGCTTGGTACACCAGGCTTTATATTACATATCCAGATGGTATTGTGCCTGTTTCAGCATACCATTCGATGCCAACATCATACAACTTCCTTTTGGACTTGTCCTGAAATGGACAGACCGAACATGCCTCGAGGAAGCTGCCGCAATGCAGATGGCTCGAGCTGCTGGGATGCCGGTTCCCAAGCGCCTTTCTTGTGGAGAACACCCGAATAACCCCTACATCGCTTTTTCTCAATATTGATGAAACGACTACCTGGCTATCCACTTGAAAATTCAACGGACTCTCTAGTCGTCGAAGCGGAGGAACCCTGGCTCTTTGAATTGAATGATTGTATTATCGCTATGCGTGAATGGACTGCGCCTTGCTCTAAGAGAATTTGCTCTGTTATTGGAACCTCAATACGAAGGACACGAGTACCCGATCACAATATGGGCCCGTTTGAGGAGGAGAATGAGCTTCATGATTTCCTTCTGAGCCCAGCTTCATGGCATGGCTTTGATACGACTGCTGAATATGTCATGGCTCTGGCGCGAGCGAATGAAATTCGCAAGTACCCCCATCGAATAACTTTCACTTATGGCGATCTCAAAGCGCATAATATTCTCGTTGGTGATGATGGACATCTTTCGGGGTTTCTTGATTGGGAGTCTGCTGGATGGTATCCCGAGTATTGGGATTTTACTACTGCGATGAGATTTGGACGGGATAGTTGGTGGTATCAAGTGGCATCATGGCTCGGGGGTGATCAGTACAGCCGAAAGCTGAGTTGTGATATTGCCTTGAATTCTTTGACCATTGATTCATACATCGCTTTTTAGAAGAGTGTTATGACACTGAGACTACCCTGAGAATACAAACCTCAAGCTTCCTCTTCCTCCTTTTGCCCGGTCTTCTGCTTCTTCTTTTTCGGCTCCTCCCCACCCCCGTTCTCCTCAAACAACTTCTTCCACGATCCATCCAAAACCTGCTCATCGTTCCCGTGCAATCTCACATCATACGCGCGCTTCATATTATCCAGACAAATTTGCCTCTGCTTATCAAAATCAAACATCGGCTTCGGATATGTCGTGCCATCGACGGCATTGTCGTCATTGGTAACCCTACATCCCCACTTTTTCTGGTCTGCGATTGGCGCCTTCCAAGGCTCATAGATGAACTTCTTGTCAAAATTGGCCAACTCGGGTACATAGCGGCGAATAAAGTCGCCATTGGGGTCCCACTTCTTCCCGAATGCTATAGGTGAGTAGCAGCGGTAGAATTGTGCGAAGAATGCTGTGCAGGATAGCCACATCCAGTTCCCCGCGTTCGAGGCTGTCTCGTCTATTTTGTATGGTTAGTATATGTAATAACTCTAGGACGCTTCGCCGTCCCGAAAAAGAAGCGGATGAAGTAGAGGTGTCTTACGATCAATCAACAGTTCCTCGAACACCTCAGCACCCCGTTCCCAGCTGACGTAGCAACCGCCGCGGGTCAAGAAACAGGCAACACTATGTCGGCCCAGATGGTGAATCCAGCCCTCTGATCTTAGCTGGCGCATCAGTGCGTCAATCCAGGGGAAACCTGTTCGACCTATCTTCCAACTTTGAAACCACTCTTCAGCCTCAAGGGAGTCAATTTCATAGTCGCGCGCAGGCAGGTCCCCGTCATCATCTTCCATTGCATCCTCGTCATTCCGAGAAGACTGAAGAGGCTTCGACTGCAAGTGCCAATCGATAACACGAGCGACTTTGTTGCCGTGTGTGCGTGCAAAAGGTGCACCGATCGCTGCTTGCGCTGCGAAATACATATCACGGAAGAGTAGTTGCCCGGGCAGATTGACCGGGACGGACGCGTTGGTCTTCTTCGCTTTCCTGCGTTTTGTCATGATGTCTTGGACGTCCCACCAGTATTTTCGGATGGATAGGGAGCCAAAGTGCAAGTGTGGAGAAAGGAGAGTAGTAGATTGAGGTTCGAATGCAGCTGGAGAAGTCTTGGGCTTCTCGAATGTGCCGATGTACTCCTCGTCGGCGGTGTAGTCGGCCAGCATCTTCAATGCCACAGACTCGCCACCTCGGTGAGGAGTTGTCGCTAGAGATGGATCGATACCGATCTCCCCCATGGTCGGCACGCTAAAGTCGTTATTCGGCCCCATGATCTGCGTGTATTGTTTGTCTTTGGTTCCACGGTGAGCTGCATTCAGATCGGGCGTCGGGTCTGCGATCTCGTGCTCAATATCGCTAAGATCCATCCTGTCTTTCTCCCAGGGATCGGGGATGCTCTTCGGTGTTTCTACTGGCCGGTCTGGCTGTCCGTTATTGATCTTTTCAGCAGCCTTTTCTGTTTGAGTCATGCTCATAGTCGGTTTGCCCCCATTCTTCCGGACCAGGTCATCGGGATCGAAGAGATTCCGACCCATTCTTATAACAACCTCAATACCTGCTTCTTCGGCTAGCCGAACAACAGCTTCATCGCGTTCACGAGCATATGGGTCGGTATCTTTCTCGAAGACGAGGTGTGTGATCCCCCATTTCTTCCAAAGCTTGGGAAGGACAGTCTGAGGATCTTCGCGGACGAGCCAAAGCTTTTGCTTGGAATTAAGCTTGGTGTACGATTTGGACAGGTCATTTTGACATTCGAACAGGAATCTCCATCTGTTAGGTCCGACTCGAGCCCTATAGACGTAGTGGGGATCCCACGTCCAAACTGGAATAAAAGTTGATGGCTTCAATGCCAATGCAGCGTGCAGAGCTGGGGAATCATGTAGTCGAAGGTCAGTTCGATGCCAATATAAGACAATATTGTTGGAGGTAGAGCCAGACTTCATGTCGTAGTACTTGTCGATGAGGTTGAAGTCTAGGACTCGAAGTTTCTTGAAGAAGCCGACCGAGTGTCGATTTTTTATTCTGAAAGAAGGAATAAAAGAAGTACCCCTCCATAAAATGTTGTGGATGTTGTCCATCGGGGATTTTCGATCTCCAGAATGCATGACGTCAATCTCAATAGATCTCACGCAGGCTTTCAGCCCTCACCCCGCACCCTCTACCGTACAGTAGAGAAAGTAACGGTATAAAAGTGTCATGAGTGCAAGCTCCCATGTGTTGTAAGACTGAACGGGAATTAGCCTCTGTGCTGGAATATGAGCGCTTCGAGACGAATCTTGTCAGCCCCAGTTGGATCAGATCAGTTTGACCATCAAAGGATCTTCCCTTATCATCAATCACCAGGTGTATCCTTTACCTTAGATCGTACCTGAAGGTTTCCGGCTTCAAGCTATAGTATATATTCTATCAGATCCGAACTAGAGATAGCGCCGATGGCCACGTTGAGGCCGGTCTAGAATCTATGGGCTTGTGTAGACTCTGTAGAGTCGCGCAACCACCCGTCAACGGATAAAATCTCCGTGACTGGCGACGCTTGGGACTAAAGCATTCCCTGTCAGATTCTGAAATCTGGCCAATCACATTGTCTCGATTCATATGAGCATGGCCGCGCCCAAGTGCAAACCTTGCAGACGATTGGCCTGTCATAGCTGTGCATGAAGGAGACTGACTGTTAATCAAATCCATTTCGGGATCTGCGACAATAGGGTTGAGAGCATGAAACGGTGACCGGGGGCTAAAGAGTGGTCTTCGCCGATTTGCCAATGGAGACGATACAGGACTTATTAATACTGTTATTAGAAGTAAGGATCACTTACAAATATTCCCGAATTTTCATATCAGCGAGAGATGATTCTTCGAGATGGGGACCGTCTGGACTTCCTTCCCTCCAGCTATCTGCGGATAACACTACATCGTGTAGCTTGCGAATGATCCCATCGGCACTCGACTCTTCATTGGCAATCTAAACTAAATTTTACTTGTAGATGTTATCTGTCTTCAGTAGGAAACGTCGCATTGTATCTCGACTCCAGTGATCGTTGACCTAAAAATGTTACCTGGCGGATCAGATACTTGCACCTTTGGCCCCGATTTGGTTTCTTTTCATCCTTTTCACCACAATGTTAACCAACCATAGCTAGACCATAATTCATGAGCGACCCTCATCCCGATATTAGATCTAGATGGTTGTGGTTTCTTCAACGTCTGGTTGCGTCCTTCTGTTGTGCCTCAACCTCTGCGTGCAGACCGGATTACCTTGGAAGACATAGATCCACTATGTTGATGATGGTTTCTTTTCAATGTTATCTGATCAAACTTTGTCAAAGTTGCTCGCAAGAATTGATGATTTCATCACATGTTTCTTGGTGTCCTTGTAGTGGATAATAATGACTCGTCATACCTGAAACTTATTCCCGATTCCGTAGTTCATGGTTCAAACATGTTGTGAACACGAGCCTTCTGAGTCTTTGTATCAAGTCGACTAATCCGATTGAAGGAAATAAAGTACCATGACTCATGGCCTGCAAGTCCAAACGCCCACTAAACCCTGATCGTCTAGTCCAGGCGGGTGATTCGAAAAACTCCGGCGTGGTCCGGGCCCCACTCAACCACGATAAGGAAATCCACGCCGCGGGGTCTGGGTCTGGGGCCTGACGGAAAAAAAAAAAGTTTTTGGGGCCCCCGCTGTTTCTGTCTCTCCAGCGCACGACTAAAGAAGTGAAGCCTTTCCAGTGTTTATCAGGAAAATTGGTGTCGCGTGTCGTGTGGTGAAAGATGGCCTCTGGTATGGAAGTCATCGAGGCTGGGTCCCCGGCTCGGGGTAAACTGCGCATTGTCGCCATCATGACTGGACTCTCTGTAAGTCAAAAATCTCTTACGTTCTGCATATATAGTCTCTGCCAGTACTGATAAGATGAAAAATATAGCTGGCTATGCTTATTGCTGCATTGGATCAGACTATTGTGGCAACTGCTATTCCGACAATTGCGGCAAAGTTGCATTCTGCTGCGGGTTATACGTGGATTGGCGGTGCTTATTTGCTTGCAAATGCGGCTGGTGGTTGCATCTGGGCCAAGCTCTCGGACATCTGGGGTCGCAAATTGATCTTGTTGATTGCCGTCGCTTGGTTCTTTATTAGTTCAATTGTCTGCGCTGTTGCGGTTAACATGGAAATGTTAATTGCCGGTCGTGCGTTGCAGGTTAGTCGACGATTATGTGAAAAGAGCCTCTTGAAACAAGACATACTGACCATATACAGGGTGTTGCCGGAGGTGGACTTCTTCAACTCATCACCATCATTATCTCTGATCTCTTCAGTGTCCGGTATGTCATTCTTGTCAGTCCTATGTCTAGTCCGTACTAACACTTCTACAGTCATCGAAGCCTGTACCTTGGCCTGATGGAGTTCATGTGGGCCTTTGCTGGTGGAATTGGCCCTCTCCTCGGTGGTGCATTCTCCCAGTACGTTTCCTGGAGATGGAATTTCTGGATCAACGTCCCCGTCTCTGGAGTGACATTCATTCTATTGCTGTTCTTCTTGGATGTCCACAACCCAGAGACCAAGATCATGGATGGTGTCAAAGCCATCGATTGGTTTGGGAGCGTCTCTATTTTGGGATTCACCTTGATGCTTCTTCTGGGCCTTGACTTTGGCGGACAGACCTTCGCCTGGAGCTCGTCTCAGGTCATTTGTTTGATTGTATTCGGATCCTTCTGCTCTCTGCTGTTCATTTACAGTGAGAAGCGACTAGCAAAGTATCCACTCATGCCTCTCAACATCTTTTCTCGCCTTTCCAATATTGCCACTTTGGCAGTGGCCTTTGCGCATGGATTTGTGAGTTAACCGCACCCAATTCTGATGAAACTCAACTAACAATCTTATACAGGTATTCATTGCTGGCGAATACTACATGCCCCTCTACCTGCAATCAGTCAAAGAAGCATCCCCCATGCGCTCGGGAGTTTTAATCCTCCCCCTCCCCCTCGCTGAGGCCTTCTCCGGTATCGCCACAGGCGCAATCATCCACAAGACTGGCCGATACTTAGAACTCATCTGGGGCGGCCTGATTCTCATGCTCATCGGAAACGGCCTTTACATCCATCTCGGCGTGGACTCTTCCCTCGGCGAGATAGTCGGTTACCAGCTAATCAGCGGCATCGGTGCCGGATTCCTCTTCCAAACCCCTATCATCGCTATTCAAGCCATGGTCTCGCAAGATGAAACAGCAACCGCGACAGCTACTCTCGGATTCATCCGTAACATGGCCACCGCCTCGTCGATAGTCATCGGCGGTGTCGTTTTCCAGAACAGCATGGGCAAGAGGAAAGCTGGTCTTCTGGCGACGGGCATGTCGGAGGCTATGGCGGACCGGATGACGGGTGACTCCGCAGCCGCCAATATCGAGTATATCAGCCAGATTGACGATGCGGCGCAGCTTTTGGCTGTGAAGGAGGCATTTGCTTGGAGTTTGAGGAATATGTGGATTTTGTATACGTGCATGTCTGCTGTTGGTCTTTTCCTTTCCGCGTTTATTTTGAAGGCTCGGTTGAATAAGGAGCATGTGGAGACGGTGACTGGGTTGAATCAGGAGAAGAGGGCTGTTGTTCAAGAGGTGCAGCCCGCTGATGAATAGGCTCGAAGGTGGTCTATTTTCGTTGGTCTTTACTTCTGATCAATTTTGTTTAAAATGTAAATAAGAATAGCATTATATGCAGTGGGTTAGTATATACACAACCCAAAGAGAAAAAGGAAAAGCTCATCCAGCGTAGACATACAGGTAAAAGACCGGACTGGGACAGAATAATGAATACACGAAAATCAGAAGGAAAAGGAAAAGGTAAGGAATGCTCAAACTTCACTGCAACGAGCATCCCCCACCAACAACACAAAGAATGGGAGTATCAGCAACACTATTCCCAACCCAGACCTTAATTCCCTCCCCATTAACAGGTGCCTTCCAATCCTGCACCTCCACATCCCAAATACTAACATCCTTCCTCGTAATCTCCAACACCAAAGTCTCAGACTGACCAGGCTCAAGCGTCCCCGTCTTCTCAAACTGTCGTAACTGCAAGGACGGCGTATCAACACCCAAACTAGCCGGCAACTCCACATAAAGCTGGGCAACAGCCTTGCCCGGCCTTGAACCCGTATTCTTGACATCGACCTGCAGGGAAAATGCAACGTCGAAGAGAGCGGGGTTTCCACCCTGGCCACCACCTGCACGTGGCGCCGGCTGCGGGGTCGTGCTATAGCCATCCGGATAGGGGTAGTCGTCCGATGCACTTATTGATTCCGGGTTGTCGAGGTAGGGGTACAAGTACCGCCAGATGCGGGTGAAATGTGTAGAGGACCATGATACCTCTGAGGCTGCGGGGATAGAATCATTGTAGACGGGCGTTGGTCCTCGTGCTGGTGCGGTCGGGGGGTAGGCGGCATCGAGTGCAGTTACCACTGAAATGGAGGGGTTTGAGAAGTTGAATATTGTGTATGAGAGGCCGTGGCCGAAGGGATAGCGCGGGGTGATGTTGGCATTCAGGAAGTGCCGGTAATCCACGTACAAACCTTCGGTATAGGTATCCTGAATTTGGCCGAATGGCTGATTGATGATGCCCACGCTATCTGGGTAATCGGATTCACTGCGCGGAATGGTGTATGGCATGTGACCGCTAGGGCTATAGTCGCCAAAGAGTACATCGGCAAGGGAATTGCCAGCTTCCTGGCCTGGAAGGTGGGCGACAAGCACGGCTTTGACCGAGTCAAGATCGATCCATTCTTCCATGAGGATGGGACCGACGGTGTGAACCACTACGACGACTTGAGAGAACTTTTCTGCTGCCGCCTTAACGAGGTCATCTCCATTGTGCCAGGCATTCAATCCCGCCTCGGTACGATCACCCGGGTTACCCTCGACGGTGATGTAGTTCTCGCCCGAGTCGGCGTTGATAAAGACGACTGCGATGTCATTGGCAGAGGCGGTCACATCAGACGGGAATGAGTCGGTGATGTAGAACTCGGCATTCTGGGTCACGTTTGCGATACCTTCTTGGGGGTGATGAGATAGGGCAGCCTGGCAGTGCCGCTGCCCCAGCCCATAGTCAAGACACCTTTGTCGCAACCCATATCTGTGCAAGAATTGAGTCCGTCGGGGTTACCGCCTGCATCCGTGCCGAACACTTTCAATGAGGCATTCTTTCCAAGCGGGAGGATGTCATCTTCATTCTTCAGCAGAGTGATTGCCTCGCGAGCGACAGCGCGCGCAGTAATATTGTGGGTGCCCTGAACATTGACATATTGATTCACAACTCCTGTAGGAGAGAAGAGAGCCCCGGGATAAAGTGGACCAGTTTCATCCTCTGTGTTGGTGGAGAAATTAGGCAGAGGATAGTCTTCATCTTGGCCCATCTTGTACCAGGTAGCCACAATGCGAGTCACCTGTCTAGATTGTTAACATGGAGTTTGAACTCAGGAGGCTCGATCTGATCATCGTAATCTGCAGTGCTGCGCTCACGTACCATATCATTGAGTCTGTCAACTGGAACACTACCATTGAGAATCGAACGCGACAGCTCAGATCCCCAATAGCTATCGCCAAGCAATGGCACAGCACCATCACCAGGCATGCACATATCAAGACCAGACAACGCAGATCCCACGCCCGTGTAGTGGCCCAACCAATCAGTCATGACAAAACCCTGGAAACCCAACTCGTCTTTCAAGATACCATTGATAAGCTTACTATTCTGGCTACACGCAGAGCCATTAACCTGCAAAAAACCATCAGCCCAATCCTTCCAAACACTTCCGACAACTCAACTTACATCGTTATACGCAGTCATCAGAGCACCAACACCAGCACGAACACCATCAGCAAAAGGCCACAGATAAAGCTCATGAAGCGTGCGATCGTCAATATTAGAGGAATACCCCTTCGTAATCACACTGCTCATCCGATACATCTCCTGCTCATTTCCGATATAATGCTTAATCGTCGCGATAGCACCAGTACTCTGCATCCCCTTAATAGTAAGCGCACCACCAATACCCTGCAATGATGGATCTGCACCAAACCCTTCCCAAATCCGACCTCCCCTCGGCTTCCGCCCAAGCGGTCCAACAGCAGGACCGAGTTGGATATTAACACCCTTCCCTCGAGCTTCCTCGCCAATACCTACTCCCCGGGCGTACATCAGATCCTTGTTGAAGGTGGCGCCCACAGTTATACCCGGCGGGAACGCGGTGTTGTGATCTGAATTGCGAATTCCCAAGGGTGAGTCCTGTAAACAGAGATTCGGGATGCCGAACCGTGGCGCACTGCCGGTTTGTCCGACGCAGGGGCCCATGTAGAAGCCCGTTCCGGTCGTGAGGTTCACTTTCTCGGCGAGTGTCATGTTGGCGACTACCTGCTGTGCTTTTGTGTATGCTTCGGACCAGTCGGAGATCCAGCCGCCGTATGGCGTGGGGTAGTAGGGCGGCGACTCATAGCCTTCTGGGACTGAGTCGCGCTGATCTAGTTGAATCGCAGCGTTGCTTTGGGCGTCTGCAACTGGAGTAGCGGCTATGGATTGGGCAAGAAGAGGCACAAAAGCCAGACGCGTCCAGGGTGCCATGGCGTCCCGTGGGTGTTGTTTGGTATCGATCAAGGCACAGCAGGAGCAGCCACTACCCTAAGTTGTCCAACTCTGGAGAACGCAGAACGCAGAAATATGGGCTAATATGCACAGTCAAGATCGAATATGAACATCTTCACCCCTCGATGAAAGGAGGGGGAGGCTCGTTATAATGCCCACGTGCCATATTGAGAGTCTTCTGCAGACGATCCTGGAAGGAATGGATCGTCCACAGCGACCTCGCCCAGCACCCGTGATAACTTCGCTTGCATAACCGAGGGCGGATGAGCAGAGTGGACGCATGTCATAGGTGGAATCATATTTTGGTCTCGCGACACGTCCACGCCAAGCGGAAGAGCCAGTGGTGGTGGCAGCGACAAGGGCACTATGAACGACGATCTGCGCAGCACGGCCTATCCTTTCCGCAAATGGTCGGGCTGTCAGGGGTAGCCCCCGGTTTGTAGGAAAAAGAACTGGGCAGATATTGAATCAATAATATACTCTGTACGGAGGCCCATCCAAAAAGTATTGCGCAGTGCACGTACCACAATTAAATTACACCAACGTACTACATAGTATTATTTACCTACCCTCTTTATATTCGTTCCCCCCTTCCAATTCAATAATCTTCTTAATATGCGTCGGTATACGCTCAATCCAAGCCTGGGTCTTCTCCTGCGGGAGATCTCGCCAGGTTTGATTCCATATAGTAATTGCTTCCTGTCTAGAAGCGCATACCTTAGTAAAAGGAAGAAGCTTTAGTATAAGAATCATCTTTTAATAGCGATACTAGTCGATTCCGCCGTCTTAGATCCTTGTGAAAGCTTACTATTTTGCTTATTAAATTTCTATATAGCTTTTCTACTAGTAGGCTATCGACGAAGATTAATACGTCGTACGCTAGTCTTAAGCTCCTACTACCCGTGTAGTAAGATCCCAGGTCCGCGTCAACCAAGGGAATCATAGACCAATCAGCAAAAGGGCAAGGAAGGCAAGTCCCTAGGCCGAAAGGTCCACCAAGACTTCTGAATACAAGACTTCTGAATACTCAGAAGTCTTGTACGCGGTTTATATACCATGATCCGCTCCTGGGATCTCAGTAGGATAGGTTTAATCTCTCGATTAAGAGCTTTAATCTCTTGCTCTACTTAGCGCTTCTCTATAGTAGTTTTAGGGTACTAGTAGTGATAAGGACCTATTTTATCGTCGGAAAAGCAGCCCTAAAACATAAATTTTGACGTACCTTTCTAACGTTCGCGGATATAAGAGTGTAGAAATGCTTTATCCTTAGAACGCTAGATACGATAACTACTACGGCGGTGTAGAAGAATCACCGACGTCTTATTAGAGAATATTATATTCTTCTAATCTTCAAGAGTCTAGTACTCGTAGGCTAGACACTAAGCTAGACGCTTAGTACGTATCTTCTTCGTTAGTCTAGGCTTCCTCGTCGGCTTCGTTTTCCGTAAACTAGCCTTCCGTAGGATAGTCCAGATAGTAGATGACTGTTTTGCCATAGTAATGGTAGTAGTAGACTGGTAGGTAGTAGGCAGTAGTAGGTAAAGAAGATAAATCTGCTTAGGGGAAGATTGTGTGTATTCGCTTGGTATAACATTAGTAGTAATCTAATGGTGATACGTGGGCTGCGCAATCCTTTTTGGATGGACCTCCGTACAGTAGTTCCTCTAATCCCTGTTCGTGTAATCGGTACATCCCCGAGATTTACCCGGTCTCTACCCCATCAAGGACGAAAGCCGTTGTGGTCACGATCATCGGGTTTCCCATTCTAGAAAAGGCCGGCTCACTATTAAACTATTATTACGCTTACATGTGATCTCCCAGATTCATCCTCAGATCTTAGTGTACCGCAGGTACGGCTTAACCTCGCGAACCTCGCCAAACTTCTTCTTCGCGTCCGCAGTAGAAACGGAGGGAGGTACGATGACGTCGTCGCCAACCTGCCAGTCGATCGGGGTAGTCACGCCCTTCTTGTCACCGGTCTGAAGGGAGTCGATGACTCGGAGGACCTCGGAAGAGTTGCGACCAGTTGAGGCGGGGTACATCATGGTGAGGCGGATCTTTTTGCTGGGGTCGATAATAAAGACAGATCGGATGGTGAAGGCGATGCCCTTCTGGTCGATGTTATCCAGGTCCTGTTGGTCAACCATGTCGTATAGGAAGGCAACCTTGCGGTCGGCATCGGCGATAATGGGGAACTGCACGTCAGTCGAGGCGATCTCGTTGATATCCTTGATCCACTCGCCGTGGGAGCCGATGTCGTTGGCGCTCTAAGTATAATGGGAGGAAGGGAGCCGTTAGTCGCAGTCACGGTCGCAAATAACGCAACAGCAGTCAACTAACCAAGCCAATCATCTTCACACCACGCTTGTCAAACTCATTCTTCAACTTCGCAAAAGCACCCAGCTCGGTCGTGCAGACGGGAGTAAAGTCGGCGGGGTGGGAGAAGAGGATGGTCCAGCTGTCGCCGATGAACTCGTGAAAGTCAATCTCGCCCTTGGTGGTTAGGGCCTTGAAGTTGGGAGCTAAAGATTCAGTGCGGTTAACTCGTGATCAACTCTTCACTCGGGTTTTACGTCTGGTTGGGATGTTATTCCACACATACCAGTCGATCCGAGACGCAGGCGCGGCTGTTCCTGGGGAGCTGCGGCGAAGAACCGGCGGAAAGCAGGTTGGGCCCGTGGCAGCTGAACAGAGAGCTTTGCCCAAGGGGCAGCCTTGGGGGCAGCTTTCAAAGCTCGGAAAGCCATCTGAGGTGCAACCATTGAAGCCATGATGGGTGTGGAGGAGAGGATGTTGGGTCTCTTCCTCGGATGCTACTTGCTCTCGCTAGTGAACGACATCATCGCGGGGATTATCTCAGCAGATCACACCGTTGGGCTAGCCGGATCGGGTAATGAGCTCTCACATGGTCTTTCAGCTTTACTGGTTTCATTGTCATTAATTGATAGCATGAAACGATCTTGGTCAGTACAGTAGTATTTTCGAAATATTCATGTTGCTGTGGCTGTGACTGATCAGGAGTAGGGATGACGTCTTAATCATCCAACTACAAGGCCAATGGAAGAGCTTTCTTGGTTGTGCCGAAGAAATCAAAACAACAGCCTTTTGTCCACAAGAACCTACAGTTTGGAACCTGTCTTTTCGGCATTTCACTGGGCAATTGACATCGCTTTAAATGCCCAGTCTCGAGTCTCGGCGCGGTCTTATCTCCGTATCTTTCGAATGATTTATTGCGATTGGCTGTGTCGCGTCACCGTGTCTCAGCCATTGCCCCTCACGGTCCTTGGCTACCGATAGGCAGACACAGTTACAGATCACATCTGGCCACTTGCAACAGCCAAAATCTCCCCCTCCAGTCCAAATCGAACAGATGCAATAGCCGCGGTTGTATAATTTTCTCAGGTCCCTGCTTCTCTCTCGCAGTACTATACTAACTGGCTGTAGAATATCGACATGTCCATGGACCCAACACCCAGACTCCACCTTCAACAGGGTTTCATCGAATCCAGCATTTAGAGCGCTCAGCTCACCAATAGAGCCGCAGGCGGATTTGGAACCTGAACTCAAGTCAATATGCTTCTTCCATATTCTTGCTCGACTGGCTTGGGGCCACCAAAAATGCAATCAAGCCGATGTCTCAGTTGCAACACTCCCAATGAGTGCAGCCACCTCGTACCACCGTTTTCCGTCTTTTCCGTCGACACGGAGCTGTCACCGACACATGCAATAGCAGCAATGCATATACTCCGTCCTTTTGGACACGCACCCTGGATACTGTCGTTCTCGTGCGTGCCACAATTCCAATACGAGACTGTCCCAGTGTCCGAAACTCTCGAGGGCGTAGCCAATCTCAACTGGATACGATCTGCAGGGTCTCGCCACTCTGCTGTATCTATATCCACACGGTGGGTTGCGGGTCTTTTCAAATATCACCAGTGAGAACTCTACTCTCGAACTCGTGTCATCATTTGGTTTTAAATAGCAAAAAACCAAGGGGGACCTTATATATTTGCGATATTTCTTTGCTTTTTATCAGGCAGAGACCACATGTGTTCCGTACTTTATCTTCTCCGGGTCCATCCCTTCATTCCTATTCCTCCCCTTTCATTCCAAAGGGGGAGCGTCTATTGTTGCCCACCATGCCACGCTCCTCGTACTACATATTAGCTCTCCTGCTATCATCCATAGCCACCTTTCTCTGGTTCTCATCGGGCGTGAGAACCGCAACGACAACCCCAATCTTAACTCTCACATATGGCTCCGGCTCCGGCTCATGCACATGTCCACTCAATGACGCCGACCTCGAACCCAACACCACTCCCTCCTCGCCAGTATCCAATCCATCCCCCCTCCTCCCCCCTCAAGGCATCACGATAGCCACACCCGAACCTATCCCACTCCACTCCCAACCCGAACCACCTCAATCTCAACGATACTACCTCCCCTACACACCAACCCATCACCTCACCGGCCTCCCCTTCCCCTCCAAACTCTGGCAAAAAGTCGGGCCCAACGGCATCGACCAGGACCGCCAAAAAGACATCCACTCCTGGACAACAACAAACCCCTCCCTCCGCCATGAACTCCTCACAGACGGCAGCGCAGACCAATACGTCCGCGACCAATTCGCCAAATTCCCCGACATCATCCACGTTTACACTGACCTGGCCGTGCCGATCCTGAAAGCGGATTTCCTGCGGCAATTGATCTTGTACGCGGACGGGGGCGTGTGGAGCGATTTAGACGTAACATGCCATCAACCCATCGACTCGTGGATTCCGGCGAAATACAAGGACAAGGCGAATCTTGTTGTTGGGCTTGAATTTGATGGGAATCAGTTCGCTAGCTGGACTGTTATGGCGAAGCCGAGGGCGAATCATATTGCTGCCGCGATCGATTATATCATCGATACGCTGGAGTATGAAGCTGGGCTGGCTAATACGACAATTTCCGGACTTACCATGAAGACCATTAGTGATGTGGTGCTTGTGACGGGTCCGCAGGCGATGACGCGGGCGATCTTGCAGAGTATTTCTGTGGAGCTTGGGGAGAAGGTGGATGGGGGGAATGTGTCGAATTTGCAGGAGCCGGTGTTGTTGCATGATGTGTTGGTTTTGCCGAATGCGGCTTTTGCGGCTATGCAGGGTGGCTGGCCGAAGGATCAGGGGCCGTATTTGGTTGAGCATCATTATGCGGGGTCTTGGAAGAATGATCAGGGTGGGGAGAGTGGTGGTGGCAGTTCTGGTGCGCAGGATCAGGAAGAGAAAGAGAAAGAGAAAGAGAAAGAGAAGGCTGAGAGTGATGATGGAGCAGTCAAGACTGAGGTTCGGGAGGATGGGGATTCATGATCCTTTTGTTGGTTATTTCCTGAGGACGTGGAGGATTGCATAGTATTATGGTCATAGTCCTGGACAGTCATAGTCCTGGACATGCGGAGTTACGGCGTTTGGGGATACTGTACATTTATACATGGTATAATTAGCGCTCGAGAGACTGTCATATACTTCATTCCAAGTTGAAGGTCTCCATTGAAGGCCTAATCATTCGACAACGTTGTCAAAGTCAAAGTCTCGCATTGGCTGGATTGGTTACTCTATAATAGATCTCACGATCTACTAGGCAAGTAGAAGAGCTATCTAGGCTGAGCTCGTACACTCTGCCTGACATAGCTACAATTACGACTGCGCCTCAACATACCAAGTTAATGAACATCATGTAAATTTCTCTCTCAGACATGCTTATCCCGAGATATGCTATACCCAACATCCTTGAATGATCTCACTCTCCAGAGCGAGTGTATGAATATGTGGCCACGCAACCCACCATCCACGAACCACCAAACACCCCTCTCCTCTCTCAATCACCCCTCTGCCCAACCGAAACCCCAAACGAAGCCAACGCCAACGCCCGACGACAATGCTCCTCAAACTCGCCAATCAACCCCTCCGTCTTCCCCTTCGCCTCCTCCTCACTCCCCGCCTGACCCAGCACCACCATCGACTGCGGTACAAGCGCCCGCATCACGCCAGTAACCCACTTCGGCGCGATCGCGTATAAATGCTCCTTCCCCTCGGTAGTGTACGTTTCCCGGTGTACGTTGTTAAACCCACCTGTGCGGATTTCCTCGTAAACGGTTGGCGGGGCGAAGGGCCAGAGGTTAAGTTTGAGCATGGCGTCGATGACGGTGTTGCGCATGGTTGTTATGGCGGGGAGTTCGGGGTGGCCATTTGTGCAGAATGTGGTTGTGTCGACTTCCTCCCATTGGAGGTAGCCGGTTGGTTCTGGAGAGATAGAGGGTTAGCAGGGTTCTCGAGTAGATGGGTTTTGGGTAGGCAGTAGATGGATCATGGAGTACGTACTTAATAGGTCCCGTGCGTTCTTTAGAACAACTGTGTAGTCGCCTTGTTTCAGTCCGGCTGTTAGGAGCCGGATGTGTACGAGATCGTAGCGGCCGAGGTGCTCGGCTGGGTAGGGTTGTAATGCATCGTGAACGGAGAGTGCGATTCGTGTTTTTTCTGGGACTACGATTTCATGGCCGGTGGGAAACTGGGCGGGGGAGATGTCGAAGCCGTGAAGGTCGAGAGAGGATGGATTCGGGTGTTTTTGAGCGAAATCCTCTAGCCAGATTCTGTGGTGGGTGTTAGTTTTTTGTAAGGAAGTGTTGCTTTCCTCCGTGGATTCAGCATGTAGCAATGATTAATCGGTATTCTCGCGGCAACGCAAATATCTCCGTTAATCCGACGCAGACGCATCTTGCGGAAGAATGAAGAACCCCACCCCAAATCAACAACATACCCAGTGCCCGTGCCGAGGTCCGCGACCGCCGAAATTTGATCCCTCGGGATAGAAGGGTGCATCAATTCATCCCCGGAGATTGCCAGCAAGAAGCGATGCTGCTTGTTTAGTCTAGAGACAAGATATTAGCCTCTGGATCGACAGTCGCCCATGGCGTGCAGAAAAGTGGGCGTGGCGTAGATTGGATGCCCAAACTGTCGGGACTGGCCCCATCAAAACCCGGACCCAAGGGACTTGCCTGTGACAGGGGGAGAGCGGGCCGGCACGCTGTCAGAGCCTGTCACTGGGTGGAGAGGGAGGAGGAGGAGGAGGAGGAGGAGGAGGAGGAGGAGGAGGGAAAATTGCAAGATAGCATGGACATGTTGAGAAGTGGGAATAAGGGGAAAATGAGACCGGTGAATGGCGTCAGGTCCAGGGGAAATGAGGGGTGTGGTGTGGTGTGGTGTGTCGAGATGAGAACGCGGAGGGAAGAAACATACCGTTCGGTTTCAGCCTCATCCCGGCCTAAGAGGTAGATTTTATCGTCAGAGGCATGACTCCCCATGGTTGTGTTCGTGACGGGTAAGTGAATAGAAAAGGAAGCAGTTGAGAAAATCTAGGAGGAGATGAGGAGATGAGGAGACGGGGAGATGCCTGGAAATAATCAGAGGGGAATTGGAAATGATGAAAGAAAGATTTGCAAAACACTCATCCTCCCCCACCACACGCCAAACTCTATATACCGTCTACGCATCGTACTTTCTCCAAAGCCGACTGATCGGATTTTCCAGACCAGTGCTCAACTTCACGGCCGCAACCCCGGAAGAAATGTCCCGATAGGAATCCAATGTTCTTTGATCCAATTCGTCGGTGTTGGTGGGACAAATTGACCAGAGATCATAGGCCGGATCATTACCCTTTGACACTGCCAAGGACCCCCACCAAGGACCCCGTCAAAAAAAAGCAGGTCTACAGTGCGAACCGGCCATCTGATAGATCCACTTTGCTGACGTGGAGTTCGTGGGTTCGATCCTGAAGGACACTATGACCGCGGTCGTCCGCTTGACTACTGATCCGGGCCCAGGACATTCGAGTCCAACAAACACATGAACACATTACAAAGTTCTACACCGAAGGATGCCAGAATTGAAATCAACGGCTGTCAATATAAAACAGAGATCTAACCAGCTGGGAAGAGGGGGAGGGGTGGGGGGAATGGGGGTTGGCCTGAGAGAAATTAGCTTATCTCCGGTACATAGAACTGGTGGAGACCTCATGCGGGGAACCCAGTTCGGAACTCGAGACTAAGTACACATGGTGAGACAGGCAGGCGGGGTGGGGGGGGCTAGCTATGGGGGGAGCTATAGCGCCCGATAGACGCAGCCAGCCACCCAGATGAGTAGTTTCTATACAATTTGAACTGCCGGGATCATGAGATTGGGCAATGTCAAGTTTGATTGCTCAGCAATGATTTTCTGCGCTGGAGCCTCAACATTGAACGGGTGACTATGCGTACTAATTAATCTTTTAGAGCAGGAGCGATGTCTTTACCGACAGCGCTAGCTTGACCATGCTAAGACGCGGCCTTGTCACGTCCCACGTTGCGTATTCAGGGCGCTAACGCGAGAGCTAGATCAATAGTGCTCCGTGCAGACCAACAAGACTGGCAACTGAATAGGTATACGGAATTAATAAACTCGGTCTTTGGTCGTTCAGCCTTTTACTGTACAAAAGAAAACAGCCTTGAAGACCTGCCCCCCTGCTGGATTCCCGGACTTGTGGGCGATCTCTTTGACCTTTTTTCCTGTTTGCGCCCCTCTCCCTATATACATCACGCAATCATCTCTTAAATACTCTTTCACTCAGGTGAAATAATTCCAAAGGGGATACTCTCGTTTTCATTTGAAATTCATTGTTCATTATTTCCATGAATTCATAGTGCATAAATTCATGGCCGATTTATGACTCAGGCTACGAGTCTAGATTCTTCGGAGCTTAGACCAGTGGGAAAGCTAATCTTGGATTTCTCATCAAATATATCCTTGATAATAACGCAGGATGGTAGGTGTTAGAGCCCTAGGGTACCATGTACGTCGACACACCTCGCGGTAGAACATTGGGAGAGGCTTGGTAGGCACTTTAAGGTATCATCATAGAGGTGGCATAAAAAGCAGAAATCAGACTGTACTTGAAGTAGTTGATAAAAACACATTGAAATACAGAGTGACGGAGGCGCAGGAATATGCCAGAAATCTATATCAGTCAAAGGCAGACCGGTGGGCTAGAGGTTATTCGCCATTTGTCAGAGTGAGAGATTGCCTGCATCAAGGCTAGAATCGTGGTTTTCTATCTGAGAAAAAAACCTCGACAGCATGTAGGAGCAAGCATACGCTGATTGCATCGTTTCATGATAGCGGGACAAAGTTGTGGATGTCTATCTACGTCGCGTTCAAGAATGAAGAAAGCAGGTCCGGAGAATAAATCTGTCAATCTCTAGTGAATCTAGGAGATCTGGCTCTACTGAAGAAGAGGATGGAGAACAGGGAGCCACACGAAGGAAGCCAGGGCTTAAATAGACCATCAAAGCGGCAACTTACAGAGAATCATCAGGAAGAAGCCAGAAAGGTCCAGCAGAACAATGCCGATCGAAGACGAGGGACGAATCTCCATCAAAAATGTATACTTTTATCCGGGATGTCCAGACCGTTCTTTACACCTTCTTTTGATGCAGCAAGTACAGTAGTTTTCGAAATCAGTTAAACCTCCACACTCTTGCGACTTCATTCCCGGAAAATAAGTCCGTCATTTGTGAGCCCTGATTGGATCAGGTCATCCAGGCCCCATTTCAGACCGCTTTCCATAATAGGCTGTGTATTTTACAATACAATTATCGAACTGCGAGGGATGTATTTTACACGAAACTACCATACACACGCTACATCTGTGGCCCTTCTTTCCCTCCCCCGGTCACTCAACAACTTCCCTGAACATCGCAGTTATTAGTCTCCCAGTTTGGCCCCTTTTACTTCAAGGAGACATAGCTCCAGAAATCTCCCCTGCAAAGCTCGTTCTCATACGTGATATGATAGAGAGCCAGTCCTTCACCACATCAGAAACGGCGGAACAGGCTGAATGTACATAACAAGCTGTGCATAATCCCTCGAGTTAATGCGGTCCGCTCAATAATTGATTTAGTTTCTCAGTATATATTGGTCAAGGCGATTTAGAAGATGACTGTGTACGTATCCAAAACAGACTTTAAGAAGAAAACTGTCATCTTTTGTTCATTGCATCCCTCTCAAGAGCTCCCAGGGCCCTCAAATTTTCCAACTTTCCGGTCACGGCGACCCCAAGATGACCAATAAGTTCTTGCTTTTTCCACGGGGTCAACTTGGTCACATCGTATCCATCATCATACCCAGGAAAAACAGGCCTGGCGGATCCCATAGTCATCAGGAGACCATGCTCATAGCGAAGAGGAGTAACGCTCATATTCGGAAGCGGCGCCAACGTCCGCAGGTACCCCAACGGCGTCTCGCTCTCCAGTGTTACCGGCGGAAGGGCAGAGTCAAAACTAGCCTCTGAGTCTGCAATGGGAAGCATACTCGTTTTAAAGAACTTCAAGATGCCCATTGCCGTCCCACAAAGACTAGGTGAGACACTCCACCCCTGGCTCCAGGTGCTCTGACCTTTACACCGGCGTAAAATAATACCCATAATCGCCAGCGCACCAAAATACGCTGTTGTGTAATCGTTAATCACCATACCAGGCGGCCATTGCGGTCGCCCATCGTCGACTTCCTGGCCCATGAGATACATTAGCCCGCTCGACGCGCTACCCTGCATGTCAAAGCCGGGTTTCCACGCCCAGGGGCCAGAAGTCCCGTAGCAGCGAACGTGGCTGATAATCATACCCGGGTTGACTTTTCTGATCTCGTCGTCAGAAAAGCCGAACTTGCTGATTGCTCCTTCGCGGTAACTGTCGATCCAGACGTGGGCGCCGCGTACGAGTGTCCAAAGGCGAGCGCGGTCCGACTCTCGGTTGAGGTTCAGGCGGGTGGATGCGGTGCCTAGGTTTGCGTATGTATAGACGAACGCATGCTCAAAGCCGTGGGTAAACATCACTTGGAGAACTGAGGCTCCGTGTTCGGCAAGAGTTCGGCCGGTAGCTGGGCCGGCGATGGCATGGGTGATGGCGATGACTTTTAGGCCGGAAAGAGGACGTGAAGTGTTTCTAGGGAGACCAGCCTCTGAAGGTCTAGGACGATGAGTGTCATTATTGTTACCTGCCCATTCTTTCACAGGGACGATCGGGAGCTTTGCCATGTGCGAACCCTGTGGATGATTGGTCCAGGCTACTTCGGGCTGGCAGATCGCCATAGGCATATGAGCCTTGGCTGCTAGGGTTTCGAGATCTAGTTGCATGTCAGTATCGACATATCTGTCTGCAGTAGCTACACGTCAATCGGTTCACACACCAGAAGCATCCAATTTCTTCACGGCTTCCCTAACTCCGCTCTCCGTCATCGAACATTCCAGTAATGCGGTCCACTGATATGCTAAATCCACATACACAGCACTAAGGACTGCCCACTTCCCATCCCGTGTCTCGAAGATATTTCTCGAGAATGGGTTTCCAGCAACTACATCCAAGGTTATCTCTTGTCCATTGAGCGAAGGGGTCATACCAATATCAGGATCGATATAGTTATGGCCTCGACGAAGATCAATTTCAATAGTTTGCTGGTCGCCTCCGCGTGCTTCAAAGATTTGTGCGGCGGTGACTGCGCAGGCGAGCGCTGGAATTCCTCCGACAAGCGAGAGGCATATCTTTTCGCTCTTTGTTTGTTGTGGGGGTGGAATTGTGCCTGTGAATTTGACACCTGGACCGTTTCCGTCGGTGGGATGAGGGATATTGAAATCGTCTAGGATGTCGCTCAGAGCTTGGGCGGCAATACCATGGGATTGATGAGAGTGAATATTTGCCATCTTAGTAGATTCAGTGAAACGATATAAAAAAGGCTCTTGTGTTCTAAAGAACAAGCATTCAAGCAGAGATATGGAAATACAGCGCTCCTATATAACCAAAATATTGCGATAGGTTGTTATTGTATGGAGTGGATGTAGGCGGATATAGAAGATATAGAATGCGGATATAGCGATCCGGATGTAGAGCGGATATTAAGCGCAGGTAGATGTAGAACATTCCGGTTCCGAATGTACACCCGCATCCTCTTCGTTGAAAATCTACATTATCCAATAATGACTGTCGTACGAGCCAAGAGACTCCCCGCACCCCGCGTGTGTATGGATTATCCCCGTGGGGAAATAGACAAGCAAAAAGCCCAAGAGGAAACGCTGTATCATGTATATAAAGCTCCAGAAAAACCAGTCATTTGATTCTCTGTTCCTACATCCTTTTCTAAATTGCCTGTGTGAGGTTATTTTCAGGAATCGGAGAATGCATTTGACAATGGAGAAACCCGGAGGATACGCAGTCCATCTAAACCATATTCCAGATGGGAATGACTGCCACCTTCTCCGGAAGATAGATTTCTTCCTAATGCCACTCCTGATAATTACATTTATGCTGCAGTATGTTGACAAGGTGATTCTCAACGGCGCCTCTCAGTTTGGCATTATCGAGGATCTAGATCTCTATACTGTGCAGGGATACACTCCTGGTCCCGACCCACAGCCAGTTTTGGATCTGCAGCGATATTCAATCGCTACACTTATCTTCTACTGGGGATGTGTGACCGGATGTTTGTATTACCATTTCTTCTCTATGAGCATGATCGTGAATAGCCGCTGACGTCCATAAGTACTTCCCGCTGCTTGGCTGGCCCAGAGACTGCCTATCGGCAGGTTTCTCGCGTGTACAGTGATTGCATGGGGAGTGGTTGTTATGCTCACGGTTGTCGTGGGTGGCTATCATGGCTTCCTGGTTCAAAGGTAGAGAGACAAACAGCCTCAACTTGGTGAACTACTGCTGACAAGATATTGCTAGATTCTTTCTGGGCGCTGTCGAGTGTGCTGTAGCACCTGGATTTTCCATCATGATTGCCTTGTGGTGGAGGAGAGCTGAGCAACCCCTCCGATACGCACTGTGGTACACATCCACTGGGCTAGGAGGCCTTCTGGGATCTCTTCTCATATTCGGGATAGGTCATATCCAGGGTAGCCTCCGGTCCTGGAAGTACCAGTATCTCATCCTTGGGGCCGGCACAGCTGTCTGGGGTATCGTATTAATTTTCCTCCTACCACAGAACCCAGCCTCAGCAAAATTTCTGAAACCAGAAGAGCGGCTGGCTGCAGTCGAGCGAATCCGTTTGGAACAGACCGGTATCGAGAACAAGGAGTTCAAATTATATCAGATTAAAGAGCTATTGCGAGACCCAGTTACGTGGATTCTCCTTCCAACTACCTTTTGTCTTCATTTTGCAAATGGGGGTATTTCCGGATTTGGCAGTGTGATTATCAGCAGCTTTGGGTATTCCAGTTTTCAATCTGTACTGCTGACCGGAGCAGTTGGTGGAGGCGTCTTTGTTACATGCATCATAGTGGGCATCACTGGCACTTTTTTCAAAGACTGCAGAACCTGGCTTGTAATCGCATGTGAAGCCTGCGTGGTACTGGGCGCCTGTCTGATGTGGAAGCTGAACTGGGACACACAACGAGCCGGTGCAATCTTTGGATTCATTATGTGCAGCTGCTTCGCTGGAGGCTACATGATGATTTTGGCTCTGGTAGGTGCAAATATTGCCGGGCACACCAAAAAAACGTTCATCTCGGGTCTACTCTGGTGTGCTTGGGGGATCAGCAATGGTGTTGCTCCATTGACCATCAAGAAGCCGGAGGCTGAGGAACATTATCCGACTTGCTTCTTGGCTATAATTGTGACAACAGCAGTCGCAATTTGTGGGGCAGCCTTATTGCGGGGATATCTTATGCTTGAGAACAAGCGACGTGATCGTGAGTACGGGTCAGTCGACCAGGCGGTGGCTATGCGGCTAGGCTTTGAAGACAAGACAGACAGGGAAAACGAACTGTTTAGGTATTCTCTCTGAATTTTCCCTCGTCTTTTCTCGAAGAATATGATCCGAATATTCCCCCCCTTGCCTAATATATAATGTTCCGAAAGGAAATCATAAATTTTCCATTCCTCCCAAATCGGCGCTAAATAGGCTGTGGAAGTCCAATTCTGTATGCGGAAAAGCACCGGAGAATAGAGCAGTAGAGGAGAGCAAGTCTCCAAAGCTATCGCCATCCAAATCCTGAAGGACAGATGATCCACCATCATCTGGTTGCTGGTCCATAGTGGGATCTGCTTGTGCCCGGACATGATCCACATCTAGCACGTTGGCGATGAAGGCTTCATTTGCACCTGGTAGAATCCACTTAATGTACTCCATAGAATTGATTCCACTGACGGCCGCAAGAGATAAGATTGATCGCCTAGAATCATTGAGCGCAGCACCCCATCTCGTTCGTTCAAATTCCAAAAGTGCCAAGGCATACGCACATGCGCGGCCGGCCTCGTCGTATGAGACCTCGCCATACCAAAAGGCAAAGAAGAGGATCAAAACCGATGTCATTATTCTCCGTACTTGGCGCCAAGTAGGTGGCAACTGATTGACTCTGAGAGCAAATTTCCACTCTCGATCAGTTGCAGGAGAATCAGTCCGAGCTATTGCTTGGATTGATGGGCCGAGGACGTCGAAGTATATCGAAAGGAGCATCTGCGCTGCACGGATGCAGATACTGAGTGAGGACAACCAGTGTTCGTTGGACAGGAGGAAAGGTGTACGAAGCATGATGCGTGACCTGCTAAGTGCTTTAGTGTGGTGAATACAGGTCTAGCTTAATTACCTACCAGAACATATGAACATGAGCCAAGTTGACGTAGCGTGCTTCGAAGCCTTTCTCGTTCTGCGCATTGTTGAGAAGCGGCTGGCCAAGGGCGAAACACGCCTTGCCAATGATGGATTCTAGGCTTATGACGTTCTCGTAAGTTAACGGAGACGCATGCATTTTGTCCAGTACTTTCCCATTTAAAGCCACTAGCTCCATCAGATTTTTAAGTTCCGGGCTGGCTTGTCGGAGTGGTTCGAAGATAACAGGATCATAATCGGTCGGCTTGATGCATGGCGCAGTATTATGTGTCATGGCACAGTACCTGGGAAATGCTTAGCAAGACTCGGCAAAGGAATACTACGGCACCTACTGATCGGTGAAATAAAGCGCCAAATAAAGCCTGGCAGTTTGCAGAGGGTTATGACTCGGACCGCACCTGTTGATGCCAATATCGTGAGCTGCCTGCACGGCTTGCGCAATCAACGCTCGACTACGATTGGATGTCCCAGTTCGAAGCACACAAACATGCTGAAGAAAACTTGCAATGGCTAGATTGAGCGTTGGCGGGCCGACATAGTCCTCAGCAGTTTTCATTGACAGCTCGAGAAATGCGAGTGGGACTTCAGCGTTACTCTCAGCGAAGGCTTCAAATGTAAGAGCAGCAAAAGCAAGAGCCAGGTCATCTAGACGAGCGCTTGTGCTCCCGACATCGATGTCTTGTAGGGTAGTGTTTGACGGACTGTCCATGAAAATGGAGGCTATTGTAGATTGGACTTGGGACAAGTCGACGAGGTCGATTGGTGTGTCTTTTAGCTGCTTCATAGAACCGATCATCTGTTGTATTTTTTGATGATCCAGGTCTGACAGAACCGAAGTCAGGTTCGCTTGTGGTGGCAGGTTTGCAGGGGCAGTCATGTTGAGGCGAGAACTCCCTGGCTCGACGAGATGACAGTTGAAATCATAGTCTATTTTCCCGTGTGAGCGAAAGGCATTTATGGTGATGAGTATGCATACTAAATCGTTTTATTGACGCTGTGCGGACCAGATAGACAACAATCTCGAGTGGATCACGAGATGATTGTCCCTCTGCTTGCAATAGGGGTTGAAAACCGGGCGGTTCATCCCGACGAAACGACTGAAACGAATCTCGACTTGTAGAATCTTGAAACGGAGCCGGAGAGTTGTGTGTTTGAGGTACCGAGGCGTTCGTTTCCCGTGGCACGCGACGGGGCCTGCGCACTTTATTTAACTGGGTTTATGCTAGGTGGTCTGTCTATTTTTTACCTTGCTTTGTCTCGGACAACGCAGCTTTGGCCATACTTGACACATGCTTGACATGGATATGGGGGTCGACAGCGTCGCTTGGTGTTTCGGCAGCGTTCACAGGCTTTCGCAGATCGTCGACTCCCAGCCATTCCGATCGATCCCGCTCTAGGCGTCTAACATCGACTGGAAGCTTGTGCGGTTAGCAGTTAAGTCGGAAACCGCATCCAAATCTGCCAGTGCCACAGAGAAGGAAAGGTTCTGCGAGCACAGAAAGTGGATCAGTAAACAAATATATTCGATCGCAACCTCCCGGTTCTATCACCGAGCCTCAGTCCGGGGACTATCATCCGGATAAAGACTGGCCTTGTAAATTAGGTGAGGATGGGGCGTTGTTGCCGAGCTAAGGTATGGGAAGAACGACGAAGGAAGGAAAGACGAACGAAAGAGGCCAGGCTGTAAGGGAGCTAAGCGGGCGATCTCCCAGATTGCCAGAGCTCCTAACGGGCTTCGTGGTTCCATGGGACATTACGGTATTATTACAACGACTCATCAGTTGGCCTACGGCCATGACCATTACAGTTCTGCCAATATTACAGAGCGGTGAGCAAGAATGGTTTAGCGCATTTCGGTTTATTTTCCGGCAATGAAGTTACAAGAGTGTGGAGGTTTAACTGATTTCGAAAACTACTGTATAATACTTTGCGGCGCCTCCCAACCTTCGATGCTAAGCCGACCATATGTTCATGTCATCCTTATTGGAAGCCCCGGTGGTGTCTAGAATAGAACGCAAAATCTTTTCTTGGGCGTTTGAGTTTCTTGGTACTGGAGCTACTTGGGTATCAATTAAGTTGCACAGGTTTTGATGGCGGAATCAGCGCCAATACGTAAGGAAGCAGGAAAGAAATAATCAATCAATCTCGAACTGTCGTGAGAACTATCTAAGAGAGGAGAAGAATGACACAGGGTGAGGTCTAAATTGACCTCGAAGCAATCAGCAAATGCCGGGTGCTCCCCTGGGAATCTCCATCAAGTTTGATATCTCACTTTATTCGAATTCTGTCTTTCTATTTCTGATCCATGAATTTGTAGATCTACTTCGGCATATCTTCCTTCACGAGACTCCGTGCTGAGTATAAAAAGGCATGTCTCGCCCTGAAAGTGAATACTCATAAATGTCTTTCTTTCGTTGAGATACGAGTCTTTATATGTTTATTATCATTTAAAGAGGTAATTCATCTCATTGAGTACAAGTCATAAGTTTCGGGGTGTCCCTGGAATCGGCTGAAGCTGCACCATGATTCTGAACCGTCGTTAGCTGGCCGGGTGAATTATTGTTGAGAGGTCAGAAGGGGTCTACAGGTCTGTATTTCATAGAAGTTATATACATTGAGCTGTTCATATTTCAAACTAGTCTATCTTTGGATAGGCGAGCGAGCAAAGGGAGAAGATTCCCTTAAGAAGCTAAAGTATTGTAATAGTCATGGTGACATGACCTAGATATATATATCTAGCACAACTAGTGCCTACCTAGTAATAATTTACTCTTATCTGTTTAATTTAAGATTAAATTCACCTCTGTACTTGAACTTTGAGAATTCCTCAAGATAGAAGACGTGATAGAGTTGAAGGAGAGAATATGGAAGGCACTTGGCTCAAAGCTATCTCCCGAGGCTGCTAAACAGCGAGATGAAGTATGTCAAGAAATCGGAAACACTCTTTCACCTATCGCGGCATTCGTAGGTGGTTTTACCTTAAGCACGTACTTTAGTATTAGCTGCCTTGAAAGCATAACAGCTGCTTTTCTGCGCTCTATCTTTATACTTTTTCTAAGGCAACCCCTGATTGTTTTGACTATCCCTGTGGTTGTACATTCATTGCCCGAATGTTGACTGCAATCTTTCTGTTACACCTGTACCTGACTGTCTTGAAGCTTGTGTCAGGATTGATATTGTGTCTTTTGCGTTTCACTATTATACTCCACTAAGTCTTATTGAAATAGGGGAGGTGGATTGTTCTTATTAGTGCTTCCAGTCTGCTATGTATGGTGTATCCCATCTCGCCTTCATCAACACGGAGATGTTTCGAGAGTTTCCGCGATTTCACATCACTCAAAGCAACAGCGAGTGATGCCACAGAAAACGACAGCACGTTAAGGCAATATTAATTCAAGGCAAGAAATATGGTAATATAAAGAAAAAAGACATCCGCAAAGCTCCCAAAACTGAAGATTGATTGATTGATTGATTGATCAGGGATAATACTCTCTTCAGGTTATGACGAGCACCGGAAATAAGTATAAAAACCCGTAACTCACGCTTCAACGTACTATAGAGTGTGATGTCCATTGAGCACTAACAATTTGATATCTGTATGAATGAGCTGAATTGAAGTACATAGCAGCATGGAAGGTGCTATACCAAATTTCGAGAGTCCAGGATTGGGATAGTACTGTAGCTTGAATCATCTGGATCGTCTAGCACCCTTCGTACGGGCTTTGATCATGTTTCTATTTTTCTCTTAGGACTTTCCAAGTCCAGCGATATCAGCAACCTCCGCTCCGTTCCAATTATCATCGATCGCTATTCACAGCGATGTCTTCGCGTAGCACCTGGAGTATGGTGCTATTTCGAGATTATTACAAATATTGATAGTCTCCGCTTAGCCTTGTACTCACTCCACCTTCCAAAAGAAGGCGGTGGTCAGTTGAAGGCTAACATAGAAGGCCCGCCGCCACGAACCTGTCACTGCGTAAGTTTGGGCGAATCACAACCCCCTAACACTTCAATTGCGGCTTCGGGGACCCGGATACCAGCAGTCGCTGAGTGGACAAAAGTGAACGAGTCATTATAAGCAACTACCTCATTGCGTAAGAAGATTCCATCTATCCGGAAACTTGAACAAACTACTATACCAACCTGTCTCTGTTTCAGCCCCTTGCACAAGCGAAGTTGGCCTCTCAAACATACACCACCCTACACAGTGGACCCTGGACCCTCATATCCGACAGAAAGGAATCACACTCCCAACTCCAACTCGCTGCCCTACACGAACACAGTGCTGACAGGATCCGCGCCTCCGCCACCAAAAACCAACGGTTCATCACAGCCAATAACCCATAACAATGCCTACCAACAAACTCTAACCGAACGGTCAAGAGCCGACGGGTAAATTGCACAATAGATAGTAACCTACCAATCACCACCGCCTCCTGAGAGAGAAGCAACTTCAAGACAAAGATAGTCCCTCCATCCTTCAACCCAGCTGAGAAACTCACGTCTTATGCTCCAACCCATCGGGACGTAATCACAATGCATGTTGCACCGAGGTGCAGAGAGATAGTTCAAGGCAAACCCCCTAAAGGAGTCAGGATAGGCGACCTGCAGCACGCGTGGACCACGTGGAGAAAGGCTTCGGGAGGATCGAACTGGGGTGTGCCAGAAAGTAAAAAAGCCAAAAGAAAACGGGGGCAACCCAAGACTGAGAAAGAGACACAAGGACCGTTTCAGGTTTGGGTTTGTGATAGTGCTGCAGATGGACCAAAGTTAAAAATGGGAAGGATCAGGCATGCGCGAGAATAGGCTGAGTGACGAAGAGGGCAATTCAAGCCAGTCGGTTTGAAAATGGGGAGAGAGGGGGAGCAAGGGGGCACGACAGATGTTCTGCATAATCGATGGGTGCAGGGGGTCGGGGGGATGCATTGTGATAGCGTGGTCGGTAGGGGTGAGCTTACCAAGAAGATTGGGAATGATCTACCTCGAGTGTTGGGTTGAAACTGTCAGTCTATACTCTGTACGGAGTAGATCTATCGTGTGCGGCTATAACCTTAAGGGTCCGAAGAATAGATTTGAGTCTTTCACCTCCTGCATAGAGTTAGGACGAATTAGGGGCGGAGGAACAAACCCATTTACTAGTTAGGAATGATCACTCCAATCTCGTGGGTAACATCAGACTCAGCCCCCAATAAGATATCAGGTAGATATTGCGAGGAATTTTAGTGATGATCCACGGTAATGGGTAACAGTCGACACTATTCAAGTTTGGTCTGTATAAGAAAGGTTAGTCTTGCGAGGCTTGGCACCTGATCTCTGGCACTAGGCGGATATGGTCATAGCATTCGGCCAGAAAATTGGAAGGCCGAAAGAAATTGGCGATCATGATCGTCGTGCAAGTGGCATTCTACGGTCTGTCCACGGTGTATTCTGCTGGATGTGGATAGAGTAAAGCTGCTGCGACTGGACGCCTTGTCCAACCACTGGGGCAGCTGCTAGAAGCCAAAAGACAGAGACTAGTAGGGGCTAGGCAGGGAGCGTAAGACCCGCCAGGACATCCTCGACAGGACAAGGCAATTTACCGGATCCGGTTCGTTCTCGGTCAATTTTAGCATTGAGGTGTAACATGCTGGGGGATGAGGGGGTCGGGAAGCAAGTGGAATGGATGGGGAAGGGAGCTTGCCAGGTGTCATGGACCATAGTAAAATAGATCGGAGATTTGCCGAGGCGATATGAGACCGTTTAGCATGGCATGGGTCCGTTTAGCATGATTTTGGGTTGAACGGGTATCACGGACCGAGAATAAGTTGAAGGCTGGAACGATCTGGTCACCAACGTGGAAGACCCTAGATAGTAAAGCATTGGGTGCAGAATGCTGCGTGTCATTGAGCTAGTAGGTCAGTCTGCCAACGGACCAAGATCAAGAGACCGAGGGTGGGCCCTCCAAGGCTTAGGCGAGGATACAGCGTGGTGCAGACCGGGCAAGGAAAGAAGTTGCACGTTTTCTCATCCACATCCACCGCCAGGAACAATTTTCTAGACGGTTACTAGAAGGTGCTACTGCAATTTCATCCAGAGATCCGGGCTCGAGCAGGGACTGTGAATGGCTAGGATCCCTGTCGTGGCGGGGATAGGGCTTGTTATTCCAGTGGGGACGTGGGCGTTGACAGCGGTGAAAGGGCTTGGAACAAAGACAGAGAGAGCGCTCAAAGGGCTGCAGATCAAGAAGACGCAAGACAGAGAGTGGAAGGTCGAGAGGACCAGCAGAAAGGCTGAGGTGCCGAGTTGTACAGGGCTACAAGTCAGCAGAGAGGCCCGAGTTCTTGTGCACTTTCCCTAAATAGGAAGAAGGTGTCTACACTTTTTCAGCCCTACACTTACTTACCAAGAACGGAGAAGCGGATTTGGAATATCGCGCAAGAAAAAAAAAAGTTAAAAATAATTAATAATTAATATTTGATATTTAATTCGGTCCTTCCACTTACTGCCACTCACTTTGTCCGTTTCCACCACTCACCCCCTCCCCCGAAACTAGGGTTCGCTACGTAAGCTATGTCATTGGCACGTCCACCTGCACGCCTAATCCTTGTCAATGCCTCTCGAACATCCTCCAATATCCTTCCAGTCTACCCGAGCCCCCCGTCCCACCCCCAAATCCCGTTCGCCGCTGTTGTTCCCGATATGCATATACCGCATATGGATTAGCTTGCTGCACCCTACCCAGCAACCCAACCAAGGCAATTACCATAACCTATTTTGGTGATCCCGTTTCGACAGCACCCCCTCCCCCGGCTCGCTCAGCCATGATGATTATAGTTCTAGAGTTGAGATACCAACCCAAGAAAACAAACTCTTTGGGTAAGCACCTTGGGGCCAACAGGTGCGCCGCACTCCAACGCCTGCAGATTACCACTACACCAATCAGACAAGGAGACTAAACGCGGACATGTGAGCTACTCTAGAGCAAAGACTTGTTGAGGGTTAGCTGTCTCTCAATATAGAAATGCAGGCCCAAAATAACCCAGCCTCCAGCAATACGCCGATCCAGCAAAGTAATTAGCTCTACAAAGTCCTGTACACAGGACTGACACCATCGCCTAAAAGGAACCAAAAAAAAGAAACCACTTGGCCATAGTCCATCCCATCTCGCAAGCTCATTAAGCGTTACATTGGGATGGTGGCTCCCGAGCGACCGGATCAGCTAGGCCATGAGGGGATTAGGGTTGAAAGACTACGGCCGTTTCGCAGAGGACACAGACAGCAGACAAGAGACGATAAATTAACGATACCAATAACGAGCTAATGAGGAGCACAGCACCAGAACCGAAACTGAACTAAGCACTATCCCAGAACGAACTAGAATGTGAATCTGAATCACAACCAACCCCGCCGATCCTGAATCCAAGTGGATAGCGAAGTAAAGCTCAATTTACCAGGTACTATCAAACGACCAAACGAACTAGCACACTCCTATTCATCTCCTCGTTAATACCAACACAATTTATCCAGCCTGTCTAAAGTGATGTGTCCCCTCCCCAGCGTATCGACGGTCAAGTCCCGAGCCTGGCCCTGCCAATCGCAAAACAAGCCAATTTTGGACCCCGTCAAACTTGGGAATTGTTAGGCGATACTTGATTGGTCCCGTTATGTTCATGGCAGCCCCTCATCCTTCGTTTTCGTTTTTGTTTTATTTATTTATTTATTTTTTGACCTTGGTCAACCCGTAGACTCCGGTTATGGATGGTGGCACTACGGGTCTTTCTCCACTCTCTTGTCAACGTGAAAGACTCTCGACGCGATGGATTCTGGGGCCCTTCCAAGTCCATGGTTTATCAAAGAAATGATATTGATAAACGTATTATGCCGCGATATAGCGAAGTATGGTATAGCAATAATTCTTTATTATTGTATTTTATTTTTTTCGATCTTTTTTTCTTTGATCTTTCCGTGTCTTTCCCCTCTTTCTATTCCCCGCGACCTTTTCACCCGATCGCAAGTCGGACTCCGAGTTCCAATGTGGCAGGTCTATTGGATTTCCCAAAGAAAGTAGATCCCGATCAATATTTTTGGAAACTATGCGATCTATGAGAAACAAAAGTGACATGTATTTTGGAGAAGCAAATAAGACCAAAGTCGAGACTAACCAGTCTGATCATCGAGATCAGCGCAACCCGTTGCGTCAGATCTTTATCCCCTTAGTCCGTTGCCAAGAGACTGCGCCAATAAAAGACAACGGGAAAACGTGGCCGGGCCCCCAGTTCGCTGCCATAGTCCACTGCGCAACACTAGCCTATTTGGGTTTGATCGGTTCAGCTGGGGTGAAGGGAGAGGAAAGTGCACGGCGAACCTCCGTCTATACCCTCACTGCCTTCGGTTCAAGGGACAGCGTATTATGATGCAGTACTTGATCAACTAAGCTATTTTAATCACCTAATCAATCCGATTGATCATCCATCTATAGCTTCAGCTCGCTGAGCTAAATACTGCTACCTGCTTGTAGTAGTTACTGTACTATCCAGTTGCCTGACCAGGCAATTAATCTCCACCGGAAATATAGATTCACAGAATAGATCCCATCAAATGAAAGTCGTCCGTACCACAATCACTATACCATGATCTTATGGCCATACTCATGCCCCAAGGACCTTCCTGTTCTCTTCGTTCCTCCTTTCAGCTCGTACAGCCACGTGAGAAAAAAAAAGAATGTTAGTGTAACCTCCCTCAAGGACACATTGATGCGTCCACGTATTTTTCCCGTTTCATCATTAACCCCCTGGCATCGTTGTGTCGTGTCTCGGGCTGGTTAGAACGCCGTAGGCGAGGGTTGCTCTGGCCCAGAAACTAGGATGCACTGTAGCACTTTGGCACAACCTGTTCTCCTCTTTTCTTTAACCGTAGATTGCCAGGCGATCACTTCAATCCCTTCTATTCTATCTATATCCGGTCGTATATGTACGACATAATAGACTCCATCCGTAAATCCGTTGTCATCTCCAGCGGCCTACGTCCACGTATACACCCCACAAACTCGATCTCCGGGTTTAGTTACCATGGTTTCGCCATCATAGATGACTAACAGCGCCCCCGATGACCGCCCCATAACGACCCCCCTCTGGAGGGCGGATTTAGGTAAATGCTGAATCGAGGGCGCAAGTATTAGTTAGTGACCACGGGAGCTAGATTCATGAATCATCAATCATCGATCACAAATCCATCCCTGGCCTGGCCAGCAAAGAAAAAAAACAAGACGTGCTAGGTGTGGTGTAGTTGAGGTAGATCAATACTTTTGTATACTATATATTTTCATCTTCTGGGCTGGAGAGTACCTCTCACAAGTGATGCGCCCCGTGCAGCCCTTCTGGGGATCGAAAAAAACGTGGCCCAGATAGGTGGGTGGAGGAGGGTGGCCCAAGATGGCCAACACCTGGTCGAGGCTGAACGGCAGCCCGGATCCATCCCTGCCAGCCCATGCGCGCAATGCTCATTTGAGTGTATTTATTGAAAAAAAAGGTTTAGGGATAAAGTGCCGTGCAGTTTGTATTTGGAAAAAAAAACACAATTTGATATGAAATGAATTGAAGAAGAGGAAATTGTACATAGGCTAAGAGAGGCTTGGGGTCGAAGAGAAATAGCTCAGGATGATTTAGCATGATTCCTACGACGGGAACAGCCATGGCAAATCACGAATTAGCAAAAGAATAAAAAGTAATTTTATTATTTTTTTTCTAATTCCAATTCTGGAAAAAAATCATTTATATTTCTGAATTTCTGTCCCCTGCACCAAGCTTCGAGTCCACTGGACCAGGGTATAACTACGGACGTGCACGGGTTTATCGCAACGGGGCTTAGCCCACGGCCCAAGGTCATGTCGTGCCCATGCAAGGCCCCAAAGGCCCCGAGAAAGGTCACCCAGCTGATCGACGTGTTTAGGAGCCCCATTCTGCCAGTGAACTATCCACTCCTCCGTACTCCGGTCTCCGAACCCCCGGTGCTATATAATCAATCTAGACGCCCCCCCCCCCCCCCCCCCCCCCTCCTCCTCCTCCACTTAATCATCTTAGACTTCCTCTCCTACCTATTTTTCTTCCACACCTCTACACCTTTTATATACTTCTATATCTCCTGACCTATACGTCCTGCTTCACCACATCGTTCTTCCTTCAACAAACATATTTACTATACAATTACTACCACTACCACAATGCACCGTTCCTCCAGTCACAGTAACAGCAGCGCGTTCAGTCCCAACGCAAACCCTAACGAGGACTGGACCAAGATTTCCGATCTTGCAGAGCGCCGGCGTATTCAAAACCGCATTGCGCAGCGAAACTACCGTGAGTTTCTGTCTTCGCGCAAACAAGCACTATATTCCAGTTTATTAACAACACCCACAGGCAAAAAGCTGAAGCGACGATTGGAGGATCTCGAGCGCCGTGCAGCATCTTCTGCCTCGCCAGAAGCCACACACGCTGAGCCCGTGGCTCCTGCCAAAGCTGCGCCTAACAAGCCTCGCTCCAAGCAACCGCGAGCCAGCAAAGTCACCGACCACAGAGCACACTCGACACATGGCTCAGCTCCTGAGCGTCCAGCCTCCTACGACTATTACACAACCACCCAAGACGAGCGTGGTATGTTCGGACAACAATGTACCCGCCAACTGTCCGCCTCGCCTCCCCCAGTCTTCTCTTACCCACCGATGCCCAACTACGACAACTTTCGCCCTGGTTACGGGCAACTGCCGGTCTATCACGCCGTTCCAAGTTCCTACAGCGACATCTCATTTGCCGACTACGGCGACCCAGTCCCGAGCATCTTGCCAATGGTGAGCGGCCCGGCTATAGGCCGCAAGCCATACGACGAGGACATGATGAGCCCATTCAGCATGAGCTACGCATCGATGGCAGGTATCGACCTAATGCCTCAGCCGCACGCAGAAACAAGCCTTCCGGTACATTTCCCTCGCTAGTTCAGTTTCTCGAATCTCGACTGCAAGCACTCTTCCTACTTCTTTCTGTATCTTGGAGACCATGCGATTTCGACCGGACAACGAGAAAGCTAATATTTTCTGTTGATTCTGCACGCAGGTGCCCTCGCTTTCTTACAGCTATTCTCATGACCATGACCATCGTGCGGGGTCGACTTCGACTGCTTCACCTGAAGCTTCCATCCTTGCGTTTCCCCTGACTCCCCAGTCACCCCCATGCTCCCCGCGCTCGATGTCGGGCCTTTTCGAGTATGGTCTGCAACTATGATAAACTCGCAGTCAAGATCACTATTCTTCTCAATGGGTCAGGGTCAGCATTAGGATCAGTGCACCTCTCGACCTTGCCTCTAATTACCATTTGGGTAACGGGAAGGCAGGGACGCGTACAAGGGCCTGGTCCTGCAGGTAGTTCCGCTCTGCTGGGCAAACACTCTCCACGCGTCCTACTTTGCTAGGTAGTCCGTTAAGGGCTGTCTATTAGGTGTCGAGCAGTAAAAAAAAGAAAGAAACGGGTCACATGTTGTGAATCTCCGTTCTTTGTTCTGTCACATGGTTTTCCCCCCTCCCATTTGGCCTGACTCTTCTCCACCTTGGTCGACTTAGGCCTATCCATTTACTTTTCTCCTTGTTATTTCTTATACTCTGTTTCTTTATGACACTGCCCTGCAGGGACATGTGTGACGAGCGAGCATCATCTTGGCGTTTATGAGTCTCTTCGAGTCCACTCTGATATTACTCATTTTTTTCTTGGACCAGACCGTGTATTGGTATACGGGTATACGACGAGTTCTGGTGTTAACAGTGGGAATGGGAATCGGGATTTGTTCATTTTTCATGGCAGTGGAAGATCAGTATGATTGATAACGGAACTAGAATACAGGAGCAAATGTCATGATTTCGCATCTTTTCTTTTTGAATACCACTCTATAAAACTCTGTGTGTAAAGTACTACTGCATTAACTATAGCTTTCTCGGTAATTCTCGTACTGACTACTCCGGTAGCTATTAATACTCCGTAGCACTTTGAGACAGTCTAGGGCACTTTCCACGTCCGCTAGCTCTGCCTTAGGGCCAGACTCATAATAACCTTTCGATGGGCAGCGGCGATTGGCTCCATCGTGGGGACAAAAACTCCGCTTGGCCCCCAACTCTGCGGGATTTTCAGGCTTCCTACATTCTAGCTTGAGCGCGTACAGTATTTTGAATTAACGGCTACCTAGCCGACTGCTGCCTATCTCTTGCTATCGCCCTAGAGGGAAAGAATCATGACTGGAGTTACATTTGCTTCTCCCACGGCCCCTAGAGGGTTTATGGCGGGCGGAAGGCGGAGCGACGGGGGGTTACTGAGAAGTGGAGCGCCAAATCCCGAAGGAATGGGAAGTGTACCGTACTACATACCGAATTGGGCATACGAAAATGAGCTAAACAACCCAAATAACCAACACGTTCAAACGAGTCTCAACGGTGATGAAACATCCCGCTTTTTCCCAGTTGGGACGGTCGAGAAGGTCTCGAGATCGCCAGGACTTCTTCAGGCCTCCTCCTTCAGCCTTCTTTCGCTTTTCTTCCTTGATTTGATTTCAAGAGATACACTTTTCAGCCCCGTCTTGAGTCGTAATAAGTACTTACTGCATGCTACGTAGTCTTTATTCAGTGGCCATCTTGATCTGCCTACTATGCTTTGGACAGCCCTGTCTCATGTCGGTGGATACGACCATGTGGCTGACCAGAAACTACACCCAGTCCACCTGGGTTTTTGGGGGAGAATCGCTGCAGAATACGGGATTCCATCATGGCTCCGTCCCCAGAATCCTTAGACTAGCACTGTTGCCTATAGGGCTTTGAGGCTGTGAATCACTTGTATTTGGAATTAAACTTCGTTTCGGGATTAATCTGAGCAGAATACAGTCATCACTCAATCGACAGCCCTCCGTCTAACCACTTATCCCGTAGTCGTAAGTACATTTCTTTGACTTTTGGTGAGTACTGAAGTATACTCCAGCCTCGCGGGTTATTGATGATGATTTGGAATTGACGGATTAACTTCTCAGTCCCAAATTTCCGTCAAACCCCGAGAGTCGAACCCAAGAACTACAGTTTAATGGTACACAGAAATACATATTCAAATTAATATTAACCCCCCTCCCTTCAGCCCTGAGTCAATACAGTACATGCGCATACCTACTTAGGCGAAGGGCTTGACATGTGGACGCGACAAATGTGCTGCGCCTCTGCTGCCCATGAGGACGGGAGCTCCCTCGCATGCCATCGTACGGTGATTAGATGGTTAGGTGCTTAGCTCGTAACCTATCACCAACCACGCCTTGCCAACACGTGTACCCGCTAGCCATTTCGGTTAGTTGTTTTCAGCTGACTAGTATGATTATGGTTAGTGCTGCGAATGGCTGCCTTCCCGCACTTCGACTAGTACGAAACAGGAATAATAATTAATACCTGTGACTGATGTGGCTACCTGCTTCTTGTTTCAGGAAACCCTTCAAGCCGTCAAACCCTCTTCTTCCACAATCTACCAACCACGATTCAAGCCGACCGCCGCAAAAGAATGGGATTGGCAATGTTCCGGCGGGCCATGTCTGCCTCCGTGCCGGAGCAAGAGCCGCCTCGAAACGGCGAATGATAATTCGAATGCTCGTTGGACCACTATGCCACGAGGAGCGCTAGGCACCAGACGGTTGGGCCCGGGAATAACTAGAACGTAGGCTGAATGGCTCGAGTTAAAGAACGGCTCTTCGTGCCGTTGGTCGGTGCGCCCAGTTCTGTCCTTGTGTGGCCCGACCGTGTTGATGCTGTAAGCCGGGGTTAAAAAGGGCTAGACTATATTGGTGAGTTGATTCTTGCACTCAACTACGGAGCACACTAACAGATCAGAACTCAATCATAACCTGATTTCCTGCTCTACATACTATGTGCTGCGGCTGCTGGCTTAACTCCCCGGACAGTCTCCGCCAAAGTTTCGGCCGTATTGATGGCGTCCCAAGAATGGTTAGACCAAACCAAAGGGCTGCAAAATGGGCCTCCCCATCACATCCAGACGGTCGGGAATTGCCAGCTTCCTTTCATAGGCTCATTCACGCTTCGTGACTCTCAGTTGCTCCTTAGGCTAGCAGGTGCTAACCAAGTAGGTTGCTGCCCACCTTGAGTGGGTTGAGCTGGCCATGGAGTTGAATGGTAGTGACTCAGATATTATTGACAACTAACTAACACTAGTGAGTTAGTTGCAGAGGTTGTTAACTAAACGGAGTTCAGGATATGGTCTTCGGATAATTACATCAAAATGTAAAGAATGGCACGGATCGGATTAGGGAGCTTATGTGGTTCGTTGGGTGGTGGCTCAAGGGCTAAAGGGAATCCTTCTATACTTCTTCGCCTCTCCATTTTTATTTTTTTGAGTTTCCGATTGAATTCCCTCTTCTGGGGTCTCCTTTTTCCTATCCAAGTTAGCCTGCATGCTTGGCTCTTATCGCCCCCGCTACTAATCTGAGTTTCGGCTCTTGCTTTCTGGATGATGGATCCCTTTACAGCCTATCAAACTCCTCCATACCAGACCCCCACATGCTCAACCTTATCGTGGGCAAAGAGGGGTTGGTTTCGGGGATTCGGTCTTTTCTACCGAGCGACGACTTGGAGTTCTCCGATGTTGAAAATTTACTGCGTTCGACCGGGGAAGCACCCCGAAAGTCCATTACATATCTCATTTGCTGATAAGGAGGACTCTTGCTTAAATGTTTATTCCCGACGCCGAACCCGATTTAGTGTCTTCGAATCGATGCGACCATCACTTCCGTTCCCTATCCATCACTCCGAGCGTGGCGTGACCCTTTGTCCGCTTCTAATGATTGCCATTCAGGATCAATAGAATGAATGGGCTGGCCGTGCCGATCTATATCCACGCCTTCCCACCGGCATTCGAGAAACATGATATATCACTTTGAGGGCAATTCAAGGAAAAGGACTCGCTTCCACCCATAAGAATGAGTAACTAGCAAGGCGAAGTTTACCAGATAGGAGGGGAGTTGCGCCATCATCTGTGTTGCAGATCGTGTCAGAAGCAACAGGGCAACAAATGATAATGTACTACTGTCCATAGCTCCCCGCCCGGGACTGGACTGTGGGACTGTGGGACTGTGGGGGCGGAACATCACCGATTCCTCCGTACGAACGTATCACCTTGCCAAGCTCATCTACTCAACAATGTCTGAAAGTTACCAGGGCTGGTGTGCAGCAGACTAGAAAAGATGAACTGCAAGCGTCGGAAGGGTTCGAAAAAAAATGACCCCTCCGTAGCTTCGTACACAGTAATAGGTTGCCATCTTTTATTCAAATACTATAATCAGGTTAGAACTGTGGCGACATCGCTGCACATCCCGAGTCAATTTAAGTTGACCCACCTTAGCACTTATGGGACCGTGTGTCTGATCCCCAAGAGCCGAAGATTAACCAAACTAGGAAGACTCCATAGGCCGACAACATCTAGACACATAACCCCTTAACTATTCAATGCCAAATACTATCTTGTAGGCCCGGGGCGGGGTTTTGTAGGTTTTGAATACCAAGTCCCGAGCCACGTTTCTGCAAAAAGCACCCGAAGCCCAGTCCAGAACCAAAAGGATAGGCGGTCCACTGGGCCGATTTGGGCCCCTCGACCAAGCATAGACAATATCGCATCCAAATCCCTCAGAGTTTCGAACGCCTTGGATCTTTACTTTATCAGGAGTACGGAGTAGTTCCTTCGACCAACGGAACCAGCCGTATTCAGGACCCAGGGTCCCAGATGGTGGTCAAAACACCTCCCTAGAGTAGTTTAGTTGGTGACCCCAAGTTATTTGACTAAGTTGTGTTGTTTTTTTTTACTCTCGGAAACCCGCGGAACCATAGTGATCCTGGCGGCCATTAGCATTGGCCGAGCATACCTGTAGCATTGCTGCTCCTACTCCTAACTGATAATGATCGCTACTGTACCCTTCCAGATAATTATTAAAGTGGGACTTTCGAGCTAACCGTTCTAGCCCTTAGCTATTTGGTAATATCATGTTTTAGAAATGATCTTTCTTAGTAAACACTGACCATATGATGTGTTTTCCGTTGTATGTGATACCATCTTGTATTAAAACCCGAAGTCCCACTTGAACAATTAGCTGGAAGGGTTCAGTAGTGCTGGCAATGGATCATTCTAATCTGCATCGGCCCCGCTAGGAGGTTAATTTGGTAGATCCGCTATGTGCGAGCTTCCGCCTCGTCTCAATCGAGAGTACTATAGTAACTATCATTTTCGCCCCTTCGCTACGTATTTGATGCAAACGACACGGCAACGCGCACCATCTACTTCTCATGGAGAAAGGCAACAAATCCAAAAGCAGAAGTAGTTTCAGGTACAAAGTCAAAACTCAAATTTGCCTTCATCATGGTACACATCGCTGTCTTCATACCCCAGCCAATCAGGGCCCCAAGCCCAACGCCACTATAGTACGAAGACCAAGAGAAGAGGGTCCAAGGCCAAGGCCAAGACGGAAATAGCGCCAGCATCAAAGCGGCGTTCCGGCCACTCCCTATTAGCTATACGACCTGACTATACGACCGAGTACGACCCCGAGTAGTTAACTAAAGCCATTTTCTATGCATGACTAATGATGCGGTACAGATTGATAACTAATTTTCGTCAAGAACGTGATTCGTAATTCGGGATTTGGATTCTCTGCTATGGGGCTCGAATTGAGCCAGATTAGTTAGCAATGCTTGCTGACCAATGATCGCTATTGCCTCAGCAAGGACCCTAGAAAGGGCAATCTTGACTGACATCCCCAGGCCCCAGTCTATGGCTAAGGTTTATGGACGAATCGAAAGAACCCCTTTTGGGAGATGTACAACGTTCCCCGTCCGTCTCCCATATGTCGTGGTAGGTAGGACGAAAGTATACGAGTGAATGGCGTCGCTTTGCATCGGCGTCGCCGATGGCGTAGGACAGCGATGGGATGGCAGCATATACGAGACGAACGACCACTGGGCTGGGCGGCTCTGGTAGGTGTTGGCTTCGCTTCGTCTGGTCCTATTGTGAATTTTGGATAGAAGGCCACAACGAATAGGGCTACAGGAATGATGTCATAGACAGCCTGTAGTATACTTCGTATATTATTGCTAGGGATCACGATGGAACTTCTTCGGCGTGGTTTTTATGCCCGTGATTTGGAATCCTTCATTGATAATTCCATCTTGCTAAATTTTTGCCCTTGAGAGGTGACTTTCTCGTATAGGGTGCTATTTTCAATAGGGCTATCACTATACGACGTGGCAGCCGTCTGTACTGTTGCCTTATGCTACGGTGACGCTAGCAACCACGGAAAGAGTGCAATCACCAACCTGTAGCAATGCAGTTATGACCTATGACTAAACAAGTTCTGTAGGCATTGACATTATAATTGAATGACCTGATGATTGACTCAACTGATTCAACTAATATCAGCAGCCTATAGGACTGCCTCTTCCAGCGGTAGATGCAGTAGGTTAAGTCACCTATACATCCAAGTAAGGAATGAATCCTAGTAAAATGACAGGCCAGCTTTCTGAGCACCTAAGTTCAGTGTTCTCGTGTTCCAGAGTATGAGTGACGTCTTATTCAAGTAAACAAGGCCATTTCAGCTTGGTTGGCTATCAACAAATGGATGAAGCACGATCGAATGGCAAATTCAACTCGCAATCACCACATTATGGAGCATCGCCACCAAACCCTTCTGTCTATGGTCGGGCGTTTATTCCAGGTCCATTTTTGCCTGAGTATTTGATGTTCCAGTTGACGGGGATAGTTGGGGATGTAAAGCTTGGTTGAACAGGAAACGAAACTTGTATAGCTTATATAGCGACAGCCAAATCTACAAATCATCTTAGAATGAGATTATGCACAGTAATCCGCTGATTTCCATTCATGGACAACAAGGGGAGCGAAAGCTGGGTAAACAAGACACGGAGACAGAAAAGAGGAGGTCGAGGACTAGAGGCGAGAAGAAAGATAGACATCCCATTCGAACAAGGAAAAAGAAATAGAAGAACCAAACGCATCGTCTGTCGTCGTCATCATCAATCCCCAGCTGCTTCCCCTATGATTTCCTCGGACCCGTAGACTACCACCGTGAAACAAGACTCCAGCTTGAAAGAACACCCCAATGGGGCAAAAAAAAAATCAATGTAGATATGACAGAGCAGCTCATACATTCGGGCCGATCCAACTCGATTCACACAATTATTACCTTCCACTTAGGCGATCTCTGCGCTCTGCACACTCATCTGGTCCGAAGGTGCCGTCTGGCTAGGTTCCTGTCGTCGTCGGCGCAGGGGTGCCTTTTTCCGGTTCGCAATTACCGCTTCTTGTGATTGTTCAGCATTCATTTCCGTATCGCCATCATTGTCAGCCTCACGTTCGCGTGCTTCGTGTTCCCGAACCTCTTCCTCGCGGTCTGCGGCATTCAATTCGTAGTTGCGCGCCTCGTCCACCTCGTAGACATCCCTAGGCTTCATTCGGAGCCACTTCATGCGCGGGCCGACCCGTGAGACCTCAGATACCTTAAATCCATAGATCTTGGGGTCGTAGATCTTGCCGCGTCCGAGGCCGGGACAGAAATTAGACGTGTGCATGCCGTTTATCTCGACGGGTTGGTCTTCGGGAGTAGGAGGTTCGTTCGGCATCTGGGGAGGAGTGGACCGGTTGGTCAGCGTAGACTGAGCTCGAGCTGCAGCAGACAGGGGACCAGCAGACAGAGGACCGTCTAGGCGTGTTCCGACACTGAGATCTGGGAAAGTCATGAAGAAAAGGCATCCAAACGTTGTGCCGAAGAATGCGCCATCTACTGAGTGGAACCGACTGTTAGGCGGAGTGTAGATATCCATGCAACCAGGGCAAAAAAGTTTGACCGTTTCCTGGCCCGGGGTATCAGACCGCCCAACAGGCAGGACCTTGCAGCCACCGCAGTTGACGCGAGGGCAAACACCGAAATGTTGCATCTCATATTTTTCCAGCATTTGTTGGATACCAGGGCGGGAGGTGATGTATCGCTGATGAATCAGTCCATAAAGCAGCTCTGCGGAACTCTCGATGACACTTAAATCACTTGCCACGCGAGCATGCCGGCGGTCGCCTGCCTTCCGGTAGCCGAGGGGCCGCTCATCACCTAGGACCTCATCGTCATCTTCCTCCTCCTCTTCTTCTTCCTCTTCCTCCTCGTCATCCTCTGGCTCCACGTCCAGGATCATCTCTAGTGCCTCCTTGTACATGGGCACCTGGGATTGCAACCCAGTGAGATTGAAGTCATCCTCGATGAAGTCCTCCGACACCTCAGCGAAGAACTCATGCCCCATCAAGGAGCAAAACGAGGAGATCCATGACTCTGGCGCGCCCTCTGACGACGACATATCGAACGAGGCAGAGACGGACGAGGAAAGGGTTGATTCAGACAGTTGACTCAGATCCAGCCTATCCAGGCCGTCGGCCAACGCCGAACCAGTCTCTCTCGACACGTTGCCGAGATTGTTGTTGGACAAGCGGAAGGGAATTGGCGACGACGAAGCGACCTCGTCACGCGAAAATGTGAGGGGTTGGGAACGGCGGCGGTGGAAGGATCAACGCAGCTTACGTGGGGACGGCGGGGAGGCGGTCCGTTGGGGGCCGTCGCAGTAGCAGAACGGGTGAATTGACTGAAATGTCAATCCAAGTTGAACTCGTGAAATCGTCACTTCGATCGATGACAGAGGGGGTGCGACCGATGGTTTGGTGGGGAAGCTAGACGGACATGGCAATTTGCGGGAGAGGTGAGAGGTTGTGCGATCAAAGTCGAGAACACCCGTATCTCAGTCTAGCCCCACAAGCCGCTTATCAGTTTTCTATCACTTCAGACGACATTAACCAGAGGCAGGAAGCGAACTTACGTCGGGTGAAGTCAACAAAAAGCTCTGTATTGGTTCTGTAGTGCTATGAGCCACAGCTGAGTGACGCGTGTCGAATCCGATGGAGAAAGCCCAATTTAGGCCCAGTTCGGTCCGTGGGTGGTAGTGAAATGAACCGCAAATAAACCGGACCTTCTTGCGAGGCGAATCTAAGTCAAGCTTGTCGCTGTAGGTGAGGTGAGGTTTCTGAGAAGTGGTGAAATTGAGGTGGGGGGAAATCAGAGACGACGAGCCTGGCGTGCTGTAGTCACGTGAAAGTCATTTGCGTCTATATAGAGCACCTGAACAAGTGCGAATACGCTCAAGTGGCCTTGATCCGCGATTATTGGGGGAATCTTTTTAGATCTTATCACTCTCTATATATAAATAACTCAATTAGCTAGGAGCGTCACCTTGCTATACATGGATTAGGGTTTGTAAGCTGGGAAGTCAAATAAACGCCTACTAAAACGACGGAAGATACAGCAAGCGCAGCTTTATCCGAGCACTAACACAATATGGAATTGTTGTCGAATTCAAGAATCTATTTTTAAGCCAGTAAATGTTATACGCGTCTATATCATGGACATATGGCATGGACATGGCCCTATTTGAGTCCTTCAATCCCGGCTTTTGTCAGTGACTGTATCTCTCTCCAACTTTATTACTCTTTAGACCAGCGAATGACCACATAAAGTCAAACAAGACCGTTCCCTCTTACTAAGTAAAGCATAATAAGGTTTAAATAGGGACAGTGAATACCACAACCAGATCAGGGGTGCCAAGTCTACCTCCTCCAGATTGAACACAAGCTGATACTGCCCAGGAAGGCAATGAATGCGAATTTTCCATTTCTCACAATACAAGATCACTATGGCTCAACTTCGTAGTTCTAGCCCAGCTTTGAATTAGAGGGAAGTCAAATTCTCAGCATCCCCATTCCTTAAATTCAATTTCAACATCCCTTCCAGTATGCTGAATTGCTACATTCCTCCAGATCTCGAAGACCTCTTCATCCGGCTGGTATAGGGACTTGGCCTTTTCTCGCCTAACCAGTGCATCTGGTTCGTACGGACCATCCGTAAGATCTTGATTTCTCCAAGTGAGCTTCGACAGCCCCGCTTGCACTTCATACTCTAATGAGTAATGCACGGGTCCAACATTCTGCAGCGTCATCCATCTCAGCTTAGGCATCCGGAGGGCCGCTCGGCCGGCTGAAGCGTATAACCTGTCAATGTGTCCCGCGATGATTCTTGTTCGGAAGAATTTTGACTTGCGATCCTGGAGAGGAATTCGGACATATTCGGGATAACTGTCCTCCTCGTCTCCGAAAGTGGCATCAAAATCGTCCGTGGAATCTTCCGGGGTCTCTCCCGGGTCACGGTCAAGAAGCCATTCTCCAGACGGTGTGATCTCCATATACTTCACAGAAACTTCAATCAAAAGTGGCCAGAAAGGCGGGTTCACAAGATTGTCGCCCGGGAGGGTTGATGGCCAGAAAAGTTCTGGACCTACCACAGAGTCGTTGATTTCGAGACGCTCCAGTCGTTGAGAGAAAGTCCGCAACTGTGAACTCAAGATATCTACTCCATCCTCCGTAATATCAGGGGGAAGGTAGTTTTGATTACGCGGGGGCGCATGGAAAAATCTCAGACCGAACCGCTGTACACTCCCAGGGAAGAGGTCAAGATTACGGGCAAAGTCTGAAAAGAAAGTTAAGTAGGTTCTTGGCAAGCACACTTGCTGATAGGATCTGGCTTACCACTTCGGAGAAGTTGTCTTAATTGTTCGTCCCGTCTGCAATCATCCTGCATTTCCAGATCTACGCGGTTCAACCGCGGCAGTTTCGACGCGATGAACACACTTGACGCCGGCTCAATGAGCCGTCCTTTTGCAGCGCCCCAGATTGACAGACCGGTGACTGCAGGAACAACCGGACACTCGGTCTCTGTAGTTGTCCTAGAGAATTTGAGATACGATCTCTCATATCTCTTGTTGAGAAGATCATTCACCCGTTCTGCGGCCGCTCGTTTCCGCTGCCTCCTCTCTTTCGGGTCTTTGAGAGCGAGATAGTCACCAGGAGATTGTGCCTTAATATCAACTCCAATGTCAAGATTAGCTGGCCAGTCTGATAAGATTTTGAAAAGAGAGCCAATAGTCGTGGTAAAAATCTCGTCGTTTCGCTGGCGCTCCTCGTCTGTTTCGAAATGGGCACGCGCTTTCTCATCATATGACTCTAGCTCCACGACCAACTGAATGAACCGGACACAAGATCTTCTGCGTGGGGTCCATAATAGCCGTTCAAACTCTTCTAGTCGCCGAGGAGTGGTGATGTAGATATAGGAAAACGTGCATCTCTCGATCTGGGCCTGCCAGCGGCGGGACAGGGTAGCATAAGGGGCCAGGGAAATGCCAGGATGACTTCTCAGCCGTCCGTCAATGATATAAACCAAGATTCGAGAGATCAGTTCTGGTGGCAGTGACTCCATTTTGTGTTTGTGGGTGTGCCAATGAAGTAGCACAAGCTGTGGATTGATACTGGTAGCAGTAGCACCCGGTCTGTTGTGGGGCCCAACAAACGGGGTGATATGGCATAATACACATCGGGTCAAGAGGGTTCACAAAACACTTCAAACGAAGAAGGTCAAAGTCGCCAGACATTTTTAGCTATACATGCTAGCAAGAATGGTGGTAAATGACCAGGGTCCATGCATCTATCTAAGTCGTCCGAGCAAGGTTATACGTCAATGCATTAATATTTTTGCTGATCAGAATAAATCACGAATCACCCGAGAGAATTCCTCCTCGCCTCCCAGAATCCCCGACAATCCCTCCCCAGTATTCTGAATTTCCCCATCCGCACCAACAAACCCAGTCATGCTCTCAGCGCCACTGGTACCAGGCATAAAGTTACCAAAAGCCCCAACAGCTTCAAACAGATTCGTCAGTTCGTGGCTCATCTGGAGACCATTCAAAGGACTGTTGCCCAACTCGTTCGCTCCATTCATCTGCCCATACATGGACAAGTCTTCGATGGAATGCCCCGCGAGGCCAGCCATAGCTACGGCCGCGGTGGAGTGGGGGTCGTTCCCGTCGGAGCCAAATGGGCGAGCCAGGACACCCAATTTTTCGCCAATCTTTCGGAGACCCTTGATGGTCTTCCAAAGTCTCTTGGACACGTAGGACTTGGTGCTAAACCCGTTGATCAAATCTAACGCCATATAAAACTCGTCGCGCACTTGCCGGTTGAAGTCATTGGGTGCATGGCACACGGCGAGGAATAGCACTGCCAATGCTGCGACCAGGAAATAGTTGAAGGTTATCTGCTGCGTGCGGTAGATATCGGACATTTGGTTCAGCCGGGTCAGGACTCGAACGGTGTCTTTGGCGACGTCCACCACTGTCTGCGCATGGCCGCGGTCCTCCATGATGCTTGCCGCGGAATGAAGTACCGGGCGGTAAATGAGAATTCGCAGTTGATTCATACGCAGGTATAGCAGGACTCGTAGACGTCTCATGCCACGGCTTGCGGTCTCGCCAGTCTTGGGGGATTCCACGGGATAGAATTTGAGCTCGTCTGGGACTTGTTTGTACCATTGAAGAACCTGGTAGTCCAGATATCCGATTTCATCACGTCGAATGTCTGTCGTGCCTTCAGAGCCAAGACCTGAGTACCAAATCTTCGAGCTGATGCGATTATATGAAATCATGCACCGGAGATAAGGCAGGGATGAGTCCTGTGGCGGAATTCGATCAGCCGGGGGAACATTCTGTTACCATTCGAAAAGAAGACTTACCGGCTCTGGTAAGTTCGGGTCAACGTCCTCGTCTTGGATGACAAACGGCAATCCTGTGCCTAAGCTCCATCGTCGGTCCAAGCTATAGACGGTCCAGAATAGTCGCGTAATCTCATTCCACTGGTCCTCATTCGGGAAAGATTTCATCAGGGCATCCCGGCGATGAAGACCCATTTCCAAGCACATCCGGGCAGCGAGACCGATCAATCGGTAGGCCATGGCGTCATCATCAGTATGGAAGTGATAAGTTGCCTAGTGCACCAAATATTAGCTCTCAATTGAGCAGACCAGATATTCATCCGATTTCGCTTCTTACCACAATGGCGAACAATTGAATGTTCTTGATATCATGAGGCTCCCACAGCTTCGATTCAATAACCGGCTTGACAGACAAATACAAACGTTGGCCAAGATCACTCTGGCCTCCCGCCTCCACGACCAGCGTGGTGGCAAGAATTAGCTTCAGAATAATCGTGCTATCATCATGAAGACCGTCAGCACCGGGGAGACCGCGTTGCGCAAATCCAGTCCGTGTGGCAGCTTCCATGAACGTGTATAGTAAATTAGCTTGCGCGGTAACCGTAGCAATATCCACCACCGGATACATGATCCCGATCTCTTCCTCGTAGACTTTACATAGCCGCACGGCTTCTTCACGGCAAATGCTCCAAATCGGATCCTTCGTGGGGTGTATCGTTGGGACAACAGGACCGATGTGGGGAGGTGGAGAGCCGATCGGGGTAACATGCGCCGTCGTCAGGTCATCGGCAATGCCATCCTCGGCCGGGTTGATACCCATGCTCTGGAGACTGGTCTTGGCGACATCAAAGTTGAAAGCCGAGCTCGTAGGTCCATGGAAGCGCGGATGCCGAGACCGTGTCTTCGGCATGCTACCGGGCATGGGAGTGAAGACAGATTGTGAGCCATCGCGTGAGAGGTGGTCGAATGGTGGAGACTCGAAAGCAGGCTTCTGCGCCCTAAGCTCATTGAGAGTTGTGAAGAGACTGTTCACTTGTTCCTGGAGAGTGGTTAACTGCGAGGACATCGACCGGAACTCCCTGCAGCGGAGGGTTAGTCTCGGGAAATCAAAAACGGAAACATTTTGGAATTCTGCAACTCACTCGGATTCTTTGAAGTTGTTGTTGCAGCAGTTTGGCGCATATCGGCCTGGTGTGAAGATTAGCGTCGGGGATTCTGACATGAACGTGCTATACCCGAACTAGCCATTGCCGAACGGCTAAAAGGCAGGCCCGAGAATTGCAAAGGCGAGTGAGGGCTCATACATTCCAAATTGAGATGGCCACATCGCTGACATGGGACTTGCCCATTGCACTTGATCTTGCGGCGTTTGCATTCATTGCTAAACAAAAAGCCGGCGGTTAGCTCCGCGATGCACTCTTATCGTTCCGAGTCCCAAGGAGAGGAGAGAGCGGGGAGCCACATAGAGTGGCCTCATGCTGCAGCGCAGCTACAAAGAAGACTGCTGCTAGCCAGCGGCTTTCCTTTCCTCAAGAGCCAAGAGGGGCCGGGGACTTCGGGAAATATTAGACGGGATCAGGCCATCGGATCATACCATGCGATAGAGATGTAGCGATTCCGCTTTGCGCGCGTGTGCGTTCCGTTGCTTTGTTCCGCCTTCCTCTTGGCCGTATCGGAGGCCGAAAAGGCCTCCTGGTCGCCAGCTCCGGACTGCGGCGGGGTCGTTTGGATCTGGGGCGATTCCGAAGCCATGACACCCGAGAATTCAAGTCACCGGGGGTGAGAACTGAGAAGAGCTGGGGCGAGATGGCAGCAACCGAGTGCGGAGAGATTCCTCGCGGGGTTTACCGTTTCCCCAGGTTTGGAGCTGACTCATCATATTCGCTATGAAATTATTGGCCACAATGGAGGAACTACGAGGGAAGAAAGAACCGCAATTTTTTTGAGCAGGAAGAGTTACTGTGGGGGCATGAAAACGGACAAGGAGGACGAATGGAGTCATTATCTGATTGATAAAGAGTTGGATCATAGCCTGATCTACGATGCATTGCATGCATGCAGCCAACGGTATATAGTTAGGGCCGCAGATGATACATCCAGTTACAAATACGAGACAAAAGCAGATATCAATTAGTTGATTGATTTGATCATATCCAATCGCCCCTAATATTGATATGTTCCAGGATATGTCCAGAAAATAAAGTATTTCACACAAAACGTAGTCGATCCCACTCAAAAGAAAGCACGCGCCTTGGAAAGAATCCAGTCCTTCTTTGCCAGCAAGGCCAGCAGCAACTGGCTGCGCTGCTGCGGGTTCTTCTGCAGCCACGCCAGTCCCACTAGAACACTTAAGATCAACGAGAGGCGCACAGCCTTGCGAATTCCCTGGATAATTGCACCCTTCCGAGTCCAATTTGCGGTCCAATCGCTCCAATAAGGGAAGGTGCACCGGTACCAATAGTGGATTTGAGAGTATCTATCCAGATGTGTTAGCAAGGGCGTCTACTTTCACTACGAGGAGAAAACTTACGGGTAGGTCGAGGAGTTCCATCCATCAGCGGTGATATACCAACTGGAGCACAATCCCCGGCGGAAGACCGTTTTCTGTAGTTGGTCTTGCACGTTCTTGGTCCACGCCAGCTCGGCCTCTTCCTTGACCTCGTAGGAGCTGACCTGGCCATTCAAAATCGGCTTGATGAAATTCAAAGAGTAGTTGACCGCATTTTCAGTCGCGAAAATGACGCTCGTATGGCCAGTGGCCGTGTTCGGCCCGAAGAGCATGAAGAAGTTCGGGAACTGATCCATGGCGATGCCCTGGTAAGCCTGGGCGCCTCCTCGCGCTGCCCAAAGATCCTCCATCTTCTTGTTGCCTCTGCCAGTCACCTTCAAGGGGTGCAGCCATTGATTGGTCTCGAATCCATTGCCCAGAAGAATCACGTCGGCTGGGATCTCTCGAGCTTCGTCATCGGAGTCACTGCCGGGAGGATAGTAATGACCCGGTCCAATTGTCACACTCCTCGCATGAACACGAGCCAGTGGCTGTGTGGTCAGTGTGACCTTGGGTGAGTGCAGGCTACGGTACCATGTACCGTCAATGATACGACGCTTGCATCCGAGGCTGTAGTTTGGGGTAAGCATTTCATGATATTCCTTCGGTGCCGTCTTGCGCATGTGGTCCAGGAAATTCATTTCAATCTTCGGCCGCATCATACGTCCGTAGGCCGTGTCAGTGAACATGGCGAAAAAATTGTGTTCACACATCATGAAAAGGCCGTTGCGAAGGAAACGTGCCAGCCCGGGTACATGTGTCATCAACGATGGCATCCACTTCTCCCATTGGACAAGAAGGTTGGGTGGCAGAAGATCCGGCTGTACCCAGGGAGGACTGCGCATGAGCTGGGTGATGGAGCGAACGTTGGCTTCTGGCTTGGCCAGCTCGGGGACGACCTGGGCGGCACTGCAGCCTGATCCGAACATGATGACATCCTTGTCTTGCAGGTCGATCTCACTATCCCATCGAGCTGTATGCATGATCTCACCTTCAAAATTTTCGATGCCAGGGATATCGCTGGGCCATGTTTTTGGCTCAACAAGTCCACCCACACCACTGACGACGACCTTGGCCCGCACAATCTCGTTCTTGACGTAGACGCGGTGCACGCCCTCGTTGATCACCAGCTGTTCTCGGTCATATGAGGAGAGATCACCAGTCCCCGGGACCAAGTGTGAAAGTAAAACCTCCCACTCCTGATCCTCTTCTACCCAGCGAAGCTCACGGACATCAGTGTGGAATTGAATTTTGTCCACGATCTGATACTTTTCGCAGACATCGGCGAGATATTGCGCAATTTCCGGTCCCGAGGGATGTAAAGTCGACCAGTTCTTCTTGGGTGCAAATGAAAAAGAATAGAACGCAGCGGGACTGTTTCATCTTTCAGTTAGACCAGATGAATGTCGACTTGGTCTTGGTATACATACATATCACAGGCAGCGCCAGGGTATCGATTAATCCACCATGTCCCACCGATGCCAGACTGTCGCTCAAAGATTCGAAACTGATCCGTCCCTAGTACGTCCTTGAGACGACAGCCCATCGCAACACCCGACTCGCCCGCCCCGACGATTAGCACGGGGTAGTAGGTGAGAGCATCTTTACCATAAACATGGCGTTTGTGAATACTTGCGACCGACGGCATGTTGATCGATGACGCAAGGGGGATTGGTGGGAAAGGGTACTAATGTCACAAAAAGGACACTCGATATCAGAAGACTGGAGGGATAGTTGTGGTACAAGGGTAGAGCGTTAAGAAGGGATGATAGCCAGCATGTGAAGAAGATCACCCCAACGTGGGCTCAGAAGTGCAAAAGAGATAATCTCTCTCCAGCGAACGATCGTTCATAAAGAAGTTGACAAGAAATGGGCACCCTCCGGGTTCATCAGTAGTTTAAGCTCCGATCTTCAGAGTGAGGGGAAGCTTGGTAACCTCGGTCCCCGGCGATTCGTTCTTTCACACTGGCAGGAGAGAGTGCATTGCCGACAGCGACTAGCGTATGAGAATTATTGTGCATCAACGGCGATTTTCAAAACGCTTGGCCCATGCAGGATCTGCGAATGAGTACTTTCCTGGTATACAACAGCTTTTAAACTGATTTTAAAGTCTTGACGCACGCCCTGGATCACGTATAGGTGTCGTCAGACTCTGAGCAATGACGAGCTAATCCGGGGATGTGGGCCGTGTCTTGCGGCCAGAAAACCTTCCACACTTGTACTTTTTCTCCGCACCTTCGACTTGCCTGGATGAAGCGCCAGCCATGGATACACGCCAATTGGGTCTTGAGACGATTCGCGTGCCCGTCTCGTCCTGACTTCATACAGCCAGCTCAAGGCTCACGCACATTTACCGTCTCGTCGACGCGTCCGTACCGCACCCTCGATGCCCTTCACAAGGTCGACGTCGATACCTTCCGAGAACAATATTTTGCTCGCGAGCAACCTGTCATCCTACCGCGCCCTGAATTCTCCGATCTGCCCGCCGTGAAGAATTGGTTTGAAAGCACCAATCCCCGGTCAACCTCGACGAGCCTTTTGAAAACTCGATTGAACCTGGAATACCTGCAGAATCATGCGGCCGACGCGTTTGTCCCGCTAGAGCTCACAGAGCTAGCGAAATCCTGCCCATCCGCCAACGGCAAGGACAGTTTATCACGGCAAGCTGGTACAACGGATGTCGTCAGCTTCAGACAATTCCACGCGCCCCTGACACTATTCCTCGAATGGATGCGCTCGGCCGAGACTTCGCCCCAGTCAACACGACTCTATCTCGCACAATGCCAACTCCTCGATCTGCCGCAAGTGCTTCGCGATGACTTTCCGACCCCAGAGATCGTCGCAAAGGCAGGTAAGGGCGATATTTACGATACAAACTTGTGGATTGGACACCCTCCTACGTACACCCCGCTTCATCGCGACCCCAATCCGAATCTCTTTGTCCAGCTGGCTGGGCGGAAGGTTGTGCGGTTATTGGCCCCATCCGAGGGACAGGCACTCTTTTCTTCAATCCGGCGACAGTTGGGCAAAAGTGGAGGCAAGGATGCGGCTGCGATGCGCGGGGAGGAGATGATGCAGGGTCAGGAACGGGCTTTGTTGGATGAAAGAGTGTGGGGCGAGTCGGCTTCTGCAGGCTCGGAAGGATCGAGCTCTGGCTACGAGGCCCATTTAGAGGCGGGAGATGGGCTGTTTATTCCGAAAGGATGGTGGCATAGCATCAAAGGCGTTGGAGAGGGCGTGACTGCTTCGGTGAGTGTGCTCGTGTGCCTGGATTGGAACTTGCGATCGTAAATGCTAACACGCAATAGGTCAATTGGTGGTTTCGATAGAAGCAGGTTTAAAGACCTGTCAAGCGTATTCTAATCGACACAAATTCATACACTGTGAAATTTAATCTTAACTAAAATCTGTACAATCCTGTTGAACTAGCCAAATAACCCGTAGATAACCCGAAGACTCGAAACGTGCTTCACCCGGAGCTTGTTGCGGGCGGCTTCCAGAACCATCTCGACTCCGCCCTCGACCGACCGTTTTATCGCCCAACCCAACTCCCACACCACAACTATTCCACAACCCAAGCATGCAGTTGTCGCGTACAGCCTACCGCGCCGTCCTCTTTCACCTTAGCGTGAATCCAATCCTCGCTCGCGCCTCCATCCCCAGCGCCTGGTCCCTCAGCACCTCACAGTTCCCGCATTCCTGTGGAACCTCCACCCGACTTTACAGCATCCTCTTCCCACAGTGCGCACCTTGCAACAGAACCCTCGAGTCAATCCGCCACTCGCACACAATGCCCTCCTCCACCTCTCCTTCAGACCAGACCCCCGCCAAGCAAGAGACTGGCGAATCGCAGCAACAAGAAAGCACGGAAGCGAAAGCTTCGAAGGAACAACTCTATCTTCCATCGACCGAATCGCCCAGTGACGGTCAACCGAAGCAACTCCGCCTCGACCTCGGTGCTGATGGGGGCGTTTCACTGGATCACCTTGGTCCGATGGTTGTCAATGTTGATGGGACATTGTCGCGAATTGGCAATTGGGACCAGATGACTGAGATTGAGCGCCAGAATACGTTGCGGGTCTTGGGGAAGCGGAATAAGCAGCGCTTGGAGAAGTTAAGGGCTGCCGAGGCCGCTGGGGAGCAGAAATAGATCATAGACTCCGGGGTTGGATACAGGTTGGCTCTATAGCCTGTGTTATGCATTTTGGTTTATGGAGTTTACAAAGCGGCTTTCTCTGGTTGCATTAATTGATTCTGAGTGTATAATAGTGTTTACATACAAGTCGTGAATTGTCATTCTTGCATGATCAGATACTAAAGACCCTGCTCGGCATCAGGAGCGGTCTGGCGAGCTTACTCGAACAGCATGCTAACATATTTGTGCACAATACTCCTAAAGACAGTCAGCAGATGACACCGCTATCTAACCGACGAAAACTCACTTGGGTGGGACAGGAGTAAAATCCCTCGTATACTCCTCAATCTCTGCCAAGCCAGAAACCAAATCAACTTCCTCCGGCTTCAAAAACTTGGTCCTGTGGAAGATCTTCCACCCAAAGTAAAGAACAGGGAATAAGCCGATCATCGTGTATGAGAAGAGGAACGTGGGAATCGACCATTTGCCCGGCAAGAAGACGGTATAGCCACCAACAAAGGCCATAATCGTAGTCGCCGTGCAGGCGATATATGCAATATATGGTTGGAACCAGCTGCGATATGGCAGGGTGCTGCGCGAGATACCTTGTGCATCGAGAGCCTTCTTGAACCGGATATACGTGAACGTGACGACAGAGAAGTTGATGAGCTGCGAAGCAGTAACCTATGGCCACGTTAGATGGGAAGACAACGGAGGATTCAATGTGAGTATGAAGACATACAAGATTGACAAACCAGTTCAACACCACGGATGCACCATTGGATACCTGAAGGAAGCTCAACAGAGCAATCAACAGGACCGCAGCAACACAGTAAATCGGCACGCCCTTCTTTGTGCATTTCGTCAAAAACAGCGGCGCCTTTCCCTCGAGTGCGAGACCGTATAAACTGCGGCTGGCGCAGTACACATAACTATTGCCCGCGCTAAACGAAGCAGTAAGAACAACCGCATTGACAATGTGCGGTAGGATCGGGATATGCAATCTATCCATGGAGATCACATACGGCGAGGCGGCCGCACCAGGCTTATCGTTGTCAAATGCCTCGGCCATAGTCTCGTCGTTATACGGGACCAGGATACCAACGCATAGAACACCGAGCACGAAAAACGCCGTGAGACGGTAGAACACCCCATTGTATGCCTTGGGTAGAACAACGCGCGGGTTGATCGTCTCACCTGCAGCCATGGACACGTAGTCCGGACCAGCAATAGTGAAACTGGCCGCAATGAGTGCAGACAAAAAGCCAAGGAACTTGCCCGTATCTCCGGTTTTATAGTATTCGGCAAAAGCACCAGGTTCGTTCCAGTATCTGAATCCGAACCGGTCACCTAGCGGATTACCTCCGAGCATGACAATGAAGGTGTAGAAGATGAGGCCGATGCTGAGTAGGACTTTGCCGAGTGATAGCCAGAATTCTGCTTCGCCGTACCACTTGACAGCGAAAACGTTTAAAGCTCTGATAATAGTACCGTTAGCATATGTGTTAACGTATCTGTAAGGTTGGGGCTTACGTGTATAGGGCAAGAACGATAACGTTCATCGCTGCGACTGGGATCGCGCTGGTCCAGTAATTGACAATCAAACTGACTGCCACGATTTCAAAGGGCACGAGAGCAGCTTCGAAGATGAAGAAGTTGTAGCCTGCTGCGACGCCGAGAGCTTCATCGACATAGCGGCCGGCAAATCGGATGAAAGGTGAGGAGATGGGTAGGTACGTGACCATCTCTGCCAGGCCTAGATAGTAGTGTAAGTTTCCGAGGTTTCATTTGAGCATGGTGAATCCAGAAATTAATAGCAGTCGCCAGGGCAAGATTTTGTAAGGAATTGATATCTGTTGTTGCTGCATGGTGGGAGCCTGGTTGTCTAGAGGTATTTTGTTGCTCGTGGCTTTGACTGGGCTAGGGCGTAAAGGGAGGTTCTTACAAACGGTTATGATCAAGATAATGCAACTCCTAGAAAGTCAACGTGTAAGATTCAAGTTCATCAAGTGACAAGGTACACCATTGACCAGGGCTCGACGGCTGAGTTGAGGTGTTTGATAAGGTTGTATTGGGCTTTGTGGATGCATTGGCAAATAGGAGGAGTCGATGGATGTGCTGTGCTTGTAGAGTGGTATTGAGGTACTCTGCCTAGAAGCATGCTTACGTCCCATGTATTTGTTGATAGTCTCAGGAATAGCTTGATCCTTTCATTCTATCGTGTTCTTCTTCCATCTGCTATAGTTGTGTGTATAGATCTCGCCATGGCCAATGCATGCCACTCCAGGCGTCGAGCCCAGATTATAAGAACACATAGGAAGGGATCTAAGGGACTTCTACATCCCGTTGGACTTGAACTTACCAAAGACTAAACCCAAGAAACAAACTTGCAGGTCCACTCGTGCGAAGATTGTTGCCAATTTGCACATACAACGCTGTGCCTATAGTTCCTCCAATGCCAATCAATTGCAGATGGCGAGGTTTCAACTTTCGTCGCGTGTGGTCATAGGTCGGCTTCATAGAACCCCCATCGATCGAGGCGTCCCGATTTCCGGATTGATCCTTTTCGGCGATTTCAACGGCCTTGTCAAACGTCTTGACCGGTTTTCCCTCGGGATCGGACAAATCGCGGGTTGACTCGGCGCGCTGGATGGCAGCAGTACTCGGCGAGTGGGAGCCAAGCTCATTATGTCGCGAATGTGTATCGGACATGTTGATATCCGATCTAATCCACCGAAAAATATGCAAGACCAGATCACAGCATAAACAGAGATGAAAAATAGGATTAAAGACAAGAGGGAGAGAATTTAAACCGACCAAGACAAGAAAAATCTTTCCTCATCTTGGCAATTTCCCTCCACTGCTTGGCAGTCCATCTGCGAAATCCCAGAAACGAATCCCACCGCGAGCATACTCTGGAAATCGGCATAGTCCGAGGACCAGTCCGACCCGGAGCACAAATCAGAGCGAGGCCTTCCCTAGGCCTGCCTTGCAGAGGGCTCGTAGGCCGCCGTGTCCCCACATGGCGTTACCTACGACGGGTTAATCCTTTGGCTAGTTTAGGCCCATTTAAGGCCTGCTAGACTATGGCAGTTGCGCGGGTTTGGCGATCGACATTTTTGCAGGACAGACGTTGATAGAATTCATCGTACCAGGATTCGCTTCGTGTCTTGATACCGACTCTCATACTGCTGGGGACCGCCGTCTTCGAGATGAAAGTCTCTCTTGGATGGGCAGTGGGGCATAAACGTTGCCGAGGTTGAATTTGCTTGTGGGGTTGAAGTCATGGGATTGTTTCAATCCACACACTTTCGTAAGAGTAAACTGTGGACGACTAGTTCTAGTATATTGTAATACTCACATTCTCCATCTACGGCATTAATATACATGTATATGCGTGGCTGGGGCTCCTCTAACACAGGTATTGCATGAACTACCTAGCATGTCTACGGCCAGTCTGGCGTAAGATGCTCAAGTCGCGTGGATGATACATTCAATTTTTGTTATGCGCCCATAGCTTTATACATGGAGAATCTGACGCCTAAAAAAGACCAATGGAGATAACAATAGAACAATCAACTGTCAGTCATAAACTTGCCGCGAGGATGTCGCAGCACAAGCTCATCGTCTTCCATTCCAGAACATCAACTCAGTCCCTCGGACCCTGACTTGTGGTACTATCATTCGAAGATCTGCGCTCTGAAGATGTCTTGTCATTTCCTAGCCAGGCAGGCGGGAAGAAACTATCGTTGTCCTCGAAGTAGAGATGGTGGATCTCATCGGCCTTAGTAAGATCTTGTTTAGGCTCGTCATGGTCACGAGGCATCGTATCATGGGGTCCGTTATGTGCCACAGGCTGTGTTGAGTGGAGATGTGGATTCGAATGAGGAGAGGACATCTTGCTAGCTGAGGAAGCCGAGGCTTATTGTATTGTATGTTGGTCGATATACAGGAAACGGATGGGATGAACCACCTTCTCTTGATGTTCAAGATTGTCTTCTTGCTTCAAAGATGAAATGTATGTAGTTGACCGTCGAGTGTCATCTGATCCCCGCCACCTTCCAAGGGGACCATTCATAAAGAGCAAAGTACTGAAGAAGCTCTCGTGACTTGACGTCATGAGATGAATGGCATAAAAATAAACTTACATTGGCTCACTATTAGGTCTTATCCATGATAGAATTCATCTCCAGTCAGTTTGGAACTTTCGGATGATTAGGGAAGTATCTAGATTTATTCATCAGTATTATCATACAAGATCCATTGAATCTACATATTTCCTGTGTCATCCACTGTTCTCTGGGACTGGGCAATCACCGCGGCGACTTGGTCAGCACCCGCGCGAGGCACTAATAGTTAACTAACTAACCTACTAACTTGGTTACCGTATTGTTAACCTGAACCCCGCTAATCGGCCGACCCTACGCTCTTTTTATTCCTCGGCCATCCCAAAGTTCCAAGCTTCACCTCATCCATCTTCCTCCACAATCACAACCGCCACAATGTCCGAACGTTTTGCACCCAAAGTTCCAGTCCAGCTGGACCCGCCAAAGGACGACCCCATCTCTCTGGAGGAATTGGCCAAGTGTGACGGTACGCACCCATCTCCCATCTCCCAGCTCCCGATTCCCGATTCCCCTCGGTACCTTTTGCGCGAAATCCCGAACATCCCGACTAACAAAGACTCCTCCTCACGCACAGGTTCCGACCCCAGTCGTCCAACGCTAGTTGCCATCAAGGGCACTGTCTTCGACGTCACTCGGAATGCTGCCTACGGCGCGACGGGCCAATACCGCGGTGAGTCTTCGATGCACCCGACATATGCGGGTTCCCCGATTGCGCAGCGAGTCGTTTGCACGGAGCCACGGACTGACATGATCCTCATGATACTGGATTTTAGTTTTCGTTGGAAAAGATGCCTCTCGCGCTCTGGCCAAGTCCTCGCTGAAGCCGGAGGATTGTGTGCCGGAGTGGTATGATTTGGATGAGAAGGAGAAGACGACGCTGGATGAGTGGTACACTTTCTTTAGCAAGCGGTATAACATTGTTGGTAAAGTGGAGGGCGCGAAAAACACTTAGAGTGTTGTACTTTGGGGAGGAAACGAATTGAGTCGATGTGAAGTATACCCGCAGTTACAAGATGAAGAAGGTGGATTGTTCAATCGCAATGCTTTTGTATTTCCAAGATGGTGGTATCGCGCAAGCCAGCCCAGCTCATTAGATACAAAATAAGAAACCGCAATCAGAATCTATACAGAATCAATCAAATGCAAGAAACCATCATTACGCCTTGCCCCGACGAGCCCTCCGCTTCATGCGCTTCTGCGCGATGATGCGATTGCGTTTGGCAACCTTGTTCTCTTCCTCCTCATCCTCCTCTCCTTGTTCCTCTCCCTCCTTGCCCTTGCCTCCACGCTTCCTCTTCTGTCCCTTCTGGTCGGTCTCTTCGTCGCCCTCCTGCTCTTTCTCTTGAGCGTTCTTCTCCTTGTCGAGACGCTTCTTCTCTTCCAATTCCTTGCGACGTTTGATGACTTGAGCGTTATCGATGGCGAATTCAACGACCAGGCGCTTCTTCCGGTCCTTGTCTTCCTCCTCGTTGTTGACGGGGACATCAATGGGGTGGCCGTTCAACCATCGCAGTCCCATCAAGGCGTGGCGGTGGGTGAAGTACTCGATGAAACCGTAACCGCGGCTGCGGCCACCGCCGCCCTTCTCGGGAACCTTGGTGCCCTCGCGAGTCTCGTAGACAATCATGGCTTGACGGACGATACCCTGCTTCTTGGTTTTCCGCAGAGTCTCCATCTCCTCCATCTCCTCGGATGATCGTGACTTTTCCTCCTTGGAGAGCGGCTCGCGCACGCCATTGCTGACATCGGTAGCAAAGCCGACGACGGCTTGACGGGCAAGTTGTTTCAGGTCTTTCGAAGTGATATGGCGGGGGATATTTCGGATAGAAAGACGAGTAAGACTGAGGTGCAAAGCCGGGTTCTTTTTGATGAAGGTCTCACGCTGCTTGAAACTGGCTTCACGCATCTTGATCTCGGAGGGGGACAGCTTCTTGTACATGGGCGTATTCGACGCGATGGTACCCTCTGACAGAAGGTAGAGGCGGCGCTTATCCTTGTCACGCACTAGACGGCGCGAAACACCCTCGTCATTCAACCTCGTAGCCTCGCGCTTGTTCACTGCACGCGCAACCTGTAGGATACGACCCTCCATTGTGTACTTTCCGCTGGGATCGGCATCCTCGTTCTGTAGGACGGAGTGCTTCATCGCTGGCTTGGAGCGCTCTTTGTCGCCAGTGGTAATCTCTGTTGTCTTGGGAGCACCGCGAATGCAAGTGACGGCATCGTCGACCTTCCAGAAGCACACGAAACCAGTGCCGCGGGGCCGTTCGGTCTCGTGGTCGATCACAATGCGTGCGTATCGGAGCGGTCCAAATTGGGTGAAATGTTCGTAGAGCGACTCGTCCGTGCAGGTGAAGGGAAGATTGCGAAGGAAAATGGTGCATTCCGTTCGGTCGTCCTCTTTCTCCTCCTCATCCTCTTCCTCCTCATCCCCATTCTCTAGATCACCCTCCAGATCCTCCATGTCCTCATCCTCGTCATCATCTGATGAAGCTTCCTCGTCCGAAACCTCCTCAGAACCTTCCTTGTCTTCTAAATCAACATCCTCAGTCTCTTCCTTCTCCTCCTCATCCTCCTCCTTCTCTTCCTGAGTGGCCCCGTTGGCCTTTTCCCATGCTTCCTTCTCAACGGCCCAATCGACAGCCAATTGGCGGCCATCAACTTCTTTCCCGTTGAGCGATTGAAGTGCCTTCTCGGCGTTCTTCTTGCCTCTCAAGACAACGAAACCAAAACCTTGCAACTTGTCGCCCTTTTTGGGTAGGACTGCATGCTTGACTTTACCGAAACTGAGGAAAAGTCGGGAAAGTTGTTCGGGGGTCTCAATGCTCCACGGCAGATTGCGCACGATCAGCCTAGGCGGCTGGTTCTGCGTTCTCTGATCTTCACGCTCCTGCTTGTTCTTAATCGCAGCAGCAGCAGGAACACTCCTGCCCAGCTTCTCGTCAATCTCACGGTGACGGGGTTGCGCATATTCGACCCGAATCTTCTTGCCGTCAAAGTCGGCATTGTTCAACTCCTCAAAGGCACTTTGGGCATCCTCAAGGTCGGCGAATGTAACGAAACCAAAGCCCTTAGAAACCTTGGTCTCCGGGTTGACAACAACAGTGGCGTGCTTGAGCACATAGGACTCTGAGAAGAACTCTGCGAGCTTTTCTGTCGTGGCTGAGGCGGGAAGCGATCGGACGAAGAGTGTCTTGTTGGGCTGCTTCGCAGCCGGGGTTTCGGAGGCTTTGGGTGTGGTAGTCTCCATTTTGGTATTGGAGACTTGAGATATATCCTCTTCGGAGAGGCGTCGTTTCTTATTTGGCTCGGCCATGGTGGAATTGTAGAAGCTGGTCTTGGTTTTCTGCAATCGAGACGGACAAAAAAATTCGCGGCAGAAAAAGGCTCTTGCGCGGTCGGGCGGTGAGCAAGTGGTCCTGCGTGGGCTCTGATAAGCCCCGACCGAGCTTTATCAGTTCACAGTTCAGCTTCGACATGGATGCTCAAACCGGAGGCGACTCGGCGTCACAATCTCGAGGAGATGGCGATGCTGGTGCTCGATTGTCTAACCCTGGAACGCCATCATCAGGCCAACCAAAAGTCCAGCAGCCTAAACCACAGGCTCTTCCGAATCGATCGGGTCCTTCAGCGATTCTCGTGTCGACGCGACAGAAGGGCAATCCGATCTTGAACCATATTAAACTCCTACCATGGGAGTATGCCGATATTCCCGCTGATTATGTGATTGGGACAACAACATGTGCACTTTTTCTTTCACTTAAATATCACCGTCTCCACCCCGAATACATTTATTCTCGAGTCCGACTCCTCGCGGGGAAGTACAACCTACGCATTGTGCTAGTAATGGTGGACATTCCCAACCATGAAGATGCCCTCAAGGAGCTATCGAAAACTTCCATTATCAATAATCTCACGCTGATGCTTTGCTGGTCCGCCCCCGAAGCCGCACACTACCTCGAACTCTTCAAGTCCTCCGAATACGCCCAACCCACCGCAATTCGCACGCAACAAGCACAGTCCTACAAGGAGTCTTTGGTGGAATTTGTCACTGCCCCGCGAAGCATCAATAAGTCAGATGCGGCAAGCTTGATATCAACATTCGGAAGCTTGCAGAATGCCGTGAATGCGCAGCCAGAGCAAATCAGCTCCGTTCCAGGCTGGGGCGAGAAAAAGGTCCAACAATGGTGCAATGCCGTCCGCGAAGACTTTAGGGTGGAAACAACCAAGAAAGCGTCTGCTTCAACGCCCAACCCCCAGAATAGACCAACGAGACTCTCGAGTGGGCTCGATCAAATGGCCATGGATGAAGATGACGACGAAGCAGTCTTGCGATCTGTGTTGGCCGAGAGCCGGCTCACGGCCGCCGCATCTGCTCCAACTCAAAACCCCTCGAAGAGAAGCCTACCCGCCGAGGAGCTTGATGAAGGTATTGCGGCTGCACTGGCGAAGCTGCGAGAATCTGGCGGATGAAGGTCATTACTGCGAGTAGGCTGATACAACATACCACCGAGGACGTTCTCGTTGTGCGGATCTAGGTCGTAATGCCGCAGAACGTACGAACTACATGCCCATGTGCTAGCTGCAACGGCTGCAGAACTCATATGCCTGCATTTCTTGTGGCCAAAGATGGCCACGACTGAAAATGCTCAAATATCATCGTTGGCCATTGGATTTCGCTACATATACTGCAGAAAGGTTATTCGAGAGCTATGATACCGATGGATGCTGCTCAATCTGGCAGTAGGTATCGGCTGTATCGAAGGCCTTTGTCTGATTCCTTTGCAAAAGAAGTGTGAGCAATCAATCATTTTGACATGATGTGTCTTATGGTGGACACTATTTGCAATTATCCCATCAGTCAAGCGTTGGGAAAGCCTGGACTTCGAGGACCAATGACAAAATCATCGGTGATGTCTTAATTATCTGGATATGAGTTTTTTTTTAGAGTATTACAATACTCTGGAGAAGGTCTTCTGAAAGGCAAAGACGTAAAGGCGCATCCGAGTAGTTTCTCCTCTGGTCACTAGGTGTCATTCTTCTGAACGGTCATCGTAGATGGTTCTTCAATGTAGTAGCTAAATTGCCTCATCTGATTTAGTCTAGAGAATGGGCATGACATCGGACTATCCGTTCCCCCAATCACCTCTCCCCTCTATCAATCCCGACATGGACTCACGAAACGACGATTCAGGCCAAAAGCGTGTTTTGATCGTGAATTCCCCTCATGGTACTCTATCCGAGCGCATCGGCCGGTGGTCTTCACGCCAGAAGCTCAACATCCCATTGGACGAGACTACCAAGCGTGGCCAGGGTCGATTTGCCAATCAGCTCTTCAATGTCTCACGAAACATCTCTCATGATGCGAGATCCTTCTTCTATTCGCGTAACAAAGTTCGATTCTATGGTCTGGGGGCCCGGGGAATTCCACATCTTTCTGCGATGACAACCACTGCTCTCCGGTCACTCTGTGATATCTGAACCCCGTTCAGATGTCGTACTATGCCCTCATGAGGAGGCGACCCGCCTTTGTAAACGGGGAACTGGATGATGGCTATTTCTTCAAAGAAGATGACCAGGAGTATCCAGCTGGACCTTCTATCTGGTAACTAGAATCGTATATCTGAACTGTCAATATCAATTGCTGATCCATGTAAGGTGAGATCGACCAGGACTTCTATCGTGAACCAGAACCCCGCTGTGCATGGTAGATGTTCATTAAACGTGGAGTTTCCAAGGATCCGACTTAGTAGCTATACAATGTGGAGATTAGCATTCTCTGCCCTGCATACTTCGTACCTCTCTCTGTATTCTGGAGCCTAGCAAGTTTGTTTAATACCAGATTCTCGGAAATTATCTCAACAAGCCACATTCTCTATGCAACTCCCATCGCCAAAATTATCCGCATCAGTCAAGCCACATCTGATTCTACGGCCCTCGCCTGTATACATACATTTCCCTTTCTGACAGACTGATCCTACCAACTTGCCAACCCCCTTCTAGTCTCGTGAACAAAAGTTGCATGCTTAACCAAGGAACTATCCGCCAGGGTGTAATATTCTATCGGGTATTGACAGCCCAGCACTAGACTATGTGATCTAGTGGTGACACTGTGGTACTGATATACCCCCTTGATTGGGCCCCGTCTGGACTCTTCGTCGTGAGTTTTAGAGCCTCGAGCAACCAAATGGCTCGATAATACATGGAGCCAAATGCACTTCGCCGCTTGGACGTTGCATCCTGTGCATATTCGGGATGCAAAGTGTCTTTTGATATGAGGAATTCTGATCGGGCCTTGCCCCTTTATCTACAGTCCCGAAAAACAGTACAGATAGACAGGTATAAAGCCCTCAACCTTTTAAATACTGACAGGAGAACACTTTCCGTCTGCATAGAGAGTCAAGAGGGCTATTACCAACCATTCTCCCTTGCAGACACGATGAAATTATCCAGTACACTCCAGCTGTTTTGTCTCGCTGGCTTCGCTCTTTCCCATCCTAACGTTCTCGGAAAGACAGACGATATTCCCGATGGTGCATTTCCAAGTCCTGCATCTTCCTCAGCCAGCCTTTCTCCGGTCCCAACATCCACGACATCCACGCCAGCACCCACCGATGCCCGTCTCGGCCGTGCCATCATAGTCAATCATTGTGAAGCCCCCACTTACATCTGGTCTGTCGGCACAGTCATCCGGGATCCAGTGACCCTTCTCCCCGGCAGCCGCTATGGCGAAACCTTCCGTCAGGACCACAAGGCTGGGGGTATTGCAATAAAGATCAGCACTGAGGAGGGTGGACTTTATAATAGCGCACCGCTGACGATATTTGCCTACAACGTCAACGGTCAAAATGTGTGGTATGATTTGTCAGATGTCTTTGGAGACCCCTTTAACGGCCACCCTGTTGTGCTGTCGCCAGCCGATCCGCCCATTTCCTGGGCGAATGGAATCCAGCCATCTGGAAGTCAAGTCCGCGTACGAGATTTGTCGGAGGATTTGACCTTGACTTTATGTTGAGCGAGAATGTAGATACGATCAATAATTGAGTATGCAGGATTGGAGGAATTGCTTAGGATAGGACCTGGCTGTGAGGCAAATTGTATACAAACTACAGCGGAGATGCGACTTATACGGAGATATTGATGCTAGCTAATTGACGACACACACTTCGAATACTTTAAATAATATAGAAAAGCAAATATGCAAAATTCCGGAACCTAATAATAACACCTATTCTCCAATTTGGGGTCACTCTTGGAGGGTATTATTATCCTTCCTCGGAATTGATGTCATTTACTGATAAACCTCGGCTGAAGACGCGTGTAGTCTCCGCCAGCACCAAGTTCGGTAAAGCAGCCAATAGCAATGATTGGAAAGGAAAGGTTTTATTGAATAAGATTTCCGATTCGGAGTTGCAATCTAGATCCACACTGCTACTTCTCCAAATTCTAGTCGCTGTAGCTCAATTCGCAGCCTTCTACTCCGTACTCACTGTAGAACTCCAAATCTCGGCGAGAAAGCCGACTCGGCTCAACCCACGAATCCCCGCATTTTCTCCATTTCCTCCAACTCTCACATTCCACAACCTCACCTCTACCAAGTGCACTTCCCCTTTATCAACCTCCCTCTCCCCTCATATTCTCTGTCTCTCCTTCAGCAGTATATTCAGCAACAAATATGGCCGCCCCAGCCGTTCGAGTGGCCCGTACAGCCGCCACCCGTGCCCGTAGCCTTCTGGCGACGGTGCAATACAACCACCCACCCAACTGTCCCTGTCACTCCAATCCCAACCACCACCACCACCATAAGACCCCCTCGCTGATGAATCATGTCCGGCGACACCTGGCAACACCGACAGACCCTTCGCGTGAGAAGGAGTATGCCTTTGAAATGGCTGCATCAAGTATTCGCTTTGGCCCCGGCTCCACCAAAGAGGTCGGCATGGATTTCAAGAATATGGGAGCTAAGCGCGTGTGCATTGTGACCGATTCCACCGTCGCCAAGCTGGATGCTATGAAGCAGGCTGTTGAGGGATTGACTCGTGAGGGCATTGAATTTACTATCTACGACAAGGTCCGCGTGGAGCCAAAGGATAGCTCCGTCAAGGATGCTATTGCATTTGCTAAACCGTATAATCCGGATGCCTTCCTTGCCGTTGGTATGTCTGCTTGAATCCCGCAATTGTGGGCATGTTACACATATGTACTATTCACGATCCAACTCACACAATTCCCCTAGGTGGTGGCTCCGTTATTGATACTGCCAAATTGATGAACCTATACACGGTCTACCCTGAAGCCGACTTCCTGGACTTCGTCAACGCCCCTTTGGGCAAGGGTCTCCCCATCGCAAAGCCCCTACGCCCTCTCGTCGCCGTTCCAACAACAGCAGGTACCGGCTCCGAAACCACCGGAACCGCCATCTTCGACCTCGTCTCCAAAAAGGCCAAGACGGGCATTGCCCACCGCAATCTGAAGCCCACTCTGGGTATTTGTGACCCGCTCAACACGCGCACCATGCCGTCCGCTGTACACGCCTCGTCCGGTCTAGACGTGCTTTGCCACTCTCTCGAATCCTGGACCGCAATCCCCTACAACGAGCGTACTCCCCGCCCAACAAACCCAATCAACCGACCCGCCTACCAAGGCGCGAACCCCATCTCCGACATCTTCTCCCTGCAAGCGCTCCGCAGCACAGTCAAGTACCTCCCCCGCGCCGTGCGCGACCCAGATGACCACGAAGCCCAGTCCAACATGCTTCTAGCCGCCACTCTGGCCGGTGTGGGCTTCGGCAACGCAGGTGTCCACCTGTGCCACGGCATGAGCTACCCCATCTCCAGCCAGAACCCAGGCTACAAGCACGCTGGCTACAATGTTGACTATCCCATCATCCCTCACGGCGTGTCAGTCGCCGTCACCGCGCCAGCCGTCTTCCGCTTCACTGCGGCATCGAATCCGGATCGGCATCTTGCGGCCGCGGAGGCATTCGGGGTCGACATTTCGAACGTTAAGCGAGAGAGTGCGGGTGAGGTGCTGAGTGAGGCGATCTCGGATTTCCTGGTCAAATTGGGAGATCAGCCACGTGGATTGAAGGATTTGGGCTTTACGGCGTCGGATGTGGAAGGGTTGGTTGAGGGGACGATTCCTCAGAAGCGAGTGTTGATGCTTGCGCCGAATTTGAGTGAGGAGTTGGAGGCGGAGAAGGGGGAGTTGAGGAAGTTGTTGGAGCAGTCGTTGGAGTATTAAGTGTGATGTGTGGGTAGAGTTTTGTAAAGATTGATCATGGTCTTGGACTAGGGACTTGGTATTTGATATACCTATGTTCTTTGGTGTGGACGTTCACGGAAAAGGGGGAATGGCGATTGATGTTTCGATTCAAGACTGGTTGTATATGTACATTTTCATGTGAATGACATCGGATGACGCTATGACGCTGAAAAAAGTGGATATCTCAATAGATCAAAATGGGAGGGGGAGGGGGCAGGGTTATGTGTATTCCAGTGGACAAGAGTAAGATTGTATGAAGTGAAATATTGCAGGCCCTAGAGACCTGCTAGGGCGGGGTATAAACGAGGGTTAGTTGAACATACTCCGAAATGTCCAATCAACTGAGAGTGGATGCTCCAGGTGAGGTCTCTTCCCCAACATAGCCAACATCCGGGGTCTCATCGATGATCCTCGTACCCAGCATGCCCATCGACGAAGCAACACGGTCCAACCAAATCACCGCATGCGGATCATTCCGATCAGACGTCTGAGACGGACCACGTCCAAGCTCCGAGTGGATGCGAAACGGCAAGGTGAAAGTCTTGGGCTGGATAAGCATCTGTGTGGGGGATTGAGAAGCTGCGCTACCCTCGCTGGGCGGTGTCTCCGCCACAGACTCGGGCGAGAGTTCTTCAATCACACGACAGCAAAGCCTGTCTTCAAGACGCTCGCGTAATTGGCAGAGTGTTCCAAGAATATGCTCCGCGCCCTGGAGGAGGAGCGATGGGGCCGTCTCAGGGAAGTTCTCAGGAACGGGACCGACAAATGTATCGAGGCAAGAGACAATGCCCTGTTCACGCTGGCCGTGTGCACTGATGGAGAAACGCAGCTCCGTGGTGAGCTTGTGCAGCTTGATTGTGGTTTCTTGAATGCGCTGCAGAAGAGCTTTGACGATCTCTCGTTCTGCGGGGGCTTCATCAGACAGAATTTCCCGGGTCTCGCTGATGTACCGGGGACACTTTGCAATCTCCATAAAGACTTTGTCCGAGATAAAGGCGTACGCGGACCATTCTCCAGGCTTGAGAGCATCTTCAGTCATAATCCGCATCGTGTACCGCTGCCATTCGTCTTGGTCCAGAAAGCACGGCTTCCCTTGGTAAACAGCGGTTGCAATATGAAATCCCCGAAACGCGATCCAGCATGATCGCCCAAAGCCTGATTCATGAAGCGCCGGACCGCGACTTTCCATGAGCCGTCTGACACCGTCGGAATGCACGGCCCATGCATCAGGACTTGTTCGGGCATACATCTCGTACACGCTCAGCAGCATCGCTGTGCAAACCATGTTATCCGACAAGGCATGATCATTCTTTGATAGAGCACGAATCACCTCGCTCAGCGAGAGACCATACATGCGCCGACTCGTGCGTAGTAACGCCGGATCCTGGGTTAAATGAGCCAAGTATACCGAACTCAAGCAGCAAATAGCTGTATCCAGGTATGCATCTCGGCCAAAATTCAGCACTATAAACTCCGCAAAGCCAGGCTCGCTACCAGCGCGAAACTGGTTGTGCCAGTATAATGTCGGAAATGACGTGATGACAAAATCGAGGAATAACTGCGGCTGCGCTGCCCGGAAGGTCTTGCGCACTAGCGATGGCGATACATTCTCGTCCAGAGTGACCGTTGACGAATGCTGGCGCATTAGAGCGATGGCATTGGCACGCACAACAGCTGCGGCACCGCCGCCGGGCTCGGGCTGGCCGAATGCCTCGATATGCGGCGTGGTCGTGCCGGGTGTACTGGGGGTGCTGGGGCCCGTCGAGGCCCCGCGGCCTCGCCCGCGGGTGGTGGAGCGATGACGGCGTTTTAGACTTGGACCCTCGTCTTGAAAGCGAAAGGTTCGGCGGTACCCTGGACAGGTGCGGCCGTAGCGCTGGCATTGGGTGCATTCGGGGACTGCTTCGTCGCACTTGGTATTACGTTAGCAGGGTATCTCGATTTCTGAGACGTGAAAGGAGTCTTCATTGTCGGGGTAGTGGAGGCCGAGCCGGTCGTCGCCCTGACTCACTTTGATATGTCTTTCCCGACATAGTGCACATCCAGTACTGTGCGGAACCCCCACCATGATGCGCGACAGCAGGGAACTAATAGTTCATGGTGATCGCGCAGGAGGGTGTGGCAGGGGAGTTTATGGCATCGCCAGCACTGTGGGTTCGTGTGTTTAAATAACGTGTCTGCGGGGGGATGGCGCTCCTGGCGTCCGAGACTAAATGCGATATCCGTTTGTTGGGGCCGATCTGGGCAGACTCGACAAATTGAGGTCTCCAGGACGAATAGAAGAGACCAGAACAGTCAACAAGATGGCAAGATCGCGAGCTGAAAGGTGCGACTTGAAGAGACGCGACAAAAATAACTAGGAAACGAGCGTTCGATGATGTGGAAGATAGGCCCTCGTAGTAAGCCCCGAGCTAAGATCGAAAGAGATGGACCTTTTAGGTCCAAGACCCCCCCAGGTCGACTCCTTCAAGGTCCAGGATCCAAGACCCCTGTCTGGAGTACCAACCGACAGGTCCTAGTGGAGATGAGGAGATGAGGAGATGAGGCCCGAGTCGCGCCAAGTGACCCGGCGCAAGAAAAAAAGTCCCACCGTAAGCCGTTAGAACGGACAAGGGTAAGCACTGAGCGAGTGAGTTCGTGAGTTCATCCTGGAAGTCTTGGTCGATTGGCAAAAGGCATGACTATTCGTGGGCGTTTCAGGTAATCTGCACGATGATGCAACGGGATTAACCGTCAAGGAAAGGGGGGGGCAAGCAAAGAGTACACCCCAAAAGCCAGGATTGGACTCTGTCGAATCCACATTCACGACATGATGATAACCAAGATTGCCCCATCAAGACTCGATACTCATGGAAACTCGAGATTTGGCCCCAACAGCCGCATCACTTGGGCGGGTGGGGTTGCCCAGGAATACGGGAGATCCGCACATCGCGATCGTATCCTTCCGGGGCTCGTTCTATTTTGGGCGTAGCAATCCGAGTCCAGGACACGAGGCGACGATCGATACCGTTGGATCGGGGAATTAGCACTGGGGCAGAGATGGGGTGTGCCAGTGCCCACTGCCCAGTAGTGGGCTAAGTGAAGACGCTAAGAAGGAAAGAGTTTGGCTTGCAAGAAACTGTCGAGTTGCCACGAGGATAAGCGTTCGTATAAGAAAGTCTGTGACCCGCAGTGGAAACTGTGAATGCTAAAATAGGTACACAAGCCAGGAGGCTCTGCTTGATGAAGAAAATTTAACATTGGTTTCGATGCATCGTCATGCCAATTCTTGATTCTTGACACGACTGTTGCTGTCTGTCAACATGGTCTAGAAGGTCTATGCTGTTTTTACGCCCCCAAATTGCTATTTGTATACCCCTTGGGCCGAAAGACCATCATCACAAGTACGAGCGCAGACATATCCTCCACTTGGAGGGACGCCATGGAGAAATCATCCCTCGGCACTCGAAGTTGCTTACTTTACAATGTTCTTCTGTGATAAAAATTGGGCACCTTTAGCTGGGCAGCGAGTTTTTCCGGCGAATCTGAATACGTTCCATCACCGTACATCGTACATCGACCATAGTTAGAATGAGACGACTACCAATGACCCTAAGACTTTCACCCTCAAGACTTTCAATTTCCCAAATTTGATTATCCTGGCCATGCGCGGGGGTGAGGGACAACTCGAAGGGCTGAGTATCCGCGCCGGCTATTTCCCAACCTTAAGGCAATAGAGCTACCCAAACGACCTGAGTCAATCATGAGGTCTCTGTCAGAGTGACCTAAGCTCGTCTGGAAGAAGGATTCTAGAGCTCCAAAGGTAAGCATAGTCTGCATCTTGGGAGGAAATTATTTTGTGGGCCGTATTAGTCGAGCGAAAATAACTTTCTGCGAGATGATTTCATCCCGAATGCTGTGAAGAAGCTAGCTAAAAGAACCATTGACCTTTCCATAAATCTTTATTTTCCTTGTGATGGAAGTGCACTGATGAAGAGTGTCTGGACTCGGCAGAGCATCGACTATCGATATACGCATTCGGTGCATACTCGATGTGTTATGGGTATTATACTAACCCAAGTCTGTGATTCTCTGCAAGGGATGCAAGGGTCTCTCCATGCGGCTAAATTGTTGTAGATTTATACAATGTAATAAACAGACACTAATTGAAGTGTATGCGCACAAGGGCTTGATGTAGTCAACGATCGGCTAAGGTGAATCGATCTCATTCGACTCTAGACACCCCGAATTGAATCTCTGCTAAATTCCATGACTGACACCAAGTAAATTGGCTGCATGAAGAAAAGAGCGGAAACGTCGCATTGATATACGCAGGAATTGCATCTTCCACTCGATTACAGAGCAAAGTTCTAAAGAAAAAAAAGGCCATCTACTATCTTACAGGTACAAGGACAAATAATAAAAAGATATCTGTTGCTCAACGCAGTATACAGACGCTCGAAATCAGTTTCATCTCTTTACTCTCTTTACCCTTGACCCATATTCTTGGCATTATCTCAGCACGGTAATTAATAAACGGACAAAAATAACCATCGTATTACGCGTGTATTAGTTATGCCTTGTCAAGAACTATCCACCTACAAACAGACCAAACAGATCGGTTGGCATAGGATTCATTGGCTATCTGGCCATCTATTATCTCCCTTTCGGTCAATCACGTTCACTCCACAAAACAAAGGACGAGAGAAGACATACGTAGAGGCAAAAGTAATAAGATGGAAAACTTTACAATCACTATACAACCCCTATAATACAGGGGTTTTCGAAAACAGATTCCCCTACGAGACACACGCTTTCTTTGCCAGGACCCACTAACGGTCTGAGGCGCTGTTTACGAATAATATCGTGTTTTACATAACACTTCTTAATAAATACCCTTAACCCATTACCCCTCCATTCCCTGACTTTTCATTCTTCTTAGCACATCTACCTAAAGACAGCCGTCTGTCTTTAATTGGAATTGGAGCTCCAATACTTTTATTCTCCCATCGCTGCCACAAACGTCATATCCAGCAGGATGGCTCAGGTCCAAGGCCACTGCGATGCCCGGTTTTCCAAGTTGCGCGACTTAATGCAAGAATCCATTGCATCTGGACAAGACATCGGTGCCAGTCTGTGTATCAATATCAACGGCGGGGACAACGTGGTGGATATATGGGGAGGAATCGCTGACGCGTCGACGAGGAAACCATGGGAAAAGGATACAGTGGTGAACGTCTTCTCAACCACCAAACTAGTCACCAACCTGGCAGCTCTGATGCTGATCTCGAGAGGCGCGCTCCGCCAAGAGGACAAGGTGGCCCAGCACTGGCCTGAGTTTGCGGCGAACGGGAAGTCTGAGGTCACAGTGGGCGAAATATTATCCCACACAGCGGGTCTCAGCGCGTGGCAGGACAAAATGACGCTAGAGGACATATGCGATGTCGAGATGGCAACCGACAAGCTGGCGCGCCAGGCAACGCTGTGGGCTCCCGGAACCGCAATGGGATACCACGGTTTGACGCAGGGGTTTCTCGTCGGGGAGCTGGTGCGAAGGAAGACGGGGATGTCCCTTGAGAAATTTGTAACGGAGGAGATCTGCCGGCCGCTGGGCGACGGGGCGGACTTCCAATTCGGGTGTCGCCAGGAGGACTGGAGTCGGGTGGCCCCCGTCATACCTCCATCGGGACCTTCGATCCAAGAGGTGCTTAGCCAGCAGGTGGGATATGACCAGGACTCAATTATGGTGCGCACGCTTTGCAACCCTTTGCCCAAGGCAGAGGACGCCAACACTGTGCTCTGGCAGTCCAGCGTACTAGGCTCAGTTAACGGCCACACAAACGCTAGGGCATTGGTCAAGATTCTCTCCTGCTTCTCGCTCGGCGGGATATGTGCGGCAGGTGATCATCGCCTGCTGTCGGCTGAGACAGTGAAACTGGCGTTTACGGAACATGCAATTGGGATGGATCTGGTGACGGGGCGTAGCGGGAGGCGCGGACTTGGAATCTACCTCACCGGACCTGGGTCGGGAATCGCTGAAGGCAAGCTGCCGGAGGGGAGTGTTGGGTGGGGTAGCGGATGGGGTGGTTCGATCGTGGTTATGGATAGCGACAGGAGGCTCACAATTGCGTATACAATGAATAGGATGCTAAATGGAGAACATCCTTCCCCGGCAGCGTATATAAAGGCGGTTTATGAGATACTTCAGGAGTTAGCCTAGCTACAGACGGGCTCGAAATCAGATTCACCTATTAAGTCTCTGTTATTTATCGAACTCTACCTCACATAACAACATACCAATTATGGTTACATTACCTAAGGTCAAATATTTGTCAAGCACAACTACAATTTCAGTATGGTAACAAACAATTGCTTCAAAATACCTATCATATCATATTTGCATAGGCTATGTGTACAAGCTGACTCGGTCTCTTGGACCTTCGCCAAGTCACGTATGAAGAGAAGATTGTCATTCAAACCTCTCTCTTTAGGCCCTCTCTAAAGCGCCCAAGGAGATTTGTAGTCTACGCCCCAGACAAGCTCAATATGGTCAAGAACAGCGGCTTCCAGGGCTTTTCACTTGCCCTGGCCAATATTGAATGCGCAAATGAAGATGCATGCTATGGCTCCGGCGGAAACAAACACTGATCAGATTGATGGATATCCAAGTTAACTGGCCTGTTGAGTAACAATCGTATCCTTGTTTGTGAAAAGTTACAACCCCACAGCTCGTGTGATTTAACCTTACAATACGTTTCGAAACCCTGCAGAAGACTAAGTCAAAGACGGACTAACAAAGGTCAGGAAAGAAGAGAAGAGAATAAAACGATGAAACTGATTTCGAGCGTGCCTGTATACGATTTACTTTTCAAAAGCACTCCTTCCGTGCAAGTCCTATCATCGATGATCTACAAAACCCCCACTTCCTAGCATAGGCTCGCCTTGCCCCTCGTTCGATGTGCATGCTCGGGACTCGCTTCAATTCTGGTAGAGCGTTGACTTTTGTCTTGAGTAAGTCAATCGGTCTACCCACCAATGCCCTAAGTTCATTTGAGAAGGAACAGATTCCGTTTCGTAGATTCTAGTGGGTGGATCCCAAGGAATAGACTAGTTTCGACCAGTCTATTGAAGTATACTCCGCAATGGGATCAACTACATGATAAAGTAAAGATATTTCCTAATCGTGCATTATCATCAAATAAACATGAATCAGACTTGTTTGTGTTGAATATGGTCCCCGACGACTTACTCCAGAGGTAAACCAAAATGCTTTTTCCTGAGGCCGAAACCGCAGGGTGAGTCTCCAATCAACAGCGCCACTTGCTGTTACCCCCGCGTTTTTGTGTCGCCATAGATGACGGACTGATTAGCTCCGGAGTAGATGTAACTGCATTGGGAGCCTTGAAAGGTGTCTTTGGAGGTATTTGAAGTCCTTTCATTGGGCCAATTCTCTTTGTATTCGTTACCCTGCCAGAAACAACTGCGAGATCGCTGGGCGCGCCTGCCGCGAAGAAACAATGCCACTCCTCTAGTCCTCCCAGCTTCGGACTCTCTTCCTTATTTCTTTTAAATTTCCCTCCTACAGCTACAATTGACCTCCGCAGAATCCATTCGGATGAGAATCAGTGAATCGATACATCTTTTGCAACATGCCGTTCTTCAAAGAAGCTCCTCCAAAGGTCCTCGTGCCTGAGAAGCTGTCAGCCGACGGCCTAGCCCTTCTACGGGGTTCACTCGATGTGGATGAGCGCAAGGGCTTGACTCCAGAAGAGCTGCTGGACATTATTCCAAATTACGATGCCCTGGTGATTCGTTCGGAGACCAAAGTCACTGCGACTGTTCTGCAGGCGGCTCGGCGGCTGAAGGTGGTTGCTCGTGCTGGTGTTGGGGTTGACAATGTCGGTCAGTGATCTTTCAGGATGGCTTACGCGAGGGATACTGCTAACTTGTCCACTGAAGATGTCGAACAGGCCACCAAGCTGGGTATCGTAGTGGTCAACTCACCTTCTGGTAATATTGGAGCCGCCGCCGAACATACCATTGCCTTGATGATGTCCATGGCACGAAAGATTCCCGAGGGTTGCGCCAGTCTCAAACAAGGGAAATGGGAGCGCAGCAAGTTCGTCGGAGTCGAGGTCAAGGGAAAGGTTCTGGGAATCATTGGACTTGGAAAGGGTAAGTCGCATGGGTCTTATTTACCACGAAACTTCTTTAACAATCCTTCCAAAGTGGGCTTGACGGTAGCTCGCCTGGCCAAGGGCCTCGGTATGACAGTCAACGCGTTGGATCCTTATGCATCTCCAGCTGTGGCATCTGCAGCCTCAGTAACCTTGGTCACCTCTTTGCCAGAGCTTCTGAAATCGGCCGATTTCCTCACAATCCATACCCCGCTAATTGCATCGACTCGTGGTATGATCGGTGAAGCTGAACTGGCCCAGATGAAGGCAGGTTCCCGAATTCTGAATGTGGCTCGTGGCGGCACCATTGATGAAGCCGCTCTACTTGCTTCCCTGGAGTCTGGACATCTGGCAGGCGCAGCTGTGGATGTCTTTACTTCGGAACCACCAGTTGCTGATTCCACGGCGGCGAAGCTGATTGCTCATCCCAGAGCGGTGGTTACACCACATCTCGGTGCATCCACCGTGGAAGCCCAAGAGAATGTCTCCGTCGATGTATGCGAGCAGGTCCTTGATATTCTAAAGGGATCACTACCCCGAAGTGCTGTCAATGCACCTCTCATTCTCCCAGAAGAGTACCAAAAGCTGCAGCCATTTGTGCGCCTTGTCGAGAAAATCGGCAGTCTATATACCCAACATTATGCCGCTCTTCCTGGTGGGTCTATGACTCGAAACACATTCGACCTCATCTACCAGGGCGAAGTAGCCAGCATCAACAACACAAAGCCCCTCTTTGCTGCCCTCATCAAGGGTCTACTGGCACCCATCAGTGGCTCCGAGGGGATTAATATTAACATCGTGAATGCCGAACTCGTTGCTCGCGAGCGCGGCATTTTTGTGAACGAGCATCATTCCCGTGATCCTGCTGATACTTCGTCATACTCATCGCTGGTCACACTTGTTGCCCGTCCACCATCTCGTGCTCCATCCCGCGCCCCTGGCCCTATCGATGTATCAGGTACTGGCCCTCAAGTACCAGCCCAGCGCATTATTTCGGGCACTTGCTCCGGCGACCAGCCACTCATTACCCGTCTGGGCCGATTCGAGGCATCATTCGAGCCCGAAGGCACTCTTCTCATCTGCGAGAACTATGACTCGCCGGGTAAGATTGGTGTTGTGGGTAGTCTTCTCGGCCAGGAGGGCGTCAACATCAACTTCATGACTGTTTCTCCTGTTTCACCGAAATTGACGACTGGCAATGACCAGGCGGAGAGTATCCCTAGCAAAGATGGTAGCGCGGACCTCGGGCCTAAGGAAGATGCGCCTGGCTCTAAGGAGGCACTCATGATTTTGGGCATTGATCGCGGGGTGTCGGCGCAAGTTACAGAGGGCTTGGTTAGAGAGGGCGGTGTTTTGAGTGCCTGTGCTGTTACACTTTGAGGTGTTCTGGTTGACTCTGCGAGATTGGTCGGTGTTGATGGAGGTGCTCAACGTCTTGTTGTGTTGTTTTGTTATGCTGCCTTTCAACTATGGTAGTCTTATGCTGGAGTTCTGATAGGATTACAATGATAAACAAGTTTAAGACATGCCTTCTTAGCTAGTCAGTCATTCAAGAACGGCTATACGACTATATCAATGATCATTTTAGAGTATTACCAAAGCAAACTCAGTCACCCACGGATGAGAAACGAATTCAAATTGCTCCCATCAAGACCATCATATACACAAATAGACCCAACGCTCTCAAACACCAATGCCTTGCCCCACATCAAAACCCAAGCTAAACCTCAAAACAGGAAAGAATCATAAGGGTATCGCCAAAAAAAAAAGAACCAAATCAAATCAAAACATCGAACTCCGCTTTTTATCCAACCGATTCCTCTGCCTCTCCCCATCTTCCTCCTTACTCCGCCGGAACCCAAAGAAACTACTCTTCCTCGGAGTCAGAGTATGCTGATGCTGCTGCACTGGCGACACTGGCGACAGTGCTCCGGGCGGATATCCAGGTGCTAGACCGCCATTTGCAGTTTGGTAAAAGCCCACCGTGGACTGGGGCCGGACTTGCTGCGGCCGCGGCTGCATGAGATGCGTTGTTGATTGGGCGCGGGGGTCGAGACGGTTGCCTGCGGAGCCGTGCATGTACGGGTTACCCGCGAAGGTGGGCGCGTTGGATGGACGAGGTGGTTGTTGTGGTTGGGCTTGTTGGGCTTGTAGAGGCGAGTAGGATTGCGAGTAGTAATGCGAGTACGGTCTTGATGGACCCGTGTGCCGGGGTGGAAGGTGTGGGCGTGATGAAGGGGCGGGAGATGGTTTGTTTGCGTTTCCTTGTGCGTTGGCGCGGACTTGTTGTTCCTCGTGGCCGTAGAGTTTCTGGAGGCGTTTTGTTTCGGCGTCGATTTCGGCTTGGCGTTTGCGTTGGGCTTTTTCCGCGGCGCGTTTTTCGGCGGCGAGGAGTTCTTGTGTGCGCTGGGCTTCTTTCTTTGCTTGGGCGTCTGGGCGGGGTTGCGGTTGCGGTTGTGCTTGTGGTGCTGGTGCTGCTGCATTGTTTTGCGGGATGGTCAGGCGTGGCGGAGAGGGTTTGCCGTTGGCGACTGCGACGGTTGGCTGTTGGGAAGATGTTGCTGGGCTTTTTCGGCCTGGGGCAATGCCCGTCTGCGGCTTGTTGGTGCCGATTGCAGGAGCACCGCCGACGATGTGAAACGCTTCTTTGGCGAGGCCGAAGAAGATATCCCGGATGGCGACTGCTGCAAGCAAAAGGACGACCTCTAGACCCTTGAAGTCTTCCATTTCCACCCGATAGAGATTCGGCTCGTAGAGAGTTAACTCGCGTAGGCCCTGGAACAGGGCCACAGTGATATCCGGTTCCCGAGTCTTGGTACGAGTATCTGTAATCGTAGAGGATTTGCCGTGCAGCAGACACGACAGATCTTTGGACAGTTTTCCATCCTTGCGCCAGCTGAACCGTAGCTTGGGTGTTATATCCGCCGCGGCGGGGTCACTCTGTGTCCGATCGAGGGTCGATGTAGAGGGCACTCTGAATGTACGCTGGGGCATCTCGAATTCCCACCGTGCGGGCTTGTTCCATGACTTTGGCTGGTGTTTGATCACGATCTGCTGGTCCGGGTTGTAGAGTTGGATGGAGAATTCGGTAGGCAGGATAGGCTCCGGGGAGGTGCAGTACCGCCATTTGCACGGACTGTATCGGCGGATAGAGTGGGCTGAGTCCATTCAGGGATCACGGCGACCTCGCCGTATACGACGTCAGGCACATAGGGGTCGTAGAGGGCGACGCCGTAGCGGTTTCTTGAGGTGGGCAGGTTTGGGTCCAGGTAACGCAGGTTATAGGCAGGCTCCGGCTCGTTTCCATGTTGACGGTGATAGACGGTACTCTGATTGGTGTTTTGTGAGTTGTTCTTGAGGAAGAACGCTAAAGAAAGAGAACAAATTAGCGATCGGGGGCTGCAGGGGAGCCGAAAGAAAGGCGGGGAGTGCAGTCCATGCAATGACGTCGTCGGGGAGAACCCGAGGGCAGAGCCAGGGAACTGTCCAGGACAGGAGAAAGAGCTTACTCGGCAGGTTTTCATCAATCATCTTCGGGCCCGTCAACTGGGTGCTGGATGGGGAGACGGAAGACGGGAGCAGGGTATATGAATTATCAGGAAGAGCATGCGGAGCAAGCTGCCGACTGAATTGCCCTGCGCCACGGAGATGCGCGATCGGCACCTAAAAATAGAGGGGTCCACCGTCCACCCGCATGGCCCTGTTCGCGCCCTCGTTTCCAAGGCCCTTTTTGGTTACTGTCATAGACTAAGTACGATGTGTGTGCTATATAGTGTTGAACGAAGAAGCTACTGTCAGAGAAGGCACCAAGATTCCGGAGAGTATCCACCTGCACGGGTCTGCTCTACATTTTCATATTCCTCTGATTTGTTACGTAGACAGTCACTGCAACAATGCCCCCCATTGCAGGTACCCGAAATCTCGCTGCCTTCCAGAGAATCCCATCTCGAGGAATAATCCATTTCAAAATCTGGGCCCCTTACCTGCAGGTTCTTTCCACCGATCTACGTCCTCGACAGCTATATGATTCGCTAGATTTGTTAGACAAACAAGGAAGACCTAGATTCAAAATAACATTCCCGGTATATAGGTCTAGTTAGCATCTGCAAACACAATTACAGGCATATATATTGGAACTTACTTGCGTTTTTGGGGGCCTCTAAGCCACCATCCCCCACTGCCTGGCCCCGCGCCTCCACCATTAATGACGATTGAAGACGGGGCGATACTGTACACTCAATGGTTGCGATCAACAGACAAGAGGGATTTCCTGTCTGCGTCAGCCACCACAAGGAGTTGGGTGTGAACTTACCTGCACATCGAACAGAGAGAGCAATGGCTGCGATAAACCTAATAAGAACCATTCTATTAGCTTTCAGCAGTTTGGGGTGAAGACTTACCTGGGTTGGGGGTGGCGCAAACGCATTCGCGTCCATGGATCCTGTTTGTTAAAGTATCTTGTAAACTCAATTCATCAGCCGTGATATATGAGGGTAGCAGACTTACCTGAACAGAGTATTCGCAAAGCTGGTTTTATACCGCGGCGTTCTAGACCATATCTAAAGTCGTTGTTAGCATAGACGGGATTGACTGACCTTGCAGAATGTTCATCAAAGGAGGCACTCGAGACGAGAACTTTGGGGTTCTATGTATAACATTATGAAAGTCCTAGAATGTATCAGTGATGGATTCGGGGAGAAGAGAGAGTTCTTACCTGGCGGGTCATATACTCGGGGGTTGTTTCATAACGTGTTTCATCGGACAAAGACTCGAAACGACTCGGAATGTCTAGTACTCGTTGTCAGTAAATCCTCATCCATTGCATCCAAAGGGATATGGAAATAGAAAATGCCCTATCTTTTTATGCATCAAAAGTCAAGGCTGAACAAACCAGTAAATGGTTATGCGTGGTGCCTTTCCGTATTGTTATCCATATAGCAAGACACCCAGCGTCAGTCGTCAGAACGAGTTGTCACTCGGGAACGGACCTACCTGAAAGAATCATGGTAAGGAGTATACGCTCTCTTTGTATAACAGGTAGCCTGTAACCAGTTGTTAGTATGAGTTGTCAGCTGGAGAGGGACCTACCGGAGACCATGATAGGAAGTATGCTGTAGGTAGTGATCAGGAACCTAGAAACCTTTGTTAGTTCAATCTCCACCCAGTGAGGAACATACCTGATAGTTCAAGATGGAAGTATAGTATAGACTCCATGTTATATGCGGGTCAACGAAGACAGCCTTGACAATCACTCATTAGTACTGAAGAGAGAGGAGGACTCACCTGGAAAAGGCTAACCGTGGAACAACTCAGCAGAGAAATGCACCCTCAGATCTTCTGACCTGCACACTGCAGTAACTGTGATTTCCATGGTGCCTGTGCTTGTGCTTGAGTTCTGGAAATCAACTCCAGCGGAATTGAATCCCATTATATACCCTCTCGAGCCAAGTCTATTACACAATGAGGTTCTTTGGCACAGAAGACCTTTGTACAGACCCTTGCCGAGGGTGTATCATATTGATTGAGAGTCGACAAGAATACCCATTGTGAAATGTTGTCTCTCAAAGGCGATCCAAGGGAAGATGAGACGAGGCACAATGTCGACCTGAAGAACCGCCTTGTCCGATCTTTGTTCGTGTACTAGCCCCTAGATGAACCTGTAAAGCGATAAGAATAGATCATAATAGAATAGTAGCCCCCGCCTGTAAGAAAAGACAAAGGTAGACAATTCGATTCTACAGGAATTTGCTTAGATAATGTGAAATGGTCCATATTTAGTAACTTTTGCTCTATATGCATCCAATCAATCTATCTGTATTTTGATCCACACCCGGATCGATGTGTATGCCCACGGCTCGATCTCCTACAGAGAACAATGACAATGTCTAATATCATCCAATATTCACACAGCCCAACTTCTTTTGAAGACTCGCGTGCTCTATACACGAACGCCGTCAACCTCCTTACCCTCAGGAACCTTGGCAGCATCCCGCTCAGCAGTGCTCATCTGTAAGCCCTGGTCGTCCCAGCCTTGCGTGCCAAGCTTGTACAATGTCTTCTGCTGCTGGCGATCGGGCATAGGACCAGCCTTACCGCGGCGCTGCCGCGACTCGAGTGTCTCAGTCAGAGTGGCATTGTCACCGTCCAGAGCGTGACCCTCCAGATCCTCGTTGTGCGCCTCGTCCGTGAAAGTGTAGGTTCGGTACTCGGTGTTCACCCAGCCAGTTCCTGCAGAAGAAAATTGTATTTTGGTTAGCTTCCTTGCTTATGCTCCCGCGGTGGCAGGTTCACCTACCCTGGTACTGGCTGCTATCCTCCCAATCCTCGGTGAAGTAATGCAGGAAACCACCGTGGGTAACGAGAATAATCTCCTTCTCAGGCCGAGCCTTTAGCCAGCGGCGCGCAGCACGAGCGCGTTCCTTGAGTGCCCGGTTCGTAGGCGCATAGCGGCCGTCCTATTTATCGAATTCCCCATTAAGCATGTAGACCTCGGAATCGCGCAGGTACCAACACACCTTATTATTCCACCCCTCGTGTACCAGCTCCAAATCAACAGGCTTTCCGGCGAACTCCTCTTGCAGAACCGCGGGCTCACTGCCAGTATCACACGGCACGTCGGAAGTCTCCTGGGTGTCTGGCAGGGCAATCAGCTTCATGTCCGGGTGGGACTCGAAGACAGGCCCGAAGCTCTCGAGGGCTGTGTAGATGGTTCGGCGGAGAGGCGATGCGGTGACCAGGTCGATCTGCGCGTGGTTGGGGAAGGACTTTTGCAATTTCGCGCATTGCTCGTGGCCGCGAACTGTGAGGAGAGGGTCCTGGATGACGTGGTTGGCGGTGCAAAGGTTGTGGAGGCCCTGGAAGAGACCATTGGTTAAATAGGGCACATGTAGGGATATACGCTGGTATTTTGCTCTAGATCGGCATATTCCCGCGATGAGAGGTCTTTTGCGCAATGGCGTTGACTGCCATTGACTGCGGATTCCTTCGAAGCAGGTATTCCTGACGTACCTGCGCGTGGCGAACGGCGTGGATAATAGGCGCCATTGTGAACTAGGTATTGAGTCCGAAGTAAAGACAGTTCTGATGGTACGTTTTGTTAGTTCTGACAACCAAAGCTCCAATCTCGAGAATACCAGCGATGACTCTTATCGGCGAACGTGGGGCAGCGGGGTGAAGGACGCGACGGAAGCAGCGCAGAAAGAGACATGACTTACAGTGGCGATGATCAGGCCAGCTGTATAGGCCGTAGCGAGCGAGTATGTTCAAGATATAGTATTGCCGAAGAAGAAAAGCAGCAATGGATGGATAGCTCGGCACTGATGAAGAGTCACGGAGGTCAGGACTCCGCCTGTTGAATCTTTTGGGGATCGCCACTTTGCCCGCGAACCACACGGCCAAACTGGAGCCGCTGGATTTCTACTTTGGTCTGATTCGCCTAAGAAGTGGCTTTAAACCCACGTGGTTTCATGCCTGTCACGTCTTATGAATGGATTCATAAGATCCGAATAAGATAGTTATTGACTTGTTCCATTTGCGCCTTACGGATCAGGTACTTTGCAGTCATTATGTATTCATTGTATTCGTCAAGGGCCAGCTTTTAATCATTCCCGATGAAATTATGGAACAACGAAATGGGTATGTATGAATCAAGATGATTGATTCCAATCCAGGACTCTTTTTATGCAACCCCGAATCCCCGTGCATTCTCAAGGGCCTTGTCCAGCTTTTCGGTCAGTGCCTCTTTCGAGGAGTACTCGGGCAGGAGTAGACGGCCGAAACACGTCAGACTGGTCGGGAGGCGCTGCGAATAAAGAATTAGTAAATAATTCAAGTCCAGAGTACTGTAAAGAGCATGAATAAACAAGTACTTACCAAATCTCCTACGCCGTTCTTCTGGATCACGAACATAATGCTCGAGATACCATTGACGGGAATTCGGTCACTCGCGGTGACGAACTCAAGGAGCTGCGCCTTCTTCTCGGGCGGATACTGCTTGACCACACTCCAGAAGTCACGGATGACTTGGTGAGTAGGTCCGAATCCACCTTCATACCGAGCATGGTGCTCGAGTTCTGCCACGTCAATTTCTTGAATACCTTCGACGACGGTTTTGAGAGCCTCTGGTGTGAAGATGGACAGCGCTGAGCGATCGAGGCAGGTGTGGAACCCTCGAAGGAACGCCTCAAACTGCGGACGTATCGACTTGTCGGTAAGCCAAAAGATGTAATCTTTAACAAACTGACTTCGATTCTGGTTCGTCACTAGAGGTGCTTCGACTGCAACAGTTACAGGTGGTGGGTGAGTAGCCAAAGACTGCATAGTCTGGGCGGGACTGGATGCTTCTGCTACCGTGGGGGATGGAGGGCGAACAGCTGCTGGTCGAGAAAGGTGAGAGGCGTCCGACCACGCGTCGTCACGGCCAACCTGCTGCATATCAACAGTCTCCACGGTGCCTGCAGACTCGAAACTGAATTCGTAGGTGCGCATGAAAATATCACCCACGTCGCCATCCTTCCATGTGAGGAGCGCGTCTAGACCTTGAGTGAGTTCGGGCCAGCCGTCACGAATATGGTCAAGGTCCTTAACCTTCAGTCCCAACAACTTGCGGTAGAATGCCATCGGGAAGTTGACGGGAAGCGTAAGTCCATTGTACACGGCTATGGACATGAGTAGCCCGAGGAGTTCAAACTTGTAAAGAGGTTCCCAGGAACAGGGCTGGAGCCAGGAGATACGATGCCGACTATCCATCGTGAACATGCCGTAAGATGGATCCAGAGCTTCGCCCATGAGCACACGGAAGAACTCTTGCTGAACGCCACCGTGATCCAACCCTTCCTCACCCTCGTCCATGCCCATCTGAACCTTGAGTGGGCGCATCAGCTCTCGTTTCTCTCGGCGCCAGAGCTGATTGAGCGCATCTGTCAAGACACTATCTCGTCGAACCACCAGAACCAGATACGTGGACATGGAGATCTTCATACGAGCCAGAAGTGCGGCGTCATCTGCGACCGGGATACTGCTAAAGGCAGTTTGTGTGATATGACGAGTAGTGGTCATCGCAGCCTCGTAATACTTGGACATTGCCGAGTAATTGAGGGCTCTGAAATAGATGACCAGGGACGACGGCGGGAAGAGGAATGGGTATGAGAGGAGATGCATCGTGCGGTTATTTGAGAGGCTCCCCAGCCAGGCAATGGGCATCTCGAGAGGGTCCAGCCGCTCAGCGAGGAGAGGAGTGTGAAAGTCTTCAGGGGAAAGACCTAGCCGATTTCGCTCCTTGTACATCAGAGCCAGGATCTGCACGGCACCTCCAGCAGCACTGCTACGAGCCATTTCCGGGTGACCATCCCATTCGCGTAGAAACAGCGTTCGGAGCCACTCAACGATGAGAGGGGTAGGCCCGGTGGATTGAGAAGATGCACCTTGGTTCTCCAAGGCTTTGCGAGGTTGTTGCTCACTGAGATTGTCCATTATGCGATCAAGCACATTGACTTTCCCTTGCTTCGGTAGGTCGAAGCTGTACACCTGGCGAGCTTTGGATATCTCATGATAGGCGAGTCTAGCTGTGAGAGCACGTACAAGACGATTGATCAAGCGGAGGCCTAGCTCATGCTCAAGTCGATCGGTCGCTTCAACTGCTTGTTGAGCGTGTTCAGGAGACAGCTTTTGCATGTCAGCAGCAGAGGCGACAGTTCCGGCGGCCCGCATCCGCAGGATACCACGCCATGTGCCAACGTCAAGATCAGGGACCGAACTGGCCAAGACAAAGAAAGCGATCGTGGCAATGTAAGCGGCATCTGCGTCAGACAAGTGCTCATTGCTCGCTGACTCTGACAGTCGCCGTACCACAGGGGGAGCGGAACTGGTCATAGTAGAACTCCGAGACGAACGACGGGAAGGTCGACCAGATGAGGTCAACTCATCCGGCGGCACGAAAAGCTTGTCCAACGAGCTCCACAAACTATGCAAGGCGATGTCCCAAGGGCAGATGGTAAAAAGGCGCTGCAGAGACCCCTGAAGGTTTGAAACATCTAGGCGTTTATTCATCTTGTTGGCAGTTGTGTCTAGATCTAGAGCGTCCCTCCCGAAGGATCGTAGGATGTGCCCAGTACTGCTGAAGATGAAATATGCACTCTGAGCGATAAAAGGGAATACCTGGCGCTGGCGAGGCGTTGCGAACTTCCAGTCCGGATTGTCGAAGCTTCCCATGGACTGTATGCGGTCGAGTTCTTCTCGCCAAGTCTCTGCATCTTCCTCTGAAGATATCATGACTTCGCTAAGACCATCGATGATTTCTGGGGTGAAATGGGAGATGGACTGGGCCAGCGGGGCCACGTTTGGCATGCGACGCATGGAGCTCGACTTTGGTTTGCGGTTTGTTGGAGTGTCGACATCCACATCCGGCAGAGGAGGGTTTGGTTTGGCGTTCTCCGGACTAGCGCCAATGGCTTCCTGGGTCAACAGCTTCTCACTGTCCCACGATACACGTCGTTTAGTCTTAACTTGGTCTTTGGAGCGTGATTTATCCATATCACCCATCCTGCCACGATGTTTCTGTGGACGGTGCTTCAAGGCCGGCGGGGAAGGCATGCTGGCAAACTCATTTGGAGAGGGTTGCGCGTTCATTGACAGTTTATGACTTTTGTACTCGGGTCGCTTCTTCTCGTCCAAGCTAGACCGGGGTGACTGTCGCCAAGTATCCGATTCGGTAAGCGACAGTCGCTTGAGTTGTTGGTTTTGAAATGTGAGCTCCACGGCCGAAGGCTGTGTTCCAGAAGGGCGCGACAAAGGAGTGCGAGGTGGAGGTTGTCTTGCATGCGTAGGGGTGAGTCGACTGGCATCTGGTTTCGGCCTATCTTCTTCTTTGTCGTGTCTCTTTTCGTAAGTTGGTGTCTGGTTGTTGTCTGGATGAATTGTTTGGTCCCTGGCCAGCGGTGAATTTTCAGTTGTGCGTCGGAGTGGAAGCCATTCTACCATGCGCAATGACAATGTATCGAATAGATTTTGGGTGAAGGATTTCGGGTCTTTGAGAGGTTGTTCGGCAGCGTAGTCAAGGTCTTGAAAATTGAAGGTGCTTGGATGCGTGTCGTTGGCTGTGATTCCTGCGAGATCGCCGGTTATCGACGATCCTCCTGCTTCCTCGAACGTATTGGTATTGAGGTCGTCTGCTTGCTGTCGTGCAGCTTGGGAATCATGACGATCTTTCTCTGTAGCGGCGGCGGCGGCAGCATGCGCTTGGAAGGCTCGGGATCGCTGGAGAGAAATACGGTGATAATCATGAATCGTCATTTCGGATGTGTACCGAGGATTGTTGCAGCACAACCCGCTCTCTGCATCGTCTTGGCTGGCGAGGTAGCAAGCTAGGGTTCGCGCGCTGAGTTCCGTGTAGCGGCGATACGGGCCCTCGCGGACTCTCCGACGTCGACTGGCGCAAGTTGGGGTTCGACATCCTGGGTCGTCACATCCATGTAGCAGTTGATTCTTGTACCTATTGGGAGAATTTGAGTCAGCATCGTCATGGGGCGAGGAGAGAAGGATGCCATCTGCCGTGTCAACACCGGGCCTCAGCAAGCACGTACCTTCGCACCAGCACGTTGAATCGCCTCCGACGCTCATCCCGATACCACGGTAGGACCCGAGATGGGTCCGTAACTTCGACGGTGTTCTGGGCAATAACTTCCGGTGCGTTTGGCGGGATCTTGGACCGACAGTATTGTGATCGCTCGCTGTTGCCAGGCTGCGCAGGGTTCGGACCGTCGAGAGATGCTCCGTGGAGCCTCGTCATTGTGGAAGAGGCCGGCACATAGCCAGGCCAAGCGAATTCCCAAGGCGATCAAGGGTTTCCTGGGACTGCTAAAAAATTATTGGCTTGAAGGTGCAGAGGCTCAGCTCGCCTGAATCATCGGAGCAGCCAGCGCGTGTATCATATATCGGATCTACATTTGTCCGACGGTCACGGGGATTGAATGGGGTGGAGGCCAAAGGCGGTAAGCGTGATTCTTTAAGGAAAAGCGTCATCTTTCGTTCTGTGCGGTTGATAAGCGTTGCTTGCAAATCAAGACATCAGTCCTATCACTCACCTTGTCAGCTCCGTTTGTGTGGCAAAGATTGAGATAGTTCCATCGTTATATCTCTTGTCATCCCGGCCATTTGGTCTATTTTCTTAGGAACCTCATCCTTGATTAAGCGAGAAATCGACTTACGACAGAACTTTCCATTATACCCCGCCCGCGATAAAAACTTCGCTCCCCATTTACATTTTTCCCACCAAGAGCCCGACCATTCGACTTAACAAGAAATTAGACGGAGCGCTTTCATCATGTCGACTACCACTCAGCAGATCAGCGGATCTGCTACCAACCTTCCTTACACTTGCAATACCTGCCTGGTCGCTTTCCATCGGAGCGAGGCGCAGAGAGATCATATGCGAAAGGACTGGCAGTAAGTGGTGATGCCCGACAAGTTCATATATAACAGAGCGTCTGGCTGACTGTTTCTTCTCCAATAGCTTGTACAACATGAAGCGCCGTATCGCCTCTCTTCCACCAGTTTCTCTTGAAGTTTTCAACGAAAAGGTCATTGCCGCCAAAGCGAACTCAACCGAGGCTGCCGCCAAAGCCTCCTTCGAAAAGACCTGCCATCCCTGCCAGAAGACTTTCTACAGCGAGAACTCCTACCAGAACCACATCAAGAGCTCCAAACACAAGCAACGCGAGAACCGCCTGAGGAAGGAGGGTGATGATGCATCAGTCCTGAGCTCCGCGTTCTCTCTAGGAGAACCAGTTAGCAAATCGAACGAGAATGACATTGCAAAGGTCACCGATGATTTGAAGTCTGCCACCATTCAAGAAGAGGATGAGGATGTGGAGATGCAAAACGATAAGACCGAGTTCTCCGTCGCCCGCTGCCTGTTCTGTTTGGCCGACTCCGCCGATGCCCAGGCCAATGTTGAGCACATGTACAAGGCCCATGGAATGTTCGTTCCCGAACAAACCTATCTCGTCGATCTCGATGGTCTTCTCAACTATCTTTACCGCAAGATAACCGAAAATCACGAATGTCTCTACTGCCATGCCGTCCGCAACAATGCCGAGGGAACCCGCACGCACATGCGTGACAAGGGCCACTGCATGATCGCCTTTGAAGCTGAGGAGGAGCAGGTAGAAATTGGACAATACTACGACTTCCGCAGCACCTATTCTGATGGAGAAGATGACGAGGAAGATGAGGACATGGCTGATGCCGGTGGCGTTAAGGTCAAGGGCTCCGATGGGGATGACGATGGGTGGGAGACCGATGCGTCCTCGGTAGACGAGGATGATGAGATCGACTCACACCGTAAAGCACCTGTCATCTATCAGGATGAGTATGAGCTCCATCTCCCATCTGGCAAGAGCATCGGTCACCGTTCACTCGCCAAGTTCTATCGCCAGAACCTGCACAACTACCCCAGCGCGGACGAGCGCACTGAGCGCCAGCTGGCCATTGCGAACGGGGAGATTGAGGAAGATGAAAGGCCCCGCGGCCGCAATCAGAACCGCGCTCTCATTACTCGTGCCAATGGCGGTACTGGTATGATCGGTGCCACCAACCACCAGAAGCAGACTGTTCTTACCGCAGAGCGCCGCGAGCGGACTCGTGCGCTTCGGTCTGAGAACCGGTACCATGCTCGCCTCGAGAGAGCCAACAACTCCCAGAAGCACTTCCGCGATCCCCTTCTGCAGTGATCGTCGCAACCCCAGCGCTTTTCCTTTCAACGGCCACCGCAGTCGGTGGCTCCTTTCATTGCTCCTGGAGCTCACTGTTCGGTCCGCATGGGAGAAAAATCAGACCTTGGCTCACTGGCCTGGATGACATTGCTATCATTCCTCTCGGAAGCATTAAAGCGGCTCATGCCCATCTTATCCGATGGGTTGGTCGGCTGCCCCCGCCTTGATTGTATCAGCGGATTCCCACTTGACTCCGAATGAAATATCATGGAGGAAGCGATTGAACTGTTTCTCGTCTCCCGTGTCGAGAGTTCCCACTTCGCGTCCTCCTTGGATATTTTCAACTGGCCTGGTTTTCAACGAGGCTTCATGACCCATTTCTCGAGACCGTCTCTACGGCGGACGTTTTATGCAGTTACGTTGATGATCGGAACATTTCATCTTGTTGAGACATGCCTACATTTTCTGCATACTCGTGGCGCATCTGTAAATTTTGATTTGGTGATGGGTTTCCCAGGAAAAGCATGTATCTACTCTGATATTCCAGTTCAAGTATTATTTCGTCTCTGATCTTCTCTTTCTCATCTAATTCTCTGTCTTTCATACGTGTCCATGCCTAAGAAGCCGTCTACCGTAAACCAGTGGTCGTTATATTCAAACCGACTACTCTGTTTCTCTACAAACTACACGTTGCTGGAAATGGTTTGCAGGTAAAGAAGTGAAATTGAGAGGGCATACGCTTTGCCCTGGAAGAACCATGTGCAAAGAAAAGAAGTAGGCTATGCACAGCACATGAGAAAACATGAATCGAACAAGAAATGCGGACAGAGAAGATATGTATCAAAACTGGCAAAGCAGATATAAAGACACCGGCGATGGAAAATGGATATAACAGAACATAACAATGTTCAGCCGACCAAATATAGAAATGGAGGTGGATCGGAGTACTCGAAGTCTTTGAAGGCTCGAGGGTATATGTAACAATTGCGAGGCTTTGTGTTGTTACATGAGAGGACAGCAGACTCGACAATTTATGCCGCGGCCTCTATAATGGTGGTTTCTTTTTGTTTGGTTGTTTGTAGGAGGGAAGGGCTGGACAATTCATGTGGCCGTCCTTGTGGCCAGGTATCTCTTTCTGCGAGAGCAAGACATTCGGTGGGGTGACCCCGCGGGCTCTGCAAATCCGTGGATAGCTTGGGTCTTTTTGCATGAGCGAGAGACTCGACACTTTATGTCGCAGTCTCTGCAGACTGGTCGCGGTTTTTTGAATGGTTTGGTCTTTTGAGTTGTCTTTCGAAATGTCTCTTGAATCGTTTTCTTTTGAGTGTGGCCCTTCGCATTGTCCTGTTATTTTGTTTTGCTTTTGATTTTTGGGTCTCTTGGTGGGTTGAGACTTGAAGATTGGCACCCCAGGCTCTAGAGAGAGTAGTGGTTCTTGTTTTTCCATTCTGTGAGCTGGAACCGGAAGACTGGCATTCTGGGCTCTGGAAAGTGTGGTGGTTCTTGGTGTCTGCATTCTGTGAGCCTGTTCATGGGTTAGCCAGTCCTGTATTTGGATGGATGGAGATTTGAAACATACCTGTATGGCATCATGATAATCGCCGGTAAGGAGAAGAGAATTGATACTCTGCAAGCGTCGCCGCCTCCAGTCTTTGGGCTGCTGGATATTGATGGACCCATGGGCAAAGTAGCTTTCCATATAAATGCAGAGCAAGTCTGGCGCTCCGCGATCTTGCTTCCGATGGTTCAGGCAATTGAGACCGGTAAATCTGCTTCAGCGAGGAGTGTCTGCATTCGGTATATCTAATGCAGAAGAGGTTTGTCCTCTGCAGCGCTGTCACCACCTGCGGATTTGTGGTGCTTGCCATGCTTCTTCTTGCGGCGACGTTTTTTGGGTTGGGACGCGTGCGCCGATGAGTGCATGTCGCTTGTGGTTATAGTATTTATAGCGCTGTCCTTGGTAGCAGGAGAGGAGTTGCCAGTTTGGCGAAGGGACGTTCCAGCCTCACCTTCCGACGAGCTGCAGCAGTTAGCATGGAGGACGACTTTGCGGATGCCGTTGACGTCCACGATTTGCTCTGTGATGCTGCCGCTGCGGGTCGGGCCACGATGGTGGTATATAAATTCAGCGGACTTTGAATCCGTCGAGCGGATGCTTCCTGTGCTGCTACTGCTCTTGCTCTTGCTTTTGTGGGTAGATGCGGTGCGGTTGAGATCTTCGCGCTCCTCCCGGACGGCCTCAGGGATGGAAACCTGGGGAAGGTCTATATATTGTTGGGCATTTGTACCCTTGGTGACATGATCATGCGCGGAAATCGTACCGTATCCGACTTTGAGAGCATGGGCTCCGTCTTTGGCATCGGCACCGGAACTGACAAGGCCTGCTCCAATGCCTCCTTGAAGGCCAGTTGGCGAAGATAACCGGTGCGAATCAGGGGGACTTTGTCCAGATTCAAAGTCTGTCGGGGCAGAGCGGGATGGCGAGGTACCGCTCCGTTTGATTTTGACAGAGGTGTAGCGCGTTTGACGCGGCCGGCTTGCAAGATTGGAGGGTCCGAGGTGTTTCAGGTGTTCTCGGATCTCGTCTGTGGCACCTCTCTGTGTGAACCAATTGTCATGAGAGTCTGAAGGCTGATCGGCATTTTGTCGGCGAAGTTGAAAGCGTGGAGGAGGGGCTTCCACGGAGCTGCGACGGCGAGGAAGGTCTGAAGACCTTTGTGTCAGGATGGAGGAGGACTTGACAAGCCCGTCCATCTCGCCCTCCGTCAGGGAAGTGGCCATTGGTGGCTCCTCGACGATTTTGCCCTTGGGCACTCGGCTTTTGGGTGCTGGTGCCATGCGACGAATGGCTTTGTGGACATCAATGAAGACATCCGATTCGTCAATGATTTCTCTGTTGTTGTTGTCAGTAAATAGAACTCAACGAAGCAGAAAGATAAGGCGAAGGGAAGGTCAACTTACTCTCCGATCAATTCTTCAATCACATCTTCCAGAGTGACTACTCCGAGGGTCCCACGGTCTTCGCTTGGATACTCCGAAACGAGCACCATATGCGACTTCCCTTCTTGGAAAAAGTTGACAATGTCCAGACAACTTGTTTCCGGGCGTGTCTCTGGTAGGGTCGCCAGTGGAAATTCTCTGACACGCTTGCAATCTTCGGGGTCGTAGGTGATGAGCATCTTGACCAGTAGCATGCCCACGAAGTTCATGGAGTTGTCAGGTGCGTGGATGGGAATGCGAGAATATCCTTGGGACAGAATCAGGTCCATGGTGCGTTCATCGAGGACGGTGTCCGCGGACATGGTGAACACATCTTCCATCGGCGTCATGATTGAGCCCACGGATTTCTCTTTCAAATCGAGTACAGCGGATATGATTGTCACTTCGTCGGAGTTAAGCTGTTCTCCGGCCTCGCCCAACGTCTTGTGAAGGGTAACGAGGGTCTTCAATCCAGCCTTTTTGTAAATGGTCCCGTGGTCTTCGCCAAGAAGCTTGTCGAGCAACTTGGCCACGGGCCAGGCTACCGGGGACATGACGTACATCAGAACCAGTACGCACGGTGCCATCCATGCCCCGATAGGTAGACCGTATCGAACACAGATTGACTGAGGAACAATCTCGCCGAAAATGACAATCAAGGCAGTACTTCCCAGCACAGCTGGCCATCCACCGCCGAGGCTTCTATCCAGGACGATTGGTAAAGTCTCATTGGTGATCACGTTGCTGAGGAGAAGAGTGACGAGCACCCAGTGCTTTCCCCTCTTGAGCAGGTTCAAGACACTGGCGGCATTCTTCTTCTCCGAGGCTTCACCAGACGTTTGGATCACTTGTAAGTAGACTTCATCCTGGCCCATCAATGCAATTGTAAGTCCCGCGAACGCTCCACCGCTCAAGACCAAGGCTGCCGATATGCCCAGGTACAGCCATAAACTTGGGTCGTCGGGTTCTGTTGAAGGTTCGGCCTCGCGATGTGAGGAGATGAGATAGGGCGACAGCATTGGAGCAGCTGCCGCCAGCGGAAGGTGAGAGAAGGCGAAGAAGATGACTTTGGCTAGACTCAGCACAATGGGCCGAGCGGCGAGCAGATGCGTGGCATGGGGCGCCATCCTCATCTGAAAGTCGTCTTGTCTTTCCGATCAAAATGAAAATCGGGTTCGTCACCAAGGTCTATCTCGATGGTTTCCAATGATGGAGAAACAGGCTCCACGGTCGCAGAGGGCGGGGTCACAGTCGGGACATTACTGAACTCAAGCTGGTTGTGACAGGACGCAGCTTGGGAGGGGCGGGGATTGAGGGGGGGAGGGGGGAGGGGGAGGGGGAGGGGGGAGGGGGGGCAAACAACAACAAGGAGACGTAGAAGAGAGACAAGGAGGGGAGAGAGGAGAGGCGCTGTGATCTGGAGGAAAAAACTGCGCGGCGAAACGGGTGGATCTGGCGAACAAACCACCATGGGCGTAAGATGCGAATGCTGATCGAGACGAGGCTGAATTGGGTTTCGAGCGTAGCAGATGACGAATGAACGCAGGGGCCATCGACACCTGGAAGGTTAGGCTCTTTAACCCGCTCCACCGTGGATCCCGTGCTCCGCAAAAATGGCCGATGCAATTGGCAGCGGTCCGTAGCCGAGTTTCGGAGAGGTTAGCGCGCATTTCCGTCACAGTCGAACTCCCTCATACTCCTCCTCCAATGCGAACTAATTGACCGTCGTGGTTGGCAATTGCGCTCGGACTGTTCAGATCGCTTTGGCTCCAGGTCCCTCGTGAGAGGGCATTGTCATTCTGGGCGGCGACAGCAGACGAATCGAGGCATAGAAGCCGGAAAACTGTGTGCACTCGGACTGTTCAGGTTGCTTTGGCTCCAGAGCCCTCGCGAGAGGGCATTGTCATTCTGGGCGGCAACTGCAGACGAATCGAGGCAGTAGTTGGGATGCTTTGCACGCGGTCTGTTCAGGTTGCTTTGGCACCAGGACCCTCGCGAGAGGGTGTTTGGTTCTGGGCGGCAACAGCAGACGAATCGGCGCAGTAGTTGGGAAGAATCACACTCGGTCAAGTCAAGTTGTGCTCCCAGAGCCCTCGGTAGAGGACTTTTCCTTCCTGGCCTGCAACTGCTGACGAATTGAGCGGGCTTCCTCGACGAAATCCATCCCATCATCGGTCTTCTTTAACCCATCCACGACAATATCGGCGGAAAGTTGAAGGCTTTCCAAGGATTCCTGAAGGTCGCCACCTTCGGCGAGCAGCGTGACGAGCTGCATGTTCATGTTAGGATCTTGGTAGGCCTTCATGACCTTCTCATATGCCTGGTTCGCGGAATCCACCGTATCTCGGAGCGCATCAGCGGGCATATGAACGCGATGGATGTGGTCCAAGGCGTTCACGTACCTCTGTTGAACGAGGTCAAGCTCCGCGAGCTTTTCATTGCACTCCTTCTCCAGAATTTCGACTCGACCATTTGCCAGGTCGTTGGCTTTCTCCAGTTCTACACGTTCGTCCCAGTAAGCTTGGACTTCCTGGACCGTATACGTGAGGACTTGATCGGTCTGGACCGATGCTTCGGTCTGGGCAGGTGCCCCAGATTGAGCGATGTTGTCGGTCAGAGCGAGAGCGTCATTTTGGGTGACGGCGTCGGTCTGGATGGTCGAGAACTCGGTCTGGACGGCGGCGTCCTTCTTCTCTGTCAGGGGGAGGTTGGTGAGATTGGCGATCTGGGTGTTCAACGCTGACAGGTCCCGCTCGAGCAAGTTGACCTTGCACTCGAGCTTACGCTTCTCCAAGCCGTACTTGTGAATCATACCGTTCTTGATTCTGTACGTGTCGGAATGGTGTTTGGACAATGCCAGCTGAACCCCACGCAGACGGTCAATCTCTCTCAGCGCGGCGACGTGCGAAGCTCGAGGGTCGTCCTCGGTGCCACAGATGGTGAGGTCATTATCTGCGTCAGGACGCATGCCCCACTGTAGGCGTCCGGCGGCCTCGTCCAGGCTCTGCCGGTAACTGTCGAACTCATCCTTGAGCTCCGCGTATTCCTTTGTCGCTTCAGTGAGCTTTGCGCTGAGGTCGGAATTGGTGGAGATGGCCTCGGCTAGCTGGTCCTCGAATGTCTTGGCACTGTGGCGAGCAGCGTCGAGTTCCATTCTGACCTGGTGAACTAGCTCATCCTCTCGGCGAACCAATTCCTTCTCAACCTTCATGGCAACCTCCTTGGCAACAGTCCTCCGATTCTCAGTCAATCGACGGTCGTAGTCGGAGTTCCGGTTGCGAGCCACCCTCAAGTCCATCTCAAGTTTGTCGATGCGGGACTGCATCTTGGCCTGCAAGTCCCACTCCGCCTGGCGGTAAGGTCGGAGCAAATCAGCGCGACGCTTCTTGAGATTAAAGCAGAAATCCACGTAACTAGCATTGGCCCGGCGATAGGATGCCAGCTCATTCAGGTCCGCCGCGAACTTGGCCTGGTCCTCTTCGAGATCCTTTTGAGCCAGATAGACATTGCGTTCGCGGTTTTCCATCATGAGCTCACGTTCATCCATCGACCGGGTGTTGACTGGCTGAGCTAGGTGTGGCATTTCATCAGGACCGGGGTTGGGGGTGCTTGTCGTGGTCGCCATTTTGACACCTGACAGTGTCTCCTTGTTGTTGTTTTCATCGCTGGTGAAAGCATTAGTCTCAGCTCAGTCATCTCATTGCCCACATGAGGTGGGTGAAGGTTTGATATGGGATGGGTGAACGAACATGGGTGGAGGGGGTAGTGGGTGAGGTGTGGAAGGGTGAGGGGCGATGGGCGATGGGTGATGGGCGATGGGTGATGGGCGATGGGTGATGGGCGATGGGTGATGGGCGATGGGTGAGGTATGGGGTGGCATCAACTTACCTCTTCGTTGCCGAAGAGCGGACCAGGAACGCGGGGTCGACCCCAAGGGGACGAACGACAGAGGTAGCTCCGACCGCCAGGAGGAGGATCAGAGTTACCAGCAGTCGGACGATGCCCAAGAGGACGAACGCCACGGCCGGAAAAACGAAGTTGTTGAACAGCTTCATGGTGAAGACTGTTCACGAGAGGGGGAGGCTTAGAAGAACGTTCAAAAGAACGTTCAGCACGCAGAAAGGAAAAGTGTACGCTACCGGAGTAGCGAAGCGCAGCCGACAACTTGGTTTTCGCAGTTGTGGGAAGGTTGGAGAGGAGAGAAAGAAGGAGAGTTTCCGGAGGTGAGGAAGAGGCTTAAATACCCATTTCCCAATCGGGTAAGGGCCGTCCCCCAGTGTCCACGACCCCCCAGTGTGGGCGATTTGTTTGCTTCGTGCCTTCCCAGCTTTTCTGCCTATCTTCCCTCCAAGGCTACCTCGCCAGCCTTCCTTGGTGCCTTGTTCCAGGATTTCGAAGTGGTGCCTCATGGAGGCAGAATTATAGTCCAAGGCACCAGCATCGCTAAATTACACATACAAGGTTGTCTGGGGTGAGTTTGGCGGTTACAGGATATGCCAATATACACTGTCAATTTGATATCCCGTCCAGTGCTACTCGGTGGTACTCGATGCTCTATCCGGTCCAGTCTATCCGTCTCTGCAAATTACAGATCAATAGAATATCTAGGATTCATTCTATGTGTAGTGTGGTTTCTGTGTCTTGCAGAGATTGTGGTGGTGGTAAATTCCGATTGTTGTTGGCGGTCGTCACAATTATGCTAGCCCGGCATCTCCATGTAGATCAACAAACTGAATTTTGCGACAACTCAGTCAATATCTGAAGAATCCCAACTGATTTTTCATCCATTCTCACTTCTGTTATTAATTAAACCTGTATTAATTCAATATCACATTCTTATTAGATTTTGGAATTATTTGGGCTATTTTTTTTCCGTTCCATGTCGTTGGGGCGTCGTTGATCTAGAATATTTAAGCTTTTCGGGCCAAGTGGGGACATGCGGCTGCGGGAACCAGATGCCCATGGCCCCATGGAACCTGCCGGACAGTGCCAAGCCCGAGGTCCATACTGCGCGGGGGCCTACAAAGGAGTTTTACAATAACGATACAGCTACTCAGGATCCTGGTGCTGCATTTTGAAGAGATCAGCTTCATTTGCGCTTCTTGACCTGAACGCGTTGTGCATGCAGTAGGTAGACCCGGTTAGGGGCTGCCCATCAGTGTCCAGGGTCTGGCACGGTCGCCCATCGTTAGAGGCTGGAGGCGACCATTTTTTACACTTTGGAATACTACAGGCACCGTTCTGGGATGATTGTTTATTTTGTAGAGGTGTGATAGTTGCCGGTGCTCCCAAGTGTAGACTGGATGGGGTTGCTTGTTGACGATATATTTTGGGTGGATCGGTGCCTAAATCAGGTTCCAGGCCTACACGGGACCTGCAGCCAGGTGTCGCCCGGACGATCGAATCATACTACGAGAACAATACAAACAAAGCAAGGTGCTTTGTGCGAAAATATTTGATTCTATTGGACATCCTAAAACACTGTAGGATTACAGGCTATTTGGGTAGAGTAGGTATACTTTGGTCTATCATGACATTTCCGAGAGGCCTGCGCTCAGTATTCTAGAGTCTGTTTGATCGCGTCGTAAATTCCTGGGAAGCGTGTCAATTAGGGGTAATCTCTATGGATGTACAGATTAGATAACTCACTGGCAACGTCGGGCAGGATGAATTGCTCGTAGGATAGGCCGGTGTGGGTGCTCCAGCCAGCGACTCGCTTGACCGGGGCTTCCAAGCGTAGGAAGGCGCCTTCTTGTAGCGTCGCGGCGACCTCGGCACCAACACCATAGTTAATCATGCTCTCGTGAACCACCACAGCTCGTCCCGTCTTGCGGACACTGTCAATGACAGTCTGGCGATCCCAGGGGTAGATTGTCCGCAGATCGATCAGCTCAATGCTGACACCCTTCATAGTCTTTTCAATGGCGGAGATGGCAGAAGAGCACAGGTAGAGGGGTTGACCGTAGGAAATGATTGTCAGATCCTTGCCGGGCTTGATCACCTCCGCCTTGCTCAGGGGTATCGTGTAGTATTCATTCGGGACGTGCTCCACGGCGGCTCGATAGAGGATCTTCGGTTCCATGAAGATAACCGGGTCGTTGTGTTCGAAGATGGAGGAAAGTAGGAGACCCTTGGCCTGTGCGGGTGACCGTGGCATGACCACTCGGACACCAGGAACGTGTGCAAAGAGGGCCTCGGGGGACTGTGAATGATATCTAGCCAGAAAGCATGTCAGAATCTGAATCCGTTTGAGGCACCACGTCAAGACGACTCCAGTGAAACGTACAGTGCACCGTGTCCAACCGCACCGCAGGGCATGCGAACCACCAAGCCTCCAACGTTGATTCCAGTACCACCTTCTCTGTATCGGAACTTGGCAGCCTCATTGACAATCTGATCGAATGCTGGAAAGACATAGTCGGCAAACTGTATTTCTGCCACAGGTTTCATGCCTTCGGCCGCAGCACCAATGGCAAAACCGGCAATTCCTTGCTCAGTCAAGGGTGTGTTAAAGACTCGTTCCGAGCCGAACTCTGTCTGAAGGTCCATCGAACACCGAAAGACACCACCGAAAGCCACATCTTCGCCAAACAACATGACCTTGTCGGAGGTTGATAGGGCTGTCCGCAACGCAGAGTTGATGGCTTGAAAAAGATTTAGCCGCTTGCTGGTAGCTGCCGCTGGGAAGTCGGGCACGCTAGATAGGGAGGAGGGGGTATGGTGCAGTAGTGGCGTAGACTTGTAATCAATAGGGAGGTTGAGCTTCGCCCGCGGCGAGGGAGCACTGGAGTAGCATCGGCGTGAGACTCGCGGGATCAGACTCCGCGATGATCGAGGTAACGACATCGTTGAAAGGGGAATGAGATGAGAATGCCGTGCTAGCGAGCAGAAACGTGTAAAAAGTCTTAGAACTCCCACATTCTCGTTATAAAGAGAATCCCTCCTGTCGGTTTCCTGGGGGCATTGCGGGGATACGCCGTGAATAACCGCGGATGCAAACTTGCCAAACAACTTGTTATGACGGCAGTGTTAAGCAGTCCAACCTGGCTGTTGTGTTGTGGGACCTCTAGGAGTAGTGCTTGGACTTTACCCTTTACCCATCGTGGAAACAGATCATCGAGTAGTACATCTCTGGTGTGGAACTAATCATAGAGGAGTTTGTCGAGTCTCTAGGAGCTCTCTGCTTGAGTTTCTTATCGACCAATGGGATTGAGTCATGAGTATTTGCGGGAAACGGAAGATATACCCTCGTCATTGTTTTGCAGTGCTCTCGTAACTATTGTCTGGACAGTTCTTCTGCGATGAAGCATAGTCGATCTTTCTAGATAAATACTCAAATATCCTCTCGGGGATCCCGATCGACGCCATCCACAATTGCACATGGACTTTCCCGAGCGGTGAGCACTCGTCCTTATCGGGAAGAGGCAGCTTATCATCATAGCCGGTGTCGGCGCCAAGAAGTGTGACTCCCGGGGCCCGCACCAAAAACCCGCCTTTTTTTCCCGGTGACTCAACCTTTTCGAACCTATTTCAACTCCAGTGTTTCTACCTTTTTTTGTTAAGCTTCATTACAACACATTTCACATCACTCACAATGTCCAAGGGAAAGGTAGGTTGATTCAATTGCTCCTGTCGCCGCTGGCAATGCCCATTGCCATTGCCATTGCCATTGCCATTGCCATTGCCCACTTTCATTTAGACCGCCATTCCATCCCACTTTCCACACCTCCAATTGCCGCGTTCCCGACCGAACTGACCTAATGCCTCAACAGGTTTGCCTTGCCTACTCCGGTGGCCTCGATACTAGCTGTATCCGTACGATATGCCCTCAAGAACAATAGCTCCATCCATGGCAGTCGCTGACACACGATAATAGTCAAGTACCTGATTGAGGATGGCTACGAGGTCGTGTGCTTCAGTAAGTCGCAAGCACCAACGCGAATCACAAAAATTACTGGGATGGATGCTAATGCAACATACAGTGGCCGATGTTGGTCAGGAGGAGGACTTCGAGGCTGCCCGCGAGAAGGCCCTGAAGATCGGTGCCCTCAAGTGCGAGATTGTCGACATCCGCCGCGAGTTCATCGAGGAACTCTGCTTCCCCGCCATTGCTTGCAATGCTGTCTACGAGAACGTGTACCTGCTCGGTATGACCAATCTCCAATTGAGTGCTACATCAAGGTCGCCCTGCTGATGGCTTTTCTAGGTACCTCTCTGGCTCGCCCCGTCATTGCCCGTGCTCAGATTGCTGTCGCCCAGGTATGCTCCCCACACTCACTGCCTTTTTCCCTTACTGTGGATGGTCGCTGATCATGCGATACTGTTTCCTAGCGCGAGGGCTGCTTCGCTGTCTCCCACGGCTGCACCGGCAAGGGTAACGACCAGGTTCGCTTCGAGCTCGCCTTCTACGCTCTCCAGCCCAACATCAAGGTCATTGCCCCGTGGCGTGACCCCGTCTTCTACGAGCGCTTCGTCGGCCGTAACGATCTCCTCGCCTATGCTGCCGAGAAGGGCATCCCCGTCACCTCCACCAAGTCCAAGCCCTGGTCCATGGATGAGAACCTGGCCCACTGCTCTTACGAGGCCGGTATCCTGGAGGACCCCAACATCACTCCTCCCGCCGATATGTGGAAGTTGACCCAGGACCCCCTCACTGCCCCCGACCAGCCCGAGGACTTCACCCTCACCTTTGAGAAGGGTGTCCCCGTCAAGCTGGAGTACACTGAGAAGGGCCAGCAGAAGACTGTCACCGACTCTGTTGACCTCTTCCTGACTGCCAACGCCATTGCCCGCCGCAACGGTGTTGGTCGTATCGACATTGTAAGTTATTGGAGCATCGCATGAAGCTTTCCAGACACCTCAAGCTAATATCCACCTAGGTCGAGAACCGTTTCATCGGTATCAAGTCCCGTGGCTGCTACGAGACCCCCGGTCTTACCTGCCTGCGCGCCGCTCACATGTGAGTTTCTCTCCCCTGCTGTTGGTACATTTTACTTGCGTGAAAATGCGCTGACTTTTTATAGCGACCTTGAGGGTCTTGTGATGGACCGTGAGGTCCGCGCCCTGCGTGACTCTTTCGTCACCTTCAACTACTCCAAGCTCCTGTACAACGGCATGTACTTCTCTCCCGAGCGCGAGTTCCTCGAGGCCTCCATCACCGCCTCCCAGAAGACCGTCAACGGTGTTGTCCGCTGCCGTGCCTACAAGGGCACCATGTCCGTCCTCGGCCGCTACTCCGAGACCGAGAAGCTGTACGACATGACCGAGTCCTCCATGGACGAGATCGGTGACTTCTCCCCCGCCGAGACCACTGGCTTCATTAACGTGTCTGCCATCCGTCTCAAGAAGTACGGCCAGATGAAGGCTGCTGCCGGCGAGAAGTTGTAAATTCCTTCTTCTTTCTCATAGTGAGAAAATGGAGAGCCATATGCTGAGCGTCACTGGCTTTCCACCCAGCCAAAAAAAATGCTGCGGTTTCCCTTTTCATGGTTATCATGTCCTGCTATATAGTGGATTGGGTTCCCGGTTTGAATGATTGTATAATGAAATTAAAAAAGTTACCATGCGGGATAATCATCTTGGTCGCTGTTCATTGAGTAGACTGTATATGCGTTCTATGTCTATTGGTCGTAGTTGAATAGTATGTACAAATCCTCCGATGCATATGTACCGCTGCCACATGGACCAAGTCGAGGAGAGACAAGGCCGCGAAATATCAATCGTCCCCTTAAGGGCTGATATTGATATATCGGGCTGTGCACAATGGGTGCTTGCTTTATGTTGAATATACTGTATAGAGAAGTGTATGCCCACTACAGGCTGGCGTTGACTTTGCCCTCGGTGCTTGCTTCTGCAAAGAATACGAAACAATTAGCAATTTCTTCATCAATGCTCGGGACACGCGTTTCTTACCAATCCAAGCCTCCAAAGCAGCCTTCTCAGCATCCCATCCCCACAGAACTCGCTGCATCTCACGATCGGACCATTTATCCGGGTTCGATCCCACCGTCGAGGCCCGGAACTGCTCATCACGAGCGACCTGTTCAGGTCCATCCGGCAAGTGCAGAGTGATACGATTATCGGAACCCGATTGCTGTACTGCCTCTGCACGCGGTTTTCGCGACTCTTCATATACTTGCAACGCGCGTGGGATTTCGTGTCGAGATGAGATGGTCGATAGGAGAACACCCAGAGCTGCGGCATCTTCGACGGCTTGCGCCGCACCTTGTGCCACGTACGGACTATCGGCGGTTAGTTGGGTTGTACAAGGAATATGGGCGCAGGGATGGTGGAACATACAGCATGGGGTGACACGCATCGCCAATTAAAGCCACCGAGCCCCGAATCCACGTCTTCAGTGGGCGGTGCAGACACAACTTCCACTCCAGCACCTCATCGTCGTCCACCAGATCGATTAGCTTCCTGATTTTCGGTTCCCACCCGGCATAGTTATCGACCATTGCTTGCTTGGAGCCCTTGGTCGTCCATGACTCCTCAACCTCGTGCCGGTCTGGATGCAGCAGGACAACGTTATACAACTGGTGATTGCGGACGGGGTATGCGATGATATGGCGTCCAGGACCGAGCCAACGAGTCGCCTGCGGCTCGTCGATCAACTTCTTCAGCTCGGGGTCTTTCTCCATCACGCTGCGCGGAAGCATGATTCGGTATGCAGCGTCGCCCGTGGCGATGGCCTTCAAGGACAGATCTTCCAACAGGTGTCCCCGAATCGTGGACTTGATGCCGTCGGCGCCGATAACGATGTCACCACGGACAATGCTTCCATTGGCGAGTGTGGCGGATGCTGGGCTGAACTCGACATTCGTGACCAGCGAGTCCACCCGCAGTTCTACATTGGGCAGGGCCAGGGCCTTTTCAATGAGCGCATTGTGCAGATCTGCACGGTGGATGACTGTCTGCTGGCCGAAGGTCTTGTTGACCGGCATCGTGGCAAGGATGCTACCGTCCTCCCATCGTCGTACGTGGATGTGCTCCAGTGCGACATCTTGGGCGTGAATCAAGTCGGAAACCCCCATCCTGGTGGGAGGTTAGTTGTATCGATGATCTGAGACCAGGCTTGTACGCGGACTTACGTTCGAACATCCTTAGCATGTTCGGTGACACTTGGATTCCGGCTCCAACCTCCATCAACTATCAATGGGTGAACGTTAACACTCATTCATGATCCAAACATGATATTGATCACGAGACGTACTTTTGGGGCTGCTTCAAGGACGACGACACGATGGCCTCTTAGACCCAAGGTCAGGGCTGCGGCCATGCCGCCAATGCCTGCATGCTCATTTTGTCAATTGCGTCCTTGATCAGGTGTGCGAATCAGATCCAGGACAATGCAAGATCCATGGAATGCCACAAGAGATACAACATACCGGCCCTGTTCAAAGTTAGTCCACGGCTCTGCGTTACCAAGAAATGACCATCCCGACTTACCCAACTATAACCACGTCAAGCACGACATTAGCCCGCGGCACACTCATGATGGGGGAAAAAATGCAATGCAAATATGAACAACTGATGCAGAATATACAAGACGCGAAGAGAAGAAGCAGAAGAATATGAAAAAAGGTCCACACTCTGTCCGACAAGCTCGTCCCGGACGAGTCTGGCTATTTCAAGAAAATTGCCTCCCTCAGCGTACTAGTCGGACGGTTTGCCGGCCCACCCGTGCCAGACTTCTACTCCGGAATACCTCCATGCTTTCTTTTTTATCCAGAATTCCGGAGCACAGCATACCATCATTCTACAGATTACAGATTACAGGCTATTTTTGCCCCCCTGAACCAGCTTGATCGGCAATCGTCGCCCCGTCTTGTTTCTCCACAAACTGGGGGAGTAATGGGAACGTTTGATGCGTTGATGCGTCTCCTCATTAATTACTGCTAGGACTTGTGGCCATGTCATGTCAGACTCAGAACATAACTAGTGTTCTGACATATTAAGTCTGACACATTTGGTCTTTCGGCTTGTTCGATGAGCGGGTCCAAACACAGGTCATATATAACAATTCCTTTGTAATATATTAGTTTATCTCCGAATCTAAAGTCATTGGTGCTGTGCCGGTCACCGGGCGGCAGACGGCGTCTCCTCCGCCGACAACATGAAGACCAGCATCGACAGTTGAGAACTATCTCAGAAATGGGGTGTACAGGAAGAATTCTTCCTACTAGTGCTGGCCTTTCACCATTTCAAATCTCGCAATAGAAACTAGCTTGCCCACCTTTCGACATTCCTAAATTTGTGGCGCATTCGGAGGGGCGTTGAGCTCGGCAACAGCGGGCGATCGGGAGAGGGACCACGGCCTCCACAGCCAATTGAGCCATTGGCTACTCGACATTTTCCAACCTGCCCCTGGAGATGCTCACACTGGCCATCCGGCTCTTTCGGGGTCTCGCATCTGCCGAAGCTGCGCCCAGACACACCAAAATTCCTCCATAAAGGACATGTCTATCTAAAGAATCCTAGACTACGTGTGGATGGAGAGGTCACCCCCGAAATTCCGCGGCCTTCTGCATGCTCCATCTTTTTGCGCCCGCAGACCCACGGCCTTGTCGCGAACTGTTCCTCCCCGGGTTTGATCCTGTGATGGACTGTATCTGGAGCTAGCTTCTACCGTCTTATCACGGCAAATCTGGGCTACACTTATTGCCGGTTCCATGACATGCTACAAGATAGTAGTTGTCCAGGACTCCTGAAGAGAAAACGATGATGATGACTGTCAAACCTCATTCGTCGTTTGGAAAAAGTTGCTCATGTAGCTAGAACGGTATCCCCTTGACGCCTCATGTACAGTGTCAGCTGACGCTGGATGGACGGAGTAAGCTGCGGATATTCAGAAATCCCCGATCTCCCCACCTTCTAAGCAATCGCAATCAGAGTCCCAAGGGAAGAGTGCATTCATTTCACCCCCAATTTTCCCGAGCTTCTGCTTCCATTCCCTCCTGGCTTCAGCCCATTCACGCTCTCCAATTGCTGCATATTCAACCAAGCGACAACTTGTAACTTGTATAGCGAAAGCTGAGATATCACAGTCAAGGCGAGGACTTGATGATTCAACTCCGAGGCAAGAGCCTATCCACCTAGAGGAGTGGTCGCGCTGCACATTAGCGTTCCGCGTTGCGCAGGCTCCACCGTCCAGCCGCCCCCACGCGGATGGAATTGGACATGGCCATACTCCGCAAGACGCAGGCTTCGGCTGCTCATCAATGCTCGCTTTGCCGGGATATACAACGAAGAGGAAACTGAAGGCGAGATTGTCTGGAGACAATTGCATTGCTAATGCTGAGAACAATAGAAGACCGCATCCACGCAGACCCATCATAGTTTCTCCGTGGCGTAGTATGTGCTCATGCGGTATTGAGTCTCGCCATCGAAACGAGACAGGTCTTGCAATGCCTGCCGGCCCTCTCTGTCAATAGCGGCTCGAATTTCAGGGCTACGAGGTGTGATTCTGCATTCGAAGGGATTAGGTCGCATATTGAGACCATTCCTGCAAAAGAAACGCAGGCAAAAGCCTGGTGATTAGCAAAGCACAAAGAATCGCTCAACCACTTATACAGCAGTAGAGAGTATAGTTAGGTCATTCAGATCGTACTTACGTAAAGTCGAAAATATCCACGGGAATTTCATTGCCCTGCTCATCCAGTGCCTTTTCAATCCTGAATCCCCAAAGGAGCCGCGCAATCGTGATGAAGGTTCCTTGTTCCGCTAGTCCCTGGCCACTGCACACACGCCGTCCCCATCCAAAGGTCATGTATCCCTTTTCGCCAGGGAATGGGCGATGGTCGGCACTATCCTTCAGATATCGATTCGGGTTGAAACGATCTGGCTCGGGGAACTCTCGCTCATGATGGTGGATAGCCCAAACGTTACCCTGGACCCAGGTTCCTCGTGGGATGAACCAGCCCTAAATGGACGTATCAGATCAGCACGTTCAAAACTCGGAGCCTATAACTGCATTGCATCAAGAGTTGTAACAGTGATGAAACTGCTATTTACTCTCTCCATCGTCATACCTTATAATAATCATCTTTAATAGGCGCATGCGGCTGCCCTCCAATAATCGCAACGGATCTCCACCGCAGGACCTCCTTCACAAACGCCTTCACGTAGGGCAAGTCCGGCTCATCGTCGAATGTCGGGCTCCGATGTGATCCCACGACTCGATCAAGTTCCTCCCAGGCTTTAGGCAATGCGTCGGGAAACGCGCAACACGCAAGGACGAAAGTGACCAGTGTCGAGCTGGAGGTGTCGCTACCAGCACCAAACAGGTTCCCCGATAGCGAGGAGATCTCCATGCGTGAGAGATCGTGCTTCGGTCCCTCCTCAAAGAGTTTCTTCGCGTAACACGAGTCTGTGTCGGGCTTCTGGGCTGCTTCTTCGGCGAGCGCGTAGAAGAATGGTCGTCCTCGGCCTTGTCCTTTACCTAGACCTTGTTTCCAGGGTGCCATCCAGTTAGGGAATTTGGCAAGAACTGTCAAAAGTTAGCCAGCCCGTAGATTGTCAATCCCGGACCCCAGATTTACCCCTCTCTCCCTCCCATCTTGTCTCTTCAACTTACAAGGAAACGACTCCATCAACATCGGAAAAGTCTTCCCAGGAACATTCAACTCCGCCGCCCGCTGCATAACAGCAATAACCTCCGTAATAATCGGATCCGTGTACCTAGCCACCCGCCTCCCAAACCCAATAATAGACACCACACTCGTTGCATACCGCTCAAAATGCTTCACATACTCCGTCGGCTCCCGCAACAAATCAAACGCAACAACCTTGCTCTCGTCATTCTGAAACCCCCGATAATTCCGCACCTGCTGCAGACCAACTCCCATATGGGTTAGTTTCCGGTGCAAGCGCCATCTATCGCCGTAGTACATGTTGACTAGATTGGACTGGCCGGCGCCGAGCTCGCTGAAGACAACCATGCGTGGGCGGGAGGCGTAGATTGCGGCGCGTTTGTCGAGGAGTTCGTTTGCGGTCCAGGCGTCGCATATCCAGAGGGTTGGGCGTCGACCGGTCCAGAATGTGATTATGGGGGATTGGTATTGTTTTGATAATTGCTCAAAGTAGATCCAGGGTTTGTTGTCTGGGAGGAGGTGTGTGTTTCCTATTAAGGGGAGTGGAAGGGGGCCTGGGGGCTTTTTGCTGGTTAGAATTTTTGATGCTCTCATGACTAAACTTATTTATGGTACGAACCATCTTAAAGTGTAGATATAGCATGTAGCCATAGTCTATCATGATCAGTAGGCCCAAGACCGTGAGCACTGGAGGTAATACTGTGGCCAAGCTCAGCTTGCTCCATGCTGCCTGACTGAGTAGATCCCGCGCCGAAATAAGAGCAAATAGCTCTTCAAGCTTTTCACCTATCATCTTGTTGCTTTGGTGATATCAGCAACGGGTGAAGGGGATGCTGCCACGTCCAGCGACTTGGAAAATAGGGTGGGCGGTGCGCAGCCTGAGCTTAGATATAAAGGGCCAAGAAGCCAGCCACCATGTGGAAGTCTCATAACATCACTGATGCCCTGTGGTAAACATGTTAGCACCAGCCCCGCTGTCGGATGATTTATGCCGAGACTAGACAAGGTGCTCGCGGGGCATGGTTGCTAGCCTCGAATGGGGAGGATTACGAGTATCTCGTGGGGTATCTCCGTGAAGGCGTCTGTCGAAAGCATAGTATCTCGTTTAGCCGTAATGGCCCCACAAAAGACTAATATTTGAAGAAAGGATAAACGGTCTCGATGCGTCGGATTGTGGACGTGAACTGCTCATGGTTCTCGGGTCGTATAGATAGAGTCTATCCCTAGCGCAAAGGCCACCGAGATACAGACCCCCCGAATGGACACAACTTTCCCTTGCAATTACCACCTTCACTTATTTACAGCTCAGATCATCATTGAAGTCTTGTATTCACTTGGGAGATGATCAATCGAAGTGATAATGAACAGATTCGAGTTGAGTGGGGCCCGTAGCCCCAGATTTCTTCCTTTGCGGGGTTTGCGGGGGCCCATCTACAGTAGTGCCAAATATTCTGGACTTGCCCGGCCATAAGCCGATCTATTCCCATGTCTGAATACACAAGATGGCGATCTTCTCAAATTATACTCTCCAACAAGAGATTTGGGTATCTCCTGGAATGACTAGCGCCTGCTTCCCCTCACGAGCATCTCGGCACAGGATGTGCAGGTGTATATGTAGAGTATCGAATGCCCAAAATATAGACGCGGAGATTATATAGACAGACCATCCATTGGATTGGTATCTGTATCTTTTTCCCAGTCAAATTGTCACAGTTGCGGTTCATAACCTGGCAGCAACCAGCATGGCAGATAACAGTCTCTCCTCAACGACGCTCTGGCAAAATCGAAAATGCCTCTTCCTCTGCTGTCTTGTGTCCATGGCCAACATGCAGTATGGCTTCGACCTAGCAGCAGTAGGTTCGCTACAGGCAATGCCGGGGTTTCTCAAAGTATTCGGGTACGCATCACCGGGGAGTGAGACTGGCTATGCAATTGACGTGAGTACATACATACACCCATGTCCATTCATTCTCTATTTATCTAGCTACCGCTAGAACAAGTGATGATCCTATTCACACATACCTAACACTTCACCCGTAACACAGAGCACAGTCCAACAACTCATAACCTCCCTCCTAACCCTAGGCTCCTTCGTCTCCTCCCTCGTAGCAGGCGTCTTCTCAGCCTATCTCGGCCGCAAACCCGCCCTCTGGCTAGCCTGCATCGTCAACGCCATCGCCTGCGGCATCCAAATCGGCACGTCCACCGCAGGAGTACTCTACCTAGGCCGTCTGCTTCTCGGCTTCGCAAACGGGTTTCTCGTCACGTTTTCAAATATCTACACTGCAGAGGTAGCACCCGCACATATGCGCGGGGTGATGGTCGCGCTGTTCGCGTACTGGGTGAATATTGGGAGTATCATGGGTGCGGTGGTGGATAATAAGACGAAAGAGAGATTGGATGAGTTGTCGTATCGGATTCCGTTGGCTTGTTTGTATATTGTGCCGACGTTGCTTTTTGTCGCGTTGTTTTTTGTTCCTGAGAGTCCGAGGTGGTTGTTGCATCGCGGGAAAGAGCAGGAGGCGAGGAAAGCGCTTGAACAGCTTCGTGGCTCGAGCTATGCGAGTCTTTTGGCGGTTGGGGGTAATGAGAGTAGTGATGAGGGGGGTGTTGTGCCTACTTTGTTGGAGGTTGAGTGGGTAGAGATGATTAAGGGTGTTGAGGAGGAGAAGCGTGAGCAGGGAAGTGTTTCTGCGCTGGATATGTTCCGAGGTAAGAACGTCCCTTTCCCCCTATATCTCCTCGAATCAATACACTGGGAGAGAATGTTTATACTCATTTACTTATCATCTCAGGGCCTGACCTCCGCCGCACACTGCTCTGCTACGGCATGATCGGCTGCCAAACCGCCTCAGGCGTGTGGTTCCTCATCGGCTACCAAACATACTTCTTCACCGTCTGCGGTATAACCAAAGCCTTCGAATTCTCCATTATGAACACCTGCTTCGGCTTCTTCGGCGTCAACGTCGGCATGTACGCCATCAGCCAACTGCTTGGTCGACGATCCATCCTCATGCTCGGCGCCGTAGCCTGTGGCCTATGCCAACTAGCCACAGCCATCGCGGCCACCGTGAGTCCAGACACGTTGCCAACGGGTCAAACACTTGTAGCATTCACCGCTGTCTTTTTTTTCAGTTATAATGGCTGCGTTGGTGCGGCAAGTTACCCCGTAGCGACGGAATTGGTGAGTTCAAGGTTGAGGGCGTGGACGGTGGGCACGGCGACTTCGTTGGGGTATTTGTTGGCTTGGTTGGTCAATTTTTGTACCCCGTATTTTATTAATCCGGAGCATTTGAATTGGGTAAGTCTTTTCCCTTTGGAGACTGTAATGAGATAATGGTTTTGGTTCGGTTCCCGGGTTTCTGACGATGATTGCTATATGACATGGCAGGGCGCTCGATACGGTTATATCTGGGCTGCATCGAATCTCTGCTGCGTGGTATTCTTCTATTTCTTCATGCCGGAGATGAAAGGTCGATCTCTGGAGGAATTGGATGAGATCTTTGCGGCACGAGTGCCGACACGCAAATTCAAGTCGTATCAGACTGTGATTCGGGTGGCGGCTAGGATTGATGCGGCTAATGCTAAAGGTGCGAGTCAGCATATTGAGAAGGCTTAGAGGGGGGTTTCGCTGGGCCGATTGTGTAAAGCCGAATAGATACAAGGGAGATATACAAGAGAATTAGCAAGGCTGGAAGTTTACCGGTGATAATGCATATTTTTTTGCGTCTAGAGAAGAGAACTATATATCCGGGTTCGCATATTCGCCAGGCGCCGTTGTAATCGAAATAAGTAAGAGCGATGCTATGTAACGCCAAAACATGCTTGCTATAACCCAGACATAAAGATAAGAATGTTCGTTCAAAATTGTAGACATTGGAGAAAAGATTGTAAGTGGAGACGTGATGGTCATGTCGTTATCATCGGAGTTGGTGGGCCATATGGTAAGGCAGGGTATGTATCCCAGACGTTGTGCCCCTCTGAATTGTACAAAGAGAGCTGACGATATATACACATGCGTCCGCCAGCTCGTATCCACGATGCGTGCTGCTGGCGTAGAGTCGTCGTTTTATTTTGGTTCGTTTCGTTTCGTGGGAACGTAGATGTGATGTGTGTACTGTCGGTTAAGTAGTGATTATGCGGTAAACATGAGTCGCAAGCGACTCGGGCCTTTCTTCTTCTTCTCCTTGGGCCGCTTCTCCTTTTCAGAGATGCTTGTGCCAGCCTTAGAAGGTGCTTTGCTTGGTGCGTTGCTCGGTGCACGACTAGATGCCCGACTCGGTGCCTTTGTCGGCGCCTTGGATGATCGGACAAAGAACCCAGAGGGAGCTTTCGAAGCGGGAACAGGCTCAGGCTCTCTCCGGGAGCGACCACTGCGAGACTCGGCCGTGGTGTGAGCTCGGGAAGTGCGTGAGCGACGTGAGCGACGGGATGAGGCGACGGAGCCACCGTCATCGAATTTGAATCGCGGATCTCGTTGCGCGCGTGCGGTCGAGATATCAATGCCCGACATAGCTGCGGCCCGAGGTGTGATGAACTCGCCGTCAACAGAGGTGCCGACACTTTCGGCTTTCACATCGGCCACACCGCGTCGCCACATTTCGACCCGGCTGTCGGCTTCCATGTTCAGTTCCATCATTTCCTCCATTCTGATGGACTCTTCTTCTCCTCGCTCTGCATTGCCTGACTGGATCTTCTTGATGATCTTGTAGCCGCCAAACATGACCACAGTCACGCCAAGCCCGAGTCCGGCGGCAATGAGAAATTGCGGGCTGGATAAAAGGGCGAAGATAGTCGGCGCGGCCGACTTAAACGCAGAAAGCGCCGCGGGGGCCATCTTACTGGCTAGGTTACTGATTTCCGCCAAGGTCAGGGCAACGGCAGCCATGGCGTCCGGGTTCTTTTGGAGGTGGCTGATGGTAGCAGTAGCACTGTGTTGCACGCAGTGGGCCTCTTCGAGCAGCCACTGGGCACGGCTCACCAGGCCATCGAGTTGCTTCTGATCATCGACGTTGGGTTCCGGTGGGCTGTATCTCGACAGGGCAGCAGGGTGAGCTTCGCCATAGGCCAAGTCCATGTCGATCTGGGCATCTGATTTGGATCGAGCAGTCATTGGCCGAGCAGCTTCTCGAACTGTGAGTTCGTGGTGTGTATGGCGGCGGGGGAGACCTTGGCCAGGTCCATGATAAGACTCGGGCCTTCCCGTCGCAGAATGTAGGTCCTGTTCATAGCGTGACCTGGTTTGGTGGTGCTGACTGCGACTCGAATGATGTTGTGACCTGCTGCGGTGACTGCGCCGGGAAGCTACCGACGGCGAGTCATCGATCTGGTAAGTAGCCAGGGCCTTGAGGGCCTGCTGTTCTGCAATCTTGGCATTTCGCTCCGAGTTGAAGTGGGCCTTGCGCTCTTTATAAGCAGCCTTGGCTTGGTTGAAGACTCCAAATAGTTGTTTGCTCTGAATGGCACGCGTTAGAAAAGTTCAAATCATTGTATGATGGGGATGGGGTTCGATGAAGGTGTAGCCGGAGATTTGCATCTCGGCCGAAGGAAAAGAGAAGCTTACCGTGCTGACGACCTTGCCAGACTTGTCAATGACGGCGATCGTCTGGCCGAGCGGCGCCATCGCTAGCGATAGTCGTAGACGACTGGCGTCACACAGGAAGATCACTCATCAGAGAGCTTTGCGATCGACAGCAAAGGCGAGGGAGCGGTGTGAACCGCTAGTTCAACAAGGTTCCGTTAGTTAGAACGGAATTCCCGACAGATAGGGATTTCGATAGTTCGTGGGTTGATGTATGGGTATATGGTATATGGAATGTGGGATATAAAGAGAATAAGACAAAGATGGAGATGATTCAGGGGAACAGCTGCAGCCACCGTATTAAAGAAAATGAGTGACTTGGGGGGGGGGGGGTTTCAAAAGGACCAGGCAAAGACCAAATGCCCAAGATGATTAATCCGGTAACGTTAACCCCCAGTGAGCAAGATCGGCGAATAGGTCCGATCGTGGTGGACGAGACACGAGGAGACTTTTAAAGAATCATATATGGTTTGGTTGTCGGGGAAGAAAAATTCGATGCAGAATCGAAGGAGGCTGGGGTTGATGGCATCAGCGTGCAGGGGAGGTGCAGCGGTTGGGCAGAGCAGCGAACGGAGTTATGGTCTGTAGGGCAGAGAGTCACGGAGGATTGGGTTGGGTTGAGAGTGAAGCGAAGGCAGCAGCAAATCAAGACTCGGCCAGGGATCGATTGGAAGCTCACATTCGGGACAGGGTTGGGCGCGAACAAGTCGGAGTCGATTGGTGGGGGGATGGAGAGTTGACTTGGCCTCGGGTGATTAGCTGTAGCTTGGACGAAAGGATTCTACGAGAAATCCCATCAGAAGAAAAGTACCGGGTACAAGGCGACAGCTCAAAGGCCCAGCGGCTCCCCCGATGGCTGGGGAAACAGAAATAGAATCTATGGGAATAAGAGGAATACAAATAGAAAGAGGAGCCACTATGCTCAAGGGAGTATAGGTGAACAGAAATTGATATGAAAGAGTGATAATTTATGGAATGGATATTAAGAGAATGGGGCTAGAAGCACTGACCCGCCAATCGAGTCATAGTTTTCGTGAAATGATATTTGCAATAGGAATCTTTGTTACTTGTTTAGTTGAGTCTTCGGGTTCGCAGGCCGGCTCCCGCTCAAGAAGCGGTGACCCACGCTTGCTGATTGGTGGGGGAGTGTCACCGCCACTGTGGCTGGTGAACTGACCTCGGGGAAGGGCGGTGGACAATTGGCGGGCAGAACGGCCTATAATTAGCACCAGCCACACCAGCTGAACACTGGACACTGTGGCGGTGCCGCCGTCAGCTGGGGCTGGTCGGAATAATATTGAACCAGTACGTAATATGTACAACGGTCGTAGTCCAGACTACAGATACAGACATGGCTTTTGGTTCGTTATATTTAAACAATGCCCTCTCAATAAGATGGAAAATAGGCAGAGCCGCCATATTCATTGACACATTTCCATCAAGGCCATGACGCTATAGGAGGCCATCACTGTTGTACGACTCACTATCAAACAACTATTCGCTTGGCATACACAATGTTAGAATATTAGACATGGACCGGAATCCAAGATACCAGGATACCTGCAGGCTGATGAGAGCATCAAAGGTTGTCCCCCATCAAAAAGTGAAACGAGTTCTTGCTGTACTTTTAACGCCTAGGATTATTACTGCGGCTACTGCTACTCTAGGAAGTAGTACGTAAGTTAACTTTAATGTGCCAGCTCTTAATAAACACTTGGTTACAATCAGGGCACACACATTTTAGCCGCAGCTCCGTGTGGTCACGTCTCCTTATCTCCCCGAAAGCCCCTGCGCGTCTCTCTCATCGATCAAATGATCAAGGATCAACGGGTCGGTGTATCTGTCTTCAACTCCTCTCGGGTTTCCCTTCCTATGACCTCTAGGATTAATCCTCCGATCTGGCAATCTTCTAACCATCACGACTTTGATTGTCTTATTTTATCATTACTATCATCTCGATTCTATTTTGTAGAACAGCAATGATCCTATCTAAACGTCTCCTCCTGCTCTTATCCTAATCCTATCCACGATGACCGATTTAAGCAACCGTCGCACCCATCCACCACTAGCCAGACTACTCTGGGAACCTCAGTAAGTGACAAGCTTTCATAGTCAAATGCCTAATTACGACTACCTCAGCATGGACCGATCAGATCCTCATTCTCCAGTAGGGTGATCAAATGAGAAAATCTGGACAGGTGGGAAGCATGCGACCGTATGCAATTCACGGCGTGTGGCCCTCCTCCCCCTGCTGTATACACACCAGATATACCAGCAGAAAAGACAGTGATCCAAGGTCCCGACTTCGGAGACATTAACCTCCTACAGACAATAATACAAAATACTGACTGGAAATTCTTAAACCCCCCTTTTAGAACTATCTGCCAGGGGAATCCAAAAATTCATGCCAGGGGTGGTGAGTCGAATATTTGATCGATGGTGCAATGTTTTGTTCTTTATTTTCGGGGGGTGATGACTCGTCGTTGTTGCTGCTGTTTGTTCCCCGTTCCCGCACCGCCACTTCGATGATTCATTTCTGTCCGAACTCGGTTCTCTCACCACAGTCGTGGAACTCCATGCAATTGAACCCAACGCGGGACTTGATCGGATCATCGGTGCTGTCTGGCGTGGGAATTGTGTCCTTTATATAACTTCTTCATTCTCGTTTACTTCCATTTCGTTTCATTGAGGACTCCCGTGGCTGACAGTTCTCCCCGCGATGGACACAGTGGACTCGGGGAGCACATCGGAGGTCGAGGACCAGTCCAAGACTTGGGGCTCTGATGCTCGGACGCTTGTTCCACAGGCTGCGGACGATGCGAGCAGTGCCAATCCGCATAGTGACTGTGGCATCGGTCACCGCGTGTTGGCCAGCCGCTCGGTACTCGCTCTGGTCATTGACGAGGAGTGTGTGTTTGCGGGCTTGCAAGGCGGAGATATTGTGGTAAGTTGATTATACATCGACCCCTGAAATTTGAACTGCTGTCGATTTTGCCGGTCTTGAAATCTGTTGTTGTACATTATAGTCTGACTTATTGCTAGGCCTGGTCTCTGGATACCTATGAGCTGATTCTCTCAGTGCATGCCCACGAAGAGAGTGTGCTGGGTCTTTATCTCTCTGAGGATGGCAATCTTCTTTTCTCCAGTGGTGGCGACTCGGTAGTCAATGTGAGTCTATCAAATGACAAAATGCATGAAACAAAATTAATTCCTTCCGAACAGGTATGGTCTACAAGAACCTTTGAGCGTTTATACTCCATCTACTCTCACCATGACGTGGGCGACATCTTCTCTGTGGTCTATTCATCAAGCAACCAAACCATCTACTGCGGTGCTCAAAACACCAGTATCCAAGTAAGAAGTCTACCTTCCACCGAGTTCCCTCAATCTAACCTCAATGCTAGTGGTGCAACCTGTCAGAGGAGGGCTCGCTGAATCACACCGCCGCCGCTCATCCCTCCAAGCGCACCCATCGCTTCTTCGACTCCCGAGGTCCAGATGGAACCCGGGCTCCGCGATCATCAGACGGTGCCAGTGCCGTTTCAGAAGGTGGTCGCGTGCTCACCTTTAAGCGGGATCACCACAAGCTCTTCGCCCATCATGGCTATGTCTATTCGATGCTTCTGGTCAAAGGCTTGATTGAGTCCGCACCTGGTGAGGAGGCCCTGCTTACCGGTGCCGGAGATGGCGTTGTTAAGCTGTGGCGTTTGGGCCAGGAGCCTGGCGCCGCACCAACGCAAATTGCCAAATTGCAAAATGGTGACTCGGTGCTTTCAATTGCCGTGGAAGGATCGCTGCTCTACTGTGGTCTTGCGGGTGGTGCTCTCAACATTTGGAATCTCGACTCCCAACAGCTTGTGAAGCGGATTGTCCGGCATACTGGTGATCTGTGGGCTGTGCACGTTATCCAGGGCGTTGCTATCTGCGGTGATGCGACGGGAACAGTCAAGGTATGAAACTATCAGCAGGCCTTATATTCCTTCACGATTCACATTGCTGATTGATGTCAGAAATTCAACTCTCGGTTTGAAGAAGTGGGTGGCTGGACCGCGCACGAGGGTACCATGCTTGCCTCCGCATTTAGCCGGGCCAAGGATCGTCAGATCTATGCCACTGGTGGAAACGACAATAGCGTTGGCATTTGGGACTTGACGGAGTTCTTCCTCACCCAGGAAGAGCTGCCACCCATTAGCAACGGTAATTTCATTCATTATTTTATCATCACGGAACTCTTGCTGATAATATACGCACAGATGAAATGGTGAATAGTCTTGCCAAATTCGTCTCTTTCAAGACCATCTCTGCTAGCCCGAAGTTCACGGGTGAATGCAATCAAGGCGCTGCATTCCTCCGTCGACACTGCAACTATCTCGGCGCAAAGACAAAGTTGTTGACAACCGGGGCGGACACGAACCCCATTGTTTTTGCTCGGTTCAACGCGACTTCAACCGATAAAGTCGACAAGACGATTCTCTTCTATGGGCATTACGACGTCGTTGGAGCTGATACGAACCGTCCGAAATGGAAATCGGACCCTTACCAGCTGACTTCCATTAACGGTTTCCTTTACGGGCGTGGTGTGTCAGATAACAAAGGCCCCATCTTAGCATCACTTTATGCTGCGGCTGATCTTGCCCGCACCAAGTCTTTGCGTTGCAACGTCGTCTTCCTCATCGAGGGTGAAGAAGAGTCTGGCTCGCAGGGCTTCCACGAGACCGTGCGGGAACACAAGGCCGAGATCGGACCCGTGGACTGGATCCTGCTGGCGAACAGTTACTGGTTGGATGATTATAATCCCTGCCTCACTTATGGTCTACGTGGTGTGGTTCATGCCAATTTGGTCGTGACGAGTGACCATCCCGATCTTCATAGCGGTATCGATGGCAGTGCCTTACTCGACGAGCCGGTCAAGGATCTTTCCATCCTCGTGTCGACCCTGGTCGGACGCAAGGGCAAGATCAATCTCCCTGGCTTCCACGACCCAGTTCGACCCCTAACCGAGGCCGAACGAAAACGCTTCGAGGCTATTGCCGATATCCTACTTCCTCAGCACCCAGAGATCCCCGATAGCCAAGCCCTGATCAAATCGCTCATGTACCGCTGGCGCGAGCCATCTCTGACTGTGCACTCAATGGAAGTCCCCGGCAGCAAGAGCGGCACGACGACCATTGCCCGCCGAGCCAAAGCCAGCTTGTCCATTCGCATTGTGCCCGACCAGCAAGCAGACGAGGTAGCCGCCAACCTGACAGCCTTTGCACAGGAGCAATTCGATCTCCTCGATTCACAGAACGAACTCACCGTCGAGATCACTGGCAAGTCCGACGCGTGGCTTGGAGACCCAGACAATGAGATCTTTGCTACGCTCTCCGAGGCCATCACCGCCGCCTGGACACCCGACCAGCAAACCTCGAAACATCAATACCCCATCCCGCAACTCGCCCCCGGCCATACTGCCCCAACTTCCAAACCCACCGGCCCAGCCAGCCAACTTCTACGCAATAATTCCTCCGACAGTCTCGCCTCGCATGTCGACCGCGTAATCACTTCAACTACAACCTCTTCTGGTAAAGCAGCTGCTCGCAAACGCTCAACGCAAGGCACAGCCCCAGTCCCGACATCCAACACACTCGCCAAATCCACCTCCACTCCTTCCATGGAATCCACCACCCTTCCCATTCGAGCCAAGGCAGACTCAGAGACCGAATCGAACTCGTCCTCACCCTCACCTTCAGCCTCCAAGCAAGGAACCCCAGCTCTGCCTACCTCGTTGTCCGTGGCCGCCGTGAAACCCATTTTCATCCGCGAGGGTGGCTCTATCCCCACCATCCGGTTCTTGGAGAAAGAATTCTCCGCGCCAGCGGCGAACTTGCCATGTGGACAGGCTAGTGATAACGCGCATTTGGACAATGAGCGCATGCGTGTGGAGAATTTGTATAAGAGTCGGGAGATTTTCCGGTATGTTTTTGCGCACTTGGTCGATAAGACGTGATACTAGTGCGGACCCCCGGTGAAAAAAAAATTTCAAAAGCAAAGACGAGATAAAAGAGGGCTCAATCGGGATGTGTTTTGGCATTTACGTGGTGCTCGGGTATTACTTGTGCTTTGTTTGTTGTGTTACGTGTTTGGAATTTGGACTTGCATTTCTCTCGTGTAAAGTATCGCCTGCTACTTGCATAGCATTGATGTTTCTTCAGATTTGATGATGGTTTTGTTGTATTCTACTATCAAGGTTCAATTGTGACCTGGACTCGGTTCCGTCTCGGGTGCATCCACAAGACCATACTCACATCCTTGTACTGTTCTACTGCCTCCTTTAAAGGCTATCCAAGCGCAATTCTAGAGGAATCTGTCACATCTAACCAGATACCAGCGTTCTTCAAACAATTACGCGGTCAGCTGGCTAGAGAAGAGAGTTGATCTCTCACAGGTACCTTTGACAGCTCGACACCCCAAGTCTTGACAGCTCGTGCGAAGGCTCCGTGCACTGCCGATCATCAAGAATCCAACAGTAGGCCTAGACCCATCATTTGGAAGAAGGTAACCCTCAATAACAGCTAATTGCTTGTTTCTGCAGACTCGGATACTCCTCGGGTGGAGCCAAAACGAGCCAAAAGGACGCAGTATTATAATTCGTCTATCCCTTGGATGAACAATTCGATCGAGAATCGATCGGACCTATCAGCACACAAGCATCAAATTTTCAGGGGCCAGACGATGCAAGTCCGGCACACCGCGACACTTCCCCGCGGGTGGTCCCTCTTTGACAGTTGATCTGTCGAATGCACGGACTTGGTGATCCAGCAACAATTGTACCAGAGACCATGTCCGTGGGTTGGGAAGGGCTTCGTGTCAGCGCCACCACCGACGCCTCATTCAAGTTAAAACCGTTGCAAAAGTTCCAATGCGACGGGAGAAGAATGGCATTATTGGGTCCATTGCAGGTCGGTGCAGACTGAGGCGGTATAAAGTGCTGGAAAGGGAAAGGACTGACGGATTTGATGAGATAGCTTGGACGTTGCCCCCTCCCCCGGTTTCATCATCGTGCTCGCTTGCGCTTGATATGAAGAGTCGGAATACGACCCGCGACAGCTCACAACGGTTTGTTTTTGTCCCCTAGAATTGCCTCGGTGCTCTCCCTTTGCGAGGTTCTTTTGACAGCGTCATTATGTATTTGTATCCTGGGGATGCCCTTTTCTGATCTCACGGATTTCTAGCAATGCAGGAAGCTCATAATCGGGCGATACTAAGCAATATTTTGTACAAATTCTCTAAAACATCCTCCATCATCTGCGAAAATGTTGGCTGGCAAAGGTATTCGTGCTATCGCGGTGATGTGGGCAATGACCGCTATCTCCTTCATTCTGGTTCCCCTTCGACTCTATACTCGAATCTACATTGTCAAAGCATTGGGGGTGGATGATCACGTATTCAATCTGGCATGGGTAAGTTGAACATTGGCCTCTAAAAGATACAGACTACAGGGCAAAAAAGGGACTCACATACCTACAGGTGTTCCTGTTGCTATACACCATCTTCATGACAATATCAGGTTATTATGGCTTCGGTCAATCTATAACCACCCTTGAGATGGACATGGCTGTCAAGGCCATATATAACGAGATGATCGGACAGACCTTTGCAGTCCTCGGGATGGCTATTGCAAAGATATCTCTGGGCATCTTTCTACTCCGCATCGTTGTCAAGCAGTGGCATCGTATCTCCATCTGGATATCCATGGTCAGTCTTGCAATTGTATCGGTAATGACTGCAATACTCTTTTGGATTCAGAAGCTCCCATCGGAGTCTATTTATGATCCTCGCGTCCCGGGCCGCCTTGTTGTTAAGGTGACACCGTTTTCTATCTTGCTTGGATGTGAGCCTCCCCTTGTCTTGCGTGACCCTCTGCACTGTCAATGTGGTTTGTCTAATATCATTTTGTTTATCAGCTTGGTGCGCCGCCGTGGACTTTTACTTTGCACTGCTTCCATGGATTTTCATCTGGAAGCTCAATATGAAGTTCAAGGAGAAGATGTCGATTGCAATCAGTTTGAGCCTGGGATTCATGTAAGGTTTCCTTCTCATGTTTCCCATTACGGGAAAACTGACCTTGATCTTTTTCATAGAGCCTGCGTCTGTGGTATCATCAGGACTGTGGATTTGGGTGGACTAAATAGTTCGAACTATACTCGTATGACACGTCTCCTTTCGCAACATATTCGATGAAATTCACTAACATCCACCGGTATGCTTTAGTGGACACCGTCGACTTGATCATTTGGTCAGCAGTCGAGCTTGCCGTCACCCTAATCTGCGTTGGAATCCCTACCGTCCGCCCCCTCTATCGTGTCATCGTCCATGGATCAAATCTGGAAGACTCCGAGGGCGGATACGTCAAGCATAACAACTCTGATAAATCGTCCCATGTTCACATGCAAAATATGGCCAAGGGTAATACGGCTTTCAGAGCCAAAGACGAGGGTACTACCGAATTGTATATCTCTCGTAATAACCACAGTGACGAGGAAGTGCTGGTTGGGCAGAATAATAGAACGAAACGTGGGATTCGCGTGCGAGAAGAGGTACGAGTGGAGACGAATTATTGAAACGGTATACCCAGGCACTTTTCAGATTTTACTGCTCCTACTTCAGTCTGTGGGGCAATTGTGGCTTCTTGATGAATTGTTTCATTGGTCAGACCTTACGATGCAATTGAAGGTGGAATTTAGTATCAAAAGAAGCAGATCACCAGCTCAGAGGATCAGTTACTATGGCTGCTTAGCTACCAAAATCTAGCAAGCATGATACTGTAAAATGGTTCCATATACAGTGCGCTTTCTTCATTGAGGAGGACATTTAAGTCTTCTCATGGTGAACTCGTTAGCGTGGGACGAAGTCACGGCATCTATGGAGCCAGGTTCCAGTACAGCATTAGATTATTAGGTACCGTAGGTCTCCCAGGAGTATACTGTAATTACAACCAAGGCTATTCTGAATGGTTAAAGGTGAAATGACCGTAACGTCATAGACAAGTTGAACTTGAGAATCTGAAAAAGGCAGCATTACCACCTTCATACGCCTCGTCAACAATTTTCCCAATTCAAGCTGCATATCGAAACTCCCCGAACAGCATCCCCTCGAATACCCAAATCTCAAAATGCTGCGACGCCGAACATTACCCCGTAGACTGACTCGTTCTTCGAACCGTTTCTCTGACGATCGGAAAGAGATTTGCACTCTTCTTGAAAAGGAAGTGTCGGTGACTAGCCAGACAGTTGGCGGGAAACGGAATATCACTCGTTATAGTACCAAAATGAAGAGATCTGTTCGAAGAGGACAGCGCACACTCAAAGGTATTTACGGCAACATGCCGTTCATCGGTCATGTCCTTCTTCAGATTACAAGGAATGAACGCATGACAATCTACTCTTTGAATGGTGACCTCCCGGCAAGGGTCAAGTATATTTCCCTTGTCGATCATGTTTGTCTCTCAGCTGCAAAAAGGCTCTTCTGTCAATATAAGGTCTTCGCCAAGGACAATTCAATGCTTCCTCCACAACCAACCGACCATCGTCTTCCTCTTTCATTCGTCAATAGTGAAGATAAGCTAGGAAATCAACTCCTTGTCCGACTTGAAAATTCCCAGTGGAAATACTGCGTCGAATGTGCGTTGCTCAAACCACGAAAGACATTTACGTCAGACAAACCCAAGGCACCAAGTCCGAAGAGGCATTGCACACGTTATGATGGCATAATTGAATTATGTCCATATCTTCCCCTGACTCGTCAAGATAAAAAAAATTTGTTCCATCTTCTCCAGTCCCCGATCACAACTCCAAGGCTCCGGTATGGTTGTTATGGCCTTAAACTTGACGGAGAGGCGCCCGACGGTCATCTCTGTTCATTCCTCTCAAACTCAGGTCGTAAGATAGAGATTTATACTAAAATGTCCATCTCTACTATGGGCTCCTTGGCGTTTTTGAATTTGGAAGTTTGGTATTTCATGCGTCCGCTGGCGATCCTTTCCTCGCAGCTACGCCTGTCTTCGCACGTCCTCATCTGGATCTGATACCTCTTGTTCACACCAGAGGAGACTATACACGATGCTACAATTGCATTTCTCCCGTTTGGAGAGAACCAAGATTTGCCAGAGGTGCTGATACAGTGTCTTTCTATGTTTTCGGTCTCTGGGGCCCACCGACGAGTCGGTGGATCTTTTTTGGTATGGCCGCTGTCGTGAACCGGGGAATAGGTCTGGGGTGAGCAAAATCAGTATCGTTGTGCCAGTTCCCACAGTTGAAAATGTCTGCTAAGTCCTGCCAGATCAAAATCACAAGGTTTGAGGAATGGGTCCACAATTTGGCACAGCCGGTTGGAAGATTACTCGTCACGGTTTCATTCAGGAGCTAAAGCATCATCAGCTCAGGCAACTCCACCAGTGTTCATCAAATGGTTCGGGAGCCAATACAAAGCCATATAGAAACAGAAAGACGGAGCAACTCCTTTTCAATCTCGATTCGCCTCGGGGGTTGTTCGTCATCTAGGAACCCTCATGTATAACATAGTATAGGAGTATGTAGTAAATGTTTGCCCTTACTTTCATCTCGTCTTGTGATTGTTGGCTAGATGTCTCTTGATAGCGCCAAGAAAGAACGTAGGGTTCTGTCAATATCTAGCTTGTATTGCATGTTCATTATTGCACAGCCTCATCGGCTCCAAAACGCGACGGGCTATGCAGCTTGTATTAAGAACCCGAAATGAATAGAGAAGACTGCCCTTTTCAGACATCTTCAAACCCCCAATCCGAAGATTTTATGTTAAGCCTTCAAAGGCTTTGTATACCAAACAATGCCTGAGAACAATATCAAATGCGATACGATAAATGAATAGACCCCGGTAGGGCCATTGGCGCGGTATCAAAAGTATATCCCAACCCGGTCTTCGTCTCTATGAGTGTATCCCATCTACATTTAAATCTCGTAACTGTCGGACTTGTCAGCATCCATAGCCTTCATGCCATCTCATTCCTCAGAATCAAACTTACCTCCAGGAGTGCGGCTCATCACCGTACTGGATACCCTCGATCCAGTTCTTCATCTGGAGGGCAATCTCACCAGCCTCCTCGTGCTCCTTCAGGCCACAGTCCACGAGCTTGCCGCGGTAGCTGATGCTGCGCACCGGACTGACGATGGCTGCGGTGCCAGCACCGAAGACCTCGATCAGACGGCCCTCCTCAGCGGCCTGGGCAACATCAGCCATGCGGATCTTGCGCTCGGAGATCTCCCAGCCCTTAGGAGCGAGACGCTCTCGGGCAAGGGTGAGGACGGAGTCACGGGTGACACCCTCAAGGATGGTGCCATCAAGAGGAGCAGTGATCAGCTCGTTCTTTCCGGTCTCCTTGTTCTTGATGGCAATGAACAGGTTCATGGTGCCAACCTCGGTCACGTACTCCTCCTCGCCAAAGAGCCACAAGTTCTGCTGGAAGCCACGAGAGGCAGCCTCGAGCTGAGGCAGAATGCAAGGAGCATAGTTGGCACCGAGCTTCTTGTCACCAACACCGCCGGGCCAGGCACGAACGGCATAATCAGTGGCCTCGAGGGAGATGGCCTTGAAACCGGTAGGGTAGTAAGGGCCCACGGGGCTAGCAATGACGAACAGAAGGGCAGATCCGGGAGGGCCGACACCCAAAGTCTTTTGAGTACCGATCATGGTAGGGCGCAGGTACAAAGAGTAGCCACGAGCACTGACAGATCACAATTAGTCGGGGATGTCCACAAGAAGATGGTAACTGATGCTCACTCTGGAATGAAACGGTCGTCCACCTTCACAAACTCTCCAATAAGCTTGATCAGGGCCTCGCCGTCGAAAGTCGGGAGAGCAATGCGCGCAGACGACTTGTTCAGGCGTTCCATGTTCTTGTTAGGACGGAACAACCGGGTTCCTCCGTTCTTATCCTTGTATGCCTTCATTCCCTCGAAACACTCGAAAGCGTAGTGGAAGACGCAGGTGGAGGGGTCCAGGCTGAGGTTCTGGTAGGGGACAATGCGAGGGGAGTGCCAGCCATCGGTAGCGGTCCACTCAACTGTAAGCATATGATCTAGATCACCATTCAATTAGCGGGCTTATCCAGCATCGAAAAAAAGCCAATCTTACCGGTGAAGGTCTTTCCAAAGACCAGTTCCTTAGGCGGCGTCAGCTCCTTAGGAGTTGTGGTCTTGGTGATGGACAGCTTCGAGGCATCCAGAGCAGCAAGCTGAGAAGCGGCCGAAGCCGTGACGGCGAAGTTTCTTTGCCATAGGCGCTGGGATGCGAAGGTCTGTGAAGCCAGGCGAGGGGTCGCAAGGCCAGTGAGTGCCTTCCGGCGAGTCAATTGCTGAAGGGACTTCATTGTTGGATGAAGGGTGTCAGCCAAAGCAGTGATTTGGGGAGGGGGGGAAATAGTAAGAGCGACGCAGACGGAATTTAAATGCGCGATGACTACTCCGCACGGCACTTTCTGCGGAGGACAAGCACCACTCCCCGGCGCGCCCTACGGTGAGATTCGGCTTCACCGCCCGGTCTTTGAGTGCTGATAAGTAATGACTCAAACGCGCCCGCATATCCGGTTGCACCAATCAGAAACCTTCAATTCGAGGGCCCCGCCGATTTCGGATCAGTTGGAGGCCTGATCTTTCAGTCAGCAATCGAATTCGCCGATGCAAAGCGAGGAATCACCTGACCGGATATTGTAGGTCGTTCGGATTCTTGACAATTCAGGTTAGGCTCGTTCTTCGGGGCAGTTGCAGTAGGACAACTGGACAGCTGGACAGCTGGACAGCTGGCGATGACGGCACGTGACCCCACCCGCGATAGGAACATTGTTATCGCAGTCCCGTTGGAGCTTCGAGTGTTTCGGAGGTGCCATTGTCCCTCGGTCGGCCATTGAAGTTCTTGCTGCACTTGCAGAGCTCCAATCAACGCCCAAGAAGGTCGTTGCTCCCTGAATCGCATCATCCACCGGCCCAGATTAAGCCATGCCTCTCGCCGCGACCCGACCAATCACCACATCGTGAATCGCTTCAACGTTGCCTGACACAGCTCGGTCTTGGATGACGGACACTCCCTCGGTCCATCCTCGCCCAATATGTTCTCCAACGCGCTAAAGTCGTTCAGCTCCAACATCTCTGCAAATTACCAGATCTCACCACATCCTACCGTCTACTCTGGCCCCTGGAAAATCCACGATGCAAAGAAAAAGTCCACGGGCACCGCGGCATCTGTGTTCATCTTCGATCGCAAGGTTCTAGAGCCGCGATCTAGTGGACTCGGGCGCTCGGGATCGTCTTCGAAGAAGCTACAGGATGATGTGATTGAGCGGCTAAAGCGGGAAGCCAGCAACTTGGCTCGTCTGAGGCACCCGTCTATTCTACAAGTGCTGGAACCAGTGGAAGAAACACGCAATGGCGGCCTGATGTTCGCAACGGAGCACTTGACGGCCTCTTTATCAGGATTACTGCTGGATAAAAATGAGCAGGAGGGCGCATCAGGCTCCGGTGCGCGAGGCAGTCGGTACATGGTCCAGGAGGCCGATGGCACGCGAAGACGCCGGGATCTGGAAATCGATGAATTAGAAATTCAAAAGGGATTGCTACAGGTCGCAAAGGGTCTAGAGTTTCTCCACGAGTCTGCTGGCTTGGTACATGGAAATTTGAACCCAGACGCCATCTATATCAACTCCAAGTCTGATTGGAAGATCTCCGGCCTCGGGTTTGCTGGACCTCCTGATTCCTCGGAGACCCGATCGACACTCCCGCCGTTGGCTGTCTCTGAAGTCCTTTATCAGGACCCCAGACTGCCTCCTTCTGTACAGCTCAACATGGATTACACCTCACCGGACTTTGCTTTGGACTCGAACGTGTCAGCGGCTGCAGATCTTTTTTCCTTGGGACTGATAATCATTGCCCTCTACAACTCGCCCCATGTATCTCCCCTCCAAACGCATGCAAACTTGACGACATACAAGAAGCTATTGAGCTCCCCATCGACTACACCCTCTCAGAACAATAATTTCCTTTGCTCTCAACCCATCCCTCGTGATGTTTTGTCTCATGTCTTGCCCCGACTGATTACCCGAAGGCCGGCGCAGCGCATGAATGCTCGAGAATTCCAGCAGTCTCAGTACTTTGATAATGTTTTGGTGTCCACAATTCGTTTCCTAGAGTCCTTGCCGACTAAGAATGCGAATGAGAAATCCCAATTCCTTCGCGGGCTACAACGCGTTCTGCCGGACTTTCCGGCATCGGTGTTGGAGAGGAAATTATTGGGGGCCTTGCTGGATGAAATGAAAGACCGCGAACTTCTTCCTTTGATTTTGCAGAACGTCTTTGGAATCCTGCAACGGATCCCTAGTGGGCGTCGTGCCTTGCCCGAGAAGATCATTCCTGGCCTCAAAGAGGTGTTTGGTACGGGAGCGGGCAAATCAGGAGCTCACGAACGGGACTCCAAGAAAGATGCAGGTCTCATGGTCGTATTGGAAAATATGAAACTCATTGCCGACAATTGCTCAGGCATAGAATTTAAAGATGGTAAGACATTACAAAGAAAGCCGACTATACATTGCTAATTTATGTCCTAGACATACTACCTTTGATCCGCCTGGGCATGGACTCACCCACCCACTCCTTGGTCGATGCCTCTCTCAAATGCCTCCCGATCATGCTTCCGGTTCTTGATTTTAGCACTGTGAAAAATGAGGTGTTCCCTCCAATTGCCACCACTTTTAGTCGCACTAGCAGCCTTGCTATCAAAGTTCGTGGCCTAGAGTCTTTCGCTATCCTCTGTGGTGGCTCTGTAAACGACTCGGATGTTCTGGATGATGACCTCAACGGTACCGTTCAATCAAAACAAACCACCAAGTCATCCATTCTAGACAAGTATACAATTCAAGAGAAGGTTGTGCCGTCCCTCAAAGCCATCAAAACGAAGGAACCCTCAGTCATGATGGCCGCCTTGAAAGTCTTCCGACAAGTCGGAAAGGTTGCAGACACAGACTTTCTCGCTCTCGAAGTCTTGCCTGTTCTCTGGGGCTTCAGTCTCGGTCCCTTGTTGAACCTCCAACAATTCAACGAGTTTATGACATTGATCAAATCCCTCTCTGCTAAAATTGAAAAGGAGCAGACAAGGAAGCTCCAGGAGCTTTCCTCCGGGGCTGATTCAGGGGGATTCCAGGCTACCGCTAACAGCTTCTCACAATCTGCCACGGATCTCACTTCTCCCGATACCGACGGGGCCAGAAACAACTTTGAGCGCCTTGTGCTAGGAAAGAACGCTGCAGCCACTAATGGCAAAGATGTCGATCTTTGGGGTGGTATGGACGATGCCCAGCCCGTTGCATCCAACCGACCAAGCATGTCGCCCGGCTTGTCATGGTCCACCAATAATGCCGCTGGCTCAGGTCAAACCTCATCTAGCCAACTCGGTTTCCGGTCCATTACACCAGATCAGAAACTTGGCTCCTTCCCATCTCTGGAGCCTGCACGACAAACGTCTCCTTCGATCTCGTCGTTCCCAGCTATGCAGCCATCTTCGCCGACTTGGGGGGTTCAATCCCAAGGAGCGAACAGGCCTAGCCCATCTATGGCATCGTTGTCTGGCCTAGCCGCCAATGCCCCAATGTCAAGACCAACATCGTTGTCCCAACAAGCCTCCAATTATTCCTCCTTCTCTATTCCGCCTCCACCAGGTGGAATGGGTGCTGCCAATGCGATGAGATCACCATCGTTGAATATGAACACGACACCGGCGCCATTCGCAAGTCAACCCCAACCCCAGCCCCAGGTTCCCCAAAAACAAGGGTTAGCCAAATACGAGAGCTTGTTGTGAAAGTTGTCGCGTGTTCCTTATATCGATGAAACCCCGATGTGGCTAGCTCTTGTTTATACCCATTTGCGTGCTATTTGCTAGCGTAGCAAATATATAGAACCATTTTGCAATGAAGCAGCATAACATTCTTGATTTAAAGACAGCGCCTAGTATAATTTTGACTGTAGATACAAGTATGACTCCATTGTACGCCACCGAACCAATCCATCTCCAACAGACTAACAGTCGGCAAAACTGTATGGAGCTAGTGGAGCCAAAGCCAGGTCGGGCCAGGCGCGTAGCGTCGGCTGGCGGGCGGAGCCTTTAATGATTGGCAAGCCCAAGCCCGTCTCTCGATGTCATCGTCATAGGTCGCAGCTACCTTGACCCCTCGAAGCCTCCATGCACTCATTGCGTGGCATTGCGCCGCGTTTGCTTACCCGGAGCTCCGTCCTACCTCCGCTACCCCTCAATCATCGTCTTGCATACCGATTGCCCGCGCTTCGCTCTCCATTTTCCATCTCCCACTCCCTTCGATCATTCATCATGGACGAGAACGTGAAACAACACTATCTGGCTGACTCGCCGCCTAGCGTGGTCCGTCTGGAAATCAAGTCGCACTTTGATACTCTTAAAGATGAGAGTCTTCGGAGATACGCCCACTACATGAGCAGGTAGAGTGTTCCCCTTGAGCTGCATGGGCGCACCTCGCGCAGCCCGAGTTCTCCACGAGCACGCGACAATGAGTTGACTGAAAGGTTGTGATGTATATAGGGCCGCATTTGAAGGCACTCGTGTGACTCTGCGCCAGGTCTCCCCCGAGTCGGAACCTATCTACGATCTTATTCTCGCCCTCCACAAAACCTGCAATGGCGATTGGAACAGTCTGGCCCAAAAGACTCAGGTCAGCGAGGAACACCTCCGCTTCTTCCTCGAATATGCTGCCCAGTTCCTGGGTAACTGCGGTAACTACAAAGGCTTTGGTGACTCCAAGTTCATTCCTCGGATCCCAGCCTCCGCCTTTGAAGCTCTGGCGTCGAGCACGCCGGAGACCAAAGAGGCTTTCCAAAAGGCAAACAGCACTGGCGGTGGTATTTACGAGACTAGCGAGCAGTCTTTGATGCATCTGGGCTACCCTACCGCTGGCCATATGACTACCTACTACCCTGACTCGCCCACAATCACCAAGGATGAAATCACAGCTGTGGGCGACTTGATGGAGAAGAAGGGCCTGGCCTTGGAGAATACTAGAATCCGCAAGACGGCCTCTGGAGACTTTGAACTCTTAATTGCATCTGGAGTCACCAATCCTCCAGTGAGAGATCGCGATCTCGGCGGGACCCATACTTTCGAGCTTGCGGGAGCTCTCAAGGGCAAGACTCTTCGTCTGGTCTTTGGAGACTACCTGGAGGAGATGGCCAAGATTGCACACAACATCAAGCTTGCTGAGCGTAACGCGGCCAACGATAATCAGAAGAAGATGCTAGACGCATATGCTCTTTCGTTTGGTGCTGGCTCCATTGAAGCATTCAAGGAGAGCCAGCGTGTTTGGGTTAAGGACCAAAAGCCTGCTTTGGAGACGAACTTGGGATTCGTCGAGACGTACCGTGATCCACATGGTGTGCGTGGAGAGTGGGAGGGCTTTGTCGCTCTGGTATGGTCATCATATTTCTCGCTATTGTATCACTTGTTTACAGACACTAATTTTTCTTTCCTTTTTCTAGGTGAACCTGGAGCGTACTCGGGCATTTGGTGCTCTAGTGGACAGTGCTGAGAGCATGATCCCCAAGCTCCCCTGGGGTACAGACTTCGAGAAGGATCACTTCCTCAGCCCTGACTTTACCTCCCTGGAAGTTCTAAGCTTTGCTTGCTCTGGTCTTCCCGCTGGTATTAATCTTCCCAACTACGACGACATCCGCCAGAACCTTGGCTTCAAGAATGTCTCCCTTGGCAATGTTCTGAGCGCAAAGGCTCCGAACGAGCCCATTCCTTTCATTGCTGAGAAGGACCTGGAGCTTTTCCGCCGCTACCGTGATCCTGCCTTTGAAGTTCAGGTCGGTATCCATGAGCTTCTGGGCCACGGTACCGGCAAACTTCTGCAGGAAACTGCTCCGGGAGAGTACAACTTTGATATCTCCAACCCCTCCTATTAGCCCCGTGACTGGCAAGCCTGTGTCAACCTGGTACAAGCCTGGTCAGACCTGGAGTTCGGTATTCGGCGCCATCGCCTCTTCATATGAAGAGTGCCGTGCCGAGTGTGTTGCCATGGCCTTGGGCTGTGACTTTGAGATTCTCAAGATCTTCGGCTTCGGCGATGGCAAAGAGGACATGGCCAATGAGGCTGGTGACGTTCTCTATGCTGCCTACCTGCAGATGGCTCGTGCCGGTCTGGTCGCTCTGGAATTCTGGGATCCCAAGACCCAGAAGTGGGGTCAAGCTCATATGCAAGCTCGATACAGCATCCTGCGCACATTCCTCGGTGCTGGCGAGGACTTTGTCAAGCTGTCCTACACTAAGGAAGATCTGTCGGATCTGGAGATCCTCCTGGATCGCTCTAAGATTCTGAGCCACGGTCGGCCTGCTGTTGAGAAGTACCTACAGAAGCTGCACATTTACAAGAGCACGGCCGATGTCGAGTCTGGCAAAGCCATGTATGACGAGATCACCTCAGTCGACAGCTGGTGGGGAACGCAGGTGCGCGAGGTTGTTCTTAAGAACAAGGTGCCTCGCAAGGTGTTTGTGCAGGCCAACACTATTCTGGAGGGAGGCAAGGTGACTCTGAAGGAATATGAGCCTACTCTGGAAGGAATTATCCAAAGCTTCGTGGATCGCAAGGTGTAAAAGTAAAGCACTTGAGCGTCGAGGATAAATAGTAGCCAAGACAACCAACATAGTTAGCATAGCACATCAATCATGATAAATACCCATCGACGACACCGATTTGATTTACTGTGAGTCAACACTCAATATTCTTCAATTCATAGATTTCCTTATTCGATACAGAAATAAAAGAATATAACTTAAAGTGTAGCTGGGGTAGAAGAGAAGGTCAAGTGCGGTCTGTCTGCTTACCGCCGACGTGATCGAGTGGTCTGCTTAAGCGCCCATCCGTCTTCACCTCCTCTTCTCAGATCGCCAGCTCCTCGGTTTGCCAGCTTTCCACCAAAGTCCCACTGCAGTTTCAACAACCGACCTAATCGGCCGTTCATACAATCCAAGTTGCTCCTAATATAATACATCTCGCAGACGCGGGCTTCCATCCCGGCGATCGTGAGTCTCCTAATCGACAACAAAGCGGACCCTTAAGGACGCAAGTCCGGAAGCCATCAGACCAGCCGCCTTGTCGCGATTGGGTCTGATCTGACGACCACATCGTGTCGGACAAAACACACACTCAGCACCCATCAACCACGGCGCGCCCGCGTTCTCCAACGGACTCCCTCGAGGAGGACGACAACTACACAGCTCCCCCACCGCACTCGCCCTCCCAAGCATCTGCCTCGAGCTCCGCGTCCGTCAGCCCTCCACCTTTCTCCTCCCTCTTCGCCTCGACCGAGTCTAGTCGCCCTAAACTTACCGAGTCTCCCGGTCCCGCTTATCTTCCAGCCTTTGCGCCGCCGCCACTCGTCGAGGAGCCTCTCGATTCGGCCCCTTCGTCGGCGGTTGTCGCAGACACCAAAGCATCCTTCTCCGATCCTAAGGGGGACGGGCTTGGCAAGAGTACCGACGACGGGGAACCGCCGCCGCCGTATACAGAAGGCTACAGTCCACTTGAATCATTTACATACACGATGGCTGCGGCAGGAGGTGCTTCAAGCATCATCACTCAGGTCCAGCAGGGTGGTGGACCGCCCATCAACACGCTTGGAGGTACGTGCCATTTTGATGTGGGGAGTTGCGCGACAAGCCGCCAAACTGACTTGTCCTTTCGCATACAGATATTGGTGGTGATGAACATATCACGCTAGATCTCCGGTAAGCTATTCGTCTACTGCCTCTGATATGGTGCTAACGACATGGATAGGGGTACCCGGTTCACACTGTCAAGAGATGAGCTTTTGACACTACCAGAATTCGTCTTGCTCTCCTTGTTTCCCAATGGCCTTCTTCCAGATGGCCACATGGGTGGATTCCACGAGGGCGACATTTACCCCGTTGACGTAAGCGCAATCGCAATCGCAAGGCCGTGAGCTGTTTGAATATCAATGAACGCGTCTGACAGCTTGCAGTATGACCCGGCATCTCTTCAGTTCATGCTAGACTTCTTCCGATCTGTTGCGCAGTCCATTCCCTCGTCACTGCCTTCTGCATCCACATCTCCTGACCTAGACGTTCCCGATGTCATGCAAAACCCGGCACGAGACATGCTTCAGGATCGCGCTGGAATTATCGTTCTTCGCGAGGACCTCGACTTCTATGTTATCCCGCCACGCCAAGACATTGGCCATGATGAAATGCTTGAAGTCAAGCGTGCTGCTGGCCGAGCTCTGCTGAAGCAGGATGGCATTTTCTCCGGCCTGCGCAAGAGCGAGGAGGTTGGCTCAACTGAACAGCACCTCATTGAGATGCTAACGGCAGGGTGAGCTTACTTTGCATTCCTTCAAATATGTGAATGGTTACTAATTTGACCAGCGGGTTTGATCGTGAGGATCATTGGGGGCACCGCGCCGCAGAGCCTAACAAGGCGGTGATCTGCAGTCTGGCTTTGGCTAAGCTTCGGACCGACATCCGTGGCGATCTTTCCAACAACAGTTCTGTTGGTATGGCTCAAAAGCTTCTGCTATTCTGGCGAAAGCCTGCTCGTCGCTGCTGGTGGGAGGGTGTGGACCTTGACAACGTTGAGGGTGTTGAGGGTCAGGTTAAGGTCTGGATCCGGAGGGTGTGGACCCTCGAAATGGTGAGTTTCTTGATTCTTAAAATCCATACTAAGGGTTTAGATGGCTAATGCTTTCATGACAGAGTGTTATTGGGCTGCGGTGATCTCGTCTATTTTGTTTTCTCATTTTTACTTTTTCTTCTGCTGCATCTGTACCTATACCCAGATCCACTGGCTCGTCGCCAACACGTTTTGTCGTCCCTCATTCTCACAACCTTGAAACACGAGTGATTATTATTTCAAAGAGTCTTTAGTCTTATATTCGTCAGCAGCCGGGCTGGCACTGCAGATTGGTGTTTATGTTACAGTAGTTATTTGTCTATATTGTTTGTACTGCTATCCACAGCTTACCTATGCTGCGAGATGTGGATCAATGATGCGAGCCCGATAAAATTGAAATTATCCATATATCTCATTTGCTTCTTCTAAGACCATCATTTTGTATTCTCAATAGACCAATAATGATATCCAAGTATAACCAAGCCTCAGGGTTCCTGCCTCAGGCAGCACGGATACTCTCACGTGACCGTGGAATGGACCCGTCTCGCTCGATTGGGGAAAACGCGACGGGCGCAAAAGAATCCCAAGTTAGCTGGATTGTCATTCAATCCCATCTATAGTGGATATAACACATCTTTCTGGGGGCCTGTTGGATTTACCATCTTACTTCGACTTTCTCTTCTGCTTCCGCCTCTCCGTGCGACTCATTCCTGATCCCCCTGGACTCTGATCAACCCTTCAATCGACCTTCAAACAACAGAACACCTTTTGCGCCCTCAATCCCCGCGAAGGGGCATGTGCTAGTCGAGCCCAATCGCCAACATGTCCCCTCTCAGAGGCTACATCACATCATACCCACCACGCGTGCGCCAGTATGGAAACGCGTTGCTCACGCCGGTCTACCCGGTACAGACGGGCCCGACGCCTCGGACGACAAAGCGCGGTACAACGGCAATCAATTATGCCGAGGACGGTTACGATGATGATGATTTTGATGAGAGTGACGGCCCTCGTCGGCCAACTGGGCTAAGGAGTTTGCGGCGCGAGGAGTCGACTGGTGGCATGCTGGCTCCATCGGAGAAGCTGGGAAAAGAAGTGCATGCGCCTGTTGAGGTGCAAGGTGTTTTTCGCGAATGGATGATCAAAAGGATGCTGCGACCTGCGTATGTAGCTGCTGATTTGAGTGGCGATCCTCGAGACCCTTCTCTTTTGTCCTTTGCGAACTTTGCTAACGTCAGATGTGATTGTACAGGTGTGCGGATCAACTACAAATCCAAGCGCAGCTCCCTTTGACACTGGTTCCCATTCGAATCGACGTGGAAGTCGCCGCGCATCAGCCCCTCGAGCCGTTCCCCTTCCCCCGAGGCGTCAATGAGCAAGTTATAAACCCTGCCCTTCCTGCCTATCGGAGACCAGAGCCTTTGCCTCCGTTCAGAATCAAGGACACCTTCCTGTGGAACCTCCATGAGGCTCTAGCCACACCAGAGGAGTTTGCCATTGGTTTTGTTCGCGATCTTGATCTACCCAACCCCCAGGCGACGACAATGACCATCAGCAATCAGATTCGCCAACAACTGGAGGAGTATGCAGGCGTGGCACTGCACCCTCTATTCCAAAGCAGTCATTCCATTCCTGCGCCGAGTGTACCCCCACAAGCAGATGCTTCGCGAGATGTATCCATGACTCCGGCTGCGACCAACTTTGATACACCTGATAACCGGGGTAACGGGGCTACAGTAACAGTCACAAAGGAGCCGTTGGTGAACGACAGTCTCTTGAACCCGGACGACGCGTACAGGTGTTTGATCACTCTCAACATTAATCTTCAAAATAAGCTCTACACAGACAAGTTTGAGTGGTCTTTGCTTCATCCTCCTGGTATGGCCGAGGAATTCGCCCAGATCACCTGCGCCGACTTGCATCTCGGTGGAGAATGGGTGAGCGCGATTTCACATGGCATTTACGAGGCTGTCTTGAAGCTCAAGAAGGAGGTCTGCGAAAGCGGTGGTCTGATCAATGGTTACGGGAACGAGATTGACAACCAAGCGGCCAACGGCGTCGAGGCTGGTTGGCGATATGACCCCGAGACCCTGGGTGATAAGTGGCAACCACAGGTTGAGACTCTATCCAAGGAGGAGATCGAGAGGCGGGAGGGTGACCGTGAGCGTGAAATCCGGCGTGTACGACGAGAGACTGCGCGGTTCTCCTCCACAACGGGCATCACCCCCGAGGTTTCTCGTCAGAGTAGCGGTGGCTACTTCGATGTTGATAGTGAGACGCCGTTGGGTCGGGGTGAGCGAAATAAGCGGAAGCGTCGCTTCCGTAGTCTTAGCCCATTGGGCAGAGGCACTCCTGGTGGCCGAGGTACTCCAGAGACAGGATCAGGGGCCGGGTATGGTGGCGGAGGTGGCACTCTTACCGATTGGTATGTGGTTCAGCATGGACATCTGAAGAGTGTCTTGTTAATATCAACATAGGGAACGACAAAGCTGGCGATGCAGCAATTGTATGGTTTGGGGTACAGCCGTCTGGGCAGTACGAGACGGACCGGATGGCCCTCGAGTAAGTCTAATCTCATACAGACTATGTTCAACTCATACTGATCAACTTTTCAGACCCTTTGCCACAACTGTGGTTTCCTCTACGAGCGAGACAAGACCACTCCTGAATGGTCAAGGGACCTCCACCGCCACGACATTCCTGTCGGCCGATTTACTTAGATATCCTCCGGATGACTTGTGTCACAATCTCGAGTTATTCAACTTTCATTCCAGATTTGGTATTCTCTATATCCTTGGCCGATTTCTACAGCGGCCCATGATAGTCCTCATGCTCCATTTACTCATCCCGCTTATATCCTCTTCTGCGCCCGGCGAGGCAGATTCTCTTTCTTGAAGCTGCGTTAGAAAGTCGGTATCATCCTTACCGAGTTGATCATGGGTTGATCATTCTAGCTGCTTTCACTCTCCCCATGTGCCTCTTCATTTCCTAGCGTCCTAGCCTTGATCCTTTGTGTGCCATCTGCTATTAAAGCCGAGGCTGCAAGGTTCAGACTATGCAAGGATAATTTCTTGGGCTCATGGCTCCACAATGTGCAAGCTAGTGGAGATTGTATTCTTTCCATTCTTTCTTCTTGTCCTCATCTTTTGCCTTTGCCTAATTGGTCGAAGACTCCTGGACGATCTTTTCTGGGTATAGGGTTTGGTTATGTCTTTTTTGTCTCGTTCTCTCTTGAAGGGATACATTGGTGGGCGCGAAGACGGTGCTTCTTTTTTTCATCAAGATAATGTATGAATATGACTATAAGCCGGTTCGGTTTCTTGCCGTCTATCCTTCCTTAAGTTATCTAGTTGTGCAGGTTGATTGGCTATGTGTGGTTTGCAACGGAGCTTGGTCAACTGGACCTTCCAGCCCAGTAACTATTTCTTTCGCGAACAACCATCGTATATGTGCAAAAAACACCACATGAGACTGATTAATACTAAAGCTTCTAATAAGAGTCGGTCACCACACTTCTGATTACAGGCAAAGTGCGAGATGGTAAATTTCTAAATTAATCCAAAAAGCATGTAAAGAAGCATGTAGATACAGAAATCATGTCAAACGCCAAGGTCAGTACAGCAATGGATATAAGATAAACGTAAAACGAATCCAATTGCAGCACACGCGAGAACAGAAAATGTTATGAGAGAGAACTGATACCCAGCTCTGAATCTATCCTACATAACATTCAACCCAAAACCCCGCTCAATAACAACGCCGTTTAGCAGGCGGCATGTCCTCTCTAGAAGTAGCCTCAGTTTCCTCCTCCACGCCCGCGTCAGAACCCAATGACTCCTATGCAACCATTTATGTCAGCATCTTTATTATGCATCTTGGGATGGAATAAATAAATCTCTGTATACGTACCGAGCAAGTCCGTCGCGACACCGTCGACGCAGAACGGATGGTATCCCCATCACTGTCATCGTCGTAGATCGAGCGCGCGGGTGGACGGGGACTTGGATTCCCAATGCAGACCTTATTGTCAATCCCCTTGATGGCAATGCCACGCTTGAGTGCGAGGGTGATGGGGCGCTTGCGGCCTTTTTCCTCTGTCAAGCCCTGAGACTTGAGGGCATTGATGATAGTGGGGGCGAGTTGGTCCATTTGCTCCGGGCTATATCCGAGGTCTTTGGTATTGGCATTGGCATTGGTTGTTTCAATGCTGGAGTTGGTTGTATCGCTCGCTGGAGAATCAACTTGTGGCGAGGACATCGTGACGGTGTTCTTGTCACCGGTGATAGTGATTGAGAAATCGATTGTGATAGAGATAGTGGTGGGGCTAGGTTCTTCCCAGTCGTAGTCCTCGTCGTAGTAGGTGTTGTTTGGGACGTACATGATTGGGATGCGGGGTGTGTTTGGAATTGAGGTTGAGGTTGATGGGTTGGTTGTGTATGGCGGTGGTGCTGGGATTGTTGTAGAAGAGGTTCGGTTTGCTCGATCTTCGAGGTATTTAAGGAGTTGGTGGCGGAGATTGTCTGAAGGCTCCATTTTGAAGGCGATGGTTGGCTAGTTATTGTGATCAGGTAGGAGAGTAGAGGGCTGGCCAAGGCAGTGGTGGGCAGTCAGTTGGCTAAGGTTGAGAGTGAGGAAGTATAGAGATTGATGCGAGGCAGCAGCAGACAAGCCACGAATTTATAGGAAGGAAGAAGTAGGCAGATGAATAGATGAGAGGAGAGAGAGAGTTCTTGATTTGGAGGGAAGGCAGCATCTATATAAGGTGGACATGGAATAATGAGAAGGACAACCATGGGATCAGCCATACCATGTAGCATGCCGAGAGAACAATCATTTTCCAAAAAAGTGAGTCAAAAGCCATAGCTGCAGCCTAGAAACTCTATTCAGTGTCAATCAGAAGTTGTCCCCAATGGAGTGACAAGAATGAATCGAATGAATCGAATGAATAGGATATGATTGAGTCCCAAAGGGGAGTTGAATGGGCTCGTTGGGATTGTTCTTTGGGGCCATCAATAGGGTCACGTGATTCTATTGTTCCCCCAAAACAGTGGGATGGGCCGAAGTGGCGGTGATGCAAATCCAATCACATTCTGATGTCTCGAGTAATGAGCCCCTGGGGATTGTTATTGTGGAAGAATACAGAGAGCTGGAGTGAAGACGCTAGGGGGGTGGTCACTATCAACAATTCAGCAAACATCCATGGAGATGCTCGTTGGCCAGCTATGTACTTTTTCCTCTGGTAGGGTATCCGTTTTTTCATTTCATATCATAAGTACATCATTAGATGACAACCATTATCGCTAAGTATACGACTGGGGAAGATAAGAATAAATCATTCATAGCCACTAGCCCCCCCCCCAATTCTAGGGCTCACCACGAACAAACCTCATGCTCTCCTCGAAAACAAAACGTCGGACGCTGCCGGTCGACCAAGCCATGGCTGTGAATCCATCCCTCGTACAGTGCATCGCTGTCCCCGGGCGAGATCGGAGGATTCGGGTTGGTCCCCAGGCGAGGCGACTCCTCTTCGATGGACAAATAGGGCTCAAGGGGATGTTCTGGTGGAGGATCTGGCCCGTCAGACGGTACGGGTCGATTCTGACATGGTGGAAAAGGTAGACTCCTTACTAGTACTGTCGGACGATGTGGTCGGTTCTGGGGACTGGCCCGGGTAATACCGCCCGCCGGGATGGAGAGATTGTGCGGTCTGCCCATAGATATTAATTAGCACGAACATGAACTTCCATAGACTGACATGAAGATACCCGGTGTTTCTGTCGCGCTTGACAGTCAAAACCGTTTACGGGTTGCTACTGACTTCGCGGAATTCGTCTCCCTCCACTTGTACCTCCCGATCACGAATTCGCCGCATCAGTGCTAGGAAGTTGCTTTGTTGGAACTTCTGGTCTTGTTCATGGCGGACGCTGTCGAGGAGCTGGCCCGCAGTTTGTGCAAGGGCATCCGCGTCTCGAGTTCGTGTAAGCGAGTCTTGCTGTTCCATCTGAAGAATGGTGTCGGAGCCAATTCTGATTTCTTCGTGAACCTTCGCGGCAGGATCAAGTTGGGTGGCTTCCTCGGAGGTAAGTGTTTCGGTCTCCGCCGTAATTTCGGGCTCTTGCAACTCCTGCATATCGGCTCGAGCTTGTTCAAAGGCTGCCTCAAAGGCAGAATCGTCAAATTGTTCTGCTGGTGCAGCATTCATCATCGGGGCTTGCTGTTGGACTTGGTGGGTATTCATCATAGACGCATTGTACATCGGGTAGCCAGATGCAAAGGCAGGCTGAAATGCATGATTTACCGGCTGCTGTGCCTGTACATGGTTTGTTACAGCACGCTGTTGATGCTGCTGACTCATAAATTCATTCTGCCATCCGGCTTGGGCTGGCGCAATAGCCGGCGCATGTAACTGGGGTGGCGCTGGCCCGGAGATATGTAGGTTCTGGAAATCTGACGTCCAATTCGGGCCTGGGTGTGCGGTGGCAGGATGCTGCACCGGGGCTCCAAAGTGAGCTGGATGTTGAAGATCTGGCAGGTTGGCCGGAACTCCGTGGGTGGCTTCGAATGCCGCGAATTCGGGATCCAGGATGCCATCCCGCGGGCTTTGTGATCGGAAACCCTGAGAGGCAAGACATCAGTAATAAATAACAACCAGATAATGACAATGTTCACGTACCTGAGCCGAGGGCTGTCTGGAGATTAAGCGATCCTGCTGCAAGGTCCGATCAACGGCCGTGTGCTTCTGGAAGTTCTGCAGCGCATTCGACGGGCCGCATAGTGCATCACCCATGGTGTCACGTTGGATGTAGTCAAGATACTCCAGAGGACAATCTTGAAGAAAGGCGAAACCAGAAACGGTTCAGGATGAACCTCTGGTATGAAGAGGTAAGGAATAATAATGAAAACCGAATCTATCAAGGCAACAGAATCAGGAGAAGGCAAATGCGATGACCGCGGAGTTCCGTGGGGTTCCCTTTACTCCGCAGACCGAGGCACGTCACGTGACTAGAACGTGACCCAAAGTCACGCGATAAGATAAGCAAAGCGGCCAGGTTGTTTGGAGCGGTACTCGCGAAGCTCCCCTCGACAGTTCACTCATTCCGCGAATTGATACTTCCCCACGGGGTCCCAACAAAATGGTGCGCTGTCTCTGCTCGTCCGACATGCTACTATTTTTACTGACTATTAGTATCTAGGCGGCGGCTCAAGTGATTTCGAATTCGGGGCACGAAGACATGATTGTACGTACGGGGGGGTTCCATCTCGGGGGAGGACTTCAATTGACGTTGCTGGAGATCCTTGCAATGACTGGGCGCGATTGGACTAACGAATGATACCGAATATTAGCATGATGCTGGCTTAGATTACTATGGCCGCAGGTTGGCCACCTGCTCATCCGATAAGACGATTAAGATCTTCGAGATTGAAGGAGAATCACACCGCCTGGTGGAGACCCTGAAGGGGTAAGCATATCGATCTGGATTGCAAATTGGCGGGAAATCGGGTATGATCGCTGACATGGGCTTGATTCCGATAGTCACGAAGGTGCTGTGTGGTGTGTCGCATGGGTGAGTAGGACGCGCGAACTAACATCCCGTCTACGCCGCAAGTTGACTGACCATTGCGATTATTTCATTACCAGGCACACCCCAAGTTTGGCACGATTCTGGCCTCCTCCTCGTACGATGGCAAGGTCTTGATCTGGCGCGAGCAACCGCACAACGCGACCTCCCCCGCTAGCGGCAGCTCCTGGACCAAGGTCTTCGATTTCTCCCTGCACACCGCTTCTGTGAATATGGTATCTTGGGCCCCGCACGAGAGCGGTTGTCTCCTTGCCTGCGCCTCTTCCGACGGTCACGTCAGTGTCCTTGAGTTCCGGGACAATGCCTGGACCCACCAGACGTTCCATGCCCACGGTATGGGTGTGAACTCGATCAGCTGGGCTCCTGCAGCCTTTGCAGGCAGCCTGATCAGCTCCAACCCTGGACCTGGCCAGCAGAGACGGTTTGTGACTGGTGGAAGTGACAACCTTATCAAGATCTGGGACTACAGGTATGTCTCTCTTCGATTCTGGCACAACCTGAAGTAGACAGCCGTGCTAACTATTCCACTTGCAGCGCCGAAACCAAGACCTACAACCTCATTCAGACCCTGGAGGGCCACTCAGACTGGGTCCGGGATGTGGCCTGGTCGCCCAGCATTCTGTCCAAATCGTACATTGCCTCGGCCTCGCAGGACAAGACCGTCCGGATCTGGACCTCCGACGCTTCCAACCCCGGCCAGTGGACTAGTCAAACACTCGAGTTCGATACTGTTCTGTGGCGCGTGAGCTGGAGTTTGAGCGGTAACATTCTTGCCGTTAGCGGTGGGGACAACAAGGTCAGCTTGTGGAAGGAGAATTTGAAGGGCGAGTGGGAGAAGGTCAAGGACATTGAGGAGTAATTGGTGTTCTCGCGATGATTCCTTTTGTGTCCCGCATAATTCATGTCAAGATTTCTATTGCTATAAATTTCCAAGACCCCTTCAGACCTTTCAACTTTTCTTGATTCCTAGATGTGTCTTCGGAGATCAAAGACTTGGGCAAAGCATTAACCACATTATAATCACTTGTCCCTGGTCTACATTGTTCGGTTGAGAGCATGCAATGTATAGAATCAATGACAACTGCATTTTTGTAGATATATGCAATTCACAATTTATGCTAGAAAACTATATCTCAAATGGCTAAATACAGCCCACCATTCCTGCAATTTAATTACCCTTCCCATCCCTCCCCAAGATCTCATGTTCACAGGTCCCAAAAAAATAAAAGGACCCCTTCCACTAGCATCCATATTCTTCAGATCCATCCACCGCCCCAGCATAATCCGGCCCCCAGGCAAGATTACACCCTCATACGCATGAACCCAGTAATTGTCCTCCGAGTCATCACCATCCTCCATAATCACATCCGAGTCGCTGTCGTCGTCTGGTTCCTCACAGATTGCGAAACAAATACGGGTCCATCCTGCGAACCCACCGTAAGGATGGGCTATCGCTTCGGTAAATCCAAACATCGGGTTTTCAGCTGGATCGCCGTTGAGGGTTGACTGTATGCCTTGGAAGTATGTACGTTTTGTTTCGGGGTTGCCGTATAACGGGATGATTTGGTTGCAAATATCGGGCCAGAAGGGTTCGCTTGTGATGTTTATTTCCAAGGTCTGGTTCATAGTGTTAGTATGATTGGATATTGATAGAATGGTTGGGTTGGGTTGGGCTGGATATGATTCCCTACCATGATTTCGACTTGGCTGAGATGGTCTCCACGGAGGTCGGCGCATGTCTCTTGATCTTCAAAGTCCTTTCGTGCGGCTGGCATGGGATGAAGGCATGCTGATTCGGAAGAAACGTTAGATTTGTGCGGTATGATTGAGGTTTGATAACTTACAGTAGTACCCAAGCCAGGAAAAACTCGGGCTGGACTCTGCCTCGAGGTCGGTCTTGCGTAGTTGTGGTCTCGTTACTTCAGGAAGCCTGGCGAAGGACTCGTGGAAGGTCTGCTCAGCCTTGTTCAAGATATGACGTTGCCAGAAGCTGCGGATGTGCAGCAAGGTGGACAGATCGAGTCTCTCATGGTCAATGAATGGGCCATCTACTGCTTGTCCGTGGGAATATACTGTCCCAATATCGTATTCGGATCGGCTGCATTTGGTCTTGATCGCAGGAGTGGATTCATCCGCGGGATCAAGTGTGAGGGCCAACGCAGTGAGGCACTAGAAAGTAGATGTACAGTCACAATTAGACAACTATTTCTCGCAACAGGGATCATGAAGAGGAAATAAACCAACCAATTGGACAGTGCAGAATAGCTCCGATGGGTTTTCCCTCCCTGGATGTTCCAGGAGCTCACTTTTAGTCAGGGTTTCCCGAATCCGCTCGTATGTCTTGGAAGTATCAGACTTCAGAGGCAGGGTAAGAGACTCAAGAAGCATCTGCTGCAAGACCTCCAGCCATAACGTCTGGTGCTCACTCGCTTCCTGCTTGAAATCGATTGTCTGAGGAAGGACGATAGCTCGAATTTGGTATTCAATATTAAGCTCTGCATTGGTTCTCCCCGGAGGGAGGTCGTACTTGTCGTGAAAGCGAGCTCTCCAGACAGAAGATTCGGGGGCCATGACTCGGTCTCTGATCTCTCTGCAGACTAGGTTGAGGTTCCTCAGATCCTGGTCTGTGGGGAGGAAGCTGGCCACGTGCTGAAGGATCTGGGGGTGATATGCGTGTTAGTTGAGGACAATCAATTTCACATCACATCAAGTTCTTCGTTACCTCGTTGGGAAGCTCGAGAAGTGGTGGTCTCTTGTGGACTTCCATTTCCAATCCTATCCTGATGGATTTCCTGAGCTGCCTGTCCATTGCTCTGTTCATGAAAGTGCCGAAGTGTTTACTGTCCACGGTTTCTCGTATATAACTGTGCAGGGTAGGGGTAACAGATGTTCAGGGCGGTGCATATAGTGTGTGGAGGAGTAATTCGTGGGCATAAGCAGGGTATCAGGAAGCGGTAGTGGTGACGATGAGGTGAAAGAAGAAAGCCGAATGGGTCAGAGGTCGGGTCCAGGTGCCCTAAGTGCCAGAGCAAACGATGAAACTACGGAGCGATCCTCTATAATACCGAGTTTAACGGTCTTTCATTCATTGATGCTGACGGTTCTATTCTTGCTGAGCATCGGCCCTGCGACGCAAACTTTCCTCCACACCCCAACCATCAGCCAAAAGACCCTTGACATCTTCGAGACCGAGTCCACTCATTTCCGGATAGATACACCAAACTGCAACCCATCCCACCGCACAGACAAGCGCATAGAGAGCAAATGTCCAAGTGGGAGACATCCACTTCATCATAGGGAGAAATGTGAGTCCCACAACAAAGTTGGATCCCCAATTCGTCGCAGTCGCCAATCCCGATCCGAGGGACCGTACATTCAAAGGAAACAGCTCCGATTGTTGCCAAGGCACATTTCCGAGTCCGAATGCATACGCTGCGGTGTAGATGGTCAAACAGAGCAAGATGACGAGGGGATAAAGTCCTCCTGGGCTGTCCGGCGTGTCTTCACGCTGAGGTGGCGGTTGGGAATCCCAAGACACATCCAGTGACGAAAATGCAAGAGCACACAACCCCAATGCAATGATCATCACCGGTATGGAATAGAGGAGAATGCGTCGTCGTCCAATCTTATCAATCAGTCCAAATGCCACCAACGTGAAAAGGAAATTCGTCCCGGCCACGGTCAGCGAAGTCAAGGTCGGCGACGAAAAGGAAAGGGCCGTGAAAATAATACCAGAAAAATACATGAGGCTGTTGAACCCACAGAGCTGTTGGAGTGCCTGAAGCATCATGGCAATCGTCAGAGCACGGCGATTCCCGCCATTGTGGAAGAGGTCCCGGGCCCGTTGTGACGCATCGTGGAGCCATTGTGGCGTATTGCCCGGATCTTTACTTTGTCCCATCTCCATTGCCTCTTCTGCAATCTCGCCTTTGATGTCACGCATGACCCGGCGAACGACCCGGTCACGGCCTTGGCAGTCTTGATAGATCCGCGTGAGAACAGCTACGGCTCGGTTGTCAAGACCAGCCTGCACGAGCCAGCGAGGAGTTTCCGGTAATAGTACGAGGACCGCAAATTGCAGAAAGGCGGGTGCCGCTCCAAGACCGACGATCCAGCGCCAGCCTCCAGCAGTTTCGGAAAACAACCATCCGACAACGTATGCAACGACTTGCCCACCAGTAATCAAGAGACTCAATATAGTGACCAATCGTCCTCTAATATGCGAAGGTGCCACCTCCGATATATACCTGTTAAAGGTCGCCATCTATTAGTCTGATTCTTTGTCCTTTCGTCCTGCAGCAGGTATTCAATTCAAGGTCAAAGTATATGATCAACTTACAGTGGAGTTACTGCGCTTGCACTGCCAACAGCAAGACCGACGATACTCCGGCCCGCAATCATCCCCCAGACCTGGCTGGTAGAAGCCTGCACAATTGCCCCAAGTGCAAACAAGATATCGGCGACAAGAATAACACGTCGACGACCCCATTTATCAGCCATAATACCCGTGAAAGGGCTGGCTATTAGAGCGAATAAGCTGGTACATGATGTGATCAAGCTATCGTCGAGGGTTGTTAGTGGTCGATTGGAGAGATCGGAACCGATGGTCACGAGCGTGGAAGAGATGACGCCGGTGCTGTGAAATGAGAGAATTGTCAGTCGCTATCTAGTGTCATGGAATAGAATGAAAAGAACGCATACTCATATCCAAACAACAGGCCGCTTATACCGGCGGAGAAAGTTAAGCTCCAGATAAACCACCCTCCCGAGTATTGGAGCTCGGAGGCGGAAACCGCATCATCGGCCTCGTTGTCGTAGCCGGGAGAGGTGTCTGTTGGGGCGAGAAGCGGTGCATGTGGGCCGAAGCAGTCTGTTTCTTCTCTCAGGGCCATATCTTGAAGCTCTGTGTCTTGATTCCCATCTGCTGGCGCCCCATCTACCGGCATCTGGGGGGATGTTGGGGATTGAAGGGAGCGAGATCTGGGGTTCCGCGATTAAGCCGATGGTCGACTGCGGGAGCACGGGACCCACCCGCAGCCACGCAACTACGTGGACTATACGATATCGGGCATTACTTCCTGATTGCATACTCTTTTCCAGTTTTTAACCACATGATAGACAGAGGTTTCATTTGGATCATTATCATATACATTTTAAATGATCTAATTCTTTTTCCACTTGGGTCAAGCTTAGTGCTTGGCCACAACACCAGCAGCATCAGCCTGGGCGGTGATCATCTTCTTGTATGCCTTGACATCGCCATCAAACTTGGTCACAATACCCTTGTCACAAACCCAAAGGCTCTTGCAGACATTCTGCAGCATGGTCACATCGTGAGAGACCATCACCACACCACCCTCGAACCGTTGCAGAGCATCAGACAGCGCATCCATACCCTCAATATCCAAGTGGTTAGAAGGCTCGTCAAGAACGAGGATGTGCGGGTTGGTCAAGGACAAGCAGGCGAATGCGACACGCGACTTTTGACCTCCAGAGAGAAGCTCCATGCGCTGGAGACCAGTCATACCGGTGATACCGAATGCACCCAGGTGGCGACGGTACTCCTCATCGCTCTTACCAGGGTACGTCTTCGCCATGAAACTCACAGCGCTGGTCGTCAGATCCAGAGCATCTACGTGGTGCTGCGCGAAGAAACCAATGCGCAGTCTTGAGTGTGCAGAGATTAGACCCTTTGTGGGCACCAGTTGGTTGATAAGAAGCTTCAGCACGGTGGTCTTACCCGCACCGTTGGGTCCAACAATACCGATACGAGAGTCCAGTTGGACATCGAGATCGACATCCTTGAGAAGAGGCCTCTCCGGGGTATAACCGAAGCAGACGTCGGACATTTGGATAATGGGGGGCGAGAGCTTCTCGACTTCAGGGAACTGGAAGTGCACGACGTATTCGCTTTCTGGGGCCTCGAGGACAGGCATACGCTCGAGTTTCTTGATTCTTGACTGAGCTTCTGAGGACTTGGCCGCGTTGTAACGGAACTTATCAATGAAGGCTAGGTTGGGACAGTTAGTACGTGAGACATGGTGCGGTGAACAGTGAAACCAACCTTGAAGATGGGCCCTCTCCGCCATTTGCTTCTCATACTCGCGCTTGGCATTCTTCCTCCGCTCTTCCTTGGTAGCGTAGAAGGATTCTGAAGGAAAGAGCTCTGAGTTAGCAGGATACATAGCTTTCCCATAGCGGATAACATACCAAAGTTAGCACCCTTGTAGTAATCCAATCGCTCCGAGTGCTGGTGGACAATATCTGTAGCAACTTCGTTCAAGAATGCACGATCGTGAGACACCACGAGAACGGTACTGGGGTAGCCCTGGAGGTAGTTCGCCAGGAAAGTAATAGACGGAACGTCCAACATGTTCGACGGTTCTGTATTGAATTAGCAATATGCTCTCGCGAGGAAATTCTTTCGCGATGTCACGAACCGTCAAGAAGCAGCAAATCAGGCTCGCAGAACAGAGCACGAGCCAGGGCCAGACGCATTCGCCAACCACCAGAGAATGTCCTGGTGGCGTATTGTTGTCGCTCGGGAGAGAAACCGAGACCAGCCAGGATACTGGCGGCTCGTGACTCGGCCTTGTCGGACTCCATCTCGGAAAGCTTCGAGTGAATATCGGTCAAAGTGATATCCAGACCCTCCCTCTCGTGATCCAATCTGGCAGCATCTTTAGATGTGTCTGCCATTTGAGACCGTTCCTCTTCAATAGCGGCCAACTGCTTGGTAATTTTCTGTGAATAGCCCCGTGTTAGCAGAATAAACGATTTCGCACCCGAGGACTAGATACTCACATCTTGTTCTGCCAGCAGATGCTTCCGCCACACGTCTGCGTCCAGAACCGCTTGGATTGCGGGAGTGTCATCACCCGTGATCTAATGGGAATTGTCAGTTAAAAGATCGTTCATCTCGTAGGGGACCTTTGTAAATACCTCTTGTTCAACGTGAAGAATCGAGATGTGGGTCGGAATGGCAACCTCTCTGCGACTGAGAGCACGCAACAAAGTGGATTTACCAATACCGTTCTGACCCACAAGACCATAGCGCCGGCCAAAAGCAAGAGTCAAAGCAGCGTCCGTCAATATACGCTGACCACCAATTGTAATATCGATATTGTCCAACTTGATATCCTTGCTCTTCGACTGCGAATCCGAACCCAGTTGTAGAGGGTTAACAGCCATGAAGAACTCTTCGTAAGACATCGTCTCATCCGGCTGGTTGAGCAGACGGGAAGCCTCGTACTGAACAGTCTTCATTTGCTTCTTCTCCTGCTTGGCCCGAATCTTACGCTCAGCCTTCTCAAGCTTCTTCTTGTCCACACGCGACTCCACCTTCCTGGCATTGGCAGACTCCAGGTCTACGTTGGTACCAGTCAAACCCAGAGTAGAGGACATGTTCCGCTGGGAGCCCACATTGATGGCCTGGTCGAGCTTCTTGACCGTCAAGGGCATCTGCCTCCTCTCCGAGTCCACCCCATTCGCCAAGCTCAACGATGTAATGAATTTTTCCACCAAGGCGCTGATCGCATCACGGTTCTTGGTGGAAAAATCTCCAGAGGCGGAGACTAGCAGTTCCGTCACGGTCTCTGCAGCTTCCGACAAGGGCGACTGGGCGTTGGCATCTTCGACGTAGAGGTTTGAGGCATGAGTTAGGTATCCCTATTTATGATTAGCTATGCTGCCAGAGATTGCTTCCGATAGAGCTTGTTGAAACGTACCACCGAGTACTCTGAGATGACATGATCCAGGCCAGGGATCTGTGCCTGGAGTTCTGCCTCCATTTTGCTTTTCAATGAATCAATCACAATTCAATGAAGTCAAACTTATAGCGTCTGAGGGATGGATAGACGAGTCGAGTGCCTGTAATGACGTCCTCGTGGTCCGGGGTAATTTGGCCGCAGGCCGCAGAGGGGTGTTTTTCGAGTGTGTTATCGATAAGGTCACATGACGAGTTGAGAGCTCTAACTATCCATGTTGGAGTTTGGCACGATTGATCTTGTCAATTGCATTTTGTCACTTGTACGATTTCTAGGTGATCAATTTGTTCTTAGTGTCGATAATACCCCTACTATTGTTCCTTGCTATATTAAATACTCTTTGACAGTTAACTAATACCCTCACTTGCATATTTCCAAAAGGAATGGACCAGGCCAATATTTTCTCCAAAGTACTTTGGATGATCTAAGAAGGTCTTGCCTCCACATTACGAATTTAAAGGCCGGTATGATAGTCAGCAGATGGGTTTTGAATCACGGTATAGCGTTTGCTTCATCTGGACCTGCATGATTTTAGGACCATGTCACCCAGCCGTTACACAAACCGGAATAAGGATCCTCGGGTGCTAGAAGCATAAAACAACAACATTATATGGCAATGATCTCTCTCATGGATTCCGCATTCCTTTCAAATTTTTATGTAGTGGTTTGAGGCTCCGTTTTTCCCTGAGAGTGTTTATCTATTCAACCCTATAGTCCCCGATATTGCCAGGAACATTGACCTGGTGACTAGCCTGAGATCTTAAGACATTCTAGTCACAGCTGGGAAATACGAGATGTCCGATTCAAGCTTTCACTGATTCTACACCCTACCTTTATGCATCAATAGCATAGTTCCGGAGAAGCTCCTTCCATAACCAGATAGCCTTCGGAGCTGGAAGTACTACATGCATGACATATTTCAGCCCTTTTATAGAAACCCCAGATTCTACATATGTATTTCTTATTATCTACTTGACAGTCTAGTCATTATGAGGGCCAAGACAACTCAGGGTGAAACCGAAACAGCGATGTCGAGTTCATAAGCTAGAAGTTCAATGACAAACGACTTGGTGAGGATGAGGCCAAGGATGAGGATAAGTAAGTCACTGGCATGTAGTGCAACCATTTCTTCCATTCTGCACTTCCGGTCTGACAGTACCTTGAGACTTGGTACGAGTCCGGACTGATGAATAGATTGGCCTTAAAATCAGACAGAAGCTATGGCTTCCAAATCTTTTGCTATACCCGGTCAATAACGTCAGGTTTTATAACTGTCAACACTCTCTTTGGGCGATCATTGAGCCAAGAAAGTCAAATATAGGGATGGATAGGTTTTAAAAGCAACGGATAGTACAGAGGCTATCTTGTTGTAGCCTGCAGTTGACATGCAGGCGAGACCGATACAACGGATATCGACAGGGTTATCAAGGCCCGCAATAGGACTCTCTCCAAAGTTCAGTGAGTTCAATGAGAGAAGCGATAGGCCGGGACCCGAGCGTCAGTGTATAGACGACGAAGGTCCATGGTCTCTGGAACGAAGAGAATAACGAACCATCAAGGCGAGGTTTCGTAACCACGGGAAGGTCGGTGGTAGGCCACGAGCGGTCTATCAAGGAAATTCCTACCAATGAATCTCTATAGTGGGTAGTGTTATTGACCTTTCCTAGGGATGATTGGCTATGCCGATCGCAAGCGTTTGTGGCTTCGGTGCCCAGCCGCAGTGATCGGCCTTGGGTTCTCTCCTCGGAGGACATGAGAGTAGTGTACGTACATACAGTATGTACTCCTGTAGTGCACCGTGATATTTGCCAATTGTTCGGACGCAATTTTGCGTTCCAATGCCTTGTCGGGTTGGAATGCTGGTTACCAGCGCAAGCTAGACCTCCATCGGGCTAGGCAAGCGGCACAGAATCGGTAGGAAGAACCGATTGTTGCTCGCGTTCGACCCACGGGAATTTCCGTTTCATTTGCAGGGTGGAGAGAGATGACGATATCTTCGATCGGGAGTTTGTCGAATTTGGTTGTTTATGGGGGGGAGCTTCCTGGCTCCAAAGGGCCCAATTGCGTTCCTGGTTTTTGTTTTCTTGAAACAGCCCCGCACGATATTTGGGGGAACAAGGGAAACCCAAAACAACAACAAACCCGAGAGAGACAGAGAGAGAGAGAGAGAAACAACCGCCAACCGATCGGCTCGGTGGGACGGAACTTAAAGGCACAATTGACCATCCGAAACGAAAATGGATCGAGTGGATGTGAAGACCTTCTCGAAGCTTGAAAAAAACATGATTTCACACTTGCGGCCATGCTATTGCTCAGTCAAGGTGAGCAACATATCCAAGTTCCTGATGCGGTGTGTTTGGAAGTCTCGACTGAGGGTCAATACCAATGTTGGGGATTGGACGACAAGGTGTTTCAGAACAGCAGATGGCCTGCAGCTGCCGAGCCAGCGCAGCAAGAAAGAAATGGCTGACATCTGTCATCCAGTGGTCTCGTCATCCAGTCAGCACTGCGGCGCATGGCAGACAGCAACAACAGCCCTGAACCCACCGCCCACAGGGTACAGGTCAGGATTCAGCAGCATCTCACCAGAGCCTCGGGAACGGGTTTGGTCCAACCAGTGGACACAGATGGACACAGATCGGCCGCACTGGGGCCCCTGCGATCGACTAAGACGATCCTGGGAAGGACTAGGGGGGGGGGGGCCGAAAGACGCGATTCCAGCCAGCCGAGACGAGATGTGTGGGGAATTCTGGATCGAATGGCTTCGCCAATTTTCTTTGACCCTCAGCCACTGGACCACTTCGAGCGGACAAGTCCGTAAAAAGAGGAGCATTTCCGGGTTGGAAAGTCTGGAAGTCCGAAAGTCAACCCGTTCTGGATTACCACTGTGTGGATATCTGGATATATCTGGATGTCCATTGTCCAAAGGTTCTGGCAGATCGGGACTTCAGGAAGGAATTAATGGATGATGGGCCAATCGGTCAAGCAAGGCCTCGGAGCTCGACAGGAAGACACGAGCCAGGTCAAAGTTGGTCGCTCAAAGCTGCAATGTGAGCCGCAAGGGATGGGGGTTCTGGCAGCGGCCTCTCGTCGTATTGGGTTTGCAATCATCCGCAGGGATCGTGCGTCTCGTTAGTTTGGTTGCAGTTGCACTTGCACTTGCAGTCTGCAGGAGAGAGACAATCGGGGGATTTTTATCCAGCGAAGAAGACGAACGTCGAGTACATACAGGACAGAATACAAGTAGTCGTCGCACTACAGTACAGTAGTATAACGATGTGATTGTTATTATCTCCACCACCACCACCCGTTTACGATTCCTACTCCTGGTATTATTTCTGTTTCTCTCTCTCAATAATCCCTCCTCCCTTGTCATCAATTCATCCAGTAGCTAATCACCCAGACTAGCTAAGTCGTACTTTTCTTCATATTATTGATTCCCTCCTCGCGTGTGCCCAGCAAATCCAGCTGAAGTTAGCGTTAATTCCCCCCCCTCCCCGACTCGCCTTGTTATTGTTGACTCCAAACTCCACTTTCTCCCCCTCCCAAAAGTCGTCATCGACTTCTTCCCTTTCCTTTTGAACGGCCCTGGAGAGATTCCAAAGTCCAACGAGGGTTTCGCTCGTTTACCCTCATTCTTCGTGGAAAGTCTTATTCTTTCGGCTCGAAACCTCCTGTGGCCTGCCGAGAAAGGGAGGAGGATCGCCCCCCCCCAGATTCCATTGTTTATCTCACGCCCACTCGAAGATCGGGTTTGGATTTCAGAAGCCTCTCAGCCGCAGCCAAACTCTACCCTTCACATCACACCAAATGGGATGTCCTTCGCAACGGCTCTCGACCCTGCGGAGCTGAGTTGGAGGGTGCTTGTCACACTTCACAGCATCCTCCTCTGAGGATGGATCACATATCGACGGTAAAGCCCTCTTCCTCTTCCTCCTCTTCCTGTCTTGGATTTGCCCTTTGTCCTGTGGAAAGCCTCCCCCTCGACTAACGCTAACGCGCCTGGCTGGTCAGCTCTGTGCCCTCAGCACAGTAGGAATAGCCACCTCCGGTCTGGCTCTCGGTCGCGTCGAACGCTCCAAGTCTAAGATCTTCCGCCGAAAGACCTTCTCCTATAACCAAGCTCCTCCCACTCCTTCAGAACAACCCACCCCGGTCGACGTGCGACCCAAGACTTCACGATCCGCTCGACCGACCACGGCTGGAGTAGACTGGACACACTTCTCGGAGAAAGCCATCGACGGGCAGGATGGGTCGGCTCGAGATTCATTGCAGGGCCCGGATCTGCGCAGGGCATCCATGTCCTTCAGCGCGGCCAGACGTCGCCGTCGCGGTCAAACACTAAGCAACCCGCCCTTGCGAATCCCCGAGGATGAACCCGCTGAATCGACTACTTCTCAAGAGTCCCACTCACGCCGTCCGTCGACAAGTTGGCTCCGTCGGCTGTCGATGGTCTCCTTCCAAACAGAGAGCCCATCGACCAACAGCCCTGTCACACCCTCCTTTAATGGTTCGGCGAGCCCAATCCTTCCTCGTCCAACCAGCTCACGCCGCGCACCAAACAAACTAGTAAAACGCTCGTCTTCACAACATTCTAATGCTAACCCTCTCTTTATCAATACATCGGTGGCCCCGGCGTCTGCCCTACGCAGACCGGCGACCAGCCATCAGCGGTCGGAGTCAATGCGCCTGCAGTCACCTCTCACGATGGACTTCGGCACACGCTTCTCGGATAATTACTCTATGGAATCACCTACGGCCGAAGAGTTTGAACTGCACTTTCAAAACGACTGGAGGCCGTATCTGCTGCCAAAATTGGAGGGCTTTCCAGAGAGATTGGCCCGAAGGCTATCCACAACCGCAACCCCCAAACCTCTGGGAGTGCGACGGATTATTTCCGAGCCAGATACGCTTCCTGCCTTGGTGTTGTCAACCGCAATCACCTCCAGAACGTCTCCATCACGAGATGATCAATCAGTGCCTGTCACTCCAGTCACGTTCCGTAATCCGTTCCAGACCGAACTGAAAACAGGCGTTGCTTCTGTTGCCTCTGCTGCATCTGCTGCACCTCCGCCCCCCCTCGGCGCCTGTACGACATGCGTCAGAATCACCGGCGCTAATAGCACCACCGCCTGAGAAACTGGCTCACAAGCACTCGTTCTCATTGAATGATGTTGAACCCAAGAAGATCATCGTTAACACGGTGACTGCTTCTGGTACTCCAATTCCTGGACGCGCTCGTGCTGGGTCTTTGAAACGGGTCAAGGGCAGGACCTTCTCAATCCCTCGATCAGAGCTTGCGAAACTGCACAGCTTAAATCCAAGTCCCCCGCAAGCTCCTCAGCGGCGTAACATCACAGATCCCTCCGTCTTCCGCCGTCCATTCACGCTTTCGCCACCTGCACTGGCAGTTCCGGTGTTTGGTAGAGACCATCTCGTGGCTCCGCGTTCATTCTCCCAGGATTACAATCTTGGCATGCGTGGTCAGCGTCCACTGACATCTGATGCTGTTGCTCTGTCTGCGTGGCAGCATTCCACTCGTCCAGGTAGTTATACGTTCTCTTCTCTCCGCCGTCGGCCAAAACGACATTCCATTGCGGCTTCAGATCCCTCGTATCCCTCGTCAACCGTGATTGGCTCCGATGACACGCGAGTCTTCACATCAGGTGATGAATATGAGACGGATATCATGACCGATTATTGGGACTCGGTTCGCACGCGAGAGACGAATGGTGGTGGGTTGAAAGGACTGCACATTGAGACGATGTTCGACAAAGCGGGTTCACGTCTGTCAAACGAGGAAGTCACGACTCTTGAGGATCTGCTCCCGCGCGGTTCCTTTGCGTCACGTCTGGAACAGGAAGCCCCTCTTTTCCCCGATTCCCTTATCCCGTCGGTGGCTCAGGTCCAACTCAATGACGACTCCTGGATCTCAGAGGGTGATGAGGAAAATGCAAGCATGATCGGAGGACTTCCTGGTGAGCCTAATGGTCCTCCAGTGCAGTTGCCGCTTTCTGGTTCTTTATCCAAGATCTCAGTAGGGCAGACTGCTTCTTCATCTGCAATTCCTCAGCCGGGTTCGCCTGTCGCCGAGTCACACACGAGCCAGAAAATGAACATTTTCGACTGGTCTGAGCAGGCCCGCCCTGATCGTGATGCTGTGGATACCGAGGCCCGCCCACGGACAATGCATGGAAAGCAAAGTGGCGTTGACAGAGGAAGTCGTGCGGCTTGTCGAAAAGTGCCTTCATCTATACATCTTCGGAGTCAGAGTGTACCCGTGGCAAGAGAGCTCCCCGCGAATGAAACTCGTCAGCCATCTGGTAAATTCGGCACCTGGGGCTTGGGCTCCAAGGGCGTGAGCGAAGACTGGGACAGTGACTTTGACTTTGACGACAGTGAAGAGCCTGCCCCTAGCAACGACACAAATAGCTCCGAGCCCGAAGCCGCCCCTCAGAGCATGATGGTTCCCAAGGCCATTCTTGAACGGCAGGCAAGCCTTCGAGGTCAGTTTGGCCAGGTGCAGGAGCTCACGCTGCTCGTCGAAGAACTCAAACGGCTTCGGCATCAGGCGAGTGTCTTGGATCTTGTGTCCGGCCCATCGAGCGAACTGTGGAAAGAAGCAGAAGGCATCGTCAATCTGGCTACCATTGACGATGAGGATGAACGCCGCTCTCCCCCCAGGTCACCCTCTTCGCTTACTTTTAGCTTCGACGACTCGGACGATGAAGGGGTTAACAGTGCATCCAAGCGCAACAGTGATAGCTCCTGGCAAGGAGGCCCCCAGCAGAGCACTCAGTTCCAACCCACACCACCCAAGCATCCCAAGGAAAATCTCCCTAGTGGGTCCTGGCAGAGCAACGCGCAACACGAAACCCGGCTTTATAATCCTACCGTTGGACAACTTTCCAAGAACTCTCCAAAATCGAAATCGGTCCTCGACATCCTACAAACTAGTCGCCGTACCGATGACTCTACTCTGTCTCCACCTCCTCGCACTCAAAAACTTCCCTTTGATACCCAATCTCTTCGTGATCTTGTTGTCCGGGCTGGAGTGGTCACACGCGCCTTGAAGGAGGTCATCCGCAAGGCAGAAGGTGTTGACTCAAGCCCGCAAAATGTCTTCCCCTCCGATCCTCCTTTCCGACGGATATTCGACCAACCACATGACGACCTTGCAAGCTTCGAGGCTGCGTTGGCAGAGATGCATTGATCAGACATTCTATAGAGTGATCAAACACCCTGCAGCGTTATGACCAAGTCCCACATCTTGCTCCTTCTTTTCCTCCGTTCGATTACTATGCGCTTTAAAAAGTTAGCATGAGAACTTCGTGCATGGTACCTTCATACGCCTTTCCTTTTACTATCATTCCATTCCATTCCCTTCGGCAAACTCTCTTTGCGTTTCTCTGGCTCTCCTTAGAGCAAATGACTCCATACCCGATCCCATTCAGGCGTCAAAAAAGCCATTGCATCTCTGTACAACTTCTCCTTCATGTACATTGCTCACTTCATACCTCTTCTCTTTCTGTTCAAGTTCTGGCCTTCATATTCGTGCAAATTGCACATTCAATTCCTGTACGAGCACATCCTGGGGGGTCTACGTCTTTTTCTTTTTCCTGCTCTACTCTGTTTCCAGTCCTCCTTCCAGCGCTGTTCTCACTTTCCTTTTAATCTCTCTCGTCTCTGTTGCATATACTTGCGCAGCTCATATTCTCATAATTGCGCTGTAATAATCGTGGAAGGGGGGCTCCGAGCTGTGATGATGTTTGCAAAGACCCCACCAGACGAAGAGCAATGAGTTTCAATGTCATGCATATTATTTGTTTGCTGGGCTTCGGCCTGGTGACAGGAGCATTTCTTACTGAGTGGTTCTTGACTATTTAATTCTATCAATCTGAAATGTAGAACACGCTTATCTTGAATCAAAATGTTCTTCCTGGTTTGATATCACCTTTTTTCATGATGCAACACCTAAATTAGAGTGCCTAAAAGGCGGATCTAGATAGTATCGGGTTTCGGGTTGTCTTGTTATCCTGGGGCCAGCAGGAGACATGTCCGTCGCTAATCTTCTCAATTTAAGACTCAACGTCTGCGCCTAACAGACACCTAATTAATACATCCCAAGAAATCCAATTCAGTTGAACCCTAATCCTTACCTTTAATACCTTCTTTTCCATGTCTCTATGTGTCTTAGGCCTTGCGATCCTAGTCGTAGCCGAGTTTTGCTTGGAATCACTGTTGTTCACCTCAAGGGTAGTTCGATGCATTATGTACTCGCTAATGGGGTATCTTAATCTAAACAAAGTCGTCATCACCTTCATCTTTATTTTCATCTCCATCGTCGTCCTCATCCTCATCCTCTCTCACTCCTCTCGCTCATCATCGATATCCAAGGCCATGTGGACGGTTGCAAACTTGCTCTTTGCCCGAATTCTGGGACCGTAGACGTAGATGATGATCGGGAGAGGGACCATCAATATAGCCACACAGCCGAGCAGTGTGCTCGCCCAGTTTACACCCAATGACTTGAACTATAGACATTTGTTAGTGTCTTTTTCATATTGATGGAAGGGGTGTATGGAACATACCATAGCGGGGGCGAACAGAGGAAATCCAGCACCAGCAGACGAACGGAGAATACTATTCGCTGCAAGCGCAGACGCAGCGCTGGTAGAAAGATAGCATATCAGCAAATCATCTCTTTTTTTTCCCCATTTGGACAGGAACATCACAACGGGAACATCACACTTACAATGAGGTATAGGCATCAATGATATAATTGAATGCCCCAAGGAAGATACAAAACAAGCCAAACCCGATCATCAATCCAGACGCCATCGGCACAGCCCAGTGAATCTCGACCTTCCATCCCGACCATCCAAACCAGAATAGACCCCCAGCAAAGGCAACGCTGCCAATGATAGCGGGAGGCATACGCCACTCCGGCACCGGAACGCCATTATTCGCGTCAAGCTTGCGGTTATAAGATGGCTGCGTGAGAATGATATATATGCCTCCGCAAATCTCACCAACCACTAACCCCCAGTACGGAAGTCCAGCGACGCCCGGCCTGAAGCCGTGGATGTTCTGGAAGACGATGGGGTAGGCTGTGAGGAACAGGTATAAAAGACCGTACAGGAAGGCCATGTAAATGCTCAGGAAGAGAACAATGGGTTCCAGGAAAAGGAGCTTGATAGGTCGTAGGAGGTTCTTCTGAATGAGTTCGCGGTAGTCCACCTCGATTTCTTCCTGTTTCGCGTGAATGCCCCAGTTTGATGTGCGGCGGCGCAGTTCGGCGGCTTTGTGGACGAGGATGATGGGTGGGTATGTCTCGTGCAAGAGGAAGAGGTCGATGACCAGGGCTGAGGCGCCCATGATACCGGTGAGGTATTCAGTCCAGCGCCAGCCAAGGCTTTGCACGATGAATCCGCCCACGGTCGAAGCAATCAGTGGTCCTGTGAAGACCGTCATGGCGAAGACGACGATTGCAAGGCCGCGGACACGATTGTCGTATATATCGGCCAACACGGCGGCCACGACGGCGAGGGGGCATGCACCGAAGAATCCGCCGAAGAATCGGCATAGCATGATGGTTTGTAGATTCTCTGCCGTTGCGACGGCGAATTGGAAGATTGTAAAGCCGAACATTGATAGGAGGAGGGGGAGACGTCGACCTTTTAGTTCGGAAAATGGGGCCCATACGATAGGGCCCATTGCGAAGCCGAGGACGTATAGGGATAAACCCAGGGTGCTGACTTCACTTGATACACCGAATTCGTGAGCGACGGTGCTGATGGCGGCAGAGTAGATACTGCTAGTGAAGGTTGAGTTGAGCGTTGTCCATGATAGAATGACTGCCGTTAATATCTTCTTTTTTGTCGGCCAGTTTTGAGGGTGTAGAGGGTCGTCTCGGTCTACGAATTCGACCACGTATTCCTCCTTGTCTGGTAATGGGGGTGGATAGGGCTTGCCAGCTCCAAAGTCTGGAAGAGGACCTGCTTCTTCGAGTCTCTTCTTGTTTCTGGCACCGACGGTGGCATTGTGTTGGCTTCGTTGGGTTGCAATGCGTTCCAATGCGGTTGGATGTAGTTCCAGGCCGGGGGCACGATGGGAATGTGAAGTCGGGACTTGAGATAAATATTCGAATTCATCTCGGGATGATGCATAGGATGATGCGGCAGTAGTTGAGAGCGAGTCGGAACGATAGGCAAGGTTTTCGACGCTTTGGGTTGCAGAGGAGGTGGGAGTATTAGGGCTAGCCTGTGCCGAGCCTTTTTCTACATCCCATTTAGAGTCCATGATGGCTGATAGCCAATGTCCAGACTTTCGATGTATGGTTTCGCCGTGTTGGAAGCAGTGATGATATATCCTTTTTAGGGAAGAGTGGGAATCATCAATCGTTTATATCCCAGATTTTCACGGGCATCTCTCTCTCGCCTTCGCCTGGACCCATATCTGCTCTCGGATGCCAGGTAGCTGCCAAGCGGCAAATACTATGGAGACACTATAGTAGCAATATCTCCATGATGGATACAGACCTGCGGATTGCATCGGTCAATTGCGCGGGCCTCTCTTTCTATTTTTTGCGTGGCCCAATGATTCAGGGTTTTTGCGGGATCCGCTGCCTTTGCACCGTCCTATCCGTGGACCACACGCCACCGCGAGAGCTTCTAGTTCTCGGTCCAAATTTCCTTGTTCTTCTTTCGGTTTTGGTTTGATGTTGCCTGCTTCTACCCTTGAGATGATATCTGCAGTTCTACACAGTTGAAGAGGTCTGCCGAACAAGCTCATAAAGTAGGACGTTTAAGTCCAACTGCCGAGCATCAGCTGTCGACATACTTTTACACATCCCGGCCTCCCACTCGGCTAGCCGAGAGACAACGAAACCAATGCCCAACTCAATTGCCCGTGCCTGGCCGAGCTTTCTCGGCGCATGTGTTTGATAACAGCGTCCACTAGTCTGGAAAATTTGGTTGCGATGGGGCTTTATCAGGACGTTGGCCATGGGTATTCTCGGCGTTCCACTGCCAGGCTCGGTTATTCGAGGCTTTTACGTCATCCCGGCCTTCAACCCGACCAGGGAGTTGGATGAAGTTGAAGCATGGAAAATTCTGCTGTAGCGACGCGATAATGTGGTTTTTTTAGCCGGTTTGTGAAGCTTGTCTCTCATGGCTTCTAGATGTGTCCATGATGTTTGGCGGGTTGGGCACGCGTGGGGGCCAATTTGGTGTGAAACTGTTTGTGTCTGTGCTTGTAGATATATACGTCCGCAGTTGCTCCGACTTGCCGCCAATACTCCGTACAATCGAGGAAATGTAAACATTCTTCGTCCCTTGATTCTTCTTCCATAATTTCCCAATTGCTCCCGACATCTCAATTACATATTTCTTCATTCTACAGGGTATAGCATGGGCCTGTCTGCGTGCTACAAGGCTGCTGTCGTCTCCATGAAGGTAATTAAGGAAGGAAGCAATTGACGATCCCAACAAACAATAAGCTAGGATGGATTGGACAGCGGTCCTGTACACAGCGATCTATTTTCAGAATCAACTGCAGTTAAAAGACTCATGGATTACCGTACACTCTACCGTACACTCTTCTAGTTGGCCAATCGAATAGGCACTACAAATATACATTATCAAACTCCCAGAGCGTAGATCGTCAACTCCACTAAAACGAGATTGAGACGAACGAATTGATAGGCAGACCAATGGACTCTACACCACGAACATATCATCGTGAGCGTTGCATGAGGCTCCTCGGCTTACTTTGATGCTGTGCCATGGACGTGGTGGCTGAAGCCACAGTGCAGTCACGTGCCCAGAAGCATCCAGTAGACACAATCCAATAACCACTACGATTTAAGCGCTATGCTAGAGATATATGGTAAGTGGCCTCACCATATCTGCAGTAATGAAGAGCTAAGCGCTAGGGCTAGAGGCTCAACCCGAGTGCTGGCACTTAGCAAACAAACCGCAGGACAGCTAATCAGACTGGGTTTTCTTCTTTCCACTGAAACTCTTGACCAGAGGGGATCTGAAAAGGTCGTTATAATATAACGTAATCGAAGGACTGATATTAAAAACGAATAGAACAGCTCTTCAACTGAGATAATGAATACATACTATCAAATAGATTCAGGACTAGGCCTTTGCCAAGGAAATGGGCTTGGCCCACAATTCCGATAGTCCACGGCAAGCCTAGCGATCGGGATACAGGACTCGACATTTCCTGGGCGGGATAAGCATCGCCCAGAAGCAGCTGCCAGAGTCTAGGTGCTTCGTCATATAATTGAAGTATGTATAGCTATCATAGCTGTTGTTTAATAGTGTAAGTGATCGACCAGCAACTCTGGACCTCTGGAGGGATCAGATGTCTAGCCTAACACATCGAGCAATCTTGGCCTATCATGACCGATCTCTATAGGACGAGGACTCTTTTCAGCAAAGAGTCTCTCTTCCACCGCCTAAAGGGTCGCTGAAACCCCGGAGGAACGGTGGGCGAGTCACCACTGGAATGAGGGGGACAGCCGCCAGCGTCTCAGATTGAGGGGCCCGTCCGGATCGAACCTGTATTCCAGGGTTTGAATCGTCACCTTTTGAAAGTGTCGATAGAGAATGACGATGGTAGAGGTAGTTTTGACTAGAGAGTAAAAAAAAAAGATTAGAGACCAGAAGACTGGAAGCGATAGTTACTAACAATGATAACCTGATGATTAAGGACACATGCGACCGGGCGAGGTCGAGTTCATCGGTCGAAGAAGAACGATAGTTGAATTCACTCCCGATCGCAGGGCAGTCAAGGAACTCCTGTCCTTGATTTGGCCCCGTTAAAAAGTGGTCCTGCCAATGCTTCTCCTCAATCATCACAAATAATCATCATCATCAGTTCATATCCACTGCCTCTCCCCCCCCTGGTGTGGCCCTTACATGCTCTGTCCGGAACTCCGCCTCTTCGTAACTCGTATCTCCAGTGAAATGCCGGCTGCGGTGGTCATCTCCGGTTCAGGGGCAGGAGGCCGCTGATTGGCCCCAGCTAGGGCGGGTTCCTGACGCTAAACCCAGTGCCCCGTCCACGTCTCACTCTCCTCTCAGTTTGCCTTGCGTGGTGCAGTTGGGGTTGGGCCAGACAGTCATGGCAACGAGAGGAGAGACACCCGTTGAAAGGGATATGTTATGATCAGCAATAGTAGAAGAAGCCCGTTGTCGAAGAAATGATGCCATTCGAGGTGGTCGGAAAGGGAAAACAAGAACCGCAGTTGTGCTAAATTACAGAGCTTCAGGGGGAGGCCATTGCGGAGATTCGAGAAGATCCAAATACGCACTCCGTACGGAATTACCTGTCGTATGGTATTCGATGGCCGTTGATTCAGTTCCAAATACTGGCCCATGACGTTTATGCCTGTATCGCCCGTACCGTCCTAGTACTCCTCGAGTAATCTAATTGTTGTGCGCTAACAAACGGCCCAGAACTGGCCCGCCGAACTGCAACTGGCCTTGCCCCTGCTCGTCTCCTCTTTTCTCTCCTCATCGTCTCTCGTGTTCTCTCGTTTCGTCTCTCCTTCAATCTCGACACTCCTTTCATCCTCCCTCCGACCCTCGTTCACTCCCTCTTTTTTGTTTTCTGGCTGCTGGCCGCCACATTCCTTTAACCAAAACACACCCCCTCTCGCGTCCCCCCCTCCTCACGTTTCCACAACATTCATTTTTTTCGTGGCTTCGAAACCAGTTCGATCGTTGTGAAAACCCCTCAATGACTTCTGTTTAAACCTTCTACGGTCCCTCGCCTGATTTTTGCGCCTGTCGACTGGTTCGCGAGTAGGAAGCATATCAGGCCTCCTGTGTGATCGACTATAACATCAACGGTTTTTGTTTATCCCCGACGGCGGGCCTCCTTAAACCATGCCTCACCATCACGATCCCGACCTGGTGATGAGGCACTCCGTGGTTCGACGGGAGGTCATCCCGCCCCTTCGACTTCCGCTGCTCGTGCCCACGACCACCACGTTGCCGGGTGCTGGCCTCCCCTCGTTGGTGGCAAGAGCACCGAGCTCCTCAGAAACGACTGGAACCTCAAGCTGTAGCAACGGCGGAAGCTGCGAAAAGCCTACGAGTAACCTGACAACGACGGTGCTACCGGTCGTGCTAGGTGCTGGGTATGTTGTTGATATGCGGCGGGGGGTTGGATCTTGTAAACAGAACTCTAATGCTCGAGCAGTGTTCCCGTTATATGTGCCATTGTGGTTCTGATAATCCTGCACCGAAGACACGTGAAGAAGTTGAGGCATGAGGATGCAATGGATAAGCATAAATCCCTGGATTTCGGTATGGATATGGTGGGATCTGGTGCAAGAAAGCCGAGGAGACTGCCCAATGGATTGCAAGCAGAGATGATGGAACCGAACCATTCAAAGGGCATGTCTCTCGATGTCAGCCCGTATTTGATGCCACCTGGTCTCCAAGGCTCCCGAGAATCTTTGCACTCGCTCTCTCGATCGATTGATGATGACAAGTACCGCCCGGCGGTCTTTGGCGCCCAAGACAACGGCTCTGTTCGGTCGTTCCCTCGAAACCGCGGTGATGATGGATCGAGCCTGGGAGGTTCCACCCGTCATGGATACGGAGGTGTCGAAGATTCCAACTCGGGTCTTCTGCGGAATGCTCAGCGGATGTCCCGCTCATCCCCTCCTCGCTATGAGAGCCCCCCTGGAGAACATATGCCGCAGCGTCCTCCGCCAGCCCACCACCAAGACAACTATGGCCCAGGGCCCGGGCTGTCCCCAGCACCAGCTGAGCAGGATGAGCATGCCATGGCGATTGGCAGTGCTACGGCCGACCACAGCCAGTCTCTTAACCGGGCGGCGTCACCCCCTGAGCCTCAATTCCACCTGAACAACAACCTCATGTCCGAGCTGCACTTTGAGATCGAGCCCCCAATTGGCCATGCCAGTACCTCGCCCCATGAAGAACGCCTGAACTTCCCGCTCCCTGATCACAACCAGGAGCATGTACCGCACGCGCAAACTTCGTCTACCATGCAATTACCTCGCATCTCCCTGCCCGCCAGTGATATTACCACCAGTGATTACGGTGACGAACGCAAGCCGGAGCTGACGATCAACGTTCAAGCCGCGGAAGACAACCAGCCCCATCATGACAACCAGCAGCCCGAGCTGCACGAAGAAACCCAGCAGAACCTTGATATCGCCTTTGATCACAACAACCGCCGCGACACCCGCCGGCTGACTCTCGGTGTGCGCCCCCTGCCGCCAGAGGACCCGGCGGACAACCCCGAGCAGCGTGCCAACCGTATCCGTTCCTTCTATAAGGAGTACTTTGACGATAGTAAACGGGAGACCACCTACTACGAAGACTATGGTCCCGAGTTTTACGACAGCGGTTATGCCTACGACCCAACTACTGGCGATTATTTCGATGCAGCTGCCCCCCCTGCTGCTCCTTACGCGGAGCCCATTGGTCGTCGTGCCATGACCCCTCCTCCCCGTGCTCCGCCTCGCTTCCAGGGTGCTGCTCGCCATATGGCCACTAACTCGGCTGGCTACAATGGTTTCGGTGGCCCGGGTCCGCGTGCGTTCTCATCAGCTTCGGGCCGGATTCCCGGCCCTCGTGGTGGTCCCCGGAAGCCCATGCCTCCGCCAGCACCTCTCCAAGTACTCCCGACTCCTCACATGTTGAAGGATGATTCTTTCCTCATGGCCGCAGATTTTGCTCCTGCCCATGGTTTCCGTGATCGACGTGAAGGTCGTCCCGAGACTCCTACCGGTGGCTCAAGGCCGTACAGCCCAGCTATCCGAGCCCATACTCCGCTTATTTCGGCGTTTGATGAGCTTGCTGTAATTCCCAGCCCGTAAGTTTGGAGTCTTTTCCTATACTTGGGAGTTTTAATGTACCCACCTCCCGTGTGTGATATCTAACTAACTCAAACCCCTCCTCAGTCACGCCTTGCGGAAATCTGGCACATACACGAGTCTGGACTTTGCACCCCCACCCCGGTTCAAGAACAGCGACACTGCCAGCGATGCTGGCAGTATCCGCAGCAACCGCACGGGCATCTCCAACACCCACATGAACAACATTCGCATGGGCAACTATCGTGTAAGCCGGTTGCCAACTGACATGGTCGGCACCAAGGACGACATGATGACCAGTCTGCGCCCAGAATGGGGCATGAACCGATAAAAGCCATATTCATTCGCTCCGTTTTGACCCCTTCTTCTTCTTCCCCCGTGACGACTCTGTGCTGCTTTTGGTGTCCCTCGGAAACAAACCTGTGACGACCTTGCGCTTTTCATGGTACCTTCCAGTTGTTTTGGCCATATTTTCCGAGGAATGGGGGTTGAACCCATCTCCCATTTCTGTCCCGGATACTTCTTGATTACGTTTATCTTGTGTCTTTGCACTCGCTTGCCCTTTCTCCTTGGGGTCTCTTTTTGGGAAATCTGCTGTCCTTCGGCGTATATAGATAATGGCTGGGTTCTGTTTGTGTTCCCCCCATGGATTTTTCATCATTTTCTTTTCTTGTTCTTCTTCTTCTCACTTGCCCCCATTTTTTGGGTTATTCCCCGGTGCTTTGGTGCTGGGCTGTACATATGCCATTGACATTGACATTGAATTGTCTCGGCTGGAGAGGTGGTCCTAGAGGACGCTTTCCGGTCGGCTTTGTGTGCTGATCTTTTTCCTTCTGTTCCCCTACCTGATATTCTCATAGGCTCTGGGCATTGTCCGTTACTCCATGTAGATGACATTCATTCTCTGAAGGTGGTTATGATCTAGGGGATAGTCCTGTTCATGCCTGGATGTGGTCGAACACGAGCGGATTATTTTCTTATTTTCAAGATTCTCAGATGCATATTATTCGCGGGAGGTGGAAGCCTGGACGGACGCCTAAGGACTCCACCGGGCAGCGACTCGGCCCCTGGCGACGTACGTTGGTTTAAAATTACCACCCGCAAGCGCCCCTTTTGTGTTACGTGCGATCGAGATCGTACAGAGGATTTGCACATATGCATATGTATATATATTTTGGTAGACATATCTGGGTTTATTATTATACTTGAGAACATACTAAGAGAAGTAGTAGAAAAGTAATGACCCAAATCTGATATGTAGTGTCCATGGTCGAACGGGGCAATGTGTACCGAGAGAAAGTCAACCTTGGGCAAAAACCGTTGGATGATCGGCTCTGATTCGTGGCGTTTGGGATTCGTATTGGTGGCAACTGAGTACGCCGTGCATCATGATGTGGGATTGTAATTTATGCACATAGTGAGTGATCATGGAATTATAATGATTATTGAATCATGATTATACAAATCTACTAACGAACTAACTACATACTCTATATGCGAGATAAAACTATATGGTATGGCATTCGGTTGTGATCGTGACCGAGGACTATGATTTCTTGACCAGAGTCTATCTTAAGATTGTTTAGGTGCTTAGGCGGTCTGGGTCCGGTCTTCCATGGATCTGGCCCGACTCCTACCTGGGTTTCCATTGTTTCGAAAAAAAGAGTTTTGCTGTGGTCCCGGTCGGACAAGCTGCAAGGGCGAGTCGCATGGCTCGGAGGTAGGGATGGAATATCAACATTGGAGCATGAAATGGAAATGTGTTGATTTGGGGGCTCCGTTTGGGGTAGATTTGCTGCAAGCAGGTGACCATCGATGGTGTAATTAATTTTGGAAGCGAGAAACTGTTTCTTGAGTTCGGAGGAAGAAAATCCCGGTGGAACACGAGGCTGGCTACGGATGGACGCACGCAGCAGCTAGTAAGAAGAAGAAAAGAAAAAGAATACTACCATGTCCTGTACGACGTGGTATGGCTGCTAAGAATACTACCGTCAATGGATCAGGATGACCATACGGTACAAGCGGGAAATGTAGGCCACTGCCACCGCACTCGGTGCCCCACTACTGCAGCTGCACTCCTCCGTACACTCCGGTACTGTCACATAACCACTCCAACCCCATTTCCCAGGCTGCCAAGCTGACTCTCTCCACTCTCGTCGACCGTTCCCACTCCAATCTCACTCATCCTCCTCTTCTTTGATCCGTTCTGCTGCCAACGTCCATCTTCCCATGGCTCCCGACTAGATTCGGCGACTGGAGAGACTCACCTGTTCCGGGCCTTCACTTCTTTCGCTTCTTCTTCCTATTGTGCCTCTCTTCTTCTCTTTCCGGCATCTTTCTTATCTCTCTCCTCCCATCTACAACCCACCTCCAACCCCTGAGGCCTTATTCAACAAAACCCCCCTCTCGCCCCCAATTCAACTCCATCTTCTTTCCGTACCCGTCGGACTTTTGCATCACCGTCACTCGTTTCTTCGGTTGATCCATCTCTACCTAATCGCCTCCGCTTTCCGCAATCTACCACCTAGCGACTTTGATATTCCAATCCGAACCGCCGGTCTCGGAGAGCCTTCTGGTGCAAAGTTGCGATTCGTGCCGCTTTTCTTTCTTCTGGTTAGAGTGCTTGGAGGATCGCATCTTCCTCCCACTCTGCTCTCTTCCAGGGACTCTCCACTGAATTTCATTTGCCATTGCATTCGTCAATTCAAATCTATTCGTCATGACGACTCTCGGCGGCTCGACCAAGGCCGACTCGACCGTCCAGTCGGAACCGGCCTCAGTGACTCCAACAACCGAATCGACCTCTTCTTCAGCGGTCCCAACGACGAGCACCACCACCAGTGAACATACGACTAGCACAACTAGCACCCCGTCGACATCTTCCACTTCCACCTCTACCACTTCCTCGACTACTTCGGTGCCGACTACCACGTCTACTACGTCGTCCAGGACCTCCTCCACGACTACTCCCACTCCTACGTCTACGTCTTCTACGTCCTCGACTACGTCGACTGCCGAGTCTACAACCTCCTCTTCAACGGTCGTGGTTGTGACGCAAACGCAAACGGATTCCTCGACCACGAGCACCGGATCTTCTACTATCGCCTCGCCGACCTCAACTAATTCCGTTGCTCTAGCCACCTCAACTGCGGGCGCCAGCAGTGGCCTCTCCTCTGGCGGCAAGATTGCCGTTGCCGTTGTTGTCCCCGTCGCTTCTGTCGCTTTGATCATTCTGCTCGCGCTCTGGTTCTGGCGCAAGCGCAAGGCGAACAAGGCTGCCGAGGAAGAGCGCCGTAAAGAAGTTGAGGAATATGGCTTCAACCCGAACAACGATCCCACTCTGCCTGGCATGATGGCTGCCGGTAGTGTCGCCCCCAAGGACGACGTGTCCGGATACCGTGGCTGGGGTACCACCTCTGCCGGTCGCAAAGCCTCTACCAATCTGTCTAGCGGCATGGGCATGGCCATGTCCGAAGGAAGCGGTGCCTACCACCACGCCGCAACCCCCAGCGAAGGTACTGTGCAGTACTCGGAAGGTACTCATCCTGACTCGGGCGAGGTTGAGCCCGTTGGCGTGCTGGGTGCCGTTCCCGTTGCGGCCAACACCCGCAATGGCGACATCCACCGTGGACCCTCCAATGCTTCTTCGGCGTACTCGGCTGCCAACCAGTCTGAGGCTTCGGAAGAGAGTCACATGTCGGCGGGCCACCCGGCGACCGGCTACTACGGGGATAATCCCTATTATGGTGAGATGAACAACCACGGTGCTTATGGTGGTGAGGACTACCAGCCTGTCATCCGCGATGTCCAAGCGCGCCGTAACACGCGCATCGAGAATCCCGCGGTCTACCCGCGGTCCGGCAACGCTGGCATTGCTCAGAATTTCTAGTTCTAGGCTTTTCTAGTTCCAGTTTTTGACTCTTTGCCTGTCTCTCCTGCATACTCTGCATTCGCCATGATTGTGATCCCGCGTTTTCTCGTTGCCTCTTGAACAAAAAAAGCTTGGCATATTTCTTGCACACACATACACCGTACCCTTTCTCCATGAAAACCACCGCCGATGTCACTCTTTTTTTTTTTTTCCTTGGTACGGGGGCAGCCTCCTGTAACTTTTGCTGTTTCGTCGGTTCCAGGCTAACTCCTCTTGTCTCTCTTTTGATTCCCGGCGTGATGGACATTCGCTTCGCCATGTTATTATTGACCTCATATCTCTTTTTTTTCCAAGGCGGGAGAATCCCGTCCTTTTTTCTTGTCATTGCTGACTTTCATAATTGACTGAATTGTCTGGATTACTTGATTCTCCATTGAATCGATCTTTTTTTCTCTTCGCTCTTCTTCGTTCTTCTTCCTCTCCCCACCCCCCCCGTTTCACTGTTGATTTTGCTCTGATATATCCTGGCATTTGGTCCTGTCATCTACTGCTGTTCGTCTCTTTTTGTGTTTCCTTGTGTATTGGCCTCTGCCCCCCGTTGCATCATGTATATCCACAGCGCTGTGGCACCGGAATTTCTGGGCCATGGAAGGTGTCTGGCCCGGGGGCTTTTCGTTTTTTGCCCTCTCTGTTTCTTCTGTCTCTTTGTCATATCTCAAATGGCCTGTGTATAGGTTCTTGTGAAGCCAATGAAGCAGAGTATTCTGATCAGTTACTTGTGAGGTGTGGTCCAAGGTAATATTCGTGCGGAGCTAGAGCTGGTTAGTATGGTAGTAGATCCCACTTGCTAGACATCATGCTATAATATTCACGGCGCATTATTATTCATCGGCATCGATCGACTCCAGCTGGACGCGTTCACCCTCCTGTTCCGGTCTAGTTCGGGCCGAATGGCCCGCGATGCTTCGGCCAGCAGTGCGGGAAGAATCGGTCGTGAATCGTTGATCGGGTGGGAGAACGCAGAAGTATGGAGTCTGATGGAGGCGTTATGGGGAACTCGGTAGTGACAGATGCATTTGTCAGAGGGAAGCTAAGGGAAAAGACGCGAATGCAAGCGATGTGCACTGCCACGAGGTTGGGTTTAATTCGTTAGCCACAAGCATTTTGTCGACGAGTTGCTTCGCCTGAGTTGGCCAACCTCACTACGGGTTTCGTTTTAGCGAGGTCGCGGAGTTGCGGAGGCGAGAAGTACCGAGGGACGGGCGACAGGACTGAGGACTGTCCTAACTATGAGGAAGGCCACGAAGTAACATTGTAGTTAGTCGTCCTTACTAGTTAACGAAGTTAGTTCACTAACTTCCGACTCTCTACTTGGTCCCTAACTTAGTTCGAGCGGCCCCATTTACCAGATTAAGTCAGCAACCAGCACCCAAAACGTGCGCGGACGGATCCTCCTGATTGGCACACCCGCAGCTCCCCACTTCCGGCTTAAGTTGAACCTCCAAATTTCCCAGACCAGTCCGGTTGACTGGACTATTCAGTACTGCGGTATTCCCGTTGGGTTGCTGCTCCCTGGTGCCTTTGGATGATTCCTCTCGGAGAGTACGAAGAACGACCGCTGACACGACTCAACCCCTCCTTCTTTGCCTGAACTGCACCGAGAACCCAAAGGTAGCTCCAAGCTTCCTCTCTCTCTCTCTCTCTTCCTCTTCCTCTCTATCCCCGCGTGTAACCTCACTAGTCAAAGACCCTGGAAATCTGGGATGCGCCTCTTCGTCGTTTATCCTATTATTCTGTCATACACCCGGTGACACACACCTCTGTCCCACCATCATCATTCCCCACCTTTCTCCCTGCTGCTGCTGTTGCTGTCGCTGCAGGCCCACCTCCCCCTCGACTCGAGGCCCGCGGAAACTGTCCTGGATTCCTCTCCTCTCCTTCTTCTTCTTCTTCTTCTCTCTTCTCTTTCTCTCTTTCTTACCTCTCCGTGCCTCAACCTGCCTACCTCCAATTCGGTTACTTTCTCCCCTACGCTTCCGTCGTGAGAACAAGCGACGAGAACGATCTCCCGCTATCTTCCACCTCGATCCCGGGACCGAGCGCCCCGCCTCGCAGACTCTCAGTCTTGAGAGAGCGCGCCTGCGAAGATGTAAGCTCCCGCCGGCCCCTTGCAGCGATGACAACCCTCCCCCGTTTGATCCCGGACACTGATGGCTGATTCTCCCTGCAGGAAGTTCGGTAAACAGATCCAGCGCCGGCAGCTCGATCTTCCCGAATATGCGGCCAGCTTCGTCAACTACAAGGCGCTGAAAAAGGTGTGCTTTACCCCCCGCCTCGTCTCTCGTTGGAATAGCGCTGGGTAAGCCCAGGCTGTTCTAATGGTTCTATTACGAATGCCCCACCGAGTGCACTGCTAACCTCGTCCGCAGCTCATCAAGCAACTCAGCGCCACACCTACTATCCCCGCGCAGAGGACCGCAGAGGAAATCGCCCAAGATGGCACGCTGGATCCCCAGGCTGCCCTCCGCGCGAACAAGGAGGTGTTCTTCTTCCGCTTGGTAAGCTGATGAGCCTTCCATTTTCAGTCCTGCGTAGCTGGTCCTTTCCATTTAGTACGGTTCTGTTAATGTACGCAAAACAGGAGCGGGAGATTGAAAAAGTCAACATCTTCTATCTTCAGAAAGAATCAGAGGTATGTTGGATGCTTTGCGCTCATGCGATTCTCCCGAAGCATACTCACATAAAACAACCTAGTTCTCCCTACGCTTGAAAACGTTAGTCGACAAGAAGCGCGTGATCCAGTCGCGATCTGTCTCCAATTCCAAAGCCCCGTCGAATTTTGTGGCACTTTTCGAAGGATTCCAGCAATTCGATGGAGATCTGAACAAATTGCAGCAATTCGTCGAGATTAACGAGACCGCCATGTCCAAGATCCTGAAGAAATGGGACAAGACGTCCAAATCTCGCATGAAAGAGCTGTATCTGCACCGCGCAGTCGAAGTACAACCTTGTTTCAACCGCGAGGTCCTTCGGGACCTCTCGGACCGGGCCACTACCGCTCGGTTAGAATTGGAGGCGTGGGCGGAGGGAGAGAACCTACAGTTCGATACTTCGCGACCGATTGAGCGTGCTATGGCACCCTTTGGTACGGAGGAAGAGGAACTGGATCTTCAAGTCCTGCAATCGGCCTCCACTGGAAACCTGCAGACCCTGCGGGAGTGGGTTGCAAAGCTGCACTCCTTCCCAGATGCCCGAGACCGGGCTACAAGGGCCTTCCTGAACGCGATCAATGGCTCCGCCGACGAGGTCCTTGGCCTTCTTCTGGAGAGTGGCTTGGTCGACATCCATGCCGAGGATGACATCAATGAGAGAAACTGTCTCCACGAGGCTGCAATCTCTGGACGAGACTTTGTCTTCAAAGCCGGCCTTGCAACCGGGGTGGATTTCTCCATGTCCGATGTCTATGGACGCATTCCTCTACACTACGCGTGTATGCACGGTCGAGTGGATATGGTGCGGGAGCTGCTGGCGGCTGGCCCGCAAACGGTGGATGTGATGGATCATGATAATTTCACCCCTTTGATCCACAGCATTGTCAAGGGTCAGCTCGCGTGTGCTGAGCAGGTGCTTTATAGTAACGCTCGGATCGATCCAGCTTCTGAATCGGATCATATCCCGCTCAATTTGGCCTGCCAACATGGCTCCCTCCCGATTGTGAAGATGCTCCTCGAACGCAAGGCCCGCTTGCTGCCCGATGCCGAGGGTCTCTACCCCCAGCATATGGTGGCCCGGGCTTCCCAATCACCAGATCTTCTCCTCCTGCTGAAGCAGCACGGTGCCGATCTAGACCAACGTGACAAACTGTATCAGTGGACACCCCTCTTCCATGCTGCAAGCGAAGGCTGCGTACCGTGCCTGCGGACGCTTCTTGAACTGGGCGTGGATGCGAAGGTGGCTGATGAGAAGGGCTTGTCGGCCATGTACTATGCCGCGTGGGAAGGGCATTTGGAGTGTATGTTGCTTCTGTGGGCTCAACCATCGCACGCGCGCCCATCTCAGCGGCCGTTGGATCTCCTAAATGGCGTGCAGTTCCAGGAGCCCGGCCTGATGGAGGGTTCTGGAGCTATGCGTCGTGCCAGCTCTGCTGATATGGATATTGCTGATGGCATCCCTGACCTGGAACTCCCTCCACCGATCATCCCTCTTCGTCGTTATGGTCACAACTTCCTGGACAAGAAGGTCTTTGTCCAGCTTCTCTTCGACCAAGGCAACTCTGGCTCCATTGCCTTTGAACAGGCCGGTCGCCACCCTGCAGCCCGTCTGACTATCTCCTCCAAACTCTCTGATCTCATCCCCCGCACTATTGTTCTTCCCATCCAAGATGATTCTCGAACGATTTCCTTCCATGTGGATAATTTGGATACCTTTGCTGTCGACTTTGAGATTTTCCCGACGTTTGGATCCAAGGTGATTGCAAAGAGTGTGGCTTTGCCGGTGATCTTTTGCGCAGAGAAGTCCAGCACGGGTTCCTGCTGCTTGCCTCTCTTCGACCCTCGGCTCCGGGCTATTGGTCAACTGCGCTTCAACTTCCAGGTCATCAAGCCGTACCACGGTGACCCTTTGGAAATCACTCATTTCGCGACATATTGGAAGGCGACAAGTGCCGTCGACTCGGAACACAATGGTCTGGTTACCGGCTCCAGTCTGTCGGGAGACTATGTGCAGCTTTTCGTGCAGCTCACTCGTGACCGCGTACCAGTCCTGTACCCACAGTTCATGATCAACCATCACGGAATCGATATCCCCGTGTGTCGGTTGTCATATGCTCAGTTCCAGGCAATTGGTGCGGAGCGGGGCGTCAATCAACAAGAGATCTCGCAGTTCTTGGAGACACAAGCTGTCAACGACATGCCGCAGACCCATCGCCTCCTGGCTGCATCCTTTATGTCTCTGCGGGAGGTCCTGCGGCAGCTCCCGATTGACGTGAACGTCAATCTCTCCGTTCTCTACCCCTCCAGTAACGAGGAGAAATCTCTTGACTTGACCTCTCTGGCCGATGTCAACAGCTTTGCCGACGCCATCCTGACTGATGTCTTTGATCATGCCCGTGTCGCTCGCGAGAAGAGCCCTGACTTTATGCGCTCCGTCGTCTTCACCTCATATAACCCCAATATTTGCACTGCGCTCAACTGGAAGCAGCCCAACTGTAAGCTTTTGACCTTTGAGTGACTTGCCATGATCATGATCATCATCAGACTAACATGTTTTCTCTAGACCCGGTTCTCCTTTGCAACGACCTTGGCCAAATTCGGGACCTTGCTGGCGATGTGGATGCACTGCCTCATGTGAACAGTAGCGGCCGCGCCTCAATGTCGATCAAGGAGTCCGCGCGTATCGCTCAGAGTAACAACTTTATGGGTCTGATTTGCCGGTCAAGCCTTCTGGTACGTCGATATCTTTTCTAGCCTCGGTGATAGTTCTCTTTACTAATCTATGTACGTTCAGAACGTCGTCCCCGCTCTCGTGGAGACTATCAAAGAACTTGGCCTCGTACTGGTGGGCGACACCTGCGACGAGACTGGGCAACCTGACCGCAGCGATGGCCTTTCCTCTGCCAATGCCATGGGCGTGGCCGAGTGGGCGTACCGAATGCCAGACGGCGTGAACGGCGTGATGAAAGCCAACGGCATCCTCCGATTCAACGATATGATCGATATGTGACCGCCACCTACATTTGCATCACCCTCCATGCCCTGGATATCTTTCTCCCTGAACCTGTTCCAATACGTTGCAATCCAACATTCCCATTACCCTCTGAGACGAAGGCCACGAGTTTCTAGTATTTATTTCCTCTTGAATCATGTCTCTACGATTTTTCTATTCCCTTTTCATTGCTTTGGCTATCGGGTCTGTCCAGTGCCAAGTCCAGTTAAAATACCGGATCATCATGTTTGTTTCCCCATCTTCTGCTTGACTCCAATCTAAAAGTGCGGACTACATATTTTCTTTTTCTGAAGCGAGTTGCAATCTCAATCCTCTCGATCTTTTGGCACGTGTGGTTTCTCCTTTTTCGTCCCATCTTCTGCTGGCGCTGAGAATAGATGGTTGATGGCCTTTTTTCCTTTTGCACCTGCTAGGCTTCCTCGTCTAGCCCGTGGTCTGGGTGTGTATCATAACCCTGTAGATTGATTGATTGCTGATGATGTTTGATGATTATGATTGAGGGGAGGATCACACAAAACTTTGTGCGCCGGTTTAGATCTAAAATGGCTATGAGAATTAATGTACAATGTGAACCACCATCCCACCACGTGTTGGGTCATCGCCCGCTATGCTATACAGTAAATCATTCCCCTCCGTCTATAAAAGTCTCTTGTACTCGTATTTATACTCGTACTTGCAGGTGCCGATGCTGGTCCTGGTGCTGTTTAGGTGCTCTTCGGCTTGCGCTTGCCGATATCCCAGCCCCAGCGCCGCAGGACCTTGACAATCTTGGGCGTCACGGCCGCCGTGAGCGGGACACGGATGAAAATCAAGGTCTTGTGGACGGCATACGCCAATGCCAACTGAGTCCATATACCTAGCAAGTCAAAAGGCATTAGCAAATAAGAATCGGACGAAATGGATAGGAAAAGGAGAGAAAAAGAGAAAAAGAGAGACATACTGGCTTCCTCCATACTCGCCTCCTCCGCCTGCACAAGCGCACCACCCTCCCCAGCACTTTCAACCCTCCCACCCTCCTCCTCCCCCTCCTTCTGCGGCCAAACAGACCGGAACACGTCCTTGGCAGATTGAACCACCACATGCTCCCAATGCCCAATCCGCTCCACGCCCAGCAATCGCACCGCGACAAAACAGAACGGGAAGTCTAGCGCCGATAATCCCAGGTAGACCCCCAGCGCGGCCCAGCCGTATTCTCGGGACAAGGTGCGTAGACGCTCCGAGAGCGAGCCCCCTTGTTTGGGGGTCTGCGTGGACTGGGCATTGGAAGAGGAGTTGGAGTTGGCGCGGCGAGTGGTGCGGCTTGGAAGGTGTAGTGTTCGAGGACGGAGGGGTGGACTCGATCGGGTGGGAGTGCTGAGGCGGCTTGTTAGGGAGGCGAAGGTGCGTCGAGTTGTGAGTGTTGTCGTTCTTGTTGAGTTGGATTGGCCGGTCAGAAGGGCTTGTCGTGTTAGGGCCAGTGTTTGCGATGGGGAGAGTCGGGTTCCGCGAAGGCTGGTGCGTTGCAGGAGCTCTGCTGGTTGCGCGAGCCAGCGCGAGAAGAGCGACGGCCGGAGAGTCATTTGTTTTTTGTGCTTGTTCAGGTCTTTGGGTGGTAACTGGTGTTTCTCGTTTTGGGAGGGATGGGTAGGGTGGAAGGGAAGAGAGTCGTGTATAGTTCAGGTCGTCTGGAGGATTCTTTTTGTCGATCCTTTTCCCGGCGATTTCGGCCGCCGCGCTTCCGATCGTTGCGTTGCTCGGAGTTTAGCGGGTTTGCAGGCTGATGGCTTGAGGTTTGGGGGCCGCATGAGGCGAAGGAGATGGATTTGGATGGGGTTTGGTGTGCTTAACACCGGATCAGTGACTCATTTTGTATATATTCCCTGTGGGTGATGTGTTGGTTTATTATTATTGTCATTGGGTAGCTGCTTGCTGGTTACGTAGCTCTGTATACTTCGACTAGGACTTGAGTGTCTGTCGGGGTTGGTAGATCAGCCGGAACCCCTTCCGGATTCATGAACTGATTTGGGCTCATTATATTCGAGATCAACTAATAGGAAGCGATCTGTAAAAGAAATTGAGTATCCAAAACAGTGAGTGCATGATTAAATGGTCTTCCCATAGTTACTGACTGGCATTGTTAGTGCTGGGATCTGGGCTTAGAGTATGACCGTAGAAGTTGGGGCATTTGATACTATCTCGAGCATTTTGAATGCTTAATAGTCTGTCTCTCTTTATATTTTAATTCAATAAAACATCCAACTATAATATCCAGTCCGAATAACTCCCAAATTATGTGATATGCTCCGGTTGGTGTATACTTCGAATGGGCGTGGAGATGCTTACCTCAGCCAGCGGGCAAATTCCCGAAAACTTCAGAAACGAACATCTCCTTCGACATCTCAACAAACTCCCCCCCCCAAAAAGCATGGCGCCCCGACTTCCTGGAGGGCTACTCCAGCTCTCCCAGTCCCTCTGGGATGCCCAATTGATCGTGCCCCATATCTCTGTACGAAACTTCGGCATTCGGTCCCTCAATCCCCCCAAGCCCAGCCGCTTCAACAACCACCCCGACCTGCCCATCCTCGAATCCACGTCTACCGCCGCGCTTCGCCGCAAGGCTTATTCGCTTCCCCTTCGAACTGGTGCGATCGGAATCAAGAAGGGCATGACGGCCATCTTCGACACTGAAACCGGCAAGCGCATCCCCTGCACCGTCCTGCAGCTCGACCGCGTCGAGGTCGTCTCCCACAAGACCCGTCAAAAGCATGGTTATTTCGCCGTCCAGGTCGGTGCCGGCTGGAAACACCCCAGCAACGTGCCCAACTCCCTGCTCGGCCATTTTTCTGCCAACAGCATCTCGCCCAAGCGCCATGTCTTCGAGTTCCGTGTCAAGGATGAGGCTGGCCTTCTCCCCGTCGGTCAGAGCATTCAGGCCAATTGGTTCCAGGAGGGCCAGTATGTGGACGCCCGGTCGAACACGAAGGGTAAGGGATTTGCAGGTGTGATGAAGCGTCATGGCTTCCACGGTCAGGATCGCAGTCACGGTGTGAGTTTGAAGCATCGTTCGATGGGTTCTGCGGGTCCCAGTCAGGGTGGTGGTTCTCGTGTCTACCCGGGCAAGAAGATGGCTGGAAATATGGGTAACACACAAAACACTGTTCAGAATCTGAAGATTCTGAAAGTGGATGCTGAGTCTGGAATTGTGGTGGTCAGCGGTAGGTCTATCAATTACCCTCTTGCTTGCTCTTTTTCCCCGAGTCTATTCGCTAATTTGTTCGTGATTTTGTTTCCAGGTGCCATCAGCGGTCCCAAGGGTTGCGTTGTACGGATTCAGGATGCGATCAAGAAGCCATGGCCCGAGATTGCCTCGACGGAGACCGCGGACGCAGCTGCGACTGCTGCTTGATTGACGAGAAACACCCCCGTGGTTGGGTTGAGGGGACGCATTGTACTACTACTACACTATTCGCGCAGAATTGTTCACTTTGAGCGGCGTTTGTATATGATACATCAAATGATATCCTTTTCTTCTTTAATTCCCTCACTCCACCATATTCCGAGGGTTGTCCGCCAGCTCGGCTTGCCTTTCGCATACAATCAGTATCCCGTAAATGATTTGCCCTCCAAACGCCATATCCCATGCAGAAGCAGTTCTATTTGTACAAACTTCGCCTTTCCACTGTTCAACCTTCTAGCGAGTCAATTTACTCTTGGCGGAATGGGTCGGTGTTGCTATCCAGCAGCTGAACCACAGTTCCATCCTCGGTCTCCAGGCTCCATTCTTCTGTGCGGAACTATACCATTGGAATTGAAAAGAGGTTAGCCAGGTCATCTTATAGAGACGGGAAATGCACAGTCTGTATCCGAAGGGGATATATTGCGATTCCAGAATAAGAATTGCGTTCTGGGTCACTCACGAAACTCATCCGATCCGGTCGAACACTCTTGAAGCGCATCTTGCCCTGACCCTTGGTACCCTTCACCCAGAAGGAAATATTGATGCGCCCATGCAACTGATTCATCTCGCCGCTAATCCACGGAATCTGCTGCGCAAAGTAGATCTCGTCGCCGAGAATTTCACGAGCCTGCGGCGACGTGCGCAGTGCGTACAGGGTACTGCTGACCACGCTCGACGAGGATTTCTGGTAATTGAAAATGCCGAGCATGGCGGCTCCAACGGCCACCACGAAGATGGGGAGGGTCTTCAGCCAGCCCTTGCTGGTGTTGATGGTGGGCAGTTCGCGGTCTGCGCGGCGCTCCATGAGTGGCCCCGTATTGGGGCCTGGGGCGGGGATGATCGTGCGGCGAGGAGTGATTTGTCGGATGCCGGGGAGCCGGACGAGGCCAGTTCGCCTGGGAAGGGCCCGGGGAAGAAGCATTGTGAGCTTGGAGGGGAGGATATACTTATTGCGGAGGGACCGTAGAAAGAAATGCGGGAACTTTGGTGGAACGACGGAATTCGGGCGAGGCACAAAAAAGGACCAAACAGGACAAACATCGGCCTCGACGTCACGCTCGTACTTGTACTTTCCATGGATTATCATTCGACATATATCGACAGTCATTATAATCAGTTCTATCCATGGCGGCTGTAAGGCTTCGCAAAGCATTTCGATATCCAGAAGACTCGGATGAGGGCCGTGAAGAGCTCGATGAGGAGGAACAGGAACAACTGATCGAGCAGTTGCAGCGACAGAATGATGCCCGCAATGCCCAATATCATGTAAATATTGCGCTGCCTGCTAGCCAAACCGCCTTTTTCTACTCTTTCTTGGATCATACATCTAACTGCTTCTAGATCATCTTCACAAGTATTCCGCTGCTTTCAACTATTGCCTTCTTGCCGTCAGTCTTCGCAGCATCGAGCCTGACCGAATGGCTCCTATCGATCCTGGGAGTACTGTCCCTGTTAGGCACGGCCTATACCATGCGGTTGTCCCCTTTGCATCCAGATCGCAAGGGTAAGAAGCCTGTCACCGCTGAGAACGAGCGCATCACTCGACTACATTCGGCCCTTCTTCCTGTCAACGGGGCTGTATGTCTGCTGTTGACTGCCGCTTACTTTTTCGCGGGGACGGGCCCATCTTCCATTCGACCTGTTCTGTATCTGATCCCTGGAGGTATGTCTTTTGGAAAGTTATTCTCTTTGTATGACTTTGCTGATCATTTTCTTGACAGCCATGCTCGCAGCTATCTTGCTTGCCCGGGACATGATGCTCTCGGTGGATCTCTCGGCCCTGAAGAATCTGCAGTACGAGCACAAGGGCGCATAGAGACCCAACGTTCGTTGGATTTTATTCAAATTGAATAACTTTTAAGCTCGGAAATCTCATCAAAAAGTCATTATTTGTGTAGCCATAGCTAAAACACGTAAGCACAGCAAACTGTCACTTAGACATACAACGCTGCAGATGGGGGGATATCATGAGAAACTTTCAGACCGGGTCTTCAAACAATCGCTAGTAGAAACAAACAAAGACTCCTCTTTTCAATCTCACACAGCTCTTATCCTCAACCCAGGCCCATAAAGGAACCATCGAGCTCCAGGGCGGGGTCAATCGGAATCCCAGGCAGCTGATTCTCAAACACGGCCAGTGGTGGGTCGTTGACCGACTCCGCCTGTGGTGAGTCAAACCCAACGTGAATGTCATTCTCTGCCAGCTGCTGCTGTCGGCGATTCTCCTCATCGCGCCGCAAGCGCTCCAAACGACCCGCATTGTCGTCCCCGAATGTTTTGAGCAAGGCCAAATTCGACAAGCGCATATTGACCAAGGACTCGACACTGCGTGGGTCCGCAATCTTGCGCGTGTCGTGGCCGAGTAGAATGTTGAAGGGTTGATGAGGTTTCATACTCTCATCTAACCGACAGCTTGAGCAGTTGCAGATCTTGCGGCATTTTGGGCACAACCAGTGAGGGCGTTGCATGGCATCTAGAGGAAGCATGTCGAATGACCTGAACAGGCTGCCATAGCAGTAGTACAGGTTGCATTTTTCACATGCAGCTAGCTTCCATAAGCATTCGGAAGTCTTACACATATGACATCGGCCTTTTCCGCTTGGGGCCTTGGTCCCATTGGACTTCCTTCTCTTCCGAGCCCGCGAGTCGGTATCGGACCCTTCGTCCTCACTGGGTGTTGCTGCCTTAATCTCCTTCGGCTGCTTGTAATCCACCCAGGGCCGTAAATCCATCTGCTCCTGACAGATCTCCGCCAAAGACTTTCGGCCCAGCTCAGATCGGGCAACCAGCAAAGTAGGTGGATGTTTGATCTTGGGATCTCGATCGCCTTGCTCAAAGGCAATAATCTGCTGCCGCCAGGACTCATGTCGGCCGGTCAGTTGTTTCCATGGAAATTGCTCCACCCATTTGAATTTGGAGATGCACTGGCAACTCCGTCCCAACACGTAACAGTCCATACAGATGTCATACGTATCATCGCCCTCTCCCACGCACCAAGGACAGGTCAAAAATCGGTTGAAGATGTTACACCGACAATAAGAGCATGTGATGTTGCTCTCAAACTTCTCAAACTCGATGTTTTTCGCCGCGGGGGATTTCTTTGAGAAGCTTTCGGATAACAGGATGTCGGTGTAGATAATGAACAGCCGGTGAAAATCTTCTTGTAGCGTTCGGACCTCTGGGTGGGAGGATGCTGGAGCCTTCCGCAGGAGTTCTGAATACCGTTCAAGAGCGTAATAGACAATGGCTTTGTTTTTGTATTGCTCATCACGACAGATCATGCGAGCATTACCCAGCGCCTCGTCGAATGCCATCTCTAGTGTCTCGACGGTGGTTCTGTTCCAAGCCACCTTCATTGTCCTGGTCCCACGGTTCCAGACTTGGTGAGCAGCTAGAGGGGGGACAAGGATAAGGTCCCCTGGGTTTTGCTCAACCACATAGGTGGTGAAGGGCGCACATTTCCAGGCATTCAACTGCGCAAAATGGTTCTCAAGGTCAAGATTATGGCCGAGCATTGACATCCAGTATTCTGACACAATGCGACGATCTTGGGTCCCAGTCATCAGCCAGATTGACGAACCAGGTCGAGTTTGTTTGCCATGTTCATATGACCCATCAGAAGCCTCAACCATCAGGTTATGTCCCAGACTGGCACACATTTCCTGATGTGCTGGGGTGTAGGTCCCCTCGTGCCCGATGTAGCACATGAGATTCTGTGCTCTCATGGCTTCAGGAAGACAGCCCATCAAGTCACCTGCTCGAGCCACTACCTCCCCTTGTGGAGTTTGAGGGGGATCAGGGAACTGAGAGATAGGCGATTTGGGGCCCTTCAGGGGGGACTGATTCAGGTAGAAGAAATCGGAAGGAATGAGCTTTTCCAGAGCTTTGTGCCATTCGTCTGGGCAGTCAATATCCTTCAGGTACAACCGTTGAATGTTGGAACGGGCGTAGGTGGAGGATGTGATAGGGTCCGTCAGGATCGACATGTTTTTGAGGTAATGCCCCAGGGTTAAGGGCAGATTCGCCCGCTTGCCCAAATCTCTGGCGTCGTATGCTTTGAAAGGAGGCACAAGTCAGAAGTAATCTTCAAAGAAAAAAGAATCAAGATCCAGGGGCTGGGGAACCACCTACTTTGACTCGCATAATGCTGCTGTAGCCATTTCTCCGAGAAAAGACTCTTGTCCAGGCACTTGTCAAACCCTGTGATCACGAGTGGAAGTCCCAGCTTCACAACATGGGTGATGACAAATAACTCAAGCACCTCTCGGGGATACTGATTGATGGAATCATAAGGTATCCTCTTCGCAAATTCAAACCGTGGGGATGCTCGAACTTCTTCCTGAATATCCAGGTGCGGTGGAAAGGGCTCAAAAACTGCTCGCGAACGCTGAATCATCGCGACTCGGTACGGCTGTATGGCGGGGAGTATTACACAGGGACGGACTTGTGGCTAGAGCAAACAACGCCGATATCTGTGTCAGAAATGTACATGACCAGATGATCTGTGATACTAGCAGAATCATGTGTTATCCTTCATGCTCAATGCGACGGTCGGAAGAGGTGTAGGTGCGGGGAGTAGAGACTCACTCTTGCGCCAAAGCCCAAGATTTCAGAAGATGGGACAAGACCAGGGCAAGGAAGATGGGATGGTGTAGAGGGGAAGATTGTGATTTAGCTGCTGGATCGGATGTCTGAAGGTCTGGAGGTCTGAAAAGCTAAGGATCTGAAGATTCGCAAGTCGCTCTTGCCCGCAGATTTCCAGAGGCACAGGCGCGTCGCGTAGCCTCAGGCACAAAGGTACTGGAGAAGCAGGTGGAAGAGGAGGATAGGATGGAGCAGCTCAAAGAAAAATGATTGAGGAGGAGAAAGACAGAGCGAAAGGGAAGAAGAACAAGAGTGGTAGAGGTGAGTGATGGGAGGTGAGGAAAGAAAGAAATGGATCCAAGAATCTCTGTCTCTGTCACTGAACCCTCCGCCATCTGCCAAACTCTCCAAACTCCAACTTCTCAAAGCCGATCCTCAGTGGACCCAGTCCTCGACTGCCCAAAAGGGTTTAGACCCATCGCGGCCAATTTTTTGATTGAGCCCGCATTTCAAAATAATCCACATGCTTGAGGATTCCGATAACGACGGTATCGCAGCTTTCTCGGAGGTTTGGTGATCTCCAGCCTGTGGCACCCTGCTACTCTCTTCTCGACTGCACCCAACATCGCGGTGTAAATATGCATCAATAGCGCCCTGCCAAATTGACACAAAGATTCCCACCTGAATCCTATCCTCTCCTTCTCTCTCCTCCGGTCGCTATGCCGCTCTCGACTTCGAGCTCCCAGTTGTTCCGACGCGCGCAATTGCTTCAACGCTGCCACTATATTCAATCCCCCATTGGTAGCCGATACCATGGCCGTCTATCCACCTCTCTGGCATCTCAATTGAACCCGACAAAGCCAACGGGCTCTTCCTCTCCTTTACATCTTCACACTGCGAAATCATTGGCGATTATATCGCGGCATAATGGGCAGGGATATTACTCCACGGCGACAGCCACCTCCATCGACGCCAATTCGAAGGAACCCAATCCGGCCACTCATTATGTCCCGCCCCAGACGGGTCTGGTTGCCTTGTTACCCAAGTCATGGATCCCTTATGCCGAATTGGTCCGCTTGGACAAGCCCACGGGCACCTACTATCTCTTCTTCCCAACCCTCTTTTCCACCCTTCTCGCCGCTCCAATGGCCGGTGTAGCACCGCTGCAGGTTCTGGGCACGGTTGGGCTCTTTTTCACTGGCGCCTTGATTATGCGGGGTGCAGGATGCGCGATCAATGACCTATGGGACCGAAATCTAGACCCCCATGTGGAACGCACCAAGTTCCGACCTATTGCCCGTGGAGCAATCTCGCCTCGGAATGCAATCTGGTTCACGGGGAGTCAACTGCTAGCGGGACTCGGAGTTCTCCTTCAGTTCCCCTCCCAATGCCTCTGGTACGGCATCCCGAGTCTGCCCATTGTCGTGGCTTACCCTCTGGCCAAGCGAGTCACCAACTACCCTCAGGCAGTCCTAGGCCTCGCCTTCTCATGGGGCGCTATCATGGGCTTCCCGGCTCTGGGAGTTGATTTGCTTGCCAACCATGACGCTCTGATGGCTGCGGGGGCATTATATACCAGCTGTATTTCCTGGGCTGTTTTGTACGATATGATCTACGCACATATGGATATCAAGGATGACGTCGCTGCCGGCATCAAATCCATCGCCCTGCGTCACGAGCACAACACCAAGGCCGTTCTTAGTGGGTTGGCGGTTGCCCAGGTATCTCTCCTCGGTGCGGCGGGCATTGCTATGGGCTGTGGACCCGTCTTTTTTGCTGGCAGCTGCGGCAGCGCCATTCTTACTCTGGGCTTGATGATCTGGAAGGTCCAGCTGAAGAGCGTTTCCAACTGCTGGTGGTGGTTCAAGAATGGATGTCTATTGACGGGCGGTGGCATTAGCTTGGGACTTGTCGGGGAGTATGCTGCGCAGGACTTTGGGTTGTATGATAAAAGGGAGCTCTCGAAGTCCGAGTGAACGCAGTGTATACTATATAGAATGTAAGATTAAGGATTAAGAGATTTGAGGAACTCGAATGTGACTGGCCACGGATGCTCTCTCCTCGACTATATTGGACATTCACGGTATTTTAGTGTGATATGTGCGAAGACTATTAATAAAAGCCATTAGTCTAGGAATGACTAGAATGAAGTACAATAAACATCTAAATCATGTACAGAGTACTTCATATCGGATGTACTGTCTGTATTGTCGTGGTGGGGCCCATCGACGTAATGGCAGCCAACGAGTGCTTAAATAATACCAAATTACCAAACCGTCCTCCGCCCGAACTAAACTGCCCCCCGGTCGCCTCCAAACTCTCCGATCTTCCTTCTCCTCGGCATCATATCCACAAAAGCAATAATGTTCTCCCGTACAGCTTTCTCGGTAGGCCATCTCTGCTGTCTGATGGTTTCTTCCTCGTCCGATCAAGCTACTAACATCACATTCACCTCTTGCAGGCCTTCCGCCCGATCTCACGGCCCTCATCGCTGAACGCCGTCCGTTCCCCGGCCTTCGCGCTTCCCTCGGTCCTCCATGCCCGTCTCCTGTCCTCCGAGACTCGGGCGGCCATTGACAAGGCTGTGGCCTCGGCACCCGTCGTCCTGTTCATGAAGGGTACCCCCGAAACTCCCCAGTGTGGTTTCTCCCGCGCGAGCATTCAGATTCTGGGTCTGCAGGGCGTGGACCCTAAGAAGTTTGTCGCTTTCAACGTGCTGGAGGACCCTGAGCTGCGTCAAGGTGAGTGATGTCTGAGTTGATCGGGGTTGTACGCTTAGCGGGAAAGCTGATTTCTCTCGGCATTCAGGCGTGAAGGAATACTCGGACTGGCCGACCATTCCTCAATTGTACCTCGACAAGGAGTTTGTTGGAGGATGCGATATTCTGATGTCCATGCACCAGAACGGAGAGCTCGCGAAGATGCTCGAGACCAAGGGTGTCCTGGTTGCCGCGGATCAATAAATGGAAGTGGCCGCCGCATAGCCTCGGGTTGGATATAATTGATACCCCATTCCCGTTGCGGGTTGGTGATTTTGATCACCGTGTAAAATAATCGGATTCTGCTTGTCTACAGTATTCATATACCTTCTCCTACTCTTGCGATCTACGTGATCATATCTGTTTCGGAGATGCCAACCGTCGGAGCTATACGGCGGATAATGAAATTGCAACGATCAGGGTTGTTAGACTGGAAAATGCCGGGAAACTGGATATCGAGGAATCTCTCGCTCCTTTCTATTGCTGAATTATTAAGCGCATGCTAGAACTGTACTATGCACAATGTGAATCATATATACCCATCCCCTACAAACCCAGTTATTGAAGCCCAGCACATGTATAGCAGGCATCGGGGGACTTTTCTTTCCAGGCAGTTGTTGCTGCGAGAGGAAACACATCAGAGAAGACTTGGCTTAGGCAGAGGACGCCTGCTCTCTAGATTTCACCAGATCCTCGGTAACAGCCTTCTCCAACTTGGCTCGCTGCCGGGCTTCGTATGCTTCCCGACTCTTCAGGATACGGCCAACGATTTCACCGGCATTGACATGCTGGAAAGCATGTCGGCCCACCTCTTGGAAAATTCCCATCTTCTTCGGGTCGCTGTATGGATCATACGTCAAGGGAATGAAGGTAGTGGGCCCATGATAGACAACATCGGGCGTACCCAGCGGCATGGCCTCCAGGTATGGCTGGCTGGGAGTGAAGGGCGCCGAGAAAACGACCGCATGGATGTACTAGGATCACTTGTTAGTCAAATGTTCAATATCACCGAGGTGGAAAAAGGTAGATCCTTACGCGGCACTGAAGAACACAGAGACCACGCTCAAAGATGTTCATGATTGGGTAGTTCAGTCCCTTCCAGTGGTTGATCACATCGTCGTCATGGATGCCAGCAACGATATATGCCGGGGAATAGTCTTCATTAAATTCCCGGAGTCGCTTTTCCCGTTGCTCCGACTCATACCACCCTCGTCGACGACCTTCAGCCTCTTCCAGCTCCGTCACCTGGCGGAGGAATTCAATGTGGCCGGACGAGAATAGGTCGAAGCCTCCATCCACATAGACGATGCGTTGGCCAGGCTTGGGGCCCTTTCCATCGATCAGAGAATCGAAAGATCCAGCTTCTCCTACATCATTATCGATCTTGGCTTCGCCAGAGCCCATCCATGTCCAGACCTGAGGTCCGGGTTGCAATCCACTTTCGTCAGTCGCGTAATCTTGAATACGCTGCAAGAGATCATCTGCGAGATTCTTGCGCTCCTCAAGGCTTCCCGACCCTTCCTCCCCAGCGAGTGTCTTTCGAACGGACTTGACGAAATGGTTCTTGGTGCAAAGAAGCATGCGGCCAACGAGATCGGTAGTGGAAATGCCAGGAGTTCGTTTCACCACCTTGAAACGACCCGCAGCTTTGACGAATCGGTAACAATCGTTGCCATCGCTGTCGGATGTAATATCGTCGCCGTGTACAACATACTTGCACCCGTAGTGAGAAACCCACGGCAAATAGGTTACGTAGGGGGCATGGGGAACGCTTTGAGTGGCCCATCGGCAGGCGTCGACGGCTGCGACACTAGAAAGAAGAATCATTACATGTCAGTAGGCTAGAATTGCATGTCAGGCTATGCGACAGAGCTCACCGTTCATCCAAAGACATAACCGTTGGTCCCTTGTTTTCCAGAATAGCTTGGTCGGAATGGATACCCACGAAGAGAGCCTTGCCCAGACGACGAGCTTGAAGCATGGCACCAGCATGGCCTAAGTCACATAATCCCATACAATTAGTCCAAGACCAAACAATATCCAGACAGCAATGGGCATTACTTACCGTGGTGACTAAAGTCGAAGCACCCGTCGACCCAAATGCGATCCTCGGAGATTGGAATATCTTCTTGAGGATCTACTGGCCATTGGCCAGGCAAGGGAACTTGCTCGTCGAGAGGCGTGGTATCCATTGGGGGTTCCTGGACTCGAAAGAATGTATGGGAAGAAGAGAAAAAGACGGGGAATTGGGAAATTGAGAATATTATATGGAAATATGGAAATCAGGTGGCCTGAACATCAGGAGGAGGGGGTGGGGCAAGCTCAGGGACCACTTCCTCCGTCTCCTCCTCCACAAAGGCTCGATTCTCTCCTGAAACCCTGTCTCGGACTACATTCTTGTCTTTACTTCCGTCGCGCGCCGCTCTGCCAGTCCGATCTTCTCGGACTTAGGCGTCCTGATCATCCGTCTATTGGGTCGTTGCATTCGAACGGATCGGGGGAAATTGCCCCCCTCATCCTACCCCCTTGTCCGACACTGAACACCACATCGCTCTACGCTAGCGGGATATACTACTCACTCATACACTATGATTTCGTCCTCGTTCGCACCGAGTTTAACTCGAAGAGATACCGCCAAATCAACGGGTGGATATGAGATCGCGCTCGGGGGAATTCCCCCAGTGACCAGCGGCGGAGGTCCATTTGGCCCGCAGAGTTCCAGCGCTATCTATCAACAGATCCACGACATGGCGGCGAAACGAATCTCAACATTGAACTACTTGAGGAAAGCGTGAGTGATCATGCCCTGCTAGCTAAGCCTGGCGTGCCTTGACATCTCTCCTCTGACTCGCATTGGCGCATCTACAGTCTCGAGGGCCGGGTTTACTGGTTCAATACCGTGCATTTCTCCCGAACAGATATCGGTCGCTTCCCATATTTCGAGGCTCGAAAGCTTGCTCGTCGAGCCGTGAATTATCTCCTCCTGGGTCTTTCCCTACCGCCCATCCTCGACGTTAACACAACCCCGTTCGAATACCTAAAAGCCCTAAACGCCCTTCTCCTCGAATTCGAGGCTTTTCAGCAAGTGCATCCCCCAGATGGAAGTTCTTCATCAAGTCTAGCGAGGGCGCGTATACCCCAAATGTTCAAGCGAGCAACCCATGCTGGTACAAAGACTCGGCGAGCCAGCTCGGCGACGGAAATTGGACTGCCGATGCAAACCAGCGACCCTTCAGATCTGAAGATTACTGCCGCGAACATCAACTCACATTCAAGTGCGGCTGCCTCGGTGATCTCGTTCCCCTTGACTGAATCGTCTGATCTTCTACCGGGCGAAGAATACATGTATCTCTTGACGCCATCATTACCTTTTGAACCGGATTTCTTCGAGACCTTTGCTACGCTTTGTGATGTCCTAATTGACTGCTACAGTCGCATCACAAGTCTAGTACCATCTCCATCGGGCTGCACGGTGGCCTTGGGAGAGAGCTTCTCCAAAGCAGACGCAAAAATACGGAAGATTATGGTGGCGGGTGCGGTCCGAGAGTTTGAAGACGCGAGCCGGAATGGCGTCAAGAACGAGGTTGCTGGTGTCAGCCGAGTCGTCCTGGGGGGTCTGCTGGGCTAATATGATATTCATGTCTTATATTATGTTTACTCACGATCTATTGGGGGGGGGGCGTTCTGGGGGTTTCACATAATTTCTTCTTGGATATAGCGATACAATTACGAAGGACATACACGAAGAGCATTACAAAGAACTTGGAGAATGGTGACAAGACACTTGAGTCTAAATTGAAATTCTTTCTATGCAGGCATGCCATATGAGGCGGATATCGCTGGTCTTTGAAACGGATAGTAATAGCAGATTGTAAAACAGAATCAGAGGCACTTTTTTCCCGGGTCGTGTCGCATCGTGAGGCCATAGGCGCAAGGTGGAGCCGATAGCACAGGGTTCCCGATTCGCGATTGGGAGGGATATTAAACAATGATCAAATGAAAAACTCCAATCGCGCCGCAGGCTTCAGAAATGCGAGATGATAGCAGAGACAAGAGGGAAGAAAGACGCCGAAGAATGCAATCGCTGGATGCAAAAAAACATAAAGGAGAGGTGAGGCTTCGAAACAGATTCATCTTCATCGACGGATCGATGCAAGTGGGAAGAGCAGTGACTCTATGACTGCAGGCGCTGATTCTCGAGGTCGCGTTGTTCGCCGAATACGCGACGGCTCATTTCAAGAACGGTTTCGAAACCCTCACGGCCACGCTTGGCATTCTCGCGGAATCTCTCCACGCTTGCCTCCTCGACCTTGTTCTTGATCTTTTGCCAGCCACCGCAGAGAGCGGTGATCTTGGCTTCCTGCGTGAACTGTGTGGTGGTGTTCGGAGAGAGAGGCGATGGCTGATACACAACCGTTTCGCGGACGTTGAGGACATTGGACCAGGTCAGGTTGGTGGAGCACATGGTGACCTTCTTGGCCTCGGGGTCGACGTAGGAAATCTCGTACACGTGGGAGAAGGTGTCGCCGCCAAAGAGCGAAGAAACCCAAGAAGGGACCGACTGGTTGCATGTGATGAGACGTTCAGTTCGCAACTACAAGTAGGGAAGAGGATGTTAGCTCGAGGTGTTATTAGGAGTCTTTACGGAGAATCGGACTCACAATGCCGGTCTTCGGATCGATCGTGCGAGACAGAGTATCGACGCCGACGACATGGGTAGCCTTGTCGTTCCACGGGCAGTACTTCCTCCAGTTGGCTGTGGAGACCTCATCCCAGGAGTACTCGAAGTTGCACGTTGAGGAAAAAACCTTCATCGTGGTGAGTGTTGTGATGGTTGATTGCGCACGCTTGACGGGAGAAGTTGTAGTCGAAAGCGAGTAGATGACGCTCTGTGTAGGAATGAAGCTGTGAACAACAGATGACGCGAGAGGGTGAAGGCAAGGGAAGATAAGAATCCCCAGTGGCGAGCGCAGCAAACAGAAAGAAGTCGGAATTGAAGGATGAGTCAGGCTAACGAGACGAAGGGGAAAGATGGAGAAGGTGGAGAGTGTGGCGATCCTGCGAGAACTGTCGGATCGAGTTTTTTCTCTTTTTGCGTGGTTCAGGGCGAGCCGAATTTTCCCGCGGTCCAAGGGGAACGGCCCTCGGCGATCACGCCTGAGGCCGCAATAGCCGGGGTTTAGGTGCAAACTTTTCAAACAAGGCTCCGTTAGTGAGGCACTGTAGGTCCCTTCTGGCTTATGTCAGCGAGGTATTCTGCCAGTCCCCGCCTCCATCAAGTATGAACCGGATCGGGAAAGAGACAATCATACAAAAGTCCTCGGTACGGTACGGTACTCCGTGGTCCTGCAGGAGTAAATAATAATGCATGAGGCATCTCGCTCTTGCTTCATCCTGGTTCATCCATCTGTAAGATGGCTGTGGAGCTGCAAGATTATGCAAATCAAATTGAATCCAGTAGTCTCGAATTGCATCCCACGTGATTTTGTCCCCGTTTTTGAGATGAACCTTCCGTAGACGGGGATGTGTTTCGTGGATGCCACTTTTTTCAGGGTACACAAGGTCCTCTCATCGTATCCTCACCACGTAAAGACTCGAGACCAATGCAATAGCATGCCACTATACATGACAGCCTTCATGATGGAGTGTACATACATACTAGATAGCTAGCTAGCAGACCTAGAGGAACGGTGGGGTAAAAATTACCCGATCGTTCCAGACTTTCCACCGCGTCTGACATCTGGCAGTTCCAGTCATCCTCCACACAGACTTCCCTTTTGGTCCAAGCTATCACGAATCCCCCCCCTCAAGCCACATACTTTTTGACCCCCTGTCCCTTTCCCCCCTCTCTCCCTGCTCCTCTTCCTCATCCATCTCGCTTCCTCTTTCCCGTCCCTTGCTCAACACCCCCACGAAAAATTCTCAATAATCCATCGCCGATCGCAATGGTTGAACTTCGTAAGCGCAAAGCTCCCGCGCCGCCTCCCGTAGTGGAGAAGAAGAGCAAGCCAGCCCCCAAACCCAAGGCGACCGAGACCCCCAAAGAGGCCTCAAAAGAGGCTCCCAAGCCCGCTGTGCCTGAGGTGGGCGACACTATCAACCTCGACGACTTTGGCGGCGAAATTGAGACCAATGACGGCACCAAGACTACTCTGAAGAAGTTGGTCGAGGAGAGCAAGTCCGGCGTCGTCCTGTTCACCTACCCCAAGGCCTCTACCCCTGGCTGTAAGCTTCCCCCCCCCCCCCCCCCCCCCCCTTTTCTTATGGCTTTTCCCCATGATCTCCTCTGCACCTACCTGCTTCATCTTCCACGACCGCCCCCTCTCATCACGGTTTTCCCTAGGCACCAAGCAAGTCTGCTTATTCCGCGACAACTACACGCATTTGACCTCAACGGGACTGTCTATCTACGGTCTCTCGGCCGATTCCCCCAAGGCCAATACCACCTTCAAGACGAAGCAGAATTTGTCCTATTCCCTTCTCTGCAACCCCAGTGCCACCCTGATCGGGGCCATTGGTTTCAAAAAGGCTCCCAAGGGAACTACCCGCGGCGTGTTCGCCGTGGACAAGAAGGGCAAAGTGTTGCTTCGCGAGGCTGGCGGTCCAGATGCCACAGTCGATGCTGTTCAGAAGCTTGTGGCACAGGGCTCCGCCGAAGGTGAAGCGAAGGAGGAGGCTAGCAATGACGCCGAAGCCAAGTAGTCGTGAGTCGTGAAGCCGCGCTCCTATGGATCAGCTAGGAGATGGCTACCTACAGAAGCCACGATGTCGATCGCTCTTGCCACACCCCCCAGTCGGAACATGTAGTTTGTCAATCCTACAAGGTGGTGAAGGATTAGCCCTAGGGAACAGATGGGCCACATTCGGAGTACCACACGCACAGCGCTAGTATGATTTTCACGTCCCACGTGCATGTTCCTTCTTTTATGGATTTGCATGGCCAGTAGCCTCGATGTTGAAGGCATCTGCTACCAATTGCGATCCCTCAAGTAGTTTCTCATGGTCTCGGCGAGAATCAAGGTCGTCTTGAACGAGCACTTCCCAAAGCCTTGGATGCCTCGCACCCCGCTAATACATCCCACTAGAGAAACCTCATCGATAATGAGCAAGTGGATAACAAGGCTTCCACAGACCCTGTCTGCTGTAAGGGACCTGCTCCGAGGCATGATTAACAGCTTAATTGCCCGCGTATGGTGTGGATTCACCGCGTTGTAGATACTGTACTTCGTCTTCGATGAACTTATTACTGAACAGTTCATATCGAGAACCAATTACATCCTTTCTTGCTCTCTCATTTGACTTGCTTTCCCGAGTTATGTTCGGTCCCTTTCGTAGTGGAATACTTTGAGAGAATGAACATTCTTATTATAATTGCCATCACTGCGCCAGGATTGCAAACTTCTCGATTGTTATAGGGTGGCATCCCCAGGAGAGTGTGACATCACGTGATCCGCGCACCTCCGTGGCTGTCCCGACGTGCCGCATCGACGACCTTCAAGTCCGCCGCAAACGCTTGACCGATCCCCAAGAACTTCAGGAGGTGAGTGAGAACCTCAATTCTCCTGCCCGGCTGCCTTGCACGTGCCAGATTGGCTGCAACCCCAGACGTGAAGAGTAAGGCTGACCAGGAGGTATAGGTCAGAGTCTTCAGCCATGGCTCGCGATATCCTGAAAGCCGCCCAGTCGGCATCCCATGTCATCTCCATCTCCCAGGTAAGTGGAGTTGTCGGCATAGGGCCAATTGGAAGGATTTCAAGTACCATACTGACTGCGCAATAGAAATACTCAGTCCGCTCCACCGGAATTTGGGAACGCCTCCGTAAACTACTCGCCGTCGACCCCAACCGCTCCACTGGTATCCCTCTGAACTCGCAGTTCCGCCTCCCTACACCCGGCTCTCTGCCTCCTCTGTCTTACGATGACCCCGTCACCGTCCCTGCGGGTGACCTTGCCGACAACCCCTACTGGAAGCGCGACACCCGGCGGAGCTACCCCAAGCTGAGCACTGTGAGCCAGGCAGACGCCGTCAGCCTGCTTACCGTTGGAAGCCAAGCTGTCCCTAAGGACGACGTTCTGCAGATCGGCGAGGCCGGTGCGAAGCAATTGGTGGAGGTTCAGGAGCAGGGCCAGGAGCGTGGCTTGGCCGCTCTTTTCGAGAAGGACAAGAAGAGCATCCAGGGTGTTTTGGGTGCCAACGGCCTGCCTCCCACGCCTGCCAACATCAACACAATTGCCCAGGCTTCGCAGTCCAAGTACGAGATTAATCGAGAGCAGGGTTACCCCGATGTGTTCGTGATTCTCCGCCAACCCTCCTGACACTTTGACCCACAACTAACTGTTTTCTAGGTACCCGTGCCGTACATTTGTTTGATTATATGATCCTTTTTTGGCCCCTCCCTAGAAGATAACAACATTGCCTGCAAAAGTGCGCAATAGTCCTTTTACAATTCGAATTCACCATTTCTTTGTCCAATCCGTTTCGCACTCATCCTTGATCTCCCGAGCCAGTATCACTCCGCGTTATCTCGTAATTCAGTGCTCAGGATGGTCCTTGGGATCCGGAGCAGTTAATCAGCTCAAGCAGTCGCATCATCAGAGCCTTGTTCAAGGGGAATACCCAGCCTAACCTCTGTCTAGGCCATTCAACTGTCACCTTGAAGTCGTAAGATGGACCAGCGAACGGCTTCGCAGAACATCCTAGAATTTGAAATTCGAACCCCCGCCCTCGACGTCTCCTATGTACTTCACCAAGATGCTGGAGGCTCATCCTACGATGCTCATCAACTTCACCCCGATACTACACCAAACTGATAACACCTTGTTACGTCCACCCACCATCTTTACAGGCTTTAAAAAAGACATTAATGTACTATTCTAAATTATCCTATTACAACGATACCTAAAAGTACCGAGAAAAGGACCAAAAAGTTATGTAACCCGTAGAGGCGTCGTACCCCTACATCCCACCCACCCACCACTGCCTGGACGCGCTCCACACAAGCTTCGTCGCAACAACCACACAGCCGCCCACTATTTTTGAAACGGTAGCTGCAGCAACCTCGAAGTCATCTAGACCACTAGGCCACTGGCGGGAAGGGTTACTGATTGGAACTGGAACTAAGTTATAACCCATACGAGGAAGTCTTGGATGGCCGTCAACAACAGGCTTTGCTAAGGTATTTTCCCCATTACTGATTATAGTGGACACGCCGCTCGAGTCATTCGTAGGCCGCCACTAGGCCAGAGTGTAGATCACATCTGCTCCGATACAGATGACTCGTCTAGTTGGCGCTCAGGACTCTGGAGCGAAAATCACCAAGTATCAACAGATAGATGTAGATTGACTGCCGTCTCTTCACGTACTAACCCTACCCTATGGGTACAGTAAGCTACAGATAGGGGGCAATCTATCTAGTGACAACATGTGGACAGATGCTAGGAACTTAAGAAACTTATTGCGCGGTACTAAATACTCAAATGCCCCCGAGACTAATGTAGAAGGTAATGGGTGGAATGTGACGTGCGTTTGCATTTGCATCGGCCGATTAAAATAAGGAAATAAAGTTAGAACTAGATATACAGGGGTCGCCTCCTCGCATACATCGGGTCTACTTTCCGATTTGATGGAATGGAGTGTCCTGGTCAATATTCATTATATTGATCATCGATCGTGTTCACGGCGTTCAAGCTAGAGAGTGCTTAGTCGAAGGGGTTGGTGCGAGTTCCCCACCAGGTCAGGAACAAGCTGAGACCGACGGTCTCGAATACCCGGGATACAGCACCCACGGCAACGGTATCAAGAGGTCGCTTCTCGGCGAAGATTTGGCTGACGAACTATTGATTGCGTCAAAACCCGTTAGTAAAAAGGACTTGGTATAGAGAGTAGGAAAGGAGTCTGTAGGAAAGACATACACCAGGAGCGGAGCTAGCGAAGAAGATCAATGTGCCCAGGTACGCAGCGCCCTTGTAGCTCAAAGTGCCGGTGGCGTTGATCAGAGCAGCCACACCGTAGGTCTGGACAGCGCTTCCAACCAGGGAGCTACCCCATGCGGCGGCAGCACTAGCGGCCTCCTTGGACTTGATGAACTCCTCCTTCGAGTTGGCAGACTGAGCACGGTGGTAGGTGTCACCGAAAACGGGAGCGAGAATGCCGAGGGAGGCAGTGTGGGTGAAGAAGGCACCCATCGCAATAGCGGAGGGCTTCACGGGGGGAAGGTCTAGATTCCAAGAGAAGCTCCTGATTAGCTCGGGATGATCTGTAGGCCTCGCAGAGGCAGAGATACTTGACACATACAGTGCAGGGTAGTCATGGTGGATGGTTGTTTTGGATTTCGAGGGTCAGAGATGCAGGATGTCTGAGCTGAGTAGAGAGGCTGACTTGTACAGTAGCAAGCAGAGGCAAGCTTTATGAAGCCCTGCTGGTTGGCCTGTAACCAGGGTTTGGCGCAAATGGCCGGGAATGCAATGACGTCGTCATGATTCAGACAATCAAGCGATGTTGTGGAGAGCCCATGACGTCAGGTCGCATGTCTGCTTGGCAGTGGCTGGAAACCCTTCTGAGCTTCCTTGTTCTTTGAAACGCCCTCGGTGGAAATGCGGGTTACGGACATATCCGATAGGGTCAATGGGAGGGCGTGGAGTAATTACCTGTTAGAAATGGCGTACATTGTGAAGGATGATGGATGTGCTGCTGAATTCCAGGACCTGGAGGCCCGTAGCCTCTGTCACAGATCTGGAGTAGGCCTTGCCATGTGGAGAAGGCCGAGATGGCTCCGATCTGCAGGGCCAGACGCACGGGCACAATCTTCTTTCATCCTGTACTTCTTCCTTCCCTGCTCAGCTCCGGGAATACAGGAGACCCCGTCATGTAGGATCTGCTATCCAAAAATCTCCCACAGGCACGCGATCAGGGCCATTGTCAAGGTAATCTAAGCTGGGATCTATCCCAGGGTTGGTCATTTCAATAAGGTTCCCGATCTCAAACATTGATCATTCAGTCCATGGCTACCGTCGACATTTTAGGTAAAGGGATTATCACCAGGATCCTCGAATACTGTACTTGGACATATCAACGCCTCAGGTTCTTCCTCTTCAACCCCCGTCATGTGACCTGCACGATAAGGCGAGAAGAGACCCGCACCGCACCTGAGATTATCGGCGCGCCACGCGGTTTTTCTGCTTTCTGCTCGCTTCCAGTCACTCCGGCATCTAAAGTCATACAACAATTCCTTCCTTCCTAGGCACAATCGGGCTCATGGAGAGATCGCTAACCCCCGAGTCGGATCCCGACGCGCCATTCAATGTGAGTGATTCGTTGGCACCCCCGCGGGATATCAAAACCGCGGGGACTACGACCACCACCTTTGACGGTTTTCTCCAAGAGCCTTTGTTGTTGAAGGAGGACCTGAAGAATGGCTGTGGTGGACAGCTATGGCCGGCGGGTATGGTTCTGGCCAAATATTTTCTGTCACAACACTCAAAGGACATGTCCGGCAAATCAGTGTCGGTATTCCCCCGTCCCCCAAACGGCTTCCAATCTCTCAAATGATAAGCCGTGTGGTTTCTGCATCCTTCATCCTCCTGGGACTTGACCACTAATGCACTGTGTAGCGTGGAGCTAGGAGCTGGAGGTGGGCTTGTTGGACTGGCAGTTGCTCGGGGGTGTGAAGTTGGTGTGCCCATCCACATCACAGATCAATTGCCCATGTTCGCGCTGATGGAAGACAATATCGCCCTCAACAACCTTGGCTCGACTGTGGTGGCATCAATCTTGGATTGGGGAGAACCAATTCCTAGCCATATCCCTCCCAAGCCAGATATCATTCTTGCAGCCGATTGCGTCTATTTCGAACCCGCATTCCCCCTCCTCATCGCCACCCTGCATGATCTCCTGGGCCCCAACTCAGTATGCTACTTTTGCTACAAAAGACGTCGAAGAGCAGACTTGCGCTTCATGAAGATGGCCAAAAAGGCCTTCGATGTGCAGGAGGTTCGTGATGATCCCAATGCTGCCTCGTACAGCCGGGAATCCCTCTACCTCTACACGATCCGTCTCAAGCCCACCAAGCAACCCGCCACTCACATCCAAATACCCCCTCCTTCGCAATCTACGATACCTGGAACAGAAATAGAGAAAGGACAATGATAAACGATATAAAAAGGGCCTTCGAAAAATATGTTGATTAATCCAAATGCTAAAAAGAAAGTAGAAAGGAACATCTAATTTTATATTCACATGGCCTATTACTTCACAACCATTGAAGCAACTTATAGCTTGAGGGTATCTCCACTGCTCTTGATATTTGCTCCCACCTTGCTTCCACTCATGTCGGTGACTTGGCCCTCCTTGTTGATGACCTTGACACCGCCCTTCTTCAGGTCGGACACAAGCTGCTGCTTCTCGGCCGCCTTGCCAGAGGGTCGGGTAGAGACATCTTCCTTCCTTTGGCTCTTCTTTTGCCTCCTCTTGCGGGCCTTCTCTTCTCGGTTCATCTCGTCCTTGGAGATAACCGCACCAGTCTTGAGCACCACCTCGCCGGCGACGCGACCATCGTCACCGGGCGCGTAGATTTCCTGTGGAGCCAAGGCTGACGGTCCCCCCACAGCACTACCGGCCGTAGGCCGGGCGTCCTCCATCATGATTGTTGGAGCGTCGGTGACGACATTGATACTAACCTGAGGCGTTTGCGGCTTGTAGTTCAAGTTGCAGAGAAGGTCCAACTTGGAGCTGATCTCTTTCCAGAGATCGGTCACCTCGGCATGCTCGCGCATCAGCTTCTGGTTCTTCGGGTCGACATAATTGGCATCCGTTGCTCGTAGATGATCGGCTTCGTACATTTCCGCCAGGCTTTGCTGAGGTTTGGTGTCCGACAGCTCGAATCGCCCACGTCGTGAAGACTGGATGTCAGCAGCACCTGGGCGACGGCGAATTACTTCATCAAACTCCTTTGCAAGAATGCGACGCTTGACAAGGGCTTCGATGTCCTCGGTGGTTTCGTTTGTCACGACGGGGACGGGCTTGCCCACGCGCTCGAAGTCTAGGTCCTCCTCGATGAGAGAGTTGATCGGACGCTCAACGGCTCTGGCTTCACCGGTAAGCATCCATTCTTTCTTGGCCACGTTGGCCGCCTCCAGGCGGCGGATTTCATCCGCAATGCGGGCGCGCGACTTTTCGTGGGTCGAGCGTGGACCATGGGAGTCACCAGCCTCATCCATCTCCTCGTCCTCATCCTCAGCTTCGGACTGCTCGTCAAAGAGATCACGTCGAACATCGGCCATGGCGCGCTCCACGTCACCCTCCATCACTTCTGCCGATGGCTGGGTCTTCGGCAATGCTCGTGCCTTTTTAGATGAGGCTTTGCGCGGAGGTGGGGCAAAGAAATCAGCATATTTGATGTCATTTGCATTCTCAAGTCCGCCCATGCCTGCATCCTCCGCATCAAAGGCATCTTCGTCTGAATCGGAGTCGCCATGAAGGTCCGCATTGCCAAACGTCGGACCATCCTCCTCACTATCATCATCCATGTCGCTGTTTTCGTCCGACCCGCGCGATTTCCTAGAAGCCGAGGTTTTGGGAAGAGATCCCATACCCGTCTCCATAGGATTGGCATGCCAGTCAATCTCCTCGTCATCGCTGTCGTCGGCATCATTGCCTGCACCTCTGGCGTCTAGCCTCTCCCAGTTCTCGGTCTGCTTGTTGAAATCGTCGATGGAGAAGAACCCGTCATTAAGGCCGAAGCGATCTTCGACATAGGTACCAGGATCTTCCTCCTGGGAGTCGACTGAAGCGTCATCCACGCTCATGGCGTCGTCCATCATGCCGCCAGACTCTGAATCCTCCCCATCTGACCGCTCAGACTTCTCGCCTATCTCTTCGCCATTGTCATCGAAGCTCGCACTCTCCAAAAACTCATCCGACAAGCTGTCAGCGTCGTCGCTTTCGGAAATCGAGCCCTCGGGATCAGATAGATTCAATTGATCCTCATCGGCCGAGGATAGGTCGTCATCTTTGCGAGCAAGTAGTGTAATATCTCGTTCGACCTCCTTTCCCGCGGACTCAAGGATTCGGGTTGCTTGTTCCCATATTTGGTTAGAGTTGAACCCATCCACGTACAGGTTCTTCAGTTGTAGTGGCGGAACACCATCCAGGTCAGCATCCACCCTCTTGCGCTTCCTGTTAATTTGACGGCGGAGGGTTTGTTCGTCGACGATGGAAGCTGCTAGCGGGTCGAAGATTTGCTTTGCGGAATCCGCGATTTGAGCGTGCAAATGATCGGTCGGATGAAGGAACGTCCAGGGTTTCGATAACACGGCAGGAAGGGTATTTTCAATTTCGGATGGGTTCACACCCGCCTGGCCTTTCGCCATCTTGAAAGATCTCAAGGACCAAAAGTAACGGAGAATGAGAGTGGAAATCGCAGCGTAGAGACAGCGGAGAAACGCAAGAGCGGGAAGAAAAATTGTTGCGCGCACGGACCACGGGACTCTTGCAAGAGGCACTGCGATAAGATAAGAGATAAGGCACGAAGTACGGAGTATACTCCGTACTCACTAGTTACTACAAAGTACAATACCCATGAAGAAGAAGAGTTCTCCTCTGCAAAAGTCCATCTACATCCAGGATCCCGTTGCTGATATTATATGTATTGGCAGCAGTGGGCATATCCTTGAGGTTGTGAAGTACGGGATAATCTGGCTTGAGCTCCCTCCAGGGACAGGGACAGGGACAGGGACAGGGCTAACTGGTACTACTGAAAAAATACAATTCAGTAGATATGCCTCGTTGACTATATTCCAAAGGCTATTAAAAAGTGATTTTACCACCCTTCATCGGCGGTATGGTATCAAGTCTCACTTGCTACCGGACCCATCGTAGGTTTTTCCCCTCATACATCTCCATTCTTCTCTCTTCCCTTCACTTCGTCTAACGCATCGCCACAGGAGCTAAATGACGACACCCCATCATCATCATCATCCTTTGCCGCGGAGTGGCGCTGTTGCAGGAGAGAGGCTCTCGGGTTATCAGCCCGCACCAACCCAGAATGTAGCTTTCATCCTACCTCACAATCTAGAACCTAAGAATCGCTGCCTCCAGCTGCCACCCACTTGTGAACCGTACTTCAATCAATTACTGAGCCTATTGTGCCCAGAGCAGCATGATCAGAGGGAGGGCTTTGATGCCTCCTGTACGAGTGGCTCTGAGCTCGGCAGGAAACTTCCATCCCACAGGCGAATCTAACAATCACTGGCGTCATAGTGACGGAGATTTTGTCCAACACGGCTTATATATCACCGCTCTTGGATTCTTCATGCCAGATGATACTAGCACAACTCCATTGCTGTTATCGAGTTGAAAAGCAACCTGGTCTCATTGTCCGACTCGAAACGGGTTGATTCGAAGCATAACCGTCGAGTCCTCTTTTCCACGAAGCACAATGCCTCCCGCCTCCCAATATGTCGAAAAGCCCGCAAGCGGTGCCAAATCCCAGTTCGAGCCGGGTGAGTCCTGTTTATGTCTACTTTTTAAGGCCATTTATTGATCATCGATGTGGAAAATTGACTAAGCACACTATGCTAGGCCATAAAATCCCGATCCAACATTTGACCAAGCCGGGCCTGGAATCGGACATGGCGGATCCAAAACCCGTCTTTGACCAAATTCCCACCGAGGACGGTGGCTATCAGCTATATAAGGCAGCCGGTAAGCTGCAAGGTAAGAAGGCTATTATTACCGGCGGTGACTCTGGAATTGGGCGAGCTACGGCGATTCTCTATGCGATGGAGGGGGCTTCAAGCTTGATCGTCTATTTGCCGGAGGAGGAATCAGACGCCAAGGAAACTAAAAAGAAGGTGGAGGAGCACGGAGCAAAGTGCCATTGTCTGGCGATTGACTTGCGGAAGCGAGAGAATTGCAAGAAGGTGATTGATACTGCTCTGCAGACTATGGGAGGCATTGATATCCTGGTCAATAATGCGGCCTTCCAGCATATGCTGAGTGACATCAGCGAGCTGGATGAGTAAGTCGACTTACCCAGCGATTATACGTCTCTAAAGGACTCGCCTCTCTATAGGGCATGCTCCTTGATAGAAAGCATAGGGATCATCGTATACTGATATTGGCCACAGGGATCAGTGGGAGCGAACCTTCGACACGAACATCCATCCATTCTTCTACCTCTCGAAGTATGCTTTACCTCACATGAAACGAGGATCCACCATCATCAACTGTGCATCTGTCAACCCATACATCGGCCGTGGCGATCTGCTCGACTACACGTCGACCAAGGGAGCCATCGTGGCATTCACACGAGCCCTGTCAAACCAGCAGATCAAGAATGGTATTCGCGTCAATTGCATTTGCCCAGGTCCTAGTATGTTTTGCGCCTTCCACCAAGTGCTTTGCATCCCAATTGCGCCTTCTAACCAAATGCAAACAGTCTGGACCCCGCTTATTCCATCAACCATGCAAACTAGTGCCATGGAGCAGTTTCACACTGTTCCGATGGGACGGCCGGGACAGCCAAGTGAAGTGGCAACATGCTTCGTGTTCCTTGCGAGCCAGGATAGCAGCTATATTGCGGGCCAGTGTCTTCATCCAAACGGTGGAATCATTGTGAATGGCTGAAGCAAGGTGTATGTAAACATTCGCAGGTCGGATACAAGTTCAAAACCCTCTCATCTACTATTCCCCACGACTATAGTAACGATGACGATGAGTGTATGTCTTACCTACTAGAGAGCCAAATTGCAAATCTCAGGCCTAGTATAAAATCAATTTGAGTCGGCCTACGGGCCTTGAAAGTTATCTATCACGTTTCTCCATTATTCTTACACGGACAGCCTACAGGTGCTTCTGACAATATCATTACTCCAGAGTATACTTTAACTCTGGCGAGTTCCTTAAATTTTAGCAGATCGTGAGAAAATCGAAGGAAATTGAGCGTCGCAGTCAAGGCCTGAGTATTGATGATGTACAATGGTAGGAAAGTAGGAAAGGCACGAAAAGACTTGACGATGGCTGGAATATTTTGAGGTCCACCGTTCATGACGGGCGCAAGCATAAGAAAACAAATTTGCATAACCCCCCGAGATTTAGCGCCGGTACCACATGCGAGTGATTCTGGTGTGTCTCATCTTCTTCTGCAGCTGGAAGATACCGTACATCAAAGCCTCGGAGGTAGGAGGGCCTGAAATGTAGTTAGTACGGCCGGGAATACCAGGGAAAATGTGATAGTCAGATGCATGGCAAAGCGGATGAAAACTTACATCCAGGAACGTATACATCCACGGGGACGATACGATCACATCCCCGAACGACCGAGTAACTGTAGTGGTAGTAGCCACCCCCGTTGGCGCAACTACCCATGCTGATAACCCATCGAGGGTCGGGCATCTGATCATAGACCTGGCGAAGAGCGGGGGCCATCTTGTTCGTCAACGTACCGGCCACAATCATCACATCGGACTGACGAGGGGAGGCTCGGAAAATGATTCCCAGACGATCCTGATCGTAGCGGGGGGTAGAAAGGTGCATCATCTCGACAGCACAGCAGGCAAGGCCGAAAGTCATGGGCCAGAGGGAGCTCTGACGGGCCCAATTGGTGACCTGATCAAGGGTAGTCCTTCAAGATGGTCAGCGAAAAGGGAGACTTCGAGGTGAGAGTCATGGTCGTGGCAGAGACACATACAAGACATATTGCATGGCACCCTCCTTCTTCTCTTGGCTTGGCAGAGGCACTTCCTTCCGGACCTTGCCAGAGGCAGTGAGCGACCGGCCACTGGATGACTGGCGCTCGAGAGCGGTCGCAGATTTCACGGAGGAGGTTGACAGGGCAGCGATGGGACTGGCACGGGGAAGGCATGATGCCAGTCGAGGGCGCACTGCGAACGGAATCTTAGCCGAGGAGAGTTCCCGATGGAGAGTCAAGGGAGGTGTTCCTTACCACACAGAGCGCCAGAGACAGCGGGTCGCACCATGGGCAACATGATTGATGTTGAAATAGCAGGTGGAAACCCGGGATGGACTTGAACGGGGTGGCGGATCGTTGGACTGTCGCGGAGGACTTTGGAGGTTGCCGTGATGCACGTGACTGGGTAACCAGCTTTGGGATTTTGGTGATTGGACTAACCCGTGAAGCATCGGATCCACTCATGCAACTGCTTTGCGTCGTGCAGAGTGGGATTGGACAGTCGACGTTCTGCTCTTCGTTAGTATGAAACTGATTTCAGGGTGATGAATTCTTGAAGGTATGTTAGAAGCAAGAATTGGATCGCAGGTTTGAATAAACGATTCGAATAACGATTCTATAGCGAACTGCTTGAGGCTTTTCCGAATCTCCGACTCCTGTGCTTGTTTAGTTAAGTCTCCCGTCAGCGGGCGGTCAGGGAGTGCCCACCACATCAACCACAATCAACAACCACCAAGAGCTGTGGTGGAAGTACGCCAGCTCCGTCACTCACTCACCCAAGACTTGCCGGGAAGAATGAGATGAGATCTCTTCCTTTGCTGATATCTGAGCGCTGAGACACTCGGAGGAAGACCATCTGTGTGGGCAGCTTTCCTCAAAGCCCTGCGGGGGGAAGAGGCTGATCAGATCGTCAAGCACCAGTCAGTCCTATGCGCATTAGCACGCTGATAGATCCGGGAACCCCCTTTTTGATCATTCGGCTCTCTCTTGCTCGACATCATGGCTGGTCCTCGGATTGCCTGCATTGGAGTCATTGGGAAAACAGTGTGTTCGAAGGCTTCACCCTGGCAATCCCCTTGCTAACGGTCCACAGGATAATCCGCTCCACATTTCGCTGTTCCCTCCATACACAGATGCCACCATTGAATTCTCATTCTTACTCAACTCTTGTCTCGACATCTTCGAGATCCGACGCAAGCAAACCTCCATCGACCAGGACCTCGGTCTGCTACATGCGATTGACGAAAGACTTGCCGCCTACGGATGGCTGACCACAACCGGGGTCAAGCTACTGATCATCGTGGATCTGTTCGGCCAGGAAGCTATGAGCGCAGGCAAGCCTGCTGGACCTGCGGTCAGCGGCATGAGAGATTCTGACCTGAAGCCGGTATGCGGAAAGCATCCGTCCAGTGCTCTCCCAGTATCAGAAACTAATCGCACTACTCCCAGGCATTCCGAGCATTGCAAAGTGCATACATTCAGCTCTTGCAGAATCCCTTCTATTCCCCAGACGACCATGCGCCGACACCCGGAGCGACCGCAGGCGCAGCCTCCGCTTGCCAACCCGTCTCCAACCCAAAGTTCATAGCAGATGTACAACGTATCGGTGAATCGTGGGCTCCGGGCACCGCTTTATAGATTCGGAATTGGGTTTCTGGAATCTTGAATAATACTTTCGTAATTCTCAAATGTACCAGTTCCCATCTCCAGGACTTTGTCTTTTTCATAGTTACAAGATGGGCAGACCATGGACGTGGGAAGGACAAGCGCGATCACTTTCCCAAACAAAACAGAGGCCTTCAAAAGGCTCGGGGAATAATAAGAATATCGGAGGGGCTATTCTTTCCAAGAAAATCAACCTATGATCAGAACCTTTACCTTCTTGCTTCAGATTCCGTTTTCTCCAAAGCAGCCATCATATCCTCTATTTCCCGAGGATTGCAGACCGCCCAAACACCACCACCTTTAGTGTCCACCCGGCCGACCTCCTTTCCGACCAGATTTCTACCCACTTTCCCCGGTCCGATTCCAATCCAGCATCGGACTCCTCGTTCTTGATGGAGGTAACGGATGCTGTCCCACCATCGAATTGTGTCGGTGCATTGTCTGGACAATAGCTGCATGAGATCCTCTTTTGACTGAAAAGGTAGGGCCGAAATATTGGAAACGCAGGGGATCATAGCAGGGAACGCGATGTCAACACCCTCGATGGCAGTTCTCATATACTCCGTGGCTGGAGACATCACAGGGCTGTGAAAGGGACTGTCACTGTTCAGTCTCACGGCACGTGGGTCATGGCCCCCAAACTGACGCAGCTGGACAAGAAGGGATTTGATCCGTGGTATACTGCCGCTCAGGACAATTTGGTTGGGAGAGTTGATATTTGCCACCATCACCTGTGATATCGGCGGCATCGCATGGCTTGTATCGTCAAGGCGGGAGGTTCCTAACCCCAGAAACTCGTAGACAGTCTTCAGTAAATCCTCAAGGCGATCGGGTTCACAGATCAGAGCTACCATCCCGTAGCTTTCGCCTGACTGCTCCACTATCTGTCGGGTGCATCGAGCCATCACTTCGGCCCGACGACGGACCAATTTGAGTGCATCGGCGAATTGGAGATACCCTGCTGCTACTAAGGCGGAAAATTCTCCAAGGCTGTGCCCTAGAGTGACATCAACGCGAGATTTGGTATCGAATCCGAATTCCTCCTCAAGAATACGGAGGATGAGAACAGAGACCGCCATGATCGCGGGCTGCGCATTTTCAGTTTGATTCAATTTGGAGTTGGGCCCCTCAAGGATGATGCGCGAAAGTTTGAATCCAAGAATAGAATCCATCTCATCCAAAGTGCGGGTTGCTTTTTGAGGAAAATGGTCCATCCAGGTATTAGCCATGCCAACCCGCTGGACCCCATGTCCTATGTAGAGACACTGTCATCCCAGGTTCGCGTTTAAGGACAGAAAAAAGAGGGGGCCAACCAACCTGGAAAGAAGAGAGCCGTGTGTAAGAGCTTTCTTCGGGGGAAAGAGGCCAGAGCAGTTGGTTTTCGTAGCATCATTGACGTCGCCAGGCATCGGCCAGGCGACAGCGGGCGTCTGATGGTCACGGCACAGAGCATTTTCGAGTGCAGAAACGGCACTTTTGGCCTTCATCATAGTCTATTCAGCGCAGCATACAGGCATATTGAAGGTTGCAGTTGTTGTGGGCGACGCCACTCCATCGAAACGAACATTACATGTTACCCAGGCCAACCCTGAAGCTGTCTACATAGCACCGACGGAACTCGGAGGGGGGGAGATCACGTAAGCCTCCGCAGATCGGCGGATACAGGGCGGTATACCCAACATAACCTGGTAGCTACATAGTAATAGTAGTATAGTAGTAGTAGTAGTAGTAGTAGTATATGTACAGTGAGACTATTCATGCCCGTCAAAGAGCCGGGCATCGGTGCTCCATATTGCTCATTACAGTATACATATCACAAAAATCAAACATGGCCGGTGTTATGCGTACATTGGATTCCTCGGAGCTATGACTGTTCTCAATTAATTGGCGAGTAACTTAAACAGGATAGCTTCCCGCCTCAGGCTTTGTATCACGTGATGATATCCGCGTCTCGCGTCCTTTCAATCTGTTTGTCTCACCGCCCGGCCCAAACACTCTTGGAGGGTCGCTAACTTGCTATCCTCGCAAGGTTCGCTTCTTGAATTGTCCACTCCCCGGCCATCTATCGTGTGGGAGCTTAGTTCCCGTGGTCTCTCTCTTGGCCGTGGCCAAAAAAGCGAGGTCGAACGATTCTATCACTTCCCTACTCCTCTCCCGCTCCCTGTCTCCAAAAAATGTTTGCCAAAACAGCAGCCGCATCGCGGAACCCTCGCAGACGCCAGAGAACCAGCTCCGATGATTCAGTCAAGCCACCAATAGCAAAAAGACAGCGCTCGGTGCTGCGGCAAACTGGCGACTCTCAAGCCACAAGCTTGAACCATGACCACCGCGAGGTAGCAGAGCCGTCTATCTCTGTCCCGCCCTCTGACCACGAACTGGTCACCACAGCCATTGGTCCAGAGTCGCATCTTCCAATTCGGAGCGCAAAGCATGCTGAAGGGCCTAGTAATGGTGTCGAAGGGACGGTCGTGCTGGTTCGTATATTCACAATTCTTGTTTCTGCAATCTTGCTGTCGAGAGCAGCAATGGGGTATGCAAGACTCTGTTTTGCTAATGCGCATTGAAAATAGTCAAGCACTGATTACTATACCGTGGATCAGCTTCCAGCTTTACCGGACCAAATTCGAGGCTCCCTTTCCAGTAAGCTGCTCTCATATCGCTAAGGCACCCAGGCTACTGGCCATGCCATCATTAACTCTTGATGAAACAGATCCCCTCAGATGTTTTTTCGCACCCAGTCATCATTACGCTCTCGCCCTAGCGCCTTCACACGCCATCATATGGCCATATTCCGTGGCTACATCAACTCCGTCGGCCTCGGAAACGTTCACCGTATCTATCCCCGAAACATGTAGGGACACACATGGCGCAGTTCCGCTCGGTGTCCTGCTATCCACCGCCACCGGAGAACACCCCGGTCTCCTCGTCATCATTCCGTCCACAGGAAGAATCATCTATTGGGAGACGGTCTCGAGCGCAGCGTCACTAGGACTTTCCCGGCAAAAACAGAATGGAATCCAAGGATCGACGCCAGGCCTTCTTTCTGGCGAATACGCCACGCATATCATGAACTGTGAGCCCTCCGGGATCATCGTCGTCTTCTCATCCGGAAGAGTGGCACATATCACTCTCAGAGATCCTCAAGGAAAGCCCTCAGTGTTGGTGAATTTCCTCAGCACTTCGATTAGTGGTGGAGCCGGAGGATTCTTAGGTGGAATTAAGAACGTTCTAGGCGGCGGTTCCTGGAGGAAAGAAGTTACCGCAGTTCAAGCAGGTGCATCCCGCCAACGAGGCCAGCGAGACGTGATAGTCGCCACTTCCACTGGTCAAGTTGAAATATGGGACACACATTGGAATCACGGAAATGCGATGAAGAAGAAGTTTGATGTCAAAGCGGACATTGCAGCATCTATTCATCAGGACGCTGTCAAGCCAGCGGGGGAAACAGATCTTAAAATTCTGGATTTCGCATTCTCTGAACAGCAGTCTCCAGATGAAGATGACTCCCAGGCATCTGATGAGTCTTGGCGACTTTTCATGGTTGTCAGCACTCCGCAGCTGCTGGGATCCAAGGCATTATTCATTGTCCAGGTCTTGTTATCGGGAGCCAGCACACGCGTCCTGTCCACTCATGCAGTGGATATCCGTAGCATCTCCACTCCACGGACCGACTTGAAGCCCCAGATACTAGTCTCGAGGGGAGAGAGTACCGCCTTCATCCTTATTGGGCAATCTCTCGTTATCTTGTCTCTCACGAGCATCGAGGAAACGCCAACCGTCCAACTACTGCAGGACTCTCACAAGATGCCTCTGCCGTTCCAGGACGTCATCCATCTACGGTCAGGCATAGAGTATGAAATTCTGGGATATAGCTCAGAGGACAAGTCCGATGATGAGAGCGGCACAGCATGCGTTATGATGATTCGGAATTTTGGCGTCGTGCGAGTGAATGTGGTCCCTCAGTTCCCGTCGGCCCTCGATGCGGATGAGACCCAAGTCACGGCGAAACACAAGCTTGAACAGGCAATTTTCTTCGGAACCATGGCACAGAATCCCTTGAACCTTATCGGGGACAGCGGCCTCGATTTCCCAGCAACCGAAATTGAGGAAGCATCTCTCGAAATCTGTAGGGAGCTTCTTCGGTCGGAGTCCCGCTTCATTCCTACCTCTGCCATATCCATCGACCAAAATCTCAGGTTGAGGGCTAAAGCCCTTGGGGATCTTGCGGGCTTGTTGTTGCGCAAAGGAAACCCGCTGAGCCGCCCAGCAAGGTGGGAACTGCTTTGGGGGGCAGAAAAACTTGCAGCGCAGCGAGCCATGTGGAAGCTGGAAGAGGCACGCAGAAGCAAAGGCGAGGACGCCTTCCTTGTCCAGGTCATCGAATCCATGAACGACAAATTCAAGACACTCCCCAGCCCTTCGTACGGGGAAATTGATTCAGTGCGATTGTGGTTCTTGAAGGACACGCATCGTATGGAACATGTGATTCCTTGGATCAAGAATGCCATCAAACCTCGTAGGGGAAATTCTTCAAAGCAGGCACGGAAGCTGTCGGAGCAGATTCTGGAAGCAAGCGAGCTTTTCCTGTCTATCGTTGAAACAGCTTACCGGTATCGTGACGAGCACGCATCATTGTACGGATTGGGCAGCGATTTCGTGGAAGATGGCGTTCTTGCTGATGGGTATGAGAACCTTCCTGAGTTCTGGACCTCCCGGGCAGTCGGATACACTGAGGCAGGCCATCTACTAGACTGGGAGCTGGACAGTTGTCGAGCTTGGATTCAACAAAAGACCTCTAGTGCAGATGCACCCGATGGTCAGGTGTTGAAGAAGATCGCCGAAAACAGCGCCCGTCATCTCCGAGTCCTCGGTCAGATGCACCGTGAACGAACACGCTGGCTGAGTGCACAAGAAGATTCCAAGCTGGCAGACGAATGTGCGGCGATTGAACAGTCTCACGTCAAGGAACGCAAATGGCAGCTCTTTAAGCTAGCGGGCATCGGCCATCTTCGGGATGCACTAAGCCTAGCGGAGCGCTTCCGGGACATGGGGGCTCTTGTCGAACTCATCATCGAGCTTCAGGACCAGGTGAAGACCCAGTCGGGCCCAGAACCCTCGGTGGATGCTCCTGCCATGGCGGCAAGCGAAGCAGATGTCGCGCATAGAGTTTCTCAGTATTTCGACAGATTCGGCGAGCCGTGGGCAGATGCATACTTTTCACGGCAGATTTCAATGGGCCACCCTGGCGCCTTGCTGTCCATGCGCAAGTATCAAGCGTCCGTCACTCGATTCCTCCGAAAATCACCCACATATTCCCGATTGAGCTGGATCAACGACGTGACTGGCGAAGAGGACTATGATACTGCTGCTGTTTCCCTGGAAGGTCTGGCGCTCGGTGGTGAAGAGGAGCTGTGGAATCATCGAGTGCAATTATCGTTGGCAAAGCTGAGCAAGCTAGCCTCGAGCGAGAAAAGCCAACCCCGGGGCCATGGTCCGTCCTTGCAGGAGGATGTCAAACGGCTGGATGACTACAACGAGGTCGATGAGGTCCAGGACTCTCTTCATACCTATGTCAAGTCATTTTGTGAGGATGCGATCGATCGGAGGGCTGCAGCAGACCTAGCACTGGGTTATTTTGGCGGACATCTTGCAACAGATCGACCTTCGCTCCATAGAATTCTGGATGATGCACTATTCACACTCCTCAATCGGCGTGTCGTCGGTGTTGATGGTTTGATAGATCTACTCACCCTCATGGGTCCGCTCCACCATGACGATGACATTGAGAGCGATTTTACGGGACGGGAGTTTTTCCTAGCGCTACGAGTTCTCGATCATAGTCGCTACGCCGAGCGGGATCCATCATACGTCTCGGCGTTGCGTAAGTTGATCTGGCGACGTTGTATGATCAAGGATGACTGGGAAGCTCGAGGAAAGGCCGCCGAGGGTTCTAGTGGAACGTCAGACGATTCTGCACGCGACACTGTTCTGTATCGTACATTGTCTCTCTGTCTCACTGGTGAGTTGTTCCGAGACCGATCAGTTATGCCCGTTTCTAACAATACTCTTCAGCCACCTGTAGACCCAGCCTTCAATCTCTTGTGGTGCCACTTGCTCCGACAGAGGCGCTGATGGCTGATTCTGAAACCGAAATTCTTGTGTCGCGCTTTCGTCCCGAGCAACAGGCGCGGGTGACAGCTGACCTGAAGCGGGAAGACGATCTGCTACGTCGATTTATCGAAACTGGCAAACTTGACTTTTGGTTTCAAAACCTCCTCGCCTCTATCAAGACCGAAACGGCATCGGGTGCGGTGACGGATGACAATGGTACAAAAGCCGAATCCTCTCCGTCAACTGACTCTAGGGCCCGGTTGACGTGGGTTTGATTGCTTTGGGCCGCGCTCCGTGGCCCGCCATTGTGATGGTCTGTAGCGATGAATTACTTGTAATATGGATCGAATAACTGGAGTTGGCCACTGTCTTCATGGATCTGCATTCTGCATCCATTCTGGGAGGGGGAATCAATATCATTCTTTTTTTCCCCGTTCATGCAAATTCCGCACAGCTCCTTGCAGGCTCTTCTTGCCAGCGTCAGTGGCCAGCGTCGGGTTTCCGAGAGGATAATACCGGGCAGATCTCTCTGATCGGGGTGGAATAGATTGGCCCCACGATACTAGACATCAACTTGCCTATGCATTGTCACATAGCCTAATCTAAGCTCTTGGGAATTTCCTTGGCTATGCTCCGCAAAGCTCTACAGAATACAGGGGGCTTTTGAGTAATCCATGTGGAACAAGTCCCATTCGCATAGTCAGGTCTCAGTTTCATATATCCTAAGGTGATAGCATGGTCGAATCCGAATCAGCGCAGCATCCAGCTCGCACGTAATGTCAATACTTCAATACTTCATCCCTGCGTGGTCGGTCTAACTGTCGTTGCTGCTGCTGGTACTCTCGACTTTAGTCACGGTGCTCTCATCAGCCACGGTCACGTCAGCTGCCCCGTGGAGCTGTTCCTCGAAGACCGGCTCAGGCTCGATCGTTTCAAACTTGGTCCTGAAGTCAGCCAAGCCTTGCGTGCTGCTGTTAGAACGACGCCGAGCATTGTTCATGGTATAACCATAATCCTGCACTTCGTCTCCGGAGCGACCCCTACAGGCCATCTGGGTCAGTGGCAGTCCAGGACATCAAGCAGCAATACAATTCTTACCAATTGCCCTTGCCACCTCCATCTTTCTTTGTCTTGCGTGGATCCGCGTCAGTTGGACCGGACTTGGCAAAATAGCGTGGAAGGTTTTCACGGGGGGCCATCATGCCATCGGTAGGGTGATCGCGATCATTAAGCTTGTGAGAGCGAGTCACTGTGCCATTAGCTAGAGATAGAGATGCTCGGAATTGTGATCTTACTACTGAGATTGGAGTGAATTAGTGTAGGTCAGAGAAGCAGTGTCAAAAGGGAAGAATGATGAGATTGAGCCAGCGGCGTGTCAGGGTACCACCCACTAGCGCGTGACTCGTGACCTCATACCTTCCGGAGCGCAAATGCGGGGGGGGGCTCACTAAGCCCCGGCCCCACCTAACCTTAAACCACCACGACTTCATATTTTCACAAAGGATTGGTATGGAGGGCGGAATGCCAGGGTGAGTACCGGAGAGGGGGGCCGAAATAACATCACTAGGGTACTGATAGAGGAATGTATCATGAAAAGCTAAATAAACCATTATCAAGTGGGTAATCGGAACGAATAGAGCATATTGTGCTAACGTGGTGTAATTCTTGTTCTGGTTAGTACGCGGTACTAGAACCTATCGGAACAGAGAGCCGCCAACCTTGCTTATGTAACTAGGACTCGCTAAGAGTACTTCATGGTATAACTATCTTTATTCGTGGTATATCGCGGGTGACCCCTTAGTTCTGATGCAATATTCTTTGTGTGTAATAATTTACCTATAATTTATGACAGATAAGTATATCTAGTGCGTTTTATACAATCAGACTAGGCCTAATTAAAACGGCTATAACCAAAAATAAAAAATTCATTTACCTCTAAAGTATAGTATAGTTCTATAGATTTAAAAGTCTTATTAAACTTCAAAATTATATCGTCTGCTATATCATGGAAAATAGCTTGAAATATATAGCCTAGGCTTTCAAGGGAAACAAATCAAAAGGCATCAAACCAAGCAAGTAGTCCGAAAAAAAAAATGTATAACGGAATCTCTTCTAGGTCACAAGATCATCATATTAGATCAAAAAGACCACTATATCAACCGTTAAGGTTGATATACCTAGAACTGATATAGTTATAATATAATTCCCGGCTACCCTAGCTACCCTATCCAAAATCGCGTCTTCCTACTAATACACCAACTTTAACCACCTACTATACCTGTAAAAAGAGATCTTTCTATATATCTTTTAGGAGATCTTTCTTTCTACATATCTTTCGGGATAGTTTAGTTCTATATAGGGAACCAATCAAAACTACCGCTTTTCGGTAACGCTTCGGGCCGGTTTAGGCCCTTGCTAAGTATATCATATAAACCTTGCTTTCTTTGATAATAGGTTGTGAGCAAGCGATCGTGCGCAGGTTAGGTAGAGAGGAAGTAAGATTAATTGATCTTCTTCCTTTGATTGAATAGGAAGGATAAAATCAATTCGGCTTAGAATCATAAAGATAAGAGAAAAGTAAAGTAGGACTGAAGCTTGGTTGATTGTATTGAATCTTGCTTGTATGTAATTGATTTTTGTAGAGAAAACAGGGCATATTTATAGCCAACTTGTCTCTTGCATGTGATCGTTCTAGATGATGCATGATGATCTCATGCAGACAGATCTAGATGCATAGTGATCTCATGTAGTAGCTGTTTGATCGGTGATTGCTTGATTGTACGATGGTATTGACTGTAGTGATGATGTAGATCGTATACTATTGTATGCGTCTTGTACGATGTCATTGACCGTAGTGATGATGGTATAGCATAAAGCTTATAGAGATTCAGTCATCTTGTATAGGCCTTATGAATCTGGCTTGATATGCTGCATGACGGTTTAGACATCTTGTGAGCAAGCGATGCTGCGCAGGTTGGTAAAGAGGAAGATAAATTAAAGATGATTAAATAAGATCGATTGATCTTTCTTCCTCTTGATTGAATAGGAAGGATAAGTTCAATTCGGCTTAGGATTATAAAGGTAAGATGAGAGAAAAGTGAGGTAGGACTGAAGCTTGGTTGATTGTATTGAATCTCTTGTATGTATTCGACATTATTATTATTTTAGTAGAGAAAACAGGGCATATTTATAGCCAACTTGTCTCTTGCATGTGATCGTTCTAGATGATGCATGATGATCTCATGCAGACAGATCTAGATGCATAGTGATCTCATGCAGTAGCTGTTTGATCGGTGGTTGCTTGATTATACGATGTCATTGACTATAGTGATGATGTAGATCGTATACTATTGTATGCGTCTTGTACGATATCATTAACCGTAGTGATGATCTTGTACGATGTCATTGACCGTAGTGATGATGGTATAGCATAAAGCTTACAGCTATCTTGTATAGGCCTTATGAATCTGGCTTGATATGCTGTATGACGGTTTAGATATCTTGCCCTATATCTCACACCCCCCGTAATCTTTATACTATAGTGCGAATAGTAGTAGAGTATAGAGATTAGTGTAGAGTATATAGGATCGATATATATATATACTGCTATAAAATAGCTAGATATATATCTTCCTAAATCTCACGGAGGTTAGCTAGATTCTTTAGGTCTTCAAAAATTTCTCGTCTGATATTTTTAGTTAGGAAATCTGCTAATTGCAGTGTAGTAGGGACGTATTGAATATTGTGAGATATAGGGCAAGATGCCTAAACCGTCATGCAGCATATCAAGCTAGATTCATAAGGCCTATACAAGATGGCTGAATCTCTATAAGCTTTATGCTATACCATCATCACTACGGTCAATGACATCAAGTAAGACGTATACAACAGTATACGATCTATATCATTACTACGGTTAATGACATCAAGTAAGACGTATACAATAGTATACGATCTACATCATCACTACAGTCAATGACATCGTACAATCAAGCAATCACCGATCAAACAGCTACTGCATAAGATCACTATACATCTAGATCTGTCTGCATAAGATCATCATGCATCATCTAGAACGATCATATGCAAGAGACAAATTGATTATAAATATGCCCTGCTTTCTCTACCAAGAAAATTATGTTTAATACATACAAGCAAGATTTAATACAATCAACCAAGCTTCAGTCCTACCTCACTCTTCTCTCATCTTATCTTTATGATTCTAAGCCGAATTGATTTTATCCTTCCTATTCAATTAAAGGAAGAAGATCAATTTATCTTACTTCCTCTCTACCTAACCTGCGCAGTATCGCTTGCTCACAGATCTAGATAGTAGACGATCTACTACTGGATACCTATTTAGCCTATCTAGCGATCTAGGGCTAAATAACCCTATCTCATGGAACTCACAATTGCAGAAATCAGTAGCTGTTAGTAGCTACGAAGCTGAATATATAGCTATAAAAGAAGCTGTCTCGGAAGCTATCTATCTAGCTAATATATTCAACTATATGAACGATCAACTAGATCTAGGATATCTACCAGATATCTCTACTATCTTAGTTGACAATGAATCTGCCATCAAACTAGGTCAGAATCCTGAGTTCCATAAAAGATCAAAGCATATAGATATCCAATATCACTATATAAGAGAGGCTATTCAAGAAGAAAAGGTCAAATTGACCTATATTAATACCAAGAGCCAATTAGCTGATCTATTAACTAAAAACGTTGATAGAGTGGCATTTGAAAAGCTAGTCAACCTAGCTAATCTAGTGGATATTGATGAACCAACTAAGATAGCCGAATAGAGCTATCTATCTATCTATCTATCTACCACTAATCTATATATTGGCCATATATAGATTACGGGGGAGTATCGGATATAGATAGAGCCATAAAGAATTCTATGATAATCTATATGATATCATAGAATCTTATAGAAAACAAGATCATCATAATGAAATCACCACTATATTGCTAGTTGCCACTGAAACTAGGGGATCTATCAAATATAAATAGGACCTAAAGTCCCCAGCAGATAGTTAAAAAAGTTAGTCCTGAATTTATTCTTGATAGCCTACCTACTACTATTCAATCCATCAACCTCTCTATACGATCCAGCTATACTATATAGCTCTATCTATAGGTTTGCTGTACCATCATCCTTCCTATACGCTTACACGTGCTCACAAACGTAAATACTACGAATATATAAAGGAGAATTTTAGTCTATAAATATACCTAAGATATATATTTCTATCTAGGAATATTATAGCATTTTCCTAATATTATAAGTCTATACTAAAATAGCGTATAGCTAACTCTAACTAGTAAGGTTAAATAGGCACTTACTAGGATATTATAGTTACTAGATAGGGTGTGAGATATAGGGCAAGATGCCCAAACCGCCATGCAGGATTCATAAGGCCTATACAGGATGGCTGAATCTCTATAAGCTTTATGCTATACCATCATCACTACGGTCAATGACATCGTACAAGACGCATACAATAGTATACGATCTACATCATCACTACGGTCAATGACATCGTACAATCAAGCAACCACAAATCAAACAGCTACTGCATGAGATCATTCATGAGATCACCATGTATCTAGATCTATCCGCATGAGATCATTATGCATCTAGATCTATCTGGACTGATCACATGCAGAAAATAAGTTTGATAAGTTTGCATAAAATATTGATTATATATACGCCCTGTTTTCTCTACAAAAATTATGATAATCATCAATCATGTTCAATACATATAAGCAAGATTCAATACAATCAACCAAGCTTCAGTCCTACCTCACTTTTCTCTCATCTTACCTTTATAATCCTAAGCCGAATTGAACTTATCCTTCCTATTCAATCAAGAGGAAGAAAGATCAATCGGTCTTATTTAATCATCTTTAATTTATCTTCCTCTTTACCAACCTGCGCAGCATCGCTTGCTCACAAAGAGTACTAAGATGTTGGTAATACGCTAGACGGTTAACAGCCTGGGCGTTTCACTAATAGGTTTAACCCGGATTAAGGCGAACTAGAAACTATTCACAGAACTATGATCTTATATATAAGTAGTAGACCTCGGACTATACTAGAGTATAGACTCTACCGGTAAATCGAGCTCCGCCTGAAAGGGCTAAGTATAATAAATCATCGATATCGGCTTGGCCTATTAGCTAGGTTAATAGTCCTAGCTATATAGACCGCTAGCCTATATAGTCCTGGCTATATAGCCCGCCAGCCTATATAACCTACTAGCCTAGATAGACCGCTAGCCTATATAGCTCTAGCTATATAGCTAGCTACCTAAGGATACGTGAATCCTTACTTATAGTATATATGTGAGCAAGCGATGCTGCGCAGGTTAGGTAGAGAGGAAGGAAGATTAATTGATCTTCTTCCTTTGATTGAATAGGAAGGGTAGAATCAATTCGGCTTAGAATTATAAAGATAAGAGAAGAGTGAGGTAGGACTGAAGCTTGGTTGATTGTATTGAATCTTTTGTTTGTATGTCTTATGATTGACATGATTATTATTTTGGTAGAGAAGGCAGGGCATATTTATAACCAACTTGTCTCTTGCATGTGATCGTTCTAGATGATGCATGATGATCTCATGCAGACAGATCTAGATGCATAGTGATCTCATGCAGTAGCTGTTTGATCGGTGGTTGCTTGATTGTACGATGTCATTGACTGTAGTGATGATGTAGATCGTATACTATTGTATGCGTCTTGTACGATGTCATTGACAGTAGTGATGATGGTATAGCATAAAGCTTATAGAGATTCAGCCATCTTGTATAGGCCTTATGAATCTGGCTTGATATGCTGCATGACGGTTTAGACATCTTGCCCTATATCTCACAATATAGCTATCCCTAGAGTCGTGTATTTATGTAGGAGTCTACCCTTGTGGTAGAAATCCCCTAAGGGAATTTACCCTTGAGTATTAAGTTACCCTAAGGTAAGTTGTACCTGAGAAAGTTCGTTCCTGGGTTTTAATATCCTCGAGGGTATTTAACCCTTAGGATCCTTGACCGTGAGGAATTCCGGCGAGAGTTCATTCCTACGCTCTAGGGACCTAGTAGCGAGATACTCTTAATAGTATTTATATACACGAAGCAAAAAAACAGATTTTGTCTATGTTCTAGCACTCAAAGCAAGAATCAAGGTAATAATAAATAATAAATCATGTAGCAATTTCGGATAGATACAAAACTATATAGACAATATGATTTCAAAAGCTATGGATTCTATCGCTCTATCCTTTTACTATATAGAGGTCCTTTTTACTTCTTTTAACTGGTTTTGGATAGTAGGAGCCCTAGAGGAGTTAGAAAAGTTTAAGCTATAGAGAGTTTAGAGAGACCGAGAGAACATACTAATTGAGACCTAAGGAATGACTAAAACCTAGATAAGTCTGCTAAGAAAATAAATACTTCTCCTAACTCTCGAATCCGTATGCCTAAGCAGATATCCACCCTATACATTTCGCTATACTATTGTAACTTATTTTCTAGGGTTATCTTCCGCCGGTCTCTTTTCTGTCGAATTGATTTCTTTGTACTAGAAACCTTCGATAGTTCGCGAGGGGCCTCTGCTATTATGATTGTGAGATAAAGAGTTTGATCGAGTTAAAAAGGGAACAGCAGGTTCAATGCTACGTATTTATAGCAAGTACTAGGGATGAAAAATGGCAAATGAGAAAATGTCAAAATGCGAAAATATGCCTTTTGGTTCCTTAGAAGGCCACGGTTTCCCTCTCGAAGACCACGATATGGCACCGTAATTGTTTTAGGGCTAATAGACCACGATCTTGTCTCTATGACTAAGTAGCATAGTATGCGAATCTAGCTGGTCTCTACAGTACCAGAAGGTGAGCCGGAGGTGAGCTTGAGGTGAGAGAGGGAGAGCATGGTAATTGAAGCCGCGGACGCTTGGCACCTTTTCCATGTTGTTGGCCTGGGTGGAACAAGCTAACCAATCAGCTTTAGCTGATGAGTTACTCTTAACCCTAATTGGCTGATTATTCGTTGGATCATCTGCGACACTTTTCCTGGTCCCCCTGCGGCTTCCAAAACGGACCCCTGCAACCAAAGCGGATACCATACTACCGAAGTGGATGCCTGTGATTACTAAAGCGGTACCTACGAGGAGCTAACTTCTACACAGCTTACTGGAGCCACTGCGACACGCCTTGTGTTCTGCAACACGTTTTTGGCTCTGCAATACGTTTTTGGCTCTGCAACACGTTTTTGGCTCTGCGACGCGTTTTTGGCTCTGCGACACGCTTTTTGTTCTGCGACATCCTTTTGGTTCTTGTTTCCGATATAGCTCATGACTTATGTAGTATCGAAGCAAATCTTGGGCAAAATACCGCTACACCAAAAATGCTCCATAGGCTATATTATTAATCTATACGATCATTTATTGTTTATTATTCCGACATGTAGTATTGGTATTCGAGAACTGTCATGATGAATCGTGGTCGCTTTCAAATAGATGTTCACGATGCTAGGTACTTCCTACCTGATGAAGAAGAAGAAGAAGAAGAAGAAGAAGAAGAAGAAGAAGAACCAGAGGACAAGACTAGATTTCAGAAGATAGAGTAAGCGTGAGTAGGGCGTTATAAGTACAACAAAACCATCGGCTGGTGAACGCCGCGTCCCCCTTGAGCCGCATGTCCCTTTTTGAGAATCCCTACTAGGCAGACAGGATGGCAATGATTGCTTTTACCCTCTAGTCTTTCTTGCACCGGGAGTGTCCACTATCGAGTAGCAGATCGCTTCTGGTTAACCCTTCTATATATAAACGTTACGGCGAGGAAGTATGTCTAGAAGATAGTCTTCTATAATCACATAGTGTCTGTAGAGTAACTATAGAGTACCGAGAGCTTGAGACTGTTGTTATACAAAAATCTCTGATAAAGGCAGAGTTTCCCGGAATACTTATTGATTGGAGGATTCCGCAAGGGGCTCCGGCGGGACTGTAGGCTCCGGCAAGATTGAAGACTCCGGCAAGATTGACGACTCGGGCCAGAGAGGGGACTCCGGCAGGATTGAAGACTCCGGCAGGATTAAAGACTCCGGCAAGATTGACGACTCCGGCAGGATTGAAGACTCCGGCAGGATTGAAGACTCCGGCAGGATTGACGACTCTGGCCAGAGAGGGGACTCCGGCAGGATTGAAGACTCCGGCAGGATTGAAGACTCCGGCAGGATTGAAGACTCCGGCAGGATTGAAGACTCCGGCAGGATTGACGACTCTGGCCAGAGAGGGGACTCCGGCAGGATTGAAGACTCCGGCAGGATTAAAGACTCCGGCAAGATTGACGACTCTGGCCAGAGAGGGGACTCCGGCAGGATTGAAGCCTCCGGCAGGACTGTAGACTCCTGCAGGTCTCAGGACTTCTCGCTAAGGGTACCAAGAAGCACATCGGTGCCACTCCATGACTTCCTTGGATCATACGAGCTCTAATATTCGGACGATGGTCTATGGGATATAGATCGTTTGATCTGAACCATAGGTGGCATCTAATCCTCTGAGAGACTGCCCTTCAAGACTGTCAAGATGTGAGAATATCATTATAGAAGAATATTAAAAACGGGAAGGGTTTCCTGGGATATCTATTGATTTGAGAGCGTACGTGTTTCGTGAAGAAAATCTTAAGAGAGATTTAATACCAGGAACCTCATCTCATGACAGGAATTGTCTCGTGTAGGCCACCCTGAGATATTTTAGTCAAGACTAATGTCATAAAATGAGCCTCCTATGACTAAGCTCCTGAGAGCCCTGAGCTTCCAAGACCTTAGTCATATGATGGTCCTCTGGAGAAGGTTCTATTCTTGAGAATTCCCTCTTGAGACGAAACTAGTCCTGTGAGACCCGACCAGAGAACAGAGGGCAGACAAGAGGAGGTACGTTATGAGACCTAGTTCTTTGAGTCGAAGGCCTCCCTATAACGGTCATCCTAGGCCTAACTCGGCTTTAGACATGTAGGGGCCACCCAATAGTGTTGCGCTGCGGAAGTGGGATTCAGCGCTTTAGTCTTCACCTCCAGTGAGGAGGGATCCCATTGGCTCACTGTGTTCATTGCCTGGTGAAGTGGGTCACTGTCGAAATACGGAATACAACTACCGCAGTGGCCTCCTATTCGGGAGTGTTTTGGGTGGCAGGACACCCCGCGGACATACGTCAAAGAAAATGAAAAATATGGGGAAATCTTCATTTCCGCTTTACGTTGGGAAATCCAGGCGGAGGCTAGTTGGTCCCGAGCGGTGGCTAGTTGGTCCCGAGCGGTGGCTAGTTAGTCCTGAGCAATGTCGAGTTGTGCCTTTACGTTTTACTGGATGTATCATAGGAATAGCGCTAAAAATAGCTTAATGGTGGTCAGGAAGGGCAATAATTATCATTAGGCTTGGGAATCACCGAGATTGGAGGCTCTCTCCGTGAAAGCGGTGAGGGGCCTTAGAGCGAGTACTGCGCCCTAAAGCGATTGCCCCTGAAAGGTACCATGAATACGAGCCTCTCGTGGGGCTCGTGTTTATTTCTTGGCTGTCTGTCGATCATCCTCAAACTCCACCATGGATGGATGATACAAAGACAACCGCAGTTTTCCCGACGCAGAACCATTCTCTTTTTCCCTTTTCTGTTTCCTTCCATTCCTGCCCGCACTGCACAACCCACAAGAATGATCAAAACCCTCCGTAAAAAATGGCCCTACACCCAACTTCTCGTGTGCGAGACGGTCATGTTACCAATCGTCATTTTTGTATGGATTGTCACCCTTCCCTACTCGTTCTACCACTCGTCCCCGAACTGGGGCATACGAAAGAAGGACATGCCGCCCGTTCAGCTCTACCTGGACCACTTCTACCGCTTACACCCGGACCTTGTAGCTGGTCTTCACTCGAATATTGAGCGACTACTACCAATCACAAAAGACCCTTTTCTGCCCCAGAACACACGCTATTGGCCAACCGAATACCACTCCAACACAGGTTCGACAGAATTCACAGCGCTGTTCCCCATCCTCGAAGACGCAGGCTGGCCGCGGCGCGTCGTCTGGACTTTTCTACGGGACGAGGTGGAGAAGAATACGGTGGATCTAAAGCTAACCGAGGCCCAAAGGGGCGAATTCGCGAACGTGATGGAGAAAATGTGCAGTCATCATTTAGCCGGATATGCGGAGAAGTTGTTGCACAAGGTCTTCGGTGCGTGGAGGAATAAACAGGTTCGGAAGATGGTGTTTAATCTGGAGCCATTGACTGATCTGCACGCGGTGATCCCTGCGTCGCTGGACTCTCTGGACTGGGTGCTGCGACGTGGAAGTGTGGTCACGCCGAACCCGGCTGATGTGTGGGAGTCATACCATCGGTTATCTCGCTTGTCAAAGTTTTCAGCTATATGGGGGTGGGTCGGTCAGGGGAGGACTCTGGAGGAGGCGATAGGGACCCATTGGCAGATTTTGGATATGAGGTTAAAGATGTCTTGGGACGAGTAATCGCACTAACCGCGTTTCTTTGTTTTCTGTTTTATGTCTATTTCTTATGTATGAACTCTACCCTTACCAAGTCAGCGCTGGGATGTTTGAGCGTTTAAAGAGTTCACTGGCTGATCATGCCTTTTGCTTTGAACTCCCTCAAGAGGGAAATACCGAGTTCTATGGTTCCCCTACTCCGTAACTCCGTAACTCCGTAGGCTTTGGGTACTTGAAGGCCAGACTGCTTTTAGTCGGGAAAATCCCACGGCTGCAGCAGACAAAATCATCAAAGAAAGTGAAAGAATGAGAGATCTCTTTTCCGCTTCACGTTGGAGAATAGGCTTTTTCTATAAGTAAAGTACCTAGATTCCTTTAACTAGTATCTAATTAGGTAGTCTATCTTTAATTAATATATATAGATAGTTTCTAGAGCTATAACTATTTCTTCTATAAAAAGTATAATATCTATTTAGTATAGTTTAGTTTAGACTATCTATCTAGTCTTTAATAAATTTAGATATTATTTCTTTAGGTCTACTTAGTAGAAAGTTGTGAGCAAGCGATACTGCGCAGGTTAGGTAGAGAGGAAGTAAGATAAATTGATCTTCTTCCTTTAATTGAATAGGAAGGATAAAATCAATTCGGCTTAGAATCATAAAGATAAGATGAGAGAAGAGTGAGGTAGGACTGAAGCTTGGTTGATTGTATTAAATCTTGCTTGTATGTATTAAACATGATTTTCTTGGTAGAGAAAGCAGGGCATATTTATAATCAATTTGTCTCTTGCATATGATCGTTCTAGATGATATATGATGATCTTATGCAGACAGATCTAGATGCATAGTGATCTCATGCAGTAGCTGTTTGATCGGTGATTGCTTGATTGTACGATGTCATTGACTGTAGTGATGATGTAGATCGTATACTATTGTATACGTCTTACTTGATGTCATTAACCGTAGTAATGATGTAGATCGTATACTGTTGTATACGTCTTACTTGATGTCATTGACCGCAGTGATGATGGTATAGCATAAAGCTTATAGAGATTCAGCTATCTTGTATAGGCCTTATGAATCTAGCTTGATATGCTGCATGACGGTTTAGGCATCTTGCCCTATATCTCACACCCCCCCCGTAATCTTTATACTATAGTGCGAATAGCAGTAGAGTATAGAGATTAGTGTAGAGTATATAGGATCGATATATATATAGGGTGCGGCTGTTGGCACGACCCGGGAAATCTGCTCGCACGACCCGGGGCCTGAATTTGGCCTGAATTACCGCGTTTCTGCCTGATTTCTGCCAAGCCCGTCACGGCTGTTAATTACAATCTTAACCACCTCCTTCCTTCTTATATACACGCATCCTTTCCTCCTCCTCTTCTATTCAATTTAACTAGCCCTATCACATGACCTCTTACCCTACCAAAATCATATGACCCACATACTAATCTAATTTAATCTAATTCAATCTAGTTTAGTCCTCCTCTTCTAAGACTAGGCCTTTATCTACCCCACTTCTTACCAACTATGGATTCTTCCGCTGATTTAGATCAAAATCCCTCTCTCTCACAATCTATTATACCACCTATACTACCACCTAATCCAAAGCTTTTCTATGAATCCTATAACCTTGCGAAGAAGGCCCTATAGGAATCTGCTAAAGAAGAGGGGTTTGCCCTAGTCACAAGAAGGTCTAATGCTAAAAGGGTTGAACTATCTTGTTGCCTTTAGCTAGATCCTACTATGAAGGGTCTTTCTGTTGCAAGTAAGGCTAAACAGCGAGAGGTTAATAAGATTAGCACTAATTGCCTATACCAGATTCAAATTTGTATACGGAAGGATAGGAAAAAGGTTATTCTAGATCGCTATAAGATTGTGGTTAAACATAGCCAACACAATTATGGCCCAATTCTACTAAATCTTCTAGTTAAGCTTCGGCAAGAAGAGAGAGATAAGAAGGAAAACCGACTCCTTGATTACTTCGAAAAAGGCCTAAAACCTATAGCAATTTCGATGCTTTTGGAGTCTAAGAAGAGTCTGCTTAACTTGAAAGACCTCCAAAACCTCCGCGCCCGAACCAGATCAGTTTTCCTTAGCGGGCGTACATCGATTAAAGCAGTAATAGAAAGCCTACTAAACTAGATTATCTAATACGAATTAGATAACCAATAGCGACTAATCAGAATCATATTTCTCTTAAGGATTGGCCTTAAATTTCTACGAATCTATCCGAATCTCCTATAGGTAGATGCTATATATAAAACTAATCGGTAAGTTAAGAGATAAGTAAGAGAAAGATCAGAGATAGCTAGCTAATTTACTTAGGTATAATATACTAATAGTTAATATCGTCGGACAAACCTTAACTAGAAGAACCTTCTATGTAGCCTATTACTTCGTTAGTAATAAGCAATAATTGTTATATCTTTAGATATTTCAAACTCTTCAAATATAGCTTATACAAGCAAAGATTCAAGCTCTATATATTATCTTCTCCGACGATATAGACGCTGTTTTAACTATATATAGGGAGGTCTTTAAGGCTACAATAGGCCTAATTTATCTCTAGTATATTATAAAGAATATTGAAACGCGTATCCGGCTAATAATTACGAAGTAATTACTCTTATAAGACCTTTACCTTCCTAATTTGGAATATCAAAAGAGGACGATTAACGAATAGCGATTAATAAAGGCTAGATTTATATAAATTATCCTCGAAGGCACCGAGGATAAGATAGAAGCAAGAAAGGCCTCTTTTCTAGAAGCCCTAAGCGACCTAATCTACTAATTAGCAATTAAATATATTAAAAAGTAGTGGTTTAGTAAGAGGGCAAAGCGATTTATACGGTGCTATCTTAACAGAATTCTCTATTATAATAAGCTTACGTCTTCTCGCGTAGAAGGCGCCTATATAAAGCTTAAGCGAGAAATTTATACCTTAACTAGCGATATTCTTGCGACGATATAGGTTATTTCTCGAGTCGTTTCCTATACAAATTCGTAGGCTTTTAACTTAATTCAAGACTAAATTTACCGTTACCCTATCTCGCTTTAAGTCCTATTTTTGCGCAATCTCCTTAGTCGGGTCTTAAGAAGCGCTATTTAAAGGATATATAGTACCTAGCAGGAATACCTCCGAGCAGAGAAGCTACTACCTCCTTACACCTAATATTATAAGAAATCTCTTAGTCTTCTATGTAATTATATAATTAAAGATCTTATAGATAGTGGCAAGTTCCTTCTCTATTCCGATTTTGACTAATAATACTGGCTTCGCCTGCTAAATCGGGTAATTTAGACTAGTTATCGGCGAATTAGAAGGATTCGAATTAATGAGCCGACTCGGGTAAAGAGGATTAGACGGCCGAAGCTACTAGAGACTGTGAAGCGTTGGTAGAGATAGAGAGGAAGATATCTCTCCGGTCGTAAGGTTAGGGAAAAGCGGAGTCGAGGTACTTACGTTTCTATAGATAAAACTATAGGAATTGTGGTACTACTACCTTTAAAGAGAACCAACATATCGACAAGGCGAATTCTATTATATTAGGAGACAGAACTTCGGCAAGGGCGTAGGGCTAGCCGCGGTCGCAAGGCTAAAGAATTAGTGATGACAGAGAAGCAATTAAAGAGGAGGGCAAGGCTGCTTAGTAAGTAGCGAATTGGCTAACGTAATTCCCGGCCGATCTGGACACCCGGCCGTCCTGGACACCCCATCGAAAATCGCGTCTTCCTACCTACACACCAACTTCAACCACCTACCATGCCACCAATTCGCTCTGAATCTTCGCAGAAATCGGTCAATCAGGAGGGCAAGGTCTTATTAGCCCTTGATGATATTAAAAATGGCCGCATCAAATCTATTCGCGCAGCAGCGAAGCTTTACGAAATCCCTCTGTCAACACTACATACGCGTGCCCACGGCCAGATTCCACGCGCTGAGAAACGCCCGACCGGTCATAAACTGACCCAATTAGAAGAGGATTCGCTTACTACATAGATTCTCTCTATAGATACGCGTGGAGCAGCCCCCGGCCCGGTACTATACGAGAGATGGCCAATATCCTACTAGCTGCGCGTGGTAGCAGCCCTCCGCCTACTGTTAGCAAGAATTGGCCATCAACCTTCGTTGCACGGCGTGATGAGCTTCGATCGCGCTTCTCGAGGCGATACGACTACCAGCGCGCATTAAACGAAGACCCGAAGGCCCTACGAGCCTGGTTTACTACCGTACAAAGCGTGATTGATGAGAACGGTATACAACCGGAGGATATCTACAACTTTGATAAGACAGGCTTTGTAATAGGCCTTATTTCTTCGCAGAAAGTCATCACTAGGGCTGAATACTACGGTCGGAGATTAATACTACAGCCAGGCAATCGCGAATAGGTCACTACGATCGAAGCTATATACGCAGACGGCTATATACTACCGCCATACGTAATCTTCAAGGGCAAAGTGGCTATTGCAGGGTGGTTTGACGATAACCTACCGAGAGATTAGCGAATCGAGGTCTCTACGAACGGCTGGACTACTGATGAGATTGGCCTACGCTGGCTAGAAAAGCACTTTATCCCACATACTAATCCGCGCGTACGCGGTCGGTTTCGGCTACTGATTCTTGACGGCCATAGTAGCCACCTTACACCCCTATTCGACCGTTTATGCGCAGAAAACGATATTTTACCACTTTGTATGCCTTCTTATTCATCACATCTACTACAACCACTAGATGTTGGCTGCTTTGCTCTATTAAAAAAGGCGTACGGCCGTTTCGTTAGCGATCTTGCGCGCCGAGGATACAACTATATCGATAAACATGATTTCTTGATAGACTACCAACGCGCGCGGCTAGAAGCCTTTCAGTCGGCTACTATCCAAAACAGCTTCACAGCTACTGGTCTAGTACTAGTTGATACAGAGAGAGTGCTTAACAAGCTTAATATCTCTCTACGTACTCCGTCACCACCAATCAGCCAGCCAAGCAGCAGATCTAGCCAATTCGTGCTAGAAACT